AGCGTGATCCGGAACTTGCTGGCCAATTCGGGCACCCACCGTTTCATATCCTCAACCATGAAGTCATGCAGTTCGCCAGCATACTCTACGCCCGTGGGCCCGCCGCCCACCACAACCATGTGAAGGAGCCTGCTGCGCTCTGACTCGGTTATATTGTCGAACGAGGCATTCTCAATGGCATCTTTGAGCCGCCGCTTGATCTTGCTGGCGTCGGTCATCTCCTTCAAAAAGCACGCATACTCTTCGACACCCGGTGTACCAAACGTGTTGTATGTGCCGCCAACCCCTACCACCAGGTAGTCGTAGGAAATCTTAGTCTTTAGGTTGTCGGAGCCGGATGAAACCGCCTGTGAGGTGCGCTCGAGCACCAACTGCTTTTTGGCGACATTGACGTCTGTGCACTCGGCCTCGTAGAACTTCACATTGCGCTTGCCGACGATGTGTCTGATGGGCTCCATGATCGAGCGGTTCTCGGTAGTCCCGACTGTGCAGCTGGGGAGCAGGGGCGTGAACAGAAAGTAGTTGCGCGGCGATACCACCACAACGTTGAATTTCTTCGCGTCGATGTTCTTCAGGATCGTGGCCGATCCCCAGCCTGTGCCCAACAGAACCAGTGTTTTCTTCTGCGGCTCTGTGCGTGGGACGATGGTGGACATTGGACGGGCCCGGAAATAAATGGCGCGCTGCGTAGGGGCCAAGAGTGTAGAACGAAATCTGGGAAGCATATTGGGTGATTTTGTGTGTGCTTGTATTGACGATATTCAGGAATATAAAAACTATGTAGTAATGAGTACTGAGCTTTAATAGGCAAAATGTGAGGGTGAGTTGGCCCTGCCCTTTTATATACCAGGTTTGTCCTCTCACAGTCGGTATGGAGAATATCAACAATTGCATGGTAGCATTTTGGCGTGGTGACGGGTAAGACGGATTATTCCGGGGCGGGGCGGGCTAACGTGTGGGTTACATTGGCTGCGCCAAACAGAGGGAATTTTCGTAAGCATGAAATTCAGGCCAATGGCAGCGGAATGTTTCTCCATCAGCCTCCGCAGTTGTGGAATCGATAAAATTCCGAGTCTGACCGATGTCCCCCCTAAGCCATCCATTTGCTGCAGCCTTGCATGCGCTTATGCGGTTTGCCCTGAGTTGAAGTCGCACGCACAGAGTGGTAGTGGTCCAATTGACTTTGTTATTGCGCTGCTTTTCTTTGGATGACGATATATTATCCGTTTGGCACATACGGATATATGGATGTCGCTATGGATAATATCGGGTTGAATAATTTGCGCCATGGCGCTGGTATATGCCGTCAATTGGACCCATGGCCACCGAGTCCCACGCCAAAACAATTATTTTTTTCGTTTTCTTTTTTGTTAAACATATCTGCTTTTCTGGTGGACTCGGTGGATTGCAGCCTGTGACAGCAAGAGTTGTTTTATTCCTGTATGTGAGATAATGCGCCGCACACAAGACAGCTGCATAAACCCCTTCCGGCGCATTTGAAAATATGCGAGATATCATTTGTGACTGTTTTTCTTTTTTATTTCCTCACTCACGAAAATTCCCCGGATTCCTGAGCATGTGTCAACTGGAAGACGTACTGACAACAGCAGAATGCAAATAAAGGCAGCAACACCTGAAAAGAATATTTGGACCATTGCATTTGGAGAAGAGTATTGTGAGGCACCTTATTGTACTCATGTGCATACTAGAATTGCTCTGCTCGCGATGCGAGCTCAGCTGCTAGTCAGCATGGGTTGACACGTCTATAAGGGCATCACGGCGAACCGGTCATTTGAACGTGTCGGATGGTTGTTGATGCAATGGCGGTCATGGAAATCTCCCATCTTGATGGCCTGCTCAGCGTAGGCGCTTCAGCGCTGGCTCGCTGCTGCTGGCAGCAGAATCGCCTGCTGCTGTACGCCTCTTGCGCGGGTTCTTTGTTGCAGGGGTGGTGCCAGAAGCATCGGCAGCAATGGCCGTAGAACGACAGAACAGTTCAGGAATACTGCCTGAATCACAGAGTGACTGGAAAATGATTCTGAAGTTTAGAACTGCTGCGAGATCGCGGTTCGAGAGCCAAGACGAATAGGCTCGCCTGTATTGTGTCATGTCCCACATACATGACTCGCTTGTACAGCAGAGAAGGCCATGCCACTTCACAGTTGGGTTCTTCGATCTCTGGTAGGGCCGCGGGTTGGGAACATGCCGGAATGTCTGCTGCAGTAGCCTCTGTTGCACCTGATGGCATCTTCGCTGCTTCGCGTGCAGCCTTCTTGGCCAATTTTTTGCCCTTTTCTGCTGCTTTCCTTGCCTCTGTTGCTGTTCTCTTTGCTGTGTTGATCTCTGTAACCTGCTCGCGTGTTTTCGAAATAAACACCTGCTTGAGTATTTGCTTGTCTAAGCGCACATGGCCTGGGATCCATGATGTCCGCAGAGGCAAGCATTGGGGGGGAGACTTGCCAAGCTGCTCATTCTCGATAAGCTGGCATAGACGAATGTATGCACGCAGATGCTTAAGTGGATTTACCTTGGCATCATAGTATCGGCTGTCTTTGGCGAATCTGTACTTGGCATCATAGGCATTAAGGACTGGTGCCAGCTTTTTGTAGATTGCAAGCATCGGTGGGGTGAGCACACTGAGATCAGGGTGTCTAGAGGCAACTGCCTGGCGGAGCTTCTGTGCAGGTGTATAAATACACACTTGACATGCATTATTGAACTCAGCCTTGGACACATTGCCTATTGTACTGTGCAGTGTGTTTTTGCGGCTGCGAATATCAATCAGTTTGGCCAGAATACGCTGTAGGCAAGTGCCATAGAACAACACAATGTTGTTCTTGTATGCTGTCATCAGCTCGGTATCCACGTATGTTGCTACCTGATTCATGTTGTGTACGCCATGTAGCTCGATATCACCATTATGTATTAGATAATCATAAATATGGTATCTAATTACATCACCGAAATCTGCGCTCGACAGTTTTGACTTGTCCTTCCGGTTGACGAAGTCCTCGGCAGATATGGTCATCTTTGCCTTCAGGTTGTGATAAATAAATAAATAAATGGAACGAAAAAAACCCTTTTTCACAAATGTTGCTGGATCAAAAGCATCATCGTCAGCTAGTTGATGGAGTAATATCCATCGTGCAAGCATGTATGTATGCTCTTTGATGATATTGACGCTGTGTACAAACTGCTCTAGGCGGGGCAACATAGAATCACAGAAACCAGTACTACCAAGTGATATCTTTATGACAGTAGTGCTGCAGGTAATATTCATTTGAGAAATTCAATAGGCAAAACAAGAAGAGAAACGATGCTGTTCAGTTTTGCTGTATTGCAGATGCATAGCATTAAGAACTTTATATTAAAAATGATCTGGCTTGCATGGTTCTTGGGGCCTTTAGCACTGATACAGTCTCTTGAATCAGTCTATACAGACTGGATCCATTGTGGCCCAAATACTACTGCTTACGCATGTTCATAAGACAAATTAATTTATGAGATTAATCCACAAATATTGCATGACCACTAGAAGAGCTATATGGCCTTATTCAATAGGTGCTCATGAATGAATATCCTAAGGGTGTTGCGCAGCCGGTGATGACCACCATGATGACACCATGGAAGTTATCAGGCCGACCGACAATGAGAGCAGCTCTTGCGCTGAACCAATGGAGATATCTAGTGAAGACCTGTGACCACTACAATAACAGCTTGTCACGTTGGTTTCAAGATCAAAAAAGAGTTTAAAGAGCAATTTATCCAAACTCGCTTGGAGGTTTAAAAGTTTTATTTTTTTAATCAATTATGAAGGTTCTAGCAGACGGTCGGACACTTTTTGGGTTATAAAATCTTATATGTAGGTAGGTAAAGATTAGCGGAATGTAGCTCAACTATATGATAGCAGTATTCGTATTTGACTCAGGCCTGGTTCTGGATGACAGTGGCCTTCTGTCCGTTCTGCTCAGCAGCAACAGGAACACTGGCAACAGGAGCTGCAGTGACGGGAGCAACAACCTCCGGGACAACAGCAGAAGCTGTAACTGGGGCAGCAATGGACTCGGCGACAACTGGGTGGACAAACTGAGGAGTGAACACGGGCTGGACAAAGGCTGGAGCAAACACGGGCTGGACAAACTGCGGAGCAGCAATGCCAAAGGCAGTGCCAACAACAGTACTGGCCTGGTGGTGGTCATTAGCAAACACGATATCACCGTTGCGCTTGAAGACGCTGCTGACAACACCGTTGTTAACGAAGCCAGGAGTCACGAAGCCAGAAACGCCGATTGGCGCAAAGCCGCCAGAGACGAACTCAGGGTGGGCGAATTGCGGTGCAACATTCACCTGATGGGCATTGTCAGCAAACACGACATCGCTGTTGCGACGGACAAACCCAGCAGCGCTGAATGTGTTCTGGACGGGTCCAAGCAGGTTCGAATCGCCGTTTGCAGTCCAGCCGTCGTTACCCTTGACATGGGACTGCGATGGGTTGTTGACGATGTTGCCCTTGGATACATCATTGCTATTCACGGTCGAGAAAGACGATCCGAAAATGTTGGTGAAAGCATTGCCGCCCTGGCCGGATCCGCCAGAGAAGAACGAGCCGTCAGCCTGCCAGCCGTTGTTGACATTCGGAGCTGAGATGGCGTTGGGGGCTGAGACAATGCTGGGGCCGTCGGTGGAGCCAATCTCCTGGCCGATCGCCGAGGCAGAGGCGATGGCAATGAAGGTGGTGGCGGTACGCATGGTTGGAGATTTGTAGTCTGTGGTTGACGAGGGATTAGTCGTGAGGAGTAAGAGCTGGTAGAGATCAGTAGCTTGTAGCGGTGGCTGGCTCCGGCTGCGACTGGTCTGGTTTTATACCAGAGATCCGGGACTAGGCGGGCCTGTCCTTTAGACTGTCCTTTAGACTGTCCTTTAGACTGTCCTTTAGACTGTCCTTTAGAGCTGGTTGTGATGTAGGGATTCAAAGTTTGCGTTAGCACAATTGCCGGTAGGAGCCATTCTCCTACAGCTCCCTTGTTTCGCCGGTCACGCAAATGGTCTGCATTACTGTTGGTCAACCAACAAGGCTGTTGCTGTGTCTCTGCCAATTGATGTCTACTTGGCGAGGGCTGGTCCGCTTGTTTCTGTGACAATTGCTAGGCTTTGTCGTGGCCATTATCTGCCAGATATCGCCACACCGCGAACAACCACGCCGCAAACAAACCACACCGCTCCCCGTCGCTAGCGTGCGCAGCATTTGTTCTTTGGGCTAGGACCGTCTCTTTGTCAATGCGGTGCGGTTTCTGAAATGAAGCCGAGCCAAATGCACGTAATCGGGGAGAGGCGGGGGTCTGACTACTGCTGTTGCGCCATTGCTCAGCTCGTGAATTGTTGGTCAGGATGATGACAATAGCGTGTGTCGACATTTATGACGTAGGCAGCATTGGCTTGCATTGCGTGATTGGTGATATGAATGCAGGATATATTGGAAGAGCATCAAGTGCAATGGGCTCGTGCTCAGCACGGCCAGATATTAGTGATGAGAATAGGAGCTACGCCTGGTTCTGGATGACGGTTGCCTTCTGGCCGTTCTGCTCGGCAGCAACGACTGGGGCAGCCTGGAAAGCCGGCTGGACCACAGGCTGAAAAGCTGGCTGGACCACAGGCTGGATGAACTGCGGGGCAGCAGTCCCAAAGACCGGCTGGACAAACTGAGGAACAGCAAGTCCCGGAGCGGCAACTCCCAGAGCGGCAACTCCTGGAGCAACGGTAGCCTGGTGATGGTTGTTGGCGAACACGACGTCGTTGCTGCGCCTGTACACCGCACCAACGATAGCTGGGTGGACAAAGGCAGGGTGGACAAAGCCTGGAGCACGGTTCAGCTGGTGGTGGTTGCTGGCAAAGACGACGTCGCCGCTGCGGCGGACAAATCCATGGCCGAAGAAGTTCCCGACGGGGCCGAGCTGGTTGGAATCGCCGTTGGCGGTCCACCCGTCGTTGCCGGAAACCGAGGTGAACGATGGGTTGTTGATGATGTTACCTTTGGACAGGCTGTTGCTGTTCACGGTTGAGAACGAGCTGCCGACGATGTTGTTGAACAGACTGCCGTGGCCGCCATCGGCACCCGAGAAGAAGGAGCCCTCGGCCTGCCAGCCGTTGTTGACGTTTGGAGCTGAGATGGCGTTGGAGCCCGAGACGATGCTGGGGCCGTCGGTGGCACCGATCTCCTGGGCAAAGGCGGTAGCAGAGGCAATGGCAAGGAACGAGGCGGCAGTACGCATGATTGAGGAGTAAGATTACGCTTAGACGGAGGGTGGCGAAGGATTGGGATTGATTAGCGGCAAGAGAAAGAGCTGTATGCTGGTAGGTAGCTTGAGGAGAACTGCTGGAACTGCTGGATCTCACCTGTGTTTTATACCATCGACGTGCCTGGCGACGACTTTGATATGCTTCGTCCAAGATCGCTTGCAGCAGCAGAAGCAGCAGCAGCGGCGGTAGAAGCAGCAGTCAAGTTCGCAACAACAGCTGGTGCAACTACCCCTCGCAGCAGCTGCAGTGGCCAGGCTGTTTGTCTGGTGGTCGACAATGTCGAGTGATTTAATGAGGCAGCCAGCTGAATGGCCATCATTGAAGCTCCATACCCCCACTTTTCTACTACTCCTGCAGCCAGGCAGCTCTGCAAGCTGCAAGCGCACAGATATCTCCAGTGAAGACCTTGCAATGCAACCACGTTTTGCTTTGGCCTATTTATTCCAGAATTTTTAATTGACTTCAAATATTGTAGTCGTACAAAATTGCGCCGCCAGAACGGGCCACGCTCTCGATCTGGTCATCAGAGTAGTTTAACACACTGCGCATGACATCCTCCGTATGTTGCCCAAGCATAGGTGGCGGTAGACGCACGCCAACCTCTGAGGTGGAGTACTCGACAGCAGGGCCGACCAGCTTGAGAATGCCTGCAAATGGATGCTCGACTTCTTTGACAACCTGCCGTGCAACTAGCTGCGGGTGCTCAAATGTCTGCTTAATTGTGTTGACAGGCCCGAACGGCATGCCGCTTCCCTCCAGCCGAGAAACCAGATCGTCAGTCTTCCAGTCGCTCAGCGCCTCAGTGATCAGGGCAACGAGCTCATCGCGGTTCTGCACGCGATCTGCGTTGGTCGCATACTTTGGGTTTTCAAGCAGATCCGGTCGGCTGATGGCGTCGGTGAAGATCTTGTACTGCTTGTCGTTGCCAGCTCCAATGCAGATGCTGCCGTCTTTGGTCGGGAACACCTGGTAGGGGACGATCGACGGGTGGCTGCTGCCGAGTCGGCTGCTCTCCTTGCCTCCTACCAAGTAACTTGAGGCAATGTTGGCCAGGACCGTAGCCTGTGTCTGCATCAGCGACACGTCCAGGTGCTGGCCGACATTAGACTTTACTCGCGACAGCAGAGCAGCTAGGATTGCGCTGTGGGCGTAGATGCCTGTGGTCACATCGGTGACAGCCACGCCAACCTTGACCGGTGGCCCGTTGGCCTCGCCAGTAATGTGCATGAGACCAGCCTCGGCCTCGATGATGGTATCATATCCTGGCTTGTTTGCATAAGGCCCCGACGAGCCATATCCTGTGATTGATGCGTAGATGAGCTTCGGGTTGACCTTTTTCAGGTCCTCATAGCCGAGCCCGTACTCGGCCAGTTTTCCGGGAACGTAGTTCTCAACAAAAACATCGGATTCCTTGGCCAGATCCAGAATGACCTGCCGCCCTTGTTGGACCTTAATGTCAATGGCAATTGAGTGTTTGTTGCGGTTGGCACACAAATAATACGCACTCTCGCCCTTGAACAGGGGTGGCTGGCGGTACAAGCCACCCTTGGATGTCACACCCTCAATGGCCCCAACCTGCTTTTCATACAGCTTGAATGGAGGACCCCAGGCACGAGTGTCGTCGCCGCGCGCTGGGTGCTCGACCTTGATGACCTCTGCGCCGAGATCCCCGAGGAGCATCGTGCAGAAGGGTCCGGCGAGGACGCGCGTCATGTCAAGGACACGAATTCCTGTCAGTGGACCGACTGATTTAGTTGCATGAGTGGCCAGCAGACGCTTCGGGAGTGTCATGGTGACCGGATGGTTCCTCGCAGCGCCGAACAGCTGATGTACGAATGGCATACTTGAAATAACCGTAGATGGGATATCAACATTGAGGAGAGGTTGGTCAGATGCATCCTCTGACCGGTCGACCTCTATATAAACCCACTGTTCTGTACATGTCACCCGCAATCCTGCTCCCAGGGGTCATAGCTCTTGACAATGAATTCTGCTCTGCCACAACCACTCTTGCTGGAGCCCAATAAGGCCAGATGGTAGAGTATAGCGTGAGAAGCAGGACATTGCTTTGGCAGAATGCCGAGGCGTGCCATGCTAGACAATAGCGCCCATGCGTCTTCACACGCAATGTATATCGCCAGGGCCAGTGCTACCCACATACCCAAACTGCCTATCTGCTGATTTGCTCACCACCAGAATTTCTTAAGGGCTAGGTGTTGGTCCGCTGGCTCTCAGACCCAAAACACTCGCTGGTATCTACGGTCAAAAGGTAAATTGCGGTATTCATATGAGCAACAATATTGCAGTGGCAGCTGTAGCTAGATGTTTGTCTGTTGCGCTGCTCTGGTGGCGCTGTTGACGTTATTTTCCAACCAGTTTCCTTGTTCTCTCAACAAATATGGACAAGGAATTGCTACAGCCACAGCACATCCATCTCCCTCCCTCCCTTTCTTGTTATCCATTTTTGCCAAACGAAGGCGAGATGAATATCCTTTTGTTTACGATAGTAATGGCTACGTAGCAGAATATACAGCCAACCGAGCTGAGGCAGAGAATTCATTAGTCTTGTCTATCTGTCAGTCGCCTTTCTCTTCTTCTTGTCCCCTCTCCCTTTACTCTGTTCCTTTCCCTCATATACCTTCGCGCCCATCCCCTATACAGCCTCTTGCCCTATACCCTATACTGTAATCACCGACCACAAACCTAGCACTCTAACTATGCGTATCTATCAAGCTATCACAGTTTTTGCTGTAGCTGCCTCGGCATTCCCTACACAGCTTCTTGCTGTCCGTGAGGGCCCCAGTGGGGATACAAATTCGCCAGCAGCTCCGCATGTGGCTCAGCCTGAGCAGCTGCCGCTTCAAGATCGCCCTCCTACTCAAGACCGCCTAACAGACAGCGACCGCCCCCCTATTGTAGTGGAGAACGGATCCCCTGTTCAGGATTACCCGCCAGCTGGTTTTAACGAACATCGCGACGGATCGCAGCACCACCCAACTGATAGCAGCAGCAGTGGCCAAAATCCGGGTCGCCCTGCTACCCAGGACCACCCAGCTGAAGGCGACCGCCGTCCTGTTGTAATCGAGGACCGCCCTCCTGTTCAGAATCAGCAGCCAGCTGCTTTTGATGAACACACTGCTCCCCAGGGCCGTCCAGCAGAGAGCAACAGCGCTAGACCGGTCTCGGACCATCCGCCAGTGGTTGTTAATGAGCATCACGATACGCCACAGGATCACCCTGCGGCAGAACCTCCCCGCAGCTCTGGCCATCAATCTTCTCGGCCTCCAGCTCGTCAACACTTTGAGAAGATCGAGCACCCTGGCGGCAACCCGAACAGCATCGAGAAGACGTCGCAGGACATTATCAACGACGATCAGCACGGGGTCCACTCAAATATTATCCACCATGTTGTCACTAGCAACAGTATCGTCAACGGTAAGCCCACAAATGTCAATATCCACGGCACTACCGGTGTTGCTAATAACGGCAAGAACAACGTTGTTCTACCAAATGGGTTTTGGAACCAGTTCAACCCTGGCCAGCCTGGGGCTGGGCTCCCTGGCACCAACTTTATCCCTGCTGGTCTGGGAGTTAACAGCCGTCCTCCTAGCGACCATTAGTACTAGCCTTTAGTGATTCTTGAAACAGAGGTTGTTTTCTCTATATGGCCTTGGTGCGATGTCGCGTTATTTTTATTTTTGGCTGCATTTATGTTCGGCGATCGCTTTTTGGTCTGATCCAAGCGGTCCGAATGGTTTGGCCAATGGGGAAAGCTGGGCAAAATCGGATCGCTGTAGCTACCAATGCACGATTTTTGTACACTTCTTACATGTAACGCACGAAGATCCCGGGCTATGGATGAAGAATTCGCGTGCATCTCCCTCCTAACACTGACAAACCAGGCCAGCTAAATTGATGGGGAGAGGGAAAGAAGTGGTGAGAATTGGAACGTCGTTCTTATTGCACGCTTTTTGGCTCCATGGCCAGTGTAGCAGGAATTACACCATCGCTGTACACACGAATGCAAGACAGACAGACAGCAGCTGCCGGTACTCTTCGCATGAAACAAAAGGTGCTTCTTTCTTGTTTTGCTTTCTTTTCTCCCAACTACTCTTTTTCACACCTACTCGTTTTAAAGTAACATATTATCCTGCTGGTCTGGACATCATACGACAAATAAACATACTCAGGCAGTAGCTTTCTCCCCTCTTTCCTCTTCACCTCCGTCCTCTCCCCTCTCCCTCCTTCCCTCACTACCTACACACTTGTATCCTCTCCCTCTCACCTCACATTCCTCCTTTCATCCGCGTTATACTATTATTCAATGGCAGGCTCTGGTCGTGTTCAAGCAGACGACAATTTTGATATTGATGACTGGTACGACGCGTCACGTCGTAGCCGAGGCGTTTCTATGATGCCGGCGAGCAACCCGCAGCTCGTCAATTATCAGAACATGCACGTAGCCAACCCCATGCCGCCCCAGAGCCGCTCAAACCAGCAGCAACAGCAGAGACACCCACCACAGAGCAACGGGTATAATGTGGATTCGTATTATCATGGCAGCCACAACGGTCCGCCAGCCAGTGCCCAGCAGTCGGCGGGCTATTATGGTGGCTACGGCGATAATGACAACAATGATATCAGTTACTCGAGTGGCCATTATGAGCCAGTCCACTATCCTGGCGACCGTGGGCCGCCACGCATGCAGCAGCAGCAGCAGCAGCAGCAGTATGGCCGGGGGCCCGCACCGCAGGCTCCTACATACCAGCAGATTGCGTCAACTCATGGAAACTACCAGAATGGGGTATATCCACTTGGAGTGGCTCCACCGATGAACAACGGGTCCCGTCCATCAACTGGTCGCTCAAACATGAGCATGGGACACACTGCCCCTGACCCAGGAATGGAGTCACGCCCCCAGACCGCGCGGTCAGACAAGAGCACAACACCGCTGAACCCAAATGCAGTCGTCCTCTCCAACCTACCCAAGGGTGTCAAAGCATCAAGCGAGACTAGATACTCTCCCCCACCCCCGATCAGCACTGCCAATACCAGCTCGACGCTACACTCAAGGCATGGCAATGTCAGCTCGCCATACTCGCCCGTGGCACCCAAGTATGGAGCATCCCCTTCAACCGAATACCTATCCACTGTCAAGAGCCAGCAGCCGCTTCTTAACAGCAGCCACTCACATGGCCACAGCGATATGACTACGGTCGACCTGTCAAATGTCAGGTCTGGTGGCGGCTACCAGCCCCCAGAACGTCCGATCACCTCGTCCACGACTCGTTACAATGCGTCACAGCTCGCAAGAGGAAAATCCGTTAATGACCGCTATGAGCAGCGCAAAGCTGGCGGTGACTCGGGCGTGGGCGAGTGCTGTGAATGCTGCTGTGGGGGGTGTATGCGCTGCGCATGCTGCTCCGTCTGCTGCTGCCTCGGCCCGATCATCACTTGGATATTAGTTATTCTTGTCCTGGTTGGCATTGCGCTGGCGCTGTACTTCAACTGGGACAAGATCATCGGCGCGGTCAAAAACAAGGGAGCGGCAGCCGCTGCCTCTGTTGCATCCACTGCTGCGACTCCATCAGCTGTGCCTGTCTCTACTGCTGCCCCGCCTGCCGCCCCGCCTGCCGCTGCTACTAATGCTGCTGCTGCTGCTGCGGCTGCCGCCGCCTCTGCTGCAGGACTCCCACCTGAGGCTGTAGCTGCCGAAGCAGCAATCGCCGCTGCTGCCACCCCTGCTTAAAGACATTATCGTAGTTTTGTGTTAGTTACACTGTTATTTTTAGGACACTCGTAAAATGCAACACGTCGTATCTTTAGTAGTCCTTCCATCCAGTGACATCAAGGCGAGCAATCTTCTTCTCGACGCCAACCCGCATGTCGTCCATGTAGTTCTGCATCGCGTCCAGATATGTCGGGCACGAGGCACCCAGGATGCGCACAGCCAAAAGTCCAGCGTTGTCAGAGTTGTTGATGGCGACAGTAGCCACAGGCACGCCGCGCGGCATCTGGACAATCGAGTGGAGGGAATCGACGCCGTCCAGGCAGCGGCCCTTGACTGGGACGCCGATAACAGGAAGAGGCGTCAGAGCAGCGACCATGCCCGGCAGATGCGCAGCACCGCCAGCGCCAGCGATGATAGCCTTGAGACCACGCGTGTGGGCAGACCTAGCATACTCAAACATGCGGTCAGGTGTGCGGTGTGCAGAAACGATGGTCAGCTCGAACGGAACGCCAAACTGCTCAAGGATGTGTGCGGCAGGGCGCATGGTGGGCAGATCCGAGTCAGAACCCATGATGATACCCACCAGCGGGCTCATGTGCTTGACATCCTTCTTCTCCTCGTCGTTAACCGAGCCGTCGGTAGTCTGCTCCTGCGACTTACGGTAAGCCAGCCGCTCACGCTCCTCATCCGAGGCATTGGAGAGCTTTCCGACAATCAGATCAGTGCGGCGACGAAGCTGAAGGGCAGAGTCAGCAACCACCGTGACGTGGCCCATCTTGCGTGCTGGCTTGGCACCAGCCTTGCCATACAGATGAACAGTAGCACCAGGCACCTCAAGGCTAGCCAGACACGGGTCCAGCACGCTCTGCATGCCATTCTGGCCGCCCAGCACGTTAATCATGGCCGCGTTCGGGACCTTGAGCTCCGTGCTGCCAAGTGGCAGGTCCAGAACAGCACGCAGATGGTTCTCGAACTGCGAAGTATGGCAGGCTTCGATCGTATAGTGGCCAGAGTTGTGCGGACGAGGAGCGATCTCGTTCACCAGCACGGTGCGGCCGTCCTCATGAAGGAACATCTCGACGCCAAAGATACCAGCGCTGCCGCTTGGCAGGCATGAAACGGTATCAGTGGCGACCTTCATCGCAATCTGCCGGATGTCGCCGTCAATCTGAGCGGGGGCATAGACCAGCTCGCAGATGTTGTCACGCTGAATGGTCTCGACCACAGGGTAGGTCGCAACCTGTCCGCTGGGACGACGGACAACCATGACTGCCAGCTCCTTGGTGAAAGGGACAAACTTTTCGGCGTAGAGCATCTTCTCGCCCAGCGTCTTGAACCCGCTGGCCGCATCATCTTTGCTCTTGACAACGTAGTTCCCACGGCCATCGTACGCACCAAGACGGCACTTGAGCACAAATGGATAGCCAAACTTTTCACCGGCAGCAACAACCTCGTCAAGCGAATCACACCCGACAAACTCGGGAAGGGCCAGACTCTGCTCAGCCAGATACACCTTCTGCAGGTACTTGTCCTGGATCAGTCGCACGGTGCTGGAAGACGGGCGGACCTGTGCCAGGCCAAGGCTCTCGATCTTGGCAAGCTCGTCGCAGTTGACGTGCTCGATCTCCACCGTCAGGACATCGCAGCCATCAGCCAGCTTCTTGATCGCCTCCGAGGACGTGAACGGCTCGTCAATGTGCTTGTCCGAGTTGCTGATCTGCTTGGCAGGCGAGAGAGCGGTCGGGTCAAGCACCCGCACCTCGACATTCATGCGGCCAGCCGCCTCGATGAACATGCGTCCGAGCTGGCCTCCGCCAAGGATACCGATAACCTGCTTGTCCATTATGAAAAAGTTTCAAGGGGAAGGTGAGTGTGGGGGGGGGGAATAGCGCTTTTCGAGCAACGATGGTTTTCTCGGAAAAGAAAAGGTTGCAGTTCCTGGCGATTGCCAGCAATGGTCCCAACCGCGGTTGCGGATTAGGTTGTGATTATGCCGAGATAACGTGAAAGTCGCAGATTAGTAGATCCAGGCGATTAGCTCACTAATCCAAGATGTGCATGGACAGCCGTGCTTTACCAGGCACGGGTCTGGACTGTCGGAGGCCGAGAGTTGCAGCTCTCCAGCAATGATGCTACTCTTACGCCATGTTCCTGCAGGACCATGTCTGGGTGCCTTTGGAGCTTGCCCAGATCAGTGAACTATGGAATATGACCTATCTCTTCTGTGTTTCTCCAGCTATCTTTGCTATTATTCTTATGATCCTATATCCAGTACCATGGCATAGTCCAACTTTCAGATCCAAACCAGATATATACGTGCTCTCACATCTTCGCATGGTAATGCTAGCACTACAGCACCAGGATACATACCTTCTCGGTAGCGATCCCGCTCTTGTCGGCAAAAGTTCCATCCTAGTATACAAAATCGTATTTTATTCAGTGCTGGGCTTTTACATTATATTCACAGTGGTGACCTTCTCGCTGTACATCTGGAGAGCAAGGCGATCACAAGAGCGCTCGTTAAGGGAGCGGTCAGTGTTTCTGCTCACGTTGCAGGTGGTTGGTGGGTTCATATTCGGCTGTTGCACCCTATGCCATAACGCTATACCACTATTCCCGTGCTTTCTCGACTTTTGGCTATTGTACACTGGATACAATATCTGGCTATATGCATTTGGGCTTCGCGCTTTGCGGTTTTACATTCAGGCGCGCTCACATACTGCGATTGGGCACGAGGTACGGGATAACCCTATTCGGCCAGGCAATTTACACCAGTATCTGGACCGGTTGCGTGAGATAGGCGGGCAGAGATATTTACAGTCGTCCTACAACCTCAACAAGTCACAGCCAACAATCAGTCCGACAGATGGACAGCGCAAACACTCTCTCGCAATGTCGCTTCAAAGCGTTCACAACCTGCATAGGCATCGGCCATCAGTCCCTGATACAGTTGACACAAATAATTCGACCAGCCTAGCCGCTATTGTCATCGAGCCTGCGGAAATCGAACAGAGGAGCAGCAGTCATGGATCTCACAGTGGGCGTGTATCGATATCTTCTCGACTCTGCTGTAACAGCAAAGAGTTATCCCTTCGACAGAAGAATGCTAACCGAAGTCGCGTTTTAACCGTGCTAGCCCGTGGCATCATGTCAAACCGAGTAGTGGGGAAAATACTCCTGATATTATTGGTGCTTCTGGCGATTGGTCTCTTGTTCGGAAATATCTTTTCGCCTTTACTGACTATCCGTCCGATGCACTACAATTGCGTTAGAGCATGGGTGATGTTGCCTTTAGCCATCTTTTCTGGCATTTACTACTTCATTGCTTGCCCTATTCTCCTTGCGCTTATCTGGCGATACCACGATGCATATGGAATTAGAAACTCCCTTATCATCTGCGTTGTGACTGGGATGTTACAATATCCTATTGTCATTGTCTGGGAATTTGCGATTCAGCCGATCAACCACTACATCACCCCTTTATTCTTCACATGGGCTCAGATGTTTATCATCTACATACAGTCGATTGTCGTACCACTGGTTGAGTCGTTTTATATTGCCTACCGAGAACGCAGGAGGTCGAGCATGAATGACGCAGACCAGTTTATTGACGAGTTCCGACGTCCAAGCCGGCTGCCCATCACGGCTAGACGGCAATCGGGAACAACCAGAGAGGGTTTTTATGCAGCTCTACAGGATCCGGAAGAGCACGAGAGACTCAAACAGTTTGCAGTGCGTTGTTTTTGCAGCGAGCTGATGTCCTTCCTCGACGCTTACGCGGCACTCAAAGCCAACATCCATCTTGACCTCAAAACCCATTCAACGCCCGAGCAGAACACGAACTTGAGGCCGATATCTGGCTCGGTTATATCGTCGTTTGATACCCTGCAGCCTCCGACGACGACTCCAAATCTACATGTCACGTGTTCTATATCAGGAACTGGTCGCAGCCATGCATCCCAAGATGTTGTTGCTCCATTTTTGTTCGACGACACACGGAGATCGGAATCGCCCGAATCAAGGCTGACCAGGCCGTCATCGTTTGGGATTGGACTTACTGATATTACTACTGGCATCGTGCAAACCATGGCCAAGGCATTTCCGCGACTAGTCATTGACGACTCGACCACCATTTCTGAGAGAATCCGCGAGCCTGTTTCTGCCATTCTGACCACATTCATACTTCCCGAATCATCGCTGGCGATAAACACGTCTAGCCAAGTCATCAGAGTTGCACAGGACTACTTGGATGGGGCACAATCACGATGAGCTGCTTTGACAAGCTGAAGGATGACGTTCTTGATATGCTCTACTCAAACGTGTATCTCCGCTACAAAAATAAATGACCTGAAGTAGCTTTAAACTAAAAATTTCTCAATGAATGATCATGTAGATGTATGCATTTTATCCTTCGATGGAAGAGGCAGACCATACCAGCAACCACAAACCACATTTATGTGGTTCCATGTTCCACATCGCTTTATACAATTTTTTTCTGAAGGAACTCGAAATCGTGATCGGATCAGTCGAACAACTGGTCGTTTGGAAATCACATGGAATGCGTCCGATTGGCTCAGTTGGCAGAGCGTGAGTCTCATAATCTCAAGGTCGTGAGTTCGAGCCTCACATCGGGCAGTGTCTTTTGCTCCTGCGGGGCTTCTCTTTTTGGATATACAGGCGCTTTTTTGCACGCTGGGCGAGGCAATGTCAGTCGAATCAGGTGGTGGCAAGCCGGGCGCCAGCAAGAGCCCCGCTACAGCCTACACTATGGAGGTAACGTCTAGCCCTTGATGAGCTGCACAAACGGCCGCATTGAAAATACCTCCGTGCAACTTGTCTATTTTCTTTTCTCTCTTTTCTTCAGTATTAAATATCACACCTTTTAAAACCTCCTACATATCTAACTAACACAACACCATTTTTTTTTTGACTTTTTTTTAGTATATTCAATGGTTGGTGTTTGGCTTATCCGCGTCCCCTTGCAGTCTACGTGTCACAGATGCCATACCAGCTTCACTGTCCGCTGCTACAACTGCAGATCAAAAACGCTAAATTCTGCCTTTTCCAATTGCTCTAGCTAGCCTTTAACAGGAACTGCTGTCAGTAGCGCTGGGACCCTTTCCTTTGGATTATTCGGTGTATTCAGCTCAGTCACACCACACAGTCTCGTATACCCTCTGGTAGTCAACTCAAAAACACCCATCAATCGATCTACAAATATCGATCGGTAAGCAGATAGCTGCCACCAATCGCTCAGCGATCTCGGCCCCTTACCCTCTGTAGGAGAGCGACTGATGCCTTCCAGGTGCGGCGTGTTTCCAGGCTGATCCTTCCTATCAGTATCATCATCAGCAATGCGCATCAAAATACCAAGCCCAAGTAATTCATGCCTTTGCCGCTGGCCATTGGATTCACTGCCATGCTGCTGACGCCCATAGGGTCGTACCCGCTGTTCTATACCTACCTACCAGCAATTGCTGTCAGAAAAGATGAGCGGATGGGGACGGGGGAAGCAGGTGGTATTGAGGTGTGACCAAGTCAGCTTGATAATAAGGCGCGTGCAGCACAGATGACAGGCCAAATTATTTCTATTTCTGAAGGGGGCAAGAGGGGTGTGGATTTGCAACAGAAGCACAGCGACTGAATATGCAGCATAGCGGATGACGTGTAGGTTCTCGTCACTATAGAGGTTGGCTGGTTTGATACCATGGAGCTTTTTATAGCCAAATGTAAGAGACGAGATAAAGGTGTGTTATTGTGTGTTTTGGCGGTACGCAAGGCTACATGTCCAATCTAACTAAGCCTAAGGTTATCGTTCACAACGAGAAGAGAAACTGGGTGCTAACCAATCACGATATGTGGTGTATCAAAGCCCAATCGTAAGTGGCCGTAGGTGTCCTGGTGGCTGTCCTTTTCACTTGCGCTCTCCGACGACCAGTTGCAGTCGTTGCAGCGCCACACAGAGCGCACATACAGGCGGAGTTTCGTCTTGAGGATTGCCATATCACGAATATTCCTTGCAAATGCCTGTATAGAACAGAAAACCCAGTATAGATAACTGTTGGGGTAGAGTGAAATGAGGGAATAAGTTAGCAAAAGAGTGTCGGGGGTTGAAATAGCCGTGGAAAGAAGGAAGCTTGGGGCAATTTAAGGCTTTTCGCTAGCGGAGGTCAACCAAAAACAATACTATGCGCTAGTTGACAAGACGGGAGGAGCAGGGGGAAGAAGAATTCGAGAGGTCAGGACATGAGCTATTTGAGGGGGTTTTTTTGGGGAGGGTAGGTGACGGGGGAATTGCACATGCATCTGGTGAACATCTAACCTGCTTTGTCACTGAGGGCCAGTGCAGCAATGTCAGACAAGGATGTCAGAGAAATGATAGGGGGGATATTGAGGCACATGCGAAAATCAAAGCGCCTAATGTGCTCAGAACCATGGTTGCACAGGAACGGGAGGGAGGGAGGGATGCACATTGCACGAGTCTGCATACTTCCTAGTGTTCTTTTTTTTTCTACAAATACTTGTTCGCATAAACTGGTTTCCTGTGATTCGCAGATTGCACCAATTTTATTTCCCAGCGCTATATCCTGAAAACCACACCCGCATGTTGTCTTATGTCCTAGTAGGAACCTGTGGGCTGGGTATACATGTATACCACAGCACACGGGGAAGGCATCTTTATTCATGTGTTGCGGTGGCAGGCATTGTGCCAAAATGTTCATGCCATCCCCGTTTATAGCAGAGGAAAAACTGAACAGATTCTCATGGCTGTCACACTTACATCTAGCTTGGGGAGGCGAAATAGGCCGGCCAAACCTTGTTCCTTCGCCTGAACACGAATAGGAGGCGGAAATGGTGGGAGGCCACCACATATGCAAGACATGCCGCTTGCATTAACCAGATGACAAGGGATTAACCACTTTAAGCATCCTCTTTTGCGCCATGCATATGGGCAATGAGAGGTGAGGGATACTGGCCTGTTTTTTTCTCCCTCAGTACGCAGGAAACTCCCGACCCAGTAAAAAGCTAATTTATTCAGTTGATATTTTGCTTAGGGTGTAGGGGGCCTGGGGGTTTTCTCGAGTTCCTGGTCGACCAGGTCGGCAAAGGACATCTTGTTTGGCGGCATGGCGCTGGTGGACATGCCAATGCCGACGCTGCTGGCCACCATCGAGGGGACCATGGCAGCAGCCAATACATTTTTGGTCGGCTGATCGCTGCCACGGCGTCCATGCTGCTTCCGCGGCTCTCGCGCCAGCCGGGGGCTAGTAGCAGAATCAACCTCGGCGCTGGCCTGATTCACTGCAGAGTCAGGTGGCGTGGGCTGCACAGCATGTCTGGAGCGGCCTGGGGTGCGGCCTGGGGTGCGGGCAGTGTCGCGGGGCTTCTGGAAGCGCTTGGACAGCTCAGAGCCGAACTTGAACACTGAGGTCTTTTGCATGCCCTTGGAATCGGCCAGGGGGCTGTACTGGTCGTACTCGTCGTCCGAGCCCTTGCCGTGGCGCTGGTTGCCATTGTCGCCAATCAGCTTGCTCTGGACAGTTTTGCGCTGGCGGCTGCCACTCAAGATTGGCGGGGGTCTTGTAGATGTCTTGAGGAATGAACGGCATCATCCACCAGATAAGCTGGTCGGGAACCAGTCGCAGCACTAGGCCGACAGGCAGCGCAACGAATCCGCCGACAATTGAAAAGGCCCAGTACTTTGCGCTAAGCGCAGTGGTCTGGAAGGCGGCGCCACCCCACTGGATGATGATGACCTGGCCGACGACGGATATGAGCACAATGGACAAAAAGAACATGTTCTTTTGCATGCCCTTGAAACAATTGACCTCATTGTGCAGCACACGGCAGTTGAACTCGTTGAAGATTTGCATCCAGGCAAACGTGTTGAAGACCAGAGTGCGCAGAACCAGCATGTCGTAGCTGCTTTCGACAGTGTGCAGGTGGAAGATGTCGTCGGCGGCATATAGAGTCAGGAAGCACACAACGACCTGGAAGATGGACTGGCCAATGATGTTCTTCCACATGGTGAAGGTAATCAAGGGCGAGCCCTGTTTCTCGGGGTACCGGTCCAGCAGCTCCTCGCTGGGCGGGTCGGTGGCCAGGGCAAGGGCGGCAAAGGTGTCCATGATCAGATTGATCCACAGCAGCTGGACAGCAGTGAAGACCGACTTTTGCTCCTTGTCGACAATGGACGACACAAAGGCAATGAGCACGGCAGTGACGTTGACGGTGATTTGGAACTGCAGGAACTTTTTGACCGAGTCGTTGACAGCACGGCCCCACATGCAGGCGCGCACAATGGACTTGAAGTTGTCATCCATGACAACGATTGACGAGGCCTCCTTGGCAACCTCTGTTCCGGCAATGCCCATCGAGAAGCCGACATTCGCAGCCTTCAGGGCAGGGCCGTCGTTGGTTCCGTCGCCAGTGACCGAGACCACCTCGCCGTGTGTGCGCAGCCACTCGACCAGCATGCGCTTATCCTCGGGCGACGAGCGCGCCAGAACCTGTAGGCGCGGAACAATGACGTCCATCTGCTCGGGGCTCAGACGGCGGAATTTGGGGCCCTCCAGGACGATTCCGCCCATGCCCGGCGTGTAAATGCCGCATTGCGTGGCGATGGCACGGGCAGTCAGCACGTTGTCGCCGGTAACCATGCGGACGATAATGCCGGCGTTCTGGCAGCGCCTGACGGCATCAGTGACCCCGTCGCGCAATGGGTCCTCAATGGCGAAGATGCCCAGGCAGACCAGACCGGCCGAGTCGCGCAGCTCGCTGTCGTTTTCCATTTGCACCAGCCGGGCCTCGTCAAAGCTCTCAAAGTCGCGGTAGGCCACGCCGATGGTGCGCAGGGCGCGCGACGCGTAGTGGGCAACGGTGCGGCGGAGGTCGCGCAGAGTCTCGTCGTCCAGAGGCAGCGCCGGGATCGCCGGGTTATGGGCAAAGTCCGGCGGGAAGTTCAGGGCATATGCGTCGTCGTTGACGTCGGTGGTGTCCGAGCCGATGTTCTGCGAGCCCGTGTAGTGGGCAGATAGCAGGTACGACGAGTCGCCGGTGGCCAGCGCGGGCATGTTCGGGCTGCTCGAATCGTCGTCTTCGGTAGCGTCGACGCGCAGAAGCGGGACCGGCTCGCCGGCCGGCCCGCGCACCTCAAGATTGTCCTCGTCGCTGTCGTTCTCGAGGTTGATTTGCGGGATGCTGGGCATGGCAACAGAGGCGAAGGCGGGGGCGTCCTCATCATCGCCGCTGTAGTTGCTCATCGAGGGGTTCGAGCTGGCCTGCTGGTTCATGATTTCCTCACGGTCCTGCCTCTGGAAGGCGCCGTCAACATCAACCACCCAGCGGCAGTTCTCCAGCACCATCTCGGGAGCACCCTTGACGTACAGGCGCCAGATGGACTTGCCGTCCTCGCGGACGGCGGATCTTGACAAGCGTGCTCATGGACTTGCGCTCGGAGCTGAACGGCCACACCTGCACGCTGCGCTCAACATCGTCCTTCCCGCAGCTGCGTGTAGCTGGGGGCACCCAGAATCTCTGGACCACGACAGCATGGCGGTCTCGGTCTTTGACCCGGTGAACTTGTCGGCGCTAGAAACCTGCGCATTGGCCTCGCTGCTCTCCTCGTTGCTAGCCAGCGCTCCCTTTTTGCCAGTGCGGCCAAGGATGCGCCGCCACAGGGGGGACTTGGCGTTGCTGGCAGCAACATGGGAGGCTGGGGCGGACGAGGAGTCGTCGGCTGGAATGAAGGCAGTCGAGCAGACGGCGATTGCGTCGTGGCAGAGGCTCATGATCGCATGCGGAGCCTCCTCGGCCAGCTCGGCAGTGGGGATGATCAGGTCCTCGTCGTCACTGAAGTCGCTGAGGTCCGAGATGCCCGAGACACTGGGCGAGGCATCCGACAATGGCGTCATGGCGCTTGATGACGAGAACCCCGACGAGCCCATGCGGCCCAGACGGCGGCGCTGGTGGCGCTGGCGACGGTCGCGCAGGCGGCGCTGGCGGCGGGTCTCGGTTTCAAGCAGTGTGGGAAGCACGGCCTTGTCGGGAGCAACCGCACGGCCAGTCATGTCGGTGACCAGCCCGTCCGAGGGCGGCTGTCTGGCGCGACGGCGCTGCATGGCCGAGGTGCCCGGCGGGTACGAGCTGAACTGGTACTGGTCGCCGATGCAGCCCGAGACGACAGTCATGCGGTTTTGCGTCAATGTGCCGGTTTTGTCGGAGCAGATGGTGGTGGCATTGCCCATGGTCTCGCAGGAGGCAAGCACGCGCACCAGGCAGTTGTCCTTGAGCATGCGGGTGGTCGCCACAGCCAGCGATAGCGTCACGGCCAGCGGCAGGCCCTCGGGCACCGCCACCACGATGATGGTGACGGCAGTAATGACGATGCGCACAACGTTGTCGACGACCTTGGTGGCCTCATGCGACACCTCATGGCGACCGAACTGCACAAAGTACTTGATGATAAGCACGATGAACATCAGCAGACCGGCGGCGCCGCCCAGCTTGGCAATGAGCTCGGCCAGATCGTTGAGCTTGGCCTGCAACGGCGTGGGCTCGTTCTCCTTGCGCAGCGACATCAGCGTGCGGCCGTAGAATGACTTTTCGCCCACCCCCACAATCACGCAGCGCCCGACGCCCTCCAGCACGCGGCTGCCCGAGATCAAAAACGGGTCGGCGTTCTTGCTGGACGCCTTGGGCTTTGGCTTCTCGGGGGCAGGCGCACCGCTGGCGACCGTGGCCTTGTGGGTCAGGTCGTTTTCGCCATCGGTCGACTCGTCGGCATCTACGCCCGACTGGCCCTCGGTCTCGATCTCCATGCTCTCGCCCTTGCTGCGCAGGGCTGCCGACCGCTGGTCGCGGCGCTTGGCGCGCAGCTCCGTCCGCCTTCTCTGGCGCTCCTTGCGCCTATCGGCGTTGGCCTGGTCGGCCTCCTCCAGACAGCGCTTCCTTAGCGCATCGCTCTCGCCCGTGACTGAGCTCTCGTCGCACTTGAGATTGGATGCCGATACGACGACTCCGTCGGCGCACAGAATGTCTCCGGGCTCAATGTGCAGAATGTCGCCGACCATGATGCAGTTGGTCGAGACCAGGCGCTCCTGTGCGCCGCGTGTCACCCGCACCCGCCGGTCGTTCTTTTTGGCGTTGAGGCGGCGGAACTGCTTCTCCTTCTGGAAGTCGTTTATCGACGCCACCAGTGTCACCACCGAAATCGCCACAATAATTGCAAACCCCTCAACCCAGTGCACGTCTTCGCTGTCCTCCGGGTCCGGGTTCGGTCTGACGTCTTGGTAGATGCCGATGCCCAGGGACACGATCGCCGCGACCACCAGAAGAATCAGCATTTTGTCGTGCAGCGCATCCCACACCAGGCCCAGGAACGACCGCGACTTGACCGGCGGCAGAATGTTGACCCCGAATTTCGCCACTCGCTCATAGTACAATTTCATGTCGCTTTCGAATTCGCCCAGCCACGTCAGTGACTCGTCGTCCTGCTCCCGCGCCAGCTCGTTGGCAATTTCCGCCGCCCGCGTTGGCGTCTTTTCCAGTGCGCTGAGTGACTCGCCGGGGCGCAACGGGACGATGCCGGTTTCAGAGTCGACGTTGAGCTGCTGCAGGAGCGCTGCGGTGCCGCCCAGTTTCCGGAACCCCTCCAGGTCCTTGTCCGCTACCAGCTCGGCCAGCCGGTCGGGGCTTAGGCTGCCGTCAACGTCCACTGAGTGCCCGTCGCTTGTGCTGATTTTATCGCTGCTTTGTGACGGAGTTGCAGCGACCGACTCCGTGACTGCTGGTTTTCCATTTGCGCTCATAGCTTGTGTTTATCAGCTATTTGATTGGTAGTTGTCGATCCTTTTAGTGTGCGCTTTGGTTCCTGCTGCATGACTTTTTTTTTCCGTGCTGTTTGCTAGTGCCACAAGGGCCGAGTCACTACTTACATGTATCAAAAGGAAAAAGGGGAGCCGGACTACTAGCAGATGCTAAAGTAAGCGGTTTCCAGCAGTCTGGATAGCTTATAGATAGAAGAACGGGGCGTGTATGTGTAGCGCTTAAAAGTGCAGGGAATCGATTAACAAATGCACGACGCTTGCTGGTACAGTAGACGTATTTGATAACACAGCAAGTATATAAAAAAATAGGAGGGATTAAAAAGGCAAAAAAGGGTAAGAGTTAAATACAAAAACGGGTGCTTGGCAGGACAAAGAGGGCAGTAGTAGTGCTATGGCGATTTAAATAATCTCATCATCCCGGACGCCCAGGAAAAAAAAAGACCGCCTGGCTGCCAGAGGCGGTTGGCCGCCTAGCAAAGCCAACTTGAGGGTACATCCAAAACAACCAGTGAGAAAAACGAGGAGCCAAAATGAGCAGAAGAAAGGAACGATCTAGTCCCGAACCTTCTACCAAAGAAGTTCTCCTCAGAAACAGGTACCATCAAACGCCGCTAATGTTGACACAAGCGAGCCCGCTAATCACATACTGGAGCTCTGGAATGTGATCTTGCCCCAACAGCATAGTTCTCAACTCATGTGGGCAAAAGAGAAAATTAAAAAGAACCTCGCCAGCCAAAGAGAAGCTGGCATACTTGTCACTGTGACTCCCCCCGATGTTCCCAGTCTTCCAGCACAGGCTGCGCATATATTATGAGGGCCGAGAGGCACCATAGGTTACCAGAACGTTTTCCAACATCGCTTTCCACACACCTGAAACAAGGGGCCGATGCACGCAAAAACACGCCAGAGGAACACGCGACGCTCCAGGGAGCCTTCTTTGACAAGCGCGAATGTTCCCACGAACAGAGGATCGTCCCGCAGAGAACCATGAAGGGCGTGCGGTTGAATAGAACATAGCTGGCGTGAGTAGGCGGATGTGTCCTCAGTTGACATGTGTTGCAATTGACGCGATTGTTGGGGTTGGCCAATGCAAGGGTGGCAGTGATCAGATCTCGGAATTTGGATTTTATCACCGAGGGAAAACCAATATCCGTTTCATGCGCTTAGGCTTTTTGCGGGGTATCTAGCTGGTCCCGAGCCCCGATATATGCATTGCTAGCCCGATGATGCAATAGTAGAAGCAGCGCTTATGCTAACACTGATAAGTAGGACGCTGGTGGTGCTGATGTCAGCGCCTGATACCACTACTGCCCACGTTCTAGATGGGTCATATAGCCAAATACTCGTTACACACGAGTGCGAGGAGAGCTGCGGCCACAGCACTATAAAGGGTCTCAGGAGATCGCCCTCTTTGCTCCAGCCCAGCACTCATCTTTTGCTTTCCCACTACCATCCATCTCCGAGAATTCAAACAATGTCTGCTTTTGCCACCAAAGGATTCAACGCCAACCGCTACCTGAGCCTTCGCCCGACGTACAACAGCAATCTATTGGCCTGGCTGAACAACTACCACGCCGGGCCCAAGGCCAGGGCGGCCGATATTGCCTGCGGGCCAGGAATCTTCACCACCGATCTGGCGCGCGAATTCGACAGCGTCATTGGCGTCGATCTGTCCCCGAGCATGATTGCGTCGGCCCAGGAGAGCGCTCACGCGCGCGACATCACCAATGTCGAATACAAGGTCGGCACCGGTGAATCGCTCCCGATCGAGAGCAACTCAGTCGACCTGCTAACGGTCATGGAGGGCGTGCACTGGTTCAAATTCGACACATTCCTGGACGAGGCTCTGCGCGTGCTGAAGCCCGGCGGCACCATGGCCCTGGTCGGGTACAAATACCCAGAGGTGGTTGGCGACACGACGCGCAGTTTCGTCAACAGGCTGGCGTTCGACGAGCAGTATCTGCTAAAGTACTGGGACGACGGATATAAGCTTGTCGAGGGCGGGTACCAGCCTCTGGTTGCGCCTGTCAAGGCCTCTGCATTTGAAAATGTCCGGTATGTTGGATACCCAGAGGTCTGGAAGCAGCGCATCCCGGAGATCGAGGTACTGCCAGAAGCGTGGATTGACCAGCGCCAGTCCACATTGGAGGAGCTCGCCGGCTACTTCAAAACATGGTCGGGGTACAAGGCATGGATGGACGATCCACCCGGGCGAGCCAGATGTTCGTCGACAAGTACTTTGAACAGCACATGGAATCAGCTGAACAAGACCCTGACCGACACCGTCGCCATCGACTACCCGCAGTTTGCGATCGTTGCACGCAAACCGCTTTAGACAAAAAAAAAAGAGGAACCCTAGATATTTTATTGCAATAGTATTACAGACTCAAACTAGACAAATGGCGAAACTACGACACATTGTGTGTCCACATCAGCGCTTGGATAACACCAACGTAGTGGATTAGTGCTGCTAGCACGACAAACGTGTGGAAGATCTGGTGCGAGCTCAGGAACACGTCGTGTTTGCCTGGCCGGTACCGCTCGGGGATCTTGAACGAATACATCAGCGTGCCGGCAACATACAGTGCGCCCATGCCGACCACATACCACAGCGCCATGCCACGCACCGACACGTAGTATCCGTTCAGAATGGTGCCGTGGATGATCGGAATGAGGCCCGATATGGCAATGCCCATGAAAATAACTGGCCGCCATGCCTGCCGCCTCGGGTCCTCGACCTTGCCAACAATCGATGTGATGACCCCGGCCACAGCCAGACCCAGAATCATCACCATGTACCCGATCAGGATGGGCCGCGAGTGGAAGAACCCGTAGTAGAGCAGAGGCACAAATGAGCCAGCGATCAGAATCAGGATCCCAATAAAATCGCACCGCAGTGAGTGGAAGTGGCGCGATTTCGAATGGCACGCAAAGGTATGGAACGCCACTGACGCGCTCAGGCAGAACATGACAGCAAACAGATACACATACACGACTATGTAGTCGATGTATCCTACGCCAGGCGCACCGGCTGGTCGTCTGCGGGCGACTGTTGGCAGAATCAACGGGCCCGTTACCAAAGCCAAGCAAACAAATATGATGGCACCAACCAGGTGCGTATGGATATTGCCAAGCTCGGAATGCAAATATCCCCACGACCTGAGGCATTCTTTTGTCGAAAAGCTCAGCGGGCGATACGAGGACATGATAAAATCCTCGACCATGTATGCTGGAATCTGGAATGCAGTCATGAGCTGCCTGCCTGCAGTCTTCCCCTCCGCGCCCTCGCTCTGCACGACCAGCTCGGCACTTGTTCATAGACTCCGGCCACATTCTGGTCTTTTCCTTCCGACCCCGCCTTGTAGTTTTCCATATCGGTGATCGTCGACGATCGAGAATGTCTCGTGCAGTGGCCGCGGAGTCTGCCATCTGGTGCTTCTCGTCTGCAACATGCCGTAGACCGGTTGCCGCAGCCACCTCTTCGATCTCGTCGTCCGCAGCGCTGCCGCCCCACCGCCACGGCGCCATTGTGCTGATGCCCCCTAGGCTTATGCGAGGAATGTAGTTTCCAATGCTGCTAATTGCCAGTCGTCCAGACAGCCCGCCGAGTCCGGCCGGAACCATCCACGAGCGCGCCCGCCGCAGAGCCTCGCCGTGCCATGTGCTATGGTCGGCATGCGTGCTTGCCCAGTCCGCCAATATCTGATGCCAGAAATGAGTCTGAGCGCGCAAAACTCCCCGATATTGTGTTTCGCCGCCCACGCTGCAATGTAGATGCGTAATTAAAGTCCATGGGGTCCACTATGGTAAAGAAAGAGCTGTAACCGAATGCCGCGCTGCCTGCTTTTTGCCCAGACAGGAAGGTGCACAGTACCAAGAAAATAAAAGTAACAGGAATACGGAGTAAGAAAAAGGAGGATTTCGCTGCAAAAGAAGGGAAGAAGGAAGACGTGAAGCAGCGTGTGGAGCTAGACACTCCAGCTGTCAATGCTCGCAAAGCTGTTACAGTGGGAAGGCTAGGGAGCCAGAAGGCGTCTTTGATTGCACAAAAGACAAGCCTGAATCTCACAGACCACTCATAAACCGCTTTCTACTGTTGCCTTCAGAAAGCAGACCATACAAGTCTCCAGAACCAAGAGCGTTTGTTTCCTGTGTTCAAAATCCACCAGCTCTCTTGGATGCACTAGCAAAGATACGCTTGTAATGAATGAATATGCAATCACGATCTAGCGAAGAAAAGAGAATGAAGGACAGCCCCGTGGCTAGAGAAAGGCTAAAAAGGACAAAGAATGGCAAGCTCGAACAAAAAGACAAGGTGAGCAGTAAGGCTTTTAAAAAAAAGTAATTAGCAGGCAGCAGCATGTTTGTTCACCATTTTCTATTCGCCTTGTTCTACAGAGAATTGCATGGCAAACCGCACACCTTGTCAATGAGGCGATTGCAGCAGGCGGCTCATAGGCCAGCGCTGCTGCCGTTTAAGGCAATTGCATCGGACCGGATGATCCGCCTCTTGGCGTTTTACCCGCCGCGATTGACAGCGACGATTCTCAAGAGGCGTCTTGTATGCAGCTGGGCGATGAAAAGCACACCACATTTCCACACATAGCTAGCGTACCCCTCTGCCGTCATACGATTGCCGTCCTCCTGTTACTCAGCAGGCAGGTGAGGGGCTTCTAGCAGTTCTTTTGACGCGCCGTTGGTCCTCTGTATCCTATTGCAGGGGCAAATTCTGACTCGGGCCATGGCAAATTTATTTGATCAACCTATCTAGGCACTAAGGCAGCTACCCGACCCCGCCTGTGTGCGTCCATCTGAGAACCTTCAACGATACCCACATAGTGGATGGTGGCAGCGATGACCGACATCACATGGAATATCTGATGTGAGCCGAACCAAAAATCAAACTTGCCCGGGAACCACCGCTCCGGCACCCGGGACGCGTAGATTGCAGTGCCACCAATGTAAAAGAATGCCATCCAGAACATGCAGGGGATATTGACCGCGTTCCACATGTACTCGGCGCCAAACATCCACCAGGTGTGGAACACAGGCACCAGCTTTTCGAACCCAAGCAGGATAAACGCCACTGAGCGCCATGCACGGAACTCCTTGGCGCTGAACTTGGGCGTAACAACCAAGCATCACACACATCACACACAGACAGACCAGTAGCGTCAGGTGCATTGTCCGGATCTGCGGCTCGCAGTAAAACATGTAGAATATTTTTACCGATATTGACCCGACAAAGTTTGACAAAATCCCGAGCATATCGCACTTGTTATAGATGCGGACTGGTGTGCTCTGAATGGCACTGGAATGTGTGAAATATTGTGGATACAGCAAAGCATGTGGTCGCTGTCAGCAGATATCCGTAGACTGCTATACGCTCGCCTTTGCCGATTGTGTCAAACTCGGAAAATACCGTCTGCGGTGCAGAGTAGATAAAATACACAAACAGCAGTGCTCCGAGCATGTGGGTGAAGATGTTGCCGGTCTCGTTGTGGACATGGCACAGGGACTCGACACATTTGGCGTGCGAGCCTGTGGGTTTGCGGTATCCGGTGCGGATGTACTCATTATCGCGCAACCACGCTGGTAGGTCGTCCCACCCTATTGTCTTCGGACTCTGTCGGGACCTGGGCCCTGCAGGCCGTGGAGCCAGCTTGGTCTTGTCGGTCCCAGCAAAGCTGTAGTGCAATGCCTTTTGCAACATGGAAAAGGAAACACAGTAGGCCAGAAATGCTAAGAGTGTAAAGAATGATGGGAGGGATGTAAGGAGTTGAAAATGCTTGGGAACATACCAGGAAGGGCTGGGCGGATTTAACAAGATATATATAAAGGAAAGACACGCCTCAAAACTGCGAAAACAACCACGGAATAGCCACCACGGATGAGCGCATTTGTTGTTGGGCAGCTAGTACCTATACAAGGCGCAATTTATGAGCTGGCATTTGTTTTGAAGAATACCATCTAGGTGTTCAGGACACACACCAGCTCCTCGCAACCTGAAGGTGGTCCTTCTTGACCCTGGGTTTTAGCGCTTTCGGATTACAGCACTATCTCGAGTCCACCCAGGTGTGCCTGCAAGGTGGGAATATTCCTTCACTCCATTTCTGTTTTTCGCTCATGAATTCCTTTAGACGTGCTACTAACCTGCGATAGCTAGAAAAGCTGCCTTTTTATTAGGGAGGGTGGCTATGCTAAGCGTGAAGCGAGATTATATGTGCAGATATTGGCATCCGAAATGGCAGATAAATAGGGTGCTCTCAAGCAATGGTACTACAAATAGGATTGGCAGGTGCCGACAACTCTGCGCATACAGGCTGGAATCTTGCAACCAGGGGCAACTAGCCATGCCTATCATAGTTGAAATTACGTCTTTGCCGTTATAGCTACTGCTGGATACTGAGGTGCTGGGTTGGAAATTTATGCATTCCATTAGTAACACCAATTACAACTGCAAACCCCAAGTATATTGCGCATACTTCAACAATGACGGTTGCAGCGGCATAACAATGTGCTACCGTGAGATCTGCATTGTTTTTCTGTTTGAGGCAGTGCCACCGCCTTCAATCGAATACACAGTTTTGCATGCGCCTCGCGCACATCGGTCAGACTCTAGCGAACTTGCACTCGTTGCTGCATCTGTGCTAGGACTAATCTAGTATGATCCCAGCGATCGGTAATTAGCCCTGGAACAACGTTTTCCCCCATCTCAGTAGCCATGTCACCATCCTTGCTACAGTCTTGGCTTATGACTCGCTTTTGCGGCAGATTGTATACCCATCCTGCGGCAGGCTTGCATACTGCTTGGATAAGCACAGGTGTGCTAGAATTCGTATAAAAGGCGGCGAGCCATGGCCATCCTTGTTTGCTATCAACATCAAGCTCAGACATTTTAGTTTTCACTTACCAATGGCGACATACAGCAGCAAGACATTCAATTCGTCAAACTACGATAGCAATCGCCCCCGCTACCGCGATTCGCTAGCTGACACGATCATCGAGTACCACAGGGCGCAAGGCCCAAATAACCACACTGGCCTCGCCGTCGATGTCGCCACTGGAACTGGCATCTTCGCACGCCAGCTCCAGGGCAAATTTTCGCGTGTAGTTGGGTCGGACATCTCCGCTACCATGCTGCAAAGCGCTCGTGAGGCGAATTCCAACCAAATCCCGATTGAATTTGTCGAGTCCCCGGCTGAGGCACTGCCGTTCCTCAACTCCGGAACTGTTGATGTCATGACTGTTGCCACAGGCGCACACTGGTTCGATATGGAGAGGTTTGTCGCCGAGGCGGAGCGGGTGCTGAGGCCAAATGGGACCCTGGCAATATTTGGATACACGGGATTCGGCCACTTTGTTGACTACCCGCAGTGTGATGCGATATTCAGGGACTTTGGCATTGGACCAACCAAGCTTGGCCCGTTCTGGGACCGCGGTCGCGAAAGACTGGTTGATAACTACCGCGAGTACGTTCCGATTCTGAGTAAGAACAAGTGGCAGGATGTACAACGCATAGTATACCCAGGCACCAGCATGGAAGGGGATAGCCAGCGGTTCACTGTCGGTACCAAGCCAGTCGTCATGCACTTTGAGGTTACTTGGCGCACGCTCGAGGATTTCTTGTCCACATGGTCTGGACCAGTGAACTATCACAAAAAGTACCCATCGCGGCCCAATATTACTGAGCAAGTCATGCGCGAGCTGATGGACGCTGCCGGAGTATCCGACAGGGACGCCAAGGTCAATATCCAGTGGGAGGAGGTGCTCCTCGTTGGGCGTCGCCCCTCGGTGTAGCTCCAACACCGAGCTCAGCAATGGCCTATTGAGTAAAAGCACAGGATTATGTCGTTATTCTTTAAACAGGAAAATTGCGAAGCAGATCTTTGGAGATCCCCGTAGCCATGCGATTCAAGCTCGGAAAGTCCTTTCTATCGCTCGTGAGAACGCCCGTCTCTGCAGCTATCTGATGATTTCCTCTGGCAGGTCATTCACGCCAATCCGCAGACCGCAAGTGCTGGATCAGGGGAGGAGCAGGGCTATGGCATGCGCACATGCATTCCGTTGCTGCAGAGGGACAGGGCACTGCTCGAGTCGGAAATATCTTGGCAAAAGAGGCCTGTGCTCGCTTTCGCTTATAAAGCCACCCGTGCCCGCTTGCTTTCAGCTGTTCGTCACTCCACTTTTCTTACTACTACTCTACGTTTCCTACCATGGCCTCATCATACAGAAATCTGCACACGCCAACTCGCGAGGAGCTTAACGACGCGTCCCCTGAGCAGCTCCGCGCGTACTATGCGACTAACGCCTCCATCAACCCTAATCTCTCTGTCGCGTCCATTCCGCCCACTGTCAATGGAGTGCGCGAGCGTACAGCTGCGAAGGTTGGTCGGATGGCTGGCATGGCCATTGCTGACTATCAAGGCATGCTCCACGGGTTCCTTGTTGGTCTGGTCAATGCGAAGCGCATCCTGGAGATCGGTACCTTCACCGGTACTTCGGCCATCTACTTTGCTACTGCACTGAAGCGTAACGGGGTCAAAGGTGGTGTCGACGAGACTGGCCACAAGCCTGTGGTGTGCCTGGATATCAGTGAGGAATTTGCCGAGATTGCCCGCAGCAACTTTAGAGAGGCTGGACTAGAGGACTACATTGAAGTCATCGTTGGCGATGCCCGTGAGAACCTGGCCAAGCTGAGCAACATCACTTTTGATGTCGCGTTCCTTGATGCGGACAAGGTGTCGTACAAGTACTACTACGACACAATCATTGACAAGGGACTGCTGAACAAGTCAGGGCTGTTCATTGTTGACAACACCGCGTTCTCCAGCGTCACTACATACCTTGATGTCCCTGTGCCTGTCGCTGCAGATGCCAAGCCGCTGGATGTCAAGTTCGACATTGACTTCAACCACAGAGAGACTACTGTCGCTCTCCACGAGTTCAACGAGTATGTTCGCCACGACCCACGGACCGAAGCAGTTATGCTGCCGCTGTATACGGGTGTCACCCTCCTGCGCTTCATTAACTAGGACGCCATAGTAGTTTGTGCGGGTTCGAAATAAAACAGCTTGTAAAAGAATGATGCCATGACAGTGGAAAAAGGGCAGGACGTTTAACATTCCACCGATTGTGGAAAATGGCTGGTCCATGTTGAGAGGGACGGTGGCAAAAGCCTGCAATAACTTGAACAATGAAGGCGTGGGAAGCCAGCTCGAGCAAGGGGCAGCACATGCATATAGTGCTTTGCGAACAATCGACATGTCCGCCTTTCAGCTTGTGCAAGGGGAATTCCCATTGCCAACGGTGCTACACAATCTCTGTCCAAGTGCACCGGCTGGAAATGCCTGTCTATTTCTCCTATGCGCTGCATGTTGCAATGTTGGCTGGCTACAGACAGCTAGACCATCAGAATCCCTTTGCATGACTTACGAAAGAATGGTTGGAGATGTGCACCAAGTATCACTTTTGTTATGTCAAGACACAGGCCCATGTACAATCCCTATTGCTGGATATATCCAAGCGGGCATGGTGTAGTGTTTGCTACATACAATAGGTGTCGGAGTATTGTGCGCTGTGCGGACATATTCTCACAAAATATTCCAAGGGGCGTTGCCTCACACGAACGGGTCTGTATACCTACCATTATTCTGAGTATAAATATGGACATGAGTGTCCAAAAATCCCTATCGCTGTCCCTATCCACAGCATTGCTTCAATCCAAGATTCCTTCAGCACAAATGGCCTTGTACCTTCCTGATCCCCCACCCGCAGCGAGCTCGAGTCTTTCTCTCCGGAAGAGCTCCGTAACTACTACGCCCTCAAGGTGTCCAACAACGACACGCTCACTGGCAGGTCGATTCCTCCTTCTGTAGATGCTGTTCACAGGCGTACCATCGAAAAGTACGGGCGAATGATGGCCTATATGTCGGTTGAGGATTACCAGGGTATCCTTCAGGGATTTCTGGTGGGTCTTGTCGGCGCCAAGCGTATTCTCGAAATCGGCACCTTCACCGGCACATCGGCTATTTTCTTTGCCCATGCACTGAAGCGGAACGGCGTCAAGGGTGGTGCCGACGAAACTGGCCACAAGCCCATCATCACCCTCGATATCAGCGAAGAGTTTGCTGAAACCTCCCGTCAGAACTTTATCGAGGCTGGTGTCGAGGACTACATCGAGGTGCTTGTCGGCGATGCAAATGAGATCATCAAGTCGCTGACGGATATCACATTTGACATTGCTTTTGTTGACGCCGACAAGATTTCGTACCGCAACTACTACGAGACCATAGTCAACAATGACATGCTCAACAAGAATGGCCTCTTCATCTTTGACAACACTGCGTTTGTGAAAGTCATCAGGTATATCAACGAGCCAGCTCCGGTGGCTGCAGACTCCAAGCCATTGAACATACCGTTCAACGAGCCCATGATCAGTGATACTGACGCGATTGCCCTGCACGAGTTCAATGAGCACATCCGCAAGGACCCTCGTGTGGAGGCGGTTATGTTGCCGCTATATACCGGTATCACGCTTATGCGCTTTGTCAACTAAAGTTTATGCCGTTGAATACATTCTTGAGGACTATTTGGAAGGATGGTTCTTGACATCCACATGGCTGATATGGAATACGATGCTGCACGCACGGTGGAGAATCGCACACCAATGGCAATGTATGGATGTGGCGTCCTCTGGCCAAGCCACGGCCATTGTCTGGGTAATGTATAGTGCACAGGTTCTTTTATAGTACCAGTATACGACTACACTATACGTCACTGTGCTTGTAAGGAGCATACCTTAGCAGATGAAAAGTCAAATGGTTGTAAGGGCGTATCCGCTTTGACAGTACCAAAATCAAGTACACAGGCCCCCTCCCCAAGACATTTGATGGCAGTCATGTCTGTTGGCATCTCCGAGGTGAAAAGAGCAAAAATTAGTGGCGTACAACACAATGTAAAAGCTTTGCCCTGGAACGCTGTGCCTTGTACACTCTCATGGACTATGTCCAGAAACCATTGTTGGGAAAGAAGACACGCCACTGGAGCAATATTTCGCACAAGTGGTGGAATTTTCCCACTGCTTGCTTGAATAAAAAGCCGACAAGAAGACAGCCAGGTCTGTATGTCTACATTCTCTGCCTTCCATTATTATCCACTAAAGTAGCGGTACAGCCATGGTATTCACTCTCTCAGACTCTCCGACCCACGACGAGCTGAACACGTACTCGATCGAAAAACTTCGTGCCTACTATGCACTAAAGGCTTCCACCAATGATACTCTTCCCGTCGAGCCTATTCCTCCTAATATCGACGCGGTACGTAGACGCGCTGTCGATAATCTTGGTGAAAATGTTGCCGTAATGGCGATTGAGGATTACCAAGGTATCCTTCAGGGATTTCTAGTGGGTCTGGTCGGCGCCAAGCGCATTCTGGAAATCGGCACGTTCATTGGAACGTCGGCTATCTTCTACGCTAATGCACTGAAGCGGAACGGCGTCAAGGGTGGTGTCGACGAAACCGGCCACAAGCCGATTATTTCATTGGACATCAGCGAGGAGTTTGCGGAAATTCGCACGCAAGAACTTTATGGAGGCTGGTGTCGAGGACTATATCGAAGTTATTGTCGGCGATGCTGATGATATCCTAAAGTCACTGTCTGGCTCCACATTCGACCTCATTTTCGTCGATGCCGATAAGCCCTCGTACCGTAAATACTACGACACACTCCTCGGCAATAACATGCTCAACAAGAGCGGGCTCTACATCTTCGACAACACGGCATTTGATAGGGTGATTCGGTTCGTTGAAGCGCCGGTCCCGGTGCCCAGAGATGCCAAGCCGCTGGACGTACCAACCGACGAAAGATTAATCAGCACAAAAACTGCGATCATGCTGCATGAGTTCAATGAGTACATTCGCAAGGACCCACGCGTCGAGGTCGTTATGCTGCCACTGTATACCGGAATTACTCTTGTGCGCCTTTTGCATTAAGTCGCTCTATATTTGAGAGTGGGTGTCTTTCTCAGCCATTCTATTAGTGAATAAATCACATTGCCTCAACTATATTCGTTGTTCGGCTATTGCTGACTATCAAGGCATGCTCCACAGGTTCCTTGTCGGTCTGGTTGATGCGAAGCGCATTCTGGAGATCGGCGATGCCCGCGAGAACGTGGTCAAGCTGAGCAACATCACTGTTGATGTAGCGTTCCTTGATGTGGACAAGATGTCGTACAAATACCACCACGATGCGATCCTGGAGAGGAGCATGTTGAATAAGTCTGGCTTGTTTATTGCTGATGATACAGCATTCACTAGTGTCACCACATAGGCATTCCAGCACCAGTTTCTGAGTATGCCAGGCCGGTTGGTGTCAAGTTTAACATCTGTATGCATAGTCTGGAGAACAGTTTTCGCACTACATGGGCTCAGCGAGTATGCTCACAAAGACCCGCGGACTAAACCGGTTATGCTGCCACAATTCACCGGTATCGCATTTATCCGGCAGATTGCCTAGGTGGCTCCCATATGCTAGGACTGCCGTTGCAAATGTTTACAGACGAGCGCCTGCTAGCCAATCTGTCGTACAAGATTCTTTATATCCTTTTCTGTAGCAATCTCCTTGTCAAACATGCCGTCGAAACCACTTGTCAAGATATGCGGTGTGCGGACAGTCGAGGCAGCAGTGACGGCGGCGGAGGCAGGGGCGGATATTATCGGCATGATTTTTGCCCCTTCCCCGCGTCTTATTGATGTCTCGACTGGACAAGCCATTGCACGGGCAGTCAAGCAAGCATCTGGCGATTCAGCTGACATCGTCCACGTCAAGCACATCCACGATGGCATCTGCGAGAACGCGACAGCGGCCGAGTTTTTCACCACGAGCGGGGCCAAGATCCTAAAGTCCCGCAAGGGGCCGCTGTTGGCGGGTGTGTTCCAGAACCAGCCCTTGGAGCATATCCTTGCGGTGGTCGAGCAGGTGCCTCTGGACTTGGTGCAGCTGCACGGCACCGAGCCGATCGATCTGGCCAGGGAGATCCCAGTGCCAGTGATCAAGGTGTTCCATGTCGACGATACATTCTCGGTGGAGGATTCCGATTTGTTCAAGACGTTCCGGCACTCGGTTGTGCTGCTAGACACTAAGGTTGCGGGCACCACTCAGCAGGGCGGGCGGGGAGTGAGCTTTGACTGGACAATCGCACGCCGGCTGGCGGACAGCGGGCTGCCGTTCATAATGGCTGGCGGTCTAACACCAGACAATGTGAGGGAGGCGGTGGATGTGGGCAGACCATGGGGAGTTGATGTGTCGAGTGGCACTGAGACGAACAAGGCCAAAGACCCAGCCAAAATTACAGCGTTTGTCGCCAATGCCAAACAATGAGCTACGGGGGTATATTAGAATTAGTGAGTAAGGAAAGGATTTATAGAGTGTGTATAGTACACATGGGTGTGGATTGGGGGTGTCTAGCTGAAGGCCTGGGCGCTGTGGTGCCACTTGAAGGCCTGCACGATACCGTAAAAGTGCGTCAGGGCTGCAAAGAACACCAGCATGTGGAAGAGCTGGTGCGAGTTCCCAATGATGTCGAACTTCCCCGGGAACCAGCGCTCAGGGATGTTGAAGGCGTACAGCAGCGTGCCTGCAACGTACAGGGCGAACATGCCCATGGTGTAGTAAAAGCCCATCGACTTTGCTGACATGGCCACGCCGTGGGCAATGACATGGTGGGTGACGGGGAAGGCGCCCGACAGCGAGATGGAGAAGAACACGACAGGACGCAGCCAGCGCAGGCTGGGCTTCTGCAGATGCGGCGAGACGCTGATCACGATGCCGACAAGGAACAGCGTGAAGCTCATGGCCATGTATGTCCACATCATGCCGCGGGACTCGTAGTAGCCGTAGTAGAGGCCGGGCAGGAGCGAGCCGAGGATCAGGAACAGGATCCCGACAAAGTCGCACTTGAGCCAGGCAACGTGGTGCGAGTGTGAGTGGCACGAAAACAGGTGGAACATGGACGACAGCAGGAAGCACACGCAGGCGCTCAGCAGGTAGCCGTAGAAGACTACGTAGTCGCCCCACGACGACCGGCCCGGCGACAGTCCCTGCGGCAGCAGGTTGTAGTTTGTGCTGATGATCAGGCCGATGAAGAACACCAGCGCGAAAAAGTGCGTCAGGACATTGCCGGTCTCGTTGTGCAGGTACGTGAGCGAGTGGAAGCACATGCGGTACGAGTATGTGAGATGCCGATACCCGGACAGAATGTAGGTGTCGCGCAGAAAGGCCGGCGTCTCGTCGATGGTGGTTGTGTACTTGGGGTGGGCGGGGCCCATAAACGGCTTGTACTGGACCGCGGGCATCTCGTACTCGGTGACCTGGGTGTCGTCGTCGCTGCCAACAGCACTAGCAGCGAGCTTTTGTGCCGAGGCACGGCGGTGGCGGAGATGCGGTGCTTGCTGTGTGGCGGGGCCACGCACATTTCCCGGTGGGCGACTCGGAAGTCGACTTTCCCGATGCTGCAGCCATACTTTTTTGTGGAATAGTGCACTAGAAATTGTTGATGTGGGCGACCCAAGGAGCTCCTTCAAGAAATACTCATGGACCGAGAAGGTGGGCGGGTGTGGAAGTATATAAATAGAACCGTGTAGCTTTAGAGTTGGTGTAGAGTTGCTAATCTCGGACCGGCCCTGCGTCTGCTTCTTGGTTACGATAGAAATATACACGAGAGAAAAAGGTTGTAGAGTACAGATGGAGAAAGAGATAAAAATTTTGGGCAGAAGAGGGAAGACGAGCGCTCAGCCGCCACCTTGTCGACCTTTTGATTTCGCAAATTTCACAAGCCATCGCACATAGAGCAGCAGCAGGCAAAGAAAACGGGATGAGAAAGAATTTCCACATTTTCCGCTTCGTTTGGGGGTACGAGGGCAGATCTGCAGCACGGCCAACTTCTGTGATCCAACCGCCTTATTTTCGCTTTTGCCAGTGGTCGCTGGAATCGTGTTTGAACCACCGATCGAGGGTAAACAGCTTTGCGAAGGTATACGGACACAGACGAACAGTCACAGAATGCAATTGTTGACAACAACAGACGAAGCGGTACAGGATTGAATGCCCGTATGACCTGGACCTGCAGCGTAGGCGGCTGCCGGCCGAAATATGCAGCGTCGTCTGGAAAAAAACAAAACCGTACCCACTGGCTCGGGACTCGCAGCGAGCAGCCTGGCGTGATCAGAATCCCAAAAAAGGTGGAAACGGAATTTTGGAGGATACTCAGCTAAAAGCTGTGCTTGCCATCTCCGCAACAGAAACGAACCGGTGGCAGTCCGGCTCGTCGGAACCATGGCTCGAGCCGATATCGACTGGCTCTCTTCGATAAGCGCCCAATTTTTTATTTTTGCATTGCTTGCAAAATTCGGAATTTGCTCCTTTCGCCTTTTGCTTACCTGCACTTTCTCACAGAGCATTCCTTCTAAACCTCACAAAATGGTCGGCGTCCACGATATCTGCGCACGCGTACAGAACGGATTCCGCGCCCGGCTTGGCCGCATAGCTATCCCCGAGACAAAACTGAACCTAGCTGTGTCTCGAGTTCTCTACAGCCAGGGTTTTGTCGGATCGGTGACGCGTGGCACGCACCTGGGCCCCGACGCCGAATACACACCGACGACAAACCTGAACGTGGCTGAGCGGCGCCTGTGGCTGTCGCTAAAGTACTACCAGGATCACCCGGTCCTGCGCAACATGAACTGCATTTCGAAGCCATCGCGGCGGATCAGCTGCAACGCGTTCCAGCTGAGGACACTGGCGGCCGGGCAGTCGTGGAGCATCGTCAAGGGCGTGATCCCCGGTGAGATCATGATCGTGTCGACGGCGCGCGGGATCATGGAGGTCCAGGAGGCGGTCAAGCTGGGGCTGGGAGGCACGCTTTTGGCTCGTGCAAAGTAGCTGCGTCACTGCGTTTGCAATAAATAACGAAGTATGCGCTTTCATGTGCCAGTATCAGCCTATATGAGGCCAAATGTTGAGGACGACGCTGGCAGCTGTGGCCATCATTGGACCGACGCCCTTGTGAAAACGAAACCTCCAGCGCATAGAGCCAACGGATTTTTCAACCTATTGATCATGCAACTGAAAAATGTTGCGGATTTATAGCCACCACGACCGCCTCACTTCTAGAATGGTATACTTGCTAACTCTCCTCTGCAGTTTCGATTTCCCCTCATTTTTGCCCGCTATGGTTCTCTCCAGACGCGCGTCGCCAGCAGACCCCATTGCTTTGCAGACAGAGCGGCTACTGGATGACAGCAACGCCAATGCCAAGGCACACCAGCCCAAGCGCATTCTTGTCTGGGACGAGCTGCCAGCGTGGATGCGCGACAACCACTATATCCGGACCGGGTACCGCGCGCCGACGAATTCCTTCCAAAAGTGCTTCCAGTCGGTCTTTTACCTGCACAACGAGACCGGCAACATCACGACGCACCTGCTGGGCGCGCTCGGGTTCCTGGGGCTCTGCTACACGGTGACGCAGAACGTGTTTCCGCAGTTCGAGACCGTGGACTGGCAGGACATTGTCACAATGTACGTGTTTCTACTGGGGAGCTGTTGGGTGCATGGGTCTGTCGGCCACATTCCATACAGTGTCGTGCCATTCGCATGGCGTGCAGAGAATGTACAACAAGTGCGATTACGTCGGCATCGTGTTCCTCATCGTCGGCTCGTGCGTGCCCATGTTCTGCTACACATTCTACTGCAACCCGTACCTAAAGCTCTTCTACCTGGGCCTGATCTCCACGCTAGGCGCCATCACCATCGCCATGGTAGTCACGCCCAAATTCGGCACGTCCGAGTACCGGCCTCTGCGGGCGGTGACGTTTGTGCTGCTGGGCCTATCGGGGGTGCTGCCGGCCATGCACGCGCTCATCAAGTTTGGCTGGGAGTATGTGCTCAACGCGGTGCAGGTCCCGTACATGCTGGCGATGGGCGGGTTCTACATTGTCGGGGCGACGCTGTACGGCACGCGTATCCCCGAGCGGTGGTTCCCTGGAAAGTGCGACTATTGGCTGCACTCGCACCAGATATTCCACGTGTTCGTCGTCATAGCTGCGGTCTTCCACTACGTCGGGGTTGTCAGGGCGCTTAGGTGGACGCATACCGAGGGACGTGGCCTGTGCGAAATCGCCCCATGAAGGAAATCAGCGGTGCGTGATGCTAGGGATCTAGCATTTCATTAGCGCTGCCCCTATTCCCTTCCTGGGCAGTTCCTAAAAATGCGGGTTCATTTTCTCACCTCTCTTGTTCTTGCATACTCTGCGCCTTTTATATTTAAATACCTTTAAACGAATTTCCCGCCATGGCTATGCCCTTTGTGCCTCCCCTGAATTACACTCGGGTGAAGGATAATCGGCCACACCGGTTCGCATACGATTTCGGGTCGGTAGACCCAGGAATGTTTGCCCCTGCGCCCGACCACAACCGGCCCAAGCGGGCTCCACGCCGCACAGTCTCATATACAATACCGCTGCCAGACGACCCGACAACTTCTGTGCAATCAGATGACCTGTACGGGCATGTGCTCGGTGTCAATGCTCTGGCCCTGTCATTTGCAAACCCCAGCCAGCGGGAAACTGGCGGCGTGCTGTTCTCTGGCGGCCGCGACGGCGTGGTGAAAGCATGGTCACTGGACTTCCCCCTGCGCGAAACGCCTGCTGCCAATGGCCTGTCATCATGGTCAATAGACAGGCACAGGTTGAAGCACGCTGCAAAACCAAGGTCGTCGCTAAAGACATCCCGAATCCTGCACTCGGACTGGATTAACGATTTGGTCGTGGCCAACAACGGGAACACCATCGTCACAGCCTCGTCAGACCAGACCGTGCGTGCGTGGTCGCCATACGACGACAACGCCCGGCCGCAGACGATTGGTTCCCATCTGGATTACGTAAAGGCGCTGGCGTATGCGCCGCAGCGCCAGATGGTCATTAGCGGCGGTCTTGATCGCAAGATCAAGCTCTGGGACCTGTCGATGGCTGGCAGCGGTCCCGTGTACCCTGTCAGCGAATTTGGCGATGCCTCTGAATCCTCAAGTGTCTATACTCTGGCGTGCAATGCCGCCGGCTCCCTGGTCGTGTCGGGGTCTCCAGAGAAGCCGGTTCGCGTGTGGGATACGCGCATGGGCAAGCAGGTGACGATGCTGTCGGGCCACACCGACCACATCCGTGCCGTCATGCTCTCTGCAGACTCGGAACTCGTGCTTTCGGGATCATCGGACACCACAGTGAAGCTATGGAGTATGCGCATGCGTCGGTGCCTGTCGACGTTCTCGCAGCACAACGACTCGGTATGGTCGCTTTATTCGAGCCATCCGCGTTTCCAGACATTCTACTCTGCGAGCCGCGATGGTCTGGTTGCCAAAACTGTCGGTGCCGGGCTTTTCGACGACCAACAGCACCACCAGAGTTTATCAGCAGCGCCACAGTCGCGTGGCGGCTCGCTTGACGACGCCACGTCGCTAGCTGGGTATGCAAACTCGGGCGTCGTCTGTGTGGCCGTAGCGAAGGAGCCGCAAGGTGTGGTGAAGCTGGTTGCTGCCGATGACTCGTTCATTTGGACAGCCACAAAGGGCACAAGGCTCAACCGCTGGCGCGACGTCACCGTGCGTGGGTCACGGGGCATTACGCCTGGCGATCCGCCAGCCCGTGGCGCCCTTGCGCCAATCGCGCGTGCGAACGGCGAGTCGGGCTCCGAGTCCGATGAGGCGAGCGAGCTGACCAGACGGTCGGTCATCGGCACCTGGCAGGCGTTCAGTCCGCCCAGGATGGGCGACAGCCCGCTAGCACTGCATCCCAACCACCATGGGCGGCACCGGCGCACACATACAGCAGACCCAGTGGAATTCACGGCCGCTGAGCAGGGCAATGCAGAGTCTCGAGGCCAAGCAGCCGTGTCGCCAGTACTCAAGGCTATCCATGCAGAATGGGTCAAGCGCGGTGTGCTAAAGGAGTCTGACGGCGAGGACCAGTACTACGACGCGAATTCTCATGGCAGCGAGTCGTCAGGCAGCCTGGGGGCTGCGCGTGGTTCCCACAGCCGCTCGCAGTCCATGGGCACCATGCAGCATCCAACATCAATCACTTCAGTTCTAGCCTCGCACTCGGCCACACCCATGGCCATCCCGGGCCGCTCCAAGGCCGAAAGTCGGCGCAAGGACACCGCCAGGCAGAACGAGTACGAGATGCTGTCAGTGCCCGAGTCGCCGTTGCCAGACTCGTCGTTTATGAAAGCTGAGGTGCATAAGGCTGTCGGCTCTCCCAGACAACTGCCGCAGGTGGCAGTGACCGATGATGGGGAAGAAGAGGCCGAAGCTGTGCCAGTGCGGGGAAAACCCGACGAAACCATCTATGGCAAGCACGGCTTGCACCGGCACAAGATTCTAGACAACAAGCGCCAGGTTTTGGCGCAGGACACGCGTGGCCGTGTATCGCTCTGGGACTTGCTTCTGTGCTGTCGTATCTACGAGTTCCCCGAGACCGAGGAGCAGGCCAAGGCGAGCCACATGTTCCCTGGTATCTGTGGTCGCGACTTTGAGTCAATTCAGATGGCCATCTCGACCGAGCCCGAGTCAGTTAATACCTGGTGCCATGTCGACACCAAAATTGGTGCTCTGACTGTGCGCCTTGACGAGAGCCGCGTATGGAACGCCGAAGTTCACGTAGACGAGGTAGATGGTGTTACCGACGACACACTCCGGGCTATGGGGGACCATGAGCGCGTCAATATCGGAAATTGGATGCTGAAGCGCTTGTTCTTGCCATACGTCCGCAGCCGTAGCAAGCGCGGTCCGTTGTCACGCCATGATGCCACGCTGCTCAACAGATGGGTCACCCAGGTGCCAACCGGCGCTGTGGTGTCAGCTGTGCAGAATGAGCCACCCAGAAGCGCACCTCCTGAGCCAGTTAGCTTGCAGGCAGCAAAGGCGCCGGGGTCGATGAGCCCGCAGCTGTCTCAGATGGCAACCCTGGCGTCGGTGGATGAGGAGCTGGAGCACCAGCAGATGCTGAAGAGCCGGCCAAAAGCGTCAATTGCGTCACAGTTGCTAGCAACCACCAAACAGATTGGTATCCAGAGCGCCCAAAACGACAGTTTGCTGGTTGTGCCAAACAAAGTGCCATTGGCGGGGCAGGCAAGCCGGCAGTCTGTTTCCTATGAGGCTGATGGTGATGACGAAGACGACTGCACAGCGACATTGGCTAATGGTGGATCGGCAAAAAGCGATGGGGCATGGAGCGCTGGCCAGCTGCCGAACGGACCAGCGGCAGGCAGAGCCAGGACCACGCCAAAGCTGTTCTCCCAGTCAACGTATTTGGGATCACCCGGCCACCAGCATACACCGTCCATCGATACTGCTGCTGCTCCTAATACTACAGGTTCTGCGACCCCAACAGCACCAGCTCAAGCCCAACAGCAACAACAGCAACAGCAAGCGAAGGCAGACGACTCCGAGTCCAATGCGAGCAACGGGTCTTCTGGCAAGTTTATGGAGCGACTCCGGTCGATGCGAGTGCGGCGGCAAAAGAGCTCGCCGTCATCCCACAGCGGCCAGGCCAACCCTACCAGTGCGAGCAACAGCCCAAGTGCAGCACCAGCAACAGTGGCAGCGCCTGCTTCCCAGCAACCAGCTCAGCCGGCCCCACCGTCCCCGCCGGCCCAGCAGCCCCCCCAGATGCATACTAACGGCAGCAGCCCAACGCAGCCCAAAGTGCGTGAGAAGGACGAGTTTGCAGAGTGGGCGGGGCCGCGGTACCCAACCGAGACCGAGCGCTCGCTGGCGCTCTTGCAGCATCCGCCAGCACCCTGGGACCAGCTGTATTCGCCAACCATCTGCCCGCGCCTGCCTCTGCCGCACAACGTCGTGATCCACTTGAGCCAGGAGCATTTTGAGGCCTCGGAGCCCTACCCGATCTACCGCAATACCATCGAGCTGATGGCGCACCCCGAGCACAACGACACGTCCCTCTCGCTGTTCCGGCTCGCTGACGACCCGGTTCTGTCGCTCGAGCTGTGCATGCCGGCATGGCTGACAGACTTTTTGCTATTCAACCGACTGCCAGCAGGCCATCAGGAACCAGCAAAGCTGTCGTTTATTCTGGCGCCGTCGCCAACCACTACGCTGGCACCGTTCCCGAACCCCAATGCGCGACTCGTGGCAAACCGCAATCTGCGAGCACGCAAACTGGCCATGTATGTGGTGGACAAGCTGGCGCTGCCGCTGATGCAGCAACCAGCACCCAACTACATCAACGCGGTTGATTCGTGCGTGCGCGCATACCAGGGCACAGGCACGCACGTGGACCCGCGCACGGCTGGCTCTGGCAACCCGTATATAGACCTGTTTGTTGCTGCAGGGGAGACCATCAGCGAGGTAGGAGCGTGTCGCGCTGGATGACCTAGTTGGATGGCAGGATATTATGCGGAGGAAGAAGATGCAGGAGCCTGTGGAGGCAGTTGAGGAATACATTGGGCGGCCCGAGATGTACCTGGATCTGGCGTGCAAGGGGAAGACGGTTGCGCCCAGATTCACACTGGCGACCATCAAGGCCCACCTGTGGAAGTCAAGCAACGATATCATGGTGCACTACTCGTGGGCCGAGTTTGTCAAGAACCGGGTGGCCAAGGCGCAGAGTCTGCCGGCCGTAAAGTAAAATATGTTCTTTCGTACAGCCACCGATGCTTTTTTGTAAGTGTATCCAGACATTTCCTGATATACATAGCTGGTCGAGTGCATGCTGCATAGTGGCTAAAGTGCAATGTGCTCCTGAGGGCATTGCTTTACATGTGTATAAGAGGCACAATGCCTCCAGCATGCGAAAGCATAACAGGAACTGTATTTGAAATGTTGATATTGAAATGAAGCTAGTAGAGCTCTAAGCCATGGAGTCAGTCGCATCTAAGAGGTCATCGTCTGCCATTTGCCCCGCCAGATCAGCCTTCTCCTCTACTGCGCTGAGCCGCCACTTCTTGCCCACCACAAAGTGAATCCCACACGAGTGCAGTCTGACTGTGTCTTCGATACGACGGTCCTTGGTCTCGGGTACAAACAGATAGACAAAGAGGGCTGCTCCCAGATTGAAACCCATGAAGAAGAAAAACGTGTAGTTTTTCCACCAGTTATTTGCCGCAGGGAAGAACACACCGATTCCAAATGTGAACAGGTAGCCAATACCAGTACCGACGGCCGACATGGCAGTCATAGCATACATTGGAGTCATTTCTGAGGCGGCCGCCCACGGAATCGGTCCGACGCCTAGGTTGAAGAAGGCGTTGAACAGAAACACCATGACGACGACGAGCCCAGTGAGGTTCTTGACTGATCCCAGAACCAGCATCGATGCAAATATAGCCATGGTCAGGTGCGAGAATATAAGCAGGATTCGTCGACCAATAAATGCAGCCAGCAGCATTCCGAAGAAAGTAAACACCAAGGCAGCGACAGAAATGAGGAATGCAAGAATCTGTGCTAGTGTCGGCATGTTTGCCGGATTTGCCTTGGTCGACTTGTTGATGATTTGGGTCGAGTAGAAAATGACAGCATTGATGCCACATAGCTGCTGGAAGAACATGAGCGCAGATACACACATTAGTTGGTGGCGGAGGTTGTCGGGGGTCTGGCCGCGCAGGACCTGCATGACGTTGACATCGGTAGTGCGCTGGCGGTTCAGTTGATCTGACTCGATAATGTCGTTAAACTCATGCTCAATATTTGCACCCTTGCGGAGTCGCGTCAACGCCGCATGAGCCTCATCCCTGCGGTCGTGCTTGATGAGCCATTTGGGCGATTCAGGGGCAAATGGGAACAACACAAAGTTGATCAGGCCTAGGACGCCTGTCAGCGACATGAGGACGCGCCAGCGCGGTGGGCGTGTCAGACCGAGGGCGCAGGCATTGTCAACCATGATTCCGAAATTAGTTGCAAATTGCAACGTGCCGCTGAGGATATTCCGGCCACGCGGCGTCGAGATATCGGACACATACACAGCCAGCGCATTGTTGGCAGCACCTGCCGCCACACCAACCAAAAGACGTCCAATGATGAACTGCGGGATTTTGGTAGCCAGGGATAGGAGCAGCGCGCCGCCAACATTCAGCAACGCAAACCATGTCATCGTGAACTTGTAGCCTCTCTTGTCGATGATCGGGTTGGAGAGGACTGCGCCGATAATGGCGCCAATACCGAATGTACCGACAACAAGACCCCAGACGACAGGTGATCGGGTGTAGAAGCATGACGGGAACACGCCGTAGTATTTTCGGCCGGTGACGCAGTTCTGGAGCAGATCACCGGGGATGTTCACCGATCCCATGTTCCAACCGAAATTGAAACTGCCAATGGCTGCAAGGAACGTGCAGTATGACTGATACCAGGTCACACCCACTGTACGCGAGTCCCTGGACATGCGGAGATACTAGTAGATTGTGATAATTTACAAACAGATAGCAAGGAGAAAGGAAGGTGTAGAGCAGTTTACAGAGTGTGGAGGTTTTTTGCAAAAGTTTTACTCGAGAGTAGGTGTGTCAGGGGAAGCAGTCGGCATTAAATACAAATATCCAAAGGGCTGTGGAGAGAGGGCGAGCCAGCATGCACTTTCAGAGGGAAGGCTCATTAGAACATCATGTGTCAAGGCCTGGATCTCGATTACGCATGTGGGTGTGCAATAATAGTATAATACGGAGATTTTTTCAGGGAACCAGCTCTCGAACCAGGACTGAACGGGTAAATTTGGTTGAGACATCAATTGACTGCATACAGAACAAATGCGATCGAGGGAGTGGGGTCATACAGCCAGCAGCCATGTGGTCCAACCTGCGGAAGTTTTAGAATATTATAAATTCAAGAGAAGTCTATTGGGCTAAGAATGGATGAGGGTTGGTAAGAGAGAAGCGCAAAGTAATGTGGTTTGTTTTGTACTAGTGAGGAGTGTGGTTTGTGTGTTTTGGATGTGGACGATTTGATTTAGGCCTGAACACCAGCAGCCATGTAGGTCTCGTCGCCCCCAGCGGCCTCAGCACGAGCCAACTCGTCCTTCTCGCTGGCGGCGCTAACCTGCCACTTCTTGCCGACAACAAAGTGGATACCACACGAATGAATACGGACCGTGTCCTCAATACGGCGATCCTTGGTCTCCGGGACGAACAGGAAGACGAAGCAGACTGCGACAAAGTTCCAGAACATAAAGAAGAAGAATGTCCAGTTGCCCCAGGATGCCTGCATGGGCGGGAAGATGACACCGATGACGAAGGTGAACAGGTAGCCGATACCAGTGCCGATGGCAGACATGGCGGTCATGGCGTACATCGGAGTCACCTCCGAGGCTGTCGCCCACGGGATGGGGCCGACACCGAGGTTGAAGAAGGCGTTGAATAGGAACACCATTGTCACAACCAGCCCAGTAATGTCCTTGACTGAGCCAGCAACCATGAGAGCCGAGAAAACGCCCATGGTGGCGTGCGAGAACATGAGCAAGGTGCGGCGGCCAAAATAGGCGCACAGGATCATGCCAATGAAGGTAAAGATCACAGCAACAATCGAGATGACAGTGGTGAGGATCTGGGCCAGAGTGGGGATGTCGGCGGGGTTGTCGTGGGTCGAGTTGTTGATGATCTGGGTCGAGTAGAAAATGACAGCGTTGATACCACACAGCTGCTGGAGGAACATCAGCGCAGACACACAGAGCAGCTGGTGGCGGAGGTTGTCGGGGGTCTGGCCACGCAGGACCTGCATGACGTTGACATCGGCGGTGCGCTCACGGTTTTCCTTGTCAGTCTGGATAATGTCGTTCAGCTCCTGCTCAATGTCGGCACCAGCACGGAACTTTTGCAGCGCCTCGCGCGCCTCGTCGATGCGGCCATTCTTGACCAGCCACTTGGGCGACTCGGGGGCGAACGGGAACAGCGCAAAGTTGATCAGGCCAAAGACGCCGGTGAGAGCGAACAGGATTCTCCAGCGAGGGGGAGGGGCGAGACCCAGGGCGCAGGCGTTGTCAAGCATAATACCAAAGTTACAGGCAAACTGCAGCGCACCGCTGAGAATGGTACGGCTGCGCGGGGTCGCCATGTCCGAAACATAGGTAGCCATGGCATTGTTGGCGGCACCAGCGGCAATACCGACGACAAGACGGCCGATAATGAACTGTGGGATCTTGGTGGTTAGCGACAGCAGCAGGGCACCGACGACGTTGAGCAGAGCGAACCAGCACAGGACAAACTTGTAGCCCTTGCGGTTGATGACCGGGTTGGAGATGACAGCGCCGATGATGGCACCGAGGGCGAAGCAGCCGACAATGATACCCCAGATAGTTCCGGACTTGACGTAGATGCAAGACGGGAACACGCCGTAGTACTTGCGGCCGGTGACGCAGTTTTGCAGGACATCGCCCGGGATGTTCACCGAACCGTTGTTCCAACCAAAGTTGAAACTACCCAGCGCGGCCAGGACGGTACAGAAGACTTGGTACTTTGTAACTCCGAGTGTGCGTGAGTCGACAGACATGATGGATGGTAGCTGAGCCCGATTAAAGGAACAGCAAATAAAGTAGAAAAGTACAGTGAAATACTAGTAGTATAGCGATTCAAAGCGATAGTTGCTTCAAATACGAATGGAGGATGTGGATTGGTAGTGTCCGATACAGTATCAAGGGAAATAAGAGAAATGAATTAGAATAATATGTTTGGCTTTGTTTGGTGAGATGGTAGAAATATTCGCCCCGCTGCTGCCGCCGGGTTGCCTTTTATACGTCTGCTGCCGGACGGACCAGCCTTGATCGCATAGAAGGAGGAGGGTAGGTGGCCGAAGCGAGATCCATCCTGCCCGAATGTCGAAACAGGCCAGAATTGGTGGGTCTTGGCCATGGCTACCGGCCCTCCTTCCTGCTGTCCGGGGGGGGGGGCGCTCAAAAGGTGCGTAGCCGGCACCCTTGCCGTCCCATCCCGAGTTCTCTGTACGCCGGCAGTTCAGTTGCCGGTAAAGAAACAACATCACCTTTTCTTTCCCTTCGCGCTGCCAAAGGAAAAAAAATCCCACCTGCGGACATGCCCGGTTTCCTTTTCGCTCATCTCCTTGTACAAGTGGATCAGTCCATATTGCGTCGTACAGAGAGCCAAATAGGAAAAGCACGTATTCTGGCCAATTGCCCCGCAGCTGATTTGGTAAGGGCTAATGCAGCACCATTGCATGTCACTGGTCGAGAAAGCCCCCAGCTGCAGCATCCCTCCGAGAATAGCCCCGACGCCTGGCAACCAAAGCACGTCTGTCTGCTGTATTCCATGCAGCCATCCATTTGAACAAAACAAGACGGTCTGGATTCCTGGTGGGGAGGGCAGGTGGGGATCGCTGACATGGCGACATGGACGAAAGGTGTGCAGCCATGATCTTGCAGCAGCTGCTATCCTAGTGACCAGAAACCCGCCCGCACAACGCTTTCGGCAGCCAGGGCATGGGTTGACCGGATGGCTACGGCATCACATATTCAGCCTGTTTGTCCGCATCCGTGGTGCACGCGGAACCAGCTGGTGGAATTGGGCAGCAGAGCGGGAATGTGATACCTTGGCTTCCGACGGGGTTATTTCTGGCAGCTATTTGCTGGGCAGCAAGTCACCTCTACAGGTAGCCTTAACACGGTGAAAAGCAAGGGTGTGTTAGTGGCGGTGGGCTGGATAATTTAGAACGGGAAGGCATTGTCTGTCTGTAAAATCGACGGATATCCGGTGAAAACCGTGGTAGTGGGGGAGAGCAGCGGGTCCAGCGTGGCCGGAATCACAAGTCACACCAACCGGCATATTTGTCCACGCTCAACCGAAGCTGGCTTTTATGAGAAAGTGCTCCGGCTGACATCGACAGCCATTTGTTAATTCAGCTACCTCCCAGCCAGCCAGAGCTGATTCGAGAGTACAATGCTGTCAGCATTGCTGCCTTTTACAAGAGTATGAGATGGTGGTAGCAGGCCAGAATGCACTGCAGTCACACATCCCAGAATATCGAAGCAACTAACCATCTCTCCTATTAGTGTATGCAGTGTATGGTATATGTTGGCGGTGGCTTTGGTGCAGGTGCAAAATCTTGGTCGCGCACGTCCACTGGGTGCAGTGTAAACCTGGGCCAAGCTAGATGTGGAGTGATTGGGATGTGCACGTCCCCTCCATCTGCAGCGGACTAGATCCACAGGTCCTCACTGAGCAAGCCCTTGCGGAAAACTGGAGGCAGTGGAGTATCTCTCCACTCCTCGAGTCTCTGTGATCCGCTGCAGCGATTCGCAGTGGGATGTCCTTGAGAATCTAGCACCTCAGTAGGTGTCCATAACACGTCTACTGGTGTAAAGATAGCTTGTTTAGGCCGCTGTAGCTCTTCAGCCACACCTCCATCCTCTTGCTGGTATGCCCCGCTCAGAGTGTTGTAGGTGCTTCGTATATTCTAGACGGTCGGACAGGGTATTAATGGACAACGCCGCCACCAGTCTTGCAGTGGTACCGTTAGCTTCTAGGAGGGAAATTCCCGCTTAGTGGACGCTGGCTGCTTTTTGGGGGCATGGATATGCCCGCTTCGGCTCCGTATGGCCACATGTGGCCGACAGCATACTGGCGATAAACTCATGTTTGGGCTGGAGTTCGTCTATGAAACCGGCAGTCTGCTTTTTCCGCCTGCCTCGTCCCCCAAAAGATCGCAGTGTGCAAGATGTAACGGGATTTTTGTAATGCTGACTCGGGCCAGGAACCGAATAGTGGGCGGCTCATGCACTGTGGATTTCTTGGCTGCCCAGCATCATCTACTCTGGGCATACCTGCTGACTGTGTAGTGTTTCCTCAAATGGGACTAGTTGTCATCGTCGACTGTTGTCCGAATCTGCGCCAGGCGGACTCTGGTTATAGAACGACAGTTGGCAAGCGTCACGTCAAGCGGCTCCATGATCTTCTGCCAGCAGCCGTTGCCGTTCAGTCGTCTCATAGGCCCAGTAGATGCCGAAGGGTGCAGCCGATGCCTGTGTTTCCCGCCACACGGCCTGATTGTCCCTACCCTCAGCACAAGATCATGGCGCTACAGCGGAACACGGTGCTACTGGATGCGCGATGGTGTGGCTACGGAGAAGATGCAAGGTCCGCGACCAGATCGCCTCACACAGAAACAGCAGCGAGCCTGGGCCAACGGCTGCTGCTGTTCAGACATGTCGCGTTGTCCGCACCTGGCTCAGGCACTTTGAGCAACGAGCAGCCTCGTGCATATTGCCCCTCTCGCAGCAGATCAGCTGCCGTATAGCAGACCCAGCGCATACGTGACTGTTCCTCTGGTGCGACATGCCATATATTGCGGAGATGTAGCAGACAAGATGTGGCTATATTTGAAAAGGAAACCAGGCGGTGGGTGCGCTATCTCGCTACATCCCAGGCCGCAGACTCGAAGGTAAAATGGCTCGGGGGTAGCCAGACAGCCCAAAAAGCAGTCTTATCCGACATACTGCTCGGGCAGCTGATCGCCAGGCACAAACTGCCGCTCCACACCATCCTTGGTAATGACCGCCAGACGCACAACGCCACCAGATGAGCCATCGCGGGTCATAGCGAGCGACACCGAGTTCTTGACAAATTCAATGCACTCATCCCGGCTCAGATCCGGGCGGAACACCTTGTCGCAGTAGCCGTAAATGTACGTCGACCCAGAGCCGCCGATCGCAAACGGCTCGCGGTGCAGCGACCCACCGAGCGGGATGTTGTACACCGAGGCGCCGTCACGCTCATCCCAGCCGGCAACAATGATGCCTGCTGATAGGTTGTTCTTGTTCTGGTAGCAGATCTCCTGGAACAGCGACGCAGCGACCTTGACTGTCGGTGCCTCACCATGCTGCGCCGTGTACATTTGCATGTGGTACTGGACAATGTCCGCCACCGCCTGCGTGTCGGCAGCCGAGCCAGAGCGGCAGCAGTAGATCCGGTCGTGGATCTTTGTGAGTTTGTCTGTGACGCGGTTCGCAATGTACGCGCCTGTCGTTGTACGCGAATCAGCTCCGACCACGACGCCGCCATCGAACTGGACCGCCATAATGGTGGTTCCCAAATTGACCTCTCCGGGCTTGAGCGCAGACATATTTTAAAAAGAGCAGCAAGAGCGAGTGTGGAGCAGATATATGGAGCACAGGAGAACAAAAAAAACGAGAGAAAAGACAAGAACTGAAATTGAAAAAATGTGCTTGCGTGGAGCCTGAATCGCTAGCATGGAAAAATAGCAGGCTGGAGGATGACGCGGCTTCTATGCTTTTTGTCCTAGCATGGACCGCTCCACAGCTGCACCAGCAATTGCTAGCCAATCGCCACACGTGACAAATCTCATCGCCCTCCTTCCAGCTTTTTGCTCGCTCGACTGGGAATTTACGGTACGCTAGCCTCAGCTCTGCTTTTTTCCTTCGCCTCTTCACCCTCTCATTTGAACTTCCCCCACACTCAATTCACACAAAATGGACGCGCAGGAGCCGGACGCCTTCTGCACCTGCTCGGCCTTTGCGAACCACTCGGACGACCACACGCCAACATGCTTGCTCTACACACCGATATCAGCGATGGATATCCCAGTTGGCTCGCGTCGCAGCATCAACAGCAATGGCAGTGGCACAGGCTCTGTGGCAACCTTTGGCCGCAGCAACAACGGAGGCACACGGCCGCCCAGCTACACCGGCTACGGCGCCTATGTGCACAACTACCCAGCGCCGTCAAACGTGTCGTCAGTGGCAGCCTCATATGCCTCTACATCCTCCATATTTGACTCTGCAGCAGCAACCGAGACCGAGTCAATGTATTCATATCCGCACAAGCGGTCAGTGTCAGTGTGCTCGGTATCGTCAACAGCATCAACATTCCACATTCTTCCGACAGAGTTGTTTCGGGCGGTGTTTGCATACTTGGGCATCGAGGATCTGAAATCAGTTGTCCTGGTTTCGCGCCAGTGGCGCTCAGCGGCCAACCCGCTGCTCTGGCGCACAATGCTGTTCCCGCTCGACAAGCGTAGGCTGGCGGCGATGAAGCTGGTTCTCAGCCACTATGGCCACCACGTGAGGCGCGTGCTCATTGCACCACCCATGCTCGAGAGTCAGTACACACCTCATCAGGCGGGCATGTCGTCGCGGCGCATGAGCACATCGAGTCAGCATGGCTGGTCGTTATCTCGGCCAATGTCTCGATCTGGATCAGTGTCATCAGGTGTGCCGCAGCCAACACCGCAATTTCTCCATTCACTGGGGCACGGGTCGGCTCCGACAGATGAGGGGTCTTTGGCGAATACTCCGATGCTTCCTCCAATAGTCGGCACCCCCGAGCCAGCCGTCTATAGTTCTGTGACGCCAGCATCAAGCAGCGCAGCGGTGTCGACGTCGACTTCCAGAAACGGTGTTGGCGGATTTGCTAACAGTGTTTCATCCTCATCGCGATCTGCAACTCAACAGCAGCAGCCCACCCCTTTGTCGAGCTTTCGGCAGCAGCAACAGCAACCACCATATCGCCCGGATATTTTCGATTTGGCAGGCGCTGCAGCTTCTTCTGGAAGGCGCATGTCCCGTGGAAGTTCTGTGACGTCTCCATCGCCATCCCTGCTACCTGCCTACGCGGTGCCGATTCCTGGCACGCCTGGACCTGGAAATGCGCTTAGCGAGGCACTCCCGCCGCCAATAGCTTGGAGCAGCAGCAACGGTGGGGGCGGATCGACAGGACCGTTGGGTTCCAGCAGTGCAGCGAACGGACTGTCGCGATCTGGTAGCGCCAGTCATGCGTTTGGCTCGTTTATCCACCACTCGACTTCTGTGATGCACCACGAGGTGTCCGACGGCACCGTGACCCGTATGCACCAGTTTATGGAGCGGTACTGTCCCAACATCCTCGAAGCCGTCGTGCGCAACCCGACAGGGATCGCCAGCCATACCCGGCGAGCCAACATCCTCTGCCGGCTGTTCCAGACCTACCCGCGGCTAGAAAAGTTGGATCTCAGCGACTTTATCATGTGGGACTCGCAGCCACTGCACATGGCTGCTGGGTGTCTGCAGTACTTGACCAGCCTCGATGTCACGAACCGTGTCGAGCTCAGCGACACCGATCTGCTGCCTATTATCGAAAACTGTCCACGGCTCCGCGAGCTGCGGATCCGGGCTACCAACGCATCTGATACAACGATCCATGCCGTCATTGGGCATCTTTCGCAGACGCTGCAGGTGCTCAATGTTGGTGGGTGTCCAGTCAGCTCGCCGGCGATGACTGAGCTGGTGACCAAATGCACGCATCTGCGTATCCTGCAGACCTGGAGCTGCCTGCGACTCGATGACACATTCCTGCAGGCGCTAAATCCTGAGATTTTGCAGAGCCTGCAGGTCTTGGACATGATGGACGTGCAAAAGTTCTCGATTGACGCGGTGGGCAGGACGTTCCGAGACCAAAAGTGGCCCTATCTAAAGTACCTGCGCATCAAGGCCAAGTGCACCCGTGAGTACTTTGCCGGCATCCCTGAGCGAGCCGTGCTCAAGCTCAACTCGACCACCATCCTCGACTGAGTTTTCCCCGCTGTAAACAACTGAACAAAAAGATGCACTCGTTTTATTAAACGGCTCGGTCCAGCTACGAGCCTGCATTTTAAACCCAAACACTGATGAGAACGGCCTGGCGAGGGCTGTTTACTGCCCAGAGCCTGCAGCAGCCCTTGCTCAAAGCGCAAGCCCCAGGGGACAGCTAGACGTGGCCCCTATCTCTTCTTGTCGGCCTGCTCTCTTGCATTTGTGTACATTTCTTAAGAAAATTGCATACTTGTTTACTTTATTTCTACCAATGCATGGCAAAAGGCAGAATCGCCGCCACCAAGCACAACAGCGTGCAGCCTTCAGCGTCTTTGTCGACCCAGAAGCATTGCCCGCAGCCTCAACACAAACCCCAAACCGCACGGTGTTGCAGCAGGCAAGCGTGAGCAACAAAAAGGTGTTGAAGCTCTCACCTATGTCGCAGGTAGCTGCGGAAAAGGAAAACTTTGACCTGGTCCGCAAGCACCTGGCCCAGCCATACAAGCCTGGAGCCACTGCCAAAGCAGCACAGAGAAAGCCGCTCATCGCCAAACCGGCACAGAACAAGCAGAGCACAGCTGGTGACGCAAAGGCATCAAAGGAGGATCCTTTCAAAACGCCAACACGCAAGCCGCAGCACAGCTTGCTTCTGGCTGCACCGCCCAATGCTAAACTAGAGAAGAAGAAGGAGACACTGAGCTCGCCAACACCAACCGACAACGTCACCGGGACTGTGCGGTTCCGGCAAGTGAACAAGCCTGCCATTGATGACTTGGTACAGCTCCTGGGCGATGTGGGGCTGAATAGCAAAGCGATGAACTCCGTTGTGGATCTGTCGCCTGTGCCAAAGAGGACTGCGGGCAGATCATTGCTGCAGCTCACACTTCCGCCGCCACGGCTGCCGCGTGCAATGACTAGCGAGCCAGCAGCCAGGGTACTGTTTGCTGAGTCGTTGGCAAGAGCACAGGATCATGTTGTAGTGCAAAAGAATGCGGTGGCCAAAAGCGGTTCTCGCAAGGCAAAGAATGTGCATGCTGTGGTCGGCATGTCTACACCGCCAGACATGAGGCAGGCCATCCGCTAGTGTTAATTGTTGTTATAGTAACTGAGTAAATGGATCTAGAAGCCCACACAGGATAGGAATCTACTTGCGGCGCCAGACTGAAATGATTTCCTTGCCGACGCGGTCGTCGTGAGTCTTGCACTGTGGGTCAACATGCACCAAGTCAAAGTTAGCGTCAAGCACCTTGTGGTAGTCGTCTTCGGTGGCAATGAACGGAGGTCCGCCATTCGGATTATCGTCCTTGGAAATCGGGTACATGAGCACGATCAGCTCACCGCCCAGAAGACATAACCTCGGCATAGCGCTTGCCCCAGTCTGCGCGCATCGACGGATGGATAGCACAGAAGAACGTGTAGTCATACGCAACCTGGTACTTGTCGGCGGGTGGGGTGAATTTGAAAAAATCAATGACTTGGAAATCCGCCAGGTCCTTTGAAATTCCTTTCTCCTCGCGCAGCTTGTCGGCCGTGGCCACAGCGGTTGCGTCAAGGTCGGCGCCAGTCATGTGCAGCTGCGGCGAGGCTAGGAACATGGCGTCATAGCCACGGCCGCACCCGGGCACCAGGCCCTGGCCGGATGGCAGCTGCCACTTCTTGTCTTGAATCAGTTCGCGCAGGGCCGGGGAGATATCGCCCTTGTCCCAAGGCGTGCGCTTGTCGTTCCAGCAATTGTGCCAGATCTGGTTGTACTCATCCGAGTTTACCGTTGCTTGTCCAGCCAGTGAAGAGTTCATTGTCGTTTGCAAAATATAGTCGATTCGAGGTGCTGTGGCAGGAAAGAGAGAGGGGTGAGATAAGGGGGCTCCTGTTGTCCGCTGTTGCTGTAATTTCCCCTGAAACTCAGGGGCGGCGCACAGGCTTTAAATATTGAAATTGCAACGACCTCATACGATGCACTCGTGGTTGTGGGTATGGAATGTTGGGAGAATTTTGTCATTTCTAATCAAGCTGACGAAATTAGCCGAGTGTTTGTTGCGAAGCCAGAACCTGAGGTGGTCTCCGCGTAGTGACGTGGACAGTGCCAGAAAAAATGGCCCGTGTGTGACTGTGCTCTTTGCTGCGGAACTCTAAGAACCGTCTGCTCCATGCCAACGAATGACAGCGGCTTCTTTTAACCGAAAAGCTGCGAGTAGTCACTTCCGAGTTTGGCCCGAAGCAGTTTGTGGCAGATAGTGCATTGGTGTAGTTGGCTGGGCGCTTTCGATTTGTGTATGCGAATGCAGAGCAGCTCTACCATCCGTATTACTACCAAAAGCAAACCCCTCCAATTTCCTGATATCCATGTGTATAGGACTAGGCGACGTTGTCAGGTTCCTAGAACCTCATATACATACCGCCTATGTCTGCAAAGTAAGGTGTTTCAAATGATAAATAGAAATTCTTTTTGCCACCTTTTCGATAGCTGTGATTCATGCATCTCATCGATAGTGCATTGCATATTGTAAGCAAGCAGAAAATCCAAGTAGGGGTGCTGCCTAGCAACCTTGACTTCGAGACTCAGGCAATGCCCTGGCAGAAACGGGCAAGACTGAAAAGAAGTGGATTGTTTGACATGGTCAATATATTAAAAGGCACTGCCTGGGTGGGGCGCTACTGGGAAAGAGGTCAAAGGCGCCAGAATCGTATGGCCGAGTGGTTCGGGGCAGCAGTGCAATCCAGCCACATCTGTCAGTCACGAGTCCAGGCACGGGGGGTGGGGCCAAACAAGAGGGCGTTTCACAGCACCTCAAGATCCCCTCCATGCATCAAAAGTCCGTACACGCCTTTCAGCTCCACCACTCATTGCCACCAGGGGCCGGCTGACAAATATCAGGTGTATCACGCATTGTCGGTATTTTATATGCCGAGGGCAACCGGGCCGGCAAGGGCTTCATAAGCGCTTCCAGATGCAGATGAGCTCGTTGCCCTCATGCCCATCAAGGCACTTGCAGTTGGGGTCGACACGGACCAGCATAAAGTATTTTTTCAAATACCGCTCGCACTCGGCCATAGGTGACGACGTATGGCGGCGGGCTGCCGCGCTGGATCAGCGGTGCAAGCAAAACAATCAGCATACCCTGCGGACTGACCAGGCGCGCATAGGCTTCAGCCCACTTCTGGCGCTGCGACGGATGGATGGCAGAAAACAAGCTACATACTTGAAACAAAAGAGCGATTAGCGCAAAAAGCAGGAATTTTTTATAAAAATAACAGCTGCATATACTGCCATGTTCGCTAACGCCCCTTGGAAAAACTCACCCGTATTCAAACGCAATTGTGAACCGCAGCGTTGTTGTGTAGTTGAGGAAATCCTCAGTAATAAAAGAGGCCTTTGCCTTCAGCTTGGTTTCATTTGCGGCCAGCTGCTACAATAAATAACAAACATATGTTTAGGTGGCATATTGGCTTCCTGCTCCGCATCTCCCATGTATGTGCAAATTGTGGTTGCTTCAAGATGGCCCCTTCTTGCTGCAAACTCACCTTTCGTGCAGCAGCAATGGCGCCCTGGCAGATATCGACGCCGGTGCACTCGATGCCGCGGCCAGCCATATACAGGACGTCGTGGCCGCGGCCGCAGCCCAGCAACCAGACAGCGGCCCTTGGGAATCAGCCAGCCGTGCTCCTCCAGGAGCTCGCGCAGGGCCAGGCATGGCGCGCCCTGATCCCACAGCATGCCGTCGTTGGCCCAATAGTCCTCCCATCTCTGCACACAGCCGTCGACAGTCAGCGGCATCGAGCTGATATTGGTCATGGTGATTGTGCTTGCGGCAGTCTGGCCGGCCTCATCAATAGAAATAACCATATGGAATAATGGAAAAAGGGGGATGGGTGGAAGAAGTGAGGCGCAGGAAGGTGGCCAGGGTAAAAAACCGTAGGTGGGTGATTGGCTTGTAAATAGGGAGAAAGAGAGCACGCAGGAAAAGGAAGGGAGGGGCGGGAGACCAAGGACGTATGCTGTTCTTGTGCCTTGGCTGTTTGGGCAATCCGCTTGCATCTAAAAAAATAAACAGACCCACGTTTGCAGATATCAAAGCTCTTCGGCGATTAGAAGAAAGAGGAAAAAGTTGCCAATCCTGTTTCCGCACTCTACAGTTTTGCTGGCACTCGCACATGATGCTTTTTGGGGGTGCTAATGCGACAGGATAATTGCGACATCTAGATACAAGATATTATCAGCTCAGCGCAGAAAGTCAAATCTGGAAAAAGTTAGTGCAGGGCGAAATGCAGCAGTGCCTTGACCTTGATCGTGTTCGTTTTGTCCTCCATTGCGCTGCGCACGAATCTCCGGATGGGCAGCATTGAACTTGGCCTACGGCGGCCTTGCCGATCGGCCACAGCTTGCTGTTTTTGGCCAGCGGCGACACCAGCGTATAGAATGTCTGCAGGTCCGGGCGCACCTCGCGCATCTCCACCTGAATGATATTCCAGGCGGCATTCACATCGCCCTTGCGTACACAGGCCTCGATCACCGCATGGTAGTGGTTGCGGTTCAATGGTGAACCGTGTCTGGCTCGCCAGGATGTTCCACACACGACGCACGTCGTCGGTGGAGGCCTGGGGATTGAAGCCGGTCGTGTCAAGCCACACCGACGCCAGCGCGCCAAACGTCCGCAAGGTCAGATCTGCATGGTCCAAAAGATATATGGCCAGGTCCTCGACGGCGCCCGGCATCGCGGCGCGGTTCAGGCCATCCAGCATCGCCATATACACCGACCAAGCGCTTTCCATCGGCACATCGCGCAGAATACGCTCGATAATCAGTACCGCCGTGTCTAGCTGGTAGCGCATTGTAAGGCGCAGCGACATCATGGCCTGCAAGGCATGCAGATCTGGCATGAGCCCGTGACGCAGCATTTCTTTCCGCAGTAGGCGCTCAGGCACCGGTGGCCTGCAGCGAAAGCGCAGCCCGGAACAAATACGACAGGAGATCGGGCGCCATGCGTTGGTCAGGTGGACTTTGGTCAGGCGCAGGACCAGCGCAGCGCGGCTGGCAGGCGCCGGGGCGCCCAGCGACGTCAGCATAGGTGACTCGGGGCCCAGAGCAGCGCTCAGCAGAAGCGTGCCGACAGCTGGCGCACACTCGGTAAGCGCAATCTCCTTGAAAGCCTTGGTCAGGATGGCGAAGCGGTCGGATTCGTTCTCCCACATGCGACGCGACAGCACGTGGACAAACCTCGCGGTTTCTTCAGGGCATCATCATGGCACTATGCGCAAGGAACTGGCGCAGTAGCGGTGGCCGGCGCTGGAACGCGCGCACAGAGAATCTCATGGCCTCATCCTGCGCTTTCGAGTCCATTGCGCGGAAATGCGCAGCCACCCAGGCCACACCCAGCACCGGGGTTTCGCGGTACAGTCCGGTTCGCCATAGCCATGGCTGTGAACTGCGAGAGCCGGCCAGACACTGAGCATAGAAGGGCGGTTGCAGGCGTGGCCAGCCCCGAATTGGCCTTCGGAGAGCCGTCGTGCGAATCTCTTCGGCCAGGTGCGCCTTGAATTGCGCGCGCGTCATCGGCATATGTGCTGTCTCCAGGTCGTTCCGGGCCAGGTGCTCCAGGGCCAGGACTACGAGATCGGCAGCATCGGCGTCCAGCAGCGCAAGCAGACTGCGCGCCAGGCGCTGCGAGTCACCACGCTCACCATCGACGGGCTTTGCCGGCATATCGGCCAACGTATACAGGAGCTTGCGCGCCTGTCCCATACGGCCAAGACGCACAAACGCCAAAACATAGCGCACAGCCAACTGCAGCCCATCGGCTTGCCACTCGCTGGCCCGCGGCTCATGCACCAGCGCCGTCTGAGTCGCCGGCGGCAGCTCCTGGGGGCCACTAGCGAACCGCACCAGCACGTGCGGCAAAAAATCCATCAGCTCGCCAGGCATTTCGCGCTTCTCGGCCATGCGCACCAGGCGCACAAATTCCAGATCCGTCACGGTTCGGCCATTATAGTACCGGAACACCGCCATGCGCCAGCAGATTGTACCGGTACTCGCGGTCCGACAGCGGGCTCGTGGGCATATTGCCGTGTTCCACATCGTGAATCTCCTGCAGCTTCTCTGCGTCACCCGCATACAAAGCCTCAAAGCCAAGAAGACGCACGACAGCCCATCTCGGCACAATCCCCATGTACCCCTTTGGCAGCAGGTCGGCGGCTGCAAACAGCGCCAGATTCGGCTGGCCCACGATCAGAAAGTACTGCATGACCAGAGTCTTGAACTGCGACATGGCCAGGACCTTGCGGTGGATCTGGGGGCGCTGCCGCAGAGCCTTGATGATCAGATAAAAGTCGCGAAAATACTTTTGCCGCTCTGCAGTCCCCAGTCCGTACAGCATGCGCACGTATAGCTGCAAAAGCCCCATATAGTATATGTAGCTCAGTGTTGGTTTCTGGAACGCAAACTCGCCGCGGAACCCGCGCTCCATTGGCTCCCGGTACTCCTGCTCGCGGAACGGCACAAACACCTTCACCACACCAAACACCCGTTTGATATTAAGGGCTTCCTCCGGCCCCACCACCCCTGATACATGCGCGTTACCGTTGCCTGTATGCCAGCGTGTGCTTTCAAGAACTCGAGGCTGCGTTGCTCGTACTCTGCTTCCAGGCTTAATGGGTGACTGCCCATGTTTGGAGGAACGTAGCGCGCAAATGCTTCTTCTGCAAGACGCTTTTTCTCTGCCTGGGTTTTGCGGTCCTGCCGGTCGACTTCTATCAAGGGATTGTGCACTGTGGACGTGATGCTCTGCAGATCGAAGGTAGGCAGCGGCCGCGGTTTTGGCGGTTTGTGTTTGAGTAATACGCAGCATGTGGTGTGGATCATGGATCGTTGGCTGGTACCGTGGGCGGCGCGCGCCAGGGACGCCGATTTGGAACAGAGCATTTGTAAGAAAAAAAAGTAATGGTCTAAAACAAGAGAAGAAACAGAATGCTGGATAAGGTAAATGCTGACGACAAAAAAGTACGAGCTTTTTCTGAAAAAAGGTTAATCGGTAATCATGGACCATATCTAAACCCCTCGGCTTGCGGCACTAAAAGAATATGTTGCATTTTTGTTTCAGGTGGAGACTTCAGAGCAGCTTCTTTCCCATCAACTTTCTTGCAAAACAATGTCTTCGCCTAGAACAATCATTGCCCTGGGCCTGGAGGGGTCGGCCAACAAGCTCGGCGTCGGTATCGTCAAGCACACCTATCCGTCCGGAATCACCGCCTCGGAGCTAGCGCCCCAATACGAGGAACTGGCGAACATCCGCGACACATACAATCCGCCAGCAGGCCACGGCTTCCAGCCGCGCGATGTTGCAGCCCACCACCGCGCATTGATCCTTCCGCTCCTAGACAAGGCGCTAGCGCAAGCCAAGCTGCAGCCGCAGGACATCGACTGCATTTGCTTCACCAAGGGCCCGGGAATGGGCGCGCCACTGCAGTCGGTGGCCCTGGTGGCCCGCACGCTATCACAGCTGTGGAACAAGCCCTTGGTAGGGACCAACCACTGCGTGGGGCATATTGAAATGGGCAGGGCGATTACGGGCGCGCAGAATCCCGTTGTCCTGTATGTCTCTGGCGGCAACACCCAGGTGATTGCATATTCGCAGCAGACGTACAGGATCTTCGGCGAGACCCTGGACATTGCCATTGGCAACTGCCTTGATCGGTTTGCGCGTGTCCTCAAGCTGCCGAATGACCCGAGTCCCGGCTACAATATCGAGCAGTACGCAAAGAAGGGCTCAAAGTACATCCCGCTGCCATATACGGTCAAGGGCATGGACGTGTCGTTCTCGGGCATCCTGTCGTTTATTGAGCAGCTGGCGAAGACGCAAAAGGACAAGTACTCGGCCGAAGATCTCTGCTATTCCTTGCAGGAGACCATGTTTGCCATGCTAGTGGAGATCACGGAGCGCGCGATGGCGCATATTAACAGCAGTGAGGTTTTGGTTGTGGGCGGCGTCGGCTGCAATGTGCGGCTGCAGGAGATGATGGGCGAGATGGCTAAGGAGCGTGGCGGCAATGTGTTTGCCACAGATATGCGGTACTGTATTGACAACGGCATTATGATTGCGCAGGCCGGCGCTTTGGCGTTTGCGCGCGGGGAGACCACCAAGATGCAGGATACGTGGATTACGCAGAGGTTCCGCACCGACCAGGTCCATGTAGCCTGGCGAGACTAAAAAGGGGTTTATTTTAAGAAAAATAATATTTATGGCCCATTCTGCAAGTGACGTCTGCTTCTGTCAGACCGGCGCTCAGACGATCTTTCATTGCCAGAGACACTGGGAGAGCGCACGCGAGATATCTTTCTGCTTCTGCTTCTGCCTCTATCCAGACCGACGCTCAGGCGATCTGTCATCGTCCGAGATGCTTGGCGAGCGCACGCGAGATATCTTTCTGCTCCTGCTTCTGTTTCTGTCAGACCGACCCTCAGGCGATCTGTGATCGATCCGAGACACTGGGAGAGCGCACGCGGTAGGTCCTTCTCCGGGGACTCGGCTGGCGGGGCGGTGGCGAGTACGACGGCGAGCGCACACGGGGCTTCTCCGGCATGAAATCGGCGGCGCGTGGGCGACGCGCTGGCGAACGCGACGGGCTGCGGCTAGGCCGACGAATACGAGCTCCGTGAGCTCCTCGAACTGTACGACGACGACGAGCTGTATGAACCCGACGACTCAGAACCAGAATCAGAACCAGAATCCAAGTCCGACTCTGACGATGACGATGTGCTCTCCTTGCGCCATACTCGCCAGCCGCTCGCGCATCTCCTCGGTGATCGCGCCCAGTCCAATACTGGTGTAATAATTAATGGCAAACCTGATCTCTGCCCGGCCCTCAGTTCGGAAACATGCCCAGCAGGCCATGCAGGCGCTCGCCCAGCTTCTCCAGACCCAGCTCCTCAGCCATATCCTGCAGCAGGATCTTGACGAAAATACGCGACGACGACGTGGTTGTTTGCTCAGTCAACGTCACACACTCCAGGACACTACTGGGCAATGCCTCGGTCACCAAAAGGTGGGCAAAGAAATGCGCGATATTGCGCAAGTGGCCGGTCTCATAGCGATGTGCATCTCCGTAGCATTGCTCGAAGGACTGCAGGAACCCGGTCCGCCACTTGTGGTCCAGCTTGCACAGGCCGCTCGCCCACCAAGCCGAAAAACGCCTTGTACGTGCGCTCCTGCGAGCAGGCTTCCACCACCATATTGCAGAGCTCCTGCTCCTCCCCCGCCCGCACCGTCAGCTTCAGCAGCTTGTGTGCAGCTTCGTCGTAGCTCAGACTCGACATCATCGCCAGATAGATTGTGCGCCGCAGATTCACCCGCTCGGTCTCTGTCAGATCGTGGATCTTCACCGGCTCTCCATTGCCGTCCGCTGCCCCTTCCGACTCAGACTCCTCGGACTCCTCGGACTCCTCTGATTCGGAGCCAGACTCCGATCCGCTGCCTTCGTCGCTCGAGTCCTCGCCCAGGATCTCCCGGCGGATATCAGCATACTTTTGCTCGTTCTCGGCGAAATCCTTGTCATTCTGAAACACATTCAGCTCATCCTCGGCATCCAGCTCATCGTCGTCCAACGCTACCTCATGCACAATCTGCTCCTCCTCATCGACCAGATCCAGGCCGGGCTCCAGGCCTTAAATCCATCGCGCCTGGTCTGAAACAGAACCTCAATCATGAACTGCACGCGCCTGTCGATTTCGGCCTCATGCAAAATGCTTCTCAGCGTATCAAACACGGCGCTGAGCACGCGCGGCGCCGACTCCTGCAGAAACGCACCGACAGCATTGACGAACCCGACCGCAATCTCGACGCTATCGTCGGTCGGTGTCTCCAGAAGCAGCGGCGATAATCTGGAATGCCAGGACCTCATGCGCCACGCGCTGCACCGTCAGGTGGGCCAGAAACAGAACCGACGCCTGGCACTTGCTCTTGTCGTCGCGGATTAAACGCCCGCCGGAACTGCAGCACCAGTCGGGTCACCAGGAGCTCGCCCACTACGGGCAGCTTCGTATTGATGACTGCCAAAAGGCAGGCGTAGACCGGCGTGAACGCTGGCGAGAGGCCCTGGGCACGCATCAATGACCGGCACAGGAGGCCGCGGCCGCGGATCAGGTTCGCCTGGAATAGCTGCACCGCGATTTCGCGCATATTGGAAGTGTTGACTTTGTTAACCGGCCCGTTGATCTGCTTCTTCAGCGTCTCCCAGCTCGCCCGCTGCAAGACCGACGCGTTGTTGCTCTGCGCAAGAAGCTGTCCGCTTGAGCGCCGGCGGAATGTACCGGCCAGTACTCGATGCCGGGTTTAGTGCTGGTGGCAGCTCCAGTGGCGATGACTGCGTGCTGGAGGCGCTGGAGTCCTGGCGCCGCCGCGCGTGACGCTCATCCGAGCTCGCATCGCTATCCGACATTATGTAGAATTGTAAAGCAAAAATGAAACACTTAGAGGAGAAAATGTGCCGCTCCTCAGCAACCAATATTTTTTATTTTAAAAAATCCCTCCACCGAGCCGAGCCGAACCACTGGGTTAGCTCAGCTTGGCGCAATCACTCGTCCTTCGACTTCGCCCAGACAGCCCGTGCGCTGGTAGTCCTCCAGATACGACCCAAGGCGCGACTTGGAGGCGACTGCCAGCGGCTCGTCGGTGGGCACCATCGGCAGCCACCTGTTAGCCTAGCGCCCTCAGCAGCTTGCGGAACTGCTCATCGTACGCTGCCAGCATCGCTGTGCCCGCCAGCTCCTAGGAACGTCACCACCAGCGCCGGTGAGATCGCACGCGGCGGCAGATTCACCATGCGCGCCATCCATGTCCACCCGAGCTCCAGCAACATTGTGCTAGGCGTTTGTACCAGCGCTGCAAACAATGCCACCATCCCAATCATCCGCCCCTCATATGCTGCCGCCGGCTCCACGCCATCGTCGCGCTCCTTGTACCCGGCGCTGCGCAGGAACTCCTCGCGGCCCAGAGCTGGCGAAAAATACTGCGGCACCACATACGGGCACTTTTTCACCAGCCGCACAAACAGCATATCCAACACCCCCGGCACCTTATTTATGACTGCTGCTGCCATCGCTGCCAGCGGATACGCCGCCGACATCTTTGCCGACACCTCGGCCTCCGCCTGCTTGACTATCGCCTTGGCCACCAGATTCTGCATCCAGTCTGAGGCCCCGCGCTGCTCCGCCTCTGCAATGATGTCTAGCAGCTTTCCCGAGACCTGCCGCACGCCTACCATTGTGCTCGTCAGCTGCCCGACGCTGCGGATGATCAGACCCTTCTGCTTGAAGCACCACGCCTTCAGCTCCCGGTCATTGCTGATGCGTGGTTTCATCTGCTCCTGCACGATCCGGTAGAACCCGCGGTACTTGTCCGCCCACGCCAGCGCTGCCGGCGACACCGCCGCCTCACGCGCCTTTTTCGCCTCCTCTCTCTGTTTTATCTCGCGCTCCCGCTGCACGCGCTCCTCGGCCTCCTGCCGCTCTCTTTGCATCCTGCTCCTGCTTCTCCTGCTCCCTCTTTGCCCTTTCAATGGCCTCTACTTTCTCGCGCTCGGCCCGCTCAATGGCCTCCAGCCGCTCGCGTTCTGCGCGCTCGCGCTCCTCGACCTCTCTGCGTGCCTTCTCCTCAGCCTCCCGGATCACGCGCAGCTTCTCTTCATCTTCGTCAATGAACTTTTGCTCCAGCTCCTCCCGCATCCGGTGTATCTCTGCCAGGGTCCACTGTACCTCACCGTCCACTGCCTCAGTCTCTGGCGCCTTGGCCGGCCGCACTGTCAGCTGTGCCAGCAGATCCATGGTCTCGTCGACCTCCTGTCTGATCGGCTTGGCAAATTTCTCCACTGCCTGTAGGCGCGCCTTGTCGTTTTGCTGCTTGTCGATGCGACGCGATTTGACGCGCGGCACTGTATCAGAGATTGGCTGCGCGTGCGTCGGGAAGGCCGTACCGGGTGTGCGTGGACTGAATAACCGCCAGGTGGGCGTGTCGGGGAGCGTGCGTTTGCGGTCGATTGTCGGAGTGGCGGTTGTGGAAATGTTGCGTGCTAGCGCTGTGGGGCGTTTGCGGGTATCTGCGAGCCGCTGGTATTCCGCCACCAGCCCCGTTGAAGCGGGTACATTGTCGTCGATGAAATTTACAAGTATGCCGTACCTCATTTTATTCAAGAAGGTAATTATGGAAAGCAGGAAAGTAGCAGGCTATGAATGGGAGGCTGGAGCGAGAAGAGAACATGTAGTCAAGTGGTGCTGGAGTTCTAACTTTTGGGAACACTGCCTGATCCCTTGATCAGGAGTATAATTTTAGGAAACCGGCGAAACGCATATACCCTGGAGTGCCACATTTGACTCGCGATCGCTGTTGCTCTGGTGGCCACCAGCGAGTGTGGCATACAGCCCGCATGCGCATATATATAAGCACACCCCATTATCCCCTTTCATTAGCTCTTCATGTCTAGTTTCCGGTCTCATTGCCTAAACCTACTAGGATTCACATTTTTCACCACATACCCTGATTTCTCGCGTCCTGCCAGTCACCCAGGATGCCGGTAGTTCCTACGTAGTCGCACTAGCAGGCTTTACTTGTCGGGGAGGGGAGAGGGTGATCTGAAACCCATTCGACTGATGAGCAATACTCTTAATATTTTCATTTGTGATATTTCATGCCGATCACTCGCCGGGGTTTCAAACTATCAACCAGACATCTAATCGCATGTCCGACAACAGCACCATCAGAAGCACATAAAGCCATTATCCCACCCTGTCAGCTAACTGGTAGCGCTGATATCAAACAAAACTCTAATCATTTTAATTCATTGTTTTCCTTGACCATGTCCCAGCGAGGATCCCGAGGCTGCCCCACCGGCCGCTTCCCCCGACATCCAATCCACCCACTCATTCTCTACAGATACCGAGGCCCTCACCTCCTTCGGCGAGCCCCTGCATGTCAGCATTTCGCGTGGTACCGAGCGCTTCAAGTCCATCCAGCGCCAGCTTTCCAAGCAGCTGACGGTTCCCGACGAAGAACAGGCCGCCGGTGCCTTTGATCTCAGCGAGTGGCTGACCAGCAAGAAGCAGAAAGAAGTGGACCATCTATTTGCCAACCGGGTTGGCCTAGTCTTCAATGACCTCGACATATTCGGGGACAATATCGCTAACCGCCACATTGCCTCGCTGATCACCCCCTTCTACAAGCTGGCCAAATCCAGCATCCGTGGCTTTGGCCTCCTAAATCTGCTTTCGCGCGATCGCGAACACAAGCACATCATCCACAACATGTGCGGCCTGGTCGAGGACGGCGAGATGCTGCTTAGTCCTGGGCCGTCCGGGCTCTGGCTGCTCGACCCTGCTGCGTGTCCTGGGCAACTTGCGCAAGGGCTACAAGAAAATCACTGGCTCAGTCTCCTACGGTGGTTTGGACCCGCACGAGGTCGCTAAATCCTATCCGCGGCGAAGTCGCCTATAACCAGGAGGACGATGTCCATTTCCCCACCTTGACTGTGCGCAAGACCCTGGAGTTCGCCATCAAGTGCAAGACGCCCAGCAAGAAAATGCTCGCTAAGCCCGAAAGCTACCAGGACGAATTCCTGGACGCTCTTCTTGACATGTACGGGCTCAAGCCCTGTGCCGACACCATTGTCGGTAACGCTTTCCTGCGCGGCGTATCTGGCGGTGAGCGCAAGCGCGTCTCTATTGCTGAGCAAATCGCTTCTGGTGCCTCTGTCAATGTCTGGGACGGCTCTACGCGTGGCCTCGACTCCAGCTCCGCCCTCGACTATATCCGCTCGCTGCGCATTGGCTCCGATCTGCTTCACAAATCCACTGTCGTCACCATCTACCAGGCATCCGAGAACATCTACAACCTCTTTGACAAAGTCATGGTCATCGATGAGGGCCGCCAGCTGTACTTTGGCCCAGCCGACAAGGCTGTCCAGTACTTTGAGTCCATTGGCATAAAGAAGCCGCCGCGCCAAACCACCTCGGACTTTTTGACTGGCGTCACGCAGACCAACGAGCGCAAGCTGATGCCAGGCTTTGAGAACAAGGCGCCAACCACTGCCGAGGACTTTGAGCACCTCTGGCTGGCCTCCAAGGAGCGTGCCGAGCTACAGTCGCAGATCAGCGCGTTTGAGCAGCGCCTGGAGGAAGATGACCGCGGCAACGAGATCAGGCAGCTCGCTAACCGGATCAAGATGGGCACAGAGAAAAGCAAGATGCGCAAAAGGTCCCCTTACACCACCACGTTCATCTACCAGCTCAACCACTGCATGCGTCGCGAGTGGGGCATCTTCCTGGGCAACCGCGCGGCCATCTACTTTAAGCTCATCTACAACGTTGCCTTCGCCATCATCATCGGCACCCTGTTTATCCGCCTGCCGCAGTCCACCGCTGGCGCCTTCTCCCGTGGCGGCGCGCTTTTCTTTTCCCTTCTGTTCACCACCCTGACTGCTCAGTCCGAGATCCCCAAGGCCGTTTCTGGCCGCGAAGTCGTCTACAAGCACAAGGCTCTGGCCATGTACCATCCCGGCGCTTTATCACTTGCCCAGACCCTAGTTGACTTGCCGTTTGCGACATTCCAGGTCCTCATTTTTCGGCACAATTGTTTACTGGGCCAGTGCCATGGAACGCACTGGCGGGCACTACCTGGCTGCAATAGTGACTTTGCTTATTGGCAGCCTCTGCCTGACTGCGTTTTTCCGGCTGATCGGTAATGTTGCGCCATATGTGGACTTTGGCCATACCATGTCTGGCATCGCGTTGCTCTACATGACCTTGTACGTCGGCTACCTGATCCCGCCTACCAAGATGCACCGCTACATGGTCTGGGCGTACTGGGCAAACCCACTCGCCTACAGCTTCAAGGCTTTGCTCTCAAACGAATTCAAAGACCGCATGATGCGATGCTCTGACCGCGACCTGATCCCGAACGGCCCCGGCTTCACCAATATTGCCAACCAAGTGTGCGCCCTCAAGGGCTCAATCCCTGGCCAGCGCTATGTTAGTGGCAGACGCTACATCGAGGATGCGTACGATTTCCATGCCTAAGGACCAGTGGAAAAACTTTGTGGCCGTGATCGCTTTCTGGCTATTGTTCGTGGTTGCTATTGCCTGTGTCATGGAGTGGGTCGAGTACGGCAACACCGGCTTACTCGATCAACGTTTACAAGCGGTATCCACCTAGGGTCGACGCTCTCCAGGATGTCAACGAAAGGGTCGCACTGGCCGCCACGGAATTCGGCGATGTTGATTCAGAACTCGGCCCGACCGACGACCAACTCCTCAAGGGCACCACCTACACTTGGAAACACGTCAGCTACACTGTGCCGGTTAGTGGTGGTGAGCGCATGCTTCTGGACGACGTTTCTGGATATGTCAAACCCGGCACAATGACTGCACTGATGGGCTCATCTGGTGCTGGTAAGACCACGCTTCTGGACGCGCTGTCCCAGCGCAAGACCATTGGCAAGCTGGAGGGCGACCTGCTCATGAACGGTGCCCCGCAACCAGGCAGCTTCCGCCGCATCACCGGCTACGCCGAGCAGCTTGACGTGCACAACCCACATGCAACCGTGCGAGAGGCCCTGCGGTTCTCCGCACAGCTGCGTCAGCCCGGAGCGATACGCCCGAAGAGGACCGGCTCCAGTATGTTGAGCATGTTATCCACCTCCTGGGCCTGAGCAATATCGCTGACTGCATGATCGGCGAGCCCGAGAGCTGGCGAGGGCATTTCTCTCGAGGAGCGCAAGCGCCTGACCATCGGTATTGAGCTCGTGGCTAGGCCCAAGATCCTGTTCCTCGACGAGCCCACCTCGGGTCTTGATGCCCAGGCCTCGTACACGATCGTGCAGTTCCTGCGCCGCCTGGCTGCCGAGGGCCAGACCATCCTCTGCACCATCCACCAGCCATCTGCGACTCTCTTTGAGCAGTTCGACCGCCTTCTCCTGCTGATGCGCGGCGGCCATACCGTGTATTTCGGCGATATTGGGCCGGACGCCCATACTCTGATCAACTACTTTGAAAAGAATGGTGCGCCCAGGTGCCCGCCATCGGCCAACCCTGCCGAGTACATTCTGGATGCTGCCGGCAGCGGTGGCGAGGCCATAAAGTGGCCGCAAGTCTGGAATGCGTCGCCCGAGCGCAAGGCTGCAATCGAAGAGATCGACCACATCAACAATGTCAGGCAGAACGCCCCTGGCTTCAATGACATTGCCGAGGCCGACAACAGCAAGTATGCGCGCACGATACCCTACCAGATCCAGCTGGTGACCTGCCGCATGTTCCGCTCGAACTGGCGCGACCTCAAATACAACCTGGTGCGCTTCGCCCTGCAGGCACTCAGTGCCTTGACGCTCGGTTTCTCGTTCATCCGGACCGGCAACGGCGTGCAGGACACTCAAAACAAGGTGTTCGCGCTCTTCGACAGCGCTGTGCTCTCCGTGCTGGTAATTCAATCAGGTGCAGCCGCAGTTCCTGCGCCAACGCCAGTACTATGGCCGTGAGTCCTCCTCGAACCAGTACGGCTGGGAGGCCTTTTCCTTCGCCATCATCTTCTCTGAGTGGCCGTTCGCCATGGTCGCCAACACACTCTTCTTTGTGTGCTTCTACTGGCTGGTCGGCCTCAACTCCAGCGGCCAGCGCACCATCTATTTCTACCTCATGTACCAGCTGCTTGGCATTTTCTCGCTCACCATCGGCCAGGCTATTGCCGCGTTCAGCCCCAATGACGTCATTGCCTCGATGATCAACCCGATCTTCACCGCCATGATGACTTTGACCTGCGGCGTTACCCTTGCCACACTCAGCCATGCCTAAGTTCTACCGCAGCTGGTTGTACCGTCTCTCGCCATACCTGTACTTCATCGAGGGCACGATTTCCAACGACATCTACAACACGCCCATCAGGTGCCGCGGCGGTGGAGTTCTTCCACTTCATTCCTCCTAGCGGTATGACATGTCGATGGATATGCTGGCAGATTTGTCAGCTCCTTCCGCGGCTACATTGATAACCCAGGCGACACATCCAGATGCTCGTTCTGCCCATACAGAAACGGCCAGCAGTACTACAGCCAGAGCTCGTGGAGATATCACAACCGCTGGCGTAACTTCCTCATTCTGCTTGGCTTCACCTGTTTCAACATCGTCTTCACCGTATTCATGGTTCGCATTTACAAGGTCAACAAACGTTAACTTTTTAATACACGTCAGCTAGTAGCTGACAAGTACAATATATCTTGTAATACATATATACACCTTCGTTTATTTCCATGTCAATGATCAAGATGTGGTAGAGTTTTTGACTACAAGCATGCTATTTTTGAGGGAACAGTGGTCGATATGCAACCTTGAAGCCTGTTTCCTCTCATTCAGCGATCGTAGAAATCATGCCCAAACGCTCGGACAGTGATCATACATCTCCACTTCGCTCGAGCAGGTGTACCCACACCCGAGGCACATCCACTGCGCTGCAGAACAGACGAGCCTGCTCGACTTTCCAGATTGGTTGCGGTGGGAAGAGCACATGGTTAAACGATTCAGCACTTGATTTTTTAGGAAGTAGAACAAGGTGTAGTTGGTTGAGGACCAGCCTGCAAAAAATGCTTGTGGTTTCGTAAAAAGGATGGAAGGAGGGAATGCGAATGCAAAAAATGTGCAAAATTGGGTGATGATGGAAGAAAAAATTTTGCATGCTGACCCAAGCAAGCGGGTTTATATATGCGAGTCACAGCTGGTATCAGTTGGAAGCCAGGAGGCGTTGCTTTTGTTCCCAAAAATCTTGGGCCCTCAAGCCACGAGTTTCAGTACTACTCGTTTTAAAAAAGAAAGAAAGAAAGAAAGAAATGGGCCCAAGAATGCTGTCCGGTGGTTGAGTGCCAGCACCACGCGTCATGATAAACAATATTTTTATCTACACATGAAGCGAATTGTTTAAAGTAGTCCACCACACGCATTGAAAAGCCATGTTTGGCAGATCACCATGGCCTTTGCAGACTTCTCCTTTGCTCATTCTAAAAAAAACATCAACTTGACACACACGAGTTTTCTGTCCAGTGAACGCGCTCCTCGTGCCTTCACAGACATTTTTATATCATGATCTGCCATGAAAGCAATAACTGGATTGGGCACGGCAAGTGATTTTTTCTCCAGGTACTCAATGACCATTGTTTTCAGCACCAATAAGGGCATATCAACCGACAGAATGCGCCTCCGGTTATGCATGCTGAAGAGCTGCATATGTTCACTGTGCAGCTCCAAGGGAGCGATCCAAGGGTCATTGTGGACTTTGAGATCGCCCATTGCCCATTGTCGGCTACAGTACCGCCGGTTAGGATACTTTTTTATATTTCGGTATACACGCAGTGCTCTACTTTCATTCTTCCCAAAGTATTTTTACTTTGTCCATCATTGCAGCTACGGTACTGCGCCAGTTTGGCCAAAAATGGTATTCAAAGTAGACCGATGATGAAATGTTTGATTCGGTATAAGCCATGTCATCGTTTACTTGATACCAGAATGGGAAAAGCACGTATTTAATATTTATGTCAATTTGTGAATTTATTTGCTTTCACCACACATAGTAAAACGATAACGCTGATATATTTTGTATCCCTGGCCATCACTGGCGTGAGCAGTGCTGCAGAAAGGAGTAATCACCATGTCCAGTGTCTGTACCATGACCAACTATTCCTTCTGGATAAGTGGACAGCCGCCTCACAAATACCAGAATCCAAAGCAGTTTAGCGGGGTATAACTCGTATTAATCAAGAGTGGACGAAAGGTATGGTGTTGAAAACGGAAGAGGTGGTAGCTTACACCGCCTTTTATATACCATCATTACAGTAGAATATGGATGTATCTTGTTGTATAGATGTAAGGATTTGTTTTAATACCTAACCACCCATGTGTTGTCGACTGATGAGAGCTCATAAATAATTGTAGGTATAACAGGGCCATTTTTATTGCCATAGCTCTCATGAGAGCAATATGAAGAACTTCCAATGTTCGCCATTAATACCATTGGCAGCTGAATCGCATATACCCATGTTCCAAATAGATATGGCTACAAATCCACGCATAACGATGTTGTAGCTACAATAAGCATTCAATAACCATTGTGGGGTAAGTCTGGAAATAGTCTACTTGATCATTTGACAAAAGTAAATACGGTCATCTAAAGAATGACATTGTTTTCCAGTCAAATAATGGAGAATGAATATAAAGCAAATGTACTCATCGCAGGCTAGATGTTTAGAAGTGTCCCGTTATATAAGAGCTAGTCGGCACACTCCTCATATTCATTACAGGTTTCGCCGCAATCCCGAGCATACCCAATTTTTTAGTGCTTACATAACCTATTCTCCTGACATCCTTATGATGCTAGTTAGATAGCATTAGGATAACATCAGGCGTAAGTTTGGGCATGTCAAGATGCTCGGGTTTGTAGTCCTAACTGCTTGATTCTATATCGCTTGGATGCTGGGAATTTTGAGGCGTAATAGCCTTTCGTTTTTAAGGCTTACGCTTGTTTCGAATCCCTACAGCATCTGTCAAGTTGGACATGTTGGGACAGTTAATAGGAATGTCATTGTCGGTGCAAGCCTTTGCTTACGCACGCAGGAATGGCACAATCGACAAAGTGACAAATAACCAATGACCACATTACATTCCGCAGGGTATTGCTGCTGATACTTCAGGCACAACTACGATAACGAAGAAGGCCACACAAGAGACATGCTGCAACAGGCCCTCGAGACAAGAGATGAGCAAGACTACCATTACACTAACAACCATCAGACAAAGCTCAAATGATTGGTTCGCCATGACACTTTTATTAGCTTGTCAAATTATGTTGACTAACAGCCGACCTTCGCATCACGGCCGGAGTAATTTTAGTGCGTATATAAGATAGCTTTATTTATTGACAATTTACAATTTATGACATGCCAGAAAGCAAGCTACAGAAGCCACAAATCATGCCGTGTGGTGTTTGTGTGCTGATTCATCTCTTCCTGGCTATGGACCAGATGACCACATATATCGCATTCGTACACAGGGAACTCGTAGTGTCTCTCTGGAGAAACTCAAACCGATATGACAGTGACGAAGTAATTGTTCTTGCTGTTTAACAACTGCATATTTAGGCTGCAATAAAGGTATGATTAAGAAGTGATGTAGCGAAGTAGAGTCCAAAATGTTTAGGACTTGTATATCTTATCCAGCGTTTGCCGATGGGTGGGATGCTCTACTATAATGTGTAATGATGGAATATGAAGGAAGTGGTGTTTTTTGAGTTGGAATGCGCAGGAGTGGATGGGAGTGAAGGAGAGACGATGACAAAGGGGAACCGTTTATATATGTGAGTTTTAGGAATGAGACCTCGACAAATATGGACAGATGCAATGCGAGGCGCTGAGAGTGTGGGGATGAGCAGCGGAGCATAGAAAAGTGGAAGAGATCGGTAAGGGGCTGAGCCTGGTCCACCAAATGGAAGAAAAAAGAGGCTTGTTTAATAACCTGCATGTGGCTAAGCACCACAAATTGAATATCATCGGACAGCAAAACTGAATTTGCGTTAATTATTTGTTAACCTTCAGAGAATACGGTAGTTATGAGCTTTATGGAATGAATAAATGGAAATTTCGCTGAGGAGAAAAAAGGAGGATGGGCCGTTCCGGCCACAAAGTTTATATAGGTGGGATTTGGATCTGCACATGGTGGCGAAGGCATGGGTTGCCGAATGTCAACATATTTACATTCCTGCACAAGCGCGCACATCGCACCTTGACTCACAATACATGCCATTTAGTCAATGTATGACTGTAGCCACGGATAAATATGAATTCTACTACCGACTGCCCGGTGTCATAATCCACATGTATTTAATGCTGGATATCAGCTCATTAGTCGACAATAGTGACTTCATATTTGCAGGAATATTATAGCATGTGCTTGATGCTATTTATATACACACAATTATTTGTCAAACTATAAAACGAAAAAGTAGCTCGCGTCACGATAAGCGGCTTGGACCTTTCCCTATTCAGCGATCGTAATAGTCATGGCCAAACGCACGACAGTGCTCTACCATCTCCGTCTCGGTTGCGCAGGTGTACAAGCAGCCGTAACATATCCACTGTGCAGCGGAAGCAGACAGGCCTACAGAGCGCCCTAGAAGCAATGATGAAAACCAGTATTGCGCATTACACAAAAGTCCTCGTAGTTGTAAGTGTGCAGGAAAGAAATGGATGAACTGTGGAAGACAAATAGTAATTGAAGCCGTGGATAGTGAGAGTTGGGCTCAGCACGGGCAGACAGTTGCTTATATAGTTTCAGAGTGCCGTTGGCTAATTGTGCTGGGCTGGCTGTATTGTCACTATGGTCGATGGCTTGTCATTAAACGTCACTGTCCCCAGATAGGGTGCATCGACCAGTAGGAGGTGTGCGGGTTTGCCAAGCATGCATACTGTGATGCAATTGTTTTTCGGGAACAATCATGTTTGATTCTCTGGCATATGTGTTCCATCCTACTGCTGTGTTTATAAATATGGCACGTAGCGCCAATATTGCTTTTGTGATTTTTAACTTCATATAGAATTTCAAAACTAAAAAAGAAAAGGGGAAAAAGAAAAACTAAAAATGCCTGCGCACTGCCCTTTTTGAAGATTTCGCTGCTGTGCGATATCTGGGTGCATCAGCGAAACCAGGGCAACAAGCTGTGGTTGTAGTGGTCACAGGGTCCTGCTAGATATCTCCATTGGTTCACCGTGAGAGCTGCTTTTGTTGTCGGTTGACTTGACAATTGGCATGGCGTCATCATGATGGTCATCATCGACCGCACAACAGTACTAAAAGCCAAGCACATGCAGATGGCAGTACCTCTACTTGATTGGCTTTTGACAATCGGAAGATGAATCAGTGCTTCCCACATGTTTCCGAGACCACAGCTACTGAGAATCTGGAGAGGGAAAGTCCAAGCATTGATTTAACTACCACACTAGTCCATGACAAGAAATATATACCCAGCTAATGTCAACACGCACATTTGTAGACGCCCTATTCCTACTCTTAGACTAGGTTCCCGAATACAGCATAGTGAGCCAATATATTAGCATTTAAACGCCATACTCATTATTCCCAGCAGTATAGCAACGCTCAAGTATATAGAGATCATTATTGCAGTAATAATCGCAATGAAGTCAACAGAACTGTACTACAGAGCAGCCAAACCGAAAACATACTATCTGATTATAGTATAATTGATGTATATGTTAGTATACGGGTACTACCAAATGCTGTTGCCATGGATTGAGCTGATATTCGAAGTAGAAGGTAAAATCCACAGCCTTTTATTTTGACAAGCTCTAGAACATCACTAGCCCCAGACAACTTCAAAAAAGGTACTGCTATACTCCCCAACCCACGCATACAATGTTCAAATGTTTGCAGGCAGTTGTTAGCAAGGTAAAAACCTAAGCTCGGTGATGTGATCGTGGTGCATCAGCAGCCCAATACATCGCAGTACGCATAGTTCCTCTCGCTTGCGCAGTGATAAAAGCACATCAATGAATCCTGATAAGGTCTCTTCGGATCTATCTGTAGGGCTTCATTTCATACATTGATATTCAATACTACTAGATCTACTACTAGTTAGATTCCTTAGTTCGCTGGTTAATTGGATGAATTACGGGTACTGCTATATCAAGTTTTGGTTAACTGGATTCAGGAAGGTTGGAATGCTACACTTCTTCCCAGCCGCTATGACACGTTATCAGTGATTGCATAAGCATATCCATGGGCATCAGCTATTGTATATCCACATGCACTGCACTTGCATTCAAGTATATCATAAAGTCGGTTTAGGAGACATGCTGGATGGATAAGCGAAGAATAACGGTGTGTGCTGCTAGAGATGCGCATATTTTATTGTTGAACTGACAACTAATAAACAAGAAAAGGAATGCGGTGCAAATGCCTGTGCAGTTCGACATGCGTTATATACCGTCCTTCGCACTACCAAACATCGCTTCTGTTTCTGAGCACCGACCAATTGTTCTAATGTGTATACAAAAAACCACATTGCACCAGTGCATGAATAGGGATAATGACAAATATTATACTCAAGGTCTACTAGATTCATACAAGAACTAATCTACTTGAAGTTGATATCGTCTGACTCAAAGCGAGCACCAGCCTTATTGCCCTTGAATGCGGACGATGGATTGGACAGGATTCGCTCAATCTCTTCGGCTAAGGCCGAACGAACTGCAGTCTTGGCAAAAGTACCAAAGAATGAGCTGGAGGTATCGCCAGCTGCCAGCTGAACATCCTCAGCACTGTCGTCGCCATCGCCGTCGCCGCCCAGATTCCTGGCCTTGGAAATCAGACGACGTGCAACCGATGCCTCCTCAGGGAACACTTTGACCTTGACGTTCTTCAGCAGATCCGCCGTGAAAGCGCCCTTCTTGTACACAGCACCCTTCAAAACACCATCCTTGATGGTCTCAGCATCCGGGTCAGTGCCACTCGCAACGACCTTGATGTCGACTGGCGATTCCTCTTGGGCTTTGTCCACAGAGTCAAAGAGACCCGCTGCCACTGCCTTATGCCGCACGCTATTGATGAGCCTCTGTGAGTAGAATTCGGCAAGCTTCGTGGCAATGTCGGTGCGTGCCTCGAAACCCATCTGCGCGCTTGCCTCGATGGCTCGCGTGAAACTGCCCAGCTCGTCAACAAGTCCGTTCTGTAGAGCCTGGACACCAGTAAACACCCGGCCACGGGCGACATCCTCGACCTGGTCGCTGCTGTATCCACGGCCCTTGGCAACGCGGCTCTTAAAGTCGTCGTAGATGATGTCGATGGTGCGGCGGTAGCGCTCGAGTGCCGCGCCTTCTGGCTCGCGGAAAATCGAATCAGACTTGTTGTCAACAGTGTATAGCTCCTCGACATTGGTGCCAATAAACTCCAGCAGCTTCTTAGTTACCACTGGCCGCATTGATGCAACGCCAATGCTGCCAGTGATTGTTCCTGGGCTGGCAAAAATGCGCTTGCACGACGTCGAAGCGTAGTAGGCTCCAGATGCAGAGACGTTGCCGTAGGATGCAACCACAGGCTTGCCAAACTTGTCCTGCACATAGTCGACATAGGCGCCAATAGTGTCGCTGGCAATCACATCGCCGCCGCCCGAGTCGATACGCAGGACGATAGCCGAGACTGTCGGGTCCTTGGCAGCGTCAAGTAGAGACTGGCAAACGGCCTTGGCACCGCGCGGACCAAACCGCTCGATTCCGCCCAGTAAGTAGACCACGCCGACAGTCACAGGCTGGTCTGATTCCAGGAGCTTCAGGGCCGAGGCCATCGCAGCCTTGTCGCTGGATATCAGCATGCTCTTTGCGAGTTCCTTTGTCGACCCGCTTTCATCATAGGCGCCGCCACTCATCTCATTGGTCTCAATCTCAAGACGCCGCGCATCCGCATAGGTGTTGATTAGAGTAAGCTTACGTGGACCAACAATGGAAGCCACGTCGTACGTGTAGCCTAGCGCCGAGACCAGACCCGACCCCAGGGCATCGGGGGCGATAATCGGGCCCTCTTCCATGGCCTTGCGGACAATGTCCTGAGCCTTAATGTGCGTGTCCTTGCACTGGCTCAGAATGCTCGAGCCACGCGATGTCGCAATGTCGTCGATAATGGTGTCATTGAGCGAGTTTAGCAAGTCCATCATGTTTTCGCGGTGCTTCTCGGGCATTGACGACTGGGAATAAGGGGCCACCACGCTCTTATATTCCTTGCGCGCCTCGACGTGCATCTTGAGCCCAATCTTGTCCAGCAGGTCTTTGAAGTACATCTGTGTGCCCGACAGACCCGTCAGCGGCAGCTGGCCAGTGGGCTGGACGATGATGTCGCTAAATGCCGACGCCAGGTAGTAGGTGAGCTGGTCGTCAAACGAGTCAGTATAAAAGTACGTGCGGCCGCTGCCTGCCCCCAGCTGCTGCTCCTTCTTGGCTCTAAACTGCTCAAGCGCCTGGCGCAGCTCCTGGACTTGGGCAACGCCTAGCCCAGTGCCGGTAGAGTTTGTCTGCTCGTTGGAGTCTGGGGCTGGTCCCAGCTTGACCACCAGCCCCTTGATGCGTGGGTCGTCCGCGGCCATCTCCAGGGCCATCAGCGCCCGCAGCATGCTCATTTCGTCGTTCTTTCCAGAGAGTTTGCGGAGGAACCGGCTGAGCCAGCTCAGCTCGAATGACATGGGCTCAGGGGCTTCGATAATGGAGCCCTCATGGATGCGCCAGGCAAGCATTGTGCCGTCGATGATTGGTGCACGATCCAGCCGGTTGCGCTGCCGTTGCTGTCGCCTGTAAACAAAGTATGCAAGACCAGCCGCAAACAACGTCGTTTTCTTGTACCTCCACATAATGCGTGCTGAGCGCTTCAGCAGGCCTGCCTTTGTTGAATTCGGCGAGCTGGCTTGTTGTTGTTGTTGTTCCTGATTCATAATTCTCTAAATTCAATAGAAGAAATGGGGTTGACGAAGAACGGGTAGTGTTGTGACGATGCAAGTTTACAACAGTCTTGGCAGTTTAAGCCTGCATACATTATTGCAACACCAGCTGCCCTGAAATGAGCCGCCCAAGCCGAGCCGTAATAATGAGGATATTTTGACAACGCCCATTTATCAGAATGCGCCTACATTCTGGTTTCCCTTTTCCGCATATATTTTTGTTGTCTTCTTCCAAACGCGGAATAGTGCGAGCACCATGGCAATGGGGAGGGTCAGCATGCCTGCTGCCGCGCTTGATTTCTGCTTAAAAGCACCGTTCTTGGAACGTGGCAGTCGACCACATCAAGTTTTTTTTCCACAGCCTGCAGCACATCCTTCATCTCACTACCTCAACTTTCGACAGCTAATATATCTCTAAACCATGACTGTGCTACTTGATGTTGCGGACATCATGCTCAAGCCAGTGCACTGGCTCGTCTTCTACCCAACGCAGAAGGCGCTCCAGTTTGGCATATACCGTGCCAACAATATCGGCGCCAAAAAGAAGCACGCCAAAACATTGGCAAAGGATCCGCGCTCGTCGCTGGATATCTACAACCCGATTCTGCAGCACTCGGCCACCGAGCTGGCACGCATGATTCGCACCGGTGAGGTCACGTCGAGGCAGGTTGTCGCAGCCTATATTGAGCGAATCAAACAGGTCAACCCTCTGGTCAACGGGCTGGTTGCAGACAGATTTGACAAGGCCATCGAGGATGCCGAGGCTGTTGACAAGCTGGTTGCCACTGGTGACTTGTCAGCCTTCGATTCGCAACCGTTCCTGGGTGTGCCAATCACCATCAAGGAGTCCATTGCTGTCGAAGGACTTCCAAACACATATGGCCTTTCCTGGCGTCAGAAGCGAGAGCCTGTGTCCTGTGTCACATCCAAGCCTGTCCAAAACATAATCGATGCCGGCTTCATCATCCTTGGCGTGACCAATACCCCGACGCTCTCCACGACTGTCGAGAGCGACAACGCCATTTATGGCCGCACCCTGAACCCATACAACTTTTCTCTGACGCCCGGCGGCAGCTCGAGCGGCGAGGGTGCACTTCTTGGATCCGGTGCTTCACCGGTCGGAATCGCCACCGATATTGGTGGCAGCATTCCGATCCCGTCGCTTTTCTGCGGAGTCTTTGGACACCGGCCTACTGCCGGAATGATTCCACATGACCCGACAACGTACCCCGAGCTGCAGTCTGACAACGCCCGAAGCTGCTTCACCAAGGGTGTCATGTGCCGCTATGCTGAAGATATTGCGCCGACTTTGTCGATTCTTGCATCTCAGGAAATAGGAGATCCGTCAACAGTTGATTTCAGCGAGCTCAGCGTTATTATTATGCCAGAGGGACTCGGTAACAGCCTTGTGACTCCTAGAGTCAGCAAAGAGCTGCGCGATGCAGTTGTCCGCGCTGGAAAATTCCTTGGCGGCAGCAAGGTCAAGAGAATCAAGCCATTTGTTAACCCCCTAACTACCGCCTTCAAATTCCTGCCAGTTATCCGCGATGGTGAGGTACCGGTCCCTGTCACCTTGGCTGGTGAAGATCAGCCACCAGTCAGTACTTCCCGTGAGGCCCTTCGTATTTTGGGTGGCAAGTCACAGTATTCGCCTGGACCGCTCATGTTCGCCGTTTCAGGGAAGCTGTTGGGCGGCAAATACGCGGATGTCACCGAATACTGGGCCAAACTGAAGCAACAGCTCGATGAGCTGCTCGGCGAGAACGGTATTCTTATTATGCCGCCGCAGCCTAAGCCGGCACAGCGCCATGGATGGAGTCTAACCCACACCGTGTGGGTTGGCTACACTGCCATTTTCAATGCCCTTGGCTACCCTGTCACTCACGCCCCAATGGGCCTGAACAAGAAGGGAATTCCTATTGGTGTAATGGTGGTTGCGCGCAAGAACCAGGATATCCGTACCATTGCAGCAGCGGTGAAGCTCCAAGAAGGTTTTGGCGGCTGGGTGCCGCCTACAAGACTAGGTGTGCCGGTGTAAGCAGCAAGCGTCTGCTTGGGGACGTGCCATTGTTCGACAATTCCATTGTAAAGATGCTGTAATCAATTGGTATTTAATGCAGTACTAGCAACCACCTTCAATATGCAGCATGCAGTGTTTGGCCCACATAGAGGTGAGCCCACATTCCAAGAGGCTATACTCCACGTGCCGATCTGTTTAGCCATTGGCTGCAAGACGAGACACCAGTGCTGATCTGGACCTGACCGATTAGCCGCTGATTAGCATCTTTTTATAGACTAAAAATGAGCCAGCCGGTCTGATCCCAATGATCACCATGATACATGTTGGCCAGCGAGCCAATAAACTTTAGTTGCCCTGATGAAGGCTATCACCTAGCCTGACTACGCACTGGGCTTAGCTAGTTGATGCAACAGCCAAGCGGCTGCTGAGCCAATGTTTACGACACCCAATTCAAACCACAGGCGACACCATGCCTTGCAAAGCAGCAGTGTTTTGTAATACTCTGCACGTTTGATTGCGTTTCAGGGGAGAACAACACCACATATTTCCATTTGGGCTGACGATTGTCGTTACTAAATTTTCTGTTGTTGACGTAAAAACCTTTGCGATCTGCCACGTTCAAATACAAGTGCGAGTGTAAGAAACGGACTCCTTAGGATCGCAGCCAACATCTATATTTTTCGCCTTTAGGGATAGCATGGGATTGGCCCTCCCTCAGTGCATGCGGTTTTTATAAGCACTGTCGAAGGCTCGCATGACCCCGACGTCCATGAACATGTCCACTGATAAAGCTTTGCTGCTTTTGTAGACTTCTCTGGACAATGAGTGTGCGGCTCCAGCATATATGCCTTGGCTTACATCACCCTGGTCAGGTCCAACTGGGTAACAGCCCTTCCTTCGGTTCTATTGCCCTTCTATACAAAAATTCTGCCTATTGGTGTGGTTGGCAATCGCCCATGAGCCAGAAAATTGTTATCAAGGAACAAATTGCACTGAGCAATTTGTAATCTACCCATTCAGCTCCCCAAACCTGATTGACGGACGATCGGACCATACGTCGAGCAGGAATTCACAAGCTTTTACATGGATTTTGGACGGAGTTCAAAGTAGCTTCAGGCGAAATCCAGCTTGGGCGTCACCTTTGGACCCACCCTGTCTGCTTCACCTGGTGCCAGCACTGCTTCACCTGGCGCCAGCACTGTTTGCTTACAGTTACCCCTCATTTTTATTATAGTATTATTTTTCACCTATTGCATCATGAACAATCCTCAGCATGTCTTTGAAAAGCGGGCGCCGTATTACATGGATAAGGAGATGATAGAGAACCAGACCAGGCCATTCATCCCGCGCGATCCTGTTGGCCTGTCCGACCGCATCATCTTTGGTATTGGTCTCGCGCTGTACTCGTTGGCTGGGCTAATGACGCTGTATGCATGGCTAAATCGCAGCTATCCCCCGCTACGTGCCAAAAATCTTCCGCTGGCGACTATGATGTGGGTCGGAGCATTCGGATGGTTCATTGGCTCGGTGGTTAGCAATGGGCTTGTTGAGATTGAGGGGGTGTGGCGACACTGCATTCTCCCAGCGGTTTGGATCCGCATCGGGTTTGGATACACATTTACGTGCTCAAGCCTGTTCCGGGTTTACCTGCTGGACCGCATCTTTGTTCAGCGGCGTTCGGCACACGGCGTGCGGTTCCATCTGCCTATATTTCTGTTTATCCTTGTGGTTCTTTTGTTCTGCATCATCAGCACCGTACTTCCCAACTACATGACCGTCATTTATCTTGACAAGTTCAAGTCCTGTCACTATGTCGCCCCATACCGCTTCGTGTGTCTGGGCATCGTTGCCTCGCTATGGTCGGTTGTTGCCGTTCTGGTGTGGCGCATTCGCAATATCCATACTGCATTCAACGAACGGTTCGAGACTGTTGCCATTGCTGCCATGGCTTTGTCGACAGACATAGAGATGATTGTTGTGCACATTGTGTACCTGCACTACGCACAGAGCCGTGCCGTCAGGTCAATGGCAGTCATGTTTGATTTGACCATGGGATGCACCGCAAGCTTTATTCTGCTAGTGTATCCAGTCTACCAGTGCATCTTCCACCGCGAAGAGTACCTCCAAAAGTGGCTACTCAAGCTGTCTCTTGACGGATTGCACAAGGAGTACTTGGATGAGACGCATCACGTAACAAACACCACAGACTACGCCGAGGTCCGTGAACAGTCAACAACACGTTTGACCAGCGGGAATACCGAAAAGACTTGTGCTCAGGCCGGAAACGGCGACACTATTGGCATGGGCCAGGTTGCTTATAGGGAATATGCGCAGCCGCCGTTCAATCCGTTCCCTCATCCAGACGAAGGAGGGGGCTCGCGTATCATTCTGTAGTTAGTGAATGGCGTTTCCAATAAACTATGACTAGAATCAATTATCGGCCAGCTGGTGTCGAGCCGCCGCTGGTTCCGCATGCACCATTTGTCCACAGTCCAAGCTGCCTCGGTGGCATCTTGAATACAACTCAGAATTGAGCATTACACTGGGGTGCCTAGACGGCGGAGAATGTAGTTACACAAACTATATTCCTCCATCGTTACATCCAGGGATTTGCCTTAAAAGACTAAATCGAACACAAACAGTAACCCCTCAGCTATACTTGGGACAGCGGTGGTATACTAGCGGCTAAACAAACATTTCGAATCGCCTCCGAGATCGTGTTGCAGAGATTTGCCGGACATTTATGAGCACTGCTCTCGATATGCAGATCGGGTTACTGGTGCATCCGTGTTCATAGCCGTGATTAGACTGCATGGAGTTCTAATCACGGCTGAGCGGACATTGTCCAGAAGAACTAGGTGCTTGGACCTCTGTGAACGGATAGGTTCAAATGGTTACTACGGAGGTGAATATAAACAGACTTACCACAGTCGATATCTCTAAAGTATTCTCTCTAGCCAACGATATTCCCTTGCACTGGCCTGGACAGACACAAGTGACCAAGAGGCACCATTTGATCTATGCAAACAATTCGCAGATAAGCTCCGAAATAAAGGGTTTGGCATATTAGCCGCAGGCCAGCACTGGGAGCATGAATCAGACGACCACCGGGTCCATTGGCAAAACTGCATGAATTATTGCGATCGTTGCGATGTCCTTTCGATGCGGTTGTGTTATTTCTCCGGGTTGAGCCTGGCCAGTGATCGGGGATGGCATGAACACAAGCCAATGCGGTACTTTCTCCACTGGCTACTCCTCCCCAAAATAAACCCGCCTTTGTGCTATAGCAACAAGCTTGCAAAGCTGCCATACGCCCCTGTGCCCAGGTGCGTTGTGGAACAAACATGTAAGAGCGAAGCTAGGCATGGATGACAAAGGGGCAAGAGTGATAGCAAGCACCCCTTTCTACAACCCTTGCCGCCTCAGAGTATAAAAAGTATCCTGCCGTCGCCCAGGGCTCATTGCGCCCTATTCAGCTTACGCACCATTGAATTTTTCTCTATATACCTGTCCATTGTCATATGCACAGTAGTTGGACAATGAACCACAATTACTCTATACCCCAGTACCTGCTTGAGCGCGGCGACAATGCGCGCGAGTACCGCCGAAGACGCTCTAGCTTCTCGCGGAGCAGCATCTCCTCAGACTCACCACCACCCACGTCCTCGGGCCAGCCAAAGGACCTGCTTCTCACGCTAGATGATGAGCGGTCGCTGCCCACCGCGGACGAGCTGCAGTCTTTTGACATCGAGTCATTCTCAATGTCCTCGCATCCGTCTAACGGCAGCATGCCAAACAAAAGGAGCACTGTGATGAGCAGCACGCCATCCATGTACTACAGCACGCCGACCGAGGTCAGCAAGCTGATCTCTCCTGAGGAGTTCATTCGTGTGCAGCGGCCCCGCAACGCATCGATTACCGCCGGCCAGCGGTTCGGCATCGCCAAGCCAAAAATCATTAATTTCTAGACTCGACCTTCCAAACCTGTATTCTAATTCCAAACCTTCGACAGAAAATGATGTTTCTGAATACCTTCTTAAATGGTGTCTTGCTCCGTGTTCTCGGGTATTTGTTGTTTTAGGTTAGAGCAAATAGCACACATATATCTCCACTAGCCTAAGGCAAAGGTGAATCAGCTAAACCCAGAGGAAAAGAAACATAGCAGCAGGTGGAGATGTGCGGGGAAAAGAATTGCTTTCAAACTGCTCCACATTATCGTCTCTGACTACAGCATGTTTGGACCTGCTTTTGCCGCAGGTGCGGAGGAGTGCGGTATATAAACGCTGTCTGGTGCAGCCAAAAAGAGGGTATACCTGCCGAGTGGTTTCCGTGCCTCCTTAATATCCTCACAGCACCTCAATTCTACTACAATGGATTGCATTCCGTCGTCATCATATATCTCGGTCCCTTACCGTTCAATTTCCGAGACTTCACCGAGCCAGGTAAGCCTGGGGACGCGTCTACGTAGATCGCTAGTGTCGAGATGGTCTTCGGTCGGTTCACCCACGCGCGTGCGGCGACCATCTGGATGCGAATCAGGAGATTTAGTGGGCCCACGCCAGGTGCCCACCTCGAAGCAGTCTGTCAGAACCCTCAAACTGTGCCGGGCCGCACACCACAAGGAAGAATTGCACGGACTGCCGGCTCTTAACACACTCGGAATCAGCAGCCCGTTTGAGATTCCCCAATTCACAGATTACAAGACCCCCGAGAGTATGCGGTCAGCAAACACGTATGTTGGCAGCATCCGCATTGTAGATGTTATTGGCACAGTGTCAGTTGCACATCTCTCGGCGACATCTGGGTACCGCCTGGCCAAACCTCGGCTTGTAAAGGCGCAGGCTATCTATTTATAAACACGCATACACATGTATGCGCACCTCTTCTTGAGCTCCGTTTTCTAATGCGTGGCGCTGTCAGCAATTTGAACCCATCGCTTTTAGTTGCCGTCGTCGCAAAAAAATGTTGAGAGAACAACCGCCATGGATTGTCTGGGAAAGGGCCAATATGTACTAAAGCGGATGCTCTTGAATCAAATATTTTGTTCACGGCAAAAGAAGTGATTCTAGGAACAACAAGGGGTGACTAAAGTTAGTAGCTGGGGAGCAGAGGCGGGCCAGCCCGAAAACTCGAGCCGAAGCACGCGGTGTTTATGCTTCTCTCACCCCCGAATTGATACTGGGCGGCATTTGTTTCCGTTTCATCACCATTATATTTGAGTCTACACATGCGACAGGCAAGAGAAGGTTGTTTGCCTCAGTGTGGGTGGCCAGGACAGAGCCCCAGTGTTGTTTGCATGCTTCTCTCGGTAACTGCTCTCTTCGCGTATGCAGATGCTCTTTTCTCCCTTCCTCAGGAGCCATATAAAGGGTGTGGGTACGCCGCCCTTCCTTGCCTTTCCCCTGAAGAGCCGACCAATAACCTATCCTACATACCACCCCTCCTTGCCCTCCCTATTTCCTACCCTCTCATTTCTATCCGTGTAGTTGATCTTCCGCTGGTACAGCATGCCGTCTGTAATCGACAGTTCTTGCCCAGAATTCCTCGTGTCACGCGGGTTGACCGTCCAGTCCGACAGATACCGGCGCAGCGACAGCACCCGGCGCCTCCGCACCTTCAACCAAACGATTAGCCGCAGGCGGCCAGCGCTCCCGTCGTTCGAGAACCCCAGCGAGCCCCACCGTCCAGAGCTAAAAATAAGCCAGCGAATAGCCTCTACCACGCCTCCTCTGGCCGAAGTCATTGATGAGCTCCTGAAGATCCTCAATGGCGATGGGTCCAAGTGAGAAGAAAACGGTGCTAAATAACTGTTCCACAAAACCTCATTACAAGTAATAATACATTCCTTTAGCAGACTGGTCTCGCTACGTCTCCCGCAGGCTTGCTTTTCTGCCAGGGCATGCTGCGCAAGATCCGCCGAATGCCTAACTGAACGAGGTTGGGTTACCTTTTTATCGAAAATCCCCTGCGGGTGGGCGTGAAATGGTTGCACCTGTGAAACAATCACGATCCCGCCTCTGGGCGTAGGGGCAAAGAACAAAACCAAGATGGGCGAGTGCTCGACAGCAAGAAGAGGCCAGGGTTCCTTTCGCCTGACCAAGCGATCTCGTGTTAAGCGTGGGTCCAAGCCAAAGCAGCAGGGCCTGTTACAGTAGCACCAACGGCCGACAATTTTTTTCGAGTAATAACTTTTGTTTTGGTTTTCGGCTTGCCGCGTCCGCAGGCGGGGCTCCAAAGATTGCAGCTGCCTACTGCTAAGCAGCCAGCAGAAGGGAATCCCAGAGCATCTCGCTCGTTGCTCCGGCTAAAGAGTATACCGTCTACTTTACCCCTCTTTCGCTGAAAATAGTGCCCCTGGCAGGATAAGAAAAGTAGCTCTGTGGCCAGGACCCGTCTTTGTAAATCTTGTATGCACAAGGCGTTTAGCCTAGACGCAGGACGTGTGCGAATAGTAGCGCGCAGGATGGAGTGCTATCACCGCGACAAAAATAAATAGCACCGTGGCGTGCGTCCGGCGCTCAATTTGGTCTAACGCTGGGTGCGAGCGATCGAGAATGACGCACGTATTCTGCAGTGGCAGGTCCAACAAAGAACCTTTATATGGAAAGGAAGACGCTGGCTGACTGGACACAATGCGGCATCCAGTCCAAAAATAGACCCGTCCAAGCAGCCCACAAGCGGGTTGGCAAAATTTTCTCTAATTCTGGCCTGCGCTGCAGGCTTAGGTGCCAGGCATGTCAGCGGGTGCTTGTATAAAAGCAACCGGCGCAGGGCCAAGGTTACCTAGAGGGCAGCTTTTTGTTTGGAACACATACCACCCTCTTCTCCCCCTTTTTATCTTGCAACATCTAGTCTTACCTCCTGCTACACAACTATTAATTTCCTTTACATAATGAACATGAGCGCAGCCATCCCCGATTACATTCTGAGCTCCGGCCTGGTTGCTCAGCGGACACGGTGCCGTGTGCTTTCGCGGCACACAAGCACGAGGTCCCATATGACCGCCTCCACAGTTGGCTCGGACCAAGAAATCGACGTGCCGTTGCCAGAGGCAGTGGAGGATTCCGAGATCAAGTCGGTCCTGCGCTTCGTCACTTCGGCGCAGAGCGCGTGGCCCCAGGATCTGCGGTTCGATGTTCCTCGGATCATCAATTTTTGAGCACCGCTTTTTCGCACACCCACCATCCTAATTAGCCTGATACGCTCCTGCCGGGGGGTTAGACCAGCGGGTCCTTCTGCCCAGAAAAAAGCAAGCCCGTCCAAAATCGCATTCCTGTACAGTACTTCTTCACTTGAACCTTATCACAATATACACATTTCATTCATTTGCCCATTCTCCCAGCTTAACAACCCAGCGCGTCTGCACCAGCGACAAAATATAAAAACAAGTTTATTTTTAACAAAGGAGGAAATAAGACATGGCAGACGGTTTTGTCCGCCGTATTACAGATAACAACAGACCAATTTGTGTTCATGGCTGCGACATGTGCAGAGACAATGGCGGGAACTGAACAAGTCTCGGCGCAGCCCGCTGTGTGGCGAACTCTGCAGCAATGTCAATGGCCTGGGCGCCGTTGTGGATAACACAATCCTTGCCAACGTACTCAACGTGGGCATCAGAGAAGCGCGGGTTTATCGATGCGCGCGATGGCGTAGGGGAGGCGGGCGGAGTTGCCATTGCCCGGACCTTGCACGACATTGGCCGCCCGACGCCAGCCGATCCGGGCAGCAGCAGCTTCAGCGGAATTGGCACAGAGGCCCGTGACTTGTTGCGCCGCATCGCCATCGTCATTGACCCCATTGTGCTTGGCCGCTGTGCTGTTTCGTCTGGCGTCGGGATCCGCTGGAACGTCATTGATGTGGGCGATGTCATGTAGGTTGGGCTGGTCGGCTGCGAGTGATCAGGCTGGTACGGCTTGGTCGCCTCAAACATGCGCTGCATCAGCATGAGGCTGCGCCGCCGCCGCCTGAGCCGCGATGTCTGCGCAGACATGCCCTGCAGAAGAACCAGATCCCGATATATCTCGGACTCAGGCACCCGATATTCGTAATCGTCAACAAGGCTGTCAGTCATTGTTGCATGTGTAGCAAATTAAAAATATAGCGTTGTACCAACGAAGACCTAGATGGTAGAGCAGGAGAGAAGGGGTGTGAGGATTGAGCAGTGGAGATGGACGAGAGGACAAGGCGGGGAATTTTGTTGCTGAGAAATAAGAAAAAGTACAGAAATAGTAGTGGTTTGCGATATGAAAGTTAATTAGGAGAGTGGGCTGGGGCTGTTGTACAGAGGACGGTTTTAGCAAGGGGCGGGTTGGGCGCGGGACAGCCTATTTATCCCCCAGGGCAGACCGCTGACTTTTTTTTTTTTTTCTCTCGCTGGCCAGGTTCTCGAGCAAACACAAAAAAGCAGCTGCGCTTGGGGTTTCCGTGGCTGGGCTGCTCCGCTCGCCCACCCTCAGCAGGCATCCAGGGCTAGGAATTGGTTGGAGTTGGGATTGCGGAATAAGGCAATCGAGTCGCATTTGGATTTGCGAGGTCGGTCCATCTCTTTCGCGCTCCTCATTTCCTTTGCATCGAATGGTTGCACACAACATGAACGATATCAGAGTAGCAGCAGCGAACATGCGCCGGTGTTTATTTGGATACACGAGATGGCAGCCAGCTGGAGGTAAATTAGATGGCATGCATGGCACGCCACCCCTCGCTCCTTTGACAACAACGACGAGCGAGCAAGTCATATGGTGCGCGTCGGTGGGCGCTTTATTTTCTTATTTTCGGGCAGAGAGAAGAGATGGGAAAAATGTTGGTGCAGTTGGGGGAGCGAACGCTTGTTCGCCTGGTGCGAGTGGCAAAGCCACCCTCAATGTAGCCCGATATGTCGAGACTACATACCCCATTGTTGTTGTGGTGTCGCGGGCTCTGGGCGATTGTCTGCAACAGAGCATTTTTAGAGAAATATCCGTTCCACCGTGGCAGACGTGACCCTTCCGCCGGGCACATACTTGGTGGCTATTGTCAGGCTGACGGCAGGCCAAACCGCATTGCGTCGCAAGAAATTAATTGGGTGCTGCATTAATTGCCTGGGTCATGGACCGCTGTTGCCGGCAAAAGGCAGACAAAAGAAAGGGAATGTGGTTCCCATGTGCCTGTGATGTCTACATTCCCTCATACCCTGTCCGCGTGCAGCACACCGGGGAATGCAGCATGTGCCTTGCCATATCCGACAAGCCAAACGGACTTGTATTCTAAAAATAAAGCCAAAATGCGACTATCGAGATTGTGAGCGCAAACAGCCTGTCGGGTTCCCCCCGAGCCGGGATATCACTCTGGGACGATGATGATATTTTTGCGTGCATGCCGGGCTGGCTTCACGGGCGGCTGTTTTTGCTGCTGCTGTGGTGGGGCGACACCAGGTGCGGGCTTGGGCTCAGTTTTCTCGGCTGATTCTTCTTGTCTGGTCGCTGCGTGTGCCGTCTGGTCGCTCACCTGGTCCGGTGCAGGATTTCCGGCATCGCTCGCTGGCAGCTGATCAGGCAGCGGTGCAGGAAATTCAGGCACAGCACCCTCGGTGAACAGCGGCTCCTGACCAGTCTCGGCAGCCTGGGCATTGTTGGCAAGAGTCACCTGCTCAGTATTGTCGGCAGCAGATGGGAAAATGTGCGCCTTGAGCTGCGGACTGACCTTGTCCAGACGGTCCCATGACGCAGTCCACAATGGGCTTGACTCGCGGTCCGTGCCGAATAGCCCCATTGTGTCGAGAACAAGCACACAGTTCTTGATATTCTCTTCCGCCAGCTCCGCCAGCACCCCCAGGTGTCCACGCCGCGGTCCGGGCTGTGTCCGTCGCAGATGCCTGAGTGGTCGAATCGCCGCGCGGCGACAGCCTCGAGCTCGCCAGGTTGCTGGTGTGGATATATGTGCCCAGAACACCGACCAATCGCAGCCATACCTGGTCAAGCGGCAGCACTGCTGCTTCACTGCCAGTGCCTTGGTCGACAGCATGCTCTGCGGTACTGCGCGGTGACCCTGGGGCTGCCCCCTCAGTACCCGCAAGCTGCTGTAGACCAGCAGCGTTGTGCAAAAAGTACATTGCCAGCATGGAAATGCAGCGGGCGTGCGTGTCCTCCATCGCCTGGTCCGCTAGCAGATCCGGCCGGAGCAGCGTGTCCATGAGCGGAAGCAGGATGCGGTGGAACGTCGCGGCAGCCCAGGCAGCATCTGGGTCGGAATGCGCCGAGATGGCCCGCTGGACATTGGTGCATGCCAGATGGCGGATGTCGCGGTGTGCTGTGCACGCATACGCAGCCATTGAGTTCATAGCAGCAATCCACATGGCCATTGGGGTCATTTTGCCCGGCGTCCTGCCAAGCGGCAGCACCGACGCATGCGATGTGACCGAATGCTCGCCAAAAGCGTGCTGGTGGGATGCAGACGCCATATGCGGCGAAGCTGCCATACTGGGCGACATTGCTGCATTGGTGGTCTTTGGCTGCGTCCTCGCAGTCTCCTGCATGTCGTACAGCAGCGCCACAAGCTTCATCGCAACATCGGCTGCCGAAAGCTGCTGGGATGTCTCGCCTGATGGCTTAGCTGCCATGGACGAAATCAGCTCACGATCGGCAGGCATAAACGCAGACAGGATGTCCAGCACATCAGCAAAGTACACTGATAGCTCGACAGCCCCGCTTCTGATCAGAATCACAATCTCAACCAGCACTGACAGCGCCTGGCGGTTGATATCCGAGGTGCTGCTATTGGTGCGCGCAACGCGCTTGATTAGCTGCCGCACAATCTCCCAGCTCGTCGAGCCTGCAATTAGGGCATGCCCATCAGTATCAACGAGCTTCGCAATACCAGTCACCAGCTCTGGTACGACGCTGTCGAATGTCGCGTCCTGGGCATCGCGCAGCAGCCCGATACACCGGAGAATGCGCTCAACAACATCCATCAGTGGCGTCCCGTTGGCCTCCTGCTTGGTGCTCAGATCGAGTGCACTGATGGCCATACGCAGAAGCCCGCTGACAAGCCGCTCCAGCGCAAAATGGTATAACGTGTCGGATGCCTCAAGCGTGCGCTGCAGTGGCTGCTCGATGCACGACCAGACAAGTGGCGCCCGCGCAGGCGACTTTTCGACCAAAGCGACAACTGCCTCAAAGAAGAACACCGAAGCTGGCGAGTAGTTTATCTCGATCTCGTCCGCCACGGCGCCACCGGTTGGGTCATTGCGCCCAGGCGACCCCGCAGCTGCTGGCTTCTCTCCACCAGACTTGGCCGTGTCATCGATGGGCGTGCCTGGTGGCGTGGGCAGCGGCTGCGGGAATAAATCAGGACATGGCCGACAGCAGGGCCGGCAGCGACGATTCGGGAATCCGTGAAAAGTCGACAAGCCTATCGACCGCAGTGGCCTGGACTGCGAGCTTGCTGCGGCGGACCAGCTCAACCAGCACCTCGGGCTGCTCGCGCCAACGCCACCGGAGCTCGCGACGCGGGCCCATGGTCTGCGCCTGGTCATTGGGTCCCGCACCGCCCAAGAACGATGTCAAGGCCGAGAACAGACCGCCTGTAGGCTGCGCTGCCTGGTGCGCACCGGCTCTGCTGGACTGCCTCGCGCGCATGCGCTCCTTGGCAGCATCCCTGGCCAGTACTGTAGAGATGCGCGGAACCCACATATTGCCGACAAGCAGGTCGCCAATGCCAAGCAGATCGTGCGGCAGCAGATCAGCATCGATGACTATGCGCTCAATCTCCAAGATATCTGCCCACCCTTGCTCGCCAATCTCGGTCGGCCACAGCGCCGCAAACTCAAACAGCGATACCAGCGCGATCTGGCCACGGATAGTCCTTGCCAAATTCTAGAGCGACATGCGTCAGCTGCCAATCCTTATCCTCTTGCTCGCGCAGCCTGGCCACCTGCTCCGAGCCAGCAAACCCTTCAGCAATGGTACCGATGGCTGATGCTGGCGACTCAGGATCGACAATGGCAAAGCGACCATTGGCCTGGGTCAGCACCTGCGGTGCCATCAGATCGCTATGCAATGAGGGATCGAGGAGACCGGTCAGCTGCGCCATCAGTCGCAGAGACTCGTCGACGCAGGCGCCTAGCCTGTAGTGCGCGGCGCTGGCCACCAAAGCATGTAATCCCGACAAGGCGAGGCGCAGTGTGTGGTCGCTGGAGAAGTGTGACAGAATGCGAGCCAAGGCACGCAGCAGTCCGCGGCCAGGTAGCTGCAAGCACACCGCGGTCGTACTGGGCCGTGCGGCCACGCGTAGTCACCCACGGCCCCACAGTCGAGTCATCCGAGGATATTTCACGCCACGCATAGTCAAAGCCGGCCTCGCCCTCGTGCTCTTCGGGGAAGATGATCTCGCGGTCGCGGATCGCATTGTAGACGTCGGTCAGGAACCCGGTGCGGAAATCCTGCCCATCGTTGACACCGCGCAGGTTCCGCGCAAAGTCCTCGAAGCGCATGCGGTTCTTGACCTTCACCGAGTGCTGGTCGACGTTGAGCATAATCACAGCGTACGACAGAATAAATCCCGCGTCCTTGTTGGCCACGTCTGCTGGGTCGCTGGCTGAGTATGCTGCAGCAAACGTCTCCATGATCCGCTCGATCTGCTGCGACTCGCCAGGCAGTCTGAATGTGCCCAGCATGCTGCGCAGAGCCTCGTCGAGCCGGCGACCTGAAAAGTCAAACAATTGGATGTATGACTGCAACACCTCCAGGTTCGATGGCTTGGCCAGGAACTCGCCCAGCAGCTTCTTGTCAAGCGTCGGCGTCTCCCGCAAGGAATCGTGCCAGCTGCTGCGACAACTCGGTGCTGTTATCGGGCGGCAGAACGCCGACCTTTTGCAGGTATGCGATCCCGTCCTTGGGCTTCTCGTTGAAAAGCTGCGCAGCGCGCGTCATGGTTTCCTTGTGCTTCTTGCGGTCCTGCAGCTGCGCCATGCTCAGCGGAATGTCAGCTGCAGATTCGTAGCATGCGGTCTGCTCGCGGTAAGCACCCTGGATATCCGCTGGTTTGCCGCAGCCTTCATCAGCACCAGCAGGAAGGCCAAGCAGCTGCGCCCACTTTCCATGCGGCGGCTTAACACCAGCCCGATTGGCGATACGGATCAGGAAGAACAGCATGATATCCAAGAACGCCTCGTCCTCAGAGTCATCGGGGCTCTCGGGCCAAGGAACAGCGCGCTGGGTGAACAAAGGAGATCAAAAAGTCAAACATATTGCCGCGCTGCATATCGCAGTCATAATTGACCCACAGGTCCGGTAATCAGCGACTCGTCTCCAGTCAGTAGATGATGCAGGCCCTCGAGCAGCTGGCGACGCGTCTCGTGCATCGCAATGCGGCCACGGACACCCTTGCGCAGCGAGGTCTCCTTGTAGAGCTCGACTTCCTGGTCAAAAGACAGCGGATATTCGTTCTCAAGCAACTGGCGACATTGGAGGCAAGGCCTGGCGCTGGTGGCTGCACTTCAGGTGCGCTGAATGTGCTAACTGAGCTGCGACGATGTGTCTTCTCAGTATGTGGCTGTTTAGATGCTGTCTCCGAGATCCCCAGGCCGACATCGTCCTCGCGTTTGCTCTCTGCCATGACACGCGCCTTGGACTGTCCGCCGCTGTGGTCCAGCACCAAGCTTGGGCGTAGCACGGCCAGATCCAGGAGTCGCTGTCCCACCATTCCGCAAATTCGCCCGGCTGCCTTGGCGCTCAATCACTGGTGGCGACATGATGCGGACCAAATGTCTGGCACAAAAACAGTTCCAGATGCCCTTGGTATCGCGTCTATGCGAAGCAAACAGCAGAAAAAGCACACGCAGCGCCGGTGCAATCAATACTGACTGGTCGCGCTGGAGGACAAGCAGCAAATAGTGGCTCAGGTCGCCCAGAGTCAGCTCACGCAGCGTCGCAAAGGTTGCCATGGCTCCCCCAGCCGTCTGGAATGCCACCTGCAGCGTATTGAGCGCCAGCAGCCGCATCGAGTCTGTGTACTGCAGATCGCGTGGGTTCACAAGCGTGACTAGCACACGGTACAGTTCGCGGATCGCTGGCAGCGAGAAGCTGGTAAGCGCGAGCTCTTCAGCGGCAGCTGTCAGATCAGGCGCAGAGTCAGCACGCACGACCGGATCCTCAGCGCTTTCGCTTCCGTTTTCATCTTCGTTCTCAGGTTCATGGATCGACACAGGAGCCGATGTCGCTGGTGGGTTGGAGGGGCCTGTCGACTCGCTGCTTCGTGCGGTCTGTGTTGACCAGCATAGCTGACGCGGAGGGCATGATCATGGCCAAATCCTCAGCCTCAGTACGGCTCTCCTCGCCCTTTGCCCTCCTGCTCATTAACATCGCCCAGCATAGTGTTGAGCTTGCCAAATACAAACGTAACCAGCGTAAATAGCGTTGATTCGGCAGCCTTGCGCAGCATCTCACTGAGGCGCATCTGGCAGCTCATGCTCAGCACCGTCTCCATGATCTCGCACACAACGACGTCAGTCAGATGGTGGCCGCCAGGACTCAGGCACAACGGCACTGAGCACATTCAGGATCTGCATCAATACAGCCTCGTCAGATGCTGCATCGGTTGCCTCGAACCGACACTGCGTTACCGCACGAGCTAGCTCCAGGAACACGGGCGCTGCTGCCGAGCGGCCAAAGTCAATGATCCCGTGGGCCAGAAACCGCTGCACGCTGACCAGAGTGCAGCGCGTAATTGGCCCGGTTGTCTCTGCGTCGCGAATCACCAGCAGGAACGGATCGAGCAACTGCTGCGGGTCCATGGTGCGCGGATCCGACACTGCCATTGATTGCCTCGCGCAAGAGCAGGAACGACTCGAGCATCATGATCCGGCTAACTGCATATGCATCGTCTTCGCTGTCGTCGTCCCTGGCTCCAAATGCCGCCATGCCAATGCTTGCGCCAGCCTTGCCGAAGCTGCGTCGGCTGTTAAATTCGTCCATGTACTGCTTGATTTTGGCGCTGGTCCATACTGTGCTGTCCGTGCCCGGGGCAGAGGGTGGTTCTAGCTTTGACTTGTGTAGGGCCTGGTGGAGCCCGGGCCAGCGGCTGCCGCCGACCCATCAGGGCGCCGATACCATCACGCTCAACCACTTCAGCCCACAGCGCATTCTTGCGTAGCTCCCGCACAACCGTGTCTATTTCGGCCTCAACCAGCAGCCGCCAGGCATCTGTCGACAATGCAGCAGTCATCCTTCAGTATGAGAGAAATATATGGAAAATAGTGTATGGTAGTGGAATTAGGACTAGAAAACAAGTGGTGATGCTGCCTAGCTGGAAAACGAGTCGGGTCTGCTGCCAGCAGCAGGGCGTCTGCGAGATGCATGTGTCGTGAGTTAATGGCGTGGCCCAATCATGTGCGACCGCTGATATCTGGGTTGCGAAAAATTATATCATCTGATCTAAAACGCTGGCAGTCCTGTGGGATTCAACCTCGGCTTTTTCCACACGCCCAGCGTAGAGCGCTTGACGAAACTTTCTTTCCAAAAAATCCCAACTTTAGTTTATCGGATTCAAAATGGTAAAATATCGATGGATGCGGCGCGTTGGCGTTCTGAGGCATGAAGGCTGTGTCTGCGGGCTGAGATGGCATGCGTTTTAGCGGACCGATGGATACGGGCGATCTGGCAGAGGACAGAGCGCAGAAATAATTTCTGCAGAGCCCATCGGGTGAAATTGACAGAGAGCTGAATTTCGTGCTAGAGTTCGGGACCAGTGGGCGCCAATTGGGAGCGCGCTGCCATTTCACTCACTCGTTCCCAGCTGCAAACACCCCCACGTTCTGACCACCTACGGCCAGAAACTGGGCGCTTTGTTTCAGAGGGGCATTTCGCGGAACGACGCAGAATCTCGCCCTGCACAACCCAGCCTTTGCCTCACGAGCAGCAACACAGAAAGCCTAGCCTGCCTTTGAGCGGGAGAGATGGAAACAGAGCCCGCTTTATGATGGAACGCACCACAACTAACTCTGATGTGTCTGAACGACCACTGCCGTCCTTTTAGGGTATCGACATCGCCAAGAAGCACCAGCGGAACAAGAACCGTTCCGCTCCCGTGAGCGACAACGTCTACCTGCTGCTGCTGGTGAAGCTGTACCGCTACCTGGCTCGCCGCACTGACTCGAACTTCAACAAGGTCGTCCTGAAGCGCCTGTATATGTCGCGCATCAACCGCCCGCCCATGTCGCTGTCGCGCCTGGTGTCGCTGTCGAAGAACTCGGCTGCCCAGACCGTTGTCGTTGTCGGCACCATCACCGACGATGTCCGCCTGGAGGTTGTCCCCAAGATGTCGGTCGCTGCCCTGCACGTCACCAAGACTGCCCGTGCCCGCATCCTGAACGCCGGCGGTGAGATCCTTACCCTCGACCAGCTTGCTCTGCGCGCCCCGACTGGCTCCAACTGCCTGCTGCTCCGCGGCGAGCGCAACGCCCGTGAGGCCGTCAAGCACTTCGGCCGTGCCCCTGGTGTCCCTGACTCCAACACCAAGCCGTACGTCCGCTCCAAGGGCCGCAAGTTCGAGCGCGCTCGTGGTCGCCGTGCCAGCCGTGGCTTCAAGGTCTAAATTTCTCTCTCGGATCGCTCCTTTACTTTTTCTTTGTTCTCGAGCAAAAACAACGAGTGAACATTTTAATGTGTTCTGCAAATGTCCGCCCGTGGACTGAACATACATGGGTTTGCTGACTGGGTTGGGCTACATCAAATGTGCTAGTATTAGGATGGCATATATTGGATGGTAATGGAGCGAATTGAAACGACTTGAAAACTAACATTTCACCTACTTCTGGGTGATGCTGCCATAGGGCAGAGTCATGAATGGCGAGGCTGTACAGGGCCTGGACGCGTGCCCTGCTTTGAGATGCTGGTAGCCTTGCGCAAGGCGCTGACACGCGACAGCACGGGCGGCATTGCAGCCGGCACCTGCGTGGATGCCTTCACCTGGTCCGATACCACGCCCTCCTCTTCGATCATCTCGCCAGCGTGGTGCTGGTTCATACGGCGCAGACCCAAGAATGATGGCCGCTTTGGCGGGAAGTATCTGGACGAGTTGTTGCTACGGCCGATCATCGCCAACGGTGTTGCTGCTGCTGTTGCTGCTGCTGGCGCCAGAGTTGGTGGGAGCCGCCATGACCGGCGAGTCCAGCAGCTGACTCGCCTGACTCGCTGTCAATATCGTCGCCAAGGGTCTCGAACAGCTCCGAGGCCACCAATAGCTCCGGGCTGGGCGTCCGGGACCGGTGAATCGGGATTCTCGGGGATCCGCATGTGCCTTTTGCTGAGAGCGCCGCGGATCTTGGCCTTGGCTGTGTGCAGCGTGGTTGGCCAGCAGACCAGAGTGCTTCCGGGCAGTACGCGGGGGCACCGGCGACTCGCCAGCAGCAATCGCTGGGTGATCGCCAGCATGGAGGCGGGACCCCGAGATTGTCTTGCAGAAGCTGACAGAGCGGCGCAGGATGCCAAGCCCAGCGCGTCTCACCAGCTCATGCAGACGCGTCGACGACTTCTCATTTGCGTGGTCGCTGGTCGTGTGCTGCGAGAACAAGCTGCAGCTATCCTCCCACCCTGACTTTGGCTTGCGCTCAGTGTTCTGGAACTTTAGGCTTCTTATCAGATTCCACGGTGATGCCGGGTGTGCCTTACGCTGCCTCTCGACATCGTCGGCGTTCGGGAACCCCGGGTGCGCAGTGGCAGTCATGGGCCTTGCGATGTTGGCAGAGTGCCACAGCGATTCCTCGTAGATGTCGTAGATCTTGTGCTGGTCGAGCAGCGAGCGAGAGGCGCGGCTGATCCGCCGCGGCTGTTGTATATTAGGAACATCATACAAGTAGCGGGACGCCCGCTTGGCGTGCTCCTGCAGGGGTGCTGGCAAGGCAGCGCCGGTTGATGCGGTCGAAAACGGGATGTGCATGGAGCCACGGTATGCGGCCTTGCTGCCAGGCAGTCCGCGCACGACGTTGGCCCAACCGGGCGCTTTCAGAAGCTCAGCCGACCCGTCCGATATGACAGTACTGGTTCCAGCAGAGTTGTCAGCCTCTGAGGATCCTGGCGACGATGTCGATGACTCAAATGACCTCTGCTGGTGGTAGTACGCGAGCGGCAACTCGTCGAGCGCCAGCACGCAGCTGAGCAGACCAGGAATGTTCCCGGGGTGCATTTGCTGCGACATTGCATTCTTGGTGTGTGTGGGGCGCATTGCAGGCATAGGCTCGTTTGCGTTGCTGAAAAGCAGGGCCGGGAGAGGAGGTTGTCGACTTGCTGATTCGCTTGTACTGGCTGCTACGCAAGCGTACTGGTGGTGAGGTGGGCCGAACAGCAGCTGCAGGACGAGACACGGATTCGGGGAACCGCCTTGGAGGAGAGGGGAAGGCAAAGAGATCAGGGGACGTGAGGGTAGGCATGTCTGGCTGCTCGTCCATATTCAGAGGGTTTGAGATGGAGGACCTATTTATTCCAGGAGAGATGTGCGAAACCAAAGCGTTGCGGAAGTATAGAGCTCCGGGTGATGTCGTCGTGAGTGAGGGTGCGCAATGCAAATGCTGATGATGCAGTGAGAAGAGATGTTGAAATGTGGGCACAGGCTGATATCCCAGAGTGAAAATAGAGAATGGGAGGGGAAGGAGATAGGAGCCAGCTGGAGACCGTGTGGGCGAGAGATTCTTGGAGGGTCCATTTTCTTCTGCAGGGTTGCAAACGTTGCTATATTACGTGGAGTATGCGGCTCGCCATACTTTTGCGCAATTTTTCGGCAACGTTTGGCCCAGCAACTCCCAAACATGTCCACAACAGTAATATTGGATGGCAATCCTAATTCAAAGATCCTATGTAAAAACCAATTACTTGGTCCGCGGCTTGACGTCCTCCTCGGCAATGGAGTGCAGGAAAATTGTGCTCTTGGTGGTGCCGTCGTTGTGCTGGAAGCCCTTGGACCAGTCGTACCCGGTGGCGTAGGCCAGGATTTTGCCGTCGCCACTGATAGTCGTCGACAGCACCGGCCCGCCCAGGTTGGTGAACGACTTGAGCTTTTGCCTGGCATCCTTGTCCCAGAACACGATCGACCCGTCGGAGCCAGCCGTGCAGAAGGTACCGGTCACGGGGTGCTGCGACATGGAGTTCACAGCGTGCACGCCAGGTGGCCATCGGGTCATCGGTCGTCCGATGGCATTTGAACGAGAAGTTCTTGTCCTTGAGCTTGTCGTCAATGTACTGCACGCCTACACGCCCCTCAATCGAGCCTACAGCGAACCCGTCCTTCTTTACAAAGCACGACAGGCTGCGCGTCTGCCACTTGAGTGGCGAGTCCAGGGTTTTGAACGGTTGCGTCGGGTTGTTCAGGTCAAACACGTGCACCTTGCGGTCCGCTGTGCCCACAACCATCAGTGGATGCAGCGAGTCCATGGCATAGATACGCTCGTTCAGCGTCACCACGCCCAGCGGGCTCGGCTGCCGCAGGTCCCAGTACTTGACTGTCTTATCCCAGCTACCTGTCGCCACAATCGGTGATGCGTTGTCTCCCTCCACAAACCGGATGCACCGGATCGTGTCGTCGTGCTGCGCAATTTGCACCGCCTGTCCCGTCGCCACGTCTAGCATGCGCCCTGCCTTGTCAGCGCCACCAGATGCGACCTTTGTTCCGATCGCGGCTCCATGCACAGCACAGCGCCGGTGCCTCGTGCGAGTACGCTGCTTTGCCTGTTGACGTCCCGTTGTTCTGGATGTCCCATACGCGCACCTGGTTGTCCCACGACGACCCAGCAAGCAGATATGAGTTCGGGCTGAACGCTATCTCGCTGACCGTGTCTGTCGGCGGCTGGCTGATTTCCGCATCCTTCGGGGGTTGTCTGAACATCATTCCAATGATTTACTCTCCGTTGGCTAGATTTTTGGGTTCCTTAAATGCCAAATGAGCTTTTTGCTTACGCGTCACCTCCTGTTTCCAGTAGAGTTGTCTAGAGCCTCAGCTGTGGCACAATTAATAAAAGAGCAGCTACCGAATTGAACAAGCGAATTGCTCGGAATAAAAAATTACAGTTTTTGGCAGTGAGTAGGGCAAAGGCGAAGGGCTGAGTGGGACAATACGTGGTCCAAAATTTGCTTTTTCAAAGTCTGCACACAGGCCTGCGTGATTGATTAACTTGGCGATCAGCCATTGCCACCTTTTGTCTTGAGGTGATGGAGTATGTGTTTATTGATGAGGTCTAGCACGAAACTACTATATGGTGTTTTTTTACAAAGGGCTTTTAGTACAAGATGGTTTATGATTTTTTTTCAGGGGTTTTGCTTGTGTTTTCTGCTTCGGGCTTTGCGAGCGAGCGAGAGCGCGAGAGAGCGAGGAAAGAGGGAATGTGCCAGCCCCATCATCAGCGGCTGCAGTGTCTACTGGACAACACCAACAGGCATTTCGGCCGTGTGGAACGACTCGGCAATGCTCCTGGCGCTATCATCATCAACTGCGCCAAACTCATCATCAGCAAACTCGTCGTCATCAAACTGCTGCGCGTACGCTGCCGCCGCAGCATCGTTGATTTCCCAAACAAGACTGCTGGCAGCAGGACCAAAACTCTATCAGCGAGTCTGCGTACAGCTTGCGAGTTTCACTCAGCATCTGCGTGATGCCCGCATTCTTCTGCAGGCACCCGACTATGCACTGAAGGGTGTTGAAATACAGCTCGCCGTCCTGGGGCAGTGCTCTGCGCAGCGTATCAAATGGCTCTAGGCCAAGTCCGCATTCCTGCATGATGTTGGTCTCGAATCTGGCAAAGTTGACAAACAGCTGGATACCAGGGTACACTGGCTCAAGCTGCCCGAGACACGCGTCTAGGCCATCCACCGTGTCATCATTGGCCAATGTCGTCAAACTGCAGCGCAGAAATCAGCTTTCCCAGGTCCTGGCCACCGAGATTGAAGGGCGTAAGGCGGCGCAAAAAATAGTATGTACCGCACAGGTTGGCGAGACCGACAGCGTAAGTGTGGTCCTTTACGGCCTGGTTCCAAGCGCGTTCCAGGGTAGTGCGCTCGGGCGTGGCAGGCAGCTTGGAAATATCCAACGTCTGCTTGAGTGCTGGAACAAAGGCCTGGGCGGTGAGACGCAGGCGCGTAGGCGATTCCACTAGACAGGGCCAGGAGGTGGCCGAATGCATCGGGCGCACTGGTCGCGCCCCAGAGTGCCTGGTCGGCCCAGATAAGTGACTTGTACGCTTGATACAGCGGAGTGAGGACCATGGTTGGTAGTGCTAGTGCTAGTGCTATATGCTAATGAGGTTGACTAGTAAGTGAGGGAAGGGGATAGTGGTAAAGAAAGGCGGAGAGTGATAGTCGAGTTTGGCACTCATTAACAAGGCTTTATACAGTGTTCCATGCCCCCTCATCCTTGCGTGGCCAAAGCAGCTAATGTTTTGCATTTGGCACAGCCGGTGCAAATCAATGCATCCTCACAAATGTGTGCGAAAGAGCAGCACAAGCAGCGAATGGTCATACTGGATGATTGTGTCGGGAGGGAACTGCGCAACACATGACCCGCCAGCGGCAAACAACAATCTGCAGCTGCAGACTACGGCGAAATCCCACCGGTAAATTCCTGGTCAGCGTGCTGACAGCTGCCCTTGCTTTTCTGTAAAAGACGGCTGTAGTGATGGGGTACATGTGTAGCCTCTTACCTGCGCCGCAGCATGTATACGCAGCCCAGACCTGGCCTTCAAACCGCAGCTGACACCGGAGCACCACTACTTGGAAGTAGGCAAGCTACTTGGCGGCCTGCCATCATTCGCAAGCCACTGCCAGGCACGGCTGTGAACGAACAAGTCACGGGAGGAGGTGGTTCAGAAAACACATTGTGTCATCGACTCGGCTCAGAACGAACCGACACTTTAGCTCGTATTAAGAAAACTCTGTCGCTTCGGACTTTGCAACCACAGCGTCGCGATATCCATCCCTCCTCCTCAATTACTTCGCATTTGCCTGAATTTTTCACTTTTTTCCCATTGCCACCAGTTGTCCACGTACCGTCGCCACACTGCATCGCGTGTTGTTTATTTAGTTTTGTTTTCAAGGGTCGTGCTGCTTCTTCCCCTTGTTTTTCTTTTTACTTGGCAAAAGGCAAAGAGAAACAACACGCAATTTGAACCTTCAAGAACAACTCCGTCGGAAACAAAAGGCCTGCACGGTTGAAGTAGTGGCATTGCTGATCTAGCCTGGTCCCTACGTCATACTAGTTCTGTATAATAAACACCACAACACCCTCTGCACAAAGGTAGTCCCAGTGCGGTATTGCCTTGGACTTTCGCCTACTCTTCTCGAGAAGCATTTCGCTAACGAGAAACGCAGTCGGGACATCGCCCTTTCAACACCCACCACCCAGGATCTTCATGTCATCCATGTCATCCATGGATGTCGATGCCAGTATTTCCAGAGCAATGAACACTGTTCTGACAGAGACTGAGCGAAAGCAGTTAGCTCAGGAGGAGTCTAAAAATGAGTTTTCACAACAAGGTAATTTTCCCGAGAAATCCAGATGATTAGCGGTGAGGTGGTTGTGCATGCTGCATTAGCACATAGCGGTGCGCTTGTGTATTTTCTTGGGCATCCCTGTATCTGAATTGCTAACATCTTTCCCACTTTAATCTGTAGATGCTATCATGGAGCCGACGACAGTGGCATTTGTAAATCAGTACCTTGAGGCGGGTGGCGCGCCGTTCAACATCATGCACCTGCTAATGTCGAGCTACGAGGGGCTGGCAGCTATGGCGAACATGGTCGCGCACGATATTCTCGGGACATATGGCGCCGATGAAAAGACGGCAATTCTCGAGACGCTGAACAGCAAGATCGTCGAGAGCTTTGACTATCAGTCGGCAGATCGGGAATTCGAGTCGTCGCATCCAGCTGCCCGAGTACATTGGTTCGATGCTTCCGCACCAGTTCTGGCGAAAGACAATCTACCGGCTCAGCGAGCGATACCCAAAGAGCACGATGCTCAGTGCGTCGATACAGTATATTGCCGACCAGGGCTATCAGGCAGAGATGACATCGCTCAACTCCGCATCGCTTCACACCCACGTGTTTTACTCGCTGCTGGCTGAATGCTTCGAGAAGGTGGCACCCGCAGATGACGACATAATCAAGGAACGCCTACGTGAACTGGTCAAACTGGTGTGTCGGCGCGAGCAGACATATGTGGTTGCGCAGTACGTGCTGCGGAATGTACGGCGGCGGGCTGGTGTTGGTGCCGCAGCACTGGCTCGCATCGAGGATGAGCTGGAGGCCGAGATGCTGGAATCATACGGCAGGACCGCAGCTGGTGATCAATATCCGCCTGCTGCTCGAGGGTTTGTGGTGGGCGGCAACGACTCGGTGGCAAACGCAGTGGCATCGATCATCCAGAGCGGACATGCAGCGCCTGGTGACGTAGTCTCGTTGTACAAGCAGTTCCACGCGGCACATACCAACAGGGCCGGGGATGCAGCATCGATACCACCAGTGCATATACTCCGCAACGACCGCGTGATGCTACCCATCATTGAGCAGGTGTTTGGCCATTTGTGGCACAGCACGCAGTTCAATGAGCGCACCGATCTGATGGATAAATACATCTGGCTCATCGCATACGGCACGCTGTGCACTGGCGACGGCACCCGTGCGGACGAGGAAGACGGTACCACCATCAGTCAGCTCGTGGACCAGCTCAAGGAGATCCGTACTGGACTGCCGATCAGCCCCCCGCAGACGCTGCTAAACAAAGTAGTGCGCAAGGTGCTCGAGTGGATTTCGGTACCTATTCTGGCACGGATCGTGCTCCTGTGGGTGCGCGGTGTCATTAGCTACAGCGATTTCTCTTTCTACCAGCTGTACTATCGCACCTCAGAAGCGCCGGTTCCACTGCTTCTGCTCGAGGAGATTGCATACCGGCACCCACTGCAGAAGCCGCAGGTGTTTGCTGCATATTGCGAGAGCTTTGAGTCGAAGGTGCCTGGCTTCCCAGCCGAGAAGCAGATCAAGCTGCAGAAGGCGGTGATTAACCGCATGGCGGTGCTGGTGCAGCTGGACTACTCGGCGCCTGTGCTGCGGTACTTTGACAACAACTCCGAGTACATGGACGAGAGTATCGTGGTGTATTTCATCCAGCGCACGTTGCAGCAGTTTGAGCCGCCGTACCCGTCTGAATTCGCCAAGCCTATGACCAAGCTGATCGTGCGCGCCTGGAACGGTGTCAAGGTTGCCGCCGAGAAGGAAAAGGCCCATGTGCGGGTGTTCCTGGCTGCAATGGCGGGCACAGACGGTGTGGCCCGCCGGTTGCTGCAGTCGCTGCCAGAGCCCGTGTCGCCTGTCGCTGAGTAGTAACCTATTGGAATAACAGACATAGCAAAAGTTGGCATTAAATGTGGCATTGCTCGTAAGATGCAAAAGAGATTGGCAGGTAGTGACGGGCGCACGGCGTGCATGAAGCCATGCGCTGTCGTCCCTGGTGGTGCAACTAGCTCGAAGGCAGGCGGTCCGCCAGACAGGCTTCCCTTTATTTTGTTTGTATAGCGGATCGGCGCATGCTGCATCACGTACTGCTGTCGCTGCCAATCTGCGCATTGTTCGAGCAAATACAAGAATGCCACTTCTCCCAAACGACATACCGGTTCCATGCATAGGAACGGCAGATGTGTAGAAACCAAGAGCATGTGCCCCACTCCCAGTATCGGTCCAAGCCGGTTGCTGCTGGGCACCTTTGGTTCGCACCTTTGGACAGTACAGAGCACAGCCCTTGCCTGGAGGACTATATCCGCTCCACCATCCCCACCAGAGCCCTAGCAGCGGGACACTACCGCATTAGCCCATGCGGCCACCCTGCGGTGGGCGCATGGTGAGGAGCCTTGCCAGCTGTGCGACGCTTTGTGTACTCCGCACCCAAAGACTGGGCGTGATGAGCTGAGGTTGGTCCAACAAATAGGCAATTTATGCGAAATACACACGGACCCTCATTGGATTGGGATCTGCCTGGCAAGCCCGGAGTGCGCGAAGCTTATTCCCCGGTCCCAGGCTCCGCGTTTGTAAGCAGGTGTGGCCCGGCCACGCTTTAGCCGTGGAGTAAAGGATCGAATCATGGGCATGGCTCCCGGACACTACGGATAATAACCCTGAATCGTTTCTTGTTTGCCCAGACACGAGACTGACCCGTTTTGTACCTGCTGCCCAGTAGAACACCCTATAGAACACAGTGGTGTGCTGCCAGCCCCGACGCACAGCTGTGGTTCTGCTTGGCGGCTTGTGGATATGCTCTTGTGCTGGCTCAGAGAATCGATGGCGCTGCATGATGCTCAGTCAGGACGGAGTGCCTATAAATATCCACCTTGTGCAACCGCAGCCTACGGCAAAAAATATCACGCTAACAGGACATTCTTACCTGCCAATATCAAGCACCTCGGCGCATTAATGTCCAAGCGAATACGCGAACCAGTCTAGCGAGAGCAGACAGAAAACCGGCCTCCACGTGTCTCATGATCCACCGCTGCTTTTTATTCCGTCCTCTTGTGCGCGGTGGGCAGAGGACCAGAGGTCAGTGTGCATTTGCATGCATGCCATTTTCGGTGCTCTTTATTGCGGTCTTCTCTCGAAAACTGGGCCAGGCTCTGCTGTGGTTTGCACGAAAGAAAAGGCACGGAGAGGAGCCTGCCTGTGCGTGTGCGGGTTTAGTCGCAAGGGAGCAAATTCTCCTTTTTGTGCATGTCCGTCGCGTGTGTTTAAAAGGGACAAGGACTGGCGCTCAGACAAAATCGGCTCTGAGCTTGTATATCGCTTTTCTTTTTCCTTTTGTTGTCTTTTTTCAAACTGCGCAATTCTCCTTGCCCATCCCTTTACTTTCATATACAGCAATTATTAGTACCCTTCTTATATAGCTTTCCTTCCTGATAATGGAGTCTCTCCAGGCTATCCCAGACACCACAACCACCATGCTGTCCCGGCAGGGCCTGAACGCCCAGTTCCGGCGGCGCTCCATCCCACGCAATCTCTACCAGAGACGGCACCGGGACTCCAATGCGAGCGACGCCACCATGGTGCCGCCAGACAGCTTCTGGTGTTCGCCATCGCCCCCCTCTGGGCGTCTGCGTGCTATCTCTGATAGCTGCGTGTCAGCACCGTTCCCGCACACTGGCGCCTACGCTGGCGGGTTTGGCTCAGCATCTGTGCCGAGCTCACCGGTTTCGGCCAAGAGCCTGCATGAAATGTACTCGACAAAATTCGCCGACGCCTCGATTGAGGAAGAGGAGGACGACGATGTTGTGGTCATTCACAATGGAGTCAGACGGTTGACCTTGAGCTCCGAGGGATACTTGCTGCAAGGCAAGCCCAGGCTTGTCAACATCTGAGTGCATATCCACCGCCATACATCCCTTCACTCTGCGTCCTTTGCCTTCCTGTAATTTACCACTGTCATCTAAATATGTTTAATGCATTCTATTCACCGTTTTTCAACCGGTAATGTTTTTCTGCAACTGGGTTAATTCCGCAGGCAGTGTCTTTTACTGATCTACAGCCAAGAATAGCATGAGCAGTAGATGCCACCGCAGGCCAGACTGCAGCGGACATTGGCTCTTGGGCTGATGGCCATCAACCGCTCCAATCACGCTGAATGATATCACTCTCGTACAACGCATACGTCAACCGCCCACCTCATGGCACCACGCGTGTTGGAGACTGGTCTCTGTATATTGGTAGCGCGGAGTAGTGGGGATGGGGTTGCGCTCATCTGAAAAGAAGGCGAAGAAAATACCATTCCCAATGCCTCTCCCACCGGACTGGCTGTTCTGCGGGAAATAGTCTCTCAGGTGGAGCATGATGGCCAAGACACAATTTTTTGGCTGCCGCCCAGAGTGTTTGGTCAAGACCTAGCTGGAACAGCAGTTAAGAGAAAGGAGGGGCGATCCGCCAAGTTGACGAGAGCATGGTGGCGGCCTCCATGCAAACCACTCCTATTCAGACAAATCAACCTTGCACATACGAAATAGTCGGTGCATGTCCCCACCTCCCTACTTTCCTTTGCTCTTTGGGGGACGCACATCACTTCTCCCCAAACACGCACGACATAAACCCACCCGGCCAAATGTAGGGATACATGGTGCAGGATACCTGGTCCAATATGTATTCCAACTGCAGCACCTAAAACAGGTTCACAAAGGATCCCTGGTCAACGGAGGAAATACTTCCAATGGCCCGCTTTAGCACCAGCAATAGATTCATGAATAACAAACGGAAACCACAGGCAGACTTTGCAGATGTGTATAAGGGATGCAATAATTATTGCCTGCCCGTGTGATCTTTATTAACCTGTTTTGTTTCATATAGAGGCAATTCACTCGGAGGTCACGGTGGTTCGGTCTGCTCTTTCATTCCAGAGCTGAGACTTGCAGGGAGCCTGGTACCGGGACTTCAGGTGACGCAGTCAGGTATATTAACTGGCAGTCATCTGCCCCTCAGGCTGTTTGCAGTTGTTTTAATCAAAAGAAAAGAGAAAGGCCGTCGTCAGCTGCTGTCTGGCGATCCAATATTCCTGGGCCTGACTTGGCCATGGGCTGTCTTTATTCTGTACTCACAAATCTGTCTGACCTGCTGGATATGCTGTCTTAAAAAGCCACTTTCGTGGCCAACAGCCTCCACCCTCATCCTCCTTCCGATCTTAACGAAACCAGCTGAGCCATTCTTTGCAACTCTTCAAAACACTAGCTACATAGTGAACTTTGTTTGGATTCTATCGGCTGTCATTCTTTCGCAGCAGCAACAGCAACACCAACAGCAACAGCAACACCAACACCAACAGCAACACCAACAGCAACAGCAACACCAACAGCAACAGCAACACCAGCAGTAATCACAAAACAATGTACAATCCTTACCCAAAGTCCCCCACGTCATCAATAGTCAGACTACCGAGCGAACCACTACACAAAGAGAAACTCTCCCGGCGACATAACCGGCTGGAAACCTCACAAGGCCGATCAACGCAGAGCACCGGGTTCAACTTCCTGCCTGCACAGCACCCAAATCCTTCCGTGTGCCCATCGATATATCCGCAGCGGACAACCGCAGTCCCCTCGCATAAGCGGCTGCCCGAAGCACGTGCCGAGCACCAGCGGCGGCACAGAGAGTCCCGCCCACACATCCGAAAGACCGCCAACGTTCAGCCGACACAGGCAGTAGCCAATGGACGGAAAAACTATTCCCGAGCCCCCCAGAGTCTCCCCGTGGAGGGGCCGGCTAGGTACCGGACAAAAGAATCGGATGCCAGGAGACAAAATTAGCGAGCCTGCTACTATCAAGAGCTTCGGTGTCGCGGCGCAGTAGTACAGACGGCGAGGCTACTGTCGTCGGATCGGATGACAGCGACGAAGACGATGCCAGAATTGTGAAGATCCAGCGCGCTGCCAAAATCTGGATGTGTGTGCCGCGTCAGCTCTCGGTCGTGCGCAAAAACGAGAACGCATACGCGGTTTCGGTTGTTTGCGTCGGCAAGCACGGATTCGTTGTCCAGCCGTCTCGCTAATTTGTTATTAATTTCTGTTCGTTACATTTTGATTACAAGTTATTAGCTGAATCTCGCTGATAACAAATTTTTCTGCTGGCTACGGCAATCTTCTAGCCGTGTGGCGGTCTGGAAAAGCCAATCTCTTGGCAGCCGAAATAGGCAGGTGGAAGGGAAGAGAAGGGGAAGCAGTGGTCCGGGTGGCTGATAGTTCTCGCTCCGCTCCCTCCCCCAACGTCCTGGGGCACTATCAGGCATGAAAAGTTCCAGCACATGCAGCTGCCAGCAATTAGTAGCCTAATAAAAGTGAAAAGCGTGTGGGCAAATACAAGGCATGGCCAAAAATAGAGCAAGCTGGATATGTCTGCACTGGTTCATATGCGAAGGCGCGGCCACCGCAAAGTGGTGGTGTCAATGCGAGGACATGTGGAGGTTGGCACCCATGTGTCAAACGCATGGCAGCTGCTGACAAGAAATAGTCCAGTTGTCCTGGGCATTGTGCTGGGTTTCCCAGCTCAGCGGGACCGAGAATGGGGGAGACGACTGGGCTTTTGTTGCGGAATACAAAACAAAAACTGAACACTGTTGCTGGGCCAGCATCGGCGCCAAGATAGGCCAAGAGCTTGGTGACACCGGTCCCAGTGTGCGTGTTTGGATCGGGACTGGAAGATTCGCAAGCCATATCATTCATCAAGCAATTCAAAAGGACTCCAGCTTGGCAGTTCCAGAGCAGTAAGTTCCACGAGGACCTCCGGCACAGGAAATTAGGCTGGTCCGAGAAAGGGCAGAACGCCGTAGTCCGCCGGAAAATGTGAAAACACCCGGCGAATACAACTGCCGAATTGGCGGCAATAAACTGCGGTCCATTATCGCCCTCCTGATTGCTGCGATCTCACGCAGCATGCATGCCAGGGCGGCTGCTGATTTATTGGGGAGGGGCGCGGTTTTCAGCATCCACTCCTCTTACAGCGAAGGTCTTGGCCAGGCTTTTTGTCAGCCAGAAATCTGTGCATCCCCACCCTTTTTCCGCAGCGCGCTGATATCTTTATGATTATAAATAGGCGGGTCGACTGACAGTCCCCCTCGCTCTCTTCATTCTTTGAACATCATAAATACCAACCACAAATTCCCCTTGCCTTTTTCCAGGAACCTTCATCCCTTCTCAGAACACCATCTTTATCTGCTATTTTTATTTTAATCTTTTGTCAGCAATGTCGAACCAGTACAGCGATATCCCAGACTTCATCCTATCGTCTGGTCTGGCCGCTCAGCGGTCACGGGTGTCGCGCATCGGATCGCGCGGGTCCTCGGTCTCCCCGCGCTCCAGCATAGATATGAACGGCGAACCCGCCAGCCCCCGCACAATCGAGCAGGAGGATGGCGATGAAGTCGATGATGACTGCGAAGGCCGTTGAGATCAAGTCGGTCCTCGGCCATGTCCCATTTGCCCAGAACGCGTGGCCGCGCGAGGTGCGCTTCGATATGCCGCGCCTGGTCAATCTCTGAGCTAAAAAAACACATCAGGCCACTCAGCACCGCCCTGTTTTTAGCGGCCTTAGCACATGCGCAATATTTTTCCATACCCTGTAAAAGTAACCTTATTGTTGTAAATATTTAATTGATATCCCCACACATCCTATGTATCGCAGATGAGACTGAACGCACATCACGATGTACTCATCGAAGCATTGCGAAGCTGGAGAAGCCTGATCAGCCGCCCGTGATCAAAATTAGCGACTGCAGCGGCCAAGCCACCTGCTATTTGCCAGCCTGCGTGCTTTATGCTTTTGCAGAATTCTGCGGACGCCGGCAATAGCATTTTTCCTCTTTGCATTGTTTTAGATTATCGATTTTTTATTTTATGCATTTCACGCCTGTCCACGCAACCGCGCACTGAACCATGAGCGAGGCCACGGTCACAGAGCTTGCTGTTCGCATGCTGAACACGCTGAAGAACATCTCACCGAAAGCTCGTCAAGCCAGGGAGCAAATACTCATTGACTGGTTTATCTATTGCAGCAGCCAGAGGTATCCCCGGTCACAGTGGTATTGCAACCTGCCGCGTCTGCAAGAGTACGGGGAACGTGTTGTTGACATGTTGCTGGACAAAAACTATTCGGACGCAGCCATTATTAAGAAGGGAGCTCAGACGGCGCTTGAACGTGCTATTCTTGACCTGGCAAACACCTGAACCTGGTGCAGATAACGATTTGAAAAAGAAAATGTATGAGGCAGCATATGGGCGGATCCGCGAGCACCTCTGGGGGCGGATAGAGAAGGAGTTTAAAAGCAGGCATGGGGACGACTCTGGCAGATACGACCGTGTGTCTAGCAGTGCCGCGCCGCCACCGAAGGCACAGACAATGATGAGTGGAGACGCGAGGCGCCAGGGCGTCGAGCAGGCGCGGCGGAAGCCACGGGAAATTGATCTTGGCTGCAACCAGATAGTCGACGAGCACATAACCAGCCCCGACGGCATTACAGCTGACTTTGATTCTGGTCCCATGGGTGTGTCGTGGCGCACATACGCTCAGGAAACCAACACATACCTCAACTGTCTGCTTCTCCGGAGGTCATCGTTTGGCAGCATCCAGATGCGCGCGTGGCACAATCTGTCACTGTGCATGTGGACAGATGCAAATGCGCTGCGCAAGACGCTGGTGCTCGGGTCCCTGAGTCTGCAGCAGAAGCGGCTGTCGGCTTCCAGTGTCTCACAAACGTGCATTGCTGTGCAGCTCGAGAAAGCAGATGCTGGGATCAGGCAATCCGCGGACTCGGCGGCCACTGACGGATAGCGGCTCAGAACTACTCAGGAACCGCAGCATCTTGCAATGTCCGTGGAACGCACTGGCGATTTTGTTCTACCACAAGTACCATGTGCGCAAAGAGCCACCGCCAGACTTTTCCAGCGACTCGTGGATGGACGAGCCGGTGTTTTCGCAGGACAAGTCTGGGTTCGACGACAGCCTGAGAAAGCATTGCGCCAGCGAATACAACGAATTCAAGCGGGTGATACAGACTGGAAAGCAGTCATTCAAACGGATGACAACCAAGACATTTCATGAAGTCAACCATCAGCTCAACCAGTCCAGACTCTTCCGAAGCACCGTGACCTCGCTACAGAACCTGGTCATGTCGAAACGGTATCTACAGAATGGCCTAATGGAAAAAATCCTGTCTACTGAACTCGGGATTTCGGCCCAGCGAGGCATTTGTGATTCCACGGCAGCAGCTAGTAGTGCCCGACGAACTCACGGAACAGATCTTTCCCTTTGCTGATGGAGTTGCTGACTTTCCCGGATGGGAGGCACCAGGCGATGTGGCAGACAAGGAGCGGCACTTGGCAGCGCTCAATTTCTGCAATTTGCTTAAAGCCCTGCGCACTGCGCTGTTGCAGGACATGGCGCTGCTGAGTTACAATCCGTTCTACCATCGCATGGTGCGTGGGATCAGCATTATGCTGACCCCGCCGTTCCAGGACTACAGGTTCGTTACGCTCACCCAAGACACGCTGGAGCATTCATGGGGCAAGGACTTCCAGGCGCTAATCAAGGAAACGCCGCGTGCGCACGAGCTCGGCTTTGTTGTCCCCGACAACGCATATTCAGCGCCAAGCGTCGATGTTGGCCAGCCGCAGCCAGGTGGCTAAGCGTGTCCGGTCAGGTAGCGACTCTACTTCGGGTCACAGCTCAGTGAACAAGCGGCAGCGTTCATCAACGGTAGTCCCAGACGATGCAGCCCAAAGCACGCAGCCCGCAGAGTGCCAAGGGGTTGGCGATATCGCAAAGGTGTTTGCTGAAACTGGCGTATCACAGAGAGGCTATGCCGATACTCCAGCCAGCAGCAACGGCAGCAGTACTGCGACCGAGTCCGATTCCAGCTCATTTGAGTCCGTCACGCAGCAGCTGACCTGGCTGATCGAGAACATCCGTGCGTCGCCTGTCGCCAGCAACAAGTCAGTGCTGCGGAAGCTAATCCGCGTGTGCAAGCGGCAAGGCATCATTAACCAAGCTGCACCAAGTACATACTGAGAGAGAGCAGCAGATACTGCATATGATCCAGGCCAGTAGCCAAGCCTCGCAGCGGCATCTGCTGGATAGGGTCGGTGCTTTTGACGACCGGTGACGACATCCAGAGCAAACTTAAAAAGAACATGGACGAAATGTCGGCGACGATGGAGCGGGTGTGCAGCATCATGCGGTCGATGAACGAGTCGGACGGCTGGGTTTCAACAACTATGCAGCAGATCACTGCGAAGCTCAGAGAGGCATTTCAAAGCACAATGGAAATAAATGGCTGCTGAAACCATGGGCGCTAGAGTGTGGCATGTTTTACTTTGACATCTCCCCATGGTTCTTTCTGGCATGGGTCCTCATGATTCTGTGCACACCACCTCTTGTTCTGGATCATAGCACATGCGACCTCACCGGGTACAGACAGGAGAGGCCAGGGCTGATTCCACTACATAGATACCAGATATCAGCTGCTATATGGGGCAAATATTCCCGAACACTAAAGCAGGAGCGACGAACTTGCTCCTGTTCCCCCCCCCAAGTAAGCTGGTAACGGCCCCTTTACATGTGGTCGCCACTGAGCTTGTTCTGATTGACAGCGCTGCCACTGCAGCAGCATTCCTTTTGGGAAACACAAAGGAGATAGCGTGCACCCAAACCACCATCATCACCACTGCGCTCTTGCTGTGACAGTTATGCGTCGCCCCCCTCTTTGTAATTGCTCTTCTCTCTGCATGGATAAGCAACAGCCGTGGACAATAGCGTCAGCGCTGGAGCACGACTTGGCTGTCCGCTGTCTCCGGATTTTCGTTCCGCTCCTCTGCTCCCAATGGTGTGTTCAGAAAAATAAAACTTGGCATGAGCAGGCTGGTACTAGCCGAACGCGTGCCTTTTGCTACTGGCGAGCGCATGAAAACGAAGGAACTAGCCGACAATGCTCAGCTGAGATGCAGCAGTGGACAAAAATAATCACACCTTGGCTAATATTGCCCGTGTTGAACAAACAGGAGAGCGCAAACTGGTAGACTAGCACGATCCTAGAACCAGACAAGGAGGAGATGCTCTAGCTCCTATTGGGCGTGCCGGTTCTTTTAGGAAACTGCAGGTGGGCAGCTGGATAGACATCTACAGAGATCTGGGTGAAGGGAATTCCACGCGCTGAAGGCCGCAACAGACTGGTCGACGAACGCACAGCTCAGGGCAACCAGTGGTTTAATTCATTGCAGTTACTGATTAATGCCTTTGTCCAGCTGTGCAACCAAGGAACAAGAAAAACGAGCCACTACGGCCGAAAGAACCAAATGAGTATAGTCAGCTGGTTACACACATCCGCCTCCGGTGCCCAAGCTCGTGGGCGATTCTAGAGGCGAAGACGGACAGAGCGGGAGCCGAGCGGGAGGAAGATGGCAGGTAGGGCATGACGCCGATGGCTGCCAACGGCCCACGGGTTCGAAAAGGTGGTGTGGGCAAATCACCCACTGGTGCACAGCCGCCCTTTTTGGCCCGTAGACGTGCGCTTCTGAGGATCGTCGATCCCCCGATATGATGGTGGCAGGCATGTCACAATCGCCAGTCGGTTGCAGTCGCAGAAAATGGAACAGGACGCTGGCGTGTGGCTCTCAGGCAGGGTAGGTGACCCACCCCCTCCAATCCTTTTTCTCTCGACCGATACTGATTTGGCTGGCATAAACTTTTGCGTATTCTACTCAGGACCCTTTTTGCAAGCGCCTGTGTGATTTTTTGCTTCTAGCAGTGAACTGCTGCTGGCGAGCATGTGGAATAGGCTTAAATAGCACCCCGACCTGCGGGCATCCTGCGGCGCGTTCTTCTCTCCTGCTTCTCCCTGTATTTCTAGCTGTATTCACTTAGCAAACATATTCCCTGGTACTTTTCCAAGTATTGATACATCTCACATCTTGCCAATTCGCTCTGACACTTTTGAAAAGCCACCGTACTTTTTCACCAATTATTATTTTATTTGGTCGATTTTACACCTTGCTCTAATTTCATTACCGTGGTCTGCAACGCCCAGCCCTGCGACTGCTATATATACCGCAGAGAGCAGCCGTGGTCAAACGGGTTTCTAGGATTTTTTCCTCTCGCCAAGTTTTTATTTTCTCGTTATCGATTGTTTTTCACCTTCTTCCCCTTGCTCAAATCCATTCTATTTTTGTTTCCGCCTTCAGGTTTCCTTCTCACTCCGGCATCATATTTCTCAGTAATTCACTCCCACCTCTCTTTTATATCACCGACAGCCTTCGAGGGACACCCCCCATTGCCACTTTTGTTCAATCAGCTATATACACCATATATACATACATACATGGGTAGCATGGCTCTATATTCAAAACAAGGTAAGATTCTTGCTGTGCACTTGATACACCGCCCGTGTGTGCAGCACATGTGCAGTGAGAATGACTGCAGACGCCCTGCGACTGTCACCCGCTTACTCTCGGCCAAGGGCAGAAATGAACGTGTTCTGTTTCATTTCATTTGCAGAGGCTCAGACCGGAGACGTGGTGCTGGAGCGCCACCCTAGTTAGACTATGGTGACGGACAGCGCCTTGTTTTCTTATTGCCCTACATTCTGTTGCCGGCAGAGATGGACAGGGGAGGGCTGGGTGGGCTTAGACGCTGTAGCAGGCCTACTCGTCTACAGAACGCCGCAATGCGATTGTGCGGCCTTGCACTATTTGTTTCTAAAAACAAAGCCCGTCCGGGCATTTGCTAAGCTGTAGACCTTAAAGACTCGCAGGAGCTCTATAATAACTGCGGGTTTATTTCGAAGAAGACCCGCTCCATCTACGCGTGGCGCGCGGCACTCTGGGTTCGCTACTGCAAGCAGCGCAACCAGGACTATGCCGTGACCGAAGAGCGGCTGATTCAGTATCTGGACTGGTTGTTTGAGATCGACTTGGTCAACAAGATCAATACAAAGAAGAGCTATGTGCCAGACATTCTGCGTGACCATCTGGGCAGCGTGGTGTGTCTGTGGCGGATCCAGACAGGCAACGATCCTGATCTCGTATCGCCAAAGGAGGGTACGCGGTTTCAGGCCAAGTGGGACGAGATCCTGCGCAGCTACCCGCGCCGCCACGAGCGATTCCAGTCGCGCTCATATTTGCTGGACGGTCGGGGTGGAGACTCGAACGCCGGGACGCCGGGCGTGAGCCTGGCAATGTCTCCACATCAGGCGTCTGTGCCACCACATACTGACGCACCCGACTACAGATACCAGCAGCACGGCAGCTATCAGTACAAGCGATATCCCACGTACGAAAGCAGCCAGTCGCGGGCGCCGCTACCGCTGCCGCAGACATCGCAGCAGCAGCAGCAGCAGCAGCAGCAGCAATTGTCACCGAGCCCCCCTCACCTTGGCGCTGGACGAGCGGTGCGAGATGGACTGGCAGCTGCAGTGGCTTCACAGCGGGACGTGGTCGGCGCTGACTGCGCGCGCACTCTTCACTGTTGCCATCTCGACATGGGTAGATGTGGTTGAGGTGCTGGGGCATGCGGCTGGCAGACGTGGGCTTTGCTTCGAGCACGATGGCACCGCGGCTGCCGTCCTCGGTGCTCAGGGTATCCCTGCTGACGAAGCCCCAAAGGCGCGCGCACGCCCAGACATGGCCAGCCGCCAGTCAACAAGCCCCCCGGGGCTCGCTATCAGGTAAGTCTGCGAGTTCTAAAAGTGTGGATCACACCCAATATGCCTGCCCCAAAGCTCACTCTGGCTACACGCAGTCATCCTCTGCCTAATGCCGCTAGAAGTAGTCAGTCTGCGTGTGACGGACATAGCAATGGGCGCTATTGTCCTGAAAATCGAGCAGGAGGCGCTCATGCTGCGGTGTTGCTAGGCGTCGTCTAGTAAGCCTGGCGTTGTTCAGACAATTGGCATTGTGCATTGACGCCATTATTTTTTGCTGGCCATGGCTTGGCAGCCGGGTGTGGGCGACACTCGACAGCCCCAAGCCGTTGCCACTCCCACACCCAAGCCCTCCTGCCTTTGTTCACAGTCACTGTCGCAACCCCCCTACATCCTGACACACTGCATGTCTTAATTTGTTCGTCTTGCATATTGTTACATCGCCCTGCCTGCTGCGTCGGTCCTTTTTTAAATTGCTGCATTCGGATGCGAGTTTGTGCCCTTTTGAATGCGCTCATCTCTGCAGCTCCAGCATCCATCCTATCCCGCCCATGTCACGCCGTCACACCTTTTGCCGTCCAGCATGCAACTGTGCTGGCATTCCTTCCTCCACCTCCCCCGCATCACGCGGAACAGCCTCCCTCTTTTTCTGGAATCTGCTGGCCAAGACGGCCTTTGCCTATGTGTTTGTTTTTAGTACAAACACCACAACCGCTCTTTTGTGTCGCCGGGTAGGAAAAATTCCCTGTCTCGAATGTGATCCTGTATTTCCCCGCTTTCAACACCTTTGTGACATATCCTGGACTCCTGTCACTTCTAGGTTCGCCATAGCCTGGAGGAAGAGGGAAGAGGAGATCCTGAGCCCCAAATGGGCCCATTTACCTGAGTCAGCAAGGTCAGCACCTATTTTCCCACACACCTTGAAATTGGTGACGCTTATAGCGCTACCTTGTCGATTTCGACAGAACACTCTATGCCAGGATCCGCGGAGTTCCGCAGCACTGAACCCGATCCCCATCCCTCTTTAAGACTCCAGTGCTGCTGTATTTGGCGACCTCCCGTGTGTGCCATGGGCGCGGACCGTTTTTGCAGAGATCATTTACATATACCGCTGGCGAGCAGTGGTCTCGGTGCATTCCCCTGCCATTGGAACATTCGCGTCAAGGAGTGGTGCCCCTCTAGCCACTAGCCCAAAGAGTGGGGTATTTGATAAGCCGAGTTTCACATGCGGGCGTACTCGGTACACGGGTCACAGGCATTATTTGCGTCATCTACTAATATCGCGCGACTTTCCTCCCCCGCTCGCTTTGGGGCTCATCCGAGCTGTGTAGTTCAGCGTCATTCGCGCCCGCAACCCCCTGATCTGTGCGTGGAATGCGCTGGCAGCGCTCCTGTTCCACCGGTGGCACATTGCTGGATCGCCGCCGCCGACGTTTGCGGACTCGATGTGGCACGGCACTCTGGTGATTGCCCCGCGATCGCGTACACCGTCGCCGTCAAGTGATAGGCGTAACAGCGTTCTGTCCGATGTGACGATGGAGCCGTCGGTGGCGGGATTTGCAACGATCGGCGAGAGGCTCGATTTCGTGCACAGCCTGCTGCCCGACGAGCGCCTGCCCATGGAAAGGTAACGTGTTGTCGTTTTGCTGGCAAGTGAAATCTCCATCTGCAATCACAGATGGGCGCAGTGTGAGCCACCCATGTTTCTGCCCCAACTGCGTGCTTTGTGGTTTATGTGTGCTGGGGATACAGGCGAGCCCAATTGCGGAATTGCGGGCCCAATTGCAGCGTGGGGTGTGCAGGCTAGGTCTCTCGCAATCACCCAGCCAGACGCAGTCTCGCACCGGGCTGTTAGGAGTAGCTTCTGGGAAATTAATGATCCCCCACCACCATCACCATCGCCGTGTCCTTTCGGTGATTGTTCACTCAGGGGTCACTGAGGCGGCAGCCACATGTGCTCAATCGCTGGTACAACACAGCGTAAAATGGCGATTTGCAGTTCATGCTGTGGTACAGTCAGGCGCCATTTCCGGACTGAGCTGTCGCAGCGCTGCTCCCTGTCTCTGATGCTTGATTTGGCCTGCGTATCTGTCCCTGGGTCAGAAATTCCGTGCGGCGGGCTGCACCATGGGCTATCCACAAATCCGCTCCTTCATCCTCATCCTCACTATCATTATCATTATCATTATCATTGATTATTCCGACAATCCTATCCCTACTTCGCCTCCAAAACAAATAGGGTGGTCAGACAGCGCGGCCTCCAGTGTGCTCGGGAGTCGAGCTTCCACGGATCGGGCGCGGGGCCAGCGCTCATGCAGCGCAATGACGCGCGCTTTGGTCGGCCCAGCTCTGCATATGGAGGAGCGGGCGACGGATGCCTGGCGCCACTGGTCGAGGGCGAGGCTGCCGATCGCCTCTACGCCCTGTCGACGGCCAACAGCGGGTACTACGAGCCACACCACACCATTCAGCGGCACAAGGTTATTCCGCCCGAGTCACTGCAGCAGACGGTAAGTTGCTTCCTTTGATGTCGATCGCCTCAAGCCATGGCTGGATCCGTGTGCATTGACCTGGCAAAGCAATGGAGACGGCATATGGTGGCGGAGGGGCAGCCCATGCAGATCATTGCGTATGCTGGAGGCAGACATGTCACACACAGGATTTCAGCCTGCCCATGCACAGAAACATCCGGCGCATGCATGCGTGTTGCTTTCACCAATTGATGGGCAATCACATACCCAACCGTCCTTTATATGTGCCTGTGGGTGCACTCTCTGGCTGACATGGGAAACTCTGCCTGAATTATCGCCGCTGGTCCTGATGGACAGAACGGAAGCTGCCGCATTTCTTTGGGGTGGGTATCCAGGCCCTGCCCGGAATTCTGCCTCGCGAAATCCGGTGCAAGGAGTGCGTCTGCTATTCCTACCCGCCTGTGCATTTATGTGCGTTGATGCCGCAGCGTGCGTTGCTGGTGCATTCCGTGCTGGCAGATTTAGTTGTGCTAGCACCTCTTCTTTTTCCGCCCACGTAGTCCCATTGGATGCATGCCCGGACTTGGCATCGTCGTGCTAGTGCATAATTCGTATTTTTATCCAGCTCTCCTTACCACCAGGGATTGTCCTTCTGCTTTGCTGCGACATGTTCAGGTTGCCGGGTCACTTTCTCCAGCAGCAGTAGCAGTAGCAGCAGCAGCAGCAGCAGCCTGGGCATGGTCCCGCTTTCGTGCATGTTCTATTTTTTGACGACTGTGACGATCCAGCTGCCATTAGATCCGCCCTCCGCCTGGCCTTGTCGTCCTGCTTCTGTGGGCCACGGAATCCGTGCGTGCTCTGTAATGCGTCACCAGACATGCCGTTGTGTCCAGCGGGGCATGTCCATCCTTTTTCTTTTTGTGCCGGACGCCAATTTGTTTCGTGGTGCGGTTGGAAAGGAGCGGAGGCGCAAAATGGAACAGAAATCATGCCCCTAATTGCCATCCTGTTAGTCAGCAGACGGCTGGTCGTTCCCATTAGCGGGCATGAGCTGCTTTTGCCCAAGAGACACCCCCCAGGCTAACCTATATTTCGCTGTATTCCGCCTGTAGATCTTTCCTTGGGTCTCAACGATGCAGAGTACGGTGCCGGCGAACACGGCTGTTGACGAGCGGCGCAACATCAGCCGTTTTCTAGACTTCCTCCACGATCTGCGGATTGTCTTGTTGCAGGTAGGTCATTGGTACATTGGTTGGGCGCAGTGTGGTTGGAGCTCTGCGAGCCACTTGCTTTTTTTATCAGGGATATGCCGGGGTCCACCGTTACTTGCCTGCGGGCTCTACTGCACCCAGCTGTCCGTTTGCCGCCCAGTGAATGTCCGATTGCTCTCCAAGCGATATGGAACGTTCGGCCATGAACAACGTTTTTCCTTCCCACCCTTGGCCAGATACGCAAAATTCACAACCCGCGTACATGCCTGTGATGTGCGCTTGCATTGCTTTCGTGATTTGTTGCTGAGCGGATGTTATTCCTCCCACATCGGCCCGTTTCTATTTTTATCGCACATATGTGAGCATATCTTGGTGGACACAGCAGATAATTGTGCGGATCCTCCGTGTCTCTTGCCCCCTCTCCCCCTGGCACAATGTGTCTGCTTCGTGATGCCTTGGAGCAAATCTGCCTATTCCGACAATACCAGCCTTGTTGCTGGTATGCAGCAGTTCTCTACCTGGAAATGTCTGGAAGTGAACAGGCATTTGGCACTCGTCTTATTTCTTTTTCCAGCCAACCAAGCTGCATGTCTCGGCGCATTATCAGCGAGTGATGGGCCAGGCACACCTGCTTACTCGAATTGCCAAATCGACTCCATTTGGTGACAGGAAATTGCATGCCCTGCTCCATGGATTTGCAGAGAGGAATTCCCTGGAGATGTTTGGTGGAGTCGGCCACTTTCCTTTCGTTGTCTTTGGTTTAGTCTTCCACATTTGTTCAGTTTTGCACATCCCTTTTGCAGAAACAGGGAGCGTCAAAAGATGGGGATGAGTGATGAGCGTCACTTTGCGAATACAGGAGCGCAGAGGCTGGGACTATCATTATTTCGCTTCTAATTTTCGCGCTGCAGAGTACTGTCGACTGCGATTCACTGGCATGCATGCCACTAAACCCCCTTTTCATCTCTGTGACACTGTAGGACATGGCAGTTCTCAAATGCTGTGCTGCGCAGCTGCCGCGCGGAATGGAGATGTCGAGCATCGTGGGCAATCCTATATTCTGCAGCCCCGAGTTCAACGCGTTCTGTGCGACCATGAAGGTGGAGGCGGCCGACGAACTCCGGGTTCTCCAACACGATCTTGAGGCGACGATTAACACCATGGCATCGCGCCGCAGCGACAATTACGGAAAGCAGCTGGGGGACGGTGGAATCATGTTGCCGTCAATCAGCAAGCTACATGTGCACGACGATGCAATGGCGGGCGGGTCGCCCCATGGATCATACTCTCCCACGACCTCGCCCTCGCCGCCCGTGAACCAGCGCGACATGGCACGCAATTCGATCTCGTACGTGGACAGCCCGCGCATGTCGGACACCGGATATGTACAGAGCTCATTCCGCGCGCCCGCTGGCAGGATGGACGACATGGGCGTGTCCCACAGCATGCCCAGTCGCGTGATGGAGCACTGGGGCAACAGCAGCAATGGCAACAGCAGTTTGATGCCCAAGCGGCGGCGGGACTATGGCGGCGGCCCTGTGGTTCTGACACCGCCCTCGATGGCAGCTGCCAATCCCAATAGTCCGCGCGGCGGGTTCTCGTCTCCGCCTGGGCAGGCTGCCACCCTGCATCACTCGCACCATCACCCATATCACCCGTCGCAGCGGACTCCGCGGTCGCCGCAGGTAGGTGGCAATGGCAGCGCTGCCCGTCCCAATCTGTCCGGAAATCCGTTGCCACCAATTTCGCAGTTTGTGCAGCCGGGCTCGACACCGATGCTATCGCCGCCAGCGACCAGCGGAATGCTGTTGTCGCACGTCCCCCAGTCGCAGCATCAGCATCAGCAAGAGCCTTCTCCCAACTCGCGCTATGCTGATGGACCGGCTGCGGCAAACGAGGGTGTGCACCATGTTGACACCAACCAGATATGCTATCTGCGCGAGGAGAATGCACAGCTGCGCTCGCGTCTTCAGCGTCTGGAGCAAACGGTCATGCAAAAGCAGGCCGAGATGCAGGACTGGATGAACCGCGTCGAGCAGTATATCATGCGCCCCAACGAGCCCCGCACGGCATAACTCTGAGCAAAACCAATTCGTTCGCTTTTTTCAACTGATGAGAATAAGTTAGTATTCAAACAAGTAAATGGGTTGGAAGATGGCAGAGCTGAGAGAAGCTGGCTAGAAGAGTGTTGCGGCAACTGTGATGCCGATGATGACAAGGAGACTTGAGGACAGAGAGTGCTTGGAAAAATGCGAGGCAGCACCTACAATTGCAAGAGACAGTGCAACATCAGTACAACGATGTGGATATTCAAGATATAATCTACATGTGGTGGAGGGCAAAGGATGGGCAGTTGCAAGACGAGAAAGAGAATCTGCCCGGTCCGCTCTTTTGTGCCCACCCCTAGCGCTGCCACGATAGCGAGAGCAGGCAAGGGGAAAACGCGGTGCTGTAAGACATCACAGAGCATGTATTGCCAGTATCGTCTCATCCGCCCCTCCAATCTCAGCTGCACGCGCTAGACACCAGGCAGCCCAGGCTCTGAAGACCTATTGGCGACAACAGTGTCTGGCGTATTGGCCACAGCCGCCCATGTCGCACTGCTGGCAGCCGGAACCACACGTGTGACGTTGTAAACGATCATGCTTTCCAAAGGCATACCAACCGGAGCGCTGCTGGACCGCATCACTGTCGTTGGACTCGCGGACACAGCAGTTGAAATGTCAGCGCCGGTGACGATGGACTTACCGGTTGCAGATGCAGCCGCAGTCCCACTTGCAACACTCGAAGCGCCATTGCTGCTGCCCCTAGAAGTTGTATAACTGTTGTATGTGGTTCCCGTACCTGAGCTGTTGAATTGGGATTCGTCAAACCTAGCAGACGGGTAATGGCAATGTGAAGAAAGGTCAGTGGTCAATGCACGCAAAAAGAAACAAATCTACTGGGCTTTGCGCCTATCTGCAGTTATTGGCTGATGCAACTTACCCGATAACCTTGCCTGACGAGTCGATTGGACCTTGTGGTTGTTTGGATATACGACAGGAAGGCATTGGCGTGAGTAAACAAGCTGACCATGCCGGCGCCGCCGCAGTTCACCGTGATCGAGGCACCTGGGCCGGCGGTTCCGAAGCTAGTGATTCCAAGCAGCATGTTCTTGCCATTGACCTGGCGGATCAGCGGGCCGCCACTGTCGCCGGGACAGGTATCGGTGCCAGTATCGCCAGCGACACAAATGCGTTTCCCGTTATTGCCGTTGAACTGCGTATCTTTCTTCCCGCACTGGGCAACGGACTGGAGTAGTCAAAGGGCCCTCTTTCAAGTCCTTCGAGGCTGATTTCCCGGTCGGCGACGTGAACCCCCAGCCAAGCGCGGTAACCTGGATGCCATCGTCCAACGCTGGCCGTGTCGATATCGATGGGCTGGACCGAGTCCGACCAGGTGATGTTGGTAGAGAGCTGCAGCATCGCGATGTCGTTGACCATCGAGTTGTCGTTGTACTGCGGGTGCACCACGACCTTGGCCACCTGCGTACGCCTTGGACGGATCCAGGTTGTAGTTGTATTGGCCGACGTATACGGTTATGTCGTTGGCCTTGGCGGTCTTGATGCAGTGGGCGGCAGTCAGAATCCATTGCTGTCCGATGATCGACCCGCCGCAGAAGGTCTTCTCGGCGCCGTTATGCATGTATACCACGAACGGATACTCGCCTTTGCTGGCGGTTCGGCCACCCATGATGCGCGGTTGCAGACGGCTGGCGTGCGCCAATGCGCTCAGAACGAGCAGGGAGAGAGGAAGCCACAGCATTTGTTGGCTAGTTGGGCTAGTCTTGGCAGAGGGTGTGTGGAGAGAGATGGACGAAAAGAAGTGAGCAGATTGCGTGTTTGAGCTCTTCCTCCCCTAGACGATAATATACAAGGTGGATATATAGGCAGCTGGATTGGTACGAGAAAAAGACTAAAAGGAATCCGCGGGTTCTTTCTGGAGGAAGGACCCGCATCCCTTTGGGCAGTCCTCAGCGCTATTTAAACCGCTTCCCAGGGCATTGCGTTTCTTTCTGTGCGCGTTTTTCGGCGGCAAACGTATAAGCCCAGTCTTGCAAGGCCACTGTGGCAGGTAATGGATGTTTGGAGGCGGTGGGGACGCAGCTTCAAGCACCAACCTATGAGCAAAGCAATTCGGGCATCTCTCAGTGTCCCAGCAAAGAGGAATGGGGGAGGAAATCTTTCCAAAGAAGGAAATGTGAGAGACGATTCTATAACCCCCTGTCCATCCTATCCCGCAAAGAACGGAAAGATGGCTGGACAAACACCATTCGCCTTAAAAACAGGCGGCGGAGATCGACGGTGGTTAAGCGTGACTTTTGCGCCAAGACAAGGAGGATATTAAAGGCATTGTTGAGCCAAATGAAGTGTTTTCCACCTCATGTAGCGGCATCAACAAATAACGGTGAAGAAATAATAAACATCATGCAGAAATGGAAAAAATGCTGGATATGCGTGCTTTCGCAAGCCGTAGCTTGAGCATTGCTCCTCCAGAGCATGTCCAGTACCAAGGCCCAAACTCTTTTTAGACGGAAATGCCAAGCCTTTTGCGGCAAGAAAAAAGAAGATTATATATAGACGGATATTTTTAGAGGCGGCCGTCATTCTTCTCAACCGCACAGTCAGCCTGTTGCGCGCCCGCTGCGGCTGTCCCTGACATCGACATGTCAGCCGAATCAGGTTACAGCAAGCCAGGCACCAACGAGAGCCCCACTGCAGACTACACTATGGAGGTAGCGTCCAGCCTCTGACAAGTTGCACAGACGGCCGTATTGAAAACACCCTTGCGCAACTCGTCTATTCCCTTTTCTCTCTTCAGTATTAAATATAGCTTTTAAAATCCCCACACATTTAGCAAACACAAGCCGAACAAATATTTTAGGTGGGCACGCCATAGGGGAGGACAGCGACTGAGGGATAAAAAAAGAGCGAGTATTGCACAAAAAAGGAAAAAAAGCGTTGAATAAGAAAGTAGTGGCTGCTCAGGAACTGGAGTTGTTGGCAATGGTAAAGGAACTGGTAGCCTGTTTCGTGTCACCGTCCGAGGTACTGCTTGCAGGCCCAGCACCCTTGGCAGGCAGGTCGCTCTTCTCAGCCTCCTTGATTGCGTCTCTGAGCCAGGCCGGGATAGGCTTCCCGGACAGCAGGATCTGGTTAATGGCCTCGGCATGACGATACTCGTCCTCGAAGCGCCTGTGCTCCGGGCCGTACATATTGAAAGCCGTCTGCTGGTCGATAATCGACGACAGCCTCCGCATGCTCTCGGCGCCCAGCGAGGGGCGGCCAAAAGTCGGCCGCAGTCATGGTTGGCGAAAGCACTGACGATACGGACTCGGCCGGCTTGTTCGTCAGCGACTTGCTCCGGGCCAAAAGGCCGCTATCGGTCGCCACGCTCTCGCTGGTAGTCATCGGAGTGCCGGTCACTATAGGCGAGGGCTCGCCCAGCCCCGCCATATCGTTTGGCAGCATCCGGGGGCTCTCGCTAGTCATGATCGGCGGCAGGAACGACGCCACGCTGCTCTCAACCGACGGGTTGGCGTGCGGCGTCGGCATGTAGTTGTGGGCGACGACGTCGCGGCGGAACTTGTCCGGGTCGGCGTACGCGTCACTGTAGTCGGCACCGATGGGCTGCCTGACAATTGTGTCCGGCGACAGGTCCGCGGGCGTCCCGACATCCTGGTAGGCGCTGTCGCGCTGGTAGTAGCTGGCAGCGGTCTCGCCCTTGATCTCGGCCGAGTGCGCGCTGTCGGAGTCGGCATTGCTACCACGGCGCTTGCGTCCAGAGAAAAACCCCAGGTTGCCTTTGCGGCGGTTCCAGCGGTAAAACACCACCGATGCGATAATAATGGCGATCAGGCCGAGCACCGACGAGATAGGTCGCGGCAATAATAACGACCTTGGAGGACACGCCACTGGAGCCCGAGTCGGCCGAATTGTCTGTTGCCGACGTCACACTCCACTGCCAGCTCTTCAGATCCAACTGGTACATGTCGTTGTCCTGGCCTCTGGGCACAATCCCGCCAAACACATACATCTTGTTATCGTAGATGGCTGCTGCATGGCCGCCGCGTGGCGCCGGACCATTCCTTATAGTCGGCATCGGAGATGGGCGCCTGCGACCACACAAACGAGCCACCCTCGGCCTTGAGCATCCACACTTTGCGGTCTGTTGGGGCATCCTTGACGCTGGGCAGGCCGCCAAACACATACATGGTGTCGTCGGAGCACACGGCCGAATGCAGGACGCGCTCGGACGGCTCGCCCTGCGACGTGTCGATATTCGGCAAGTAATTCCCAGCCGCCCGACACCGAAAACACCTTGACGTCATTGTAGCTGTTGATGTTCTGGTCGGCGCCGCCAAACAGAACAACCACATTGGGCTTGCTCAGATAGCACAATGTGTGGTATTTGCGCGCTGGCCCGTTGCTCGCGTACGTCCATGACATGGACGACGGCGTCAGAATGTCCAGGTTATTGGCAATCGTGGGCGGCGAGTCCGCCTCGTTCTTGTCGTTCAGGGGCACGCCGCCGTGCATGTAGAATTTGCTGCCCACCGTCGCGAATGCCGCGCCGAACCGCGTCACCGGCAGCTGCCCGTGCATGGTCGGCGCGCTCCAGCTCGCATGCACGCTGTCCAGAAGACTGACCGATGTCGCCTCTTTGCCCACGACTCCGTATTGCGCATTGTACACCCAGATGTTGTCTGGTGACGACCCGCAGCCCGGCAATACCGGTCCGATGCTCGGCGTATTGTCCGTCTTCGGCCCTTGCCATTTGCTGCTGGAAAGGTCGAATATCTGCAGATTCGTCAGGCCCTTGGCTGCAGAGTCCAGGGGGTCCCGGTCGGCCGAAGTGGTCCCGCCGTACGACATCAGCAGCGGCGTGCCCTGCTTGTCCGTGAAGGGCACCAGGCATGCGAAGGTCCGCCAGGGCTCGGTCAGTGTGGGCGCGCTGTCGAGGATTCCTTCGCGAGGAGAAAACCGCCGTGTCATTATTGGTATTATAAAAATAATGCAGTTATAACATGGGTGGAAAATAATAGCGAGCAGAGGAGGGATGGGCTAGAAGAGTGTCCGCTTCTATTTCTGGTACTGAGCTGCGAGTTGGCACTGGAAATAGCACGAATCATTCATCCACCATTGGGGGAGGCTCACCAGAACATCTGACACCCGACCAGCCTCTCCCTTTGTTTTCTGAGGACCGGTGCTCTGAGGAGGGATTTCCATCCACATCTCGTTGCGGCCAGAGGCAAAAACAATGCTTTTTGGGCTGCACTACTGCAGAGCTTAATGTGCAGGCTGAATATTGCAATTCCCCCATTAAGTCATAGGCAAATGTTGCAGCAAGAGGCAGCGCATCATCTGGCCTTCCCAGCGGTATATTGGCAACAGGAGAACAAGTCAAGGTCATGCGGGCAATACAGCATTACACACCGTCTATTGATTTATTGTTGGGCAGCACCGCCCGCGCTTCAAAACTTGTACCCTGTGTGGATGGCCACTGTGCCAAAAGTCAGGTTCTCGTACCCCTTGCCAATGGTGGTGAATCCGGCATCGCGGATCATCTGTGCAAACTCCTTCTGCGGCGGGAACTTGCGGATGCTCTCGACCAGATACTCGTACGACCCGCGGTCATTGGCAATCAGCTCGCCCAGCCGCGGAATAACATGGAACGAGTGAAAGTCATACAGGCTCGCCAGCACCGGGTTCTCCACGCGCGAAAACTCCAAGCACATGAACCGGCCCCCGGGCTTCAGCACCCGGAACGCCTCCCGCACCACCCGGTCCGGGTGCGTGCAGTTGCGGATGCCGAAGGCAATCGTGTACACGTCGAAGGACGCGTCGTCAATGAACTCCAGGTTCTCCGCATTGCCCACCGTGAACCCAATCCGCCCCTCCCGCATCCACTTGCTTGCCGCAAACCGCTTCTCAGCCCTCGCCCAAGCATCTCCGGGTTAATGTCCACCATATGCACCGACCCGCTGCCCTGGTTCTCCTTGGTCCTGGAACTCCAGGAACCGCTGCGCTATGTCGCCCGTGCCCCCGGCCACGTCCAGCAGCTTGGCATCTGGCGACGGCGACATCTTCCGGATCAAATGGTCCTTCCACAGCCGGTGGATCCCCATGCTCATGGCGTCGTTCATGATGTCGTAGTTTGAGGCCACGTTGGAGAACACCCCGCGCACCAGCGACTCCTTCTGCGCCTCCGGCACCGTCTTAAACCCAAAGTGCGTGGTGGTTTCATCAGGCGTTGTCCTGCTGCACAATGCGTGTGGTGCTCAGCGACCGCTGGATCAGGCGCTGGCTGGCGCGGCGGGCGCTGGAAACGGCTATGCGAGAATTCATGGGCTTTCCTTTGCTAAAGAGTCAGGCTCTAATAATTCGAGATTCGAAAACAAATAAAGAAGAAAAACGGACAGCCGAACAGGTAGAAAAAAAAAAAGCTGATACCTTCACTGAAACGCATGGGGCGTGCTGGAGTTAGAGTGCGGGAGGCTGACCGAAATCAGCTATCAGCTAGATGGAGGGGGCTGGTGATATTTTTTTGATTCCCTGATCTTTCCCCTTGGCTTTTACCACGGGTTGCGGTTGAACAGGTACGAGATGCTCTCGCCGTTGTGGTTGCGGCGGATGGCCTCGGCCAGCACCGGGGCAACGTCGATCTGCACCAGCTTGGACGACGCCGACGTCAGCTCGTCGGGGATGGGGAAGGTGTTGGTGACAATGACCTTCTGCACATAGGGGCAGATCTCGACCTCGCCCAGCGACGTGCCGCTGAACAGCCCGTGGGCAGCCACAATGTACACAGGCACGTGCCCCGCAGTTGACCATCAGATGCTCAGCCGCCGTCAGGAACGACGACGGGTGGTCGATCATGTCGTCCAGCAGCAGCACCAGCTTGTCGCGCACGTCGCCCACCAGCGTGATCCGCGCATTGCGCTTCTTATGCCATGACGTCACTGCCATCGGCGGCCGCACCGGCGGATCGGCCTGCAGGTGCGTCCCCGACACAATGCGGTGCAGATTCGCTGCGCTGCCGCCGGTGTTCCGCCGCACCGGCCCTTCCACCGCCATGGCCAGCGGATTGCGGACGCTTCTTGTGCTGCTCGGCAATGCCCGCCGTGGCCTGTGCGATTGCCTGCGCGTTGCGCGAAACCGACACGTCCGCCGGATCCGCCAGCTCCTCCAGCGGCGTATTGACCATCTCCATCAGCTGGCCCTCGTCGAACTCGTCGTCGTCGTCATCGTCCGATCGGTTCAGCACCTCAGGAGATTTCAAAGCCCGACTGCGGGCTGGCAGTCTCTGCCAGATCAAGCTCCTCGGGCTCTGCAGCCGCGTCGACCGATAGCGTCGGGCTCATCTGGAACGACGCCTTGCGCACGCCCTCGGCGATCTGATCCACGCCGTCTCCCGACGAGGTCTCCGGGATCGTGCGGATGTCCAGATCAACCTCCGAGCCCTGCCGGTCCAGGTCGCGCAGCGGCGACGACTGAGCCGGGACGATCCCGCTGACGGCCTCGGCAAACATGCCTGGCCCGCGCGGCATCTGCGGCAGCGTGTGCAGGGCTACCGTCGACGGCGTACGCGAGAACGGCCGCGTGCTGGGCGCATTGTCCGTGTGGATCAGCGCAAACGCCGAGCCGAGCCGGTCCGCCAGCGCCGTGACGCGCTTCGCCCCACCCGCATTCTTGGCCACCACCACCAGGTCGGTCTTGTCCACGCTGTTCTCGTCGTCGCCGCGCAGCACATTGTCCACCAGCCACCGCCCGATCGTCGGCTCCGAGAACAAGTTGTCCACGGGGATCGTGAAAAACCCAGACATCTGGCTTGCATGCAGATCCATCGTGATGATGTGGTCTGCCCCTGCCACCGTCAGCATGTTTGCCACCAGCTTGCCCGAGATCGCCCCGCGTCTCTTCTTCTTCTTGCTCTGCTTCGAGTACGGAAAGTACGGAACCACCACCGTGATCTTGCGCGCGCTCGCCAGCTTCGCCGCGCTCACCATGATCAGCACCTCCATCAGGTGGTCGTTGGTTGACATCGAGCCGCTCTGCAGAATATACACGTCCTTCTGCCGCACCGAGCACCCCAGATCCACCGTCGTCTCGCGGTTCGTGTACCGCCGCAGACTCACTGGCGCCAGCTCCATCCCGAGGTGCGCTGCCACCCGCTCCGCCAGCACCAGGTGCGACGTTCCCGCAAACAGCTTGGCGTTGCGCATCTGCTCCTTGAGGCTCTTGAGACGGTCCAAGTTTATTGCTGTGTCCGTTGGTAGTGGAGGACTGATTCTACAGGCTCTTCTGTGAATTCACAAGAAAAAGAGCCAACAAACAGGTAAGGTATCTGAACAGGGGAAAAGCTCAAAAATTGCAAATTGCCTCAATTCAAACAATAAATAGAAAGCACGCTCTAGATACCAGGGGGGATAAACAGGAGTACAAGGGAAGGAGAAAGAGATACAGCGACGAGATACGGGCGAAAGCAAAGGGGGCAAGAGCGATCACCCATGAAAATTTTTTTTACACTTTTCCTGATCCCGACGCCCCACTCCACCGACAGGTGACTTTTTTCTTTTTCGTCCTGCGACAGGGTGACAGAAACCGGCTCTTTCCCCGTGTTGACAAGACACACCAGCGTGAACATGCTTTCTTATCACCGTTCGGCCCTGGCCATGTGGGGCTGATGCCTGGGTATCCCGAAATCGCCTGTTTTGTGGCTAGAATAGTGCCTGTTCGTATTCAGAAACTGCTCAAATTTTCTTCTCAATCCGCCTTGACAACGTGTACTGTCCCGCCAGGTACGTCGGCAGCGCCAGCACAATAGCGTACGTTAGCGTCGGGAATAGCTTGACGCCCACCCAGTAGGCCACTGCCTAGGCCCCATGTACGCCGCCACCAGCCCCAGGAACACCGCTGATCCAACCGGCTCCTTGCTCAGATTGTTCGCATTCACGCCCAGCCTCGCCCACACGCCCAGCAGCAGCAGCAGCGGCGCTCCTGTCAGCCCCGCAAACGCCAGCGATACCACAGTATTGGGCATCTTCTGCGGCTGTGCAAACTGGTGGTGGATCTCGGGCTGGGCACCATACACGACCCTATGATCTGCCGTGCGCTTGCCGCCCACCTTGACATTGCCCAGCGGATAGAACAGCCCACCGTGCTCGAACGACCCCAGGACCAGCGCAATCTTGTACTCGCCCGGCGACCCGTCCAGGTGTGTGCGGAAGAGCTTCCGGCTGATGTCCATCTTGTAGCTGCCGGTCTTGGACATTTTCGCCGGGAACGCAAACTCGTCGCCCGTGGTGCTGTGCTGGAAGCTGACGAACGCCTGGTCGAGCTCCACCGGCTTCTTGGCCGTATCCAGCGCGTCAAACGTGATCGTCAGCGGCGTGGTTGCCTGCAGTGTCGGCACCTGAGCGAACTGCTTCGGGTACTGGAGCGTCTGGTCCAGGAGCTTGTCGCCCGTGCGCTCGGTCACCTTTACCTTGACGTTCTTTGTCGTCAGGTCGGCCGAGCCCGAGCCCAGCAGTGTGGCCAGGACGCCCAGTCCAGGCGAAAAATGCACCCTTGCTGAATCTCATTGCTGCAAATGGAGGTTTGGAGGAAAAAAGTACAGCTGTGCTCAGTCCAGGCGTCTGGCTAGCTCCTCTTATGTCCCAGCGGGCTTTGGCGTGCATGCTTTTTCGCTGGACCGCCGTGATTGGCCCCAGCATTTTTCGCGCTCTTTTTGCATTTTGGCATTTTACAAACTCAGTCCACGCTCTGTCAAATTCAGCAAGAAATCAGCTTTTCCCCCCTCTTCCATCCCTCATCATTTCACTCGCTGCCTCTCTTTCCACGTTCAAAATCAAACCTCAAATTAGGATGCTGAAGAAGCTCGTGTTTCTGTTCGCCATGCTGGCGATGGTCAATGCTGTGACCCTGCGCAAGTGGATTGCGTCGCATGAGAAGACCTGCTACTTTGCCATGGTCGACACTCCGGGCAAGAAGATCAACTTTTACTTTGCGGTAAGTTTCCTGTAGCAGCACCCACCTCCAGGCAGCAGCAGCAGCAAAACTGGAAAAGCGCATTTCCTAATCTCCAAATGCCACAAAGTAGGTGCAGCTGGGCGGCAACTTTGACATTGACTTTGAGGTCGAGGGCCCGAACAACCGCGCAATCTACTCTGGCGAGGCCGAGCGGCAGGGCGACTTTACGTTCACGGCGACGCAGAGCGGCGAGTATGCATTCTGCTTCAAGAACGGCCTGGCGACGTTTGCCGACAAGCTGGTGGAGTTTGACATTTCGGTGGAGGACGAGGCGCGGCCGGACGACATTTCGAAGCGCGTGGGCCGCGACGAGGTCGCCAACAGCATCGTGTCGATTGCCAGCGAGCTGCAGCAGATCACAAAGTTCATGAAGTACTTTAGGACCCGCGAGAACCGCAACTTCGCCACGGTCGCTTCGACTGAGTCGCGGGTGTGGTGGTTCTCGGCGCTCGAGAGCCTGTGCGTGGTTGTGGTTGCGGTGATCCAGGTCTACGCCATCCAGGCGCTGTTCACTGCCAAGCGGTCGCGGCTGTAAGAATGAGAGCCTGTTCCTGAGGGCCGTAGTCTCTGAATAAACAATTATCTAGTGCAGTCACTTGCATTGACTGGTATCGGGGAACGGCGCTGCTGCTGCTTTTCCACAATCACAGCATTCCGGCAAATCACCGCATCCCGTGCTGTGTTGCCTTAACCGGCACACGCGCCTAAACCGCGTCGCAGATTCTGGTGTCATGCTGGGGGAAAAATTTTAGGGAGGGGACCGGTAAACAAAGCCGTGATGCAAAACAGCCCAGGTCCTCTCGTTTCCACTTTGTAAACTTGCTGTTTGCTTCTGCTTCCTGATGTTTTTGTATTAACCACGCATTCCCTGTCTAATAGCCTTTCCCCCGTTCGCATTTCAAACTCACAAAACTCCTCACCTATTTTACCAGCGCAAAATAACCTTATTTCTATCCTCTCTCGTTTGTCGTTTTCCCCCTTAAACTTATTACACTATTTTAAAGCATTCTAGACCATATGAGCTCCCAGGTCATGCCTATTTCACAGGAATCCATCTCGCAGGAGGCTGCTGACGACATGGACGACCTCAACCAGCTGTTCCAGGACCAGCTTCTTGTAAGCCAGGTGCCGTCGAGCGTGTGGGGCGTCCTCCTATCCCTGACCCCTGAGGTTTACGACACAGTCTTGCTGGAGCGCACCAAGCTACAGCCCTTGGAGGACGGTGGCCCGGGTAGCTTTGGATACCATATTGGGCGGCATAAGACATGTGACGTGCGCATCCAGAACCCGCACATCAGCAACCACCACTGCCTGATCTACCGCGTGTCTTCATCGCCACCGCGGGTGTACCTGGAGGACACGAGCACGAACGGGACGTTTGTGAACGGGCGGCGTGTGGGCAAGAGCAAGCCGGTGGAGCTGCGGGACGGGGATGAGATCCAGCTGGTGCGGTTCCAGGCGAGCAAGGGGATGAAGTTCTTTCCACGACCGGTTTTTCGTGTTCCAGAACCTGGCAGTGCACCGGACGGAGCCGTGTTTGTTCAAGCAGAGCTACCTGCTGGCGGACCACCTGGGCAAGGGAGCGTTTGCAGAGGTCAAGGTGGCAATCAACCGGGTGACGGGGCAGCGGTATGCGGCCAAGATCATCGACCGAAACAAGATCACAAAGATCGAGAAGCGGCGCAAAATGGACAAGAACTTCCAGATCGAGACGTCGATTCTGTCCCGGGTGCGGCACCCGGCGATTGTGCAGGTGCATGGGGTGTTCCGCGAGCACGACAAGCTGTACCTGGTGCTGGACCTGGCGGCGGACGGCGAGCTGTTCGACGAGATTGTGCGGCGGGAGTTCCTGGGGGAGCGCGAGACGCGGCGGGTGCTGCTGCAGCTGCTGCTGGCGATCCGGCACCTGAACCGGCTGGGGGTGGTACACCGCGACATCAAACTGGAGAACATCCTGCTGGCAGACAAGGAGCAGCTGCGCATCAAGCTGGCAGACTTTGGGCTGGCCAAGATAGTGGGCGAGCAGACATTCATGAAGACCGTGTGCGGCACGCCGATGTACGTGGCCCCCGAAGTTCTGAAGGTGCGCACGCAGGGTGAGTACGACCGCCAGGTGGACATGTGGAGCCTGGGCGTGGTGCTGTACATCTGCCTATGCGGCTTCCCGCCGTTCTCCGACGAGCTGTCGCCGCCGCCCATGCGCGACCAGATCATCGCCGGCATGTACGCATTCCCTGCGCCGTACTGGGACAGCGTGTCGCCCGGCGCCATGGACCTGGTGCGCCGTATGCTGGCCGTCGACCCTAAGAAGCGCATCACCGTCGACGCAGCCCTGGCCCACCCGTGGCTGGGCGCGCGCCGCCGCGGCAACGTCTGGATACTGCATGGCGACGACTTTGTGGTCCTGGACCCGGACGCCGACGACAGCCAGATGACGCAGAGCGTTACCGTCGAGTCGTCGCAGCAGCCGTGGTCGTGTGCCAATTCGCTGCACAGCGCCGAGTCGCAGGATCTGCCGCCCAGCCCGCTGTCGCCGGGCGCTGCCAACACCGGCCGACCCGGGTCGGACTCCAGCGGGTGCATGGCAGCTTCGCGCGGACAAAAGCGCAAGATGGGCTCGCTCCTGCGCTCGCACTCGGACCTGGACGTCCAGACGACCACCAAGCGGTCGATGCATTTCCGCAGAATGTCGTCTGATGCCACAAATAGCCAGCCAGTCTTCAACATGTCGCTGGAGAAAAGCTGCACCAGGGCCATTGGCCCACTGGCGACTAAGGTGCCGCTTCTGATGGTGTACCCGCAGCCGCTGCCGCGGCCTGGTGCCCGCGAAGATGTGCCCAAGATGTGCTCATTTGATGCAGAAGCCAGAGCGGAGAATGCGGCAAAAAAGAAAGTCATTTGAAGAGGATCTTTGCGTGTTATGATGAAATTTTTACGTTATTTTCATTCACTGAGCATGTGGCTCGTACATGGAGCATGGGACGATTGTTTGCAAAATGGACGATGATAAATGGTGATAAAATAAGGTTAGGTAGTATACAGGAGCATTGACAAGAAGCTAGTAGTAATTTTTGGGAGGATTCAAAACCGAATAAGGCGCGCGCGGAAGCACCTCATCCGTTTGCGCTCCAGCACATGGAACACCTCGTCGTCCTCGTCCTCGGATACATCGTCGATCTCCGGGATAGAGCTCAGCGACAGCCTCGGCGGCGTGCCCAGCCCCTCGACCAAAAACCCCGAAGCCACCGGCGAAGTCGGCGGCGTCATCAGCATCACCGGCACAAACATTTTGCTCTGGTTCACCGGGCAGAACTCGCCCATGGCCGGCGAGCTATGCTGTATGTCAAATGTATTGCGTCTTGCAGGCTCAGCAGCCATGGCCGGCCGGTGTGTATTGGACGCGTCGCTTTTGCGCCGCCGCCGGTCGTTGCGTGCGATTAGTCCGCGCGCCAAAACGTAATCGGACGGAATCGGGTATGCTGGCATAAGCGAGGCCATTAGTATTAAAAAGGAGGAATAGAGAGGGGTATGCCTAGAATAAGAAAAAAGCGTATTGTGAATTTGGAAAGGAATAAAGTGCGAATATTTATACCCCTTCCCTTCACACATGGCATATCGATATGCTAAAAAAACTTTCCAACCCCCCGCTGTTACCCGAAAGTTACCCGGGGCATGGAATTCACAGTTGAGTTGCTTTTCTCCCATGTATGCGAAGGCTGGGCGCGAGAGACAAACAAGGTCGTGTTCCAACTCATGCGCTTCCCATGATCAAGTGGGCATTTTTTGGGTGCCCTCTTCCCCCGCCAAACAAAAACACTACTGCTTGATTCCACCACCCCCTTCTATTTTCCATCGCTTGACGCAAAAATAATGCTTTCCGCAGGCGTTAATATTGCAGGTTGCGCACTATACGCTGCGCTATGTGTGGAGTAAAATGCCTGAATGGGCTGCAAAAATTTAGGGATATACGCTGAACGATGAGCTTTTTTTTTTTTTTTTCATGAGGCTTGTTGTTTTCCTCCTTCATGTCAGCTGCCTGACTTGCCAATGAGAGGTGGTTCACCTCATATCGCTCGACGTCTCTCCCCTCCTGCCTACTGCCTGCTCCCTTTTTTTTGCAAATTCGCATGTATCAGTCCTGCAGCCCACACCCAGCCTTGGCGAAGTTGCAAGGGAAATATCGCATTCGCCATGCCCAGAAAGAAATGCAATACTAACCTATTATTAGGCTGCCTAGACAACCCTTGCCCATGACGACAGTACCCTGGGCAGCTTTTTTTTTTTTTTCAAACACCGCCTTTCCGGTCAGCAAAAAGAAACGCGTGCATATGGCGCGAAGGATTGGCCGCTAGAACCCCTTGGCGCTTTCTTTGGGGCCTCTTTTGACAGCACAAACATATGGCCTAATCCAAATATGCGGACTGCTTTTCATAAGCCATCTTCTGCCTTAACCAGATAAAAAGCTTGGTGTTTGCGAAATTTATTCAAACGCGTTCGCAAAGTGGGGTGTCCCCTGGGCAGAAGCATGGCACTTCTGAGACGAGGCGCAAGCTTTTTTTTTTTTTAGTTATTGTTGCAACGAGTACAAGCGAAGAATCTCGGCTTTCGTCGGTTTCGGTCATGCCAAACCTCGGTCTATTTCGCCGCCTGCTATTTTTGCAGTGGGCTGCAAGGTCACCGGGGGAGTCTGGGTCATGTACTAGAGTCACCTGCCAATTAGCAGTCATTGCATCATGCGTCCCTCCAGTCGGTCTGTGGCGGGCTGGCAGGGAGGGGAGGGATGGAAGGCTCTGCACCACATGGCGACCACGCGCCCAGCTTTATTTGCACTGCTGGTTTTCAAAGAGGGGACGATTTTTGTTGGTGGTCGCGCGGTTTCCGTCGCGGGCTCTTGCAACATAGGGCGTATTGCACAATGTCTTGCAAAAGTCATGTACTTATTTTACGGCTTTATTTGCTACTGGATACGCGTGAAGATTTCGAGACCCACCCTACTGCCTTCTGCTCCACCTGACCAAAACCCGACCAAAAGAGCCTATATACAAGAAAGCTGCTATTTCCTGCAACTGCGGCTATACCGCACTTGCCTGTCTTTTTTAATCCCCTGGCACCAAGAAGTAGCATTTGAATCCGTTAGGCATTGTCCTGAACACTCTTTGCGACTAAATAAATTCGACAGTGTGTTGTGATTGTCTTCCTACTCAGCTCCTGGGTGGCTTAGCATCTAGCAATCATGGCACTCCCACTTGGAACTCCGCAACAGCCGCAGTATTGCTGCAGTACATGGGTGGGTTGGTGACACGGCTCTGCGCAGGAAACGCGTACTGGGTTAGCAAATGTAGTTCCGCGTGAAGCCTAACTTGGGGAAGGGGAAATTGGCATTGCGCAGCCGATTGGCGACAATGGGTTGATCGAGGCAACCGCGTTTAAGGTTCGGTTTTCAATTAGTACATATGTGGACACATTAATATTAGCCATGCACTTCATATGCACGCCATGCCAATCTGCCCAACGGCTCGGAGATACCAGATGCTCAACCCTCATCCAGAGATTCAGATCCGGAACTGGATCCTTTCTAACTTGATCTGGCAAGCAGTAGGTTCCGTGATTAGTTACTCTTGATCATAGAGTTTGGGCCATGCCCTCATCATGATCAAGAATTCCTTCATCGTATATCGTGAATGCACATCATTGGGTATCTAAAAAGAGAATATCTGTGTAGAACTAGCAAATACTTTTAGGACGATCAAAGAGGCAGTGCAGAGGCGTATGTTGCAGTGGAGCCTTGCAAGGTGCTGTTTGTTTTTGTACCAAGCTTTTGTTTTCATTAATTGTATTGATAGACATGGGACCAGCAGAGCTTACCTTTACCAAAGCGCAGCTTGAAAAGGCCCGCTCCAAACGCATTACGAACATAACAGTCACCTTGGTGGTCCTTGGTTTGCTTATCATCCTTTCCTTGGCTGTGTTTGCGCTTGGGCTAACATTTGTAGTCGTAGGTGTAACTTGGGGATTGTTTGATGAAGGTGATGATTCGAGCAAGACGAATGTGTATGAGTCGAATATGCTCAAAGCTGGTATCCCCCTCCTTATCCTCGGGTTTCTTTTCGCAATACTGTTTTCGGTTTGGACACGAAGGTGCGTTGTGTTCCGCCGGAAGCTCCGTGCACTTGATACTCCACCAGAGTTCATTCTATCGAAGGAGGCTAAGAGGATCTTGCTGACAGAAGGCAGCACAGCAGAGAACTACACTGTCGTGGTAATTCCAGATACTGCACCTGCGGATAGCACACATTGAAGGTCTCCTTGATGACAAATACACAACAAATAAATGTCAGTTCTCCCCACTCCCAAATTTGCCCTTGTTTGGATAGTGGACGTACTTGTCTATTATAAAGGAAGAATTGGCTATAAACTGGTCTATAACAGCGTAGATCACCGATGCGCCTCACTCTTGGCATTATATAAATACCTTTCTAGATGCACACCCAGCATACCTCTGGAGATAGCTCACAGCTCCCTCTCAAGACTACTGCACAGGAAAGGGGTGTGTAGATATAAATGCGTCTTGGAAAAATCGCAAAGCAGGAAAATGTATCTTCTAGCAGACACTTTTTATATCCTTAATTTTTTTGACAGCGATGGAGCCAACAGTCCTCACCTTTACCAAGGCACAGCTTGAGAAGGCTCGCTCCAAACGCATTACCCTAGCAACAGTGGCCATGGTTTTTCTTAGCTTTTCTATCATTTTATCTGTAGCTTGCATTGCAACCGGGATTCTCTTTGAGCTCATAACTGGAGGCAGGACAGAACGTAGACCTGATGATATCGCTTTGGACAATAGAACTGAGAAGACTATCAAGGCCGGCTATGCATTGCTAGTTGTTGGATTTGTAGCAGTTATAGCTTTCTCTGTCTTGGTGAGAATGCGTGTTGTGTTCCGCCGGAAGCTCCGCGCTCTTGATACTCCACCAGAGTTCATTCTCGCGAAAGAAGCCAGGAAGCGCTTAAAGGCGCAGGGTATCATCACCAAAAACTTTGTTGTCATTGTGGCTCTAGATGATGCACCTACGGCGGATACCTCCTAACTTGTCTCTTATTATACATGTCGTAGCAATTATGTCAACTCTCACTCTTTCTCACATGCTAATTTAGTTCAACGATATACGCTAGCTTTTATTAGTAAGCAATAGTACCTGTATAAACTTGCCTTCATCATCAGTGATGATCAACCTAGCTTTGTCTTGGCACTATAAAAATATCTGAACACATGCGTTCTTGCGCATGTTTCTAGAAGGAATTCACAAGGACCAGCCGGGTATTATGTGTAAGGAGTGGGCTGATGATGATAAATAAGAACCAAGGGTTGCGTCCCTTTTGCGACTATATGTCTCCTGCCAGACAGTTTCTTATATTCAAACTCCCCTCTTATTATGATGGTTAGCGAGCCCATAGTCCTTACTTTCACCCAGTCGCAGCTTGAAGGTGCCCGTGCTAAGCGGATTAAAGCAAAAAAAAAGTATCGAGGCACCCTCTGCTTCACAATTTTAGCATTTTTATTCGGAATAGTTGGTGGAGGTCTTATTGGTTCGACTGCTGGTCGGAAGCGCCGTGGCTCTGATTTGACCGAGACGGATGCTCAGAATGAGATAGTCCGTAGAGCTGGCGTTGGGATTCTTGTCACTGGATCCATTATCTTTTTCTTCATAGTGCTGAAAGTGATAGGAACCATGATGTACATCAAAAAGCTCCGTGCAACTGATGCACCCCCGGAGCTGTTTCTCTCTGGTGAAGCCAAGAAGCGTCTGAAAAGAAGTGGGAACTATCCGAGCAAATACAAGATCGTTGTTGTTCCTGATGACACGCCTACTGACAGCTCCTAGTACCGCTTGCTTCAGTATCTACGGCTCCTGACCGTAAACAGCCTTTCTACAACATCCCTGGTGTATAACTGGTATCTACTTCTTTTTTCTGTGCCCTTGTTCGAAATTTGCAAAGAGCAGTGTATTAGGTAATCACTGGGTACTTAAAAGTACCATCCAACTGGTACTGGGTATTAAGATCCTTAAGAACAATGAATGGAACTGGAAATGCACTGCTTCTCGTCGCTTGCCCAAAAACAAAAAAGCCATTTTGGCAATAGCCAGATAGCCCACCTCGCTGTTGCAAACCACCTAGCATGCATGCACTCGCTGCCAACTGTCAGCCATTCTATTTTCAGCAGATTGAGGCCAAACAGCCCAGTGACTTGTCTCGGGCCAGATTCGCTTTTCGCGCTTTTCACACACCGCAGCCGTTTTGTCATCCTCTGCCTCTGAAAGGAAAAAATCAGTCAATCCGTGCACGTTATTCCTTCTAGAAGCACGGCAACTCGTATTTACCGATTTTCCTTGAATTTTCGCCCATAGACGAATATTTGGGGATTGCAACGTCTGGCTTAAGCGCTGATCGTCCCTCCTACCGTGATTTTTTCTAGCTCCAGCGCTCGCAGTGTTGCCGCAGCAGGTGGTTGGGAGGCTGTATTTAACGGCTGTGCGCCTTTCTGCATCGCCCATTCCATCTTCAAGCAACACCCTTCCCAACGTCGTTTCGTTCCCTTCCTTCGTTTCCTTCGCCTATCACCAGCAGCTATTCTTCTACTTAACAATGGCTACCTATGTTCAGCCTGGCAGCACGCCGTACTTTACTCAGGAGCAGATCGATGAGATGCGCGCTGAGCAGCACAAGAACGCCAAAAAGAGGCTGGCATATGGGCTTACCACCTCTATTATCGGCTTTCTTGTCAGTGTCGGTTTTCTAGGATACTATCTTTCGCAGTATTTCGGGACTCGGGGGCGCATTTACTATAGGGGACGATACAGCTACCGGTACAACGAAACCTACTTCACTACGCGTGCAGGTATTTCTGGTGCAGCTGCAGGTATTGGCCTTATTTGCATCATCTGCGTCATTGTCTCGTACAAAAAGACCATGCGGATTCTAAATGACCCGAGTGCACCTTGGCTGCAGGCTGTCCAAAACCCCAACACCAGTACCACTCATTTCGCTACCAAGCCCGAGTTCCAGAACCAGCCGTACCCTCAGCCGAACCAGCCGTACCCTCAGCCGAACCAGTCGTACCCTCAGCCGGATCAGCAGTACGCGTACCCCGCTCCGCAGGTGCAGCAGGGCCAGGAGCAGTATACTCCGCCGAACCATCCGCCTCCAGCGCAGATGAAAATGCCCAATGCCTAATTTCGTGTTTATAACAATCGTTAATAAAGAAAGTCGCGACTTTCATTCTATTATTGTAACCTAATCTTTTAGTTAAGAGCCAGGCAGCTCTCTCAACATACATGTAGCCACCAATACATCCCTCTGCAGCCGCTCTAGTGCCCTTGGCAATAGCTAATTCCAAACTACTGTAGATGCTGTACTGTTAGTGAGAGGGTATACACAGCATTGTGCATGAATCCACTTTGACCTGAATACCTGGCTTTGTATCTATCCACACAATTAGGTAAGCCAGCAGCCATCCAATTGAACACACCCCTGCTAAAAATAGCCCAGCGGGGACTAGCTGTCGGTCATCCAGTTTGGAGGCGCCGAAACAAATCAGTACCTCTGAAGACCGAACATTCGAATGATCTGCAGGTCATAACCATTCCTAAAAAATAAAGGACGACCTTTAAGCATGGCTTGCAATGGAGAAGCTGGTATTGGGGCAACGACACAGTAAAAAAAATCTACGCGCTCATTCTGTCACAATCCACTGATGGATGTAGACACGTACTGGGCACTCGCAGCAGGAGCGATCCGGACAACTTGTGGCTGCATCTTCCCTAGACAGCAACGTGAATGACAACAAAGTATTGTACCGTAGAGATATGAGCGTTTCTAGAGCTCGAAAGAGGGTTGGGTTGAAGATACTTGAGATACTGGCCAAAAATGAAATAGCAAAAGAAGAAGGAATCGATATGCTACGAGGCAATCGACTCAACAAAATATGAAACCATCGGTGGTCCAAGAATAAATCTATCACAAAACTGCTCCTGCTTTTGTGCCAACTGAGCACAAATATCAGCCATAGTCCTTGCTCGCCATTTATCGCTACTACGATGACGATATTCTAGCTGCTTGCTAGCAGCTATATTGTTTGATAGCGCAAGATCCAATAAGTCTAGAAAGTAGGTCACTTGGTATTGGCAAATACTGATTTCTTCTATTTTTGTCTGCGTTACGTAATGGCGGACATGCGTATACGACTCGCCCGCCCATCAAAGAACACAACATAGAATTAGCTGGAGGGTATAAAGTGAGAGTGCAGCCCAGGTCGGACTCTGGTGCACACCAACATAATAATATTGTGAACTTTTTTATTTTGAATAGTCATAGTCAATTATCTCATATCTAGATATAATGGCACACGCTAACGTACTATACACTACTGATTATGGTGTTGGTAGACCACCGCCTACCATTATCCAGGTACCACCCAAAAAGTACAGAAAATATCTCTTCTTCAGCATGTTCTCTCTTGGTATTTCAATTGTCAACTTGGGCGTAATGGGCTACCTCATCCACAGGTTCTTACAAGTGAAGAATGATAAAAGACAAATTACGTACGCCCTTAAAGAAGACGAAGAACGAAATAAACCTTCATACTATGCAGGCTGTATTGCTCTACTTGCAGTCTTCACTTCTATTAGCCTGATTATGTCAATCACTTTTCTTGTCAAGCACAGGAGAGTTTCCCGTTGATATTCCATTCTGTGCCAATAAATATTCGTCGTTTGATAGAACCTTATTAGAACCGTTAGTATGGTATTTGTTAGCCTTGAGGGAGTGTTCACAAGAATGTATGAAAATTGGAACTAAAAAGTGAGTGAGGAAAGGAAAAGGGGAGCCAGCTGGCCTATTTGAGTCCGATTCTGAGCGTGCCCGATCTGGTTAATAGCGAGATAGGAGTGGCTTGGGATTTTGACTTCAAATAGTTCTTCTAGTAGACGAGATCAGCAAAGCGTCTCCAAAAGTTGTTACTGTGGATGCTCTCAAGCACTGCTGGCGTGTCAGTAATTGAGACATACACATCCTTGCTTGGTGGGCGAGTAGGCAGGATAGTGACCATACTGGCTAGTCGAGCGGGGCGACTAGTAATAAAGTCTGCAGCTCCATATCCAAAATCTATATCGTAGAGTCCAAACCGAGACTGGTTTGATATAGTTGTACGTAGCCCATACATTTTTGCCCTGGTAATTGGGCCCATGTATAGGGCTGAGTGCTGGTTGATCATATCAATATAGGCTCTTATCTGTGGGGCCTGTACCCGGTTAATGGCGTGTCTGATTTTAATTGCAGCCTCAGCCAGCGTCTCGAACGTCGTTGCCTGGATGATTCTCTCGACTGGATTTGTCACCATAGACATGTACTGAGCATTTCCAATATAACCCATATCAGATATTCCGAGATGGCGGCGGCAATCGCATGCGATAGTAGTCAAATGGAGGTGTGCCATATCGCCAGACTTGCTTGGCTGGTCGATAAGTCCAGTCGTATTGGCAAACTGTGCCTGAGACACTGTCTTGGCGATCAATGCGCTCAGGGCATCGTTAATTGAAAGCCGGGGACCATCCAAGGTGCATTTCTGTACACCATCTCGCAAATACTCAAGCTTGTCATGGCCGATCCGGTAGAGGCAGCCTTGGTGGTCAGCATTTGGCCTTCTGGAATGAATTACTTTGTTGCGCTCCATTGGGGAAAGCAATGTCAAGGCTATTGCTGCTGGCGGAAGGTCCGTAATACTAACCCGGAGGAGATTATCGACTTCAGCTCGCGCGTCGGTAGGGTCACCGACAAGAACTGCACGATCAAAGCAGACAGCTATCTCAGGCGCAGATACTCCAGTCATCAAAGCTCGCGTTTCATCAGCCCAGCGATTTACGAAACTGTAGAACCCAGTACCGTCTGTGACACCATGGCAGCTACTGATGAATATGGCCACCCCAGATGACTCTCGAAACCTGACGATGTGGACATGCAGCATCTTTATCTGGCCAGTTGCTTGGTCAGGAACTGGGGTCATGCTGGTAGTCATCAACCCAGCAGGCCAGGTGCGTGGGTTGTAGCTGGAGGATTTGATGTCCGAAAAGAGGATATCCGAGGTTGACTCGAGGTAGTTTGGCATATTCAGGTCGTCCTTGTCAATGACAATTGCGAGTCCTCTGTCCGCGCGCTGTCTAAGGTATCCAAGATATACCGGGAACTTCTCCAATGCCTTGTAGAATGCCTCTCTGAGTACGCTGGTGTTCAGGAAGTCAGCATTTCTGGCAGTATTCTCGTAGAACAAAATAATGTCAGAGTTGACGACAGAAATACTCGCATCGACGTAGGTTAAGGGAATAACCTGTGAGGTGATCAAATTCATGAACTGTGACATTATAGCGCAATGAAGGATGAAGAAGGATGAAGAAGGATGATAAAAGGTGAGAATGATGGACCTCTAGCGGGCTGGAGGCATAGGTGCCTTTTATTGGCACCTGCCTCTAACATAATTGCAGTGGCATGCGAGCTTCCAAACAATGCAGTTTCTGCATCTTGGGGAACAATCGCTGGAGGGGAGGGGGGAGAGTGCGTGTGGCTGAGATTTTGAGGGAGGCAACTGTGGGATGGTTCAACGAGCCCTAGCCCCAGGTTCCATATGTACTGGTGGGTACGCAAAGTGATGTACAGATACGCTCCTACGCCACAATAGGTCAAACCGAATACACGTATGTCTTGGCTTAAGGAGGCCAGCCAGCCTTCCTTTTCCTAGCTCAATTGTATATTGTCAACTTTCTGAAAGAGTGCTCACGGGAATATATGTGGAACCAGATGCCTTCTTTTTAGCAGTGCTTATAATGGATCACAAATAAATAAGAGAATAAACAGTGCATGTCCAATTGACATTAGTCAAGATATTTAGGAAATTTATCAGGTGGTGTATTCTCCTAGTAGTACAACGACGCATGTGCTGATAAAACCAATATTAAAAGTTCACAAAAATATATTGGAAAACCAGTAGAAATCTCTGCTGCTAGGTGCTGGCGAGGAGTATTTAAGCAAATACCAAGTGCATACGGAGCCCTTAGCTAAGCTGCGCATGACCCTAGATAAAGCTGCACCAATCTCAGTAAGCCGCCTTGGGTACGATGGAACAATCCTAGTGGCATGGCATATATCTGATGAAAGGTCGGCGACCAATTGACTAACCACAGTTTATTTCAGATTTAGTGAACGTAGCGTGTTGTGCTACATAATCATTCGGCCTAAGAATTAGTTCAGTTTATTAATCCAGTTGAACAGTACTATGTACGGTTCCTGTCATGACGACAAGGACGGGGTGGCCTGGATTCAGGATAGGAGCTGGTAACCAGGTATCGCTAAGACGTGTGCAGGTACTCTGGAGGTGGAGTTAGATATACTAAAGTGAGCAAGTAGTTGGGAAAGGTTGTCAAGACGAGGGATCTCGACATGCCGCCGAAGGTGCCGGAAGTATATAGTTGTCTGCAGATGGTGTCAAGGTAATCGTGAATATGCTGTTATTACTATCTACAAGGACCATATACGCTAACATAAATAGAAATCATGTCCGAACCGGTTATCCTTGGTTCCTGGCTCAGCTGACGATGACTCGAGACCCGACCTGTCTTGATCCATGACTGTTTGTGGTTGCTTGGTTATATTTCAACAGCAACCCAGCCAGGAAAGTGTGCAATAGTAAGTAGATATCTGTGATGTCTATCACTGATACGTGAGGCACATAGATGTTTGACACCAATGTTGTAACTAGTACTTACATCTTACCTCACCATTACTTGTAGTTATTTATTAGTAGCCCAACTAATTCGTCGCACAAACTCTACACTCGTTGTGGATATGCTCCCTTCATTCTTGCATTTACAACATTGCCAAGGTATATACAGTCAGAGTTAGATAGGCCATGGTGGCTTTGGGATGGATCTAGATATCAGAGCTTCCGGATTTCTCAAGCTGCATAAAATTCTAAAAATAGATGTCATTCTGCTAAAATGAGAGCTGGCCTCTTTGATTTGTGCTATTTTTACTGACATGCGTAGGTGATTCCTTCGCATCCAAATATCTCCACACTCAAAAGGGTGACGATTGGTAAACCCAGGGTTTTTATAAAATGGACTGTGACCCACACCATACCCCTGTGGCAGACAGGTATCCCAAGCAAGTATCCGTATACTACTTTGCCATTATTTATTTCCTCAGCATGTCGCATCTTAACACACCAATTTCCCACAACGTTGTACCCATCAGCCCGCAGGCAATCGTTTTCCAAGCACCAAAGCAAAAGGACAAGAGGCCCCTCTACATTGCACTCTTTTTCCTCGCTGCTGCACTAGTCACTTTGGGTCTGATGGGCTACTTTATTAGCCGGATGCTTGAAGCAGATAGGACAGGCACATACATAACTGGATGGGGTCACCACATTTTTAGCAACAGCAGATCGTACTACGAGGCACGTGTGGGCATAAATGCATCGGTCGCTGGAATTTGTCTGATATTAGCAATAATCTATCTCGTAAAGTACAAAAGATCCTAGTTCGTGTTTCAGTCCAACAGCATGTAAATTCATAGCATCAGGTTTTGCCAATACATTCCTTAGCAGCATCTTCTCAATGGCCAGAATTTATTATACATGAATTCCAGGAAGCCGCCCTTTGTGGGGGCTGTATTCATTCGGAATCCTTATACCTAGCAACGGCAAGTCTGCCAAGATCTTGACAGACTTTTTGTGCGCAATCTACTATTGCGTTCCATCGTCGCGGCTGTCCATATAAAAGTAGACGATGCGCTGGACTCGTCCTAGCTCCAAGTAAACTATCCACATCATTCCAAGCTATAGACAATGTCGTTCACCAATATTATTAAACCTACCTCTGTGAGCTACTCCGACGAAAGCCTTAAAGAGCCAGCACTCAAGCGGAACAACCCCGCAGTCATTGCCGCCTTCTCAGTAATGGCTGTTGCCTCTCTGGTTGGCGTTGGCTTCATGGCGCATTACCTAGTGCAAATTTCACACTTTCAGCATGATATACTCGAAAACAAGACGAATCCTACTAAGGCAGCAAAAATTATATTCGGGGTAGATATTTTCTCGTTTATCAAACGCGCCATGCTGCTTGGAATATTTTGTGTGCCAGCATTCATTATTTCAGTGGCTGCACTTGTAGTAATGGCTGTGCCCAGATGGCGCAACCGGTGAATGTTCCTGTGACAATAAATGTGTATATTCAAAAAAAAAAAGAAAAGAAAAGCGTATGGCAGTATAGCCCTGTGCTAATGATAGACATGTGCTACTGCGATAGTCACCCTGGTACAGGTGCTATTATAAGGTACATGGGTCAGCTTCAGGAGCTATTTTCCGGTGAGTCGGGGGCGACACCCCGCACGTACTAGTATGTATGTGCACTACTTAGCCGACAGTCTGCCGCTGGTACCTCAGTCTTCTTTTTCCAGTTGTTCTTTCCTCCGTACTTGCGCTATTGAAAACTCTACACAACAATGGTTGGATACCCACCCGTAGTCCCTGCCCCTAGTCAGGGTCCATCCTCTTATGCTGCCTCCGGGCCCCCAGCCGTGGGTGCGCGCAAGACGATCCTGCGAAAAAAGCGCTACGACATCTCGATCTGGCTGCAGACAGGCCTCACAACGCTGTACCTTGTTCTCCTTATATACTATTTTGTGCACCTGCGGCACCTGGCCGGTATGCAGCCGGCGATTTGGCGCGCTGGGCTCCTATTCCTGCTTTTGCTGGTAGACATCAGCGTGATTTGGCTGACTGTGCGCAGCAGACGGATGGCGTGCAAATCCGAGCCAGGAGCGCAACAGAGAGAAACAAACCAGGGTGTGCCGCTGGCGGGAATTGGTAGCAATAACCCGTTTTCATTTCACCAGAATCCAACTACTTTGGCCGATTCGCTGCGTCCGCCGCAGCCCGCTGAACTGGATCTGCAGCATTCGCCAGGGCGCAGTGGGCAGCTGGCGAGGTCGCATCTGAACACGCCGATTACTGGGTAGACCAAGAGGATATAAGCCCTTTTTTTCTCGAAAAGCACAAGCATCTAAGATTATATAACGTTAGCACTGATATGAGGTAAATTAATAAGCCGAGCGGTTGGTGTGGTGGATGGGCGACGTCGGGCCGTTGCTATACTGGTGGCGCTGGTGCTCGGGCTGGCTGTGGTACCACTGGGGTTCGCTGGTCTCAACTGCAGACGGGTGCTGCGGCTGATACTGCTGCGGCGGCACTTGCTGCTGATGCTGCTGCTGGTTGTAGTGATGGCCACTGTAGTGGCCGTGGCTGAGCGACGCCTGCTGCGGAGGCGGAGGCGGAGGCGGAGGCGGAGCCTGCTGGGCCTGGTGTGGGGGTGGGGCAGTGTACTGCTGGTGCAACGGCGGTGAGCGGTACCCGCTTGAGCGGCCGTACATCTGGTGCTGCCTGGAGGTCGGATTCGGAAGCTGCAGCTGCAGACCGCGGGGTGGCGGCGAGCGGCTATAGGGCTGCTGGAATTGGGCCTGCGAGTGTCTGCCGCTGTTCGGCAGCATGTCGGCCGCGTGAGATGGGCGGCTGTTACTGGAGGGTGCTGGGTACCCGTGGTTCATGATTCCGTTGGCCTCAGCGGGCGGGGCATTGGCAGAGGGGGCAATGGGTGCAGGCGACGACTGGTGACCAAAGTAGCGGTCATTGCCGCTGCTGTCGTTACTCACTGGGGTTTCAAACTGGTTCAGGCTCTGGATGCTCGGCAGTGACACAACCTTTGTGTTGGTAGACTCACCATACGATGTCTGCGCGTGGCTATTCGCTGGGCCCTGTCCGATGGGATAGAATGGAATATGCTTCTTCTGCTGCTGCGGTTGAACGGGCTGAGCTGGAGACGCAGCCGGATTCAGCTGGGTCGCCGGCCTCTCCTGGTCTTTTTCCTGCTGCTTCGGGCTGTTCTGGCTGCGAAGTGACCGCTCAACCTTGATCATCCACGAATGCACATCCACCTGGTGCTGCTCCAAAGCGAGCTCCAGCTTGCGCAGCTTGAGCTTCAGCTCCGAGTTTTCCATGCGCAGGTCGTTCACCGACCGCATCACATCCTCCGAGCTGCTGCTATCGGGAACCTCGCCGGCACCGTCGTCGGCACTATGTGGCTGCCGCCGTGCAGGGCCACTGCCGCTGGCAATAGCATCATAGACACGGCGTGTGCGCTTAGCCAAACGAGCAGCCACAGCATCAGCATCATACTCGACATGCGTGCGAGATTGTTTGCGGGGGCGCTTGCGCTCGTTGTCGTTGGCATTGGCCACCTCGATATCCTGGGTGATCCGGCGCGGCTCGTACCTTACTTCGAGACGCGGGGCGGTTGGCTTGAAGCGCTCAGACGAGGTCGTCACGAGCCTATTCCTGCGCGAGGAGACCCACTTGACTGACTCGGTGATCAGCCCATTGAGCTGGTTAATCTCGTCGCTGGCCTGTGTGCGCACGGTTTCGCGGTATGCTGCGAATTCGGGCGAGCTGAAGACGCTGTGCGAGAACACAGCATGCTTGTGGACATGGTCGCTCAGGGCTGGGACCTCGAGCAGGACAGCAATGTCCTGCAGCAGAACAGTGCGCAGCTCACGCAGGAGGCGTAGGAACCGGGTGACTGAGCGCTGCTGGTCATTGTTGTCCCCCAGGAACAATGCTGGTAGGACGCCTCCAACCCACGGGAAGATCTACCGGAACAAGCGCAAACATAAAAGGCTGTTTAGCTGGCGCAATTGGCAATACCAAACAATGAAAGTGCTCCATGCAGAATAGACGAGCAGCCCCGCCGCATGCCTGTCCCCCAACCAAATGCTGCAAAGGATAAAAGTGCCGAGGCATAAACGACGGGCACAGAGCAAAATATATGCGATATGGCCGATAGGCACAACAAAGGGGATATGTCGTGATGCGGTAAGCATGACACAACCGCTGGCGTGCAGGTAGCCAATTGCCGGCGCGACATGTATCGAACAATTGCCGCAGCGGCATTTGCAGATATTGCAATCTGCGAACAGAACATACGCAGCAACACATCGGGCATATACTCCAGGGTCCCGGCTACTTTACCTTTTTTTGCAAAGGAACAGGCGGGACGATGCCGAACCGTCCTGGCGTCTTGATTTCGCCCTCTGCCGGGAAGCCAGCGTTGATGCGGACCAGGGCGCTCAGAACATCAGGCAGGAGTGTGCCGGCATCAACGGCATCAACGCAGTCCAGGCACTTGACGCCGGCAACGGTGGGCTTGATGAGCGTGAGGGCGTCGGCAAAGAAATAGCCAACTCCGCTCATTGCCTTTGTGCCCGAAAGCCTACATGGTGTTGTTTTACACGGGGTCAATCGGCAATATGCTTGCTTACAACATGACAGGGTCGTAGTACCAGACACGGCTGGTGGTTGGCTGGGCCTGGGGTATGAGTGAGAGGCATTTTCGTGAAGAAACCCGCTGGCATCCGGTTTAATAAAAAAATCCCAGCACCTTTTGACGGAAAGTATTTGGGCAACGGGGAGGGAGCGATAAAGGTGGGCAATCGTCTTCATTATTGGCCCTTGTTATTTGACGCCCATTGCGACACTAGGAGAACATGGGAGCGGCGGAGATCGGCAAATGCTGTATAGTTGACGAGAATAGCACATCCAGCAAATCGCCCACGTATAGCCCAGAGATAAAGCAGCCGAGTTCCGAATGTTCCAGTGAATGTCTTTCCGTCACAAACATGCACATACACGCAGACGGAGAGACAGACAGAAAGACGGCTAGGCAGATGCGGGCTGGCAAGCACACCAATGGTCCTCACAGTCAGTAAGGCGACTGGGCCAGCGATAAATAACCGAGTGACTAAAAGGGTGACACCAATATTGATACACCGCCTTTGCCCGGCAGCACAACCACGGGATCCCAGTTGGGCTCTCTTACAGGCAGTATCCACAACGGCAGCGAAAAAAAACAGGAGCTTGCATTTGTCCCCGGGCCAGCAAAAAAGTTGGGGAGCGCTAGCGCTGACAACACATCATATCTCAGTTGATGTGCTAAGAGATTTGCACAACCAAAAAACAGCTCTCCCCGCTGCCCAACCGCGATCCGCCATCAGCGTTTTTCGTTTTGCCAGGCGGACCAATATCAAAATATACAATCCGATGCACAAATATATGCTTCATATTCGCGCATGGGGCAGAGCAGATTGCACGCCAGGGTTGGACTTACCTCTCGGGCGTAATATAGGAAAGCACCTCCTGGAACAGCGTGTTGACGACTGACACAGAGTCCGGGGCCAGTCCTGGAAACACTCTGATAGACTGCCAGTCCTCTGTGCTGAAATCAGGGATCTCCTCGTTCAGTACGTGCCAGCGCCTGAACAGTGCAACAGCCAGAGCGCTCCACGAGCACTGCAGCGGATTGGCATGGCGCAGAGCGACTCCCTACAAATCGACGCACAGCGAGAGCACCAGGAAGGAAGATCTGAGCAAGTGATGTTGTGACGCCAAAGGTATTCAAAATGCAAGCAGCCAGCAATGAGAGGGCCGGCGCTCAGAAAGGCAACGCCTTCTTGGGCGTTTCGCAAAGGACGCTTCTGCTGCCCCGCACTTGTAACGGGCAGGAAAAGCAACGGTCGTGGTTGATATTTGGGTATTCCAGGGGACCTGCCCAGAGTTCCACAGGAGGGTTGTCAGAAACCCAGCGAGCATGTGTTTTTGCCAAAAGAAATGCGATCGACCTGTCCAACTTCCCTTTTTCACTCAGAGAGAGCAGGGGAAGTCGATATGTACCGATTGCCGGCCAGTCAAACAGCATTACAAATTCCTTAGCCACTCGTCAAAATAAAAGTGCGGCGAGAAAGATGGAGATTGGCGAATATGCACACAACGTGTTTTGGCATATTCGCCTATAGGCAAATCCCGCACCGCGCATAGCACTGAAGGCGTATTAGGAGAAAAAGCAGAGGACATGCAGAGCAAGGGTGGGAACTGGGGCAAAGGAACAAACAGAGCGTCATAATAGCTCGCACTTTACCTTGTGCTTAGTGGTGGTACTGTTGCTGTCCCGCACGCTAGAGTCGCGGATGTGGATGCTGATAGATTTTGGCTGCTGTGCAACGCTGGCTGACTGGCCCTCAGCCGATAGCACTGGTTTAGCCGGTGCGCCCTCGGCCCCAGTGACTGAGGATGCGGCCGGCCCATCCTCGATCGCAATATCTCCCAGCGCCAGAGTCGCCCGCATGTCGGACCCCAACCACGCCGCCAGGCCAAGCGAGTGGTGCGCACGCACCTGATCTTGCAGGTACGAGTCGACATTAACAAACTGGGCATGTAGCACGATGTCCTCAGCAAGCGTCAGCAAATGGCCCTCAGGCTCAGCGTTCTCCTGGCTCCACTCGGGGAGCTGCTCGGGGACCTCGCCCTCCAGGGGGGCCGGTGGTGTCATGGGAGTTGGAACCTGGCCAGCGATCGCGCTATCCAGAAGCATGGGGTCGTTTTGGGGCGATGCGCTGCCTTTCATGCGGAGATCGCCGTCGCGCGGATCCGAGCCCGGCGAGTCCACGCTGTCGGAAGGCGTCATGCTCATACGTGGCGTTGTGCGTGTATCCTGGTGCGCCGACGATTCCTGGTGGGCATAGTCCACGGTCCGCGTGCGCACCGGGTTCGGGGCATAGCCATTGTAGTGCCGGTCGCCGGCATGCGTTCTCTCAACATACTGGAGCGCTTGGTTGTAGGCGCGCGAGCTATTGGCAGGGGGCCGCGACTGCCTGTATGACTGCTGCGAGCCATTGTACTGGTACGACGACTGCGAGGACTGTGATGGCTGGTACGGGCTGTCGCCGCCGTGGTGCATGGACGACGACCCGCGCCGCCCGTCAGCCATGTCTCTGCTGTAGCCGTTTCTCGGCATGCCGTTCATCTCTGGGGGGGCGGCGCCGTTGCGGTAGGCGCCGTAGATGGGCTCGCTGCGTCGCGACCGGCCCTCGCGCGGGAACCGCTGCACAATCTCGTTCCACTTTGACGAGAACACGCGGCCGGTGCGCGGGTCCGGCAGGTCTGGTCGGTTGCCGGTCTGGATGCGCCAGTAGCACAGCACGCCCTGCAGCTGGTTGCGCAGCACCTGCTGGATATGCGTTGAGCCCTGGCGGATGCGCTCGGCAGCGCCCGAATTGACCATCCACTCGACGTACGACGCCAGCCGCTCTTCGGTGACCATGTCGTCGCCGCTATATTTGCTATTGCAGAAATGTATCCACAGAGCAATGCGCGACGAGTAGCAGCCCTTGGTGCTGTGCGACACCAGGGTGCAGTTCTCGAGGATCTCCTTTGCCTTTTGCAATTCTACAGTATGTGTAAACATGGGGATAGAGGTGTGAGCGCCAAAGCGATGCATGATAGGCGAATGTCAATGCTTGAGTATGAACGACGGAAAAAGAAAAAAAGAAGAGGCATCAAGCGCGCTTTTCTTTTTCTAAAAATACAAAAGCGGTATATGCCCAACGCAATAGTACCACGACGCATAGGAGTTGTCAAAAGTGCAAATTTCGACGGCTCCCACACAGAAAGTGTACAACAATGACTAGCAAGTGAATTTGGGGGAGGGGAAGCAGGAGGGATAGTAGAGTCAATGGAGGCGGTGGAGCTCTATATGGCCATCGACAAGTGCATAGGCTAGTTGGTCATGGGTAAGGGCATTGCTGTCCAGATAATATGGCGAGTGAAAATATTGACAAGCCACACACTGTGGACAACAATAGCTGTTCCCCAAAGTATGATTTTTCAACACGGCATTCATGGAATGCTCGAAACTCGGCTATACGCGATATCATTGCCTGATATGGCTACGTAGGGTGGAAATCTCGTATGCGAGTGCTGCCCGTCGAGAGACAGGGGCGGTCGCCATCGGCTAATAAACAAAACAATCAGGCAGACGTGCAACAACAAGAAGCGAAGACAAAAAATAAGGAACATGTGCCTCGGATTAAGGAGGTTCTTCAGCATACCACGGCGCCAGTTGCCGCGATTGTTCCACAAAGTGAGGGACAGCAATTTAAGGACGTCAGATATACCACGCAGTAATATAGAGTGTCTAGACTGGGCCCTGTTTCCCACAGGCAACAGAAAGGTGGACCTGGCATCCGCTTCGTTGCAAACAAAAAACACTCCACAAGAGATAAAAGGCTAGAGTTTGTTTTCTGCAAGTGTCCCGGCATCTCGGGCGCACCTCCCGCTGACGTGCGGGGAGTGATGCCTACCTTTCTCGCTGTATGCCATACGAAAAGATTTGTGACTGGAAAAAAACACTAATGATACAACAGATTAAAAAAGGAGTAGAAAAGTATATCCGTATTCAAAGCTTTTTTGCAAAATGGTGAGTGTCAAAAAAGAGGAAAGGTGAGAAAGGAGGTGCAAAAGAAGGAAGAATCGCGGCGACTCATATTCGCCTCAAAAACTGGTGGAATATTTAAGCTAGCAGCATATTCGTCCCTCCACTTAGCCAAGAGAGAAAAAAAGAAGTGATCAAAATATTTTTTGGGGGGTGGGCCCACTCACCCGCTAAAGGCAGGGTCGCAGGACCCACCCCTAGTATATTCCTGTCCATTAGTACTCGTGGGGAGAGAGAGGGGGTCGCAAATAAAGTAGCGGTCCCCTTCATATGAAAAAGAGGGCTGTTTGCCAATGCCTTGTCCTTTTATTTTATTTCCTTCGTGGTAGATATTGGAGCAAGAGAGTGGAAGTCTTTTCAGTGGACATCCGCTAAGAATATTGCAGCGAACGCCAAAAGCCAGGGAATGGGAGGCAAAGCTAAAAATATAACCCGAGATTAGGATATTGCTTCTTTCCACTCGGGGTTTTCAAGCTCCACAGCTACGACATCAGCAACGGCATCAGCAGCGGCATCAGAAACGGCGGCAGCAGCAGAGTGAGCCCTACTGGAATATCTCGTTTTGCAGAATTCTTGCTCTAAACCCGTACCAAGGCTGTTGAGTTCCTACCTACCCCAACTCGCTGGCTGATAACAGCGGGCATTTAGCTCAGCGTCAAATGGCAGCGATTGTACATATTGAGAGCCACTCAACAAACACCAAATGCACGTATTGCAAGCGCCAGCCAAGTGGGCAGGGGAAAAGCATGTATCCATAGCATTTTTTTCTCATATTGGCCACATGACCACACATATGCAACATATATAGCAATTTTTCTCTCGCTACTAATATACTCGGAGGAGAAAAAAAAGAAAAAAGTAACGAGGAGGAATAGTGTCTAAATCAGCGGCTTCTCCAAGTGACCGCGGGCGCCGTTGCTGTTGTTGTTGTTGTCGCCGGCAGAGCTCCCCGGGTGGACAGGTGGGGGGCCCGCCGGAGGCATATAAAATCCGCCTTGCTGCTGCTGGCCAGGCGCCTGCGAGTACATTGGCGGCGGCTGCTGGTAGTTCTGGTACACGGGCTGAGCATAGCCGACCGGCTGCTGAATAACGACGACCTCGGCGTAGTCTGACTGGGGGTTCATGCCCGCCATGATCATGTGCGGCGGCGTGTTCGGATTGGTCAGCCACGCCAGCGCCCGCTTGCGGTTGCGGAAGGTGAAGAAGATGCAGAGCAGGTCGATTACCAGCAAGGCAATCAGCAGGCCGATGTACCATGAGAACCAGTTGCTGTTGTAGTACACGAGGTTAGAGCTGTCCGTGCGCCGCCGGTTGTCGCGGTCCCGCCAGATGTAGTACCCGAGGAGCGCGGCAAACACGCCCGTGAACGCGATTTGCAGGCCCAGCGAGATATTGTAGCGACGCTTGATCGCGCGGATGCGCTCCTGGCGTACCTGTTCGACGGTCGCGGCGTCGTAGTTGGGGGGCTGCGGCGGATACATTTGGGAGAGGGTGTGAGGGTATATAGACAGGAAAATAAAAAGGGTATGCGAATGCAGAGGAGACAAAAGAGGGAGTAAAATATAATTTTCTTGGTTTTTGAGAAGAGGGGAGGACGAAAGAAACCTCAGCAGTAGTCGTGTATGCGTGCCAAGTGTCACTCAGTGCACTTTGGCAGAGGGTCTGGCTCGCACGAATATTCTACTGCGCTGTGATTGGCAGGCAACGCCCACGCCAAAGAGGGCCTAAATATAACGCTTCTAGCAGCGATAAAGGAGACTGCTCTTTTTGTGTGTGTAGGCAGGTCTATTAATGAACCCCTACAAAGACACAGCCTGCACATCCCTGCCACATGCGCTCCCACAGACCAGCATCTCATCACCCTACATCCTCAGCAGCAGCACCAGCAGCACCGTGTACGCTGACAGACACATGACCCCCGACAGCAGCACGGTGCCCCCGCTGGTTACAAAGTACGGCGCTTGCGCATGCGTATCCTTGGAAATCAACCTCCGGCGGCGGTACAGCCCGATGCCCAGGAACCCGAGCCCCAGCACCAGAAACACCATGCCCACCGGGAAAAACGACAGCCCAAACACCCGCAACACCACCAGCGCAGCCCCGAACAGCCCGATAGACGTGCGCCAGTACGCCCCGTCAAAGGTGCGCTCGCGCGCCCGCACCTCCAGCAGCTCCGCCGCCGTCCACGTCTGTGCCGGCTGCTCCTCGTCGCTGCCCGATTCTGAGGGCGTTCTGGATGTCGGAGTGCTGGAAATGCTACGTGTGTGCACGGTCTTGCCCGATACTGTGGCGGTGGGCGAGTCGGCGGTAGCCGGTGCTATGGCGGTGAATGTGGAGTAGTCGGCGGGCTTGTCTGGGGTCGCAGCGGGGATATTTGGAGACTCGGCGCTCATTTGTGCAATTAGGGTATTTGTGTCAAAATAAAAGCTATGCAAAGAGTAAAGATAAAGAGGCAGTAGTGGGCGAGGAAAGAGGCGCTTGGGGAAGGGGAATAGGTTCCGCCGACAAAAAAATCCTCTCTAATCACAAGGCGCTTCTACGAAGAAGCAGACTGTCTAAAGAGTGGAGAAAGCATTTGAAATCCAGCGCGCAGCTCCCTTGCAGGCCTTGTTCCTACGGACCCAGAGCACCGGTTAGGGAGATGTAGGATGAAGAGGGTTTAGCGTGCTTTTAGAAAAAGAAAATTACAGTTAACATGAGAAAAAAGAATCCAGTACCGCCAGGCTTAGGGCAGCTCTCTGTGCCTCCGTGGCGGGTGGTGGGGATGGCGCGGGACGCGCCTGTCCCTGCGCCAAGCAGGCGCCGGCCTAGCGACCTCCCTCTCCTCCGTCGTCTGGCTACTCTCACTGGTCCTCCTAGCCGGCCTGCCCGCCGCCCTGCCGCGGCTCGAAATCCACGGCCTCTGCAGCTGCCTGACCCTCCTCAGCTCCCGCTCCTCCCGCTCTCTCTGTGCACTGGCCATAAACACGCTCCACTTGATCTTGTTCTTCTCGCGCCTTCGCCTCGGGTCCATCGCGTCCTGATCGGTGGTCTCGGGCGAGCGGATCCAGTCCAGCGTCACCTTGTAGTAGTATACTGTCACAAATACCGAAAAGGCCACAACCACAAAAAACATCGACAGCATGATCATCACCCAGCTCTTCGACCACACCTTGTACGTGGTGTTGGGGGCACTCGTCAGCCGGAAACTGTGCAGGACCAGGAGCGCTATCAGGGCCAACAGTATGAATAGCTCGAATGCCAGCCAGCGCAAGCGGTTGCGCCGCGTCTGCTTCAGCGCCTGCTCTTTGACTGGCGACAGGACATGTGCGTCCTTGACCACTGGGCGTGCGGCCACCGTGGCTTTTGATGCATCGCTGTCTGGCATTTTTTTTTACATGTATCTGGTGGAACCCAGAAAGAAAAGAGAGATATGAGATGGAAGAAAAGAAGGGAAAAAAAGAAAAAGGTGTTTTGAAAAAAGCGATGGCAGAGCTGAAATAGACAGACAGCGAACAAATGCGCCTGCCTGCAAATTATGTATCTGCGAAAGTTTGGGGTGAGAGGAAGCAGCAAGAGTACTGCATGGGCAGCAGATGGACGCTTCTGCACATCCCCTCAGCTTCTATCGACTGAAGAGGCGCTTTATGACCAGGGGGAAGATCCTTCGTTCTTGGCATGCCTGGGCCCGGGTCCAACCTTGCTGCTCCCAGCAGTCACGGTATGCGTGCCAGGCTACGCTTTTCTCCCCCCTGCTGGTTTCCCACCCTATTACACAGCTACTGACAGAACAATGGAGTGCTGGCACACCAGCCGCTGCTATTCTACCCAATGGCCGTTCAGATGGCAAGTGGATTACGATGTATTTTGCAAACAGCTGCAGCACGGGGGGACGTATGCTTAGCTATGGGTGCAAAGATGCGTGCTGCGGCTATCCGTCCGCTTAAGAATAAGGGGGAGCATTTTCTTCTCAAGACAATGGAAAATACAGACTGGTGTTTCAGCGAGACAAAGCGGTGGGGATAATCGGAGAACCGCTTACTATGCGGTCCGCAGAGACTATCAGGATCCTTGGATTTTTTTATGTGTTGGTTGTTTGACAAGAAGGCAGATTAATAGAGAATTGGAGAGAATAGGCATGGCGTAAACAGAGTATTTTAGTCTAATGAAAAAAAAAAACAAAGTTTAGCGGAGCCGGTTTTTCTTTTAAAGGTTGTTCGGTTGCACTCGCCACATAGTCGTCGATGTAATGGCTCCTTTGTCGATACACCGGTCCGTCCCCCAAATTGCCAGTTTGTTTATTTCGTAAACCGGAAAAAAAAAGCGCATTATTTCCGAAATTGGCAAATAAATTAGGTGGACTATGTGTGCACCAGTATTTAAACAGACCTGTACGACGTGGTCCAAGCGGGAATATCGAACTTGCATCCTCCTTAAGAATCCTCCAGCCATGAGCGTACTCTCTCTCGAGCCCCTTGAACACTTCCACACGCAGTCGAACGAAACCCTGACGGCAGCCAGACGCAGTTCGTTCGCAAAGATCTCGCTCGACTCGCACACGCTGACGGCCATCGACACGCAGGTCACTGCAATCGACATCAGCAAGCACCGGATCGTGCATTTGCAGCGGTTCCGACACGTTCTGCAGCTGGTGGTGCTTTGCAGCTCAGTCTGCTGGATATCTCTGGCGTTGGTGTTTTTGCTCATGATCGTGCGTGAAATCGGCGACCCAGACCGTAAGGGCGCGCAGAGGCAGATGCGCATTTACGGAGCAGTAGTAGGAGCACTGACCATGGCATGGGCATGTGTCATTGGCCTGTGCTTGTGGCGGTTCCGGAGGTACCAGGCGTGGCTTAACGACGAAAACACTAGGGCTGAGTGGATCATTGCCGGCAAGCAGACTCGGTGTCGCATGTCAGGTGAAACCATCCAATAATGCCTCCCATTACAGGTTGTAAAAACTGCGGACATGATGCTTGTAATTTTGTTTTATCTTTTGTGTTTTTTTTTCTTGCTGATACACGTTGGTTTTATATAATAATGAGCGCAGAGGCGAAGAAGCGTCTGAGCAATCCGCAGCCCGATCCCAGCGACACTAAGACGAAGAAAGCGCGCGGCGCGGAGACTGCAACATGCCCGATATGCAACAAGTGGTTTGCCAATGCCAGGGTGCTCCAGGCGCACGCCAACATGTGTCTGGACTTTGTCGAGCTGGAGGAGAAAAAGGCGCAGCGCATGAGCAAGATACAGTCACCGGGAAAGATCAAGTCACCGGGAAAGACGCTGTCGCCAGGCAGAATGAAGTCGCCAGTTCAACAAGGCTCTCCAGCACGGCAAAAACAGCCGGAAGCGAAGGCGTCTGTCTCCAGAAGCCTGAATGCCAGACTGCGGATGGCCATGGACAGAAAACCAAGGCCCAACGAGCCTCTTCCAAAGCCCAAGCTAGAGGAGCAGCCCCCGGAACCAGAGGAGCCCGAGGAGCCACCCAGCGACAGCATAGATGCGCTGCTCAGCGAGATCGAGCAAACCTGAGCTGGCGCCCGAAACCAGCACCGAGACCAGATACACGTACTTGGCGCAGGAAGACGGCATCTGGCCCACCAGCCGCACGCCGAAGCCGCCCCCCTCGTACAAACGCATGCCTCACACGCCATTCACAGTGGATGCGTTCAAGTACGGGCGCATCGCAGACTGCACGGGCTACTTCCTGACGCACTTCCACTCGGACCACTACGGCGGGCTGACGCGCTCGTTCGCCGGGCACGTGTACTGCTCGCGCATCACGGCGAATCTGGTGAGGCACCGGCTGGGGGTGGGGGAGCGTCACGTGCACGCCCTCCCCATGCACAGGCGCTGCCTGGTCCACGGCGTCTACGTGACTTTGCTCGACGCAATGCACTGCCCAGGGCGCCGCCCTGATACTGTTCGAGGTGCCCGGCGAAACGGTCAGGCGCATTGTGCATACCGGCGATTTCCGCGCAGCGCCGCTGCACGTGCGGCAGATAGCGCGGGTGTTTGCAACCGACCTCGGCCGCCCGGTGACCCCCGGGATGCTTGGCGGGGAGGAGGCGGGCAGGCCATCTGCAGACTACGTGTATCTGGACACGACGTACCTGGAGCCGCGGTACATGTTTCCGCCGCAGAGCGCAGTGGTGGCAGCGGTGGGCGAGCTCTGCTGCCGGATCCACCAGCACACCCGGCTGTCTGCGTGACTTGCGCAGGCCGGCTCTACGTATCACGCAGTGGTTCCGCCCGCACCAGCAGCAGCAGCCCCCGCGCACACCTGTTTGCCGTGGGCACATATACGATTGGCAAGGAGAAGCTGCTGGTGGAGATTGCGCGGCGCCTAAACTCGCAGATCTACGCAGCACAGGACAAGCGCGCATTGCTCAAAGTGTCTGGGCAGCCCGGGGCTGGAGCGGATGCTGGTGGACCGGCCTGGGGAAGCACTGGTGCATGCGGTGTCGATGCAGAGCGTCAACATGAAGGGCATGGCGGAGTATCTGGAGAAGAACTCCGGGATTCGACCGCATTGTCGCGTTCCGGCCCACTGGCTGGACGCATCGCCGGGCCCACTGGTCGCCCAACCAGCGCACCGCCGCAGATGCCCCCGCAGGGCACGCCAGCTGCATTGCAGCCCGCCGACGAGACTGGAGTTCAGCGTGGAGAGCCTGGCGCCGCACGGGTCGTCGGACCGCGTCACGGTCTTCCCGGTGCCGTACTCGGAGCACTCGTCGTTCTCGGAGCTGGCGCAGTTTGTGTGTGGAGTGGATGCGCAGCACGTGATTCCAACCGTCATCTCCTCGTCCGACAGCAACCGGGCGGCGCTGGCATGGCTATCGCACTGGGGCAGCAGGGGGTTAGAATAATCTTATTTTTTTTGCGGCAAGTATCAATGAAAACTCTCCTCCTCTTCGCGCACGGCGAACAGCGGCGTGGACCGGCGTGGCGAGCTCGCGGCTGGCCTGACGCAAACATCTGCTCGATCAGCTGCGACGCGTCGACCGAAGGGGCGGTGGAGATGCGCCGGGCGCCCGGCGTGGTCTCAAGTGTAGCCGATGGCGGCGGCGCCAGGGCGTCGGCCAGCGACGGGCGACGGCCGCCCGTCGGGTCGGTCGAGTAGGCGCGGTGGGCGATGCGGACCGGAGCCGGCTCGTATGGCATGTGCATGCGCAACGCTCCCCACTCGGCAATGCCGCCGGTGCCGGTGAACCGCGGCTCCATTGAGTAGCCGTCGAGCATCTGGCTGACCATCTCAACCGGCTTCTCCTTCTCTTCCTCCTCCTCCTCCTGCTCGGAATCGGGACCCAGCCGACCCGTGGTCGACTGAACTCGTCGGCTTCCCACGGGCACACGTCGGCGTTCTGCTTCGCCTCCTTGCGCTGCTTCCGCCGCCTAGTCATCAGCCGCTCCTCCTCGCGCCGCTGGGCGTCCGGCTGCGCCTGCAGGTCCTTGACAGCGCCCTTGAGCGACTTGAGCAGCCCCACCATCTCCGTGCGCTGCTCGGTCTCCAGGAACCACGACTGCGCCTCGTCATTCGACAGCGACAGGCGCGGCTCGCGTGGCTGCGTCAGCTCCACCACCCACTTGTGGGCCGGGAACGCGTCGCTGACACATACGATCGACCCGGGGTTGAGCCGCACGTGCTGCAGCGCCGTTGCTGCCGGAGCGCTGCTCTTGAACAGGTACAGCACGTTGCCGGCGAAAATGGCGAACCGCCGGTGCCACTGCCGCCGCTTGAACAGCGACCGCCGCGCCGCATCACCTGCAATATACACGTTCAGCCAGAGCGCCTGCCGCGACGCCGGAGTGATTGCCCGCACCGTCACAGTCGGACCACTGCTGGTCAAGGGGCCGCGCCAGCGTGCCATCCCATTCCGGCAGCAGCGCCGTGGGCTTGGACACGCGCTTCAGCGCCGACTGCGACCCGCCGGTCGACGACGTTACTGTCGACAAGGCTACCGACGATGGCTTGCGCGGCAGGTCGCGCTCGGCGTACGGAAGCGCTGCCGAACAGCCCCTGGAACTGCGACGACTCTGGCACCTCGGTAACCAGAATCCGCCGCCGCGACTCCGCCGACGTCCCCGACAGCAGCGACGCGCGTGACGACGCCCGCCCGCGCACCACCTCCTCGGCGCTCTCCACCGACCGCCCGCTCTCCGCCGACCGCCGCCGCTCGTGGCCCAGCCGCCCGGGCGCCTGCAGCCGGGTGATGGCCGCCGTCAGCTGGTCCAGGTGCTCGTTCAGGTCGCCATACGGTGTGCGGCCCGCTTCGCCCGATGCTTGCGATACGATGCTGTGCTGGTCCGCCTCGCGTCGGCTCACCTGCCGCCGCTCCACTATGCCCGCCAGCGCTGCCTCCAGCTCTGCCAGCCCCGACACCGGCGCCAGCAGCGCCTGCGGAACCCCTGCTGACGAGCGGGAAAGCTGCCGCAGCTCCTGCTGCGCTGCCGCCCGCGTCGCCGGCCCGCCGCCGCGCCCCAGCAGGCTGTATGTGTCGTCGAATGCCTGCCGCCGCACCGCCATGCGCTCGCTGCCGCCCGGCACGCCCTTCTCCTCCAGCAGCCGCTGCAGCTGCCGCTGGTGCTGCAGCGAGTCCCACGTCGTGTTCGGCGATGCCGTCGATGTCGACTGGATTGACGCCCGCGCCGAGATGCTCAGCCCCGTCGGCGGATATAGGAATGTGTTGCGTGGCGTTGCCATGGCACTCAGCGATGCTGTGTCCTGCGTGTCCCCGTGCTTGCTAATGTTGTGCGTATACGCTGCCTCAGTGTTGTGCATGCTGGTCCCGCCACTCATTGTGCTAACGGGTGGTGCCGACTATGTGTGGGTTTCTACAGAGGTTGCTATGGTATTAGTAGGAAATTGTCGAGCGAGAAACAGAAAATATGGATGCACGCCGTGCAGCGGGTTTTTCCGTTCCTGCTATTTGCTTTTATTTTGGGGAGGGGTTTAGAAAGCCAGGATCCAGAACAGAGGGAGACCTGCATCGCTGCTGCAGCCGAGTGATTTATCGCAAACTGCCTGCTTCTGTCGCCCATGCGACTCAGCAATGCCAATAACACGTATATAAACAGAACCCGCCCTTTTCAAACAGCACACTGCCACACGCCAAGGGCCGGGGTCCACCCCTGGGCTGCACAGGGGGGATGAATCGAGTTTGCTTTTGGGAGCGACCTGGTAAATTGGTTGCGGGGTCCCCTCAAAATGCCCCGCTCATTGCTGACCTCACCACCCCCTGGCTCTCACAAGCCCTGTCGCCAGCCATCACGTCCATGTCACACACAAACCGCTAAGGTTGCCGATGGGGGCGGAGCAGGAGCAGGAGCTGGCGGGCTGTGTCTCCCACTGGTAATGTGCCTCCAAGGTCAGTCCCAGCGCACAGAAATAGGCCCCGAAGGTACCACAAAATGGAATAAAAACACTCGGCCCCTGCCCAAAAAGGGTGCGCGCAATATGCAGACACAAATCTTGTCGGAGAGTAGAGCAGATCTACCAGAGCTCCTCGCTCCTCACTACACCCCTCCCCTTTCCCTCACTGCTCTGGATATTGGGAGAACGGATCATTTTTCGCTCATTTTCCACCTCCCCAAAAAAACACCATTGATGGTCGGTAGATATCGGTCTGAGCAGGTGTGCGGTGGAGCGACAAACATAGCCAAAACAGTGCCATTTTCGGTCTACGCTCATTAATCAGCTCACAGAAGACTGTCCCACCCTCACAGTCGATTTGGGAGCTGCAGCTAAATATACACCCCGTTCGGTCCATCGAAAAAGAAAGGAAAACATTGAGAGCAATAACGCCCGCAATAGACTGCAGGAATGCGATTTTCAACCTCCAGCTGCACAGGAGAACTCGAACATTCGCCTGCATATCGAATGCTATTTGTGAGCGCCCCGAGCCTGTGCGGGCTAAAGGGTGCATGGGTGGGGGGAGCAAGGACAAGTACAGCGCCGTGGAGCGTCACAAATCTCGCTTTGTAGATTATTCATATGCGACTGCAACCATCAGCTTAATTTTCGCGAATGAGTGGGAGCCGGCACGGAACGCTGATTGACAGGGTAAACAAAACTCCACTCTTGGACTGAGACCGGAGGGACCACCTCCGCAATCAGACTTGCCCCCCATGAATCCATGGGCTGCAAGAAAATTTTTTTGCGCACTCTCAGATAACACATACAATCCATGAGGGTGCCAGACCGAGCAGACGCTGATCTGTACATGGGAATGGAAAAACGTACCTTATGAGTAATACTGATGGCTGGTATCCGAATACAGCGCCGTCTAGGTTGATCAGCCGACACGTATATTTCGAGTTTCTGAGACTGTCCTCCTGACACGCTGCGAGTGAAAAAACGAGAAAGCGACTATAGAAGACAAAAATATAGATACAGAATGAATATTTGCAATATGGCCCGTCCTGTCGAAAAACAGAGTTTGCAGAGTGGAATAAAAAGTAGCGAGGCAGGAAAGGGGCAGGAGAGAGAGGGAGATCCTCCAGCAGCCGCTGAGGGGGTTGCTCTGTGGATTATAAGGAGCCGGAACGCCAGCTGGGCGACACGACCAAATAAAATCTGCAATTGAAGAGTGGGAGGCTCACAAAAGTATACCGAAATTTTTCTGTTGTCGATCACAAAGCAAAATTGCCTTGTGTTCCTTTTCCACACCGCCCCTCTTCTTGCGTCAATTAGTTAACGGGCTCGATCCACGAAGCTTTTTTGTTTGGGCAGGCAGTAGAGAACGAAAGAAAAAGCCTCCACAAATGACTGAACAGAAAAAGGGATCCAGAGGGTAGTAGGCAGCAGGGGCACACAAATCATCTCCAACAAGACCCTTTTTGCTCTTGGGCCCAGGCTCATGGCAAATAGACTCGGCCGATTCTGCTTCCAAGCCCTCGGGCGGGCACCCTCCATCGCTCTTTAATAGCGAGGCGTTTGGCATCCACAGGACTGGCGGAGAAGGAGACGAATAAAAAAACAAAAGCCTCATTCGCGCAGCCCGCTTTCCAAATCTCTCTGGGCTGCTCAAAAGACTGGCTGGCCCAATTTTGCAGCCAGCATTATTACACCCGCAATATTATATCGCCATTGTCAGGAGGAGGAGGTGCGCGAATGGCGTGCATGCCTCGGACGGCTGCAGCGGCTTTTGCCTGTGTATTCTTCCCCCGCCTGACAACAACAGGAACAAATAAAATGCAAAAAAAGAATCCGAAGGTACAGCGCAGCCACCCGGACAAATTGTAGCAGCACCTCACTGGTGCGGCTGGGAGGAAGAGGAAAAGGTAAATAAAAGGTCGGGCATACTCGCCCTTTCCCTCAGGAAGATGCTCGGCTCTACTGCCCACCCCTGCCAGTGTCTTTCTGTAAATGCCTGGGTGACGAGTCTCCCAATGTACCATGCAGCCATAACATGTCGGCCAATGCCAGCAAACTTACCTTGACCAAAAATAGATGTGTATATCACGACTGGTGTGCCCTTGCTCGGAAGTGCGTGGTGGCCAGCTATAATGTATATGGAGATGAGCAAGCGGTGAGCAAGAAATCAAAAGGCTAGAAAAGAAAAAATGCGTGGCAAAACTGTGCTACGGGAAACACTCGATGAAAGAAAAAAGAAGCAGGCCTGAAGCTAGTTGCTCGGGCAGACGCGTCTTTGCCCTTATAAACATTGGTGCAAGCCGAGTGCCAGACCGCGACACCATGCGCTTTATGCAAATGGGGGAGCCAGCAAAGGCTCCAAAAAGCAATTTGCACATAAAGGAATCCTTGAATCCACCAGCGGCTTTCCAGTGTCTATATTTGCTATTCGCCGAGTGGGAAACACTCACCACCGACACTTTTGCAACCACGAAGCGCCTCCGCGCTTGTACAATTGCAGCCAAAATCCGTACCTTACAAGGAAATCACGTAAAAACGAATGCGCCTTTGGTCACGCTGGGTTTGCTGAGGAACAACGGGAGAGGTCGTTCTAATTATCGCGAAAAGTGAACACAGAACCGAGCGCTCAGTGGAGCCAGGAATCGGAACAAGAGATCGGCCAGGAGCAGGCTGTTAGATACTGCCTCCAGCAAAAAGAACAAAAAATAAAAGCGTGCTGCCGTGTAAGCCTTCAAAATGCGATGATTGCGAAACAGAAGCTTGTACACATATATGCCAATTAATGAACAAACCGCAATATGTAGAGAAGAGGAAAGACAGAAGAGCAAGCGGCAAGAGCACGAACCCCGCAGCGTACTTTAAGTGCCGTGGGTGGTAGCGTACAATTGCACGCCATTTCGATATCATTCTATCTCTTGCTTTCTGGCCAGCGAGTCCTTCACAATAAATGGTATCTATTATTGGAATAAGGATCCCTCCTTTCTCACACACGCTCATGTGCAGCAATGGCTGTGCAAGCACGGGGCCACGCAAGAAAAAGGAGCGCAGCGCACATCACCCCCGCCATCCCCTCTATGCGCGGCCACGGCGTCCCCATTGGAGCCCTCCCTCTGGACCTCCTGCTTCAGGTACACGTACGAAATCCGCAATACACACCATCCAAAACGAGAACCCAGATGCAGGAGGATCACTAAGCCCAATCTGGCAGATCCGCGCCATCGCTGCCCGGATCAGGTATGCAATCCACCGAAGCGAGATACATCTCGCTCGGAAGTTGTAAGCTCCATGTTGGCACTTTTACCATATGTCGGCCTATGCGGAAAATCCACAAAAGCTCGTACATCGCATACAACCACGTTTGTCCTGATGGTGAACAGGTTGCATGTCCTGTCCATTGTTTACAGATTGCACTGCCAACATGGTCTCAATTTAATATCCCAACAACACATTCGTCCGGTATGTCGCTCGGCACCCCTCCCCCACAGTTCGGCGATCCGCCTGGATATTCCCATCTCCATAGCCTAGTGCCGCCAAGCGTGGTTCCACAAGGCTATCGCGACAAATCGGCATACCCGCACCCGCTTTCAATACATCCACAAAGATATGTTCCTGGAAAAGCACCAAGCAATCCTATCCACACTAGTGTATGGAGTAGATCGTCTTTGAGGATGTTCACTGTCGATGCGAGGAGAAAGGAAAACAAGGGGCATTTAAGCGGACCTCAGAGAAGGGCACCGAAAGAAATCTATGCATGTGCGCAATTAACTTTGCAGCAAGCGTGGAAAGCATCTGGTGGACAGAAAAATAGGGAACGCATTGACTTTCTTTGTAGCAAAGATAAAGAAAAAAAGCGAGCCTATCGGGCAATGTGCTCACATCTGGAGAGGGCGACATGTGCACATAGTATAGTGGGCCATTCGCTGGTCAAGCATCCACAGCTCTCGCCTATTCGGCATCGACGGTCATGGCAGTCACAACAATCTCAGCACTGGCCTCTGCCTCCAGACTCGCCTTTGCTTCCTCCTCAGCCCTGGCCCTGGCCAAGCGCTCCTCCTTGCACCTACATAGCGGCTTCAGCAGCTCGTCGAGTATGGCCATCGTCTTCCCGCCGTTTTCGATTCCATGCATGGTAGCTAGGTTGCCGTCGAGGGCGTTCGGGGCAGCCGCTCCAACCAGATGCACAAACTGGCAGGCAGCGTTGAACTTTGCATGGCGGGGTCCCTCGCCTCTGGTGTGCACAATGGTTCTTCCGTGGATCTGGAACTCGCACACAGAGCGATTGACAAAGTCGGTTGTATCCTCGTTGGCCAGGGGTACCCAGGTGAATGCGCTGCAGCCCCATGCCTGGCAAATGAGCTGGCTCTGGATCACTGGGTTCAGCGTCAGCTTGCCAGAGTCCACAAACCGGTCCAGGAATGGCTCGATCAGACGCTCATACAGCGCTTGTGCAGTGCCACAGTCCATACCCGAGTCGACATACACAGCACCCAGCAGCGACTCGAGCAGATCGCCCAGTACCTTGGGTGCCGGCACCAGGTTCCAGCACTCGGGCGGCAGGTTCTGGTACACGTCTGTGCTGTCAACCATAGGGCAACTGCTGTCTTCAGCCGCAGCATCTGCGACGGTCTGCCGTACAGCCCAGAACCGCTCCTCGTAGTCTGCAATGGCAGCATTGACTGTCTGCGACTGGTTCCGCAAAAACCTGTGCAGGCCATTGCACACCAGGATCAGTCCCAGAACGTCGTTGCTGACAGCGACGTGCTTGACCAGTGTGATGCGGTGCGGGACCAACTCGGGCTTGTAGTTGTAGTAGCGCTTGGTCACAAAGTAGTCCAAAACAGCGTCGCCCAGGTACTCCAGCCGCTGGTAGCTGGCAGAGTTAAGATCCATCATGCTGCAGTGCGTCAGGGCTTCGACCAACACTGCGCGGTCTTGGAACCTGTACCCGAGGGTGTGCTCAGCCATGGCTTCCCATCCAGCTGGTGCCTTGGTCAAACTGCTGAGCAGCCCCGAGATACCGTCGTCAACACTGCCATCGGGTGCCGAACAATTGACATCGGTCGTATCGAGCATAATCTCTCCTAGCTGGTGAGTCAGCGGTTCAATATCATTGGTACCACTAGGCAGCAGCAGCAATGACTGCTTCAGCGATGCTATGTACTCCAACTGGTGCATATGCAGTGCAGCAAGACGTCGCTTCTTCTCGCGCTGGCCTGCATGCCAGACCTTGCCAAACTGCTGCCACTCAGTCCATCTGCTGTCAGTAACATTCAGAGAGCATGCAGCAGCTAGCGCGCCTTCAATCCCGCCATCCAGCACCGCAGCGCCTAGCAGCGACTCGATGATATCAGCGACAGTCTTTTCCGACAACGGCCGCTCAGTGATAATGTCGCGAGTTTGCTTACGCGGCGCCGTGTGTGGCTTATTCTCGGAACTGGCCTTGCCAGTGCTCGTGACAGCGTCAGGATCTTCGACTTTCTCTTGCGGATCAGCGGCTACAGCCTTCCGCAGTACCCTGTTGTTCTCAACAGCCGGTGTGCATATCCACTTGGTCGAGATGTCGTGCAGTCGCTTCCATCCCTGGCCCGGTAGCCGCCATTCGCGCTTCGAAAATGCAAGCGATATAATGCTCTCAGCCAGCGACATGCGAGTGGCCAGATGGAACAGATGCGAGTTGCTAACAAGGTGCTCGCGACGCGACGTCAGCAGCCCCTCGTGGTCGGCCGGATGTTCAACAAACAGCATCGTCGACGTGATAAACTTGAGTATCGAGTCGCCCAGTGTCTCTAGCCGCTGGTAGTCGCAATCCATCGATGAGCTGGACGCTGTGATTGCACACCGCACTGTCTCGGTCTCGGCACTCAGCGACAGCCTCTGCCTGACGCCAAATGCTACTAGGACTTGCTCGAGTCGTGTCAGGAATGATGACAGCAAGGTGAGGTTCAGCACATCGGTGAGACCCAGTGGCTCACGCGCACAGCAGAACGGTGTTGTGTAGATGCCATCTGGATAGGTTTCAAGGCCAGGTCCCTCAGATACGGTCACTGGCGGGGAATGGAACTGCACGGGCGCCAGGTAGTTGTTGGAGAAATCGACCGGTTTGACCATCAATAGCGGAACGCCGGCTGCGCCCTCGTCCTCCTTGGGCAGCATGTAGCGCACGCGCTTGTTGCGGGACCACTCATTCATGGTTTTGATCCGCCGACGAGTCGATGCCTTTGGCGTGCCAGCCAAAGCCGCTGACGATGTCGGGGTACCACTGGTGTCAGTGCTCATATTCACGGATACTGCAGATGGCGGCGGGCATGGCGTCGAAGTGAGCTCCTTAGGTGGCATCACTAAAGTTGCCTTATGCTCATATACAACAGTCATTTGCGGGTCCTGCTGCTTGGCTTCGATGGCCATATCAATATCATCCAGCACCGAAGTCATTGCATGGTACTGCGGCAAATTGGTGTTGACATCGGCGTCATGGCACACCTTGGTGACGACCTTGAGGTTACCAGAGTCCAACGCGTCCATAACCAGCTGGCCAACCAGCTGCCTATAGTCAAACCCTTCCCTGTACACGGCCTTGCGGTCCTTGAAGCATGTGCGGGCGAACTCAAAATCGACGCTGTTGCAGTCTGTGGTGAGCGGGGCCAGCAAGATGCCAACCTCATTTGTCTCCCACACGTAGCCATGCCTGAGCGTACGGATCATAACCTTTGATGTAAACGACGCCAGGTCATCGATCTGCGCATTGTCGAGCTCCCGCGACCACATATACCTTGGCACAATATATTCCGGCGACAGATCTGTGCTGTCGTTATACTGCGCAATGTACAGCGGCACAGCGATGTCATCCGGCAGCGGGTTGGCAGTGGCGAGCATGATCGATGTGGGTACCTCAGCCTTTGGGTGCTGCAGAGAAATCCAGTAGAAATGCCAGAGCGATGGATTACTGGCTGGCGTATTGCCGTCCACGTCCATGGCATCCCGGTCTGCCGAGGCAGGTGCAGCCCGCTTAAATGCCTCTGGGGTAGCGATTGCATAGTTGTTGACGGCCGAGCGTGAACCCTTGGTTTGGCCTTTCGGCAGAGGTCCGGTCTTCTTGCCAATCGTTGCCGACAAGTTTGGCTTCACTTCGACGACAGGCAGCAGGCTATCATCAATGGCTCCAACTTGATGCAGCTTCTTGGCGGCGCGATACGAGGCGACCTGCTTGGCCAGCTTTTTGGTCGGCATTGCCGGCCCGTTGATGCGCCGCAGCGCTGCATTGGCTGGCAGTGTCAGTGAGCAGCGGAACAGCGTCCTGGGTGGGGTCTTCTTGCGCTTCTTGCCGGCCACGACCGAACTGGACTTAGGCCCTGCCAGCGATCCCTCTTCTTCCACCTCTTCCAGTTCTTCGGTGATCGTATAGGCGGGCTCGAGCGCATCGTACTGATTCTGTGGGAGTGTCTGAACATACCGGTATATAATCTGGATCGCCGACAGGTACGTGATCTTGGCACCAGATGCTAGTACAGTGAATACCCGGCCAGAGCGGTCGCGGCTCTCGATCCACAGCTCCTTCTCATCGTCTTCAGGGTTGTCTGCCGAAAACTCGCGCAGGGTATGGCGTTGCAGAAACTGCCAGTATTCTGGCCCCGAACGTCCAATGCGCACCACCTTTGTGCTCTCGCTGTCGCTCTCAAGCTCCATATCTGGGTCATCGCCAGGCTTTGCGGTGATCGGTGTTGGTGACGCGCGGCGGGACATATGGCTGTTGCACCAGTCCTTCAAGAACCCTTCCATCTCAACCAGCCTCTCGTAGTCCATGCGCGTGCCCATGTGCTTGTGTATGGCGCTCTTATTTATATCCTCATCCATACCAGGCACCATTACATAAAACTGCGATCCGGCCTTACGCGCGCGCCCACGGGATTGGATCAGGGATGTCACGGTCTGTGGGATCTCAAATCGGACTACCAAATTGCATGGCTGCACATCGACGCCCTCTTCGGCGACCTGCGTGGCGAATATAAGGTTGACCTTTCCCTGGGCAAAGTCCGCCAGCGTCGTCTGATTGGCAACCCGTATGGCACCCTGTCGCAGCGGGCGAACTGCCTTGCCGCCGCCGCGCGCAGCACCCAGCAAGCGCATCAGCAGTGATGAAGCAGAACTCAGAAATCTGCGACACGATGTACACGAGCGCAACTGCGGTAAGACGCCGGTTGACAAACACGATTCCACGCAGCTCGTTGGCACGGTCGCGCCATGACATCAGAATATCCAGCAGCGCGTTGACCTGCGGCGATAGAAGGTGGCGCACATCGCTCCATGGACCTGCGCGAATCCACCGTGTCCTGGCTTTCCCGTCACCTGAACCGTCCAGCGCCTTGAGCCGCTTGGCAGCCTTTTCGATGTTTGCGTCATTGTCCAGCAATTCAAGTCGCTGCAGGATCATGGTGCGCGCAACCTCCATACCGCCAAACTCACGGTCGATGGCTAGCGCGCTCTGCAACTCCACTACCTCCTGGCGACGCGGACCCAGGCTCTCCTGTGCAGTCAGCGTCTTGTGGTGCAGACTCTGAATCTGGCTATCGCATGCGGAGGATCCGGCACCCCGGCTGAACTGTACCAGTGACTGCTCCTGCCGCCTCAGGAACCGATGTCTGCCGCAGCCCCTCAGTCAGAACGCTGTTGTGCCACTTTTGGATCTCATGGTGCCACATTAGATCGACACCCATGGGTCCAAGAAGCTGCAGCAGATAGGGCGCATTCTCGAACCTGTCTGCCAGCTTTGCATTCTGGCCGCACGCCTTGAAGAGCACTGCTGTCAGCTCAGTCTCGGGGAACTCGGGCGGCAACGGGTACTCCCAGCATATGCTTTCTGCTTTGGAAACAATGTCCTTACAAAGCGACAAATCCACTGTACACAGGTCTGCATTGATCAAGGCCTGCAGTCGAGCCACCGAGGTGCGTACATCCTCCCGCGAGTTGAGCGGCGACGCCGTCATGCCAAAAACATGCGGGCGCTTGCTAGGCTCTGCCAGCCGGTAGAACTCGCTCATGATGAGCGCATATGGGTGGTTGCCGCGGGTATGGTGGCACTCGTCAATCACCAGCAAGTCGATATCCTCGAGGCTGATGTATCCGTGGCGCAGGGCATTCAAGAAAATCTGGTGGGTCATGACCTGAACAGTGCTCTTCGCCCAATGCGCCTTCCACCCGCTCTTGCCCCATGCCTCAATGCCTGCCGACCCGACAAATTTCTCGACCCGGTGCTGGGTATTGTCGCTGATGACCCGCGCCTGCTGCTGCACCAGTGCAACAGTGTTGTTGAGAAACACCCGCATTTTCTCTGGCGACCGCTGTGCAAACCACTCAATAAGCATTACTGACACCTAGCGTCTTGCCGGCACCCGTCTCAAGTACGATCATTGTATTATTCTCCAGTGCCTGCCTGAAAAGCGCCATCTGGATACTGCCGCGGCACCAGACTGCCCGACAGCCGCACGGTGTCTGGGTTGCTTGCCTTGGGACTCGGCTGTTGACACTGGCTTTGTCATGTGCGCGCTTTACTTGCTGTTGCTGGATTTTTATGTAGTTTTATGTTCAGTCGGACAGAATGAGCAGTGTGAATTTGGAGCTGGGCTGAGTGCGTTGAATAAAGGTGCTTCCAAAAAATGAAAGCGAAGAAGAGAAGGGGGTTCGCCAAGGTGGGGAGTCCATAGGCCGACAATACATATCGTAAACAATAACCTTGCTGCAGCCGCCGGGCTGCCTAAATGTGGCAGTGCCATGACCACGACTTTCCCTGACAAGCCAGCCCTAGAAAGAGCCTGAAGAAAAATTCCTAGAGTTCGCTTGACTGGACACTTGGTGCTCAATACACGCCGCGACATCAGGGAACCACACGTATCAACAGTAATACTAATAGTTGGAAATGATATTATTTAAATCGATGCTATGGTCACAACTGGCTAGGAACGCTCAGCAGCAGCCAGGCTTACCTGAGCACTTTGAGGGTTACCTTCTCCAGGGTCGCGGACTCTGACGAGTCTTGCTTGGGTTTGCAGCACCCTGACGACTCTTGCTTAGGCTTGCAGCATCCTGACGAGTCCTGCTTAGGAGGCAGCACCCAGACGGCCTGTTGGCTTGCAACACCCTGACGACTCTTGCTTAGGAGGACAGCATCCTGACGAGTCCTGCTTAGGAGGACAGCATCCTGACGACTCTTGCTTAGGCTTGCAGCAGCTAGCTGTCAGCGCACTCTCCATCAGCGATTCGGTGGATGTTGTCTTCAGCTCCTTCGCCATCATCAGCAGCCGATGCCCTCGATAGCAAAGAACGGCGACAGCCAGGACTTGGCCAGAATCTCAGCGGTATTGGCACTGACTTTCACTGGCACACTCCGTTGCAAAGACATTGTCGACATCCAAGCTCGTACTTGATCCTCGTGGCCAGCGACTGTACCCAGATAAGTGGCCGTCTGGCCGCGAGCAATCTCCTTCTGGTCATTCTCGGCGACCTTGAACAGACGGTAGGTGATTGAGTAGAACTTGATGTCCTTGACCAGTGCCTTGAGCTCAGCGTCGTGTACCTCAATGTGCGAGATTGCCAGAATGCGTGGCCGCGCAAACCCAATGGTCTGGGCGATGCTCTCGAATTCCTTTGTGTACAGAGCACCAGGCCAGACACTCGCCGAGCAGCACATCATGTGTGCGGATTGCTTCAGGGAATCTCGGCATCGGCATAGACATCTGAAAAGTACAGCTCACCGCCATCACGCAGCGAGTCGTACACACCTTGCTAGCACACGGGGCTTGTCTAGGCGACAGGTTAATGACGCAGTTGGAAATGCAGATATCGATCGACTTCTCAGGGACGCCAGCCTCGCGCAGCATCTCAATGTAGCCGGTCAGGAACTTCAGGTTGGGTGCATACCCGAGGGTCCTTGCAAACTCGCCAATGTTTTCGCGGGCCGTGGCAAGCTGCTCGTCAGTCATGTCAACGCCGATCACCGAGCCCTCGGGACCAACCAGTGCCGCCGCGGCGTAGCAGTCACGGCCGCTGCCGGATCCCAGGTCGAGCACTGACTTTCCGGTGATTCCAAGGGGGATAGGGTTGCCGCAGCCGTAGAACTTGTCGGTAACGGCACTGGGGATCTTACGGATCGCATCGAGAACAATCGGATGCGGAGCAGAGCCCGTGGTGCAGGCGCTGGTCTTCAGGTCCTTTGACGACTCGAGGACCTTGCCGTAGTAGTCCTTAACCGAGGTGTAGACAGTATCAGAGTTCGAAGCCATTGTTGTGATGTATCTTTCTGGAATAGAGCAAAGAGAATGTGTTTTTGAAGCGACCAAGGGGACGTGGCTGTTGCTGAGCTCTCGCTTTTAAATGCTCAGACTGTCTGCCATGGATTGCTCCATCGCAGATTAGTCAGGCCCGTCGATTTCATTGGCCCTACGACCCTTTTGGAGAATACAGCATCACCAGCCAAGCACTGAAATTGCCCGAGAATGCGAGTCTGGAAATATTGGGCTTGCCGGTTCCACTGATTCTCAGCATACCGGTGTGCTAGATGATTCAATCGCCAGTGGCATATGTCGCATGGAGCAAAGAAACAACCTGGTGGTATTGCGAGAGAGGAGTATAGAGATTTTATCTGTTGAAATATTTAAGCCGAACCACAGCATGCAGGCTTCACTGACGAGCAGCTGCTGGTGGCTGAGCGTGCCTTGTCCATGAGGGACTCGATCGACGAGGTTTCGATTGGACCGCCGCTCTCACCGGCAGGTCCACTGACGGTAAAGTACTTGCTCAGCCACGAGTGTTCCAGCAACGCAGCAGTATTTCCGCTAACCTTTACGGGCACGCCTTGCTTGAATACATTGTCGACATCCAGCCTGTACTCGCACTCATTGCCCTGGATCTGCCCGTTGTATGTGGCGGTCTGGCCGCGATCCAGTTCGTTCTCATCAGCCTGCAACACCTTGAAGCAGCCTGTAGGTAACCGAATAGTAATTGATACCCTTGGTCTTAGCCAAGAGCTCAGAATCGTATATCTGAAGGTGGGAGACTGCTAGAATGCGTGGGCATGCAAAGCCAATATCGCGCACAATCTTCTCAAACTCCTTGACATACAGTGCTCCAGCAAGGCCCTCGCCTAGCAGAGAATCGTCGGTACGCACGGCGATAGGAATTTCGCAATCAGCGTACAGGTCTGAGAAGTGCAGCTCACCGCCATCACGCAGCGAGTCATACACACCTTGCAGAACGCGAGGCTTGTCTGGTGACAGGTTGATGACGCAGTTTGAGATACAGATGTCAACGGACTTCTCGGGAACACCGGCCTCGCGCAACTTTCTCGATATAGCCCGTCAGGAACTTGAGCTTGGGCATATATCCGAGAACCTCACTGTACTTTTCGATGTTCTCACGAGCGACTGAGAGCTGCTCATCGGTCATGTCAACGCCGGTCACCGAGCCCTCGGGACCAACTAGAGAGGCGGCAACATAACAGTCGCGACCACTGCCAGAGCCCAGATCAAGCAGAGACTTCCCAGCAATACCCAGCGGGATCGGATTGCCGCAGCCGTAGAATTTGCCAAGGACGTCCTGAGGGATCTTGCGGAGGGTGTCCAGGACGAGCGGGTGGGGCGCAGATGCAAGCGAACAGGCGTTTGTCTTGAGATCCGAAGAGGTCTCGAGCGTTTTGCCATAGTACTCTTTGACGGAGGTATGAACTGAATCGCTGGTAGAAGTCATTTTTAGAGTAGAAGATATCGACAGAGGAGAAGGGATGCTGGAAATGTGGCACGCCAATGCTAAAGCACGCTCTGCCCACGCGGAGACGCCGGGATAGGGGCCGGTGAGCATACCCTAACTAGGTTGCCCGAACTTTGGAATTTGTCAGCTCGGCATGCACCTCGGCCAATTTACAGCCGTGTCCCACTGCTGCTGCACAGACCGCATTCCATGGGACTGGACCGCTACCATAGCGCAGCATCCTCCCGGCTAATGAGAGTTGAACCTTTTGTATTTTAACATAAATGGCACGGGGAAAACCACGATCAGAACTGCTTACTGCTTGCCGTTGACAAACTGCTCACCCTTGGTCTGGGTCTTGAGCAGCTCGGGGATGGCGGCCTTGACGAGCTCCTTCTCGTACTCGGAGATGTTCTCAGGCAGGGGCAGGACCTCCTTGACACCGTTCTTGTCAAGCTTGACGTAGGTCGAGAAGTACTCAATGCCCTCCTTCTTGAACAGGTCGTTCTTGACGAACGCCCACTCGAGGACCTCCTCACCGGCATCGGCGCGCAGCAGCGAGTCGGCGAAGCGAGCGCCAGCGAAGGCCATCGACAGGGTAGCCGAGCCCAGACCGTCCTTGGCCTTGACGACCTCGTCACCGCCAAACTGCACGCGGTGGGTCAGGGCAGCACGCTCCTCCTCGGTGAGCTTCAGACCCTCGACCTGCGAGAACAGCGGGATGATGGTGATGCCGGCATGGCCGCCAACGACGGGCACATCGACGACCTTGTCGAGCTTGGCGCCAATGAAGCGCGAGGCACGGACCAGATCGAGGCTGGTGACGCCGAAGATGCTACAATAGGGAATCACGTGCAAATCACGATCAGCTAATCAGTTTCTGGATTCCGATAACGGTGACACATGCATAGGCAGCGCCTCGAATGCGAACAAGCGCTCGACACGCCAAAACAGGGAGGCGAGGGCACAATGCGCTGCTTATTCTAAGCGAGCGTGAAACTTACCGCTTGGGGTCGTAGACACCGGCCTTCTTGAAGACCTTCGGTGGCAATAGGCACGGTCGAGTTGACGGGGTTGGAGATGATGAGGAGCTTGGCCTTGGGGCAGACCTCGGCGCAGGCCTGGGCCAGATCGCGCACAATACCAGCGTTGGTGTTGAACAGGTCGTCGCGGGTCATGCCGGGCTTGCGGGGCACACCGGCCGGAATGACAACGAGCTCAGCGCCCTGCAGAGCCTTCTTCAGGCCGTCCTTGTCCTTAGCGGTGTAGCCAGCGACGTTCGACAGGGTGTTGATGTGGCCGATGTCGGCAGCAACTCCCGGCGTGTTCACGATATCGTACAGGCCGAGCTCAGTCACGCGCGGGTTGGTCTTGAGCAGCAGCGACAGGGGCTGGCCGATGCCGCCGGCGGCGCCGAGAACGGCAACCTTGGAGCGCAGAGGAATGGCAGTCGAGAAGGAGCGGGCGGCAACCTTGATCGCGGAACGGAGTGGCAAACATTTTTTAGTGAATTCGAACGAGCAAGTAGAAGGATGGAGAAGCAGACAAGAAGAAGAGCTGCGCCCGCGCTGCGCTGCCCGAGGACTGCTTTTAAACCAGCCCGGGCTCGCTGGCCATCGTAGGCGCCGGCCGCACACACCTCCCCAAAACGCAGCCCGCATCAGGGCTTGATAAGTGGGATAATTCCTATTGGCCATTAACATCCTGGCTCCCCTTGTCCCAGCCGGATAGTGCATGGGCTCATGCTAGTCAAAATGCAGTTCAGCTATAGCGCGCAGGTGCCAGCAAAAGCCCCCGCTGCCAGCTGCTGGGCAATTCGCGCAGACAGGAGCGTGAAAGCTGCGGGCTCTGCGCAATCCCACGTCTAGCCCCGGCATTGCGTCAGACAGGCCATTTCTAACGGCTATTCATTTGAGCACCAGCCGCGCCCTTGCACACCAGGTTCAGCGGCATGCTCCAGGCATAGCGGCTGCTGCAGACTCGCCTGTCTGACTGCCGCCTGCCCGGCTGACCGGTGATTACAGAGCCCACGAAGCACCTTCTAAAAGGAGAAAAATGACGGTTCCAGTCCTCAGATGTCGGTCACGATCGACAGAGCCTAGGAAAAACTCGGAATTGGGATCTCGCAAGGTGGATTGCGGAATTTATTCAACAACAGTTTGACAGTTACCGCGCCGGCTCCTTGCTTGCAGGCTTTCGCCTGGCTGTTGCGGGCCACGCGCGCCTGCTCCAGCTCATTGGCCTCGCTCCACGACTCCATTGTCAGCTCCGCCTCGCCCTTGGCGATGCTCACCAGGCGGGCCACGGTGATGACGCCAGACAGCTCGGTCTGCGTCATCATCTTTGCGCCAGTAGCGTGCGCCTGCTTGCGCGACTCCGCATATTCTTCCGAGATCTTTTCAGAAACGGCCTGCGGGACACGGAATTCCAGATTGCGAGCATTCGCCAGATACTGCCGGATCTGGTCCCGGTGCAGCGGATCAAGCACCACAGGGGGCTCGTCCTGTGTCTTGGCCAGCAGAGAGCATAACTCAGAGCTCAAATACACGTCACAGTCATTGTGCAGGATAGATTTGCCCGCAGACAGCACCAGAACTCGAACATTGGTGTCCATCGGCACCGGCTGGTACGGGTACTGGAAGCTGACAGACTGGTCCTATGATCACTGTCTGCAGTGCATGTAGATTCTTGACGCCGCGCTCGCCCAATGTACCTTCGTCGAGACAAGTCTCGTCGCAGATGATCTCAGTGCCCGCCGGCAGCTGCAAAACTCCAGAGTGCAGATCTCCAGACTCGGCACTGGGCACAAACACCGCGCCATTCAGCAGCTTCAGATCAAACGGCAGCTCGACAACCCGCGGCAGAAGCTGCTCGAGCGCATCGGCGATGCGACGGGTGGAGGAATTGCGCAAAGCAAACCGGCCCGAGCCCTCGCTTGCCTGTGACGGGAACCCAATCAGATTCAGCGAGTATTTACCGACTTTGGCGCCTTGTACATTGGCGGTACAAGACAGTAGGTGCAGCAGCAGGAACTGCGCCGCCAGCTGATCGCCACCAAGGACCGCCGTCAAGTGCGACAGTGCCAGGTCACGCCCTTGCTCAAACTCCTTCGCTGAGAGCTCCACCGACTCTGTATCCAGCCCCTCGGTATGGAAGATCGCATGGATGCACGGCCACTCGCCTTGGTCATCTTCGCTCTTCGAGTTGAACCCAGGCTCATAAACGCCCACCACATCCACTAGATGCGATGCCCGGGGCGCATGTGCTGGCGCATAAAACTTCACCAGCGCTGCAACATGTGGCTCTCCTTTGAGCGGATACTTTTCGCCAACAGACTTGAGTCCCACCAACGCTCAGCATCTGCATCGCATCATCGACTCCACTGCGCTGCCCTGGAACAGAGACGCAGTATGCGACCTCCTTCTCGGTAAATACATTGTGCGGCGACGAATAGTCGATCTCCCAGCCCTCCTCCAGCTCGTGGTTTCGGTCAGTGTAATGGGAGAATTTGTGCATCTTTTCGCCATCCTTGGATACCTGTGCCAGCTGATAGGTGAAGCTCCTCTCCGTAGCCCGGATCCTGGACCATACACTGGAACCGTACAAGCGTCTGCTGGCTTCACATTGCTCCATGATCCACTCACTAACGGGATCTGGTCCCAGACTTTCATGGGTTTTGAACATGTCCTGGAAGTCCGCCTGGACCACCTTTCCAATCTCTGCAGCAGCTGTGTGCCCACTACCATCGACGCTAGCCTTGTGGCTCTCTAAAGAGGTTTGAAGTGATCAGCTTTTTGCGTGCGCATTCCACTCCTGAAGGAAATTGTTGCAGGTCTGACACATTGCCCCGCCTGTCAGCTGGCAACCTCCCGCTTACCAAAGAGCCTGTTGATCACGTCGAGTGGGGAGTCAATATACTCGCGAATGTCTGTCATTTGTTCACAGGTTGGAGTAGCTTGGAAAAAGGAGCAAGTGGAATCAAAATAGGCCCGACAAGCCTGCAGGACTGAAACAGCCTATCCTCTGTGCCTCAGTCGGCATGACGAAAAACCACGTCAACAAAGAATTAGTGTGGGATCAAAGAAAGCTGGAAGCGATCAAGAAACGCGACACTGCTTGTGTTTCTGAAAGGCTTCATCTTGGGGGAAAAGCTGAGGATAGAGATGGAAGGAACAAAAGTAAAAAAAAAGGATAGAACTGCATATGAATCTCTACTCCTCGTCAGAGCTATCGTCGTCGTTGCGGCGACCACCAGCCTGCTGGCCGCGCAGCTGCGCCATCTGGGCGGCGATTGAGTCGTCCTCTGGCTCCGAGATGTCGTCCTCAACAGGGGCCTCAGCCGGAAGCGTCGCCCGGTCAGCAACCTCCATGCGGATCTCCTGCAGCACATCACAACCATAGTACGAGTCGCTCTTGACCAGCAGCTGGAACGTGTATGTGCCCGGCTGCGGGGGTGCCTGGAACTGCACAGACACAACACGCTCGGTAGCCAGGTTGGCAACGCGGATAGGAGGAACCACCAGCTTGCCGCTCTGGAAGTTGGCAAAGCTCACCCACCACTGCGACTCCTTGCGGCCGGCAAAGTAAGGGCAGTATACCTCGGGCGCAGTCTCCTTGCTCTCGTTCTTGGACATCCTTGACACAAAGTTCTCGATCGCCGCCGTATCCTCGTCAGCAATCTCCTCGATGTCGGCGCCCTGGAAGCGCGACACAGCCTTGGTGCGGGCGTTTGTGACCTTGATCTTGGCGATAAGCGTTACAATCGACAGCGGCGTGATGACCTGGTCGCCGATCACAGTGAGCAGAGCACGCGCAATCTCGACCTTGGGGATGACCTTGGCGTACTGGATCGCCTCCTCGAACTGCTTGTCACCGAGCACATTCAGGGCCTCGCGCTGCTTCTCGGCAGGCAGGCGCAGCAGCTGGTTGATTCCGTATACGTTCTTCTCCTTGTAGATTTTGGGCTGGTTCTCGTTCGTGATGCCAGGCAGCTGCATCAGCGGCGCGTCGTACATGTACAGGCCCTGAACAAGCATCTGCGAAATGCTCATCAGCTGCGTCGAGCAGTTGTACCAGTTGTGGCCAGTCGAGATCTGGAGCAGGCCGCGGTGCACAAGGTTCAGTGCCGTGATCACAATCTGCTGCTGCTGGTCGGCAAGCTCGGCATCGTCGATCTGAACACGGAAAAAGTGCGCATGCAGCAGAACTGTTGGCCTTCCACGGCATCCTTGCTCGTGAATTTCTTGGACGGCGTGAAGATCTCCAGAGCATGGCGGCGAGACACGCGCTGCACATTTTCGGAAATCTCCTTCAGAGTCTTGTCCTCGGACTCGCGGTACTTTAAGTCGTCCTCAGTGAACTCGGTGGCAGCGGTCAGCAGCTCAATCAGGTTGCGCTGGGTGATATGCTCGCGGATGTTCTTGAAGAACAGGCCCATGGTCGGGTTCAGGATACGGTCCTTCTGGTAGCGCGTCGAGTTGTACCACCAGCGGCCAACGTAGAATGGCATCACAAAGCCAAACATGAGCCCGTATAGAAGCAGCACAAACGGCGATGTGTGTGCCTCAACCAGGAGCTTGGGCAGCGCAATGCCCATCGACTGCACCTGCATGCCGTCAGGGTTGCCGTACTTGTTGTAGTTCTCCAGCGCCTCAGGGTCCGTCAGCGTCTTGTACGCGCGGTTAATCTCTGCCATCTTTTCGCCAGCCAGCTCCTTGTTCTCCTCGCTGACCTTGTCCGGATGCCACTTCATCGACAGCTGGCGGAACGCCCGCTTGATAGTCGCCGAAGTCCTCGGTGCTGTCGATTCCGAGAACCTTGAACGGGTCCCAGTACTCTGCCTCTGCCACTTCGGTTGTCTTCACCTTGTACGAGAGCAAAAAGATCAGCGCCCAGCCGACAACCAGCAGAACGGCCCGGATCTTGGGCATCGACGACTTGTTCTTGACTTTGCGCGTGCGCACTTTGGGCGTCTTTGGCTTCATAGTCTCGCCCGAGCCCTTGTTGCCTACCAACAGGTAGAGCGTTGTGGGCACCACAGTCAGACTAAGCACCGTCAGCGCATAGTAGAAGAATGTGACGCCCGATTCGTCGTACGTGTACTTTGCACCCATGCCTCTGGAATTGCGAGCAACGATGCAATCAGTTTAGTAAAAGAAAAAAAGGAGGTTTGCGAATAAAGTAGGAAAGAGCGAGCTGCGAGTCCTCTGCTCTGTTTTGCGTGGTGGTGGTGGTCCTCTTTCCTCCCTGTTTGTGTGCGGCTTGGGAACAAGAAGCAGCTCTCTTTGTGGCTCAGAGAGTATTAATGACCAGAATAGCGTAGACTGCAGAGGTTGTATGCGTGCAACGGCTACTGAATGCAGAGAAATAAAAAGGAGGGAAAACCAGTGAGTTGGAGGAGAGAAGAAGGTTTGCAAGCGAATATCACAGAGAATGTATGCCTGCTGCTTCGCGAAGCCAGGTCTACGCCAAGCTAGTAAAAGCCTCTGTGGCTGTTGATGCTTTAGCCCAATCCGCCCATTTGGCCTGCAATGCAGCGGGTCGCTGTAGTGCTGGCACTGCCCAGGAGCGATGCGGTGCGAAAAGTCGCTGGCCAGCACCCATTGGCTATGGCTGCAATAAATTAATTACTATGCCGGCTGGTGATTACCAGATGAAGATATCTGATTTACCCGGACTAGGTCTGTCTGTGCGCAGCTGCAGTGCATGAAATGCAATGTCTCAGAAAATACAGGCGGCTTGAACCGAGACGCAGCCGAAAAAGGCACATGCTCCGGGTCTGGCTGATGCGCTGGACATGCTGCCCAGGCTACACATGATCAAGGCCATATGCAAAACTCTGTCTGCCTGAAAGGAGGCGAGCAACAGGCCAATGTGTCTCTGCAAAAACCCAGCTGTGCTCGCATGGACGCATTGCCTCTGAGTGCGATCAATGTCTTTCCGTGTTCGCGTGAGCTAAACCAATTCCGTCGCTGCCTCTATACCCCACGTTTTCTTTGCTTGAGTCCCATCTGCAGCTCGTTTAAGAGGCACTTTCCAAGACGTCTGGCAGGTTGCTTTTCCCTCTACTATTTTCCAGCTCCCTATTTCGCACTTTACAAAAACAAAAGCACAAGCTATCTCCGCTGGCCCCAAAAGCTCTTTAGTATTCTTGTTTATTAAGCAGTTTCGACATCTGGCCACAGAACCAGCTCTGAGCTCGATCTATACTCTCGACTATCAGCTGTGAATGTGCATAGCATGCCACCAACATGTCCGCCTAGCAACGCTCATCCGTCCCGCTCAAAAAGCGTATGTCGACTGTACTGCCGCTATTGCCACAACAACGTGTGCAGCAGAGGCATGAGGGTAAGTATTTCTTTAGTGATACACGTGTGTTTGCGACTAATCAAAGACCATGGTGAACTGCGCATTTCATACCATTCTCCCACCCATGCAGACACCTTGCACACTTTCTTCCTGTCTGATCACGTTGCTGCGGTTTCAGAATTCATATTGTGTCCCGCATAGTAACATTTTCCCGATCAAACCGTAATAATGGCCCGGAACATGCCTCTCGCATTACTCACATGGGGTTAAATGCTATTAGAAATGGCAGTTATTGGGCTTCTGGGTACTAGAGTTGCTGATTACAATATGTAGGCGCTGCTGCTTGCCGACAACAGAATCGAGCTGTTCTCGACGGACATGCCGCCAATGCTGTAAGTAGTCCAGTCTACAATTGTGCTGCTTATATATTGTAATATCGCAACAAAAATGCTCGTAACTGACCACATTCTTCGTCCTGTTTTATTAGGCGCATTCAGCTGGTGGGCATGGATTACACAACACGGTCATGCAGGTGCAAAATACGAAACGTGGCCTGCCTAGGGTGGTAAGTAAATCTGGTCACACGCTCCTTGCCTGCGCCAAAAACTGTGCTTTCAGGGCAGCCACATGCTCTCATGTCTGCTTGAAACTCATTGCTATTGTCCAGCTACGTAGTGGAAATGAGATTGGGTATCACATAACCCAGCCCTGCTCCGAGTGCTTGAAGGCGTGCAACAACGGGCATTTTTGGATGTTCCTGACGGAGAGCGTGTATCCAGTCGACCTGAAGGACCAGAAAAGTAAGTTTTGCAAAACAGACACTGCATTTGGGATCTCGCCACCCAAGCTGAAATCGTGATACGATTATACGCTTTTCCTGCCTATGCATCCTGTAGACAGCGCCTTGATGATGTGGGCAAACATCCCTCAGGAATACGACCTTGACGAGTGTGTGGCATATGGATGTCGCGACACAATCTGCAGGTGAATCTCAGAGCCGCCCCCAAGCTATGTCCGCCCTGCCTGCATTTTGAAAACCGGCACTATCCTCTTTCTGTACACGTACTTTCGCCTCTGACAATCAAAATGCACGCACACAACCGGACCGCCTTCTCTCTTCCCTTTTCCGTTAAATTGGTTCCATATATGGACAAGGGGTTTGCTGTGAATATATGTCTGTTCAAACAAGCATTCAAGGGTTGAATGGCCATATAGGCTTTGTATGATGCTGCGCCGCGGATCCGTAGCAATAGTTTCCCATTTGACATTTTAGGCAGGTCGATAATGCAGATCATTGCCGGACATGCAGCAGCAGTGCAATAAACTGCAGACAGAGCAGCATAGGCAGCGCAAATGTGTAGTGCCGCATGGTCTGCATAGAGCAGCTGAATGCTTTAACAAAAGGTAATACATTGAAATGAGAGCCAAACTGAAATTTGCGATGAAGATAGCTGGACAGAGGTTGAAGTAATTACAGAGGATCTCAACACAAAGTGAGCGATGCTCCATCACAACAGACGGTAGTCGCTGAGATCCTCGTTGTAGGTGCGTGTGAACACAAGCTGTGTGCAGCCAAGCGTGCGTGTTGCAAATGCGCCCTCACAGTACGCAAAATAGTACTCCCATTTGCGCCGGAACACGTCGTTATAGCTGGCAGTTTGTTCCGCAGACTGCATATCACTCTTCTCGCTGTCGATCTTGGCAAGCTCTATGCATTTGTCAGCTGACTCACTTGCGTCCAAGGTGTTTAGATCGCGCTCCTGCAGGATCAGCTGGGGGTTCTTGGGAGCAACCTCGGACAGGACCTTGTCGTATCCATGCAGGAACCGCTCGCGCCACGCACGCAGTGTGCGTGCATAGTGGTCCGGGAAGTTGGCTGCACTCTCCAGCATCAGAGACCCCTTGCTGCCTTTGGTTGCCGCCGACACCAGCGCCGACACGCTCGGGCAGTGGCCACCTGGGAAGATGTGCTTGTTGATGAAGTCGACGCTGTGCTTGTACGCCTCGTACCGCTCCTCGTTCATTGTGCTTGCCTGCAGCACCATCACGCCGTGGTGTGCGCTCAGAAGCCGGCTGCACTGCTCAAAGTACACCGGCAGGTAGTCAAACCCGACATGCTCCACCATCTCCAGCGAGATGATCTTGTCGAACTGGTACTCGGCCGGGTCGAGGTTGCGGTAGTCGATCAGCTTGATCTCGATGCGGTCGCTCATGCCAGCCTGCGCGATGCGCTGCTCGGCAATTTCCTTCTGCTCGGTGCTCAGTGTGATTCCGAGAACGCGGCACCCAGTCCGCTCGACTGCCTAGTAATGTGTGGGAAATGTGCAGTGTGTTAGTGGTATGTCTATGCTGTCAGTGTGGCATGTGCATGTGTATGTACTCTCTGCCGTCGCCATTTTGGCTCAACCTGCAGGTCGGAGGTGGGGGTGTCCTTGCTGTCGCTAGCCCAGTCGACAGAAGTCCAGTCAACAGCAGCCCAGTCGACAGAAGTCCAGTTGATAGCAGCCCAGCTGATAGCAGCCCAGTTGATAGCAGCCCAGTTGACAGAAGCCCAGTCGGTGCCAACCCAAACGGCACCGAACAATTGGCCAGCACATGTGTGCGAGGGGAGGCGCTGGGGTAACAAAATAAACATACGCAAAGCCTCCCGCCATAAAAAAGAGAGAGGAAAAAGCATAACCACGTCGCCAAGAGCGCTGGCGACAAACACAATAAGCACAATAGCCGGTTTCCGGAACCTACCCGCATGGAAAGCGAGCCCCAGCCGCACCCGAGGTCGAGCACGTAGTCGGTGGGCCGCAAGTGCGCCTTGTCGATGAGCATATCCAGCTTGCGGATCTGCGCCGCCTCCAGCGTGTCGTCGGGCCCAGCCCAAATCCCACACGAGTACGTCATGGTGGCATCGAGGAACATCTCAAACATCTCGTTGCCCAGATCGTAGTGCGCGCTGATGTTGCTGGTGCTGTTGAGCAGCGAGTTGCCGAAGCGCGTGTTGGCCAGATACATCAGCGAGGTGACGATGGGCGAGGCGTTGGACGAGTCAAGCACATCGCGGTTGTAGATGTAGAAGCGCACAAAATCGACCAGGCTGTTGACAGTGATTTCGCCAGCCATGTACGCCTCAGCAAAGCCCAGGTCCTGCACCAGCATCAGGCGCACCCAGAACTGCTCACTGAGGACAGTGATGACGACGTGTGGGCCATGGTCGGAGGAGTTGCCAAAGGTCGTGGACTCGTCACCTTCAACGATGGTCAGCGAGCCGACATTAGCTCCACTGAGGGCCTGAGCAATCTGCTCTTTGACAGCAGGGATAAGATATGACCACGACGATCCAAACATCATGCGGCTCAGCTTGTTGAAGCCAGCCTCGATGGTGTCAAGCACCATGTCCGTGAGGCGGTAGCCAGTAGTGGTATGGGCAATGCTAGACAGAGTGTTGTAAATGGCGGTCATTATAAGAGAATGCAATCCAAAGAGGACAGAAGTATAATTGAGGGAAGAGGGGATGTGTGTAGTCGTGAAGGATAAGGGGTAGGGCGTAGTATCCTGAAAAGATATGAGTAAAGGGCCGGTTACACGAGTAGGGTGTTTTGTCGGTTGATGGAAGTAGGAATGTGGAATGCGGGATCTGTGGCGAGAGGCAACCACTAGATATTTATACTACTTGCTACCAGTTCAGCTGCCACATACCCTCGGTGGTTGTAGATTCAGAATGGCGAAACCAAAGTTTGTTATCGACCTGGTCTGCTGTGCACTCTCCATCCTGAAGGCTCGAGGCTTGACAGGCAAATAGTAAGCATCCAGTGGTGGACGGGACAGCTTGCGGGTTATTGTCGTGGTATGAATGCCTAATTGTTATCGAGTGACTCAAATGCGCACCTCAACCAAATGTGCAGAAAATTGCTATTATTCAACTTTGCATGTATTGTAGTCCGGGCCTGCCAACATTTTCCACAAGCATTTCTAAACGGGGAGACTGAATGGGCAAGAAGGAAAGCAGTGTCCTAGGTGTATGTTCCTGAAGGGTTGAGGTGGAGTGTCCAATCCAGGTACATCTTGTGATAGTATTCTAATGCCACTGAGTGCCACCGAGTACCCTCAAGAAGCCTCGAATAGCATATGATTAGACTGCACTGTCGCTCATCTGACACCAGCTACCATGCTAGCCTTGAGGTATTAAAACTGGCAGTGGTATCACACCTATCATTTGCACTGAAAATGCCCGGCAGTATCCAGCGCATTTTCTCAGGCAAAATAGAGAAATTTCTCATATATACGAAGGCTTGCAAAGTGGCACCGCCTAGCAAAAGACCAAAACGCATTGCGGCGGAATCAGTCCAAAAATGGAACGTCAATTATCTTGTAGCTAGCCACCCGCAAACTGCCGCCGGGCCAATGTTTGCCGTAAAATGACTGGCAGGTAAAGCTATTTCGTTTTGATAACGCCTACGCCGCAGCTTTGGCCACCATGTTTCTACTAGTGTTGGCGGAGTGGGTCGAGCTGGTGGTAGCTCAGGCCAGTCTTATCCCAAAGGCGCAGGACAATATATGTAATTTAGCCATGAGTTGTTTACTAAATGAGCTAATTTTATCTTCCATGGGGATTGGAATTTGGAAGGAAAAATACGCCGTTACCCACCCTGCTTTCTGGCCCGCTGCGTTTGTAGAGCAGAATCGCTGCTAGGGTTTGGTATCACTTGCAACCCGCCAATGTTTTGTCAGGCTATGATGTTGTATTCGGTGTGGCAGCTGTGTTCATTGAGTCCATCCGAAAGCGGTTTATCCTAGGCATGGAAAACAACCGGAATGAATAAAGCAGAGCATCCATATTTTTGAAAACTGCAGCATTCAGCAGGCATCAATCCTCAGTACAGCTGCATGCTTGTGTGGCTGGGCTGTCCAGCCTCGCTACGTCTACAAAGCGCAGTGTCCACCTACTGGAAGCGTACGATAGTGCGGCGATTGTCAAGGTGTGCACTGGCTAGCCATGTTGCTGGGTACTGTTACACATTTTTCAACCGACAACTTTTATGCAGCACACAGCGCTTGTGTTTTCATTTTTATGATGGATGGACATGGAACAATTGAGGAATTTGGTAGACAATGTATATGGTATTTTGTAGGCGTTACATTGCAAAAACGTGATTCTCGAATAATGCCTCAGCTGGTGGTTCAAGAAGAACAATCAGCCAGCGCCATCGAAGCACAGGCACACAACATCTGCGCGATATATATATGGGTGCATCAATGACGCGTTGATGGTTTGCCACAATGCCAGATTTCTGGAAGGTACACCTGGAAGTCGGTCGCAAACCAGCTGCGCCCTCGCTAGAATGCGTTGTGCTATGAAGTGGCATTAAAGGCTTTTGTTTGCAATGAACCTTGGCTTTGTTTCATTGCCATGAACCAGTGGCTTCCGGGAAGATGTATAGCCCCGCCATTTCGTGGGTGCTGCATACTGCCACAGCATAATCCTGATAAAAGCTCATTTCAGCCCACCTTCCAGCCTGCGGGCAAGTGATATACAATGATCACTAGCTGCAATGTTATGTGGCGAATAAATAGTGGCATCCTAGCTGAATTTGGAAAGTCCATACAAGTACCACAAACCGAGCATGATCATAGAGCGCTGCATGCATTCAATCTAGAATAGCGGTGGCTCCAGTGTTTGCCATCCTGCCTGCACCGATGAGAAGCACAGATTGGCAAAGCTCCTACAGCAGCAACAATGAAAATCGATAGCATTCATTTGACAGGTACGTTTTTTGCTATAGCTGTCTAGCCCAGGTGCTTGTACTCGGACACCTGTGTTGATATCAACAAGCCTTGAGCACTTCAGCCATATGGCTCAGCTGGTTTGCCACATAAACACAAGGTTTTACTCGAAAGGTTGATTGTTGCTGAAGATATAGATGGAGCGCAGGATTGCTGTTAGTGGCAAGAGGTGTGGGGTGGGCGCAAAGATACTGGGCCATCTAGTTTCTGCCCAAATGGCATTGTAGCCAATTGTGCATCATCTTCTGGAGTGCACCGAGCACACCAATATACGAAATATTTTCTTGAACTGACACAATAGCAATGAAGTGGCGACAGAAATACCTTCCTGGGGCGTATCTGAATGAGTGTGGAGTCAGTATGTGTGGATGTATCTTGTAGGAAGAACCCAGTGGCTCCCCCTCATAGTCAATTTTTGCTGCAATACTGACTCGAATTGAGTGAACCATCATGGAAAAGTGCAAGAGGCAAAACAAATTTGCTTGGAAGGTTGTTTACTTCGTGTTGGCAAACATGCACTATTTCGATTTTTTCTGGTCAGCAAGAGAAGAGTGGCCAGATCTGTTCTCTTGCCTCTGACTGATGCATCTCAGAGGATCGGCGCACATTTATAGCATGCATGATGCGTGCTGGTTTGTTCGAGTTGTTCAACATCGCGGAGCAAGGCATTCCCGGCAAGAATGTAGCCATATGTGCTGAATACGTATGTTGCAGCATGCAGCAGAGTCCTGTCTTTGAGGATCAGCTTCCATTGTTAGAAACCAAGGTGGAAGAGGGAGTAGAAATTGCGAACTGCTTTGCCTCACACCAATGTTGAAAGTTGCAGCAGGATGCATGGTCAGATACTTGCCGAAGAGCCCGACATGCAGCAACTGCCGAAGAGTTCTTCGCACGGGTTCGGAATGCGGAACAGCTACCACCTAGCATGCTCATTGGGTGGGCCCGTATATACAAGCTTAGCCGGCACGCAGTGGCCGGGATGTAGAGCGCATGTGCATTGATTCAAAGGCTCGCACAGAACTCTTCGGTTCGTATTACTACACCACATGATGATATGTGTCTGTTGCCGAACAGAATTGGCACGGGTATGAGAACCAACATGCAGACGGCTAGAGGGGAGAAACATGACATACGGTTAAGGGTCTGTATCTTGCCCTGAGCCCGATGTCCGTGCCAGATATGATGTCGTTTTGTTGGCAGCTTCGGCATCGCCGATTGCCAACAAGTGGCTGCGCTTTATGAAACTGCAATCCGTTGTACATATATGAACCCGTTGGCTGAGGTCCTGCATATTTGCACGTTGATGGGATATAGAAGGAGATCAGCTTCTGAAGAGCCACCCGATCCATAGTCCCAACACCAGCAGGGATACACATACACCAGTGCAGAGCAGGGTGGCGTTCTGAGCGCAAATATTCAAAGTGCTCAATGAGGCAAAATGGCGGGATCGGCTCTGTACATCCAGCGGGATGCGGAACGTCTAGAGATTGTGTTCGCCACCTTTGTTCAACAGGAGGAGCAAGAGCAATAAGAAAATGCGCAAAACCTTGTAGCGCAATTGAAGACACTCGCATACTTTTTCAAAGTACTATGTGCAGCTGCTGTGCAAATCCTACATACCACTCGCATACCCCATCCAATCCGAATTGCTCTCAGCCTCCTACGTTCTGGCAGCCCAGGTGTCCACGTTGCAGCTGCATCTCCCAAGCCGAAGAAGAGATTGTGCCAACCGAGAAACCTCTGGGTGGCAGGGGGGTTATGCAGCCCTGAAACGACTGGCTGGGCACCTCACAGCTGCACAATTGTGCCGAGAGTATTTTTGGTACTTTCCATTTTGCTTTCTATGCCCATATTGCCTGCCACTCTGCTCTCTGCCCGGCTCCCACACACGTTACCAAACCCTGTTTTGTGTACCAAGGGAATATGCACCGGCACTCTCCCGACTTCTTGTTGCACTGCCAGGCTAAAACAGGCGACGGCTAGAGGAGAAGGATTTCAGCATGGATTATAAGAATGGCGCTTCTCGGCACTGGCATCTCTGTTCTCTACACCCATTCCCAGACTCCCTGTCGCAACCCTCCTCAGAGCCTAGGGCACACCCACCATTTCATTATTTTTGTGCGCCTTCTGGTTGCTTCATCTGCGTTGTTCGTTTACACTTTTTACACAAAGTCTCTTTCCTTAACCGATACTACTTCATGCAATGGATGCCCTCTTCTCCTTTGACCAGCAAGCATTGCCGGCCTCTGCTGAGGGAAAGTGCCTGCTGGACTCCATGAAGAGGTCCACAGGTTCATTCATGAAAGCCACCATTCTCTGTACTATCGACTCTGGGCTCAGCAAACTGAGTCGCTCGATGCTCAGCACATCATGGACCTACCTCATTCCTGCTGTCAAAAGCCAGATCTCCCAAGTATTACGTGGTGCCACCATCGGTTCGCTGACCATTGTCGAAGGTGACGAGTCCACGACCTTTGGCAACTCCTCCGACCATGGCCCACACGTCGTCATCACTGTCCTCAGTGAGCAGTTCTGGGTGCGCCTGATGCTGGTGCAGGACCTGGGCTTTGCTGAGGCGTACATGGCTGGCGAAATCACTGTCAACAGCCTGGTCGATTTTGTGCGCTTCTACATCTACAACCGCGATGTGCTTGACTCGTCCAACGCCTCGCCCATCGTCACCTCGCTGATGTATCTGGCCAACACGCGCTTCGGCAACTCGCTGCTCAACAGCACCAGCAACATCAGCGCGCACTACGATCTGGGCAACGAGATGTTTGAGATGTTCCTCGATGCCACCATGACGTACTCGTGTGGGATTTGGGCTGGGCCCGACGACACGCTGGAGGCGGCGCAGATCCGCAAGCTGGATATGCTCATCGACAAGGCGCACTTGCGGCCCACCGACTACGTGCTCGACCTCGGGTGCGGCTGGGGCTCGCTTTCCATGCGGGTAGGTTCCGGAAACCGGCTATTGTGCTTATTGTGTTTGTCGCCAGCGCTCTTGGCGACGTGGTTATGCTTTTTCCTCTCTCTTTTTTATGGCGGGAGGCTTTGCGTATGTTTATTTTGTTACCCCAGCGCCTCCCCTCGCACACATGTGCTGGCCAATTGTTCGGTGCCGTTTGGGTTGGCACCGACTGGGCTTCTGTCAACTGGGCTGCTATCAACTGGGCTGCTATCAGCTGGGCTGCTATCAACTGGACTTCTGTCGACTGGGCTGCTGTTGACTGGACTTCTGTCGACTGGGCTAGCGACAGCAAGGACACCCCCACCTCCGACCTGCAGGTTGAGCCAAAATGGCGACGGCAGAGAGTACATACACATGCACATGCCACACTGACAGCATAGACATACCACTAACACACTGCACATTTCCCACACATTACTAGGCAGTCGAGCGGACTGGGTGCCGCGTTCTCGGAATCACACTGAGCACCGAGCAGAAGGAAATTGCCGAGCAGCGCATCGCGCAGGCTGGCATGAGCGACCGCATCGAGATCAAGCTGATCGACTACCGCAACCTCGACCCGGCCGAGTACCAGTTCGACAAGATCATCTCGCTGGAGATGGTGGAGCATGTCGGGATTTGACTACCTGCCGGTGTACTTTGAGCAGTGCAGCCGGCTTCTGAGCGCACACCACGGCGTGATGGTGCTGCAGGCAAGCACAATGAACGAGGAGCGGTACGAGGCGTACAAGCACAGCGTCGACTTCATCAACAAGCACATCTTCCCAGGTGGCCACTGCCCGAGCGTGTCGGCGCTGGTGTCGGCGGCAACCAAAGGCAGCAAGGGGTCTCTGATGCTGGAGAGTGCAGCCAACTTCCCGGACCACTATGCACGCACACTGCGTGCGTGGCGCGAGCGGTTCCTGCATGGATACGACAAGGTCCTGTCCGAGGTTGCTCCCAAGAACCCCCAGCTGATCCTGCAGGAGCGCGATCTAAACACCTTGGACGCAAGTGAGTCAGCTGACAATGCATAGAGCTTGCCAAGATCGACAGCGAGAAGAGTGATATGCAGTCTGCGGAACAAACCTGCCAGCTATAACGACGTGTTCCGGCGCAAATGGGAGTACTATTTTGCGTACTGTGAGGGCGCATTTGCAACTCGTACCATTGGGTGCACACAGCTTGTGTTCACGCGTACATATAACGAACACCTTTCCGATTTGCATTTGCTGCGCCAGTGGCATTAGCTGTATTTTTCTGACATCAGTAATTAATCTTTTATGAATTTTTAAGCAAACGCGTACTTTTTCCCCCTTGATGACGACTACCGCTTACGTATGTTTCACGAGCCTGGCGAAACCCACTTGCGATTACGCAACTGCTCTCTGCAGGCTGTTAAACCGGCCGCCCTCAGTTTTCATATAAAGCATAGGAGGCGAAAAGCGACTCCCTTCTCTTGTTCCTACACCTAAAACACTCATATCTCGTTATCTCGTTATCTCTTGCTACAGTTTTTTCCTCTGCATTCTATTATTCAAGCTGCTCATTTGACAGACCATACACCAGTATTAAGCATGTCTAGCGCATCGTCCGATCTAGGTTCGTACCTGCCCCCTGAAGCCGGAACACCAGGAGACACTGGCTGAGCATAAACACGGCACTGTTCAATGGATAGCTAATGCTGGCTTCATGCAATTGTAGAGCTGCTGGAGAGCCTTGAGCTGCGGTTTGCACTAGGCCAATTCCGATGACGGCTTGCAGAAGCTGGTCACCACGCTACTGGTGCCGCTACTTGAGAAACTCGACACTGCCGGCGGACCAGTGCGTGCCAAGGTAAGGATTCCGGTTGATGGTAGGAGAAGCATTCGCAGATAAGTGACCTGGCTGGTAGCTCAATAGACGTGGTTTGTAGGTTATTGCACTGTTAGGCCAGATTAACAAGAAGCTACGCGGCCACCCGCAGGTGGCGATCCCAACAGACGCCCTTTTCCAGAGCACGTTCGGCGGCAGCAGCAGTTCAGGCGTACTCCCAGAGCTTCAAGCTTATGTATGTGACGACGGCTGTGGAGCGTGCACTTACCAAAGGACCTGCTGGACAAACTGCCGCTCCTTCTGGCTGGCATGGGTAGCTGGCAAGCCGCACCCAAGAAAATAGTCACATCAGCGCTGATGACGGTCGTTCAGCGCAGCACGGATATCTCCGATGAGTCATTGCGCAAGCTAGACTTTTCGCAATCGGCCGATCAGGCTAAAGCATTGCTGGCGGTGGCCGCCGATCTGTTCCTGTTCACACCAGCGTCGGGGGATGGCTTGGCGGCTGGGCTGAGCCCGCAGGCGCAGAGCACGCTGACCAACGACGGGAAGGCTGCGTGGGTGGGGGACAGGGAGCAGATGCGGCAGCTGAAGATGAATTTCCTGAGAATCGTTGGCTTCTGAGCTTGCATTCCCGTCTGTATGCGCCCAGGAGGTCCACGAAATGCGGTTTCTGGCGCTGACATGCGCTGGGTGCGATGCATACTTCCCTGATGTGGTGACGCGCAGCGACGATGCCCTGAAGCGGCTCAGGCCGCTGGACACAGAGTCCGGGTCGCTTGTGTCTGCAATGCTATCTATATTCCTCGGGAGCGTACCCGAGACAGCACCAGACGTGCGACGGACGCCGGTCTCGGCCCCGATCAGACTTAAGGTTCTTACCATTCTCTGCCGGTCTACCAAGGCAGCAGCAACGTTCCCGGACTGGATCCGTGTGGTCTTCGAGAGCTTGTTTGGGGCTGGAACAACTAGCAGGCTGAGACGCCAGGGAGTGGCGTTTATGCAGTGGGTGATCCGTATGGCTCCGCAGGCACAGGATTGACAGGTCAGTGCCGATTCTTATGCAGGGCATCCGTAAGATCCTGAACGAAGAAGCGACAGCGAGCTTGAATGCGCGACTAGACGACGATATTATAAGAGGGCTGGCGTATGTCTCTTGGGGATCGCTTGGCAAGCGTGTGCCAAAGTCGTTCTCTGGCGACCTGTCGCATCTGAAGACCATGTTTGAGGCATTCGACCGCGAGTCTCCGAATGTACGGCTGAGCATCCAGGAGGCCTTGCTGGCCATGCTTCCTGCATACGAGTCATCGGGGACGTCAGACCAGATGCAGAGCGAGCTTATCTTGTTCCTGACCTGCACAGCTCAACAACGAAGTGCGTCAGGCACGGTACTGTGCGCTGAGGTACGCAATTGCTGCGTTCCCATTTGCCAATGTATCCGCGCGGTGGATCTGCCTGCTCGCCTTGGCAGATTCCGAGCGCGAAGTTAGGGCCTCTGGCCAAGTCGGGGCTGGCGATTCCTCCAGGAATGCTGGCCCGCGACCAGAACCTGCTGCCTGACACCACAGGCGCGATTAGGTTCATCTATCGAGCGCATTTCTGAGGTCACCCGTCTGCCAGCCGAGTCTGCCGCCAGTCGGCAAGGTGCAGCGCACCCAAGTGTATATGGCGGTCTGATTGAGTTTGGCCGGTCGCTGCTACTAGCCAAGGGCATGGCGCAGCTCAAGGCTGAGGACCCGGCAGTAGTCTTGGATATCCTAGATACCGAGGCTGTCAACGACGGCGGTGAACTGGCCACGGAGCTCCAGCGCAACAGCATGAGCAGGGCGCTGGCAGGACTTGCTGATGGCAACTCATCAAGCTCCGGTCTGGCCAGCTGGACGGGAGTCTTGAGCTTCGCGCTAACCAGCCAGCATCTGCTCGAGGCAGGCGTCCTGCCACGGTCTCTGGTCTGCCTGGTCGAGCTTCCTGTCGCTCGGCCCACCAGACGCCGCCCTGGCGTTCTTCGACCAGCGCCAGGTATTCCTTGGTCTTCTCAGCTCACGCCAGCAGACTACACAGCAGTATGCGGCGCAGCTGTTGGCGGCCATCTATGCCGCAAGGCTGTTTGCCACAGACAGCGGCCATACGCTGGACTGCGAGTTCTGGAATACCGACGTGGCGCGCCAGCTTGAGGAGCTGCTTTCGGTACTAAAGGAGCCAGCGCACCCAAACTTGGTTGATAAGAAACGCGGCGCAATCCTTGCTCTGGGATATATCGGGAATGGGCTCTGCGCCGCTCGCTTGACGCTCAGCAAGACATGGGCAGATCTCGGGATCTCCCATGTAGGTAGTATACTCGATACGGCGTATGACGCAGTGCTGCATGAGACCCAGGCCGCCTAGTAAGACGACGGGCACGCATGCAATGATCACCGGAGCATTGTGCGTCGCGATCGGCGAGCTGAGCAAAACAGGAGACGCCCGGGCGCCAGCCGCCATGGACGCTGTGGCCGACATTGGGAAGCAGTCAACCAAGGACGGGAAGGTGCAGGATGCAGCGTACAGAGCCCTGGCCAACATTGCTCTTGGCAACGTGGCTCAGGGAACGAGACTGATCTCGTTCTTGCAGCAGTCGGCGGCGGCAGTAAACAAGAAACAGCTGGATGCGCATTTCCGGATCGGTGAGGCATTGGACCATGGCACTGGGGCGGTTCCAGTGTTCGCTGGTGCGGCTGCATTGGATCCTGCCGTTTGCACCGGAGCAGGTGTATGGACGAGGATATGCTCAGTGCCAACACTGAGGGCATAAGACTTGCTGTTTGAGCTGGTTACTGGAAAGATGGTCCGGTCGCCGAGCCCACAGGACCGCCAGGCGGTGGCGGTCTGGACGCTGTCGCTGGTGCAGTTCTGCCCGAGCCTGCCACAGCTCAAGCCCTGGCTCTCCCGGCTCCACACATGCCTTTGCTCGCTGCTGACAGACCGCGACGAATTCACCCAGGAGGCGGCGTCAAAGACCCTGGGCCTGGTGTACGACATGGGGGATGCCGGACTGAAGGAGGACCTGGTTTATTCGCTGATGGCACTGTTTGGCGGCAGCGGGAAGAAGGCCGGCTCAGCCAACGCGCACACAGCACTGCAGCAGCAGATCCAGGCCGACCAGCCATTGCTTGAAGAGCAGACGCTGGGCCAGACGCCCGACGGGCACGCAATCAACACCACGTACTCGTCGATTCTGTCGCTGGCGTCGGACATGCAGAACCCAGCGCTGGTGTACCAGTTCATGCAGCTGGCATCGCACACAGCCGTGTGGAACAGTCGGCGCGGTGCTGCATACGGGTTTGCGTCGGTCATTGAGCGAGCGCGCGAGTCGATGAAGCCGCACATGGCGCTGATTATCCCCAAGCTCTACCGCTACACCTTCGACCCGAGCCCGCAGACCCGCACCGCCATGACCAGCATCTGGCGGGCGCTGCTGGGGCCAGGCTCAGAGGATGCCAATATGGACGATGGCTCGTCGCGTGCGCGCAATGGCGTCAGCGTCATTGAGCAGTCGTGGGGCCCGATCATTGAAGAGTGTCTGGCCAGCATGGGCCAGCGCGAATGGCGTGTGCGAGAGAGCGGCTGTGCGGCCCTGGCAGGCACGCTGCCGGGTGCTGACCCGGAGCTCGTCGTCCCGTACCTGGAGCGCATCTGGCGCATGGCCTTCCGCTCGCTCGATGATATCAAGGGCAGCGTGCGGGAGGCGGGCTTGAAGACCTGCCAGGCGCTAGCCAATGCCACAGTCACGTGGTGCACCCCTCGTGTGCCGCGCGAGTCTGAGCGCGACCGCCGCGCCCACGCGGTGCTGGAGATCGTGGTGCCGTTCCTAGTCGACAAGGGCGTGATGTCGGATGCTGAGGATGTCAGGACGTTCAGCCTGATGCTGCTCCTGAAGCTCTGCAAGTCCAGCGGGTACTACCTGACTTGCTTCGCTGCACACATCGCCGAGCGGCTCCTCGAGTCCCTTGTCGAATATGGAGCCGCAGTCTGCCAACTACCTGACATTCCATGCCGAATCGCACAACATCTCGCAGGACCAGCTCGAGAGCGCCCGTCTCAGCGCCGTCAAAGCATCGCCGATCATGCAGGGAGTCGAGCTAGCCCTTGAGCAGCTCAATGACGAAAGCATGAGCGAGTTTGTGCCCCGACTGCAGACCCTGGTGAGACGCGGTGTCGGGCTGCCGACGCGGGCCGGCTGCGCACGCACACTCGTCACGCTGTGTGTGAAGCGGCCGGACCTGGTACGTCCGCACGCTGCGGCGTTGGCCAAGGCAGTCAGCGGCTCGCTGACCGAAAGCTCGGCTATCCAGCGCCAGGCATGGGCGGCAGCACTCGGATACATGGCGCCAATGGTGACGCCCAATATGCTGCGCAACCTTCTCAAGCACCTGCAGAAGGTGTATTTCGACAAGTACGAAAGCGATGTGCGCGGGGTTGCCGGGCTTGTTCTTGAGCAGCTGGCGCAGAAGGCGCCTGAGCGTCTGCGCGAGCACACCAGCGGGCCGGGCTCGGTTTCGTTTGTGCTGTTTGGCTCGCATGACCCGCAGGAGTCCATTCGCGAGTGCTTCCGCAGTGCCTGGCAAGAATATACGTTTGGATCGGGCGGGCCGGTTCGTTGAGAAGCACCTGCGGGACCTTCTGGAGCTGCCTGTTCAGGAAGTTGCTGGCGACAGCTGGCCGAGGCGGATCCAGGGCGCCGAATGCAATTGCCGACATTGCTGCAACGCTAGAGCGCAACTACAGGGACACTCTTACCGATACTGCCAGGGCATCGGCGCTCGGCTGCGTGCGCACGCTGCTAGAGCTGTGTGTGCCGGCACTTCTCAGTGCTGCCCAGGGCCGCGTGTGGCCCGGCAAGGAGCACGTCCTAGGATGTCTGGTCAAGGTGTGCACAGCCAGCGCGCCGCTGCTCTCCCAGCAGGCCGAGTCCGACGGGCTCCAGCAGGTGCCCAACGAAGTATTTGCTGTGCTGGCAAAGGACATGGCGCGCGGCGAAACCTCCTACCGTCGCGCCGTAGTAACCCACTACTGCACGTTCATCGAAAAGAACCCTCTAGACGTCTACCACGAGATCTCCACCGCCCTGCTTGGCCTCATCGCCAAGAGCAGCGAGTCGCTGGACAAGAAGCAGTCCGGCCAACGCAATGGACGTCGACGATGACGACGAGGAGCTACGCCAGAAGCCGCAGCGCCTTGCTCTTATTGCCTCGGCAATCAAGGCGCTCGCCATGTCTCTGCCGCACACCCGCGCGCTTGGGAACAGCGAGGTTGTGGATATGGCAAATCTGCTAGCGCACTGTTGCTGAGACCGGCGTGTGGAATACCCGCGTGGCCAGCCTCGAAGGCGCTGGCGTCGCTGTTTGCGCATTTCACGCAAGCCGTCTATGCCGAAACGCGCTCCAGCGCCTTACAGGCCGCCGGTATGCAGAGAATATTGCGGGCGGTGCGCGCGTGTGCGGCGGAGGGCAAATATGTCGCCGTGCGCACTGCGGCATTTGACGCCCTGGATGCCGTGCATATGGCAGCGGAGGGTGCTGCCGGGCATGAAGATGTGACTGGCATGTGCCGCGAGGTCTTGGAGCTGCTGCTGCAGGACCCGGTGCCAAGCATCGCCGACCGCGCCAAGGACACCGAAGCCACAAGTGGGGAGCATAGCCCAAAATCATTGTTTGCTCTACAAAACCAGTTGTTGAATAGAATCCTCTCCAATCTCCTCGCAGCTATGGTGCTGGTGTGCCGGTTCCCTCCACAGGACTCCAAAGTGCTCGCGCTGCCTTTCAGCTATCTGGACAACTTGCTCTGCGGACTTTGCGCACTGCTCACATGAGCAGCGTCACAATCTCTGTAGATCGCGTCCATCCAGTGGAGCTTGCCACGCCTCCCTGTAAAGTGCATCTGCGACTTCTGACTGCATCAACGGTGGACACACGTGGAACTCCGAGGGGGCGCCGGCTGCTTTAAAGCACCTGCGCTTTGAATGCACAAGAAGGGTTCTGTGCGCACGCGCTATTCCCGGCTCTTGTCCACTGGACGCCTCAGTCCTCCTCAGCCCTTTATAAAGCAGCAAAAGGTCCGCACACGTCAAGCTTTTCTTTCTGCATTCCTTGTTTCCACTCTGCCTTCCACAAGATACGTTTATTTTTGCATTTTAAGCCTGCCGTACCGCTTGTCCCCTCCTCCTTGTATTCTACCGCGATGCTGGCAATTAAGAAGCAACTGAGCGTGCGATTAGACAGCAAGCCCTCGGCTCTGCATCTTTCTGAGGCAAATGTGTCGTGGTCGGAGACTCTAGGCGGGCTGGTGGTTCTGGCTTTGCTGGCAGTCTGTCTGGGGTTTGTCCTGTCGACCTTTTTGCTGGCCACCATCGGTATTGGGCAGCTGGAGCTGCGGATTGTCCTACTGTTGAAGGACTGGCAGGTCTCTGGCCCACTGGCCGGAGCAGCGCTTGTATGTGCGGCGCTCATGGTCAGGAGGGCGCGGAGAGACAGGCGCGTGGCCTAGCAAACTTGCGCTGTTGTTATTTCCCCCCTCAGTCTATAATTTTACCTCTCCTTTTTTTTTGCTGTTTCAACACGTCTTTGTTTCTTGATCCAGCAGGCGGGGGGAACAATTGTCTGGAATAGGGTTCAGCCTGAAAGGATGTCATCATCATGCGCTGCATATCTCCCGGCCACAGTGGACGTCACTCTCCCCACTGTTCACAGCCAGAGCGGGGAGAGTATGAGCTAGGAGATTCCTCCTGGCAGACAAGGGGAGAATGACGCCTGGTGTCTGACCGATCGATGCAACCCGATGCGCACCCATCAGACGATCTCCATTTGCACATGGGTGACGTGGCGCTGGCTCGCGATGAGGGAGAGGACGGTAAAGCCCGGTTCTTGATACAACCAGGTGAGGTTAATCGCTGTTCAAAGCAAGCTGCCAGGAAAGTCCGGGCCAGACTTTTTTTTTTTTTTTCATTGCTTTTCTCTCTATTCTGTTTCACCTCTTCCCCTCGCCTGCCTATTTGCTTCTCCCCTCTCCTAATTTCGCCCTCCCCTCCACCTCTCTCTCTAATTATAAACTTATTCATGCGCATTTTCGTTATTCCTATTACCCGCAGCCAGTGGGCGCTGCATTGCCATCCGGCAAATGTGACGCCAACGCGGCTGTCGCGGTGGGCGCAGACCGCGTCGGAGAAGTGGAACAATTGGGCGCACCACCCAAAGGACTCGTGGCGCGGCCGCGTGCACTCGTACGGCGAGCGCATGATGGACAAGATCGACTTTAAGGAGTATTTCATGAAAGAGGTGCCGACCAAGGCCGAAGGCGCGATGATCGGGCAGGTGGACATAATAGCGCCGCGGTTCCTTGACTCTAGCGACATCCTGAAGCAGCTGCGCACGCTGGCCGAGGAGCGCGAGCCGTACCACTCGCGGTGGATGAAGCTGAGCGCGTACTGCTTGCCATTCACGGCGCTGTTCTCGCTGGTCCCGTTTGTGCCAAACTTCCCGATGTTCTACAACATATTCCGCATTTACTCGCACTACAAGGCCAAGCACGGGGCGCACCATCTGGCGCACCTTCTGCATTCGGGCAGTATCGAGGTCGTCAATGACTCGGGCATGGATCAGTGGTACAATGGCGGGGCGGTGAGCCAGCAGGACACGCCGGTGGTCGGCTGCGAGTCGGACGACGGGTACTCGACGTTTGACGGCGGCCTGGACCAGTCGAGTATTGAGAACGGGGTGCCGCTGCTCGAGTCGCCGCCCATGGTCTCGGATGAGGACCTGGCGCAGATGGCCGTGTACTTTGGTCTGCCCATGCTGGAGCCCTCGGTGCGGCGTGCGCGGCACCAGATCATTGCTGCGCTGAGCAAGGAGCGGAGCGAATAGGTGCCTGTTTCGCCCCCGCCCCCCAACCTTGGTGCGTTTGGGCCTACTTGTATACGCGATAAATTAACGCTGCAGCCAAGGCACACTGACATTGGAGTGCCGAAAAGCTCGGTTGCCACCGTGACAACAGCCAAACCATATAAAACAGGCCCGGAACCAGCCGGACTCCTAGTTATCTTTTATCCGCCTTTTCTGTTAGTCTACATATATGCTCACAGCTGCTTATTTAGTATTTGGAAGCTAACAAGGCATACACCGCTGCACATGGTGTCTTAGTGGTTGCATGGAATAAGCACAATGAATGCTGAAGAGAAAAAGTCGAATCTGCATATATACTTCCCAGCATCATATATTTGCAAGCCAAATGTAGTGTGTTCAGATCAACCCACACATGCCAATAATGAGCGCCACGTGTGCTGCGTGTTTCTTTTAGATTCTCTTTAACTGCAAAGGAGGAGGAGTAGTGTCGTTCTCGGATTCAAGGGGCTCAGGTGCCGAGGATATACTGGCGTCTATTGCCATGGTGCAAATCTTCAGAGCGCTGCTTTCGGCCAAGCCTAGTGTCTCTATTTCAGAATGCACCATGCTTTATTGACAAAAGAAACCAGGTTGCCATTCAGAGTGTGTTGGCAAACAAGCAAGGGACAATTGGCAGGATTCTGTGCAAGTGGTGTGCAGCGACCAGACACTTCAAACAGGTTGGTTTAGGCGAGTTTTGACACTGGGAGGCTGTGTAATTGACCTTAGGGCTTTCTGGTGCTTGGATGCAGAAATGGAAACAAACGCAATATATAGGCTGTTGGTTTGTACTGAAATAAACATTGTTAAATATGTGAACAGCGTGTATTTACGGATAATGCGACGCTCGGGTGCAATGCACAGACAAGAATGGCAAACGAAAATGCAAAAGCAGAAGATGTAGAGCGGACCATTCACCATAGAGCATCACGTGTAGAATTGGAGCGGCGTAGTTGACAAGTTGCATTGTGCTCGAAACTTAATTTGGCTTGAAAACATCGCTTTTGGTGCGTAGATTCGAATCTATGAGTTTTACAGAAAAAAACCCCCATTGACGTGTGCGTGTTGGTGTTTGCAGTGCGTGTGGCGCACTGGGTTCCCGGAACCTTAAGCGTACGCAGGCGTCCTGGTCAGCTGCTGTAGACCGAATCAAGGACGAGAATGGGCGGCAAGAACGGCATGAATGCGCAATTGTGCTCTTGCGGCTCTTGGGCAATTTGAGTTTCAATCAGAAAAACGGCAAGGCACAGGAAGACCTGGTGGCTAGCACCACAGAACTAGGGACAAGCAAACCTCACTATGAGTGCTTCTTTGACGTCTCAGCCTGTATCAAGCAAAATTTTCATCGACAATCTGCTCAATGCTGCGTGTGGCGTTCATGAAAAACACACATACATGCACGCACATTCGCACCTAGAAAAAAGGTCCTGTCTGCCCTCACTATACACGCAGCCCTATTGAGCCTCATTGCTCACTATTCCCCTTACAACAAGGAGCTGGCAGCATTATCCACACAGACAGCCTTGTTTCGCTCCTGTGAACATGCTTTGGCTTTTCGCCTGGGTTTGACGGCACGTCCTTCCCAAAAAGGCAAGATTTATGCCCGCAACCAGTGCCCTTGGGTAACGAGCCATTTTCTCTTCGTTCTGTCTCTGATCGCCTGCAGAAAACAACAACAAACCGACAAAGCGTCGCAAAGAAGGATGGCAGTTTAAATATTGTTCACCAAATAAACATATAGAGGTATGTGTACAAGAATCGCGCCTGTTGTTCACTTTTGCACTTTCTTCAAGTGCAGAACCCTGGCTTGTGCGGAATAACGCCAGCTATTTTTTCTTCCAGTTTCCAGTAGCGAAACAAGCTCACCTAAATTACGCACATTGTCCCTGTCTGTGATAAGCCCCATCTCGCAGCACAAGGGGGTGGTGTGGCAGTGATAGAGGAGCTGAGGCCTGCTGTGTCGCTTCATATACGGGTTTAGTTGTTGGCTCGAGAGTTGCGTTTGTTGCATGCTTGTCTGGTGGCTAGCTATGTGAGGGTATTGTGAGCATGTGTTGCATCTGCTCTGACGGCTGCACTGGGGACTTGGCTGTCAGCTTTTCGATTCTCGGAATAAAAATGCAGTTGTTTAATGGGCTGACGAAAGCCTCTCTGGCCCTTGTCACTCGTGAGCGCACATAGCACCCAAGCACAGCGCCATGTCACTAAACCAGGTCACCGCGCAAGTTGCTGATTCCACGTCACCTGGACCGCGCCCGCTCATCCCAGATTAGGGAAGTGGGGAACCAAAAAATTTCAACCGTGCGTGCTGAGCTTGAACACCCCTGCCCCCATCCCACACCCTATCCAGCCCAGCACTCGCCCCATGTGGCGTCTGCCGCCTGCTCCCTTTCTTTCGGAAATTGACTACAACAATATCGTTAAAAAAGAACCAAGGACCATTGGCCTTGGTTCTTGGGGGAGGTAGGGAGGGGGCTCTCGGATGGAGGAGCTGACGAGACCTTGGCGGCTGCACTGGAAGCAGGCGACTACTGTACCAGCAGCGATATAGTGCACAATTCACAATGTCTGGAGTGAATTTTCCAATTCATCAGCTGCGGCCAGTGACACGCCCCCTGCCACCTCGCAAGGCAGCCATTCTCTATTGAGCCACACCCATGTCCCGAGCAACATGCTTCTCATACACGGGAGACTGAGAAATAAATGCGCACCACTGACAAATGCGTCCGGCGCCGAACAGTGCAGTGTTGGGAAAAAAAGACTGGCAAGTGGGGAGGCTGGCTGCGTAATCCGTAGCCAAAGGGCAAGTTCCTGCCGATCGCCCCCTGTATAATTTTTGCCTTTACATTGACCCCAAAATGGGGAGGGGAGGGTGTGCGCAGGGGGTGGTGCATGTATCCCGGAACATGCCAATTAATGCCGCATGTAGTTCGGAAACACAGCGAATAGCAGGTGGAATTCACATTCCGAGCCAATACGCTAAGCAGTCCTTCAGCTGGGATAAGAAATGCACACACCGCCCATGCAAGCCATCAATGTGCCCTTGCTTTGCCTTATTGTCCCTCCATTGCATTTGCCGCACGCCTCCCGGGAGTGGGAAGGGCAATGTACGGATGGTGCTAATGGCTGGGCGCCTTATTCGGAATTGGTGTGAAAAACATGGCTGCAAGGGTTTGCCGAAGCAGCCTGCCTCGTTTACCTGCTACTGCCACTGCCGTGTTATATATAACGCGGGCTTTTTTGAATTAAAAGCAGTATATTGCGATCGTGGCTATCCCGGCAGCGGGAAAACAATAAGCAATCCCTGCCTCTGCCCGTACCCTCCCCCAGCTGCCCCTACTTTTGGCCCCCTCCCGTGGTCATGCCAAGCAATGCTGACTCCTCCTTTTCCGCCCCGTGTGCAGCCATTAAATGCCATCTTTTGTGTGATCCGAGGTTGTACATTAGTATAGCAATTAAAGGGAGGTCTGCCGCCGGGGGGTGAGCTTCCGAATGAGTGGATAGGTCGAAGGGACAGTCTGCATGCTCCCTCCGGAGAACCGACATGCATGTATCTGCATTGTTCTACTGGTCGGCTTCGTCGCAGATATACACATCAATGCACTGCACGCATACGGTTGGTGTATTCATCATTCCGGTTGGGGACAGACAGCGGTCTCCAGCACCATTGCAGGCCAAGCCGAGTGCGCGGATCGGCCCCAGTCCTCACTCGCCACTGGGCGCCTCTCTGGCTGGTGTGCCCAACGGGCGGCGTCTTGGGAAAATCTCCAAACATCACCAGCCGTTTATCACATCCGTGCCTTGCATCGTGAGAGCAGCACATGGGGGTTTGCTCTTGCGAATGAACAGCAAGGGATCAGCTCTGCCGCTAAAACAGCAGCGGCTAGTTCGCGCAAAAGAAAGGTGGCAATCCCGGATAGTTGCACACATAAAACAATGTCTGCAACGCGACAGCCATTGGGTCCTCGCTGTGCTGCTTTAGGGTTCCTGTAGTGCCAAAGCTCCACGCGGTAGAATGTATGATGATCTGTCAGGCAGATCGTGTTTATGTACCCCTTATTTGGTGGGAGGGAACTGGTTCAGGGATCCCGGTGTATTCCATTCGGAGGGGAGTATCCAAACAAACAAGCGAGGCAGAACTATTTACCATAAATGCAAACTACGTCTTGCCTCATGTGGCCATGTTTGTATGGCCTTTTGTGGTGCAAAGGCATACGATGATCAGCCGCGCTGCGAGCGGCCCAAGTGCGAGACAGGCAATGGCTCCTTACGGACGCCCAAATACGGCCATCCTCTGTGCCTGGATGCTGCGTGTGAAGAGCACAGGACCACATGGGACATGCGTCACATTTCTATCACTTCTGACGTAACTCGCTTGTGGATGGTGGTCCCTTGTACCCAAGAAGAAAAGCACCACCACTGCTCTCTGACGTGAAGAGATGCAGTTGGTATATTTTCAAACCTGTTTTTTTTGCTTTCATGACGAAACAAAACGGAAAAGGGGATTGCAGTTTCTGGAATTACCAACTGCGAAACTGCGAGGGACACAGGCCTTGCCTGCGGGGGAGGCAGAAATGCGCTCTCCGAGAGAGATCGCCTTTGGCTTCCCTGACCCTGAAGGCAAGAAAGAGGTGTCCCCTGGCAAAAGCACTGCCAAAAGAGACGGACGAATAGAGGAGGATTGCGCAACCACCGCAGCCGGGCTATTTATAGCAAAAGATTCAAATCATCCACACCTTTCTCAGTCAAATTAATGCAGATGAAATAGCGCCTAGGGTCCCTTCACCTCTTATCACAGAAAACAAATAATTTTGAAAGAGGGACAGCACATTCTTGCCTTGGCTGAGGGAGGTGGAGGCATGCATCATTGATGCCATGCAAAGCCGTGCATAGTAGATTACAAAGAATTATCCGCCATCTAGTAGAGACAAAAATACATGCCAATGTGACCTTGTTGTGCGCCGGCACCTGCACCTGCGGGAGACAGCACATACCAATCAGTGCAAATCTAAAAATATTGGGTCACCACATCCCATATAGCACCGACCATGTCTGTGCACAGCCAATTCCTCTGCCAAGATATCCAATGACATCTGCCTTTAGTTCTTTTCTTTCGACTATTTCAGGAGAAAAAAGGAGGCGACGATTAAAGGGTATCTGGTAAGGCTGCGATGCAGGCTGAGCTTGGCGGGGGTTGCAAGGGAGATTTGCAGCGCCAAAGAGAAAACCAGCTCAAAAGATGCGCGTGTTGTTCTTTTTGTACTATTTTTGTTGACAAGAGATGTCGCTCCTTTGCGATGTCGATATACAAGGTGCATACATGATGCATCGTCTCCCACCTCCCCTTGCCTTTCCCCTGCTTCTTGGGGATGTCAAATCTGGGTGCCGCGAACACAGAAACGCCCGATTGCCAAGGCAAGGCAATGTAGATAAGGAGTTTTTGAAGAATGGTATACTATTGGACTAAATGTACAGAACCACACAAGAGAAAGCTGTTTGTAAAGGAAGGAAATTAATGCAGCAGAGGGGAGGGTGCGGAGAAGTGGAGGGTGGGAATTGGCAATACAGATGGATTTGGCCATGATTTTTCAATAGAAAGTCATGGAACCGGCATGACTCGTCACCATCGACGAATGCTGAGGATGCGGCACCGGGCGCTGCTGCGGGTGGAATGCCTGCTGCTCTCTGGGCGGCAATCCATAGTGTACACCTGCGGATGGGACGGCCCCGTGATAGTGGTGGTGATGTCCGTTGCCGGCAGAAGCAACCCCGTACGGGTGGTGGTAATGGACATGATGCGGATATGAATTGTGGATGCTGGGGCCGCTGCGGTAAGGGTCAGCTGCAGCCATCGGATCAATAAACATGACCTTGCGTGGGCTGCCGTTGCGGCGCGACTTTGACGACAGGTGGGTGCGGTAATGCTGCATCATGTTGTCCTGGCGCGAGAAGCGGCTGGTGCATCCTGGGAACAGGCACGAGAAATTCTTCTCGCCCGTGTGGATCCGCTGGTGGCGCGCAAGGTGCCCGCTGGTTGTGAATGCTTTGCCACAGCCGTCGTATGTGCACTTGTACTTGCGCTTGGCCATGGCCTTGGGTGCGGCGGCAGCACCCCCTGCTGCTACAGACTGCTGCTCAGTCTGCGGCGTGTATGGGGCTGATGGCGGGAACTGCTTGCTGCCATGTGGGAGAGAGCTGCCGTGGTGGCTGAGCTGGCTGAGCTGGAATGGCGACTGCACTGGGGATGCAGCCTTGCTTCCCTCCTCCATGGATGTGACCAGGCCAACTGCCCGCACAAGCGAGTGCAGCGATGGAAGCATGGCCGGGACCTGCTGAGGCGTCACCGCTCCAGGCGTTGACTGGGCACGAATGGAGCTGCTCTCGGCTGCAGGCGAGCCCTCATGCGACAGTCCCGGAACCGACAGGCTACGCGGGTGATCGTAATCCGCCACCATTGAATCGTCCACAGGATCGTTGAGGAGATTCACCTGGAAGCCGCTGGCGGACTTGATCGAGAACGACGAGGTGGCTGGCTCGTGGGCCGCCAAAGATTGAGGTGGAGAAGTAGAGCTCATCGCAAATGGGTCAGGGAATTCTAAGCAAAATACAGGGCGAGTGGGATAAGTGATATGTAAGAGATATGCTTAATAAGAAAAAGGAAGGAGCGCTTCGAGGAAGTGAGCAGGGACAAAAAAGGAGACTGGGCTTTTCTTTACTACAGAGCGATATAGGGAAAAGGTTGATGTCGGGAAGCAGCCCCTGGTATTTAAGTAAAAGGGTCGCTGAGGGCGAGCGACAGGAAAGCAAAATTATAAAAATAGGCCAAAAAGACGAGCTTGAGCGTAGCGTGCGCTGCCCGATAATCAAGCATGCGCACACTCGGCAAGGGGGAGAAATTGGCGGTTTCCGGGTTCGATGGGAGGGTCCCCTGACCACCTCCTCGGCAACCTGGGAGGGGTGGGTGGCCGATCCTCCCCAGCGACACGGCAAACTTTTTCCTTCGCTGCAGGCGCAGTGGCGGGGGAGAGGTGTGGTTTGGCAGACAACAATTGCTTGTCGATTGCGCATCCGCCACTGCGTATAGTTTGAATTCCGGCCTGTGATTTTCTGTGTCCTTTAGGGCCTTGCCGAAATCACAGCGAGGAAATTCACCGGTCCCAATACTGTCACTGGGGCGCAGGGGGTGTCGCTCTGCACACCAGGCGGGCTCGCTACACGTCACGGCAGAGCCAGCTCGTTCGTAGACGCCCGCCCTGGCTATTTCTAGTGCCCTTGTGATGAGGTGTCTTGGCGCCCAGGAGAGCCCAAAGAGGGGCGAAAGAGAACTACGCTCGAGCTGGCCTTTCTCGCTCTCCAAAAAAAGGCGAGGGGATTGGCAACAAGCGAGCAGCACCTAAATTAGCGCAATCTTAGAGCGTCATTCCAGATGGGCTCAGATCTCACTGGTCGTCCAGTGCCCTCCGCGGCTCCCACTGATGCGCGGAGCTGGAGACTGTTCACTGCCCTGCACTTGGGTACTATCCACACTGGCAGTGAAGATGATATTCAAGGTGACCAGCCGCTACCGATCTGTGGAGCTGTGCAGCTTAATAGCAAAGGGTGAGTGCCGCCAGGAAATTAAAACCCCATGCCCTGCTGGTTGTTCAAAATGCTTTGGAAAAGTGCCCAGTGACGGGGGCCTCTTGCTGGCCCACCGTTGCCTCTATCGGGGCATAGCCCTTGCTCTTGCTGATTCGCGACACAAAGCCGCTTGGCTCCTATATGCGTGGATACCTGCCTAGGAGCCAATTCCTTGGTCACATACGCGCATGGGCAGTGTTTATTCTAGGCAAACACTACCGGCCGCGCATATTGCCCCCTATCCGTACCTGAAACCAGTGTAATTGCAGCGTACCACCGGGCACATAATCATCCGGGGGCCAAAGATAAATAGTCCGACCGCTCTCCCCTCGTCTAATACCGATTCCAAATGCGGAATAGGATGGGCACGGCTCTCTCCACCCTGAATGGGGAACTACACAGCGCTTATTTCCCCACTCTCTACCATTTGCCGGGTCCCAGAGTGCTCTTATTGCTGAAAGTGCTCAGTGTAATAGCGGGGGAGCCAGTGGGCATCCTCAAACAGTGGACGATTCTCGGTTCAAACAAGTTTATAGTTTGCCAATGGCCCGTACCTGCCAAATGGCAGTGCTTCATGTGAATAGAATAAAAAAGCTGGTTGCGTACACAAGCCCTATAAAGCACAGAGCAAATTACATTACGGCCAGGGCCCACCACGCCGACGGCGGCCAACAGCCAGCAGAAATAATATGCTATGGAACAGCACAGATGATTTGCTCTACCAGCATCTAGGGCCCTACTCATTGGAACATTGGAACATTGGAGCATTGGAGCCGGCTCCCTGTATTCCGTACTTTAGTGGCAACTCTAGCCGACCTACGCGGTTGCTCACTCACCGGAAAGCAGGTCTCTGGGCCTCGCGCATCACTGACACCAAGAATGATGTTGCCTCCATTGATCCAAATACGAAAGGGCTTTCCTGAGCCTGAAAGCGGGAAGGAGCGCCGTCAAGAATGCACGGCAAACGCCCTGGAAATGAAAATTGGTTACCATGCAAAAAGGCGAATCTGCAGCCTGTCAAGCCATGCAGCAAGTAAGGAGAGAAAGGTTAATGAATGTTACTAGCTCCCCAGATACGTGTCATAGACTCTTTCACAGCTAAAGGACCCTGGGAAGAGAACTGGGCTCTTTCTCTGAGAGTTGTATGCTCTATGTTTTGGTTTCCACCGTTGTGGAGACCTCTAAAGCAAGTATATCATTTTTTTTTCAAAACAATGGAGATCTGGTAAAATTGCCTACGCCACACACACAATTTATCGTCAGAACAGGGCAGACCCCGTGATAGCAAGGCTCCTATACCTGTCTCTTTGGCAGAACTGCCTCGTGTACAAGAATGAATGTGGTGGTTCATGTCCGTGTCGCCAAGACGAAAAGTAGGGAGCAGTAAGAGGTCTTGATCGACCATTAATCCTCGGAAATCCAATCACAACGAGCGGCGACCATTTTTTCGATGAAGGCTGTCAAGCCAGTCGTTGAGCAGGATGGACGGTCAGATTCCAGACATGCGTTAAACCCCTCCTCCTTCCTAGAAGTGCACCTGTTATTGTTCGACAAGCAAGCTGCAACAAAAAGGCGTTTTGGTGCTATACTGGGCGATGAGGGAAGCGTCCAAATTCTGCTGGAGCAGCCAGTCACTTGGGATGAAGCAGATGGTGTGCTTTTCTACACTAGCACTCCAAATGTCATGCAGCCAGCTAGCACAGCAAGTCATCCGCTGCCTGATAGTGGTGTTTGGCAACGAGAAACCCTACTGCTTTTTCCGTCTTTATTCCCATTCACTAAATAAAAATTTCGCAAACCTGACAAAACGAGGCAATGCTGCTATTCTTTTCTGCTACCGGGCTCTAAAGGCGTTAAAAGGGGGAGAGGATAGCATAATGGAAGACATGATTCGCTGGATGTGAGGCTTGCGCAAGTGGAACGGATAGCTGCTTCCTGTCTCTTTGTCGAAACATGTATGTACGCCATGGTATCTGCAATTGCGGTGCTGAGAGAAATAGGCGAGTACTCGTGTGGCAATCGTCGGAAGGCTCAGCACGTCCAATGCAGCGAGTACATGGTATGCAGCCAAGATGTTCTCCCTTGGCGCACCTGTCTCTGGGTGGACTTGCAAGGTGCAATGTCTACACCATATACGAGAGATGTCAAGAGACTATGCGGGTTTTGGCTCCTATCCGGAAAGGCAAGGAGCTGCCGCGAGCAATGAGCGTACAAAGGGCGGGAATCAAGCTTCCTTGTATCTACCAGCGGGTGCCGCAGCCCCTTGCTGTGCGTCGTCGTTCAGCAGGAGAGGGAGTTGAAAGTGAGAAGCAGCAGACGCCCATCAGGTAATTTTTTTGCTCCCAAAAATTTATAAGGGGCGGGGCCAATCAAGGACCTTGCCATCACTAGCTTTTTCTCTTCAAATCTCTTTCTCTCCTCCCCTTTTCTCCTTACCTATTTCCATAGCATTTACGGCTAGAGATCCATTTCCTCTCCCTTGGCAGCATCTACATCGTATTTACATATCTATTTCCCACTTTTTATTTTGCGGTTTTTGAATTCCAGAAACCACATACCTTTTCTTCTTGTTGTGTTTCTTAGCTGCTTGTCTAGAACCAGCAAATAACACGTAAATACACGGCTTCTTGTCTAGGCAATATTTCAGGAATACTTTTTTGAAATGTCCAAAAACTTGACCCTCGCTAATTCGGACGGGTCGCTGCCAGCACCTCCGTCTAGCGTAACCATATCAGGCGGTGCCGAAGTTGCTGTTGGCGGTAAGTACCATTTTTCGTGTTGTTTGAATTCAAATAGTGTATTCTTTGTTTGAGCCCATGTATACTTTAAATCATGGCATCCCAATCTTGACGCCATGCCTGCTTGGTTTGGCTCTGATGCCCCATATACGCGTGGTGCTGTTGCATCATCCTCTCCTTTCTCGTATATCTCGTTGGTAAATTGCTGTGGCTTTGTAATCTGTGTGTCTTCCTCGTGGTCTCTGACATCTTGTAATTTCCCACTCCCTTCGCCCAAGCCAAGGCACTGCCCTGGCCAAATCTCTTGGGTGCGGAATGTTGCACACATCGTTTTTTGCTCGTTTTTTGTGTTTACAAGGCAAATATTGTTGTGTTTTGTGTGAGGCCCCCTGCCCTTCATTCTCAACATCAGAATCAACCTGAAATAGTGTTTTTTTTTATAATATCCTCCCTTGCGACATTTCCTCCCATCTCGACTTATTGCATGGCACTCGTTGGCGTTCCGTCAAAGGGGTGTGTCCTGTTTTTTTATTGCTGCTATACACGGTCGACATTAATGTCTACATTTCGATTGTCCCGTGGGTCATCATCAACCAAAGACAGGCCAGTGGGCGCAGTACCATATGCCCTACGGAATCTTATGCCTGACCTCGGTGAGTGGGAAATGAGGGCGCGGAGTTCACGTGGCCATGGCTGTCATCTCGCAGCTTTTTTTTCCTAATTTGCTCATGAAAACCGGTGCTGGCCAAGACACTATATACGCATGCGCTTTTATTTGGAATTATTGATGCAAGGCATCTGGATGCTTAACTGTTTGCATGTTTTTATGTGTAGACTTTGTGTATATGACGCCCGAGTACCCCGAGGAGCCGTACTATATTGGGCGAGTCATGGAGTTTGCGTACGTTTCGCGTGTGCGGCAACCCAAGCCACTGGTGTCGACCTTAGTACAGTCAAAGTCCGTCGACGTCCTGATGCGCGACGAGCCAAAAGAGACGAGCGCATTCCTTCATCAGTGCAGCTGCGGGTTCGTCTGGGGTGGTTCCAGCGGCCACGCGACCTGCCCCTGACGCGTGTCCGGGCCAAGGACACGCGTTTGCTGGTGGCCACGATGTACTCGGATCTCAACCCAGTATCGGCGATCAAGGGCAAGTGCTTTGTGCGGCATACATCGGAGATTGCGAACCAGGATGTGTGGAAGGAGCAGCCGCACCACTACTACTACTCGCAGCTGTTTGACCGGTACAGCACGCGGCTCTACGACATCATCCCGGTGTCACAGATCCGCAATGCGCCGCAGGAGGTGTTGCAGAAGCTGCACGACACCTACCAGTTCATCTTCGCCGAGAACCAAAAGATCACAGATCTGATCAACATGCGGCGGGCGTGCATCGTGTGCGCCAAGTGGTGCAGCATCAGCGAGTCTCTCAAGTGCTCTGTCTGCGAAAAGCACTACCACATGCAGTGCCTGGATCCCACCGATAACGCGCAAGCCCAGCAAGGGGTACAGCTGGCAGTGCGCGGCATGCATGCGGCGTATCCAGGCCAGGCGGCTTAGGGAGTCAGCAGACGTTTCCACCGACGAAGCTCCATCTGACACCAACGAAAAGCGGACTACCCGGCAGCAGGCGAGTAATGACGACCACGTAATCGCGCTGCGCTCAGCCCATGCCCAAACTCAGGCTAATGCGTCAGACAATGAGTCCCGCAGTGGCAACAAGCGCATACGGCTAGCACACAATGACTCTAGGCACACAGACGGAGCCGGGAACACCGGTGCCGCGGCCCAGGAACCTTGGGCTGTGGCCGTTCCGGTACTTTGGGATAAACACAAACATCGATGATGTGTTGCATGATGATGAGCGGATCTACCCACGCGCCGTCAGCCGCATCGGGCCCAAGTACCAGGCCATCATCCCCGAGATGGTGTCGACCAAGCGGACCCGAGCTTGACCAGGCACTGACGCAGAAGCGCACGGACTACATGGCCAAGCGTGGTCTCACTGAGATGTCGTCGTTGCGCGAGAGCCTGCATGGTAGCGGCAGACATGGGGGGCACCGCGGCAAAGACATGGGCAAGGGCCATACAAAGAACGCTGAGCAGCTCGATCGTGTCTGGGACGAGATCGAGATTCGCCGGGGCAACCACGACGAGCAGCTGTTCTTCCGGCAGCCGCCGTACCTGCCCGATGACGAGCTGGACATGTACATCAAATCGATCGTGCCGTTCCTGCGGCGGCACTTTGAGCCGATAACCGACTTCACAATTCTCGACTGCCAGGATGCGGCGCTGCACGGGCTGTCAATCCACAACTATGACGTTGAGGAGGCGCTGATTCTAATCCCAGAGTCGCCCGAGAGCTACATCCGACCGCGCGCGCCTGGCGACATCTGGACAGCCGAGACACTGTCCAGGTTCGACGATAGTTTGCGCGAATACGGTTCCAACCTGCAGTCCATCCATAACGGTATGCGCGATACCACCCGGCGTGCTATCACACTACACTACTACTTGGTTCGGCACAGCTCGCGCGGCAAGCACCTGCTGGAGGCGTACGATAACCGCAGCCATGCTGGCCTCCGTCGACCCAACCTAGGCCAGGGCGAGAGTGCCGGGAATGTGCACCACGAGGTGTCGTCAGATGCCGGCGTCAGCAGCGTGGATGTGCCAGCCAGTACACCGCAGAGCTCGGGCATGGTTACCCGAGACCACTCGGTGAGCCGCGATACCGACTCATCGGCGACGCAGACGCGTTGCCTGAACTGCCATCGCGAGCGCGCTTCCCGCTGGTTCCCTGCCCCCTTTGAGCTGATCGGATACAATACGCGCAGCTCCAAGGCCTCGGGCATGCGACGTCTGGTGTGCGGCGATTGCCGGGACTACTGGAACTACTACGCAACTATGCCCGACCAGGACACCATTAATGCGCGCAAGCATATTGTCCAACACCAGACAGGCAATGGCCACAGCAACAGCAGCGCGTCACAGCACCCCCACCAGCTGTCGAGGGCTGCCAGAGCCGAGGAACGCAGCAGAGCCAAGGCCCGCGCCCAGCCAGCAGCTGTGGTAGCCAGGCCGCGCAACTCGGACCTCTGGCCACTGGTCGCCTGCGCGTTATGCACAGCGCCCACCGACTCGAGCCAGCCGGCGATGGCGTGCCAGGACTGTGGCATGTGCGTACATATGGGGTGCGCTGGATATCATGGTGCCCAGACCAAGCTAGCTGCCCGCCGCTGGCGCTGCGCTGTGTGCACCAACCTCAACAACCCGGCGATCTCGATCAACTACACGTGCATTCTGTGCCGCAAGGAGGTCGACGTCAGCGACGGCCCGAAGCCCATGATGTGGCGCACCAGCGGTAACAACTGGGTGCATTCCATCTGTGCTCTGGCTGTGCCCGAGACAACGCTCTTTATGGTCAACGGTAGCATCGTCGTCAATGCGATCCCGACGATCCCCGAGAAGGCCTGGCACAAGCCATGCGGTGTCTGCCCGCAGCCCGACGGCGCTGTGGTCAGCTGCACGCACCGAACCTGCAGTCCATTCAGCGCACCCGGTGTGTGCCCAGATCTTCATCGACGAGGAATCCGATGAGCAGAAGCCCGTGCTCGTCGCGCGTGCCCGTGGCCGGACGATACTTGCCCGCGACGTGCTCAAAGATATCTCGGAGTTTGTGGCTGGCGGCGGCAAAATCGATATTGCCTTGCAGTGCGTCACCCACGCAGATATCGGTAGCGATCGCGATATCGACCTGCGTGCCACGGATCCCTTAGGCCGGTCCGTTTTGTCAGGGGTCGTCTCGACAAAGCTTGTGTCGACGCCGCATGCCCGCGGTGCCATGCTGCATTCGTCGCTGATTAAATCGCGCAACGCAAAGATGCCGGCTGTGTCCAAATCGTCATCGGCTGCCAGCAGCCGGAGCAGCAGCAAGCGTGACGCGACGGGGAAGACAGTCAAAGTGTCTGTGGAGTGGCAGAAAAACCTGGATCCCGTGTGCGCTCACTGTGCGTCCAGCGTGTCGCCGATCTGGTGGCCGCTGACAACGGGCGGTTCAACACGCCGCTCGCACAGCAGTGTCAGCGTCCTGTGCCACCGCTGCCATTCGTCCCACGCCAGCCAACCGAACGCATCGAATGTTGCTTCTTAAAAACAGACATCTCTAATTTCTGATGAATGAGCTGTTTTTAAGTGCAGGTTCTTTTCAACTTCTCCCCGATAGTACATGCCCTTACGGAGAGAGAAGAATATGAAAGCTCGGACTGCCGTCTCTGACTTCACAAACATAATCAGCACTAGCTCACACCACAAAAAGCTTTAATACTAGAAATACTCTGCTTGCGATGCGAGCTCGGCTGCTAGTCAGCATGGGTTGACACGTCGATAAGAGCATCACGGCGAACCGGTCATTTGAACGTGTCGGATGGTTGTTGGTGCAATGGTGATCCTGGACATCTCCCATCTTGGTGGCCTGCTCAGCGCACGCGCTTCAGCGCTGGTTCGCTGCTGTTGCACGCCTCTTGCGCGGGTTCTTTGTTGCCGGAGTAGTGCCGGAAGCATCGGCAGCAATGGCCATAGAGCGACGGAGCCGTTCAGGAATACTGTCTGGAATCACAGAGTGACTGGAAAATGAGTCTGAAGTTTAGAACTGCTGCGAGATCGCGGTTCAAGAGCCGAGACGAATAGGTTCGCCTGTATTGTGCCATGGCCCGCTTACATGACTCGCTTGTACAGCGGAGAAGGCCATGGCACTTCACAGCTGGGTTCTTCGATCTCTGGTAGGGCCGCGGATTGGGAACATGCCGGAATGTCTGCAGCGACTTTTCCCAGCAGAACGGGCACATCGACGATGTCCGGAATTCGTCGATCAGATAGACGTCAAAGTCATAGTGCTTGAACTTGTCGCGCCATCCCTTGCCACGAATCGGCGCATGGTGTCGGGCTATCCGGCGCACTCCAATTGCCGATGATTAATACCAGATCCAGACCGAGCTTGTAGTACTTTATATTCCGCATGTTTAAACACATCTAATCCTGCTCCAGCCCCATCCTGCGCGCCTTGAACCTCGACATCTTCTTTGGCGCCTCTGGCACCGGTGCTGTCGGAGGCCGGTCCTGGTGGATAACCGCTGGCGGCTTTGGATCACGCTCCACCGCTGACACTGGGTCTTTCGGCTAGCTCAATCCTGCTGTACCCATCCTCGAGATCTGTGTCCTTGACTGCCTGCTTTCTGTCAGCAAATCGGATGCCTGGCGTGTTCTCCAGCACCTTCTCCGCAACGGTCGCAGCATCGTCCAACTTGCCCGCCTGACATTTTGGCGAACCGCATACGCGCATATGCCTGTGAGATCTCTCGCGAGTGCATGTCCTCGTCAACCATGTCCTCCGTCACCTCCGCCACCTCTTCGCGCTCGACAATCGCCGATTTGACGGGCCGCGAGGCCTTGGGTGGCCGCGCCTTGGCAGTATTCGGAACGAACTTGAGCTGGGGCCTTTCCTCGTCGATGACCTGGATTTTGGGCGTGGGTGTACCAGATTCGCATCCCGCTGAGGCGAATGGCATCAATAAGACCCGACACCTTCTTAACCTCTCCTTCATCGTCTTCGTCGCCGATGCCCAGGAGATCGGTGCTGGTCGGCACATGAGCCACCACTGTGCTATCGAATTTGACCGATTTGCCTTGTTGGGCCATTTTGACCACCGATGGTTTCACGTCGGGGCCAGCGGGTGTGCGCGGCTTAAGAATGCTCTTTCTGGGCGCACTTGGCTCGGTGTTAGATGGCGGGCCACTGAACCTCTCGACAATGTTCATTCTAAAGTCGTCGTTGTCGTCGCCATCACTGTCATCGCTGTCCGAGTGAACAGGGGGGCGGATCGGATCGTTAAAGTCGTCATCATCGTCGTCTTGTGCTGCGTTCATGCGATCCTCGTCAGAAAACGCATCGCCATCCTCATCGCCATCAACTTCTTCCTCAGCCTCCTCGTCCTCAGCCTCCTCCTCGTCCTCGTCGTCGTCCTCGTCTGAATCAAACTGGTCGAGTAGATCAAGCAGCCGCTGTTCATCTTTGCCCACCTTGTTGCGGTCAGCCTTGGTCTGCTTCATAGCACGCTCCCTGACACCCTGCAGCGCCTTCTGCTGCTGTTCGTCAATCTCCTCAATCTCCTCAATCAGCGTCTCCCGCAGATGCTCGTCGGTAACTTCCTCCTTAATATCAACAAAACGCTCCCCGTCTTCATTGAACTGCGCCTCCTCCAGCTCGTCCCTGACCCCCATGTTTTTGCGCTTGTTCAGCTGCCGGATCTCCTTTTCGGTCTCCTTGATCTTGGTGATGACAAATTCCTCGCGCCGCTTGGCAATCATCGCCGCTTGCATGGCCGACCGTTCGACAAAATAGTTGTCGCCCAACAAAACCAGGATCTCGTTGGTGTGCACCAACGAGCCCGGGAAAAACGCCAGCGGGCCGGCTGGAATCATGGCCGGGTAGCGTGTCTCTTGGGGCAGCTCGCGGAGCGTGCGCTGCAGCTGGTGGTATTCGGCTTTGAACTTTGTATACTGCGATAGCGCTTGCTCCCGCGATGCAATGTCCTTGTCCAGATACTGCTGGTACTTTCCAATGTCTGCAGGGTCGCTCATTTGTTCAGGGCTGGAAGTCGAAAGAGGAAATGCAAAATTGGCTTGCAAAGAGAAGGAAAACGTTTGGCTGGTGCCAGTTCCAAAACCTACGAAAAAAACCTTTCATGCTGATCGACTTTTGTGAGCCGGCTCAAAAATCTATAATCTAAAAATACAAGCGCCGCAGCTGCGTTTCGAACAAAACATCAACACCTCACTTCTCTGACATGCTTGCTTTGTTTCTTTAATGTTGAAGGAAGACGACGAATTGCTTGCCAAATGCCTAGCCAGAACCGGCTGCGAAGAGCCACACCACTGTCTGCTCCTTCCGTTTGCTGATTTCAAACGCGCAACCGGGCTTGGCGATTCCCAGGCCAAACACGCCTGGGCGCTGCTCGCCCACAAAGCCTACGATTGGCATGCACACCTTACCACAGCCAGCTCCCCACGCCTGGCAGATTCATGGATCCGTCTACTGGATCCCAACATAACGCAGTGTCTCAATGACGGCATACGGCTCGGTACAGTAACGGAAATTGTTGGCGAGAGCGCGTCAGGCAAAACCCAGCTCTGCATGCAATTGTCTATAGCTGCACAGCTACCGAGGGAGCTTGGTGGGCAGGAAGGCAAAGTCATCTACATATCGACTGAGGGTGCATTTCCAGCACATCGGTTGAAAGTAATGGCAGCAGCTTACGTCAAAGAGTATGCCGATAGAGTAGATGCAGGGCGGATTCCTGGACAGCATCAGCGTCGCCTGAGTTCGAGGATTGGGAGACCATGGGACACGCAATCCGGTACAAGGTCCCAGCACTTCTTAGCTACGGCCAGGTGCGTCTGGTAATTGTAGACTCGATTGCAGCCCACCTGCGCTTTCGATACCGAGCAGGACTCTAGTAGTCGCACAGCTGGCGAGTTCTACAAGCAAAGATCTGGATTTCCTGATTGAAGCCGGCCAGATGTTCAGAAGCTGGGCATCCGAGTACAACTGTGCCGTGGTGTGTGTAAACCAAGTCAAGGATGTGTTCGAATCAGCCGCAGTCGCAGCCAAGATTGCTGTCGGATGTCTCTGACATGTCAGTTGTCCCACAGACAGCCAAGGAACTGTGCTATAAGGATTTTCGCCGCACTGGGCATGAACAGCAAGGCGCCTGCGTTAGGAAATCCTCTGGGCAAACGCCATTGATGCACGGATCACCCTGTTATTACAGGCGTGGGCTGTCGCAGGCAGAGGCAAGGGCCACAGGGCAGGAAGGCAAGCTGGTGGAGGTGCCGAATGAGTTGCTGAGAACCAGAAGGTGGCTCGAGCTCTCGTTTGCGCCGTGGTGTAGCCGCCGGACTTGTGAGATCGCACTCGATGACCGTGGGTTCTACTCGTTTGGTATTAACAGCCACGAGATTGACGAGGTGGGCGGTGTGTTTTAAAAGGGTTTAACATCTAGTGTGTATTTGTACATGTGATGTTCACACTGCAATGTCCTGCCAGTCAGTAATCTGGCTCCGGTCCCATGGACATGTGCAGACGGTTTTGTGGGCTAAACTGCTTGGCCTCGACGACGACTGCTGCATCGACTTTAGATGGGCAAAGCAATCTGTGCAGAGCCGGTGTGCACACGGCTGCAGCTCTATCGCCTCGTTGCTCGAGTAGCACAGTGTACAGACACCCGGCAGAGTATCTGTGCCCGGATCCTCATCGACAGTATTATCGGGGGCAACTCCTGGAACCACGGTCTGCGCAACTGCCGCCAATTTCAGTGCAAGTTCCCGGACCAGCCAGTCCGGCATGTGCCTTGAACTGTGTGTCACCGGAGTGCCATGCTGATGTTCTGCTCGCCGAGTTCCGGGCCGCTGATCTGTTGCGACAGAGCCAGCAGATCACCTATGATCTGAGCCTCAGCATCCATGCCTCCAGACACCCGGTGCTCCGGCCCAACCAGGGCCTGCTTGCTGCTACTTCTTTGCTGCGCCTGCGTCTTCTCCAACGCCTTGTTCATTTGTTTCACCAGCTCTTCTGCAGGCCTGCTCTCCCACCCCTCGCTCCCCTGGAAAGCAATCCCCAGATCATCGTCCACAGTCATCAAGACGAGCTCTTGCCCGTCAACCGTTTTCCTCCTCAGCCCTGTCACTCGCTGCCAAGGGAACAACAGCACAGCCTTCTCGCTGTTCGATGCAATCCCACCGCCATTGCTCTGTGCGACCGTCGCAATCTTTCCCAGTGTTGACCCAGCCCACAAAATTCCCTCATCTGAGTATGCCAGCCGGCCGTGCCCGAGCGTATAGAACTGGCACAGCAGTGTCACCGATCCCGGGACCACAGTCACTGACGAACCAAGAGCATCTGGGGATGAATTGGAGAACCCCAGCAGTCGCTCGCGAATCTCTCTCAGAATCTGCTGCTGCGTAATTGCCTGCTCCTCGCCCAGCTTGCGCTTTGCCAGATCGATATCGGCATCTGTTACTAACGCCTCTTCGACGCTGCCCAGGAGACCGCCAGGACTGCTGTCTTGTGGCCTTCTTGGCACGGGGCTGCCAAACTCAAGAGTATGCAAACCTCCCCGCCCAGCAGTTGGCGTGGGCCATGGGCTATGGACAGCTGTTCGCGAAGAACCTGCCGGAGTCTTTTGTGGAGCAGCTGATCGTGCGAGCAGGGGGTCTGCTGTGTCGTCTCGGCCCCACAGCGACTGCATGGTCTGAAAGCTCTTTGGCGTCCCGTCTTCTAGCCGACCGCCAAATAGCTGGAAGGCTGTTGGCGTCACTGGCGTCCCTTTGCCTTTGTCAGTGCGCTTGGAGCTGTTCTCAATGGTCGGCGTTGGTACGCCTGCCAAAGGCTTTCTGGCCGGTGTCACCTGGGTCGACCTGCGTGGGGTGTATGGGCTGGCAACGCGCGACTGCGGAGTCCTTGGTGGGATCCGTGAGGGGGTTGTGGTTTTCGGCTGCTTACGCTGAGATGGCGATAGAAGCGGAGTGGTGCTAGTTGGCCCTGTGCGGCTGTGGGATGCGGGTGTCTGTTCTGGCTCGACTGGCGCCTGCTGCTCAGTCGGTGCTCTTTGTGATAGACCCTTGTGCTCAGCAGCTAGCTTTTGCGCAGCACAGGCTCCAGCTGTTGGTGGCAATTTTGGTGTCTGTGCGCTGGATAGCCCGAACTGTCGCCGTAGCTGGCGAATATCGCTGAAAAAGCCGTCGCTGTCCGAATCCGATGAGTCCATTCGACAGCAGGAGGAAATTGCGGGTTGTGTGCAGGGTGCCAGAGAACAAAGAGAGGCGGCCTTGGGCTTTCCCTCGGCAGAAGGGAGTCTTCATTGATCCACTGAGCCGTGCGATCCGAACCGGCAGCACAATAATTTTCCTGCTCCACTGTTTGTGCCAGGTGTTGCTAGGTTCGCGAGAAAATGTTTATCGCTACCAGCCTCTTTTCTCTTTTCCAAGACGTCACAAACTTTTTGCGCCTATAGTTGGGTATTCATTTTTCACCATTTGTATAGTATCACCTTGCTAGTATGGCGAGGAAGAACAAGAGCGGAAAGAAAAACAAGAGCAAGAACTCGAGCCCGGCCACTCCTGCCGCCTCGGTCAGTCGCAACAGCCCTGAGCCCGCTGCGAAGCCGGCAGCTGTGGCTTCAATTGATCCAGTGCAGCATGTGGCACCCGCCAGCGCTGTGCCTGAGCATGGTAAGTGTAGCGCGGTATATCTGGCATTACGATGAGATAGCCAGAGTGCCTTTTTTGTGCCGATCTCCTTCTGAAAAGCGCGAGTCTAAAAAGTATTTCATGTGCCATCTGTACGACCAGGACGCTTATCACCTATAGTGTCTGAGGAGCAAGCCAAGACCGAAGAGGCTCCGGCTGCCGAAGAGACACAGCCCGAGGAGACTAAGCCCGAGGCAGACACAGCCCGAGCAGACCCAGGCTGAAGAGGTCCGGCTTGAGGAGACACTGGCTGTCGAGGAGGCTCAGCCTGAAGAAGCCCCAGTGGAGAAGGCTCAGCCCGAGGAGACACAGATTGAAGAAGTCCAGCCCGAGGAGACCCAGGTCGAAGAAGTCCAGCCCGAGGAGACCCAGGTCGAAGAAGTCCAGCCCGAGGAGACCCAGGTCGAAGAAGTTCAGCTTGAGGAGACCCAGGCTGAGGAAACCCAAGCCGAGGAGAACCAGGCTGAAGACGACGGAAAATACAAAATTGATCTGTCGGCCGACGTAGTATCCGGGAATGGCATCGAGGACCCGACGCTGTCGCAGACTGACGACTTTGCACACCTTGTGATTGCAGGCGAGGCAGGCGAGGATGTTGCTCCACAGACAGCACAGCCAGCTTTGACTAGGATTGCTGAGCTCGCATCCGGTGAGCCTACAACCCGGGCATCAGCGCCACCGGCCGTGCACAGCATTGTTGACCTGGCAGAAGAGACCGAGAAGGAAGCTGAGCCAGCCCATGAAACTGACGAGCTGCTGGTGGCGGACAGTGTGGGCGAGCTGGCGGAGGGCGTTCCATCCGCTGGCCAGTCGGATGAGATCGCTACGCAGGAGGAGAGCGCCAGTGCTGCTGCTGCTGTTGTTGGTAACGAGGAGGACCGGGATGCTGAAGTTATTACCTCGGATGCTGACAACGACGAGGGCGCTGATGTGGAAGAGGAGGCGCCTGTTGTTTCGGAGTCTCAGATTGAGGGGTCGGCGATTCTGATCTCCGACGGCGAGACCGATAATGAGAGCGACGCCACTGCCCATGGTCGCAGTCTCGGACCGTCTGTCAACATGGAGGATTCGCAGGCTGAGCTTCTGTCGAGCAACCTGCTGGATAGCATGTATCGGTCTTCTATCCTGCGCAGCGTGCAAGATGAGGTTCACGCGCTTGAGTCTGAGGGACCCGACAATCTGCCTGCTGTCAGCGAGGCTGAGGAGACTGGCGAGGCTGAGGAGGCTGGCAAGGCTGAATCTGAGCAGGAGACGCCAGCTGCTGCAGAGGAGGCAAGGAAGTATGTGCTTACTCCCAGCGCATTTGCTGACGAGCCAGAGCCCGACGTTATAATGCATCTGCGACCGGCATCGGTTGCTCAGCAGTCTGGATCGCCTGATACTCCAGAGCCCACGCCTGTGGCGACTGAGGAGGAGGCTGCCAACGAGGCCGATAACGAGGCAGAGCGCGAAGCAATTGCTGAGACCTCGAGCGAGGGCGAACTTGTCGAGCAGCACGAGTTGGAGTCAGTCGATGGCACTGTGCATGTTGCCCGCTCAGAGGCCGACTCGTTCGTGCATGTTGATGACGGTGAGGAGGCTGACGGCGTTGCTACTGTGCCTGAGTCGGTTGTTGAGGAGATCAGCGACATCGAGTCTGCAGCCATCGAGGAAAAGCAAGGTAAGAATATGCAAAGATGTGGGTGTGTGCCGGGATGGCCTGAGTGCATTCAGCGGCACATCGACTCTGGATTTTATCTGGTTTGCTAACACATGCGTCATTCTGCATTTAATTTCCCTGCTAGCTGACATCGCCAAGCCTAGCGCAGACATTCCTGACAAGGCTGACCGCCGAGACCAGTGAGGCCATTGCCAAGGTCGACATCGACGAGACCGCGAACAAGATCGCCGAGGAGGTCAATGATGCCACTGCCGAGCACGGAACTGACGACGTCGCCGAAAAGGGCTATTGAGAGTACACAGGAGACTACTCCCGATGTCTCATCCAACAGTGCTGCTGACAGAGCCACTCGCGAGATCTCTGAGGCTGTTGATGCTGCCGCCGGCAGCGACAATGCTGACAACAAGAAGGAAAAGATGGAAAAGAAGAAGCGCACGGTTTCCAAGGGCCACTCAGCATGCCCTGTCAACATATCCACTTTTGCTGGCGCTATTGCAGTGGTCCTTGCGGCCGTGTCACGGCACTATTTCCGGCTGCCTGGTCCGCAGAACCGGCAGGTTGCCATTGCCGGCGGCGTTGCGTCAGCTATTGCTGGCCTTGGAGCCCTAGCGTCAGCCTTCTTCCAGCGCAAGTAGACTATTTTTTGTTGCTTTGTTGTGATGTCAGGTAGTTTATACACAATCTCTGGAGATTCAGAGCTATTTTTAGAGCTTTCAGAAGGGATACTGAGCGTGGAGGTTTTAATTGAGAGCCACGCAACACTCTAGAGCCAGCTGGAGAAAGAGAGTCGCTCCGAACTAAACACCACATCGAATTCCAGAAATGGCAGGGAGCACAGTCTGCAAGCGGCGTGGAGAGAACGGTAGCCTGAGGGCGCATGACACGTATGTGGCTCAGTGGAAGTCGATGACGATGAACACTCGTTGCTAGGCGGATTTCTAGGGAGAACGCGGACATGATGCGACGCTAGCCCAGAGTATTTAAGCCAGGCAATAATTGCAGGTACACGCCGGCTCCCTGATTCCCACAGCTACTCTTCATCTTCTCCCCTACAGCACTCTGCTTTATTCCCGTCGAATCCCACTTTGCAGGACCCCTCCCATCCACTAGCAATGCCTCCTCCCAACAGCGCCGACATCAACGAGTCCAAGTACGACGAGTACCGCAACATGCTTGCCGGCAGACCCTACCTTGGGCATGGACCCGTTCCTGAGCCAGCTTCGCAAAGAGGCACGACACAACGTCAAGGCCCTGGCCGAGACACGCGACAACCCCGAGGCCTTTGACAAGGCTGTGCGCAACGTGCTAGGGCTCTGCTGGCTCCGGCACACCCATCATCGAGAGCCCCGTCTACTTTGACTACGGCAAGAACACGCACGTCGGTGACAACTTCTACATGAACACTATGTGCACCATCCTGGACTGTGCCCGCGTCGACATTGGCGATGAACGTCTTGTTTGGCCCGAACGTGCAGGTCTATACTGCCGAACACCCGGTCGACCCGGCCGTGCGCATCCAGGGCCCTGAGAGCGCTCGTCCGATCAAGATTGGCAACAACGTGTGGGTCGGCGGCGGCTCGATCATCCTGCCTGGCGTCACCATTGGCAGCGGATCCACTATTGGCGCCGGTGCAGTCGTCACCAAGGATGTGCCCGAGAATGTCGTGGTTGTTGGGAACCCGGCGCGTATTGTCAAGCGCCTCTAATGCGAATCGGACAGTGCCGCAGTCGTTCACGTGGGAGCGCTCGAGAGTTCCCTGTACTAATCAATAAATCCGGATTATTTTTATCGCTGATGTGGGCTGTTTTTTTATCGCCTCTCTTGGGACAGCCAATTTGCCCAGGGCAAAAGCGCACCAGACGACGCTGTCATTGTCGCATTTCGTTTTGCTCTTCTATTTGAGACCCTCCTTTTTCTTTCTCTTTCAATTCGGAAAAACGTAAATCCTTATATACTTCAAAATGTTTGGTGTCCGCGCTGTCCTTAAGAACGCTGCCGTTGCCCGTGTCGCCGTGTCGCGCGCTGCCCCCTCGGCTCGTAAGTATCAAGCTCATGCTAGCTGCACGTGCGCCTTTGGAGGTGAATCATAAAAGCGAGTCCTGGTTGGAGGACTAGCGGTGACTCGCAATTGGGGGTTTGGGACCGGCAATGTCAGCACCGTTGCTCTGATCATTGGCAGCAATTGCTCAAAAGCGCAGATTCGGTGTTTCTCGTGAGGTTTGGAATTTCGCGCCCCGATACCAGCTTATTGAAAGGTGCAGAGTGGTGGCCGAGGCCGGGGGAGAACGATCGAAGCTGAGAAAGGGCTAGCCCTCGCTGCGGGCCGTAGTGTTCTGGACCCGCGAGATGGGTGATAAGATCTGCAGTTGGCCTCTTATCTCGCCCTCTGTTCCGTCAGTCCGTCGCCCAAGCGTTACCGTCCCCCACCACCACTGCTGCCACATACCCTTGCATCCTGGAGAGATGGTTGCCCTTGGGACTGCGCTGGCCGCATCACCCCAATGAGCGGTCCCTTATCTACCGGCCATACGAAAATTTGCTCACAACTCTGTTTGTTGCTTATTTTTCCAACCCCGCAAAATCATTTTCTCGCATTTTCCATGTAGTGATTGCCCGCCGCTGCTACTCGGATCACCCCGAGGAGACCTACGAGCAGTTCACCGACCGCTACGTCAAGTTCTTCGAGAACGTCGACGACCAGTTTGAGCTCCAGCGCGGTCTGAACAACTGCTTCGCGTACGATCTCGTCCCGATGTCGCCATTGTCGAGTCCGCCCTGCGTGCTGCCCGCCGCATTGACGATTTCGCCACTGGTGTCCGTGTGTTTGAGGCCCTGAAGACCAAGGTCGACAAGAAGTCGCAGTACGAGGACTACCTGCAGGCCCTGAAGCCCGTCAAGGACGAGCTCGGCATCCAGACCAAGGAGGAGCTTGGCCTGTAAATTTTTCCGTCCGTTTCACCCTCTCCCACCTGTTGAGCCTTTTTGCGAGGCCGACACAGACAAACAGAGCTCTGATAACCCAGTCCTCTGGCCGGAAAGTCGTTTTGTTTTTCGAAATTAACCACCCCTTTTATACACAACAACGTCAGTTTTCTTTAAACCACAAACAAAACCTCACTCCTCGTGCATGTCCTTGGTCATGTCTGACAGTACTTTGAGGCAGGCACGGATGCGCGCAACCAGGCTGTGCACCATTCCCATGTTGGCGCACATGTCGCATACGATCGTGCCGTAATACAAGCCGACGCGGAACTGCACCAGCTGCATTTCGCTGTATATCAGCGTCAGGACCTGGCTGGCGCCAATGTGCAGCTTGTTGATGTCGTCAAAGGCGTCGTAGCACTTTTCAATGAGCGAGTCTTCAAAATATGGCTCATGGAACACAGGCGTGGCGGCCCGGAATACGTTTTCACGGTCAGCGTCGGTGATGCGCACCAGCATCAGACCGTCGATGTGGTCGATTGCGTCCTCCAGCAGCTTCTCGAACTGGTTCTCTGTCGGGTCGTCTTCGCCGTTGGTGTAAGCAGGCTGCTGCTGCTGGTGGTGCTGCTCCTGCGGTTCGGCTTGCATTGTGTAAAATCTACAGTCTATAGGCGTACGAGTGAGTCGAAAAGTTTAAGCTGAAACCCACGGCGGGTCACGATCTAGCAGAATATATTCCAGTGGCCACGCGCATTACGGTTTTGGGCGAGTGATGTGTGCGATGGCGACCCTTCTAATATCGACGCTTGGCACCCCTCAACACACAACCTCACTTCCAGAAGCTGGATAAAGCTATATTTGTAATTCCAATCGGACAAACGCAATTCGAGGTATCTATTTGGGCATGGGGGACACTGACTACTTCCGAGTGTTGCCCTCCGCCTGCTGGCCATCATCGCCGCTGACCATGAGCAGCAGCATGATCGGGACAATGTAGTACCAGTACTTTGCAAAGAACCCCTTCTCCTCCTCTGGCTTCTGCTCCTTGCCCGTCGTGGTATCAATCGTGGCCGCAAAAGCCAGCTTCGGCACCGCACCGGTCTCACGCGTCTTTAGCATGATCTTGGTGACAAACTTGGGGTCGCTCTCCATACCCCTTTCTTCCTTGCAGTTGTCTCTGGATCCTGCCGAGTAGTCGATATGGAACGGCACGCTCTGATCGTCCTCGTGCACAATAAACACCTTCCTCGATCTCCTTCTGTGCGCTGAGCCGGCACCGGTCCACAGGCAAAACATGCTGGGCGCCGGTGTTGGGAGAACGCAGGACAAGTGCATACTGCTTCGACGGGCCGCTCAGTGGAACATCGGCAGCAGGCAGGACAGGCGGGTGCTGGATGCCAATCGCCTGGTATGCTGCCGTGCCGTCGTCAAGTACCCGTAGTTCACCGCGCTGCACAAACTCGTTGGGATTCAGGTTGTGGTACACCTCAAAGGTCTCTGATGCAGGCAACGAGCGCGAGCGCATTGAGGACAAACAGCACAAGTGTCTGGGCGCTACGCATTTCCGTATGCTTTATAGATGGATTTTAAAGAAATTAAAAAGGGGAGGCAAGATGCGAATTTTGGAATGACGAAAAAGGTGTCCACGAGGGGTTTAGAAAAGCACTAGCGGCAAAGGTTGATTGGCCTAGATCTTCTCCACTAGCTCGACTGGAACCTTGGCATTAGCGATTCCTCCACACGGCGTCTACCTCCACATACCAGGAACACAAAGACGGGCAGGCACACAGGTGCTATCAGGCAATGCCTTGGCCCGGTACCTAGCATATTGGCAGATGATGCTTGGTTTCCACTTAATCGAAATACATAACCCCCACCATAAGCAGGCCTGACAGCGATTACCAACGCCAGCATGTGAGGTGCTTTAGTACACCTGCTTGCTGTTGGTCCGTTGAAGGATATCCGACGCTACCAGCTCTCTGAACCACACCGGTGTCATATCGAATCAACGGCAACTACCAGCAGGCTTGCTTTGGGGAGAGATGGTCCGCACGATCGCCTCCGCGGATATTGCCAGCAGTCCCAGACGCACATATTGAGCCCAGGCAATTAGCAAGCAAGAGTTTCTCCTCTCCTCTTTTCAATTCGTCCGCTAATTGCCAGTACTCCATACTTTCGTTTCCACACTATGAATTCGACGTGGGTGAATCTGCGGCTATTCCATAGACCAGCAGTGGGGTTCCCGGCCCAGCTCCATCGCAGCTTCCACACAACACAGCCATCGCGCATCGTGCACCGAAAGAGCCACTACACAGTCTTGGGAGTGCCAACCTCGGCAACGCAGAAGGAGATAAAGAGCGCATTTTACAAGCAAAGCATGCAGTGGCACCCTGATCGCAACCAAGGCTCGGACGAAGCACACAAGAAGTTCCTAAAGATCAACGAGGCATACTCAGTGCTGGGTACCGAGCAAAGCCGCACCGCCTACGACCGCTCAATGCGCATCAACAGCGGCCCGCACACCTCTGCGCCATATCGCTACCACAATTCTGGATTCTCAGCTAGTGGTGAGTATTCGTCGGCCAAGCGCAGCGAGTTCAGATCAGCGTACCAGCGACCAACGGGTACATACACGAGTGCTGGATATCGCACAAAGTCGAATTTCGCAGAGTGGGAGCGCAAACACTACGAGGAGACACAGAAATCCGCTGACCATATTAGGAGGACGGCAACCAACCCCAAAAGAAAATGGAAGTACAGCAACGCGCAGGTCGTTATTATCCAGTTCTGGGAGATGTGCTTAACTTTTGCTGCGGTGTTTGGCATTGGATGGGCAGGCTCGCACTTGCTCCCCAGCGCACAGAAGAACAAGAGCAGTACCAATAGGCACTCTGACAGAGAGGGATGAATGCTTGAGCAGCATGGTTGCGAGCAGAGATGGGGTTTGCTGAATAAACTTGTTGGGCGAAGAAGCTATCAAAGACTAGGAAAGGAATTCTAGTAGCGAAACGTGATAGTGGACTACGTTCAGGGAAGCCCATCCCTCGGACTTGTATGAATGATCATCCGGGAGCACTGCCATTCGTTTGGATGGTCTTTCTGTGTCCTCTATCAAACGCGCTTGATCTTTGTCTACAATATGATCCATAGAAATTCTGTATGGAAAGAACGCATATCCAGTGATGGCTTTAGTCCACTGTTACGCAGCTGGCGATGACTGCCATGATGACGCATGGAAGTTATCAGGTCGACCGACAATGAGAGCAGCTCTCCGCTGACCAATGGAGATATCCAGCGGAGACCTATGCCATTACAATCACAGCTTTCCGCCCGGTTCACTGATGAGGTCTGACGCGCACAGCAGCGAGATCTTCAAAAGGCTAGTGCGTGCATTTAGTAGTTTTCCTTTCTTCCTTTTTCTTTAGTTTGAAATACAACTTATCCTATTAGCACAACACGCTACGCATCTCCTAAATACTATAGATAGTGAAGGCCATTCATCTCACATGTCCTCTATCTAGATGATTCCCACAATTGTCTGGTGATGTGGACATGCTCTTTGCTAACTCGAGTAATGTCTCTGCCATGTCTCCACCATGAGGTACCTACACTTGGAGTACAATAGTGTCCTTACAAGTACAGCTCCTGCTCATATCACGCTGCTCGATATAGTCAATGTCATTTGTTAGCTTGGGAATGAGTGGTTATAGAATATATAGAAAAAATAACTTCTCAATTGACTGAGGGGAAGAAGGAAGACTGGTCGTCTGTCTGGGCCATTGTACGTATGCGTTTCGGCTTGTTTATGGTGGCGCAGGGGACTCCGGACCCGAATCTCAACATCATTCGTTGAAAAATGGGAACCCTTTGAGTTCTATACAGAGTCATCTATTCTTTTGGTTCTCAACTCTCACCTATGTACCTACAAACTCAAGTGGAAAATGTCGCATGTATTTGGTAATAAATATACGAAATTTATTCATGCAGACAGCTGGCTCTTGTTGACAATATCGCGAACATACTCCTCAAGAGGCGCAAAGTCGAGAGAAGGGAACTTGTCGTTATCCAGCGTGTTACCACCTAAATCAAGCCGACCGAGATCCTTGGCAACGATCAGACGGAGCTGGTCGCCAAGGCTGTGCCAACCGCCAGTCACCTTAATGTCAGCCGCAACTTTGGCCTCAATGTCCTCGATTGAGCTGTAGGTAACAGTGAGCTTCTTGCCTGCGGCTGCCTCGATCTGATTAACCCAGTCGTTGAATGACAGATGGTACCCAGCAATGCGCACTGTTTTGTCGGCAAATTCATCGGCACGCTTCAGAATAGCAACGGTGAACTTTGCGATGTCAGCACGCGAAGTAAAGGCCGACTTCTGGGAGCCGTCCCCAGGGATTTCAACGGAAAAGTTCTCGAGATCCCAGCAATAGTACGAATTGACGAAGAAGTCGGAGAATAGCCCTGTAATGATGTAAATGTGTTTGAGACCAGACTCTTCAATCGTCTGGCGCACAGCCTCCTTTGGCTTGAAGATGATGTCAGACTCGCCCGCTGCAACGCCAAAGTCAGAGCCAAACTCGGACGGAATAAAGTACTTGACGCCGGCCTTGGCTGCTGCTTTGACCAGTGCAAGCTGCTGTTTGCCGATGCTCCCAAGCCCTAGAATCGACAGTACGGCATCCTGGCCAGTGAGCGCCGTAGCAAGGTCAGCCTCATCGTCATAATCGACGCCACGGATAGTAAAATGAGGGGTGTCAGCAAACTTGGCCTTGGTAGAATCCTCACTCTCCTTGCGGGTGATAAGTGTTACGTTGAAGTCCTGGCCGTTCTTCTTGAACTCGTCAATGAAAAATGCACCTGTGGTGCCGGTGCCGCCAACTAGGGCAACGCTCTTGATGGGTGAAGACATGCTTAGAAGTATTGTTGTCACAGAATGCTGAGAGTAGATACAGATGCTCGTCTGGTTGGGACAAGGGGGACTGCACAGTTTTTATACGTCCTTCCTAGATAGAAATCAGCTTGATACATTTGTAAGCAGATCTAGATGAGAACCTGTTTCTTTCATGTGCTTGATGTTGCCTTCTCGCTGATTCTATGTGTTTCTCCGCGCCAGAAAACTGTGAGTGGAGTGTTTAGGGAACTAAGCACGTTCGGTCGCTGGTGGACGATGTGAGGACGAAATGGCGTTCTGTCAAAGCCCCTTGCTTAAGAAGTTGACATCACAAAGTCGATTTCCTTTTTTAGGAATCAGGGGGTTCACATGTGCATCTCCCTGATTGCCTTGATCTTTGGACACGTATCACTTTAAGCACTGATCGGATCATCTAGTAAGCAGCTACATCATGGGACAAAAGCGCTGCGCGGCTGAGGGGACTCTAAATCAGCGTATGCAGAGGACGCTTGCGGGTGCCTTTTCCAGCGACTTCTCTGGATTTCTCTTCTTTTTTGACCCGGGTCTGGTACGAGAAACAAAGAATACTTTTGGTGATGCTCCTGCAGCCATTGTAAGTGGGGTTGGCGAAGATCCATGCAAACCATGCTGGAGCAATGTACATGATATTATGCTCTGCGCCATCTATGTGGTTGTTGCCAATCTGGCACTTATCCTCGAGACTCTAGAATGCTATCAGCGTGCCGGTAGTGGCTACCTCCACGCTTGACAAACAAGGAAGCTTGCATTGTTTTATTCGCCGTGGATGGCACTGTGCTGTGTTGCTGGCTCTGCTGATATTCATTATTACAAACCTCGGTTTTCGGCAAGAGAAAAGAGAGTGCATTGTGCCAGCACGCCTATGTCAATTCACAGCGTCTTTTTGCCCGGAGCACACAACCATCATCCTGCATCTGATGCGGATGTGCAACAATCATTCAATATGCGCGGTGCAGGTCGGAGGGGGAGAGCAAGATGACAAGAATGGAAATGTTTGAACAGATTGCTGCTGCCAGCTGTGGTGGAAAAAGGGAGGGAAGAGCAGACGAGATGCAACCCTGTTTGGTGTATGTACACACACTCCTAACCAAAAAATATTAGCTTCGGGACATCTGACCAGCACCATGCATATGCAAATCCCTTCCAACTTGCCAGCCCTTTCTCCCCTCTTTGACTGTGAGCATTCTTGGCAAAGAGGCACATCACTTTCCTTGGCTGGGTGATGCCTTTACGTATCCGAGTAAGGACATCATTATATTTCGGCGCATCACCAAGGCTCACACACGCTGAAAAAGCCGCTAAGGTCTAAATAAAGGACATCCGACTATGGCAGCAACTTGCTTGCCCCAGCACCGTGCCAAGCCAGTACATTCTCAAACGCATGCGGCCTGTGCTGCTTCCTTTCGCCTCTCTTACACGTGACTGATACCAGGTGATTCCCGCTATTTGGGACAGTGAACAGCCGCAGTTTGTAAGGAAAACGATATTTCTGCAGTGCATTAATTGCGGTTGCCGCTTGCATTTGTTGGGCAAGAGACACCAAAGGCTTTCACTCCATGTCACGCCCCCAGAAATCAATGTATCCGTTTTCAGAAGACACTAGGCAGACGATGTGACGCATTGTATATGAGTTTTCACCCGGCGTGTGGTGAGGAACAAGCCTGCCTACCAAGCAGGCAAGATTGTCCAATGATTTAAGAACAACCCCCGTGCAGCGGATGATGGAACCTCCACACACACCACTATTCTTTTGTTTCTGGACAGATCTCTCCCCTAGCCATTTTTATTAATGTCTACTTTACTCAGCCCTCCCAGCACACAGCAGGTAGCAGAGTACTTGGCGGCATTCTGTACAAAGCACATACATGCTACCTCGACGCTGCGAGACTACTACAACGTCGCAAAGTTCATAAGGGAGCACCGACACCTGGGACCGCTGATACCCAAGCTGGCATATGCCGTCCTTATCGTTGAGTGTTGTGTCGAGTGCTCATGTGCCACTGAAGGATGTCGGCTAAGACACATGAGAATGTGGTCGTCCAACTACGACTTTTTGGTGGCCGAGGGCATGTTGCACTTGGTAACAGAGTTCAGAGTGGTCATGAACAACAGCTGCCCGAAGGATCTCCACCTGATCCGGGCCATGCGCCACTACAAGTTACACAAAACGATGCTGCCGACCGTCGAGTCTGTCACCTTCCTCGGGGACGGACTATTTGCTGCCGGAAAGGCCCAGGCTACACTCCAGGCCGCTCATGAGGCCAAGTATACAGCCGACGACATCATCGCTCTGTGCCCAAACATCACAAGCATGTATTTCTATACCTCAGGCGGCTGGGGATCGTCGGCAAGACTTCGTCTGATGCCGGCTGCGGTCGGCACAATGACGTGCATGCATCTATTCCGGCAGGCAATTTGCAACATGGCCACTTCTCACGCATTGACGCCACCGCCAGAGAGTCCTGGCCTTCGCTTTTCGGAGGATCTGACATCCCTGACCATCAACACCAGCCTTCTGTCGCCAAGCCAAATGCTCCCGCCGACCGTTGTTGAGAGTCTGCGCCGGCTCAAGATTACCCATGTGTGCAGGGCTGTAGACTGGGGCAGACTCAGTGGAGCCAGCAACAACCTTGTGCTCCCACAGCTAGAGCGGCTCGAAATTGAATTTGTTGACCCAGGGACTGGATGGCTGGTCGTGCCTGTCAGATACAATACCAGTGTCGAGTTTCCTCGCCTGCAGTCTCTGGAGGTGGCAGGAGCAAAGCATGCAGATAGGAGTATCTACACGTACTTTACAAAGTACACGATCCCGCTACTCATCCTTTCTGCTGACCCACGTGACTTTAAGGATATCGACTTGCGCCTGCTCCAGTGCGCAAACGGGCTGCAGGTCAAATACTGCGACAGCCGCGAACACCCAAACACCATCTATTCAGTCAAGGACATGGAAGTGCTGTACAGATTCAGGACGGGCCTCAGGATGGCCAGCCTCAGCGGAATCGACTACCCGCTACCCGAGGTTCTCCTGTGGGAAAACCTGTGCTGGCTCTACCTGACTGCCAGCATAGCTGACGTGGAAAGCATAACCAGGCTGCTGATGCAGCTGAAAGGGCTGGAGACACTGGCTATCCGCTGCCTTTCAATGTATCCTAACGACTTGCTCTCAGATTCCTCGGCTGCGCATTTTGCTGACCAGGCTGGCAGGTTTGAAAGCATTTTCAAGACTGCCAAGCCGTATCTTGATGCTCCTATCCACAATATGCTGCAGCGACTGGACATCTATGTTCGTCAAAAGTTTGATCTCATTGGCGTTGCATGTCTGTTGCGCCGCCTTCCAGCGCTAAAGTATCTGGGTGTGAATCCTGAGGTTGCCACCAGCGTGGCACAGTTTCTAGTGCCCCAAACTGCAACATCCAGCGTTCTGGTAGGTGAGTTTTCTACGAACGAGTTGCCAGAGTATACTAGTACGCTGCAAACATCCCCTAACCTGTAGTTTTCTGTAAATTTTGTATTTGTATTTAATTATTTATGTATCTACTAGTAACATGCCAACAATTGCGTACAAAGATGCTTAGCAGAGCCAATTTGAAGGCAGCAATATATAGGGAACGGTGGAGAGAGCGGTGAAAGACGCGGAAAGCTTGTCTTACAGTTGTATAGACCACTCCAGTTACCCTCCGGCAGTGCTAGAGCAAATGATTCTTCAGGAATGACAGCGTACCGTGCACGTCGTTTTAATCTCCATATTCACTGCTCTCTTCAGCCTTTGTAGATAACACACTAGTTGTTTCTTCGAGCATTTTTAGTATGCCACTTGTTGAATTTTACTCTCTGTTCTCTCAGTGCTTTACCACCGAAGTGCTAGAACATTGTGAGTAGCGAATAGCCGGTGGTAGGATTAGGCTAGCTCTTTATGCCATGTTTTTTCTAGACTTTGTCTTCTCTTTACTGGGCTGTGCTACTTGTGGCTGATCATTTCCGGACACTTGTGCATTTTGCCGTCTTTATACAGTTGTGAAATATAGAACGTGTGCACATAGCCCCAAGCGCTATATAAGGGGTTTGGCTATAAGAACGATAATTTCAAACTAAGGAAAAATGGGAGAAGGAAACCACGAGCGCCACATGTAGCCCTGTTTGAAGATTTTTCCGCTGCATTCAGACATCACACAGCGACCACATAAGACCAGCCAGCTGTAATTGTTGTCATCACCAACCTCCGCCTGATTTCTCCTTTGGCTGAGCACTGGAACTACTCTCGCTGTCGGCAGATGTGTCAGCTGACATGGCATCGCTATGCTGGACGTCGCTGACCGCATAGCAGTAAACCCATCGCTGATAGCACAGTACCGCTCATCCTTCATGTTACGAGGCCCATATACTATGAAAAGGAGGGCTTTTCAAACATCTGATTGGATTGCTTAGGATAGGGGGCTTGAAAGTGCATGTTGTATTGCACAGCTTAATTTAGAAATACTAGTCAAACAGAGATAGGATATACTCGTCAATGGATTCAGGAGTAATGTCAGGGAACTTGTCGTTATCAAGCTCATTCTCGCCTAGGTCAATACGGCCGTTGCCCTTTCCGATAACGGAGCGGAGCTGGTCACCAAGGGTGGTCCAGCCGCCGGTCGCTTTGACATCAGCATCGATCTTTGCGTCGATTTCCTCAATCGGCTGGTCAGTGACAGCAAATTTCTTGCCCGAAGCCTTCTCAACTTTCTCAACCCAATCATTGAACGACAAGAGCCCGCCGGTCACTCTCACAGTCTTGTTGCTGAACTCCTCGGCATGCTTCAAAACACCAATGGTGTATTTGGCCACATCGGTGCGCAAAATAAACGAGGCCTTGGCCGATCCATCGCCAGGCACCACCACCGACGATTTCTCCAGATCCCAGTTATAGAACGGGTTGAGGAAGAAATCGGCGAAAAAGCCAGTGACAACGTAAATATAGGTCAGGCCGCTGTTTTCGACAGCCTGGCGCACAGCATGCTTGGGAGAGAAAATCGGCAAGCCCCTGTTGTCTGGGTAGGTGATGTCGCTGCCAAACTCGGACGGAACAAAGTACTTGACGCCGGCCGTGGAGGCGGCATTGACGAGCGCCAGTTGCTCGGTGCCCAAGCCGACGCCGCCAATCAGCGACAGTACGAGATCGTGGCCGGCCAGCGCCTTGACAAGGTCGGCCGAGTCGCTGTAGTCGACGCCGCGGACGGTGAACTGAGGAATGTCAGCATACTTGGCGGTGGCTGCTTCAGCGCTTTCCTTGCGGGTAATCAGGGTGACTTTGAACTCTTGGCCGCTCTTCTGGAACTCGTCGATGAAGAAGGCACCGGTTGTGCCGGTTCCCCCAACAAAGGCGATGGTCTTGACAGACGAAAAAGTCATGTTGATTGCAAGAGAGTAAAGAGTACGTGTTCTGGAGGAATGGTGAAAAACTAATAGCGGCTAGTGATTTTTCTCTGACTGGAAAGGACACAGCCTGCAATTTATTTATAACCCATCCCTCCGATGGCTGAACATCTCGCCATTGCACTAAAGAATTTGGCGATTGCACTGTAGCAACACGCTGTATGTGGACAATAGCTGCGATACGCAGGGTACAACTGATAGAGCAATTCCTGGCAGCAGAATAGCAAACACCGGACTAGGGCTCATACAATAAATGGTAGATGTTGCGTAGTCTGTGGCCTCACTATGTCAAGGGCACTGCCTGTGGGAATAGAGGTAGAGTGCCTTTTGATTGTCAAGTAATGGCGAATATGTCGCCAGACATTATTCAACTATGTAATCACATGACCCAATGATGCAATCGTCTACTTTGACTCGACAATCATCGCAATGTTAGCCAGCGCGACCTTGGCGATATCGGCATTCGTCGAGCGCACGGTGAAACGCGTCATTCCGTGCTCCTTCTTGGGCTCAGCACGCACCAAGCACCCGAAGCGGGCGCTCTCGGACGACACGATGCCGACGCCAACAATATTGTCGGGCTCGGGGTCGGCGCCATTGATCAGGGCAAAGCCAACGCCGCCGACGACGCTCCGCAGCCACTGCATGCCAGCCTGGTCGGTCTTCAAAAACGGCATACTGATGACACTCTGCGCCTCCCCAACATCGCCCTCGCCAAGCTGCTTCCAGCGCGCAAAGAAATCGCCCACCGAAATGGTCACTGGGTCCATGAAGTGCGTCACGGTCACGGGCATTTGCAGCTCCACGGTGCTGCTGCTGCCCGCGATATTGTATGTGATGCGCAGCAGAGGCGGCTGCGCAAAGGCGTTCTTGCACGCAATGTCGAAGAACAGCCGCACCTGGCCCAAGGGCATCAGGGCCGACGGCAGGGGGTCCTGGTTCGCTGCCTGCGCAATGGCCAGGTTCATGTCCTGGGCAATTGCTTGCACTGAGATGTCCGACAGCGGCGCCGTGGCCTTGTTGCCCAGGAACACGCCGACCCGGCCCGCCGGGGCCTTGAACTGCGACACAAGGCCGACCTGGATCTCGTCACCGTCAAACAAAATACCGTCGTTTTCCCACAGCAGCCGTGTGTAGTGGCGCTTGCTCTTGCGCACTGCCAGGTCCTCAGCCGGCTGCTGGGGCGAAGCCGGAGCCTGGGGCGAAGCCGGCTCTGGAAGCTCGGGTGGCCGGGGTGTGGTCGGCGTCGAGGGCGTGCTGTTGGCAGCCGAACCATTGCGGCCGACCAACTGCATCTTGCGCTCGCGGTTGATCTCGCGACCGCCAAACACCCACGTGCGCTGGTCCTCGGTGTCGGCCTCCTTCTTCAGCAGCCGCGACATTAGCGCCGACTGGCGGTCGGGGAACGGCGGCATCTCCTCGAACACCGTCGGCAGAAGGTCCTCATTCTCCAGCGTGCCCAGTGCGTAGTACTCGCAGGCACGCTGCTGCAGCTCCGCGTCCAGGGCGTTGCGGTACCGGTCCAGGATGCGCAGACACAGAGACTTGATCTCGGGGAACAAATTAATGAATTTGGCGATCGTGGTCAGCGCCACGTTGCGTCCCGATACCGACGTCGCAGGCATCTTTGCCTGCAGCGCCTTGAGCTGGTCGATGGGCGCGCAGTCCTCGGCGTTGGCAATCAGGTGGCCGAACTCGCCCAGCACATAGGCGCTGACCTTGAAGGCGCTCTCATGGCACACGGGCGCCTTGAGCGTCTGCAGCGAGATCTTGCATGCATATGTCTGCAGCTCCTCATTACCGAGGATGACCTGCACCACGCGGTGCCACACCTCGTCGCCCATGTGGTCGCCGGCCAGCGACAGCAGCCGCATCATCACGTCCACGTACCACGAGTACTCGGTCGCGTACTTTTCGGTCAGAATGGCCACCTTCAGCGCCATCTCCTCGCGCAGCGCAAAGTCAGCCACGGCCATATGCCGCAGCAGCTCCGACACGATCATCTTGGCGTTCGACACATCGCACATTGAGTACAGGAGATCCAGCGCCCGCCGCCGCACACTCACATCGCGGTCCCGCAGCGACTGGATGATAACGCCCTGGTACGTCTTCACCGCATCCAGGTTCTCGATATACGCAGCCAGGTGCGCCATGGTCTCCAGGCCCAGGTAGCGCACGTTGGTCTCGCGCGACGTGATGAACTTGCCCAGCAGCACGGCGCACTCCTGCATCAGGCCCTGATCAATGTCCAGCTCGATGCCCAGGTTGATGGCCTCGAACAGAATCGAGTACTGGGCGTTCATCTGCTGCAGGTCGCGCTGCGGCTCCTGCGACACGTCGATGATGTGCCGCAGGATGTCCAGCAGCTGCATGCGCAGCTCGGGGTTCTCGGGCGCCGGAAAGTACTGCAGCAGCCGCAGGAACTTGATCTGCAGCCAGGGCACCGGCACATTATAGTACATGTAGTCCATCGAGTACGAGTTGTCAATCACTAGGCTCTTCAGCCGCCGCACCGCAAACGCCCCCGCCTTGCGCATCTCGTCCGGGTACTGCTGCGCCAGCGCCGTCACCAGCGACGTCACCGACATGGTGACGCCGATATCCCGGTGGCCCATGTACGGGATAACCCGCGTCGCCCACTCGTGCGAATTCACCGCATCGGGGTGCCGCCGCAAAAGCCGCAGCAGACACAGTGCCGCCTTCTTCTTGGCAAACACGCTGCTGGCCGAGCTCACCAGCTGCATGAAAATATCGGGCGTCAGGGCAGAGGCAATTTCGCGCGCGCCCAGATTGGCTATCGCATTCAAGGCCAGGCACACGTTGAACTCGTTCGTGTCGTGGATGTCGCGCCGCATCGCCCCCACCACCATGCGCAGGAAGTCGCTCTCCTCGGGGACCACCAGCGTCACCGCCAGGTACCCGACCTGCTTCTCGCTGTACTTGCTGCTGTTGATCAGCTCTACGGCCTCGCGGTGCCCGAAGTTCACATCGTAGCCCAGCAGCGACATGTATACGAGCTTGCACACGTACTTTTTGCGGTTGTACCCGTTCAGCGAGTTGTCCTTGAATTTTGTCCGAATGTTCGCCAGCTCCTTGTTGACCCGGCGCTCTTCTTCTTCACGCGACCGGCCTAAGTAAGTGAAGAAACCCTGAGGGTATTAGCTGTCACGCTGAGGGCATTGCTTTTTGACCAGTTGCTCGCAGATGCGCCAGTGTGTTCAGTCTCTTCATCCGCTGCAGGTTTTGCTTACATTTGCGCATGTCCGCAATAAACACGGTCAGTCCCTTCATAGCCGCCATGGTTGTAGAGAGAAAGGGGAGAGAGATATTAAAAGGGAATTGTTACAAGGAAAATACTGTCAAGGTTCAAGCAGGAAAGAAAGGGTCTAGGAAAAAAAATGTGGACCGAGACGCTCGGGTTTCTATGTGCAAACCCAGAAACCCCGCCTTTTGGCCGATTGAAAATCCGGATATGCGCTTCATGTTTTTTTTTTGCCAGACACGAGCTTGCCACAAATATATTGGGAGATAACAGAGCTACTGGAGAACAGGGCGAGTGGCAGCGATGACATAGACGCGGTCGTCCTCGCGCAGGATGCTCTTGGGGCTCGGGTTGGGCATGACATACCACAGCGGCTGGCGGTGGTAGGTGACAGTGCGGTAGAGCCCGATGGGCACAGCCGCATGCTTGAAGCAGCAGTAGGCAAACAGGCTCGCGTATGTGCGACCATAGAAGCGCTCGGGCACAGAGACCTGGAACACATGGCCCGAGTCCTCAACGCCCTGGCCCTCCTCATACACCAGGCCCTCGATGCCGGCGGCCTGCAACTTGGCGGTGCCCAGGGCATGGACGACATTGCCGTGGGAGAAAATCAGGCGCTGCATGAGATCCGGGATGAACTCGTTGTAGTACGCCTGGCAGATCAGCGTATCCAGCATGACGGGCGCATAGACGCGGCCAGCCATGAACGACGGGCGCAGGAATGCCTGGGCATAGACCTCGTTGATGCGGATTGTCTCGGTGTCGCCGACAAACTGCATGTTCTCGCGGTGGATGAACTCGACGCTCAGGAAGAACTCGTCGTTGGTGTACGTCAATGCCTCGATATTCAGCACGCTCAGGAGCGCTGGCGCATCGGCCGTCGCCGTCGCCGATGTGTCGGAGCTCGCCAGGGACGCGTTCTTCGATGCGTCAGCTGCTGCGCTCAGTGACTCTTCGCGGTTCGCCAGCACAATGCCGCTGCGCGCAGTGTGGATCCGCACGCGTGCCAGGTCGGCTCGCGACAAAGGAGAGCCCTCGACAAGATAGATGTTGCCGAAGCGCTTCAGGTCCTCCGTCTGCGCTCCGCTGGGGCTGGCTGGCGACAGAATCACAATCGGCAGGTTGTTCGAGAAGCCGGGCTTCTGCTCAGCCTGCTCGGCCACTGGCAAATTGTAGCTGCGCGAGATCTGCTCGTACAGCGTCGCGAAGCGGTTGCTGGGCTGGGCAGCGGCAGGCTCCTCCGCTGTCGTTGTCATCTCATCGGCAGCCGCCGCGCGGATGCAGCTGACAAGATAGACGATGTTGCTCGGGAACTCGCCGCTGGTATCGCACACCACCAAGTGTCCGGACAGGTCGCCTGGCAGCCCGTCGGCGGTCGGCGTGACCGGCGTCGCCGGCTTGCTTAGCAGAGTCGCCGATGAGGCGCCCAGCAGCGTGCCCTTCAGCGTCTTGGTGGGCGCCAGGGCAGGCGGCGCGTCGGCCTTGGGCTGATCGGACTCGTCGGTGGGCTTCTGCAGCGCTGGGTCGAACAGCAGCGGCGCACGCTTGGTGGTCTTGGGCTCGTCGGACTTGGCTTCCTCGGGCTCCTTGCCCTTGGCTGCGTCCTCAGTGCCCACGGTGATGTGCGCCAGGTCGCCAACCAGCTGGCCGAGCTTTCCCGAATGCCCCAAGTCAATCAGATCCTCAACGTGCTGCGACACGACGCTCTTGCCTGACCGTACGCTGCCGTGGTCAGACTCCTCGGCAGCCGAGCTCTCCAGCACATCCACCACCAGCGTATCCATGACGTTCTTGCCGAACGGCACCTTGCTCTTCATTGCAGTGTCAGCCATCACCGCCGCCTTCTGCAGCGGACTGCCTGCCAATGGCTTGGCAGCATCCTTGGCCGTGCTGACGCTGATTCCCGGAATCAGCGCTGCCTGCTCGTCCTCTCCGTCACTAACGACATCAACAGTAGCCTCCTCCTGCAGATATGCGATCTCCGCGGACACCAGCGAGTCCGACGCAATCACGAAGCCGGTCTCGTCGCCCTTGATCTCGTAGTCGCGCGGGCTGATCAGAATATGGTCGTCACTGGTGTGCAGTCCGAACAGGGTAGCGCCGGTCCGGGTAAAGATCGTCTGCGCGACCTTGTGGAACTTTTGGCCGACAAAAATGGCCGCCAGCTTGGTGCCGTAGATCTCATGTGCCATCGAGCTTGCGTACTCGGCCAGCCACTCCTGCTTGCTGCGCTGTGCTGCGCGCACCAGCTGGTGGGTGGTGTTGTCGGGAATCGATGTGGTCAGGAGCTGCAGGAGCGAGGCAACGCCGGGCACCATTACGCTCTGGGCAAGCAGGCCCTGGCGCAGCTCTTCGATGCAAATTACGTGATCGGTCAAGTAGTCCAAGTGCAGCGTGGTCTCAGGCAGCAGAACCTGCGCGTAAATCGGCACCGGGCGCTTGGCGTCGCCGCGCGTGCGCAGGAACTTGCGAATCGCCAGGGCAATCATGACCTTGGCCGCGTCTTCCTTCTCGGCATCGGCACCGGCGGCCTTGGAGCTCAGCAAAAAGATGGCCTGGGCGCGGTCCGCCTGGACGCGCGAGAGCTGCGCAAAGCTGGTTGGGCTGCCCAGCACAAACTTGACGCGGTTGACGTACGACGGGTCGGTCAGAAGCTCGGCAATCTCCTTGCTCGGTCTCGTCTCGCTCATCACCACCACCACCGTGTTGACCGTGGTGAAGCCGTGGTCCTCACAGAAGAACTCGCGCAGAAACTCGAACAACGTCGTGTAGTGCAGGTCGCCGATCAGAAGCACGTGGCTTTGGTTCGACTCTGCCTCGAACTGCGCCGGCCACGGGCTGCGGTCCTGCCACAGGCTGAGCATCTCAGACACGCGCGGCGGCAGCCAGAAAATGCCAATGAACATCACAAACAAGACGATTGTCCGGGTGAACCACGTGTCCGGCTCAATGTCCGAGCTCAGACCGGTGATGGCCGATACGGCAATGAAGAAGAACGCCTCGTCAAAGCCCTGGATCTCGCCGTTCTTGTCCTTGTTCTGCATGTACACCATCGTGTGTGTCAGTACAGTGATTGCCAGCACTGTCGTAAACACTGTGGTCAGCGCCCGCATCACGTTGCGCATCATCGGCGACATGTGGTACACATTCTTGATCGGCACCAGGCACCGCAGCAGCGCCGGCTGCAGCCGCCAGAACACCACCGGATACAAAAACACCCACACGCCCGCCGACATAAACGTGTCCTTGACCGACGGGTCAAGATAGATGTTGCCCACCACGGCCATCGGCGTAAATGCCGTGATCAGCGTGATCACCGAGAACAAGCTCCGCAGATACTCCAGCGGGTCCGGCGCCAGCAGGTAGCGCGGCAGGAACTGCAGCAGCAGGAGCAGCCCCAGGCCGGCCTCCGCATACAGCGCGTGATCGGGCACTTCCAGATGGCCCTTCCTCAGCTTGGTCGTGCCGTAAACGTGGATTGCACACAGGGCAAAGTTCAGGAGCGCATCCAGCTGGTCCCACCGCCGGCCCACTGCGCTGGTGTCCAGGAAAAACCCAATCATCTGCCGCAGGGTCGGCGTCGGCTGTGCGTTGCCGTAGACGTCCGTGCGCTGCATCGTCAGCGCATTCAGCTTCGCGGTCGCCAGATTCTCGGTTGCGCTCCGGGACACTACCACCGGCTCCTCGTCCTCGGCAAACAGATCGTCCAGGTCGTAGTCGACACTGGCAGTGTCCGCCTGCGGGGGCGCCTGCAGGCTGCGCGCGAACGTGTCGTTCTGCCGCGTCGCTGCAGTGCTGCGCCGACGGTATGTCGACGAAGATACGCTGGCTTGCAGGGTGCGGCCCGTGGAGAAGCCGCCGCCTTGCCGACGACGGCGTCCGCCGCCGCGGGCTGTGCTTGGTCTCTGCGACATGGTTGGTAAATAGGTTGGCTGGAATAAAGAAGAAAAGTAGAGGTAAGGCACTATTGCCAGGCGCTCTGCTGAATCGAATGCTTCTTATATATGCGCATTGTCTGTGCGAAAAATTGGAGGATCTTCCGGCTTAAACTGAGCCGGTCTGTGTATAGTGCCTGGGTGGAGACTGAGGCTTGCTGGCTCGTGTCGCCGGGTCCAACCGCAAAAGAGCAGATTGGCATCCGTAAAGAACCGTACGGTGTAGCCACGCACTCGTGCTTAAAAAAGGTAAACAACGCCGTACCTTATCAGGTGATGCACATGTGCCCGATGTCCACTTTGCAGAATGCTGCTACATGCTGTCGATATTGCTTTATTGCGCGTTGGGTGGTGAGGTTTTTGTATTTTTTTGTCTGGTGGTCAAAGAGAGCTTGTGCCGATTTCCCCGGTAGATTAGCAGCTAGAAAGGGGGCAAGGAAGAAGAGAAAGAAGGAAAATGGAAAGAGCAGGAGGGGTAAGTGAATATGAGCGCTTCACGCCTTGTGGACCGCGCGCGCATGGCGCTCCAGCACATCCAGACGGGCGAAGCCGCGCCCGCACGTCTTGCACTTGAACGCCTTCGAGTCGTCATGCAGCATATGGTGGCGAGTCAGGTCGTGCTTGCGCGTGAACGTGCGGTGGCAGTGATCGCAGCTGAACGGCCGCGACGCACCGGACTCGGGATCGTGGGTCAGCCGGTGCGTGCGCATGTTGTACTGCCGCGAGAACGCGCGGTTGCAGATGTCGCAGTGGAACTTCTTCGGTCCGTCGTCGTCGTCGTCGTCGTCAGAACGCTTGCGCTTGCGCGCTGCGACATCTGCCAGTGGAATGTCTTCCTCCTCGTCGATGGTCGGCAGCCGCGGCGTGCGGAACACGTCCGCCGGAGACAGCATCGGCGGGTTGACCGGAGACAGCAGCTCCAGCAGCGCCGGCGACGCAGAATCCAGAGCCAGCGGGGTGCTGACCGAGGCTGCGCCTGGCGGGCTCAGCAGGCCCAGAAGCGAGTCCATCAGCGGCATCTCGCTGGCGCTATCGGCCGTCGGCTGCTGCGGTGTGTTCACCGGCGCATAGGCCGATACCGGCTGGATGGCGTCGACCAGAGCATGCACCAGCTGCTGCCGCACCTCGGCGTCTACCATAGCCAGCTGGTCGTCCGTCAGAAGATCGTCCGACTGGCTCACATACGGCGTGTTAACAGCCGTCGCCATGAAAGGCGTGTCAAGCAGCATCGACGCCAGCGCAGACGAGCTGCTGCTGCCGCCGCTGGCCTTGCCCTTGAGCTCGTCGAGCGGGGCAAACAGCGGCTGCACGCTGCCAGATGCCACTGCTCCGTCGTTGGGCGACTTGAGCGTGGCCGAGGTCACAGGCGTGTTGAGGTAGCTGCCAAACGCGCCGAGCAGCATGTCTGCGGACACGTTTCCGAGTCCCGCGACATCGCTAAACGACAGCGAGCGCAGAGGCGCTGTGGCCGGCGCCTGCAGCAGATGCGGCAGGGCAGGGGTCGTGGGCAGCGAGGCCGACGAGAAGTTGGTAGTATCGACGTGGTGTGTGTCCGACATCATCCGGCGTGGTAAACACCTCGCTCGGGTGCAGGAATCCGTCGCTCGGGAACGTGTGTGCGGGCCGAAGCCGCCGCTCCCGCTCCATCTCGAGCTGCTGCCCGGGACTGTAAAAGTCGCCGCCAGCGCTCGTTGTATTCACAAACGAATCAAAAATCAGGTCGCCGCCGCGAGTGCCGCTGGCGCCTGTCGGGGAATAGGTCGCAAAGTCGTTGTCCGTATCAGCAGAAGTGTAGGTGGTGGGAGCCTTGTTGTGCAGGTCCGTCGACGCCGTCAGCAGGAGCGCTGTCAGGGCATCGCTTAGTGGCACAGAGCTCGAACCGGCAGTGCCTCCGATACTGTCCCGGCTACCCGCGTCTGCGGTGAGCCGTGGGCCGGTCGTAAGCGGGACCGTAATCGACGTGCTCAGGGCCACGCGAAAAGAAGACACGACGTTGTCTCGAGGGTTGGGGATGGTGTTGCTGAAGTTCATTTTGAATATAACCGACGGTTGGGTTGTAGGTGTTCTCGGGAATAGTGTTGTTAATAAGGTTGGCGAGGTTAAAACCGGGTGAGCGAGATACGACTTGTTCTGTTGGAAGAGAAGGAAGTTGTGTCTGCTTGATTGACGACAAGGTTAACGTCGAACGCGGGGTGCTGGGGCGCTGTTGTAGCCGGAACAAAAAGGTAGGGTGGGGTCTTTTGCTCGGTCTCGCGCTTGCGTTATGTTTCTGGTTACCTTGCTAGTGTGTTCGTGACAAGCAAGAGGTAACAGAAAGCGAGAGAGGGCAAGTAGGAGATAGCGTAGAGTGCCTGCTGTGTGGTCAGAAACGAGTAGGCCTCTAGAATATAATACTACGGTGTCAAGACAAAAGAAAAAACCTGGAGTTCGGAGAGAGATTGAGGATCCAAGTTTGGCTGCAGGCTTATAAAAGGAGCTGGTGCGACGGGCGGTCTGGCCTGTTGAAAGCGGTGTAGCAAGAGCAGAAAGGGTGGTGAGATCTTTGGAAAAAAGAGAAAAAAGATGGAGTGGGTAGGTGGACGGGAAAGAGAAAGGAATGCCGATTGGGCTATATTTCAACACATTTGTCATCCGCGCGGGCGCGCTTGGCGGGCTTGCCACATGCTGGAAATCAGCACTCCATGGCCCCTTGCTGGGTGATGATTTAGCTGGCCTGCTCCCCCTTTTAGCCCGTGCAGGCTGGAATTTTCCCCTGTAGCCGTGCATAGATTTCTCGACAAAAAACCCACCCCTCGCCTCGCCGCCAGGACTCCACTGGCTGAAATGGACCTGCGAGGCGCGGGAAATCAATAGACAAAAATATTGCTGCTGCGGCCAGCGCGAACATCCGAAATCACTCTTCCCCAACAGCGTGACATCAAAACTCATTGGTCGCCATACCAGCACACGTGAGCGACTTCCCTGGCGGGTCCGAAACTGCTCCTGTGCAGAAGGCCTTGTCACACCGAACGCAACCACCCTCTAACCAGCCGGCCTGCGAGGTGGACATCTCGCGTTACCTAGGGGATTTACAACAACAACGATGCTGCAACACATTATGTAAACCCCTCATTACCCTTGGCCAACTCTGCAGCAGGTGCTAGCAGCTGGCCCGAAGCAGCCCACTTGGAACTCTGGCTCATAGGCATCGCTGTTGCCTCTTGCCTGAATCTGATGTGGTGCTGCCAATCAGCGAGCATCGGCATGTTCAGAACCAGGCCTTGTTGCTGGCGCACCACATTTGCCATGTGCATCAAAAGCTACTGGCGGAGCTTAAACAAAATGCGGTGACAATTACTTCTACTGCGAGACACACAAATGCCTATTTTCGCTCTCTCCATGATGTACTGCTGTCCGGGGCTGGGTCTGGTCTCCAATGTCTGCCCTTGCTAGGGCTGCTGCCAGACCTGACGTATCCGGGGCTGCCAGGACGAAGAGGCGTGTCCCCGCTGCACTGCTCAATTTCAGACGGGTTGTTCTGCGGCAGCCGCTTGTTCCTGCGCTCATCCCTGGGGTCGCCACCACCATGTCTACCTCTGCCATCGCTCCCTCTCCCGTTTCCACGGCCTTTGTTACTGCTGCGGATTCTCCCTCCACGATTCTTGCCGATATCTTGAGCCTGGGCTGGTGGAGCCTATTGTGCCCTGGTCGACGCCCCCTTCTCACATCCAATGCCGAAGCCCCGCCGTCGGCATGGGATACTAGTGTCGCTGATGCCTCTGCCATGAGCGGATATCAGTGCTGCCCCTTGCACCGGTGTCAGAGATCTGGCACAGGTCGGAAGTCCTTATCCGAAGGCTCTTGTGCAATGAGCAAAGTCGCGTAGTCAATAGGATCGCTTGCCACAATGCTGAAACCAACACTGGCTAGCTTATCTTGTAATGGTTCCCCAGGCGGTGGGTCCTGGCCAACGGTTTCAGCTGGAATGACCTCAGGCACATTCACCTGAATGCCGACATTGTGCGTCCTGGGTCTAGCCACGGGATGACGTGCGTTTATGCGCAGCACTGATGAAATACAAGGTGCTCATAGCAATGGGCAGCACTAGAACGAAAATTGTGAACGCATCTCTCATACCGCCTACTATGGATTTCTTGTGGCGATTCACTGGCTGCAGTGCGTACCAGGAGATGGTCCGAGGCTAGCATCAGTGGCAGTGTTGATATCCTGAGTGATGCCAGCTCTGTAGTATGACTGGCTTTATGTGCGCCCAAGGATTGAGTAGTGCCAGATACCCATTCTGCATGACAGAAAATAAACGGCAAAGGAATACGAGATGAGATGGAAGGAAGACTTCACATTGATAATGTAGAAAAATGCCTTCAGATGTAGAGAGAGGAGGGTGGTGTAGAGTGGCACCAGTTGCCTGCTTTATATCAGGCGATGGCATAGACTTTTGAGAAAGCTACAGTCTCGAGTGCTGTGCCAGGAGGCTCACACCTTAGGGAACCGCAAAGTTTGAAAATAAATCCCGTCAATAAATATTGCAGTTCGTCCATGTTTGGTGCTGGGACGATGCGTCTCTCCAGCCGCCCATTGGGTTATTAGTCGGATCTGCCACCACAACTCCTCAGGACCAAATGCCAATTGTTTAGAACTGCGATGATGTGCACATTGTTTCTCAGCTGTTGTAGGATATCTGCAGCTACACGCAAGGTATCTAGGAATGCGGTTTCCATGTGCTCACATAGTTCTATGAGTGCAGTATTCAACCTATATTCAATTATCATGTCTCTACGATCTGCTGTGGACGTTCTTATATCCCAGCTACATATGGCATGGCCAGTGCACATGTACCATCTGCTTAGCATGATGTAGCCAACTTATCTCTGTATTCTAGGTATCATATATTGTGTGTATAGTTTTACATAATCAAGCACTGCTCATCATGCTTGCCATGCTTGTCTGAGGATCGCTTTTCCCGGCCCTTGCCACTAAAACTCCTTCTGAGTCCCTGGCCATCCAACAGCTGGTGCTGCTTCGGCTCTGGCCTCTTATGCTGCTCGCCACCTAGCGGTCCCACAGGCGACGCTGTCTCACTAACCCTGACATTCTGCCACCGCATCGCCAAATCCTCAAACGACCTGCCATCGTCCTTATAATCGGCCAGAACGAAGAACGCTGGGTCCTGCCTGCTCCTTCTCATACGCACCGCTGTTCCTCATAATTGCATCAATAATCCGTTTCGAGCTCATGTCCTGCTCGTCCTGCTGTAGTGCACTCGACAGCTCTTCCATGGCCTGCTGCGACCCACGTCCGACCCTCAAGTGACTCCTGGTGCGCCTTGTCGCTGGGCAATTCGACACGCTGCAAAGCATAGAACAGCATGTAGCCATCGCGCGAGATCTCCTCCATGCACTTGCGGCCGCCTTCGCCAGTCGAGAAATACTGCACACGGTTGTGCGGGATATCCATGTCGTCAAACCGCAAAAACTCGCCGATTGTCGGGGCGCTGGGCTCGCTGGGCCTATCGCTCGTCACATAGACCTGCGGCTTGACTGTGCAGCTCTGCGAGTATGTGGGTGGATGGGGCGCAGTGTCATTCGGCAGCAGCGGCAGCGGTGTCTCATCCAAGATAGGCATTCGTGGACTAGTGCTGCTGCGCGGCGGCACAGGCGGTGGCGGTGACAAGTGCTCAGGGATAGCCGACAGATGCCCGTGTTCGCTGCTACTGTTCAGGTTCATTGTCAGTGCGTAGTTCTCCCAGTCGGCAGCTGTGCCGTGGATATCGACGTCATACAAAGAGGGCGTTGGCGTCGGATGACCCCGAGTCCGACGGCAATGCGTTGCCTGGGACTCCCGGGCGCTGCTTCTGGGCAGAAGCTTCGGCTGCATGGCGCATGCTCTCCCTCTTGTTCATGGGCCACGAGAAACTGCGCTTATGCTTGAACCAGTGGCGCCCATCGTTTGGCGGGTTCCCAAGCATGGCTGTCTTGGGACCTGACAGCGTACTTCCGCGCATGCGGATTACGCTTGTGTTGACGGACAGGCGAGTTTGTCTTGGCCACTATAGTATCCACTATGTGTGGGTCCGGTACTGACGACGACATGTCGATGTGGGTAGCAAGTGTCTGTGTGCTAGGCTTGCTGGTCGGCGGCGCCTTGCTGCTTTCCTGTTGCAGCTCGTCTGGTCTAGCCAGCCGCAGTCTAGTGCAAAACGACACGTAATGGCCCGAGTTAGCCGTCGAGCCCTTGTGGCAGATCGCTGCACGCAGAACCATCCGATATTGCACTTTACTCGGGTACGGCGGAGGCGGAGGCACCAACGGGTCCCCAGTCCTGCGCCCTATGGATGTCTTGTGGCCGTCCCTTGCTCGAGTCCTTCGGGTCCTCAAACGGATTGGTGTCTGACGAGCTGATAATGTTAGTGACATCCAGCACCATCGGGCAGATAACCCGCCTGTTGACGCGCTGGACATGGCCCCTGCTGTCGACCTTGTACCGCTTGATCAGCAGAGGCAGAATCAGCGGTGCGCCCTCGGGGTAGTCTGCCGCCATGCTGGAGCTTTCCGAGTCGCCCATCTCATTCTGCGGCGTATAGAACGGGATAAATCGACAGGAATGACCACGCATTGGTATGGACCTTGGTTGATGACCCGGCGCCCTCGCCACCGCGATTTTTCAGAATCCGCTCCAGGATGTTCCACGCGGTTGTCGAAAAAGTACTGCTCCAAGAGCGCCTGCAGCAGCAGCGGCTTTTCGACGGCTGGCCGAGCTGGCAGTGGCGGCGGAGTAATCTTATTGAACGGGTTATTCGGCGACAGCTCCATTTCTCGCGGCTCTCCCTGCTTGCCATTGTCCTTGCCATTGTCCTTGCCCTCGTTCTCGTCCGGCAATGACAGCTCCAGCACCCGCTGCGTAACCATACGACTATCCGCCTCGTCCTGGTCGGCGCCATGCACCATCTGCACCTGCATGGCCAGATATGGCATCTGCAGCTTATCCATCAGAAACATATACAGCTCGTTGACATCCTGCTGCGTGTATCGGTTCAGAGGCCCGTGGCCGTGCTCGTTCAGCCACCCACACTTTATCAATGCGCCCCGGAACTCCTCGATCGCAAGGGCTGGGATAAGCTCGCCGGCCCGAATGTAGTTCACCAGCAGTCTGCACACAGCCAGCAGGTCATTGGCGTCTTTGTTGCCAAGCTCGCGCATGTACAGCAGGCCATCACACGAGTGCTGGGCGCCAAACAGCGCCATCAGCAGGCTGTCTATGTAGCACGTGGTTGACCTGGAGTTCACCGCACCGGACCAGCTGCACACGGGGATTCAGGTCATACAGGATGCCGTCGCGCGAACAAAACAACAGCTGCAGCCGCCTCATTGCCACGTCGACGTCCCAGCCCGAGTGCGACAGCAGGTCGGCTGCCTCGATTCTCGTCACCGGCGAGGTCCCAAACTGGCGGGCCAAATCCCGGCCTTGCTTGAGGAACGTATCGAATCTTCTTTTTGCGTTCCAGCGCGCTGTGCCCGGTCGACGGGTCGTCGCTCTGCGGGTACTCGGTGGGCTCCAGGTATGAGTGGCCGGTGACGCCCATCTTCTTCAGCATCTTGCGGGGGCGGAACCGCCGCGGCTTTCTGGGCTCATCGCGGTGTGGAGTCGGCTCAGCAGCCTGCTGTGTCCATGTTGGCTGTAGAAGCTCGACCAGCGTGCGCGCCTTTTCGCTGGTGTGCGGGGCGCCGCGGCTGGTCTCGCTAGGGGTGGCCGAGGATGAGCTGTGCGTCGCCCAGTCGCCCTTGAGCGTTCGCCGGATGCTATGCGACATGGAGAGGCGCTTGGCCTTCTTCTCTTCATCAAGCGGCATAGTGAGTGTAGGAAAATAGGTGCTGGAAAGTATTGCGTGGCAAGTAAAGCAGAAACCCGCCAAAGCGCACCGCCAGCCAAGACTTGTTGATAAATTCAGTCCTGTGGGACCGTGGCGTGGCCGGGTGCTCGCAATGTGCCCGTCACTGTTCCGATATTTTTTTCTTGGCCTTTGTGTGCCTCCCGCTTGGCAGCTCGTAAGCGAGTCAAGTCGCCGCGCCGATCATCGCCTCTTCTGTTTTGGCTAAACCAGGACATCCGTGAAACAGACTTTGCCTCTGTGCTCTATTTTTCGCTCTTTTATTTATACTGAAATGGACAATATCCAGGTGTTTCTGCGCATTCGACCGTTTTCCGAAGAGGAATTCAGCAAGGAGCGGTCTGCCGAGTCTGCCATCCGCATAAATTCAGAACGGTCCGTGTCGGTCCCCTCGCAGAGCACCGAGCCGTTTTCCTTTGACTTTATCGGGGCTGAGGACTGTGCACAGGTAAACATACTAGACGATCCTGCCAATATCCAGCTCCGAAACATACCTTAAAAGCGCATGGCTTGCCACACATTAGGACCAGGTCTTTGAGGCCGTCGGGAAGCGGGCGGTGGAGCAGTGCATGCAGGGCTACAATGGCACGATCTTCGCCTATGGGCCAGACGGGCTCCGGCAAAACCTTCACCATGCAAGGCGCCCACGATAAATTCACCGGGCCCACCGACGAGCTGCGCGGCCTCATCCCGCGCTGCTTCGAATACCTGTTTTCGCGCATCTCTGAGGAAGAGCAGCGTTCTAATGGGCGCGTCAAATATCTATGCCGCGCATCATACATTGAGATCTACAACGAGACTATATACGATTTGCTGGACCCGGTCGTGCGTATGTGCGCGCTGCGTGAGGACATAAAGAAGGGCATCTTTGTCGATAATGTCACCGAAGAGACAGTGCTGGACCCAAACGAGGCGTATGGTGTGTTTACCAGAGGCACGCAGAACAGGCATGTGAGCGCAACGTCTATGAACCGGGAGAGTTCGCGGTCGCATTCGGTGTTGATGTTGACAATTCAGTCCATGAAGCAGATGGACTCCTGGGTTGACCGAAATCCGCGAAGCCCGCTTCAACCTCGTTGACCTGGCTGGATCTGAGCGCCAAAAGCTCGCCAAACACCACCGGCATTCGGCTCAAGGAAGCCGCAAACATCAACAAAAGCCTGTCGGCACTGGGCAAAGTCATCAACGCACTCGTAGATGTTGGCAGCGGCATCAAACGACACGTAAATTATCGCGACAGCAAGCTGACGTTCCTGCTGCGAGACTCGCTTGGAGGTAACTCTGTCACGTTCATTATCGCCAACGTCAGCCCAGCCATCAGCAATGATGCCGAGACCATTAGCACGATGCGGTTCGCGCAGAGGGCAAAGATGATCCGAAACAAGGCTGTTGTCAACCAGGACATGCAGGGGAATGTTCCCCAGTTGCAGGCTGAAATCCAGAAGCTCAAGCAGGAAATCGCAATGCTCACCGCTGGCAACCAGTCCTCGGCCATTGCCACTCCTGCATCAAGCCCACCTGATGACAAGGAGCTGGGCACCACGCAGTATTTGCTGATCCTGGCACTACGGAAACTGCGCGAGTCTGAGCGTCAGAAATCGCGCTATGCTGAAATCGCCTTTGAGCTTAAAGAGTCGCTGGACCGCCACAAGCTCCAGCATCAGCAGCAATCCCTGGTACTCAAACTCCGGACTGCTGAAAACGACGCGCTGCGCCGGGCTTATGGCTACCAGTCTGACGCCGAGAACAGGTCGCTGCGTGAGGAAATCACTGCTCTACAGTCGACACTCTCCGCTATGCCTGATGCGTCGGACCTCTTGGTCGAGAATCTGCAGCTGCGTGAGCAAATCGAACTATTCCAGCTCTCACGCGCCTCCAACCCCGATTCCTTCGCCATACCCAGCATTGACGCAGCTGCAGAGGCCCTTGAATCTCTCCTGCGCACAAACACGCCTCTCGCCGACCTCCAGTCTTTATTGCCTATCGTCCCTGACCATGTAGAGTACGACCGCCTCGAAGAAAGCGTCCGGCAGCTGCAGCATGATGTAGATGAACTGGAAATTCAGAAAAACGCAACAGAGTTCCAGATGGCGAGCATCGAGGAGGACTGGCAGGCGGTGCAGGACGGGGTTGTGGAGCTGAAACACACAGGATCTGCGGAGGGGAGGGAGCGGATCATTGCACACACGCTTGACAATATAGTCAATGAGCAGCCCAGGGCGACGTGGGTGGCAATGGCTGAAATGTACACAAACCAACAAGCGTATTTGTTCAACTGATAACATTAATTTCTCTTTTTCATTGCGAGCATTTTCCAAACACTTTTCATTATTTTCTGTACTTGTCGACGAGCAACCCAGCTATGTGTAATGTCTGATGCCGACTGCGGCACATGTATGCTGCTGACTCACACTCAGATACGAGCAATTCACATATCGTATCTATTTATCCATGCATCTCTGTTGATTTCCTTGAGCTGACTATAAAACTATCCAGGGGCAAATCGTTCATGGATCCGCTCCTTTCTTCTTCTCTTGACAACGCATAGCAAGTCATTTCCATTTTCCCACACTCTTTTTCGATGCTTGATCCACCAGCTGCCAACGACTGGGTCCGTCTGGCAAATACAGCCACTGCCACACTACTAGTTGCGGCAGCTATTATAAGGTCTCGCCAGCTGCTGAAACATGCACTTATCCAACCGCTCGCATCAGCGTGCTTCGTGGAATACAAAGCTAAAGTTTACTACGGCGTTTCTTGCCCTCTGCATATCGTTCGCCTTGGCACTTATCCAGCTGCAGTCAGCGGTATACAGACCGCAGGAATACCTTTCGGCGTTCATGCAGCCAGTAGCTGTACTTGCTGCATTCTTTCTACATATTCTCTACTACAGGCACAGCGAGTGCTCGTCAGATATTCTGCTTCTGTTTTGGCCGGCATCCGGCATACTGTCTGCAATGTCTGCGTACTGTGCACCCCATGGCCGCAGCCTTGATATGCCAGTTGCAATCAATGTACTCTGCATTCGCTACATTAGCAGCGTACTTTGAGCTCCAGACTTTTCCACCTTCCCATCATCTAAGCGCATACAGCGGACGTACTGATCCGAGCACGCATGCAAACATATACTCACGTCTAATATTTGCCTGGGTCACACCCTCCATCGACAGAGGGTTCCGAGCCCAGAGGTTCACCGAGGACGACCTTCTCCCGCTTCCTAAATCACCTGCAAGGTGGGCAGATACAGGCCGAATTCTTCAAAATGTGGGAGAGCGAGCTTCGTAAGCCTGTGCCCTCGCTCCTCCGTGCACTGGAGCAAGGCTGCGTTGCGTGATACAGTCATTGCAGGCTTCGTCATGCTACTCGCCAACATTTGCATGCTGGCACAACCGCTTGGTCCTCAAGCAGGTTATCGGATTCATACAGACATACGGTGACGGCCGATGGACACCCGATCGGAGTATGGAATATCTCTGACTGTGCTTCTCGCTCTTCCGATCAGTGACCAGGGCCATTGCGTTCCCGATGTACTCATTCTGGCTTACTCCCCCATGGGTGCAGCTGAGTACGGCAATCATGGCCCTGATATACCGCAAGTCCCTGGCCCTCTCCAGCGAGTCCCGTGCTGCACACTTCCGTGGGCCAGATCATCAACTACCTGACAGTAGATGGCGAACAGTGTCGCACTGTTTGTCAACTACATCCACAATTTTTGGAGCTACCCACTGCAAATCGCTGCTATCATCTACATGCTCCACCATACAATAGGCTGGAGTTGCCTGGTTGGCGTGTTCCTGATACTAGCTAGCGTGTTTGTGAATCTGCGCTTCACAGGGGGTGTTGGCCATAGCACCCGACAGCTGCTGGCCGAGCGGGATCACCGAATGCATGCCGTCACTGAGACTTTTGGCAGCATGAAGGCGATCAAGCTGTACGGCTGGGAGCGTGCGTTCTTGGACAAAATCGAGACTATTCGCAACACCAAAGAACTGGCTGCACTTCGCCGCCTGGGTATATGGAAGACACTGACCATGCTTGTCAGTTCTCTGACGTCAGTTCTGATCTCACTAGCAACATTTGCTGTGTATGCTGCGTTTGGCGGCGAGAGTCACGGCCCATTGACATCGCAGTTGATGTTTGTTTCGATTGCTCTCTTTGATATGCTGCAGGTTCCTGTCTCGGAGGGTCCAAACACAGTTACCGTACTTATGATGGTACGCACCTGCTATCATCGCTTGACTGCTTTTATTATGAGTAGCGAGCATGATTCGTCAGCAGTTCAGAGGATCAGGTATGATCGGTATGCGGAAACCGCCTCGCCAGACGATGTTTTGGCGGATATTTCAAGCGGCTCATTCAAGTGGCGCTCTAGTGAATGCAACATCCTCGAGGATATCAGCATTCAGTGCCGTCGCGAAGAGCTTGTCGCTGTTATCGGCAAAGTTGGGTCGGGGAAATCGTCAGTCATTTCGGCATTGTTGGGCGATATGGTCAAGACTGCTGGCTCAGGTGACCGTACACGGATCGGTTGCTCTTGTACCTCAGCAACCGTGGATCCTCAATGCTACGCTCAGAGAAAACATCCTGTTTGGCCACAGGTTTGAGCAGGGGTTCTATGACAAGGTCATCGATGCATGCGCGCTTCGCGCTGACCTCGAGATGCTTGCTGGCGGAGATATGACCGAGATTGGCGAGAAGGGTATCAATCTGTCGGGCGGCCAGAAGGCCCGTGGTGTCTCTAGCCCGCGCTGTCTACGCCCGCACTGATGTGTATCTGCTGGACGATCCGCTATCTGCTGTCGATGCTCATGTCGGCAAGCACATCTTCAACCACGTTCTAGGCCCCAATGGTCTGCTGAAAACTCGCGCTCGCATCCTCGTCACCAACGCCCTTCAGTACTTGGGTGCTGCGAGCCAGATCACGATGTTGCACGATGGTAAAGTGGTCGAACAGGGGTCATTTGCCCAGCTTGTGGGATCGAAGGGCGAGGTGTTTGATTTCATTCATGTGTACATGCCAGACACCGGCATGGTACCCCCGCCTGAAGCGTCAGACACCGATGAGAGTAACACCACTACCCCAACTGCCTCGGAGATTTCACTAGTGTCTGCCAGACAAAAGCCTGTCTATCGAAGCAGCTTGGGTCGCGCCAGCATCGATAATATTCCGGTCGATGTGGCAACAGCACATACCATCATTCGAGACGAGCAAAAGCGGGTTGGATTAGTTGGGCTCGAGCCATACATGCACTACATCCGTGCTTGCGGTATCAGGAACATTTCCATGCTAGGCTGTGCATCTATTGCTGCCATGTGCCTCTCTGTCGGCAGCAGTATGTGGCTCGCGCACTGGGCTACTCTAAATGACGGTGATACAGATGACTCTACACGCCAGCCGCTCTATTACTTGTCTGTCTACAGTGCTCTGGGAGTGGTTCAGGTTCTGTCGATGATTGCAGTTTCAGCGGCGGTGTGGCTCCTATGTGCTGTCAACGGATCCAAAAATACGCATTCACAGCTGCTTCAATGCATGCTACGTGTACCGACATCGTTCTTTGACTCAACACCCCTTGGCCGAATCCTGGGTCTGTTCAGCAGTGACCAGGCACAGATCGACGAGAATCTCCCAATGTTCCTTGAGATGTGGGTGATGGCCATGCTCCGTATTGCGATTGCCATGGCTCTCATTGTTGTGGCCATGCCGCTTTCATTTGTATTCATAGCCCCCATCGCATACGTGTTCATTGGCGTCCAGCGGAGGTTTATGGCCACTAGCCGTGAAATTCGTCGGCTTGTCAACACAGGCAGGAATTCAGTGATAACCTGTACGGAGGAGGCTGTGCATGGTGCGATGTCTATCAGGGCATACGGGCGCAACGCAGAATTCGAGAAGGGATGTGCAGCGCGCAATGAGACACTTATGATGACCTGGTGGACACACCTGTGCACGACCCGCTGGCTGGCATGTCGCCTGGACCTGATTGCGGCCACAATTGTCCTACTTACCAACATGTCGCTCATTGCTGCTCTCTACTTTGTCGGATCGCTGACCAACGGATATGCGGGCCTGGCACTGACCAATGCAATTGCAATTCTGGGTGTCCTTAACACTAGCGTGCGGTCGTTCGGATTTGTGGAGCTTGCGATGATCTCTGTCGAGAGAGTCAAAGACTACTCGCGCTTGGAGAGCGAGGCACCAGAGGTCATTGAAGATTGCCGTCCGTCAGAGTCTTGGCCGGAGGCTGGTACCGTTGAATTCCGCAACTACTCGACGCGCTACCGTGAGGGTCTGGATCTGGTGCTCAAGGATCTGTCGTTCCGCGTCATGCCTAACCAGAAGGTCGGTATCGTTGGACGCACTGGCGCTGGCAAGTCGTCGCTGACGCTGGCGCTGTTCCGTATCATCGAAGCATCGTCTGGCCAGATTTTATTAGACGGCCATGACATCTCCAAGTACGGCCTCTTTGATGTTCGCAGTCGCCTCTCGATCATCCCCCAAGACCCGGTGCTGTTTGCTGGCACGATCCGTGAGAATCTGGATCCGTTCAGCAAATACTCGGACGAGGAGATCTGGTGTTCACTGGACAACGCGCATCTGGGTGACCTTATTCGCTCCAAGGACGAGCGTCTAGAGTTCATTGTGACGCAGAACGGCGAGAACTTCAGCGTTGGCCAGCGCCAGCTGATCTGCCTAGCCCGTGCCCTGCTCAAACGCGCCAAGATCCTTGTTCTCGATGAAGCGACCGCCGCTATCGACAATACCACTGATGCAGTTATACAGAAAACGATTCGCGAAGAATTCGCTAACTGCACGGTCTTGACCATTGCCCATCGCCTCAATACTGTTCTTGACAGCGACATGATCCTAGTCATCGACGGAGGAAGGGTAGCCGAGTTCGACAGCCCGCAGAACCTGCTCAGGAACGAGGACGGCTTGTTCGCCAAGCTCGCAGAAGAAGCAAATCTCGCTGAGGATGAATAGCAGCGTGCGATGAAATTTACTTGTATTTGAGATTTGGATATTAAAGAGGCACTATATGCTTTTACCTACTCAGGCTTTCCTTGGCCCCCAAGTGATCTTTGCCTGTGTAGTTGTCTTTCTGGCGGCATGCTGGCTGCGCGAACCGCCCATACCATCGGAAACAAACACCGTGTTTCGATCTCCTTGCGCTGCGGGTATCCGTCAATTTACGGCTTGCTGGTTGGTGGCCCGACTTGATGCTGGGAGTCCCAGGCATTCTCGAGGGAGCCTCTGGCAGATGTGCTCGGAAGCTGAAAACACCAGTAGGCATGATGGTACGCGGCGAGCTTGTACCAGCAACCGAGAACGGGTTCCTTGAAGGTGGTTGTGAAAGGGGCATGGTATGGCCGAGCTTAGTCTCGCTCGCTGACTCGCTGTCGCTGGACAGGCCGACATCGGCGAACTTTGACAGCGGCATATTATATGTCGGCTTGAGCTTTGTCCAACGGTTTGGCTGGCCTGGGATACAGCCCACCCATTGGGCACGACTGGGTCGAGCTCTGTTGACGAAACATCCAAGTCCTCGGCAAAAGTCCCTGTCTGTTGTGAGTTTTGTGGCAGGTGGCTCTCGTTACTAACCGCTGGCGACTCCTCGGTTCCTCCAACCGCCTCTTCTTCCATGAGGTGCATTTTTGAGACTAGCTTCTTGTTTACGTCACTCAGAGTGCTATTCCGAGCCCGCTCCTTCTTCAGCGCGCGCTGCAGCCGCTCGTTTGACACACGCATACTATCCATGCTGTCCTTCAACGATGCAAGCTCATGCTCCTTCTGCTTGAGCTCAGGTTCTTTCGGTTGTCAGCTGCTCAATCGTGCTGTCCCTGTTGGCCATATCGGCCATAAACTTCAGCTCCAGCTTCTTCCACTTCTCGGTGTGCTTCTTGGCCTCTATGACTTTATCTGCAAGCTTCTTAGTCCTTCCGCGTCTGCTCGCCGTACGCTGCCTCTCGCTCCTCCAGAGAATTTGCCAGCTTGTGGATCTGATCCTTCATCTGCTTAATTTCGTCCTGGGCTGCTTTGGCGTTTTTGCACAGCATCTGGATAATCTGGTTGCGGTGCGTGACCTGTGAACTACTGCCCCGGAGACGCGGCAGCCTCTGTCTCAGCTGCATTCGAGCTGGGTGTATCGACCTCAAAGTACAGGCCGATTGGGGGGCTGTTGTGGACTTTGCGGCAGGTCGGGCATGTTCCCCGGTTTGACTGTTCTAGCCACAAGCCGATACACCCGAGGTGGAAGACGTGGCCACACCCAAGCGCAGCCGGCTGCCTCTCCCAGTCGTCCGGGTCCTTGCTCGCATTCGGGCTGCCGAGAAAGTTGATATCGTTAAGCAGGGCGTCGCAGCAAATTACACACGACATTGCATTTGAAATTGTAGCGAATTGAGGAGAGCAGTGATACAACAAGGACTGGCACCGGCAAAAGACTGGTGGGGATGGCCATAGTTGTCCGTGCAGTATGAGGTTCGTGATTTTGGTCGCCAGTTCTTGTAACTCATCGGAAGAGTTGAGGGAAGAAGGTCTATTTTTGGGCCCATTTGCATGTGGGCAGGTTGTACTGCTTGAGCATCCAGTACGGCCGCTTGATGCCCTTCCAGGTCTCCTCGTCGATTTCGGCATCGCCCTTGACCGGCGTGTACTCGGTCTCAATGCCAAGGTTCAGCAGATCAGCGCGCACGATATGGCAGTACACATCATGGAACAGCTTGTGATCGCCGCCCAGGCCGTTGAAGAAGCTGTAGATGCCATCGGGCTTGCTCAGCATCGGCTTCACGTCGTCGCCTTCCTGGAAGACCACCTTGTGGAAATCATTCAGGTCTTCGTAAAACTCGCCAAACGTGTCAAAGAATATGCCATCGTATGGGCCCAGGCTACGGATCTCGTCCAGCTTGTCCTGCCACCGCCCGAACACGATGTGCACGTTGGGCTTGTCGCCCCAGCCCTCGCTGAGCATGTGCTTGTAGACATCGGGATGTGCCTCAACGATTACATGTTTCCCCGGGCCGAATTCTTCAAGAGAGGTGTCGACGATTCCCATGCCAAAGCCTACAAAGAATATTGCAAGGCGATCCACCGTCCGGCTCATTATTAATCATGCATAGCCATCCGTCACAAAGGCAAGCATCAGCGACACACGCACAAACACCTACCAACATTGAGCACGGTGCTATCCGGTTTGGTGCAGATGACTTGCGCATGCATGTCCATCAACGGAGCTTCCCAGCTCATCATCACGCCGTTGCGCTCAGCGTCCACCAGCCGATCCCCGCTGTATTCGACCGGCTGCGACAGATAATCCTCGTTGGCAGCACGCCCGTTGGCCTCGCCCTTGCTGAACAGGCGCAGGATCATCTCGGCCCTGATTCCAGCCTGCACCAGCTCCTCATACACCTCCTTGTGCTCGCCGCTCTCGGCGTAGTCGCCGGCTGTGTAGTCACCGCTGTCGAGCGTGTTCCAAGGGATTCCAGCCTTGAGCACCAGCTTTACCGTATCGACATCGCCGCTGGCAGCAGCAAAGTGCAGCGCCGTACGTCCGGTCTCATCTGTGACGAAGATCTCGGCGCCGCTGTCAACCAATTCCTGGACACGCTGGCTGTTTCCCTCGTAGCAAGCCGCCAAAAGCTGGGCTTCCTGCGATACGCCTTGATCGGCAGCGTCCTGGGCGACCTTTTGGGCAGAATCCGACATGCTTTTTTCTTTGGAGGATGGGGGTGGTTGCTTAGGAATGTGTGAGGGGAGAATGGCAGCGTAGAGATTCCACCGTGACTTCGAGGCTGCCATGTCTATAATCGCAGAAGACCACGGATCAAGGTCCAGAGCGGACCTATGGGAAGCCCCTCGCCTGTTCTCCAGTAATTTCACCCGCTCTCTTTTGGGGAGGAATGTCCGAACTCCTTTCCAGCACGTATCCTAGTTTTCCGCAAAGGCAAGGGTCCCGTACATGAACAATGTCAAGGGATTTCGTCGGCGGACGAGGGAAAGAGAGGGAAACCGACTGCCAATTCAATTTACAAACGGTCCCGCTCGCATCCGCTATCAGCCGCATCGCATCGGAGCTAGTTCCCGTGCCTGGACAGTCCAGCTCGCTCGATTGACACAACACCGGTAGGTATTGGAGAGCAGGCCGTTGCGGGTGAATGTACATACAGCTGTACTACGGGCATTTTCATTGTCGCAAACGGAATCCACTGACAAACGCATACAGATAACGGTAAGCAAGAGCCAAAAATACCAAAAGGATGAACATAAAAACGTGACCTCGCTTTGGGGCAAAAGCAATCTGTGAGTGCTTGAGGCAGGCTGAAGGGTGCATTTGGCGCAGCGTATGTAGGACTGCCACGCACAAACACCCATGCATACTCGTAAGCACAAGCACGGGATGAGCCGTGGATGCAGACCTGCAGACCACCACATCATGTAGCACCAATACCGCCTCTACGCAATGCGTTATTGAATCCGTAAAGCAACCCGCGCGAATCGCATGCTGGGGGCTTACTCGCCCGTCTTGCGTAATGCCCTTTGCCCTGATGTCCTTGCTCTTGGCAGCAAGTGACTGAGAACGTGCACCATGTATCCTGTGCCCAGCCAGATTTGGTTGCGGAGATCGTTCTTGGTTCCTGGCTTGATGCTCGATATGCGTAATCACATTTCACTGAGCTGCACTTTTACTTGCCTGTTCGCTGCAGAATCTTCTGGCTAAGGTCTGGGCGCCAATACTCAGCTGTGGCAGAATACGCAACGCAGGCCTACTGCCCGCCACAACCTGGCAGTAGGTTGCTCTTCCTAAGCAATGATGAACATAAGAACAAGCCTGACGTTCCTCCGGCACATGGTCTGCTGCATCACACCAATGGCTCGTGCAGGTAGAGCAGAAATCATTGAGCCGAGAAATTTGCAGCTTCACTGTTGAACTATCAGAAAGAGAAAAGGCCAGGCGGAATGCTGGCTCTTGGTCTCTTTTTCCAAGCTGGCTGCGGCAAGAGACCAAGTGTGTTGCTGTGAGGCGCGGCAGGGCGCGTGCCAGGCAGTTCAAAATACCACACTGAATCAGCTGGGTGCAGCTGGGTGACTGAATGGGGGAGGCGTACAGGTATAAAAGTCCGGCTACGCGATGGCCGGTTCTTTTTTGCCAAGACTTTCAGACCCCTTTCACTGCCAATTTCTTCCAGTTATAAGCACATCCAATTCGCCGCTAGCGCCGACGGTCCATTGCCTCACTTGCCCCCTATTCATTAGTTAACCATACCTCTCCCTATTTCTCACTTGGACCTTCGCTTATCAGATAACTCTGCCCCCTCACGCCTCTCTTTGCACCGCCATTCCCACGTTTTCTTTAACCTTGTCTAATAGTCACCACCCGCCTGTCTATATTTTTCTCTCTTCTCTTCCCTACACAGCCATCATTGTCATCTCTTTTGGATTGAACCTTGCACACGCCGCAGCTTAAATCTCGATACCGCAGCAGCCGTACCATCACAACCCAAATCTCTACACACCTCCACCCCCAACCAGCTCTTCTCTTCAATTCTGCCATAGATCCAGTCACTTATCAGCCATGCTTCTCCAGAACAACGACCAGCTCGATCTGTCTGCTACCTGCAACTACACCCGCCGTGGCGGAAACACTGCAAAGTCGGCAACCGTTGCGGCATCGCCGTTTGCATGCAGCCAGAGCTACTACCACATATGCCAGGACTGCGGATTCTATACGACGCAGGTGGCCGACAAGAATATACATATGGTGTACACCGGTCACAATAGCTGGGTTGAAGCTTGGGTCTAACACGCATCCCGCACTCATTCCTTGCTCTGGCTTCATCTATCCCGGCTCATACCCGATAGCAGCTCCCGTAGCACCTGGCCACAAACACCAGCTATACTTGCCCCGGGCCACTTTCCCTTTAGGCTTACCAGTTTTCCACTTGACAAATACCATTGCACCTATTAAATCCAAACCATTGGAAAGAGCGCATGCTGCGCTGCTGGCGCATTTATAATCATCGGCTAGGGTATAGATGATAAATGTCCGGTTGGCGGCTTACAAACGTCAGGGGAAGCAAAATATCGCCTGAAATTAGGGATTCTGCCAGGGCCAGCAATCACGCAGAATTTAATCAGCCGGCAGTTCACGCCTCCACAAGCCAGGCCATCAGCGCCCTGAGGGCCACTGAGCCAGCACTCTACGATCGGTGTTTTAAAACAGCGTTTCCATTCAACAGGCGCATATCTCGGGACACAAGGCAGCGTCCTGAGGAGATCCGCTTATTGTCAATATCGAAGAGAAATATGGTCTAGTATATCGAGGGCAGCTTACTTCTCCGAAGCACGGCCGTTCTTGGCGTAGTAGTTATCAACGCGCTGCAGGTGCTTGTCAAAGTAGTGCCAGTAGACAGTCGCGACAACGAGACCGCCGCCGAGGCCAATACCCAGATCGCGAGTGACACGGCGCTTGAACAGACCGACAATGGGCTTCAGGGGAGTAGCAGAGGGCATTTTGTACGTTTATCTACAAAGAGGGTGTTGAAATTCAAAAAGCGACTCAAATTAGTGCTTCTATCTCCAGCTCGTCTGAAATCTGCGGTGCTCGTCGCGACGTTGAATCTGTCCGGCAGGCTCGAATTTTGCGACTTACAAAATAGCGTGAATTCAACAGTGAGAGCAGAAATTCAAAAAAGAGGGAAAAGGCAAATTGGGCCGTTGCAATGCGACAGTCAGCGATATTCTCCTTGGTAGATTATCGGGCGCACTGGCCTGGACAGCGCACAAAACGGCCCCGATATCTTCCAATGATCATGATCACACAATCTGGCGATCATCTGGCTATGCATATGTCAGGTGAGTGGCATGGTATGGACAGCGGCCACATTGCTGCGACCTGCCTCTCCAATTCGGCGGGGTTTGCAGATGCGGACTTGGCTCCGCAGCAGCATGTATGATGAAGCATTCCATGGTTGACTGCGCTTACTATATAGCATTATCACTGACAAGTATTGGCGCATCCTGGGCAATTAGGTGCTCCCTCATTCTTGGCAAGTGATTTGCAGTGCCGGCTTTGAGACATGCTTGTAGTATCTCTTTTCTTAAAGCATACATGCTAAGCCGTGCTCTCTTGGTGTTGTCGGTTTATGACATGGAAGCCAATACTAGAGAATGCGCTGAGTATCACACCAACATGTCAAAGGTAGGGAATAGACGGAACTTGGATTGAGCCTATCTATTTTCTTGTCTAGCCAGCATCTGTTTGCTTCATACTCTTAGTATACGTACGGTCATTTGATAGTATGACTGCCAGCTATACTTACCGCTGTTGGTTGACTTGTCATTGTTGATGGCATATATATGCCGGCTGAATCTGTACTCAGCCCCCCCCACTGGTGTTTGGGCCAAGCCGAATTGTGTCCACTGCAATGTATGCAATGGCAGCGGTCAGCACTATGCAGCAGTGAAGAAGGACAAGCTTAGGAGGCAGCAGCTGCAAAGTTTTCAACAGCCAGCATCGAGGCACCTTCGAGCCTGGGAAATGCATGGAAATCGGATGTGCCTGAACAACAGGTCCAAGCGGATGTAGCAATGGCATTTCATTTGGGCAACTAGTAAATGCTGCTATTTTATTTCGCTCCATCCCTGAACCTCAGTCAGCAGGAACGCGCTCCGGAACGCATGCGCCTTGATGAAGCCATGGTCGGGGTCGTCGCTGTGTGAGTGGAAGTGCCCGAGATCCATGCGAGCATCGAGCATGAGCTTAGGCCACTGTGTTGTTCTGTGTGTCATGGGCGGCGGGGCTGTTGAATATCCACCAGTACTACGAAGCCGGGCAACCCATTTGGCTGGCTGCCACACAGGACACGCGCTGATCCTGCTGGCCAGCGGTGACCAGGATAGGACGGTGCTTGCTTTGTCTGCTCGCCAACCATGCGGCTGAGGTTATCATAGGGAGCGTATACACGAATACTAGCATATTCAGACTTGCTGGCAAGGGGGTCGCCCCATTCGGCTCTTTCGACTTCAGTTAAAGGCAGGTCTGGACTGAGCATCGCAGACAGCGGATCCACAAACGGGACATGCAGGGCAGCCGCACGGAAATACTCTGGATGGATGTTCAGCGCCGAGCCAACCACTAGCCCACCGGCCGATGTGCCAGTAATCGACAGGCGGTCGGCTGCGCTCCATCCCTTGTCAAGCAAATACCGAGCGCATCCGAGAAAATCAGTCACCGAATTGACCTTGCTGGAGCGCCGGCCACCGGCGTACCACGCGCGCCCAAGCTCACCACCGCCACGCACATGGGCCAGCGCAATAACCCAGCCACGGCGCAGGAGCGGGATGTCCTCCAGCCTGAACTCGGGCTCCAGCGACACCCCGTAAGCACCGTACACTCTTACCAGCGTAGGCGGCGACTGCGCGAGCGAGACTGATCTATGGAATACCAGTGTCATCGGGACATGGGTTCCATCCACCGGCACCTCGATCCTCTGCACTGTAAACTCTCGGGGATTTAGATGCAGGGGCGTCGAAAGCCACGACTGGAATGGCCGCAGTGTGCTCATGTCATACTCGACAACTGAATCCAAGTGCACAGGGGAGCTGAGGCTGAGCCGTACAAACGACGTATCGAGCTGGGGGTTGGCGTCTGGCCGGATAGTACAGTTGCCGTTGTAAGGCAGCTTCAACTCGGACCGCTTGCCCATTTTGCGATCGAATATCAGGACAGCGGGGAGTCCGCGCCTCTTGATGTTAACCATGAAGTAGTCCTGGAATACCTCGAGATCCTCAATACGCTCGTTGTCTTGAACGGTCAGCACTTCCTCCCAGTTGTCTGAGGACGGGGTCTGTGTTGGTGCCCGCACCTAGCCTAAACGGCAGTGGGATCGGCAATATCGGATCGCTGGCTGTCATCGGCAGGAGAGTTGGTCAGAATCAAAAAGTCGCTGCCTTGATGGTCAACAAAATACTCCACGCCTTTCTGCCGTGGCCGAACCAGCTGCAGAGCATTCTTGCGAATCTGCCTCACTGGCAGTCCCAGAAGTCAAACCCTGATGAAAACACATGCAGCTCAGACGAGTCCAGCGTGCTGCTGTTGACGATGAAAAATTGCTTGTCCTTGGTACAAGTGATGTCCAAAAAGCACTCCGTGTCGCCTTCGCTGTACACAACTATATCAGTGCTCTGCCTGCCACCAATAGAGTGGCCCATGACTTTATGTGCGCGCAGCTTGTTGTTGAGGACCGTGTAGAAAACCGATCCACTGGTGCCAAAGACAAAGTTGTAGACATTGCTGATCTGATCGCACTTTTCAGCCTGTCCTCCTGCGGCGAGCCGATACAGCAGCAAAGGTGCCGGTTTCCTTGCCAGAGTCGTCATTGGCATCTGATACCAGGCATCCCATCCACGAGTTGTCGTTGGAGACATGCAGTAGACGAATCACGAGCCCGTGTCTTTTGAGAAGCCTTGCCGAATCCATGAGCACCTGCCTTTCGATCTGAAACCACGCTCCGGCGACAATACCTTAAGGGATCCGTCGCCATTGCCTTCGACAAAGTAGATGAACTCGCCATTGCGGTTCTCGACGGGCGGCGGCATCGACTCGACTTCGGTTGCCGCGGACATCTCTTGAGCCAGCTTTGACTGAAGCCTCTCTGTCCCGGCCATGACTTGGTCTGCATATTGTTTCTCTGCGCGCAAGTATTCGCTGACCTTTTCAGAGTGCTCAGGCTGCTGCATCCACGAGTACTCATCGGAACGCTTGAATTCCCCATGCCACGATGCTGCTTGCAGGCCGATTGGGTGCTACAGGCGGCTGTGGAATTTTCGGCCGCAGAATGCCTGCAAGAAAGCGAGCTGAAGCCAGCTGTATGAAGCCCACGCCGCCCAAGAGAATTCATAGTGGAAGAGAAGGGTATAGCTAGTTGCGCAAATCGACCATCCCCCCAATCACTGCAATCTAGAGACAACCCAAGACCATACTCACAATGATGTGCCGTTATGGCCAACGCAAGGACACCAGAAAGAAAAGCGTATATGGCAGCCACCTGCACCAGCTCATAGGTGCTCCATGGCACACACCCTGGTCTTTAAGTAGAGAGTAGCTTCGCGCTCCCTGCCTTGTTCGATATGCCGGGTTCGGCTTGTCATAATGCATGGCTGGCAACAATATATCGCGCAATGTCCCTTAATCGGGGTCCAAGACAAAACAATCTGCACGAGGTCAGCGGTCAATGGCGGCGCCAGCAGCTATCGATTATCTCAGTCGCACGCTTTTGTTTGTATTTCATTCTTTGTATCCTCGTAGAAGCGAATGCCGCCAATGGCCAATGACCTGACTGACACAAATGCGGACCGCTGCAGTGAAAAATGAGGAGGACGACGAGCAGCTCGAACTGGCAGCAATCGATGCAGACAAGCTAGAAGGACTTTGCATCGGCACAGTGGCGGGCACACAGCAAGCACTACTTTGTGCTGAGCACTGCCGGCAAGCCGATTTACACACGATACGGAGACGAGGCGCAGCTGGCCCCCCTGATGAGCACGATCCAGGCAGTGATAGCGTCGTTTGCAGACATGAGCGACCCGATCCGCTCGATGACAATGGGCGGGCACACGATCGTGTTCTACACCAGCGGGCCCCTGTACTTGATGGCTGTGGCTAGTGTTGATGAGCCAGCACAGCAGCTGCGCAGCGAACTTGCAGCTGTTGCACAGCCAGATTGTCAGCATACTGACCATGGCACAGCTGACAAAAATCTTTGAGCAGCGCAGCAACTTTGACCTACGCCAGCTGCTTGGCGGCACAGAGCCCGTGATCGACCAGCTTGTCGACCGCATGGCGACCAGCTTTGCGTTTTCGCTGGGCTCGCTTGATACCTTGTGGATGCGGATTCAAGCTGCGTGACCGGATTGGCAAGAGCCTGCTGGCAGCTCGACCTAAAGGGCTTCTGTATGCAATGCTGGTGGCCGATCTGAAGCTGGTAACACTGATGCGGCCGCGCAAGCATAGCTTGCATCCATCTGACCTGATGCTTCTCTTCAATATGGCTGCTAACCGGGCATTCCTGACAGGTGAGCATTGGACGCCCGTCTGCTTGCCACGGTTCAATGACCAGGGGTTTCTTCACGTCTACGTGAACTATGTCACGCCGAATGCTGCATTGCTGCTGGTATCTGCTGACCGCGACAGCTTCCCAGCGATGTCAGGGTGCTGCGAGGCCATTGTCGCGGATCTGTCTTCCGACGGCTCACTGCAGCGGCTTGAGGATGCGGCTGTCACAGCGTGCATTGCATCCGTCGGAGCTTGGGGTTCGCGGACTGCTGCATATGCACTACAAGCACAAGGCTCTGGTCCAGAATTTTGGCTCGTGCTTTGATGACTCTGTGCCAGAACGTGACCAGATGCGTATCATGAGCACATACAAGCGGACTGAGGCTGCATATGGTCGGCAACATGGCACAGCCGCTGCGTATCATCTACCGACGAAGCGCGACAGACGCGGTTCTGGCCTGGCAGTCGAGCAAGTTTGAGCTGTATGCGACAGTGTCGCCCACAATGGATGTGCGCATGATGATCAGGATGGTCAACAACGTACTGGAGTGGATTAGAAACGAGGAGGACCATTTGTTCATAGTAAACCCGCCCAGCTACTGACTGTTGGCGTTGCTGCAGCAACATCATAAATATATTGCCATCTTCATCTACACTTCCCTTACAAAATAAGCATTGTAGCAACACCAGATGGCTGTAGCACAGCGCCCAACTGCGAATGAGCAGAATGCCAAGTGTAAGGCTATGAACAATGTAGCATCGAGGGCAAATAGGCAAATCGCACTGGCCGTTGTTTAGAAATCGGTTTATTTATAGATAGCTACTTTTGAGCATCCTTTGATACCCGCCACACATGCGCTGGCAAGCGCTCTAGGTGCAGCACGGTTGGGCGGACGAATCCGTAGTACAGCATGAGCGCAAGCACGATGCAGGTCGAGGACACTACAAAGTATCCGTCCAAATGCACATCGCATGTTCCGCCGTCCTTGGTGCACAGGTCGCGGTCGTGCTGCGCTACGCAGGTGTACGAACTACCGTTGGGCAAGGTGCAGGTTGCGCGCGAGAATATGTCCACCGAGCGCATGATAAAGTATACGGGCCAGGTGCCGCCAAAGTTGCTCAGCGTGTTGAGCAGAGTCATGTACGTGCCGCCAATGACAGGGTCAGCGATCTGCGTGATAAATGCCGACATGCCGACAAACTGCACCGTACTGGCCATTGACGCCGACACCTTGTTCACCGAGCACAACGTAGAAGTAGCCTGAAGTGAGGCCGCCAGTAGGGAAGAAGTGGACAGTCAGCATCCCAAACACGCAGCAGACGAGGCGCAGCACAAAGGCCACTCGCCAAGGCTTCAGTTTGCTGTCGCCACGACTCCACCGCGCGGCATAGTAGCCAAAGAATATCTGGATGGGGAAGTCGATCAGAACCGCCAGCGCCATGTCCTCTTTGTGCAGCCCACGCTCAATAAGCTTAAGCTGTGTTACCGAGTCGTTCGGGATGAAGCCGATCTTGGCAAAGAACAGCACAGCAATGAGCAGCTTCATGTGCGGCAGTTTGCATATGCGCCAGATGGTCTTGTATGTCTCCACGATTCCGTAGTCGTCGTTCGAGTCGGTGTGCTCCGTCTTGAATATGATCAAGTACAGCGTCACCAGCAGGTATACTGCAGCCCAGAATGCCATGTACGGGCCGAGCTGAAGGAACCCGTCCTCACGTGGTGTGGAGTATATGTACTTGTTGCTGAACTCTGTCGAGTTGAGGGCCAGGAACACGGTGAACGACATGAAGAATCCGCAGTTGATGCCTACGGTCTGGCAGGTGGACGCATACGACAAGTTCTCCTCCGACAGCAGCGTCAGGGCCCATCCATCAACAGCAATGTCCTGCGTGGCACTCATGAACACAACAGCGAGGAACAGATACATGATCTCGCCAATGTTCGTCTCCGGGTCGCGCATCAGCCCGTCAATATGCGAGCCCATCCACCAGAACATGACAGCCACAATCAGCTGGATCGGCACAATCCACGACTTGCGCCTGCCAAACTTGCGGTCGTAGATCGAGTCCACGAATGGCGACCAGAAACAGCTTCAGCGAGTACGGGTACCCGGCCAGCGAAAATAGACCGACCTGCGCGTAGCTCAGCTTTTCCTTGAGCAGAAACGGGATGCTTCCGTGAGCCAGTCCAAGCGGGATCCCCTGAAGCCAGTACAGTGCAATGAGCAGCAGGATATTGCCAAAGTCCTTGTTGGCATAAAACTCATTCCACTTGCCGGTGATGCCAGACAGCAATCCTTTGCTCTCGTATGTCGCTGGGTCCTCGATCTCAAACGTGTGCTTGCGCTGCGGCGACCGGTTGCGCGGCGTGCCGATCTGGATGCCCACGTCATCGTCAGTGTCAACAGTTGCTTCGCGGCTGCGCTGCCGCGTGTTCACTTTGTCCGCCATGCTGCGCTTCTTTTTCAGCTTCTTCTGGGCCTTTTTATTGCGCGGGCGTAGTTGTGTTTGTTTGGCCGCAGCGGTGGAGGGCGACTACAAGTGAGCGTACACGTGGGTGAAAGTGGGTTGTCAGAATGAGAATCGGGTAAATAGAAGGGAAATGCGGGAGACGGAGCAGAAGGAGGAAAAGGATGCAGAAGGCTCAGAAAGAGGGGGGAGGAAGAAAGAGGCACTGCCGGTTGTTTGCACAGGTGGCTCAAATTGGATGGGACTGCTCGGCCCACTGGATGCTGGCTTTGTCCCTGCCTATTTTCGATCGCCAGTCGGGCTGACAAATGCCAGCGACTTACCATTGCCGGGAGAGGGTAGGCGGTCACTTGTGATGCCAGCTTCTGGGAAGGCGGGTTGCGAGGAAAGGGTTGCGTAGTCAGCGAGAGAGGAAAGGGGTCGTAAAAAACAGGAGAAAGAGTCAAGGTGGGAGCAAAAGGTGTGACGAGTGGCAGAGACGCTTCTTTAAGCGCCTCCCTCCCCTTTATTCCGGCGCCCCCTGAAAATAAATGTGTGGTCAAGCCGGCTTCCGCCTAATCTCTTGCTCGCCACGCTCTCATCGCTGGTTGGCCCGGCTGCGCAGGAAACTTTTTTAAAAGACCTGTTATTTTGAAAGCATGCTTGGACCCGAGTGCTGTTCGGGCAAACATGTTGAAGTATAGAGATGGAAAAAGAAACAAACTGATGCCTAGGCACTCTCCTCATCTTCCTCGTCCGAAGCTTGCTCGGGCTCAACAGCCATGCGCGTGTCATAGGCACCGCCAGAGCTTGAGCTGGCATACTCCTGGCTAGGTGACGACTCATATGCCGCAGAGGACGACGAGTAGGCGTTGTTTGAGTCGTTGTTGGACGAGTACCCAGCCGCGCTGTACGACGGGCTGCTCTGCTCCGACGAGCACTCGACGGACTCAATCACCGTGTGGGGGCTGGGCTCATCGACGTGTCCGCACGAGCATGTGCTGGCGCCCCCGCTCGCGGTCTCGATGGACTGGTAGATATAGTGCGCCGGACCGGTGTGCGGCGGGGCAACGCTGGAGTCAACCGACTCGAAGACCACGTGGCTAGCGTGGTGGTGACCGCTGCTACCGCACTTCTCAATTGAGACGACCACCGTGTGGGTGTTGGCAGGAGCATGCGAGGGACCAGGGACCACGGTGGAGGCCACAGACTCGATGACGACTTGGGTCGGCTTGGCATGCGGGTCTGGGCTGCCGGTGCACACCTCAACCGACTCGTAGATGTAGTGCGCCGGGCCCGTGTAGGCGGACACAACAGTAGAGTCGACCGACTGGACCACGACGTGGCTGTGGTGGTGATGCCCGCCGCAGGGCTCCAGCGAGACGATGACAGTGTGCGTGTTGGCCGGCTTGTGCGGAGGAGCATGCACAACGTTGGACTCAACCGACTCGACGACGACATGCGAGGGGCTTTCGCAGCCAGCGCTACCGTTGTCGGATTCGATTGACTGGTAGACGGTGTGGGTGGGCTTGCCGCACGAGTCGCCCGATGTCTTGGAGTGGTGGCCCATTGGCTTCTTGGACCTCTTGGTCTTGGACTTCTTGGACTCTTGGACTTTGAAGAATTGCCGCATGTGCAATGGTCCGCCGCAAGTGCAGTGGCCACCGCAAGTGCACCCGTCATTGCTGCTGGATGCGTAGGCGGGTGACGATGATTCGTAGCCAGATGCAGATGACACGTAATCCAGAGGGCGTTGACATATAGGCAGTGGAGGCCTCAGAAGTTGCCGGACTCGGATGATCCGTAGGCGGTCGAAGGAGCAGCATCGGCATGTGCCGAGCTCTCACCTTCGTCCTCGGACTCGGACTCGCTCTCGTACCGCTCCTTGTTCTCCAGCTCGAACATCTCCTTGGCATTCTCACCGTCATCCCCGTCAATCGTCTGAACGTAGTCGTCGTCGTCGCTGGCAATCGACACGATGGCAGGGCCGACGCAGCCGCGCTCACACGCCGACGATGAAGAGGGCTCGTGGTGCTTGCTCTTGCTCTTGCCTTGCTCTTGGAGTGCTTGTGCTTGTGCTTTCCGGATGACGATGAAGCCGGGCAATCAGGCGTGGTCGGGCAGGCGGGGGTTGGCGTGTTGCAATCAGACGTGGGTGATGCAGGAGTTCGAGCTGTTGGACTTGTGGTGCTTGTGCGACTTCTTGGAACTTGCGACTTCTTGGACTTGGACTTCTTGGACTTCTTGGACTTGTGGTGCTTTTTGGGAGGCTCGTCATCAGAGTCGCTCCCGCTTCCGCATCCGCATCCGCCTCCGCCTCCGCCTCCACATCCACAAACGTGCGGCGGCGGCGGCGGAGGGGTTACAACATGGCTCTCAACGGAGACCATCACATGGTGGTCCTTTTGAGTGTTGGACGGTGACGAGCCGGAGTAAGCTGGTGGAGGGACTAGCTGAGTAGCCAGGGGCAGGGGCCAGCAGAGTAGCTGGGAGCAGGGCTAGCCGAGTAGCCATCACCGTTGCCACATGCATGTGAAGGGGCATATCCTTGGCTGGCAGGGTAGGCTGGAGGAGGAGCAGGATATGCAGGATATGCAGGAGGAGGAGGAGGAGGTGGTGGTGGAGGAGGAGGAGGAGGAGGAGGAGGTGGTGGTGGTGGTGGTGGTGGAGGTGGAGGTGGAGGTGGAGGAGGAGGTGGTGGAGGGGCACTACCATAGCCGCCCTGAGACGCAGAGCACCCGCCTTGAGAACCCGAATATCCGGCTTGAGAGCCTGGGTAACCATCCTGCGAAGCCGAATAGCCACCCTGAGAAGCCTGAGTAACCACCATGAGAAGCTGAGTATGGTGGTGGTGGTGGGCGGTGGTGGTGGTGGTGCCTGCGAGCATCCTTGCTGCTGCGAAGAGTATCCCTGAGAAGGCGCCGGTGTCACCGTGGTGTAGATAGGAACCTCGATAGTCTGCGGAGCAAGCAAGTTGTAGGCCGGCGAAGCAGCAAACATGTTGGCGCCAGCCATGTCGTGGCTGAACGCATCAGGATGGGCAAAATCCTCGGCACCAGCAGACAGCGTCACCACCTGGCTGACCAGCTGGGGGATCGTCTGTACAAAGTCGGTGTTGCCGCCCAGTGGCGGGTAGCCGTTGGCTGCAAACACATCCTCCTCGGTCTCCTTTTCCTTCTCCTTCTCCATCAGGTTGAGGCCGCGCGGGCGGTTTCCAGCCTTGGGGCGGAGTGATGTCGGCCCGTTCGGGTTGCGTTCGCTGGTCGCGCTCGCTGCAGGGATGCGGTCGTGCAGCTGGACGTTGGTGGTGGGATCAATGGCACGGGTAGCCTGGACATTCGGCTGCATGTCCTCCTGCTCGGCCTCGTTCCAGCCCTTGCGAGCTACCTTTGTATGTGCTTCAAGGGCACGTACCTCAGTTGCCTCAGGCTGTCCGCTGGCCGGGCGCATATGGCTGCTGCCTTTGGGTTGCGCTGAGCCGACATCAGGCCTCTGGTTGTCCTTGGACTTTTCGGCACGCGGCTGTCCGGGTAGAGACTGCTGCTGGTGCTGCTGAGGCTGGTGTTGAGGAGATTCCTGCTGAGGAGGCTGCTGCTGAGGAGGCTTGAAGGGGTTCTGGAGCTGGGCTGGTGCCTGCGGCTTGGGAGTGGCCTGGAGGACTGAGGCAGTACCTGGGGCTGAGCAGATACCTGGGGCTGGGTACTGGATGGCGGATATCTGGGCTGGCGGTCTCCTGCGGTCTGTTAGGCGCTTGGGGCTGTGCGGTCTCCGGCTGTTTCTCAGATTTCGGGGCCTTGTCAGATGGCTGGCTTGCTTCAGCCTGCTCAGGCTGGCCTGTCTCTTTGGCCTGCCCAGGCTGCTCGCTCTGCTCAGGCTTGGCTGACTGCTGAGCCTTCTCAGATTGCTCCGGCTTTGCTGTCTGCTGAGCCTTCTCAGACTGCTCGGGCTGCTCGGGCTTGGCCGCCTGTGGAGCCCTGCTATCGGTTTGTGGAGCCTTGCTATCGGTCTGTGGGCCCTTATTGTCAGATTGAGAGGCCTTGATATCGGGCTGCAGGGCCCTGTTACCAGGCTGCAGGGCCCTGTCGGGATGCTGGGTATCCACCGTTGCCTGAGCCCTGCTAGTCTGGGGAGCCTTGTCGGATGACTTAGCACTTGTTGTCAATTGAGCCTTGTTAGTCGCCTCAGTAGGCTTGCTATCCCGAATCTTCTCCTGCAGCTGCTGGAGAGGCATATTGGGAGGGTTGGGGATCTGGATACCACCGCGCTCTCTCCTCGCACCACCGTATGCAGGAGTGTTAGTCGGGGATGCAGACTCGGATGGGCTAGCCGAAGTCGGTGTGGCAGCTGAGCACGCGTTAGAGCTAGACTCCTCGCTTGACTCGCTGGACGAATCTTCGCTACTGTCCGAAGCAGACGAATCATCGGTGGCAACATCGGTGGTTGAATCGTCCGAGGCATCGCTGTCTCCGTAGGCAGCCTCATCATCGCAAGTGTCCTCGCTAGATGAGCTGTCGCCACTGGATGTCGAGACTGGGCCAGTGTTGTAGCCGCTAGTGGTAGGCTGAGTGGCAGTGATTGGAACACCAGGAGGAACAGGAGCAATAGGAGGAACAGGAGCAGTAGGAGTAGCAGGGGTGGCTGGAGTGGAAGCACCTGACGAGTACTCCGCCGACGATGAGCTGGACGTGGAAGAGCTAGAAGTGGACGAGCTAGAAATGGACGGGCTAGATGAGGTCGAGTAAACTGGAGAAACAGGGACGCTTGAGCTGGTGGTGGGCGAGGGTTTAGGAGCGTTGCTTGAAGAGTACGCAGGAGGCGAAACCGTGGATGATTCCGACGAATACACAGCGGTGGGCTTCACAGGCGGAGTAACAGGAGGTGCTTCCGAACCGCTACTGTAGCTGAGAGAGGTAGCAGCAGCAGGTGCAGGCGCCTTGCCAGGCACGTAGTCACCGCCATAATTGGCAGGGATCTTGGGTCCGCCTGGTGAGTAGCCAGCGGCCGTGGCAGAGCTGTAGCTGGGCACAGCAGCAGCCGGATGGGCACCAGCGACAGGGCCACTGACACCAGAGCCAAAGGCAGAACCGGCATCGAGGCCTGATCCATAGATAGGACCACCACTACCATCATAGCCTGAACCGCCAGATCCGGCATTATAACCCGCTCCAGATCCGCCAGCACCAGCAGCAGCAGGTGCAGCAGCAGGTGCATAGCCAGGCTCGCCGGCACCATAGCCTGGCCCAGGGGCACCAGCGTACGTGGCGGCACCCGCAGCATATCCGGAGCCACCATCACAAGTAGCAGCAACAGGGGCAGCAGGGCCAACAGGAGGGGCAGGAGCAACAGGGGCAGCAACGGGTACAGGAGCCGGCCCACCCTCAGAGCAATCAACGGTGGGCGCAATTGGCTGGCACGGATGAGCAATAGCCGTGTTGTTGGCCACATACGGTCCGCAGCTGACATGGAACGGGCCCTCCTGATAGCATGTCAGACCAACGCCGCACGTATACGAAACCGACTCACCGCCAATGCACTTTGTGAAGTCGGCACTACGACCATCAGCAGCACCGCACTTGGCCGCACCCGGTACACATGTCGAGCTATCGCTCGGCACGCCGCAGAACACACCCGAGCCGTTCTGGTAACATACCGAGCCGCCGCCGCACGCAAACTGTTCGGCCTTACCATCGACGCAGCGGAAGTAGTTTGGGCCCTTGCCGTCTTCCTGGTGACACGTAGCAGAGCCCTCGTTCGAGCACAAACCGCCGGTTGAGAGCCCAGAAGCTGGGCTCGAGTTGCAGTCGGAGGCCAGAGTGTTGCCGACGCCTACACCGCAGTACACGCCTTGACCGAGCTGGTAGCAGAAGGTGCCGTCGTCGCATTGGTGTGCCTCAGACCCGTTGACCTTGTAGCCACGGCCCGTACCGTCAGCGAGGTCGCACTTGTACTGCTGCGCGCGCGCAGAGTGCAGCAGGAAGAACACTGCAAAGCTCAGGGATGTGAGCTTATGCTTCATTGTAATATGCGATAATGGATGGTAGTTGTACAATAAATATGATCCTTTTTGTTTGTAACAGGTTGTGGGAATATGACAAAACGAATGAGAGAAAATGATGAATGTGTATGCTGAAGAGTTGGTATTTCTAGCTTTCTAGCTCGGCGGGTGCCAGGCATGAGACCATTAATAGTCTTTTTACGAGTGCATCAGCCGGTCTATTCTGAGGGCATCTATGTGGCAGTAGTAGTTGTGTATGTGGAGTCGAAATGTAGCCACTATTTGTAGCCATATTCTGCGGCCAAAGGACAAGGCCTCCGCATAGCGGAAGGGTGGAGACCGGCGTAAAATAAAGGTCAGCACCTCCTCACCGCACAAATATGAGCATTTTCTATCCCTCTCCATGCCACAAGGGCGCCAGCTTGGGGGTATGTCAACTGCTGTACCTATAAACAGCCCACTTTGCCTATTTTCGATGCATGGCTGTTCGAATCGAAATGTGTGGAGATGGAGCAGTAAGGCCATGGGCTCTCTGACGAGGCGACGTAGGAAGGGACGGCCGAATCAGTGTGCGGGTCTTTTCTAGCGACATCCCAGAATGACAGTACACTAAATAGTCTATTGGCAAGAATGGCAGCCCTATTTTTTTGTGCCTGCTCCAGAGTTTGGGAAAAATGATATTGGTAGACATGCAAAAGGGTAGTGGCTAGATCGGAAACAGAAAGGAATATATCGCAAAGGAGAGGGGGTGAAGGAAGGCGGGAGTTAGGGAAATGCCTGCTGGAGCCGTCAGTGGGATGTGCTGCCATTAGGATAGGGCGCGGTCCTGGGCTGTAGTGAGCGGTGAGCGGCAAGTGCTGCTGCAGCGGGTGTCTTTGGCAGCTGCATCTCGGCCATGCCGCTGCCAGGCATGAAGCTTGAGAGCTGGCGCTGCAGCGTAATCTCATTCAGCCGGTCCAGCTCAGCCTTCGCAGCATCAATCTGCCTCATCTCGAGCTGCATGCTGCCCACATCGTAGGCAGATTCGGCGCCCTCGCGCTCAAGGATGCGGCTGTACTGGTTGCTCAGCCTCTCTAGCCGTGTCCACCGTTGAGGCCGCCGACACCTCGACTGACCGCTCAGCAGCCTCGATACCGGCATCCAGCGCCCTGTCGGAGTACTGGTAGATATGGAACGGCAAGAGTCGCTCGATCGCATCTTTTGTGTTGCGAAATGGTGTGTGCCAGTCGGGGTTCTGCACCATCTGGTGGTCCATTGCCAGGGCTTCGCGGAACCGCCGTCCCACCTCCTTTCGATGCGCAATCTCTTCAGGTTGCTGTTGCCGCTGCTCGATCGATAGGGACGCGAATCGCCGCAGATCTGGGTGATCAGCTCGAATTGGCTGTGACTGCTGTAGCGACAATCGCTCACGGCCACCAGTCGGTGTCGACGGTGCCGAAACCATGGCCTGCTGCTCGGCATTGGCCATACGCTTCTTCACTGAATACTTGCCAGTCTTGTTGTACTTGCGTTTCTTTGGTGTCTCCATTCCCGTGCCTGACGCATTGCGATAGTGGGTGTCGCTCTCACCGCCAGACATGCTCGCAACTGACGGCGATACTTCTCCAGACCGTGCACCGGTCGGCGTTCGTAGCCCGCTGGTGTTGATCGCTGGTAGCCCGCCTGATCGGGCCTTCACTTCTTGGTCGTACATACTGGCTAGCTGGGATGCCTGCGACTTGGTCAGAGCCTTAAGCACCGTCAGCAGCATCTCTGATCGCCCAAGCCCTTCTGGTGCTGATCCCCGGGTCTTGAGGATGGCAGCTAGATCGACTGGTGGGCTGAGCTTCTTCAAGACCACGGCTGGGTTGTTCAAGAGCTTTAGGTATGCAGACTGGTACATTTTCTCCATTGCCGATTGCTGGGAGACTGCCGCCGCAGCCACCGTATTCAGCGACGGTGTCTTCTTTGCTAGTGGCATGGGCGACGTCTTCTGTGGTGTATGAGAGCGCGGCGCAATAGTGGGCAGCGATGGGCGTGGCCGCTGTGATCCATGTGCAACCGGTGGCCGCACCGATGGGACATTCAGGCCGCTGCTGTGGTGCAGCACGCGGTGGCACTGGCCGAGTCGCAGAAATCGGCGGAGTCCCTGGCCCAGGACTCGGGCTAGCACTCCTAATGGATGTTGGTGTGCCTGTGCCAGGCGTCCGCGCTGTCCCTGGCTGGCTGTTTCGCCGCCGCTGAATCTCCTCCATGACTACTGCACGCTGCTCGCTAGTCAACGATGACACCGGCGTGTTGCCAGATAGCCGATAGATGATTGTGTTTTTCTGTTTTACGACCTCAACAATGACACCGGCGACCGTTATCCGGTCGAGCAGCTGCTGAGGACCGCTCGTCTTAGCCGGTGGCCGTGGCCGGGGAGCAGATCTCAGGGCAGACACTTTGGGTGCATTGGCTGCTGTGTGTATAGAGTCAAGGCGTTGCGATGCTGGCGGCAGATCGCCTGTAGCGGAGCTGTTTCCATTTGCTGGCCGTTGCTTTATGCCGGTCGCCGGCCGGGTCATCACGGCTGGTGCCTTTGGTCTCGCCGTTGTTGCTGCTTCTGCGTGTGGTGGTGCCGTTCCCTGCGTGTGCTGCTGCTGCCGTTGCTGTTGCTGCTGTGGCGGCGTCGACATAACATCCAGGCTCGCACAAGTTAACCCCCCTCGTTCCTTTAAATTACTTTGTGTTTTTTCCGCAGGGGCCAGACAGGCTGTTCTGAGGGTATGCGTGTACGTGTCTTGCCTAATGAGAACAAGAAAGAGAACGAGAACGAGTGTGCAAGCGTGAGTTACTACATGCTCGAGTGCTGCACAGCACATATTACGCGACAGGAAAAGGGCGAACGCATATCCCGCATGTAGCAGGCATGTGGTTGCAGTTACAAAATCAGAGGGAATGTTTTTTCATTGGCATGCCAAAAGCAGAGGAAAAATATAAGCACTTGCCAGTGCCGCAGAAGCGAAGGAGAACCGACAGCTTACCGCCTCTATAAACGCTTCTGACGTAGGGCGCCAGATATCCTGAAGACTCGTTTGAAATGGGTAAAAGAAAAGGCGACGCAAAGCTACGCGAGCGCCTGCTGCTGCAAAATTATTTTGTTTTTGAGTGTGAGGGATTCAGAAAAGTTTCCTGTGAATCACTGGAAAGCGCCTGCAAAAAAAGCCCCCGCCAGGCTGGAATCTGCGATCAGATCGTGGGATCGTGGGATCTGACTTCTCGGAGACCCGGAAAGCAACATGGGCCACGCAACGCCCGGACGCCCAAGGGTGATTATCACAAGTCCGTGGGTTGCCTGGCGACAGCGCAGATTCGCGCCCGCACGCCCGACAATGTCGCTTGCAGTTGATGTGCTGCTGCCAGCCCAAGGCCTGCGAGTATATCTACTGCCCAGCGCATGCACGAATATCTGGAAACGCACATCGCTTACCTTTTGTCCTTGGCCTCCCTGCTTTTTCAACACTATTATTCCCGCACCTCCCCCCCCATTATCACTCATCGCAACCATGTCGTCGGACAGTAGCGGGCCCACACAGCAGCACATGACTGTTGATGCCAAGGAGGACGAAAACAAATCGCAGTTCAACCAGCGCACGCTCGAGCTCGAGGAAATTGGCCCGGACACCTACATGTCAGTGGATCTGTGGCGGCCCATGGGCAACCGCGGTGTATTCGGCGGGCAGGTGATCGGGCAGGCTATGTCTGCAGCTGCAAAGACCGTCGAGAACCCGTTCCGCTGCAACTCCTTCCACGGCTACTTTTTGGCCGCCGGCAACGGCGAGGAGATGATTGCATACGAGGTGCGCCGCACCCGCCAGGGTCGTTCCTTCTGCTCGCGCCTCGTGTTGGCCAAGCAGGGCGGCCGCGCTATCTTTATTGCCACTGCCAGCTTCCAAGTTCCCGAGAAATCGTCGCTGGACCACCAGTACGCCGATGCCTGCGGTGCCACCCCCCGAGGCACTGCTCAGCCGCGAGGAGTACATCCGCCGCAAGCAGCAGCGCACAAACAAGCATGTTGTCTCTGTGCAGCAGCTGGACGAGCGCGACAGTCTGCCTGTCGAGGGCCGGATTGTGCCGCTGAAAAAGAATTCCCTGGGGCTGCCTGTCAAAATGATGTGGCTACGCGCCAAGGGTGACATGAGCGAGCTGGACCTCACCCACCACCAGGCAATGCTGGCATATGCCACTGATTTCGGCCTAATTAGCACCGCATCAAAGCCGCACATCAACAACCCGACTAACCCGCGTCCCAGCATGGGCATGGTTGTCAGCCTCGACCATACCATTTGGTTCCACGAGTCGTTCCGTGCTGACGACTGGCTGCTGTATGTCATGGAGAGCCCGCGGGCTGCAAGCGGCCGTGGATTTGCTGTCGGCAGGATCTACCGCCGCGACGGAGTCATGGTTGCCTCGGTTGCCCAAGAGGGTGTTGTACGGGCCTCAGACACTGACAAAGAGTACGAGCCGTTCGAATTCTCAAATAAGATTGACTACGTGGCGCCAGGAACCAGCATCCGCGCAAAATCGAAGCTATAAATTTTAGCGTAGCAGGTGCCTGCTAACTAAATACATTAAACAGCGAGCAGCTACTATGTCCGATTATATAGCAGCCGGCTTGGGGGCAGCGGTGTTGAGGCCAAACTTTCCAATGAGCGAAAGCAGGTTGGCCTCATTCAGGTCGAAGGAGCTGCCACTGCGCAGCGCGTGGATGGCCTCGTACATGTAGTAGCCAAAGAGCCGCTGCACACGCTCAGCAGGGTGCACGGGGTCCATGAAGTAGTGCTCAGTCGGGTTGTTGCAGATAACCTCGCCCAGGTTTGTTAGCAGGTCGATAAGGCCTTGAAGGATGTTTCCGTCACTAAAATACTCGCCCAGTTTCTCAAGGTTGACACACGGCTTGGTAGTCGTGACAAGACCCAGTGCACTTGAGAGAGACTGCTTGATTGTCAGCTGCACAAAGGCACCAAGATCCGCAACCGAAAACAGGGTCAGCCCAGCGGTCTTTGCCCACGCACTCGCCTTTTGCTGGATCAGCTTGTTGGTGAGAGGGATCGTTGCCTTTGCAGCTTCAACCGTGCCCGAGCTCACGGCCAGCGGCGTTTCCTGAATGGCAGCGACATTACCAACGATGATGTTCTTGAACCCGATATCCTTCAGCTGTTCGAGCTGACCAACAATCGTATCTGAAAGCTTGGTTGCAAACGCTTCTGGTGCGAGCTTTCCACTCTTGATGTCGCTCATAACGCCAAAGTAATCGTTTGGCACCAATGACAAGAGCAGCAATGTCATCGCTGCGTGAGGGATCGAGTTTGTACAGCGGATGCAAAAACTTGAAGTAGTTGATCTGGTCTTGAGAGCTGGGGACCTGAAGTATGTCGCCGTTGGCAAGCGTAGCCGTCTGGTTATTAACCGAGGTCGCTCCACCGATGGCCCTGTTGTACAGATTGTACCCAAGCTTCAGTGCAAGGTATTCGTTCCAGACAGGTCCGGAGCTGAAGCGCCCATTCCAGTAGGGTGGTGGCGGAACAATCCCGAGCGTAAGCAGCTTCAGGGTCCCGATGTCGGATAGTGAGTCGCCAAACACATGGAAGGTGGGCTTGGCGGCTGCCATTGTAGCAGATTGGAGTGCCACAGTGACAACGCTGGCAAGAGAAAACACTGAGAACTTCATAGCTGACGAGGTAGAACTATTAATAGTACTGAGTAGAGTATATATTGAGAGCGCACTAAGTCTGTTTGCCACTGGTCGCGATGCCGGCAATTTATATTGGTTGTGGACATGAGGCAACGGGCCAAACACCAACAAGTGGTCAAATAGACGAACCTATTGCAGACGACAACCTCGTCCGAAAATCGCAATAGCACATGCATGCTCTACGATCACCATTGCACATATCGTACTCTGCTGTTCTAGACACAAAGCCACTGGCACCCATCCTTTGTACAGGTGGGCGCCTATTAACAAGAACGCCATTTCTCAGAGCTCCTTCGTGGGAATTCCACCAAGTTTGCAGCAGGGATTATTGCACTTTGCATGTAGCCATAGGTCGATAGGAGGGAGGGCACTATTACTAAACCTCTGCCAATGCACTTGCATCAATATGTAGCTATTATGAAGCACTTGCTGAGGAAGAAAATCCATGTCTGGAGTCTGCACCATTGCAACAGCATGCAGCAGGTTTTGTAGCTAGTAGGGTAGTATCCAACTCGCAACTAGTAAGGCAGAAAGACAAAAGACATGCTGAAATAAGCTTCTTTACCCTACAGCATATATGTCATCACTAAACACTAGCATAAGGATATTCATGATTTGGCTGGCATTCAGCCTGTGAATATGGACTAGAAATATGTGGCGGGCTGTGTGGGAATAGGCTGTTGGATTGGCTGGAATATAACACATGGTGCACGCACCATGTATGGGCATATGCTAATGCGTCTTTTTGCTGCGCCTGCGCAGAAACCCATCCTGTGCAAGTAGCACACCAAATCGCCGCATATTTTGTATCTCACATTTCCATGATTCAGTGAATTATGTGTTAATTAGTTCATGGCTAATTAAAAATATCTAAATGCCTAGATGGCGGCTGGCTTCGGGGCAACAGAGTTCAGACCATACTTCTGGATAATTGAGAGGAGGTTGTCCTCAGAAAGAGCAAAGTTTGAACCGCTGCGTGCGGCTGTGATGACCTCGTAGGTGAAGTAGCCGTAGAGGCGCTGGATACGTTCAGCAGGGTGGACCGGATCAAAGAAGTAGTTGTAGGTCGGCTGCTTGCACAGCAGGGCCTCGTCGATGTTGGTGATAAAATCAATGAGGTGCTGGATGAAGTTGTCGTCTTGAAGGAATGCTGCCAATTCACCACCAACGCATCCCTCGTTCATGTTTTTGAGGCCCAGAGCCCCTGGGGATCTTGGACGAAGTTTGAGTAATCTCGACAAACCTGCCGATATCGGCTATTCCAAATAGCTTGAGACCAGCAGTCTTTGCCCATGCAGCGGTCTTATCGTGGATCATCTGATTGACCAGGTTGACGGACTTGGCTGTGATGCCCTGGATCTTTAGCATCTGGGCCATCGGTGTGTATTGGATCGCAGCAACGTTGGCCACGTAGATGTTCCTGAAGCCAATCTTCTTCAGTTGCTCGAGCTGGCCGACGATGGTGTCAGAGAGCACAGTCGCATATTTCTCTGGGGTAGTAGTGTTGAGCATGAGGTTGAACATGGTTGCAAAGTAGTCATTGGCACCGATGGCAAGGACCGCAAGGTCGTCGTTGCGCGTGGGACTGAACTGGTAGAGAGGCTTGATAAACTTGAAGTAGTTGATCTGGTCCTGTGCACTAGGAATCTGGACGATCAGGACCGGACGGAATCAGAGAGGTCTTTGTGTTGTCGCTGGTTGCTCCACCGATGGCCTTGTTGTACAGAGTTGTACCCAAGCTTCAGCGCAAGGTATTCGTTCCAGACAGGTCCGGAGCTGAAGCGCCCATTCCAGTATGGTGGCGGAGGAACAATCCCCAGAGTGAGCTGTCTGAGTGTGCCAACATCAGAGAGCGAATCACCAAACACGTGGAGTGTTGGCTTGGCCACGGCGACGTACGCTGTCTGCAGCGTAAGTGCTGCCGTGCTGACGAGGGAAAGGAGTGTGAGCTTCATTATCAGTATTTGAAATTACCAAGGCCAATTATAGACGAGAATCTGCTGTGTCAGTTAGTAGTGCCTCGTCTGCGAGCATGTTGACCAGATCCACGTCTATTTAAGCAAACATACCATCTAGCAATCAACATGCAGCTCTTGTAGCAGTTTACAGGGGCAGCGCTATGACTGCCTTGACTGTGCCTACGAAATATATAACAAGTGCACAATACCGAGTTGCACTGACGATTTGCCTCCCTTTCACGACGAGATGCATTTCTGTCCGACGCTACTCCAGAACGGGCCAGCCCATTAGCAGGTGTGACTTTTAATGTTCTCTTGCGTAGAACAGTGGCAATCTTTGGAAACAAGCACAGTACGCACTGGCAATCTAGCAGGGAGGAGCTGGCGGCTACAGGGTATGACAGGCAAAGAGAAGGTCTACAAAATGTATTTTTCAGGTAGATCCATTCGATGCACCCGTGGAAAAATGGTGCTGCGTCCTTGCTGTGTCACTCGACGAATTGGTGGACAGAGTACGCAGAGAAAAAGAGGGACATCCTCCTAGTTTCTAGACTGCTCTCTGAAGGCCCGCCACTAGAGTGTAGGTCCCGGGCCCATCCTCCCGCCTGATAGCCTGGCTGGCCCATGATCATGTGCCACACTGTCCTGCGGTCGGTCCATGAGATAGAGAGCGACTCCACAGCAGGCAGAGATGTCTATCCCTCATGCCACTGCATCTTGTCATCGTCCCCGAAAAGACAACAAATATCGAATGGCAGGAGCACCGAGCGGATAAATGAGACATGCCCCAATTATCAAAAGGTCCCCCTTCAAAGGAAAAATAAAAGCTTCAACTGTGCATCATCCACAAAACAACCCGTTTTGCACTGTGACCACATGTGCGCTTTCTGCGTAAAGCGGATTATGTCCCTGCGCTCACTTCCTACCCATCTGATTTGCCCGCCAAATGCTATGCTGTGCACGTATCCATACAGCACCCGGTGACATTCTGAGATTGCCATTGTCCACTGCATGCGAACGTGAATAGGCATCTGCCTGGCACTCGAAGCACGGCCAGCCAATACTATAGGAATGCTTGCCAATCTGCCCTGCTATGGCAGTCTTGAAATACACCAAAACGCACTGACTGTGTTGTCAGCACTTGGGAAATGTCTTGAGGCCCATGGGCAACGTACTAATATCGGTATTATTTCAGAGCTGTTCGATGAAAAGGTAGAGGCTGACAGGCTTGGGGACAGCGCTATTCAGGCCACTGCTGTTGATGCTAGAGATGATGCTAGCCTTACTCAACTCGAATGTGGATTCCAGCTCTTTGAGCATTAATAACCTCGCAGCTAAAGTAGCCATAGAGGCATTGGATGTGCTCAGCAGGGTGGGACAAAGTCAAAGAAGTAGTAGCTTGTCGGGTTCTTGCACAGCAGCGCCTTGCCAATGTTGGTAACAAATGTCAATGGCATGCTGCATAAAATTGTCGTCCTGTAGAAAGGGCAGCAACTCGCCTCCAACACAGCCATATTCGATGTTTGTGGGACTGAGGGCAGAGGTGATTGCGGTGGATCCCTGAGTGATCTCGACAAGCCTGTCTAGGTCGGCAATTCCAAAAACAAAATCGATACCATTTGCCTCGGCCCATGCAGTGATCTTTTCCTTGATCATATGGTTGGCCAAATCGGCCGACGCCTTTACATTGACAATAGTGGCACTACCAGTGGGTGTGTAGAGGTTGTACCCAAGCTTGAGAGAAATGTATTCGTTCCACATGAGTCCTGATGACCAGCGGCCTTCCCATTAGGGAGAAGGAGGGACGACACCTAGGGCAAGCTGCTTTAGCGTACCAATGTCGGGCAGTGAGTTTCCAGAAACGAAGGAATCTTAGCCTAGCAACAACCATGCGGCCTATTTGGAGCGAAACAACAGCAGTGCTGAGGAATAAGATGAGCAACAACTTCATGGGAATTGGCGGGCGCTACCAATGGTACAACTGTGGAGGATCAGGAGGAGCAAATTGGTGATGATGTAGTACGGTTTGGATGACTATCCAGATGCTACACTTCTTTATGTGCAATCTTCCTGCGCTCGCAAGGGCGTAGCTCCTCATCCTGTTCCACTGTCGAGTATGCTGAGCAGAGGTCCTGGGTTATGCCCCGTGTTATTAGCAATACTGTTGGTATTCAGCTCTGACAAATGCACAAGTGCTTACTAGCGTATTTTGCGCTAAAGTAGCATAGGTATTTTTCACACCATAGTGCAACTCCGAACACAGGCTGGGTTGAAATTAGCATACCAAAACACCGGGTCTGCGTCTGCCTGTCGTGGCCAGCTATATTTGCCCTTGCTAGCCTGAACACCAAATACTGGGTGGATCAAGGTAGAAAGACACTACTTGAGATGGAGAGAGCCTCAGACTGGGGATCTTGGGGGTTTACTTTGCTCCTGGTTCACTCTGACCTCATTAAACAGGCCAAGAGCACATTCTCGTTTTCCAACAGCCGCTTTCGAGGGCTATTTACTAGTAACTGGTTCAAAACTCGGTAGTGCACAGCTGCTCAAGCTATATGGCAGATGGTAAAGGAGTGATATCACCAGGCCTGCAAACCGATGGTTTGTATGGGACTGCTTGTTGCATGTGTCTTGTACTACAGTTTGCTGCCTACGGCCCTCAGATATGCTTGTGTGTACCCACCATAGCATGCCAGTTCCTGATCAGGAACATTATTCTGCAACCAGCCTACCAAGATATTTGGTACAGCTCAGAGACCCATCTACACCCAGGAGCCTTGTCTTGAAGGCATCTAAAAAGCAAGGTTTCCACGCGTGCACAGGATTCTGCGATCCATGCGGTTGCATGTGCTACAGTCGTTCAATCGGAGCTGATGTCCCTGTGCCCCATTCTCCTGCACCAAATTTCCATAGGAAGAAGGACGAGCAAACGTGACCAGGAGCAACTCAACCCTCGCCGTGATGATCGACGCTGTTAGTGAATGTGAAATGGCATTGCCTCTTCTTTTTATGCCACAGCTGGCCTGTCCACCGAAGGAGGTCCGAGCTTGTCAAGCAAAAGCCAGGGTGCATAGTCTTGAAAACGATTAGGAAAATATGCAACTGATATATCCTGCAATTGCTTCAGCTTTCACATGTGCTGCTGAATGGAGAAATGCTGGACTCAATCCCGCTGCTAAGACAAGAAGGTTGGCAATGGTGGGGGAACAGTGGAATTGTAGTCCAAGTGCCAGTACAAGGCAGATTTTGTTACGGTAAAGCAGTGCTGGCATTGATATTAAACCCCAAATGCTAAGGATGAGTTGAGGAGAAGGAAGGCTTTAAGAGTAGATCATGGCTGGTTTTGGAGCCGGCGTGTTTAGCTTGTACTCCCTGATAATAGACAGCAGGTTGGCCTCGTTCAGCTCATAAGTCTGCCCCTTCATCCATGCACTGACCGCCTTGTAGCAGAAATATCCATAGAGACGCTGGACTCGCTCCGCAGGGTGTACTGGGTCGAAGAAGTAGTACAGCGACGGGTCCTTGCACAAGAATGCCTCATCAAGATGAGTGACAAAGTTGATCAGACTCTGGGCAAAGTTATTGTCCTGGAAGAAGTGCAGGAACTCGCCACCAAGGCATGCATGCGTGGTGTCGATAAGGCCGAGTGCATTAGAGATAGCTGGCTTAACAGACATCGACACGAATCCGTCAATATCAGCGACGTAAAATCTCTTCAGCCCAGCGGTCTTCGCCCAAGCTGTAGCCTTGGCCTGTACCTTCTGATTAATCAGTCCAATTGTAATACGTGCCAGCTCCTGTGTTTTCCCAATAGCCGCCTCAGGGGTGTACTGGATAGCAGCAAGGTTGCTGACAATGATGTTCTGGAATCCAATTTTGCTTGAGCTGGTCCAGTTGATCGACTATGGTGTCTGACACCATCGTTGAAAACTCCTCGGGCGTGGTCGAGTTTTTTTGGAGCTTAGACACTGTCCCGAAATAGTCGTTGTGGCCAATAGCCAGGGTGGCAATGTCATCGCCACGGGTAGAGGCCAAGTGGTAAAGAGGGTTCCAGAACTTGAACCAGTTGATTTGGTCTTGGCAGCTGGGGATCTGAATCGGCGAGCCCGAGGGTAGGTAGGTTGTGTCAGCATTGTCGGTAGTCGCGCCGCCGATGGCCTTGTTGTAGTGGTTGTATCCCATTAGCAGAGACAAGTACTCGGCCCAGATAGGACCCGAGCACCACCTTCCCTCCCAGTAAGGAGGAGGCGGGATGAGCCCAAGAGTGAGGTCTCTGAACGTGCCAATATCAGAGAGCGAGTCGCCAAAGACGTAAAGGGTGGGTTTAGCCAAGGCCAGACAGGCAGTCAGCATGCCAACAAAGACGGCACTGGCAACGGAAATAAGCGATGGTTTCATTATGTACCAAGTGGCAATTGATTATTTGGGTCGAGAGTATGGTGGTCAATGCAAATGCCGCCAGATCGCAAGGCTATTTATTGGAAATTTTGGAAATACGACCACATCTGGAGGAGAGAGTACTTGACGAAAAGCCCAGGCACCTGGCATTTGGCTGCCTGTATGCGAATTCCGAGGGTGTATCAGCTGTTAAACCTGCCTGTGCTCTGCTATATGCTTACATTCTTGGAGTGCAGTGTAGATCGATATCCCCGTGTCACTAGCGCAAGATTCCCAGGCGCAATGTGCAAGTGCATGCTGCCCATTGGCTTGTCCTTCTTTGCGGCGGGCCCTTCAATAGGTGTGCACGGTGATTCCATCAACATATGGCCACATGTAGGAAAACAGGTTAAGAAATTGGCTAGCTATTCTGGCGGCGCTTTCCGTCTTGCCCCGTCCAGAGAATAGCTTGCTTCGGATCCGTAAACTGCACAATGCCCGTCCATAGTGGCATACAAAGATACCACATGATGTAGGTCCTTGTATTTTACTGCATATGGGGCATTGAGTATCTGCCGTTTAGCAGGAAGGCACTTGTTCCATTACAGTTCTTGGTCAAGGCTCTATGCTGGATGTAGAGGCAGTCCTTGCACTTTGACATTCTTGTCAATGACGTAAACTCTCACACCCTGCTCTATGCCATCCTCCAGCATGCTGCCCAAACACCTACCAGGAGGAGTATATGGGCCGGGTGTCTGAATGAACATGCGTGTATACCCAGCCCCAGATGCATAGTCCTAGTAATCATTTCCCCGAGCTGTGCAAATTATTTGCGTATGCAAAGATGCTAGAGAATGTGAACAGGCATTGGCTTGCATTTGTCGGGAAAACTGCATAGGAGCCACATACGAATCGGAATGTACGCCTAGAATTATCTCCATGATCAGGTAGCATGGGTACAAATTACATTCAGAAAATTGTGTGAAAGATTAAGAGCTGGTAACTATCGAAGCTAAATCTGGCTTCAGATGCTGGCTGGCTTCGGGGCAGGACTGTTCAAGCTGTAGGTCTTGATAATGTTAAGGATATTTGCCTCGTTAATATCATATGTACCACCCTGAAGAGTGGTCTTAACCATCTCAAAGCCCAAGTATCCAAACAGGCGCTGGATGCGTTCAGCGGGGTGAATTGGGTCGAAAGAAGTAGTTAGTCCCGGGATTGCTGCACATGATGGCGTTCTTGGCATCCATGAAGAAGTTGATGAGAGCAGGCAAGGAAGTTGTCCGTCTCGACAAAGTCCAGAAGGATTGCCCCCGACGCAAGACGTGCTGACATCCTCTAGTCCGAGAGCAACCTGTGACCGAGGGCATTTGGGTGACCGCCAGGAACTTTGCAACATCAGCAACAGTAACAAACCCGATTCCTGCCGTTGCTTTCCACGCTGCAACCTTTTGTGCCAGCATATTGTTGTAGTACGTGACAGTGGTGTTGGCGATCCCCTGGACCTTGAGCATATGTGCCAGAGGCGTAAGCTGGATTGCGGCCAGATTGGGCACGACGATATTCCGGAAACCAATGGCCTTGAGCTGGTCCATCTGGCTGATTACTTCGTTGGACAGGCGCTCTGCAAACGACTCAGGGGTCTTAGTTCCTGCCGCAAGTGAGAACAGATTCACGAGAAAGTCATTGGCACCGATCTCAAGAACAGCAATGTCTGCATAGCGCATGTTGCTTTGCGAGTAGTTCGGGTTGGCTGACTTGAACCAGTTGATCTGGTCCTGGGAGCTAGGTATCTGGACGGGCAGACCAAATGGCAGCGACGGAGTGATCGAGTTGTCAGATGTGGCCCCACCTACAGCCTTGTTGTACAAGTTGTATCCCTAGCTTGAGGGACAGATATTCGTTCCATGCGGGGCCTGATGAGAAGCGTCCGTTCCAATATGGCTTGGGAGGGATGAGACCAAAGGTAAGTTTCTTCAGAGTACCAACATCTGAGAGCGAGTCGCCAAAGATGTACAAAGTGGGTTTAACAGTGGCTGCCTGAATACCAACGGCAAAAATACCAGCGATAACAGCAAGCGAAAACTTCATGATGAGAAATAGAGAGTACTATAACCAGATAAACGGAGCCCTGGACAACAATTGAGGCGGTGATGATCTGAAGGAACCTGGCCTGGGATGAGGCCGCATGGCTGCTGTATTTATCAAAACGAATCTGCGACAGGGTGAACAGCCTCTGTTTTTCGTTTAGATGCAAGCTGTGTTGCTATTGTACCTCTGTGCTTCCAGTTGCCGTATATAGCGTTCAGGTCGGGCATAGAAATTACAGCCGATTTGCAGACGGGCCAACCACCCTAGCCCCTATTGGCTGTGACATGTGCGGAATAGGTCCGTCTGGCATGGTTAAAATGGGCGCGATACTCCGCAGCTGCAGTGGCCCGTGGGGATTTTCAAAAATGGTTCAGGAGCCGCAGGCGGCTAGTTGGATTCTTGGAATTACAAACAAATATGCATTCTCATTTGAGTTCTGTTTTTCCAAAGCATGCAGCGATGTTGGTCCAATTTCTCTTTGCATATGCATTCAATGGGGCGGCTTTGTCTTTGTCTCAGCCCGGTTGTCAGTAGTCCAACACGACCCCCTCTTTTTTGAATTGCATGTGATGTCTGCCACTAGCACATATAGCCTGTCCCCAGACTCAATTGCCCAGGCTGCCTCTCACGATATATAGCTGGAAGCACTGATGCCTAGGTTGTTTTCGCAAAGGGCTTTCATGGCCGTGGCTGCTTTTTCAAAACACTGGTTTCATTGAGGAGGTCTGAAGCCAGAGAGCCATAATTATTCCCGCACATTACATCCGTCATAGTACATATTGTCTATCTGTCGCGACCCTATTTAAAGGTCACGAGCTTCGTCTACTCGCCAGCACTAATCAATTGATAGGACAGTTGATATTATTAAACAAGAAGAGATGATTCCTCCCGGTCACTCCTGGAGTGATCCGGTGTCTATTTTATAGCCTTAACTATGTGGCCTCGCCTAGGGTGATGAATCAGTCTCATCATCTGTGATCGGCTGAGTCGCATAAGCATTGGCTTTGAGTGACTGTGGTGTGATCACCACATATCATTAATTGATATCATTTGTATGTCTCGCAAAAAAGACATCTCCAGAACCGACCCTCCATGTCCCAATCCTCACCGCCAGCCCCATATGGGGATTGCCCAGTGACCCTTAGACACACTGGCTAAACATACAATCAGCAGTTTTCAAAAGCAGCAAGCAGCAAGCTTGTCGGCATTTGATGTAGTAACATGTGGACCAACATGGCACTGACCACTTTCCTCAATTGGCCCAAGCCCCTAGTGAAAAGGGGGAGTACATGGGTGATGATAAAGTGATGTTTGGCTGCAAGGAAGTAGGCTGGTAGCCTGTTGGTACCATGGCCAGTTCTCGTATAGGGATACGTCCCTACTCATGACATAGGTATGTGTTTTGTGCACAACCCCTGCCGTGCCAGCCTACTGAGATAGAAAAGACAGGGTAATCCTCCCTGAAACTTGATGGATCAGCTTTCAATGTCCCCAGTTTCCACCAAACAAGGGGGATGGTGGGACCACTGAATATGACGCAACCAGCTTCACATGCCCCTACTTCCTGCATTCAATTTTTCGCAAAAGGCCCGTTTTATATCTGACAGTCAACCTGAGATGCTAAATGAAAGCAAATGGTTCTGGAATCAAACTAAACAGCCGCTGGTTTGGGGGCTGGTGAGTTCAGCTTGTTCCTACATATGAGCTCCAGCAGCCTTTTATCCGTTAGTTCATATGACTGGCCATGTGTTTCTGCAGAGACAGCCTCCGCAGCATAATACCCCAAAAGCCGGTGTACGCGCTCACTCATATGAGCAATGTCAAAAAAGAAGTGTGTACCAGGATCCTTGCACCGAATATTTTCCTATGGGTCGATAAATAACTTCATTATCCCTTCTGTCCTATTGGTGGACGGCTCTAACAAGTTGAAGATATTTGCACCCACACAGGATGATGTTGTGTCGACGAGACCTAAGGCACTGGATATGCTTGGCATTATTGCCAGTTCAAAGAATCTAGCCATATCAATGGAAATAAATGAGTTTAGCCCTGACACCTGTGCCCAGTTACTGAATTGCCGGGAAAGCTCGCTGTTGTAGCTTTCTACTACCCTGGCAGTAACAACTTCGCAGTCCAGGTAGCGGGCAGCAGGCATGTACTGCATAAGTGGCAGGTTTGTGATTACTATGTTCGAAAATCCGATTTGTTGGAGAAGGCCAACCTGCTGCTTGACATCGGATACAAGATCATGAGCAAACTCTGCAGGGCTAGTACGGCCGCTGGTTATCTCGTCAAGCATAAAGAGGTAGTCGTTTGCCCCAATTTCCAGCACAACGATGTCTTTGGCGGATACCGTCTGTAGTTTGAAGTCCAAGGTCAGTCTCTTGAAGCTGTGTATTTGGTCGAGTGTTGAGGGCAATATACGGGTCGGAGCAAAGGACAGGTGCCAGCCGCGAGTTCTATTAGCAGTTGACATTCCAATAGCCATATTGTCTTGCTTATAGTCCAATAACAGTGCCAAGTACTCGACCCACACGGGCCACTCGAGAATCTGTACTGCCAGTACGGATATCTTGGTGCAATCCCGTACACCAATTGCCCAAATTTGCCAATGTCAGACATCGAATCACCAAAGACATACAAAGTGGGCTTTGGTTCTGTCGTTGCAGTGACATTGGCGTAGAACACTAGTAGTCCGATAGTAATAATATGCAAACCAAGGAAATTCATCTTTATGTGGGGTTGAAAATTGAATAGTGTGAAGGGAAAAGGAAAGCTATCATCATGGCATTTGCGATCGTGAATGTGGTATTATTCCGCACCAGCAACGCCTTATGTCTTACGCAGCAGTTGTCAATCGCAGCCACCAACACACAAGGCTGCGGCAGGTTTTGGAGCAGGCATACTGTGCTTGTAATCTTAAACCAAGCTCATAGCATTACCGCCGCTGAGCTCATACTGGAAGCCACCGATTGGCCTGTATCTGGCGTTCAGGCACTTCTCTTCTTGACTACTGTTCCATACATCTTCATAGACAGCGTATGGAATACTTATTTGGGTAGAACGCTTGCAGAGGGGACTCCTGCAATACACCTAGTCCACGCTAAGACACTACTCTTGGAACAGCAAGATCATTTCCTTCGTGCAGGTGACCCAACAAGAACTGCCTGGTCTCTGGTGGTTTTGAAGAGGCAGCCCAAGATACAACAAAGCTACCCAGTGCAATTCCAAGCAGCAGCAGCAGCATTTTGATGCAGGAGTAGAAGGGGGACTGGTGCGCATGCCCAACCACCTATTGGCAGATGACCATGGCTGGCTGCTACTGTGTTTGGGACAGTGTAGCGAACCGTATCTCTCTACTTTGGCAACCTCAATACACATATCACACATACACTGGGGTACTGCTAGGTTGGGTTGGTTCACATTCTATGTTACAAAAGAACGTGCATCATTTGGCCAAATCCCCGATGGACAGAAAAGGGATGTCTACGCAATCAAAATGGCTATCAGCACACAATTTTCAATAGCGCCTTAGATCAGGAGCTTCTCGATCTGGAGACGGATGGCCTGGATCTGGGGGCGGAGGTCCGAAGCCTCGTTGGTAGTAACCGAGGCGGCAACAACGGGGCGCGAGACACCGCAGGCACGGCCCAGAGCAGCCTTCGAGGGAACGAAAACGTAGGGGACGTTCTTGTCCTCGCACAGCAGGGGCAGGTGCAGCAGGATCTCGATCGGCTCGCAGTCGGCGGCCATGACAATGAACTCAGAGATACCGCGGTTCAGGGTCTTGGTGGCCTCGTTGGCGCCCTTCTTCAGCTGCTTGTAGTGCGAAGCCTGCTGCACCAGATCCTGGATCTGGTTGGTCAGCGCGGCATCGGCCAGAGGGAAAGCCTTGGGGTTGACTTCGGGCTATAGTTGGACAGTAAAACGCAGGCTGCATAGTTAGTACAGGAGTTTTTTTTTTTGCTGCATCCACCATGCAAAAGGTACGGACTGTGTGCTGCTTGTGTTCAGTATTTCACGATTGTAGTCTCATGGATATTGTTGTTTCGAAGTGAGCTGAGTAGTGTAGATCATCATTTAAGGCGCGAGCATGGCATGGGATCTAGACAAGCACGGACGCTTACCATTATTCTAAAGTAGCTACACGCGAAGGGTGGAAAAAGAGGGGCTGTGTAAAAGAATGAGAGTGAAAGTCTGAAGAGAAGAAGAAAGGTTTTCTCTCCGCCTGCCACGCACGCTTCTTCAGCTCCAGGAATTGGAAAATTTTGGCAGCCAGCTGGCAAAAAAAGCTAACCTAATCTGGACGGTGGGTGATCGATTACCATGATCATCGATGCTCGCGATCTGGCCAGGGCTGGGATCTGCCCATGGCCTCCACTTCGGCATTTACATGGCAAACAAGCCCATGCGTTTGGCTGTATCCTTCGACCGGAAAAGGTGCTGGTATGCCTGCGCATAAAGGGCACTAATATCGAGATATAGCTGCATAATATGGCATGGCTATGGACTCAAATATAGCGATGATGATGCATGCGAATATATTGAAAGGTCTTGTGGAAAAGTAGTCTACTCACTGCGAGTCACCAGGATCCAGACAAGCACCACGCCCAGCGCAGCAGCACCGAGCTCGATGCACGTGTCCGACGATGTCTCTGCGCGAAATCCTGAGCTGAAGCTTCCTTGGTGTCTTGCAGCTATCATCATCACAGTAGTCCTCATCGCTATCCACATCCTCTTCAACGGGCTCCTCTTCCTTCTCCTTCTCCTTCTCCTTCTCATGCTCCTCTTTCTTGCTGCCTTCCTGCTTCTTCTCCCCGACCGTCCTGGCATGTTTTGCGGCGCCTCAGCCTCGTCTCGACGTACTTCGATCCGCTCCGTGACTTCTTCCAGTAGCTCCTTGACCTTCGTGTTCCCTGGTTCCAACTCCAGCGCCTGCTTTAGTGCATCGCGCGACAGCTCCAGCCGGCTTTCGTTACTTAGCACCACGCCCTTCATGTAATATCCCTTCACCCACTTGGGTTCCAGCGCAATACACTGCTTCAGCGTGCTTCAGCGCCTGCGCCCAGCGCCGCAGCTTGATAAGTGTCATACACGCATTGCTGTGGAGCTTCGAGTTGTACATGTCGTAGCTGATTCCATGCTTGTAGCACTCCAATGCCTTGCTCCAGTTCTCCTTCTTGTACTCGGCATTGCCCTTCTCCTTCCACTCGAGCGCAATCTTCTGCTCCGACTCCACCTCGTTGCCGGAATCTCCGCCGTCGGCTTCGTCGGAAAGCCGATCGCGACCAAGCTTATGCTCGATCGCATTCTTGCGCATCAGTGCGCTCTTGGCATTGTCGGTCTGGCCCAGCTCCTTGTACGCCTTGGCCATACGGAACAGCGCCAAAGAGTGTACCTGTTGTGCAGCCCTCGGCGTCGTGCGCAGCAATGTCAGTGTTCAGGAACTTGAGGACCTCCTCGCAGTCCTCGATCACGCCTTCGTACTTCTTCACCTGCAGGCGGCAGGTGGCGCGCGAGAGAAGCGGCAGCGGAGACTGCACAGGGAGGGCGCAGAGCTCGTCGAATTTGGTCCAGAGCGCCTTCAAAGTCCTCTTTTTCGATGAACTCCTTGTGCTTCTGCCAGAAGCTCTGCGGGGTTCACCGGCGTGGGCTCCGGCTGTTGCTTCAGAAACGAGAAGACCATTTCAAATTGTGATGAGAACTGAAGGGCTAAGAATAGAGAAAAATGTTTGGGGAACAAGGAAAGCGAAGGAAAAGCGATGTCAAATAAGACAGAGCGGCTTAGGAAATTCGTATTTAGACAAGGCCACACATCACTTGATGCTCGCGCCTGCCATACCCAGCTGCACAGCGACGCGCATGTGGGGGCAAGGTCTCACACCTTACATGCCTTTTCCTATCCCATTGGATAGCCAGCCCCATCTACCCCTCCCCCGGCAATATGGCTGTTTTAGTAGTGACATTTGCTATGTTGTAAATAAAAGAGAAACAAGATATTGGGAAGAAACACCTTCTACTCCTTCAGGAATGGCGGGCGGCTACCGATCTGGGCCTCAGGCAGATCGTTCAGGTAGCGCAGGAACCAGGCCGCGGCAGTTCTGCATGTGATTTACGCCCTCGCGGTGGTAGCACTCGTTGAGCTTCTCGCGCAGAATGCGCAGCTTCATGATCTTTACCCACTTTTCGCGCACAATACGGTCCCTCTCGTCAAACATAGCTATCGGTGCAAAAGTAGTTAGTAGCTGTCCAGTCGGACCTAGGCGGCTTTTCTCAATTCGGGTCATTCTACGTACCGGACCGATCCGCCGTGTAAAGGTTCTCGCGCGTGGCCTTGACTCCAACGTTTCCGCTCATCTTTGGTTGGCTGTGAATCGAATGAACTTTAAAAGTAATATAGAAAAGAACAGGTGAATTGGGACGGACTAGAAAAGAGCAAGACAGCCCAGAGAACTTGAATTTGTACAAACAGAAGCACTGAATTGGTTCTAGTTCCAAATGTTAAATTAGCCCAAGAGGCACAGGGCTTGTTATCGCTAATCGGCAGATTTTCATCTGTCTATATCAGGGCCACAAGATCAAGCCAGTTTAAAATGGAAAAAATCGTTTGAGCCAGCGAAAAAAAATATTTTTCTTTTCCACATTCCTTCAAATTTGTGTTACAATGCCCGACCTGTTCAGAACCGATGACAGCGACCTCGACTACCTGCTAAGCCAGGCCAAAGATGTTCCTGACAGAGAAAGAGGAGACTGACGCTGCTGCGCAGAAAACGGAGAAAAAGCACAGCAAGGACACTGCGCCCGCAGCCCTTGCCGTGCAATTGCGCCTGGACGCCAACACAGCCTCCGAGCTCCCGCTGATACACACCAACCCGTTTGGTCCTGCCAAACTCGATCCCGACTAAAGCTCTACAGTGCAGACTCTTCCACGTCTTCGCGCCTCCAGGCGGCGAGAGAAACGCGATCCGACGATCAAAAAGAAACTGCCACACGAGATCCAAAAAGAGCGTGAGCAGACGACCGGCCGCAAGTGGTTCAACATGAAGGCGCCGGTGCTGACGGATGCAATCAAGAATGACCTGCGGGTACTGCAGCTGCGTGGTGTGCTTGATCCAAAGCGCTTTTATAAGAAGGAGGCCGTAGGCAAGAAGCTGCCGAAATACTTTGAGATGGGCACAGTGGTAGAGGACGCGAGCGAGTTCTATTCAGCACGTTTGACCCGCAAGGAACGACGTGGAAACTTGGTAGACTGAGCTGTTGGCTGATAAGGATGCAAGGTCGTATTTCAAGCAAAAGGTCGGTCGATATTCATCGCAGGAATGTCAATGGAGGCAAATCGTGGTACAAGAAGCAGCTAGGTGGGAAGAAGCCATGGTGGCGTGTCGAAGCGGCGTCACTAGATTGAAACTATGTAATAAACGCCTCCGTCCATATGTGATATTTAACATTACTAGAAATACTCTGCTCGCGATGCGAAGCTCGGCTGCTAGTCGCATGGGTTGACACGTCGATAAGAGCATCACGGCGAACCAGTCATTTGAACGTGTTGGATGCTGTTGGTGCAATGCGGTCATGGACATCTCCATCTGGTGGCTGCTCAGCGCAGGCGCTTCAGCGCTGGCTCGCTGCTACTGGCAGCAGAATCACCTGCAGCTGGTCCACGCCTCTTGCGCAGGTTCTTTGTTGCAGGGGTGGTGCCAGAAGTATCGGCAGCAATGGCCGTAGAAGCGACAGAACCGTTCAGGAATACTGCCTGAATCACAGAGTGATTGGAAAATGAGTCTGAAGTTTAGAACTGCTGCGAGATCGCGGTTTCAAGAGTCCGAGCCGAATAGGCTCCGTCCTGCTATTGTGCCATGGCCCGCTTAGCATGACTCGACTTGTACAGCGGAGAAGGCCATGGCACTTCACAGTTGGGTTCTTCGATCTCTGGTAGGGACCGCGGGTTGGGAACATGCCAGAATGTCTGCAGCGACTTTTTCGCAGCAGAACGGGCACATCGACGATGTCCGGAATTTCGTCGATCCAGATATACCTTCAAAGCCATGGTGCTTGAACTTGTCGCGCCATCCCTTGCCACGAATCGGACGCATAGGTGTCGGGCCATCGGCGCACTCCAATTGCCCATGATCAGCACTGGGATCTGGACCAAACTTGCTCCGGAGTTTTCGCGGCAAGCCTGTGGTTTGCACGGGCCTGGTTCATGAATGAATCGAAGGCGCAGCTTGCGGTGAAGCGGGATACACCTTGGGACTGGTACTGACACCCGGATGGTCCTTCCAGCGCCTCTGGTGCTGCTTGTTTGACTTAGTGGGCTGGTGGTGGTCTTAATGATTGCAATTGGAGATTCAGCGCGTTTGTAGACATTTCATATTGAAACTAGACATGCGTATGCTGCTGATGCTTTAGTCCAGTGCTGATGCGCATTGCTCGATGTTGCAATGCTCTGACCATCTCAGAACGCCGGGCCCTTTTGGAATTCATTCATCACCGTCGTCCATCACCGTGTAAGGGTAGGTGTTCGACCGTGTGTTGGCAACTCGATAGCTTTGATTCAGTGGATACTTGGGAGGCAATGTGCAGATCAGGGTCAATGAATAGAATAATAGCGAGCGCCAAAATGCAGCATACAATCGACTCGATGCGCTCATTAAACGATTAGGTGACGTTGCGGATCATAGACACAAAGTAGAACACAGCTAGCCAGATCAGCTACAGAAGCCCGACGCAGGTACAGTGCATATGTGCGGATGCCGATAGCTGCGCTGAACTTGTATGCAAAGAATAGGCGAGACCACACATGCCACACGCCTTGGCCACCTTGAACTGATCGCCCTCGCGCGGCATGAGAACCACAGATCAACAGCCTTTTGCCAGCTGACCTTCAGCACCTCAGTATCCACGGCCTGCAACAGCATGCTGCTGCTGCCAAACCACTGTAAGCCAAAGTAATTGATAACTTCCTGCATTCGTGATTCTGTCCAACACCAGCTGCAGCGACGCAGGATCGGCTCCTTTTAACAAACCTGAGGACAATTTGGAGCGGGTTGCCAGAAAAATCGTCGAGACTCAAGTCGCGGGGTGCATAGCTGAAACTGCCAGACCCTAGCACTCTGCAGTTTTAGCGACACCCAGATCAGCCAGCTATGCTCGATCTTGGAATGACAAGCACCTTTGTACTGTCCCGCTGCGCTTGTATTTTGTGCCGGCCATGCCAAAGCACCCCAGGCTTGACACGCAGAAGCTTCGCCAGCTGGTTCAGAATGTCCATCGAATCGCAGTTTCTCTTTCTGCATCACAAAGTGGCAGAAATCGCCCACATACTTCCACGGGCGGCGTCCGCTCTTCGGCTTGGAGTTGGGCGACACCCGCTTGAGCATCATCTGTCGGATCTGCGTGTTGACAGAGACACCAGTAGGTAAAGGGTTGTTTGTCACTCCTGTAAATACGTGTGCATATGTATTTATCCAGGTCCCAGCTTCAGCACAAACGCTGCCTCTGTGTCCTCACCGGACTCTAGCAGCGTTCTTATATGCTGTGCGTCCTTGGCACCCAGGATCTCTACCATATGCTTTAATACCTCCTCAAATGCTTCCTTTGGGTCTTCAGGCACCTCCAGGTCATCCCCATCTTTGGGATGGCGCTGGACTATTTGCATCCGTAAACGATGTCAGGTGGATGACCCTGCCCGACTGGCCAATCTCGTTGACAAGGAAGTCACAGAGCCGGTATTTGACTACACCATCAAACTCCCTCCACTCAGACGTAGTGAATTCAGTGATACCAGCATTTGTTTACGTCTGAAAGAAAGTGGTGGATTGAGGCGCTGGCTTTGCGACTGTCTCCTCAGCAGACGTTGCGGCTGGTGCTTCCACCGAAATCTTTGCCTGCCTGCTATCCCCATGCAGCCCCTCACTGTCTGACCACGGCATGCATGATCTGGATGGCTTGATAGGTGAGTCGTGCGCGCTTTATTAATTGCGAGAAGGATATTGAGCACAAAGTGTATATACTGGTATAACACGGAGAGAAAGAGAGGCAAGAGCGGTCGTAGGCACTGGTGAAGCAACCTCAAGGAAACCAGCAATATTCGAGCTCCATGATTGCCGATCACAAATTAGCTGCCATGATCAAGACCGCCATTAGTTTCCCTGCGCCAAAGTTGTCGAGTCCATTGCACATCCTACTTGTTGGTACATGAATCTGCAGCTGCTTGTTGCCTGCTGAACTCTTGGGTTTCGGAACGGCGAAGGGGGATGGCCACATGCCCCTTGTCTTATTATCTCATCGCCACCTTAGCACTTTTGCACTCTACTTCTGATGGGTGTACTCTCCAGTGTCTTTTTTCATCGGCCTGTATATCTTGCTAGACCATTGCAGGGGCATTGGTCCTCGTCAAGTTCACATTATCTATTGCAGCTGGTCTACTAGGCTACAAAGCCATCTATGCGCTGTATTTTTCGCCCCTCCGCCATATTCCAGGCCCTTTCCTTGCACGCATTACAAGCAAGCGCAACCAGATAATAAGCATGATTGGCAAAATCGGACATTACGCGCAGCACGAGTACGACACGTACGGCGACCTCTATGTGCTGGAGCCCAATGCTGTGGCGATTTCGAACCCATCGGATATTCGTACTGTTTTTGGCTCGCATGCTTTCCTCAAATCCAGCTTTTATGAAGCGCTGAACGTTTTTGGAATTCCAAACACCGTCAGTGCCATGGATCCGACCTTTGTTGGTATGCGAAAACGCCAGTTGGGACCGTACTTCAATCCGGTGTACCTGGGGAAGATGGAGCCTGCAATCTTGAAACACGGGTATCTTGCGTTGAAAAATGCGTGGGAGGAACGAATTGCCCACAGTCCCAACGGCAAGATCAGCATAAATTACATGAAAGACTTTGCTCTGGCGACCTTCGATACTATCGGCGCATTGGCCTTTGGCCAAGAGTTCAACGGTCTAAAGCACAACAACGACGACGTGGCCAAGTGGGCCAGCGCAACCATCATTTTGCATGGCACTCGTGCAGCTGTCCCGCTCACAAAATACTTCCCGTTCTCACTGCTTCTCCGACCCCTAGAGGCGAAGTTCAAACGCCTATCCGAATTTTGCGACAAGGCAATTGCCAGCCGCAAGGAGCTGCTTCGTGTCGGTGCAGAAAAGCCTGTGGATCTCCTTCAGGCCTTTATTGATGCTGAGGATCCCGAATCGAAGACTACCATGGACGACCTCCAGGTCAAGGTTGAATCAATCGTTGCCATGTCTGCAGGCAGCGATACCTCGTCGGTCTCACTCACATGGACTATATTCCTCCTGATGGTCCACCCCGAGATCTATGCTAAGGCAAGAGATCAGGTCCGCAGCAACTTTCCAGTTGACCATGTCATCACCTATGCTGAAGCCAGAAGCAAGCTGTCGTTCGTCAAAGCGTGTCTATACGAGTCGCTTCGCCTCTGCCCTGTAGGCGGTGGCTATCTTCCCCGTGTTTCGCCTCCAGGTGGTATCACTCTTCAGGGCCATTTCATCCCTCCAGGTATGGAGATTTATGTCAACTTTCCTGGTGTCAGCCACCATGCTAGCGCATGGACTGACCCGCTAAAGTACGATCCGGCCCGGTTCCTCAATAACGACGAAGCGCACCGCAACCTGTTCACCTTTGGCCCTGGTGTCCGCATGTGTCCTGGACGCCATCTTGCCAAAATCGAGATGTTAACCATCCTGTCGAATATGCTGAAAGATTTCGATATGGCGTTGCCTGAGGACTATACCCATCTCGGGCCAGATATCCTGGATGCGAATGGTTTCCCTAAGAAAATGGAGTCAGTACATATACTTGTTACTGAACCTGTGGACCCAAAGCGCGACTGTCGTGTGATTCTTACCAAGCGCTCAGAATAGCATTGTTTTGCAATAGTTTAGCCCTGACATAGCATATCACCATATTACGACAGAAAAGGCTATATTGCTGACAAGCACTTCACCCTGGCCAAGGCTCAAGGAATCCTCGTGGGTCTTTTGATCTAACTGTGGTGGATTTATCGGCTTTCTGAGCCGCGCTCTATCTTTCTAACATTAACATGGGGTCTTTTTTATCGGTTTCTAATGGATCCCTTGTCCCTTTTCAAGTCACATCTGGCGCTTAAATAAACAATACCTGTATTACCAAATTATGGATTATAATACTGAACACCGTGAAAAACTCGCTAAACTCCTGGACCCATCCACCACTCCATCCTTCGACTCTGAAGTCGTCAATGCAGTCCTGGACTATATCGACCAAAGCGCCCACTTGCCTTGGGAAAGAATCAACTGCGGTCACATCGACCATCCACGCTTCCAATGTGTGGTCCTGGATAACATGCTCTCTGCTCACGGTCCAAAACCAACCTTCCCATTAAAAGCCTCCTGGAAACGGCCTCAAGACCTTATGGATGCTGTTAAACCCTTGCACAAAAGATGAGGCAATTGAAAAGAAAAGGAGGACCTGGGTCCGGATATATACGATTAGTTTGCCATGGTGGTGTCGAAGTGACTTGTCCGCTTCGGGGTCAAAAAGAACCAACCGATGTGGTGTATGAAGGAGAAAAGTATGCATAGGCAGTAGAATTTAATGGAATCCAGCTATTGGACATTACCTGAAAGGGCTACGATTGAAGGCGATGCAAATTGTAGATATGCTTGGTACGTTATACGCATGGTGGGGATGAGTGAGCTGCTTTTTCAGCGCAGCTAAGGGATCAAATGGCTAGAGCAAATGTGGCCAAGCCGACAACTGCACCCAACACACCAACAGCTGCCTGCCTCGCCGCTGCACTATCGTTCACCAGCACCACTCCGCCGTTCCCATTCGGGCCAACCCCCCGCCCACCCCTTGCAGGCTTCAGTCCACCAAAGTCCCTCACCATATCATCATCCTGATCGGCAGTGGTTGGAGCAGGCTTTGGCGCCGGTGGTGGCGGTGGAGCAGGTTTGGTCGAGCTAATAGCCGGATGCTCGACCCCGGCCTTGGCCGGCTTAGTCATATGCTCAAGCAGGTCCTCATTGTAATCCTTTCCGCGCGCGGCGCCGCAAAAGATCTGGACCTGCATTTCCTGCGTCGTGCGGCTCTCAGAGTCCGGGCAGTTGTCGTAGCAGGTCAGGATCTTCTTCTGGCTGTTGCATTTGCAGTCCCAATTGTCATATTCGCACATTTTGAACTGCCGTGTCTGTTGTGCGAGGCAGGCTTCGAGGATATGCTGTGCTCTGCAGTAGCCTGCCTGAGCGACGCTTAAGAAACTAAGCAGGGATAGCAGGATAGCTATGAAAATAGTCTGCACATGCATTGAAAGTATTGCGTAGCAGATAGGCAAGGAATGCAGTTGAAGAGAGGGAAAATGGAAATGCGTATGAAAAAAAAATGAAGGAGTATGTGCTATGCAAGAGCGGAAAGCAGAGACAATGTAAAGACACAGCCGAGGCAAGCTACCTAGTCATATTGGATTCTAGGTGTAGACCATCTGGTCGCAACCTGCGTGACACGTCAGGGACTTCTTTTATTAATAGAGTATAAAAATGGGAGAGAAGGGGTAGCTCTTAGGACATCGCTGCCCACATGTAATCGAGACACCACACAAACCAACCATCCGGGGGGGTGACGAAGTCAAATCAGGCATGGAAAGAAGCATGCTGGATTTCCGTTTCACATCAGAGAGGCCCAATGCTACATTTGTCCCATGGGCCGCCCATTCCGAAGTGCATGTGGTCTCGGATGTACGAGCGTGGGTCTGTGAAAGGGAGCATGTTGGCGCAGAATTTGAACGAATGCAGGGGTTATAATGGTGTATTCCAGATCTCTAACCTACCCCGCATGGCAGAGGCGCTGCTGTCACTGCGCTGGTGCAGGCTCCTGCGCAAGCTGTGCCTTCAGGGCATCCCGCCTCTCCACGAGTGTCCTGATACTCAGCCTGCAGCATGCCCTCGCGAGCCCTGGACCCTCTTCAGCTCTTCTTCTGCCTTTTCTATGCGTGCTGGAATAGCCGCCTGCTCGGCCGTATAAAGACTGGCGAATGCCTCACTATCGAGCTTGGCCTGCTCAAAATCTTTGTGCGCCGTAATGATTTTGTCCGTGAGTGCCTTTGCCCTTGCCTGATATCCTCCCAATGTGATGCCCAGTTTGCGCTCGGCCTTTGTTGCACGCGCTGCCTCAGCAGCCATTAGCTCGCGGTGCTGCGCCAGCTCGACACTGTACTTTTCAATCCATTCACCATTGCTGATTTCCGAGGTGGCCACATACTTGTTGGCGGCTGGCAGCCATGTCTCTGACCTTTCTGCCGATGCCCACGCTGTAGCAGCAAGCACCTTGCCCGCGCTCTCAAACAGCTGCTTCATCTCCTGTGGCATATTCTGTTCGATTTCTGTCGCAACCATTGCGCGAGCCTGCTCCAGCAGGTCGTCAGAGATCTCCTCAAGCTCCGCATCCGCCGATCGGGCACCGCGTAAAACTGGAGCATTGGGGACCGGATGCTTGCGCGCATCGTCCCAGGATCATCGAGCGCATCTCGTCGCTGATCAGCTCAAGCACCGACGGTGGAAGCCCCGAAGAAACGCTGACCGCGAGGATCTCCGACGACAAAGCGTCGGGCCGGGGCAAGTTGAGCTGCACTGGCTTGCTACGCCGCCGCAGCTCTGCCTCCTCCCGCTCCTCCCGCTCCTTGGCCAGCCGGCTCTCGACATCTGTTTGATCCTCGACCGCATCTGGGGGTCCGACTTGGATTTCCTCCTTTGATCACTTCGACATCGGGAACCACAACCTCAAACTCATTCTTGGGCTTGGGCAGCGACGCCAGTTTGCGCGCCAGCTGCTCACGCAAACCGCGGCTGGCCATCTTTTGCTCCCGTGGCGTCGATGCAACATTCTGTGCTGGTGTGTTGAGACCGAGCTGGTCGCGCACAGCTGTCTGAGAGCCAGGTGCTGCGGGGTTTGGCAGTGACTGCGCAAACGGGTTAGGTGTGGCCATATCAGTCCCTCTGGGCTTGACGCCGTCAAAGCCAGTGCCAGGGCCGGCTGTGGGCATGCTGGGCGCAGGCGACTCGGTGTTGCTCAGGAGCGGCGTCCACTGGTTAGCCTGTGTGCGCTGAGTCCAGTGCTTCGTTCATTATCCGGTTTGACTGGGCTGGGGTGCGCGGGGTGCGTGTAGTGGCCATGGTCGGCGTATCCGAGTAGTCGCCAAGCAAGGCGCTCGATGACTCTCCCTCACCATCGCCGACAAGCTCGCGAGCCAGGTCGCCCTGCTGACCGATCTTGGCAATGGTTTCCAACTCGGCGTCATTGACCTGGGGTGTGGGCAGCACCAGTTTCTTGCGCTTCGAAATCTGCTCATCCTCCTCCCTGGCTGCAAACACATCATGACCCCCTTTCCCCGATTCTGCCACAAATGCAATCCCGTCGCCCTTGCTCCTGTTTTCGCGCTTGCGCTTCGCCTTTGCTCTCTCCTCCTCTTCGCGCTCCGTACGCGACTTGCGCTCCAGGCTATCCAGGAACTTCCCCTTCAAAGCATGTGCACCATCAGTCTTGCGGGCCAGCTCCTCGGTGGTATCGTAGAACCCAGGCAGTGGCTTTTGCTCAAGCGGGATCTCCGCATTGTAGTCGGCATGCGTTGCTGCGTTCTTCTTTTTCTTCTTTGGCTTCAGCTCAATGCCAGCCGCTCGTAGCTCACGCCGCTTCTGCAGTGTCGCTAGCCGCCGCGCTTCCTCCAGCTGGCGCTCACGTGCCTTCCGCTTCGCCTTCTTTCCCTGCGTGTTGGCCAGCCGCGCACGGGCCTCTGACAGCATATCCTTCTCGTCCTCATCCATGTCCACTGGATCAGGCCGGAGCCGGCTTGGTCTCTGGGTTCGGGTCAATCTCGCCAGGCCTTAGCTTGCGCGCATCGCTTGCCGCCTGGCCCTCGCCGCCCGTCTCTCCGCGCAAAGCCAGCTCGTCATCCTCGCCGTTGGCACGCGCCTCAGCTTCGTCCAGCAGCCGCTGGTAGCGCTCCAGGCACTGCGCAGGCGTGCGCCCGACAATCGGCGCAATGGTCCGCCACTGCGTGGGCATCAGCTTGGCCAGGTGCAGAAGCTTCTCGTCCTCTTCCTTCGACCACTCGGTCTTTTTGATACTGGGGTCGAGCCACTCATACCAGCGCGCCTTGCACTGCTTCGGCGTCTTGCGCACCAGCAGTGAAGAGATGCGCGCCCACTGCGTCTTGCCGTATTTCATAACCGCTGCCTTGAGGATCTCGTCCTCTGTGTTTTTCCACACACCGCCCTTTAAATGGACTCTCATTTTTACAAAATAGGTTGAATTGGCTGGGAAATGTGGATATGTGGAGCTGAAATTGGCCGCGGCACGCACTGTGCCCATTTTCGATCTTTTGCGCTATACTGATCGAGATTAGGGTATTTCGTGATCAGGCGCTGGCAGCACATGGACGTCATTCCTCGAGTCGTGCAAGCACCAATACCACCATAGCGACTACTGCTTTGCTGAGCACTAGCCACTGCTTTGACACAGGACATTATAAATTAGCTGCAACGTATATTCTACCATGCAGTAATAGCAATATCCGTCCAAGAAGTAAATATTAAGGAGAAGCGGTATGTTATGCTCATACCGTCTTTTGTCTCAGGAATGGCTGGTAGCTAAAACAATGCTCAAATATATTATTCTATCCATTGCAATATTGCCGTTTGTCCTTTGTGACAAGGTCAAGATGGACGTGTATATCATGTCTCGCTGCCCAGGAACGTATATGTGCGTGTTGAGTATGATGCTGTGTGTGGCCAGTGGTACTTATAAATTGTGTTCTTGTAGATGCGGCAAAGGCAATGAGGGACATGGCAGCAGTATGTAAGTGTCTGGTTTATACGCTGGCTTTGCAAAAGCACGCAGATCAGCCCTAACTCCATACATGTCTTAGATTACGATAACCACTCGGCAGTCGACCTTAGAGTGAACTACATTGCGACGCCTAATGGTAATGCCACATATGGCGCCAGCTGTTTGCACGGCGATATTGAGGTAGGCATGAGCAACACGGACAATCCAGAATGCACAGCGCTGCACAGCTAAAGTTCCACAAACATAGTGCCTTGGAAATATCCAGCAACTGTGCGTGCAAGAAAAGTCAACGACCGACGACACTCTGGACTTCGTTCTCTGCCAGCAAAAGAAAGTCGAGCAGATCGGCACATGGTTGCATTTCGCGAGCTGTCTGCGGCCACTCTCGCATTGGCAGCAGATTGTCCGCTGCGTGGCTACCGACGAAGGCAAAAAGCTGTTACGAAAGAGCGCTGAATACAGTGTGCAGCACAATGCTAAGACGTCGTTGACGTTCCAGCTCAACGGCAGCCAGCGATGCGTGTTCGATCAGGGCGCATGGAAGCAGTATGACGAGGACTGTCCGGGCGGATACAGCGTGCCAATGTTCTCCAAGAGCATCAAGAGCCTGTCGGTATCTAAATAGAGATTTGTAGCCGCTATCCCAAGAAAAACCTCCCACGGACAAGTGAAGGCCAACTTAACAAAGCGGCGGTAGGACCCAAAAAGTGACTGAGCCCTGCGTCACTCTGGCCCTCCTCACAGAACCAATGGAACCGATTGATGAAGAGGCCAAAAGAAAGGCGCATCTTCCAGGTCCAGCAGTTAACAGGAGAGCGTAAAAGTACAAGGGCTTCTAAAAACTTTTGGGCCGGTTTAGATCCACTTCGTAGTATCACCCGATCTGCATGCGCTGGGTTATAGGATGGGCGATTTTTATTTCCTGCCCTCAACCATGATTATGTGATAGCCAAACTTTGTCTTGACCGGGGGGTTCGTATAGACCGGCTTGGCCGTGGTGCTCGGCTGCAGCGCAAAGGCCGCGTCCTGGAAGGCGCCGACCATCGATCCGCGCACCATCCAGCCGAGGTTCCCGCCCTGCTTGGCCTTGTCCTCGGAGAACTCGGAGGCAACCTGGTCGAAGCGCTCGCCGGCCTGGAGCTTGGCCAGGGCCTCCGTGGCCTTCGAGTGCTTCTCGCATAGGATATGCCGCACGCTGACAGCCTGGGCAGGCTTCAGCTTGCCGGCGTCCTTGGAGTCCGATCCCTCGTTGCTCTTGCCCTTGGCGCCCTTGTTCTTGCCCATGGTGTGGAAATTGTCTGCAGGTGTAGAAAGTAGTGGTCATTTTTATTTCCGGGCGACCAGGGTGCCTTGCATGTTGTACTGGGAGCTCCTCACATGCTGCGCTATGGGTAACAGGTGTATTTTAATTAACTGGCTCTAGTCCTTCTCGAGGTTGATTGCCCGACCAAACTTTCCGTACAGCTCCTTCTTGAGCACCTCCATCTCCTCAGAAATGTCAGAGATCTGCTTATCCAGGTCCTCGACGCGAGCATCAATCGCATCCTTGTTCTTCTCGACGCGCTCCTGGGCTTCCTCCAGCGGCAGCATAACAAACGTGTCGCCAACCCGGTACGGCACGGGCTCCTCCTCGTCGAGAAGCTCGATCTCCATGGCGAGGTCGTCGAGGTACTCCTTCTCAGTCTTCTGGACTCTTGTATGAATCCTCGAGGCGCTCGAGGCGCGCGTTCAGCTTGCTGAACTGGTTGATGCGCTGCTGGTCCTCCCAGTTGACTTCGACGTCACGCTCGTCCTCGTGTTGGATCTAGCATATGTGTTCTTCTTAGTGCTGGCCGAGGAATGCTGCTGGTAGTGGATGTATAGTGCCTGCTTACCAGAGGGAATTTGCCAGACATGTTCCGATTAGTGTGAAAAAGAGCCGGTGTGGGTGTATCTCGGGCGGAGCCCGTGTTCTTTTTCATCGGTCCCGGATCTTCAATGTATTGCTGCGATTACGTGTAAAGACCAAGTTATAGGACCCGGCTGCTGTGTCCATGCGCCATTGGCTGGCCGCTTTATTGAAACGCCTGTCTTGGCGGGAGATGACTGCGCAGACGCCCGCCGCTTTCTCTTTCTCCCTCGCACTAGTCCTTTCACCAGTTCTCATAAAATGGCTCGACCAGCAGGTGGCAATCAGACAAGCAATCAGAATAGCGTTGCGAATGCATTCAAGGAGTGGTACGCATCCCTGCCGCCAATTACCCGGACAGTCCTGACGGGCATCGTCGGGACGACGTTTGCAGCCGGGCTGGGCGTGGTCCCTTACCATCACCTCATCCTGTACTGGCCGTTTGTGTACCAAAAGTTCCACATCTGGCGCATAGTGACGACGTTCCTGGCGGACCGCATCTCCCTGAATCTGGTCCTTAATATGATCTTCTTCTACCGGGACTCGACGGATCTGGAGACGCAGATATTTGCGGGGCGCAAGGCCGACTATACGTGGTTCCTGCTGCTGAGCATGGCCATGACCTTGAAGCGTGTCGTGGATCACCAACACCATGATGCTGACCGAGTCGCTGCTGCTGTCGGTGGTGATGCTGTGGTCGCTGTACCACAGGGAGCAGATTGTGAGCTTTTCTGTTTGGATTCCGGTTCCCTGCCATGTACCTACCGTATGCGCTGATTGCGGCCGACTGGATTGGCCGCGGCGGCAGGTTCTCGTATGCTATGGTGTACGGCGCCTTGGCCGGCCGCGCATACTATTACCTGGCGACCGAGCTGCCAGCACAGGGCGGTCTGGACTATATCCGCACGCCGCAGTTCCTGTACAGGCTGCTGGGAGAGACGCCCAGCGCGGGTCCTGGAACAATGAGGAGTGTGTCGGGCGCTACGGACCTGCGCACAAGATACACCAGCAGCGGCGCGCGGGCGGCGCCGGTCAATCGGACACCCGGCAGCGGACACAACTGGGGTACTGGTAGACGTCTTTAAAAACTATCTATTCATACAAAACACCTATGCTTCACAGCAGGTATTTTCTGGCCAGCGCGTGCACCTTGGTGTCAAATGCCTGGGCCTGGATCGGCGCGTTGGGCTCGTAGAACGGGTTCAGCAGGGTCTTCAGGTACAGCTCGTGGCAGTCGGTGAAAAAGCCCTTGATTGAGTCCTCAGCCTTGTTCTCGTGGAGCAGCATGAGCCGCACGTTGGTGGGCGTCACGTACGCCGATACATTCCACTCGTTGTACCGGTCAACGGTCTTCAAGTAGCAGCTGTTGCTCATGAACTGCGCATCGTCGACCAGGTCCAGCGCGGCATGGGCAATGAACTGGTTCAGGTGCTTGTTCTCGTCCCTCCGCATGCCGAACTCGGTCCTCGTACAGCGGCGAGTCGTTGGTGCCCACGATGGCAAAGTAGAATGTGAGCGACATTGAAATACAGGGGGAAAGTGAGTTTGAAAAAGGCTTGTCCAGGATGAGGCGCTTTGTGTGCTGTGGATCACTGGCAAGAAAAGTTTGACCAGCCTCTCCTTTTCCTCTGCTTCCAGACGCATGCTTTTAATCAACAGAATTCCCTTTTAAATCGACACTCGCAATTTTTTTGTACTTATTCCAGCAGCAGTTTAAATGGCCAGCACAGAGGTATCCACGCGTGCCGACGAGCTGTACAGGCTGGGGGTGGAGAGTGAAACGCCGAATCGCACACAGCTGGACAAGCTGGTGGATTTCTTGCGCGTCAACCCGCTGCTCCTGTACCCGGACTACTTTAACAGGGGCTACCAGTCGAATGAGCCTGCAATCGGAGCGTGGCACGGCCAGAGCGCCAACGACTCGGACGACACGCTCGTATACCTAACGACACTGGGCGTGTGGGGGTGGGCGGTGATGGAGGACGCCTGTGTGCCTGCGGCCGCCAACCAAGCAGCTGTTCAAGACAACATACCCAGGCATGGTCCACCGCTTCCTAAAAATAGCCGGGCAGACGCTGCGCCAGATGAGCCACACGCCAGGCCCGATTGTGCGGCGCGCAATCCAGGCGCTGACGCGGTTCTGGTCGGTCCTGTACCGGCATTGCACCGACGAGGAGGAGGATGAGCGCATGTGGATGCAGGCATACAAAGAGATGCACGGGCCTGGCAGTGACTATCCGCCAGATCCCGCAACAGTCGGAGGACCCAGCCACACTGATGCATGTGGTCAAGTTCTTGGAGACAGAGGCCGCAATCTTCTCGGCAGCGCAGCAGCGTGCTGATACAAAGGGGTACGATGAGGCCAGCCTGGATCTGTGCCCTGATCAGCACCCATATCTTAACAAAGCCCAGCTGGAGGAGCGCGGCACGTCGGCACGGCAGATGCTGCTGTCGCTGCTGCCCAACAGCGAGACGCCGCGGCTGTTCAACACGACTTTTATCACCGGTATAGTGACATCGCATGTGTACCTGATGAATCTGCGACCGCAGTTTGTCACGATGCTGCTGCGACCGGTGATGGACTGGTACGAGCAAATAAACACCAACTACAACTCGATGGTGACCTCCACCCAGTCGTCCACCATTCAAAAGACCCTGCGTCTGTCGCTGTTCCAGCTGTACTGCAGGATGCTGGCTCAGGGCCTGGTGCAGAAATACTGCCCGCAGCTGGAGAGCATTCTGGATACCCTGGGCGGGTCCGAGTGGATCTCCTGGCAGAGCCGGCAGGCCCGTCGGCGCAAGTACGAGGAGGAAAAGCGCGCCAGAGAGCGCAGCAAGATGGCGTCAAGGCAGCAGCAACAGCAGCAACAGCAGCAGCAGAGACAGCGGTATAGCCAGCCTAGCTCTGCGGCCTCTGCCTGGGACCAGGCGCGTGACGGTGATTACTATTTCGATCCAGACGATGACACCATGGCTGATCAGCCAGCGCCGATGCTGCCGACCGACGCAAACTCGTTCTCGAGCATCGCGCCGCTGCCGGCCGAAATCGGGGCCATGCTCGAGTCGCTGAACCGTAACATGGCCTCGGGCAAGAAGCGCCCGGCGCACCGGCCCGAGTCTGACGACGAGGAGGAAGATGAGGAGCAGCAGTTCCGCAGGCTTGAGGAAAACACGAAGCGGGTCAAATTTGAGGCTGAGCAAGTGGCAGCAGCAGCTGTTACTGCCATCGCTGACATTGCATCCAGAGCTGCAAAGGCTGACAAGGCTGACAAGTCGGCCACGGGGGATGTTGAAATGGACGAAGAGGTCAGCGCAGCAACGGACTCCGGTCCGTTTGTGCTGCACAAGAGTGAGGACATCACGCCCGAGCTGCGCGAGCAGATGATGAACCAGGCGTTCAATCGCGTGGTGGATGCCAGCAAGAGGGTGAAGGCGCTGGTCGAAAGCATGCACGTCCAGGGCAGCCGCGATGTGGCCGAGATCAATGCCCCCAGGGTGCTGCCCAACGGGCTCAGCACCAACGCGGGCGTGCTTGAGGACGCAATGTTGCTGCTGGTGCGGCTGATCTCCAACTTTTACATCACGCAGGCAGATACCGACAGGCTTGCAACCAGCAAGCAGGCAGATAGCGTGCTGTCGCATGGGATCCGCGAGTGCATCGGGGGCGTGATCTCTTTTATCATTGAGTCACCGCGGGCACACTACCGGCTGGCCCAGCTGCTGCTGTATGAGCTCTGGCTGGCTGTAATTATCGCCAACCCCGAGCTCAAAGAGAGCAAGCCAGACGAGTTCTCGCCACTTGCGCTGTACACCGACTGGTGCACGCGCTTCTTTGATAGCATCCTTGAATCGGCAATCAAAGCCACGCTGACAGCCGAACAGCCAGCCCAGGTCGTGCCTGGCGCTGCCGAGGGCACTGTGGCAGTGCCGCCTGCCAGCAGGGCACCGCAGCATGACCGGCTGCTGTTCAACTACATCGTCGAAGCGCCGTTTTTCCCGCCTGTCCTCATTAGCAAGATGGGCACATGCCTCAGCAACCCTCGCACCGCACACATGGGCATCGCGACGCTGCGTGATGCCATTGCGCTGCGTCCGCCTGTGCGCCGCGAGGGGCTTCGTCTTCTGCTTGCCTATAGCGCGAACCCCGATAGTGCCACACGCACAGCATGCATCATTGCCGTCAAGAAGCATCACACCGATCCCACACACGCGGCGTGGATAGAGAAGATGGCACTGGATGGTATGCGTGAGAGCCTGAAGGACGCAACTGCGCAGTTTGCAGAGCTGGGGACCAAAGTGAAGGGCATTCTGGAGACGCCTACTGGTCAGCCCATGGAGGGCGATGAGGCTACAGCGCCTGAGGACCCGAAGGCACTTGCCGCCAAGGCAAAGGCTGCAGGCGAGGCTGCGATTGCTGAGCGGGTGCTTCGGCGCTCACAGCTGTTCTTAGCACTGTGCACCCGCAATACCAGCTTGCTGTCCAAAATACTCGAGATCTATGCTGATGCGATTCCGCAGGTGCAGGTCATGATCCGCCACCACATCAAGCCGCTGGTGCTGTCATTGGCGCACAGCCCAGCAAAGGTCCTGCCTGTCCTGCGCACATTCCCACCAGGAGCCGAACTGATGGTGCTGCGGATGGTGGAGCTGCTTACGCTGCAAACGGTCCCGTCCAAGGAGCTGGTTCAGACCGTGATCGATATATACAAGGAGCGCCAGCCCAGCCCGCGCGTTCTGATCTTTGTGCTCAATGGCATGACGCGCGACCAGCTGGCGCAGTACCTGCCTGAGGTTGTGCGCATGCTGAATGGCACCGAGCCCATGCACATGCTAGTCACCATGGGCTTTGACCGCCTGACCACGTCGTACCAGGGCCGCCCCAGCTGCATGAGCCCGACTGAGCTGCTCGTCGCACTCCACGCCAAGCCAATCTACGACACAGGCATCGCATGTGCGGTGGAGGCCGTGCGTATCTGCATCGACAAGGACATGGTGTTTTCGCCGCAGATCCTGGCTGCCGCCGTCAAGATGCTGCTGGAGCAGGACGAGGTGCCACCTCTGCTGCTGCGCACGGGAATACTCTGCCACAAGAAGCACCGGAGCACTGCTGGCCTTATCAACGGCATGCTCAATACCTTGGTCGAGCGTCGTGTGTGGCAGATGCAGGACGATGTCTGGCAGGGATTCGTGCTGTGCTGCTACGAGTTGCTGCCGGCAACGTTCAAGGTCATGTTCAGCCTGCCACACGAGCATATGAAGAGGATGATCGAGCTGGACCCGCGGCTGAAGAAGGCCGCTAAAGGAGTACGCGTCAAAGTTCCCGCGTGGCAGCCGTCGCGACCACTACCAGTGGCTGCTGGAGCTTGGAGTAGCTCTTGGTTTGTATCTGAAAATATATGGTTTTTGTAGCGACCCGATGTCCTGGCGCACTGGAACCCCCTGGCCCAGCCTGCTGCTATTTGCTGATCAAAGAAACGTGACTGCATGCAAGCCGCACAGCTATTTCGGAAATGAACTTTTGAGGCATACTCCGAGTCCAGTTCGCTGGCAGGTCCTCAGCGATTTCCTCTGGTGGCGGTCCCGGATTTGCGATCTACGTTAGCAAGAAATAGAAATGGACCGCCTTTCGTCATTGTGCAGCTGGAGTCCAGCTCGCAGAACTCTTGGTTTCTGCTATTGTTGCGTCCTATTGTCCTGTTTAGCCTCTGGTGCCACAACTCGGAATAGGACTAGCACAATCCAGGTTAGACAGAGAGAGCAGCAACAAAGGCGATGATGGAAAGGCAGTAGCGCAGCAATGGCCATCCGAGTCGCGATGCATCGTGCGAGCCATGTGCTGGCTCCTTTCCCATGTCCATGTCCCATGTCATGTCCATGAAACTGCATGGCCTCCTTTCTGGCCTGCATCCTGGAAAGCGCACAGAAGTGCAAGTGAAAAACAGCTGACAGCTATCAAGCTTGGCCAAGCTCGGACGGTGATCGTTTTGTCTGGGCATCTGCAGATTCCCCCTTACCCGTCTAGCAAGCCAGTTCTATTTTTAAAAACAGTCTAACCGGTCCGCTCCAGAGGAGCCGCGCCCCGTCATTGATGATTGGAGCTAGAATCGTAAAGGATGACCTAATAGATATTGCCAGGCTCTGGGAAGAAGGGTGCAACAACAAACACCACAGCTGGCGCTGAATGGCCTGCAGTCTGTCCAATGCCCATGCTGCACCAGCCCAAAAAACCGTCAGTCCTTCTGCCGATCCCTTATTTTTACCACACGCATGTCTCCCCCCATTTCTTTGTGTTGATTGCAATCAACATCCCTTATTCGCGCATTCTCCACCTTGCACTGGGCGGCCAGTCTGTCGCGAAAGACGAAGAATGACTACGGATATAGAGCGAGTCCGCCATATCGGCGTCTCCACGCGCTGAACGCAGTAGGATAATGAAAAACGTTCCCAAGTTTACGACGAAAAAAAACAACAACGAGCAGTACCCTTCGGACAAAGGCGATGTTTTTGGCAAACTCGTCGTTTTTCGTGCCTCGTATCCCAATTGACGAGCTATTCGCTGCGCTAGTTCGTCTCTTTTCCTTTGCTCCCTCTTCACCTATTTGCATTTTTCACACCTTCTTTGCGAGAGTTGCGTTGACGCAGACTTTCCCTCCCTCCTCACCCTTTCCGCGTATTACCGAAGTTTTATAGAGGCCAAGTTAAAATATAGCCCTTCCCGTGCGCTAGTTCTTATTGTCCACTTGGCTTGTTATATATCCCTTTCCCCTCACTTTCCATCTCCCCCTTCGACCTCTTTAGGTTGCAAACCAATCACCACCACTCTATCCGACCTTTTGTATTGAAATATTGCAATGATTTCGATTGTGCGCAACGCTGTCGCCTTGGCTGCTGTTGTCTCGTCTGTGCTGGCTCACAGCTGGGTTGACTGCGTCAAGTACGACCCGGTCAACCAATCGTGCCTCGGCTACCCGCGCGGGTACCCGGGGCGGCAAGATGCCAACATCAACACCGAGTACACGTACCTGTTCAGCGGATCGCCCTCTTCGCAGGCCATGTGCAATGACAAGCAGCAGGCATCGATGAACTACCCGGGCAACTTCAAGATGGCGACGGTGCAGCCGGGCGAGACGGTGTACACGACATGGGAGATGAACGGGCATCTGAACAACGAGAGCCCGACGACGATCAAGGTCCTGTACTATCCTGACTCGTCCAAGGAGTTCATGGATGTGAAGGAGCGCGACACGTCGATGGTTGCTGGCTCGATGGAGTTTGCGACGAACGGGAACTGCTACATCCCGGACAACCCGAACTCGGTGTGCTTTGGGAGCTGGAAGGTGCCGCAGGACCTGGATGCCCGGGCAGACATATCACTTTGTGTGGTTCTGGTACTTCAACGCGAACCCTGCCGGCCAGTGGTACTCGTCCTGCTTCGACCTGAAGGTCGAGTCCGAGAGCCACGTCGTCGATAGCTCCAAGTCCATGGGTGAGCTGCTCAAGAAGGGCCAGCCGTCGCTCAGCTACGTGTATGGATTCAACAGCAAGGTCGAGGCCCAGGTTGCCGATGTCACATCGCTGAGCCGCTATGCCCATGCTGCCAACACATCGACCTCCGCCGCCCCCATGTCGACGCCTGCCCCGATGACCTCAGCCGCCCCCATGGCCTCTCCTACCGTGTCGCTCGACGATAACGGCCGGAACCCAGACCCCATGGCTGCTTCTACTAGCTCGGCACTGGCCAGCTCGGCACCGGCCAGCTCGGCACCGGCCACTGCTGCGACAGAGCCCCCTATGCCGTCTGCGGCACCGACCTCATCCCCAGTTGCTTCGCTCGAGGTTGCCACTGTTCAGGATCCCAAGCACCCCGGGCCGCACGCTGAAGTGCTACCGCAGACGCCGTCCTGCCAACTAAGAAACGCGACAACGACTTCATGAGCCTTTTTTTCTCACGTCTTGCTAAATTACGTATGCAGTGATGTGCCTTCCCCACCTCCAGGCTGTATGCCGTGTGTTGCTCAATGTACATGTGTCGATCTGCCCCATCTCCCTATTTTGCTCTCCTGGTGCCATACATGTCCACGCATCTCGTCCCAGCAGGCTGGTCAATACTATGTGGTTTTACTTTTTCGTGCAATGTCTAGTTCTTGTAGTCCTTGGGGCCCAGCATGTCCTCAGGGCGCACCCACTGGTCAAACTGCTCCTCGTTGAGCGAGCCCAGGGCAATGGCCGCCTGCTTCAGCGTGGTGCCCTCCTTGTGCGCCTTCTTGGCGGCAGCAGCAGCATTGTCATAGCCAATGTACGGGTTCAGCGCAGTGACCAGCATCAGCGACTCGTGCAGGATCTTGTTGATGCGCTCCTCGTTGGCCTTGATGCCGACAACGCAGTTCTTGCGGAACGAGTCGCTGCCGTCGGACAGCAGGCGGACCGAGTGCAGCACGTTGTAGATCATCATGGGCTTGAACACGTTCAGCTCAAAGTGGCCGTTGGCGCCACCGAAGGTCACCGCCGTGTGGTTGCCCATCACCTGCGCGCACAGCATCGTCATCGACTCGCACTGCGTCGGGTTGACCTTGCCCGGCATGATCGACGATCCAGGCTCGTTCTCGGGCAGCTGCAGCTCGCCGAGGCCGCACCGCGGGCCACTGCCCAGCAGGCGGATGTCGCTGGCAATCTTGAACAGCGAGACGGCAATGGTGTTCAGGGCGCCCGATGCCTCAACCAGCGCGTCATGCGCCGCAAGGGCCTCGAACTTGTTCGGCGCCGACGTGAACTGGTAGCCAGAGATGTTCGAGATCTCCTCGGCCATGGCCTTGTCAAAGCCGGTGTACGTGTTCAGGCCTGTGCCCACAGCAGTGCCGCCAATGGCCAGCTGCGACAGGCGCGGCAGCGCAGGCCTCGATGCGCTCGATACCGTTGGTCAGCATCTGCGTGTAGCCAGAGAACTCCTGGCCCAGGGTCAGCGGGGTCGCGTCCTGCAGGTGGGTGCGGCCGATCTTGATGATATTCTTGAACTCGTCCTGCTTGGCCTGGAAGGCGTCGCGCAGGGCGGTCAGCGCAGGGATCAGGCGCCGGTTGATCTCGGTCACCGCCGCAATGTGCATGGCCGTCGGGAACGTGTCGTTCGACGACTGGCTCTTGTTGACGTGGTCGTTCGGGTGCACGGGCTTCTTTCGAGCCGAGCTCACCGCCCAGGAATCTCGATCGCACGGTTGGCAATCACCTCGTTGACGTTCATGTTCGTCTGCGTGCCCGAGCCCGTCTGCCAGACCACCAGCGGGAAGTGGTCCATAAGCTTGCCCTCGATCACCTCCGTCGCTGCCTGCTGGATCGCCTCGCTGGCCGTGGAATCAAGGCCAAAGTCGCGGTTGACGATGGCTGCCGCCTTCTTCAGAACGCCCATGGCCTTGATCACAGCATCGGGCATCCGGTCGGTGTCGGCGCAGATGTCAAAGTTCATCTTGGAGCGGGCGGTCTGGCAGCCGTAGTACTTGTCGGCCGGCACCTCGAGCTCACCCATGGTGTCGCGCTCAACACGGACCTTCTAAAAAAAGACATCGGTTTGGTTAGCGGCTGCGTACGTTGCGAGTTCGTCTCATGCCAAATTATATTGATCTTTACCGAGAGCTGGGCAGCAGCAGCAGTGAAAGTGCGCACAGCACCCTGGCTGGACTGCGCCTTGGCGGCAGCACGGACTCCAGAGAGGAGAGCCTGGCGGAGCTAAAGCTGATGGGCAGATGGAGGGTGGGTCGGGGCCTCACAGGAGTGGTAGAGCAGACAAAAGAAGCATGGGAGGAGATACACCAGGGAAGGAGACGGTAGACAGGAAGCAAGGTAGCAGGGTGGGTTTAGTACATTGGCCGATGGAGCTGACACGGTTAGCTGGACACGCTTCTCTCCTTGGACGTGTCCTGTTGTTGCGCTCTTCTGAATTCGTGCTACTTACAGCGCCGTTCTTGAGAATAGGGCCAGCAGGAGACATCGTTGCTTTTGTCGCTTACGTAGACGGGGACTATTGAAAGTTCAAGGAATGGATGGAAAGAGAAAAGCAGTGCTCCTCGGAGATTACGATGCCTCGCACTGCCTTTTATACTCCCCCTGACCCGCCGTGTCGCGCTGCCCGTATCTCTCGACAGCCCCCTTTTTTCGCCCGACCCGGGGAATGCACACCTTTGTCGCCTCGCTGTGTCACTCGTCCCGAGTTGATCCTGCAGTGAACGGACCACCCGGCTTTAGGGCGAAATGCTCCGACCAAGGCGCGCTGTGCACTGCCAGCCAGCATGGGGCTTTTTGCGATAAGCGTGATCGCTGATCCGAATCCCAGGATTCTGCGATCAGTGCCATTTCGAGTGAGCAAGCTTGCCAGCAGCCATTTCGTGCATTGCGGCTTTTTCGCGCCGTTCACTAAGCAATTCGACTAATTTCTACACCTGCAATGTCGCCCGAAGAGAAAGAGAAGGCTAATGACGCCAAAGCCGCCTGTCGCGGCACCCAGCCTGCACCCCAGCCTGCAGGTTGCCTCGCTAACGCGGCGAGAGGAGAACAAGGTGATCGAGCTGAAGCGGCAGCAGTCGTATGACCGGTGTGCCGACGCCATGCGGTTCTTCTCCGAGTGCAGCGCCAAATACACGATCAGCGTGGTCTGGAACTGCAAGGAGCACAAAAACATCATGAACGAGTGTCTGCGCCGCGCCAACACTGTCGATGACATGGATCGGGCGCGCGCAATCTTTGTCAGCGAAGAAGCTGGCCAAGCTTGACGATATCAAGGACAAGCCGCGCACGCTCATCTAGCATGGCAATATGTATTTGAGAAATATATCTGCTCCGTGTCTACTTTTGCTGTTTCTTAGTCGGCAGAATGTGCGGCGGCTTTGGGATATCGCTTTGCTACCTCGGCCTTGGTCAGCCGGTGTACAGCGTCCTTGGATGTCAAGTACCCAATTCCGCTGAGAACCGTGGTGGTTCCAGGTGATCCACTGCAGCGCCACCAGCCCTGTGTGGTCGACTGGAATGCCAAAAACTGGCGACGTAAGCGTAGCCACCATCAGTGGACAGCTGCAGCGCCGTATTCCACTTGCTGATCTGCGTCGGCCGTACCTCGACTGACGGAATCGACAGATCAAAGTACCGCTTCAGAGTCTTGGGAGCCGGCAGCGTCGTCCACCGGATAAAGAATGCCGCCAGCGACAGCGCCAGATCGCGTCCGATAATAACTGCTGCCAGGGCTGTTGGCAAGAGCCCGCCATATGCCAGTGCCACCGTCAGTGTCGTCATCAGCACCTTGTCGGCTGCTGGGTCGATAATCGAGCCGACAAACGACATCATATTGTATTTGACGCGCAATATATCCATCCAGCGCATCGGTCAGCCCAAACACGACACATCCGGTAAGCGCTAGGACCATATCGTTGCTGCACGATCAGATATCCTATGTACGGCGACGACAGGATCCGCGCCATGGTCAGTGCATTCGGAATTGTCAGCACCTTTTCGTGGTGCTCCTTCACCACAACCGTCCTGCTCCTGCTTCACTTCCGACGGACTCTTTGATTCGGTTGAGTAAGCTGCATAGCTTCTAGCCAGCCTGCCTTTACCCGCAATTCCCCCTAGTGTATGTGTGATTGTGTGCAGCCACCGCTTATCTACTGGGCTGTGCCTCTGCCATGCTTGCCCGGTATTGGCAAGCCTGAGAATCTGGTATCGAATCGATTGTGTGAGTGGAATCCGTGTGTCAGCTGCTCTCAGGTATCGCAGAGACGAAGGGCTGCCGATTCTACAAGAGAAATAGGTCGGTTCACGACTGCAGGTTAGTCAACAGAACTCTTACCGAAAGTGCAGGTCCATGGCGCGGCTACATACCTCGGCAAGTTCAGACTGCCAGATAGACTGCTCCTCATTGCAAAAGCCATGGCCGAGTTCTAATTCAACGCAAAATAAAGAAAACAAGCAAAAAAAAAAAAGTAAAACAAGTTAACGGAAGGCGGCTATCTGCCCCTGCAGGAAATGGCAGCTCTCGAGTATAGCTGATTTGTGGCAGACCCGGAACTATGGCGAAAATCGCTGATCTGGTTTCTGTTCACTTTTTAATCTGCATGGAAACCAGCAGACCCGATCCAATTTCTCAATACAAAAATGTGTGCCTGGTACCATATAGGCAGTCTTTTTGCATGGCACACACAGAGTGGAGAAAGAAAAGTGGGTTGCACAGCCTAGAACGGATCTATATAATACCGGCCGACCTTGGAACCAACAGTTTGGGCTGTTCGCCAGAGCATAAATGGATGCCATTTTGGAGCATACCCTCGGAGATGTCGTCGGTAGGCACAGGGCCTTTCTACCTATCCAATACAATACAAGTTAGATTCATGACAGTAAAACAATAGCACGCACATTTACTTGGCCGTTTGGTTGTCAGCGCTCTTCGACACTTCTCTATAACACCTTTAGCCATAGACCGGATTGGACGATGCAGTGCTGATTCAAGCAGAGCATTTTTAACTATTCGCGTATCACTCTGGCCAGACATAAATATACCACACCAATAGGAGTGCCATCGAATAGATGCTATTTTCATTCGGACAATATTGGCATGGTTTTATGCAGGCCTGATATCTCTACAGGGCATTTGGCTGGAGGAAATCAATATACAAACTGATATTTGGGTCACGAAACGGATACAAAGACATGTGTTGTGCATCCTAAAGAATCCAGCTCTTATCATTAGCAAATGCTTTATTGACATCCATTGAAAAGTATTCCATGTCTTGTATATGAATATTAGCTGTACATGTAGGCAAAAGACCCAATGGCCTGAATTGGCATTCATTGATTTAATTAAAAGCGCATGTCCATGGTATTCACTATTGTTTGTTTTCTCTTTCCAAAACAGTGAAAACATACGCCAGTTACCAAATATAGCTGATGTGTTAAATGCCCCTCTTTATAGTCGCTTGGTGGCAGCCATTCTATATCGCTGTTATGGCGTCCTGCTCGAATGTGGTGCCTCGTCGTTTGTGTATGCAGCCATAAACTATTCATACTATATGGCCAAGTAGAGGCATGACTAGCATACATTATCGAGTACTCGAATGAGAGTAAAGGACTGCTGCCTAGTTTCGTTTCAGCCTCCACTTTGCATTTCCTGAGTACGCAGCAGAATGTGCAGCAATTGTGGTCAGAAGATCAATTCGCATATATTGCAATGGGGGTGAGGTAGTGAAAATACAATGTAAAAGGACAAAGACTTACTCATGTTCATCACTATCAACTAAATTTTAATAGCCCAAACCAACATCATCCGCACAAGTTTTTGCTATAGTGGCCACCTGCCAGCTTAAACCAGATCAACCTAAATACGTCTCCAAAGAGCAGTAACTCATCTCACCATCGTAGTTCAGCAGTGGCTTCAAGACACCACCAGATTGCGAGCTGAAGCTGTTTTATTGCTAATACATACAACAGTCTATTGTTTAGTGGAAAGTAGCGAGTACTAGCATTCCACCAGACCTCTTTGCTAAATAGCAACATCAAATACCACACATATATTTAGCGTGTTTCACATATACGATCACGTTCCAACCTCAGTAGCAGCTCTACAGCAGCATTCTATTACTCAACATTATTGCCAATGACCAATACTAACGAAGGTCAAGTCTATGCCGGGTGTCGTCAATACTACTGGCAAAGAGCATGCATCGCAAACCGGTGCGACAATCGACCAGTATGGTGATAGTCTGAATATCATCCCTGTTGGCACGCCAACCCGCGACGAGCTCGAGTCATACAACTTTCGAGAGGCTCAAGTACTACTACGCTGTGCAGGCTTCGATCAACAAGGGCTTGCCATTTGGCTCAGTCCCTCCGGCTATGAGTTCAATCCGCTAAACGCTCCCGCGAGAGCCATCTCCCAATCGAGCACTTCATGTCGGTTGTGGACTACCAGGGTATTCTCCAGGGATTCATTGCCGGACTGATCAAAGCCAGGCGGATTCTGGAGATCGGCACATTCATTGGCATCTCTGCAATCTTCCACGCCAATGCACTGAAGCGCAATGGTGTCAAGGGCGGTGCTGATGAGACTGGGCATAAGCCCATCGTATCTTTCGAGATCAGCGAAGAATATGCAGCCAAGGCCCGTGCTAACATCATCGAGGCAGGCGTCGACGAGTATATCGATATTATTGTTGGCGACGCGAACAAGCTCCTGGCGCAGCTCGAAGGAGTCACTTTTGATATTGCGTTTCTCGATGCCGACAAGATCTCGTACAAAGGATACTACGAAACCATCATGGACAAGGGCTTGGTCAATAAGGACGGACTGATCATTGTGGACAACACTGCCTTTGAGAGTGTTGTTGCATACATTGATGCGCCGGTGCCCTGTAGCTGACGATTACAAACCACTGGGAATATTTGCGAAAACCGATTATATGTCAAAGGAATGGGCGGTTGCACTGCACGAGTTCAACGAACATATTCGCAACGGACCCACGCGTTGAAGTCGTTATGATCCCTCTGTTTACTGGGATAACTCTAGGTTCGCTTCATCAACTAAATAGCTGTCCATATTCTATTCAAACGCGCACTTTCAATCGCACTCAATATATCATTGGCTGGACACATCACAGCATGGATATCATTATTTACACATGATAATTTCAGACAATGCAGCTTTTGTTGCATGCTGCCCATGACCGATATCGGCGCCAAAAACACAGCTAATGCAGGCGACCGGGAAACAGATATATAACAATAAGTGCCCAGATCCCGCTGAGAACAATGGCAGCGATGACTCGGACCTCTGAGAAAGGATAGTGGATATCTTTCAATACATGGCGCCACGATTGCACACAAATCGAAGATGTTCGAGTCATGATGGATATATAATTCTACCAACACTCCAGAGCCTGCAGTCGCTGTCTTTTCCTTTCTTCTTTATTTGTGCAAAACCACATTCAAATTCCTGGCAATACCCTGAATGCAGCACATTAAAGTCAACCATCCGATGGTCTGATCCTTTATGGTATCGGCTGGAATAGGAAACTGCGGAAAATAATCAGAAAGCAGCCATGATACTATATCTAAATTCATGTGTCGTGCCTTTAACTACCAAGCTACTCTGCCAGAATGAACTGGCACATACTCAATGTCGTTGACCTCTTGCTGCCTCCCACAGACGGCGATTCTCGCGACGGCGATCACCCCGGCGCCTTGCCAGAATGACAGCGACCAGCAGGCCAAACAGGCTGACACCAGTGGAAAGAATAAAGGCGTCGCGATAGCACCCACCCTTGTAGCACTTTTGACGGGTCCTGGTCAGGCACATTTCGAGTCGTAGATGAAGCCAAAGAACGCTCCCAGCGCCTGGCCGCTAAACCCAATGCTGGCCGAGGTAAGACCCCAGTTGGAGCCAAAGTACTTGGTGCCAAACCACACGCTGACAAGTGTGGGCACAAAGCCGAAAATGAAGCCGTAGCTGAGGCCAGTCCATGCGCTGCCAACCCACAGCATGGTCAGGTTCTCGGCGGAGCCAACAATGACCTGCGAGATGACCGTGTTCAGCACCACAAACACCAGCACGCCCGAGCGCGGGACCCGCCACATGCGCTTGCAAAAGTCTACCACAATGCCGATCGTCAGGCGGCCCAGGAAACTGGCCAGGGAGACAGTCGCCACGTGGTTGTTGATCAGCCGCTGCGCCACGCTCGGCTCGGGCGTGTCAGTTGACGAGTGGTATAGCGCATTGACAATGGTGCCCACGTTGTTGTTGTAGAACACTCCGATGCCAGCCGAGAGGAATAGCACCAGCGCCAGCAGCTGTGCCTCCGGGTCGGAAATATAGGCGAATCCGCCAAGGTCACGCGCCGTGTCGTAGTCGACGCCGTCCTCAGTTGTGCCTGCCGTCGCTTGCGCAGCCGAAGATGGCTGCGGAGTGCCGGTGACTGCGGACTCGATCTCCGAATCTGATGGCATCGGGTTCTGCCCGGGAGACGCAAGCGACTGGGTGACGGCCTCGTAGTTGGCGCCATTGGGCTTGGGGATTCCGCTGCGTGCGTGGATAAGCAGCCCGCGATCCTCCGAATCCTCGCTGCTCCTCGAGAAAAAGTCGCTGGCAACAGAGGCAGAGTCGTTAGGCTACATCGACCACAAAGCCATCCGGCACGTCACGCCTGAACCGGCTTGGCCCAAAGCCGACTACCGAGAGCATCAGTGCGCCCAGAGTCGACGCTGTCAGGCCCAGGTACGACAGGAACTTTAGGTATCCGAATGTGTTTGGGGTTTCGCCCGATGCGAAAGAACAGCGAGTTCACATGGGACAGCACAAACGGGGAGAGCCCGAAGAACGCAATGCACAGAGACACAGCGCTGCCGCGGTTCTGCTTGAAGTTCTTCGTCGTTGTTGTTACCGCCGCCATGTTTGCAGCCTGCGCCGCCAGGCCGACCAGCACCATGTAGCCAGCCAGGACTATCCAGTTGGGCAGGCCCAGGGTTCCATCAAACGTGTACGCCAGTGCCGAGAACGCTGTGCATCGAGACTATCGCGGCAAACACAGAGAGCACCTTGGGGCCAACAGTGTCGGCAGCCCATCCAAAGAACGGCCCTGAGAGCAGCAGCCCGTAGTTTGCCGAAATTGCCACCACATTGCTCTGCGTGCTGGTCAGGCGCAGTTTGTGTGAGAGCGCGGGTCCATAGGTAGAGAAGAGATACACCGTGCCGGCTGTGGTTGTCGACAGGCAGGCGCCAAGCATGGCCAGTGTCCGCAGGCGATAGCGCTGGCCACGGGTAGACATTTTTAAGAAATAGAATAGTACACAAAATATTTTTTTGAAAAGGGAAGAGTGAAGCGAGGACCCAAGAGTGCAGAAAAACGTTCGTCAGCGTGATTTGCACGTTGGGTGCCATTCCCGAAAGCGGAGAGATAAAGCAGCTCCTGGTCACCCAAGGCGTGACTTCCAACGAGCTCCAGTTGCCAGATTAGACGGACCTCTGGGTCACACAGACCTGCATGTGCACCAAAGGGCCAGGAGCGCCAGCTCCGCTGGGACGGCTCCCCAGCCGGCAGCGGCCATAGAGGGCTATAGATCATTCCATTCCGGCTGCTCAAACACGGACTCACATCGCTACATGTAGGCTGCCCAGCCAATATACATCTGAAACAGCCGCTTTGGATCAGTTGCCTCGCGAATCAGCTCGTCGACGTGTCCCCTCGACCGACAGCGGGGGCTGGCCCTGGATCACGCCCTGCAGCTTCTTGCTGATGGTGGCCAGGCTCTTCGTCGCCTGCTCATTCGGGTGCGTCGCATTTCTGGCGGATGCAGAGGGTCTGCTCGCAGACCGCGTGCGCCTCGACCATTCGACCAGCGGGTCGTGCACAAATGCCTCAAGCACCGACATCAGCGCATCGCGGTGCTCGCGCAGCAGCCGCAGCGTCATCTCGCAGGTCTTGCGGAACGTGCCCTCGTACCCGGTGACGCCCATTCGCGTCAACCATGTTGTGCGTCAGCCGGAAGGGAACCTTTTCGGGCTTCTCCAGCGAGAGGCCCTTCTCGAACAAGCAGTTGAAGTCGACGTGGACCGCATCGCCCGAGCCTTCGTCCAGCAAAATGTTCTCGCAGTGGCGGTCGCCAAGCCCGAGGATATATCCGACAATCGACATCACTGCTGCTGGTCTTTGTGAACGCCGTGCGGCTAGCCAGCCAGCGAGGCGGGTCGGGGAACGACTGCAAAAACCACTCGTGCATCACCGACGGGAACATTGGCAGCAGCTGGGAGTTAAACAGCTCCTCAGGCGACGGGCTTGTCTTGTCCAAAATGGCCTTGACCTCAGGACATCTGGATCGCGACACCATGCGCCTTGTACAGCTTCATCAGAATCTGGCGAATGCCTGTCGTAGGGCCGACCCACTGGATCAGCCCGCACTCCTCGTTCAGCGGGACTACCATGTACGTGCGGATACGGAGGTTGCGCTTCTGCGTCTGCGAGTTCGCCTGCAGTAGCTGGTTGATCATCGCATTGAACTCCATGAGACGCGCATCTTTGCGCAGGTCATCCTTGGGCTTGCACAGGAACCGGTAGTTGCGGCCGTCGCTGCCCACGATCACAATCTTCTTCGGCCGCTGCAGCGAATGCATGACCTCGACTTCATCGGCAAAGCTGCTGATCGTTGGCAAGTCTCCGGAAAATGGCTGGTGCAGCATCGCCTGCTGCGAGGCTGTCTGCGCATTGCCGCCGGCAGCAGCGCTGGCGCCGGCTCGCGCCGATGATAGCGCGAGCTCATACTCGGCGCCGCTGCGAGACTGTGTCCGGAAGCGTCGGCGCCAAGCTGCTCTGCAGCGGAATGATGATGTCCAGCGGGGTGCACCGGGCCAGTTCTCGGAAATCCTTCGCCATGCGCATCGTCGTGACTGAGCGCGAGGGAGGAGCCGCATTGCAGAGACCGAGTAGCAAGTCGGTCAGCTTCGATGCCTGGTTGATCAGACCTGCAACTCCGCGGTTGCGCCCACGGACCCACCGGTGGCCCTACATTAGCCGCATGAGATACCCTAGCCTTGGCCAAAATCGCGTTGCATCGCTCAGCACGCGCCTGCATACGTTGACCGCTGCACGCCGACCAGCTGCCATAGTGTCTGCTGCGGGTACATCTCCAGCACACTCAGAATGATGTGCTCCAGAACCTGCAAAGACATCCTCGTTTCGGATGGCAGATGCGCGAGACGAGCTGCTGACAGAGCAATGAGGAAGTTGTAGGTTGGCAGCCGCTTCACCATATTGCTGACCACCCGGTTCGCGGTGTTGAAGCGCTCGACGACCCGGCTCTGCCTGGTGTCAGCGAACCTCATAACGAACACGCCGGCGTCAAGCCAGATGGTGAGCAGCCGTGGCAGCGCCTGGAACAAGAACCGCGAGCTATAGATGATTGTGCGCGAGTAGTGCCTGATCACGTAAAACTGCATCGTGGTGATCTGGAAGTCCCGGTGGTCCTGGTTCTTCACGCCTCGCGACGCCTCTCTCTCGGTGATAGAGGTAAACAGGGTATCGTACATGCGGCCCAGCGCATAGTGCGCTTTGTCGCTCTCCTGAACACGCAGGATGCTCTGGTAGTGCGAAATAAGCTTCGTCGGGTTGATTGAGTGTGTCACGTACTGCCATTGCGACAGCAGCAGTGAGGCCTTGGTATACGCTGCCTTTATGCCGTCCAGATCCTGCGACTGCTGGTTGTGATCAGCGCTGTCGCTGCTCGATACATTGACGCCGGCGGTATACGTCGACTGAACTGCCTGGTCGCTGTCGCCCTTGACATTCAGCTTGTCCGCTAGCATGTCGACTGTGCGTCCAATATCCGCCATAGCATCTGCCGTGTGTCCTTCATCCCACAAAATCTGCGCATGCTCTGTCTGCAGCGACGCCAGCAGACTCGTGGAGAGCGGGCCACTGAGCTCGGCGTGTATCAGAATACCCATCGCAGTGGCTCTGAATCCGGCCATGCGCGCCAGCTGTGCTGCTTGCAGATGGGACAGCACATTGTGTCTAGTTAGTATCTCTGACACTGCTGCTGCTTGATGAGTATCTGGTTCAGCCCCACTACTGCCAAGTCCATCAAGCAGCATGTTGTAGAGCGAACTGTGCAGCGCTAGCACCGGCTCCTGGATCGAGTAGACAGGCGGCAAGCATGCGATGCGTGCTCGCCACTGCTCAACCAGGCTGTTCAGCGCGCTGGCTGAGATTCCATTCTCGCCTGGCGCCGCACAGTTCAAGCGCTGTGCCAGCAAGCCGATATCGCCGAGCATGTGTGTGTAGATCAGGTCAGGCGATATGTTGGTGTCCATCGGCGCCTGCGTGCCAGTCGATGGCGAGTTGAACGAGACTACGGTTTCAGCAATATCGCGCCCGACATTTACCAGAGTGCGACTGGCCAAGTCAAGTGCGGTTGGCCTATGACTTGATCCGCCTTGATCCGGCGCACAGACCGCCAGCGACAGCGGGAGTGCCAGCTTGCATAAATCGCTGCGCTGGTGGTACACCCGGGCCAGCAGTGCGCTGAGCGTGGTGTCGAATGTTGCTGCGGAATCGTACTTGAATGAACCCTGGTCGCGTGTCGTAACCTTGTCCTCAACCCAGTCCCATTTTCCTAGTCGCCAGGCCGCTGCCAGGCACGCCGAGTTCAGCTGCTTGTCTTCACGACCACTGGGCTCCATTTTGTACAGCTCGTGGGAAGCTGCCCACGCGCCTTCCCACTGGCCCATGCTCTGCAGGCACCGGATCCAGGCCATCTGGAACTCGGTGTTATCGGGCTGCGACCGCAGAAGCGACTCGTGGCCGATCAGCGCGTGCGACCAATCCCCCTCGATCTCGTACTTGAGAATGGCCGATTTGTGGTCTGTCTGCTTCCGACATGCGGCCGCGCCAGTGACGCCGTCAGCATCGCCCATGTTAAAGTAGAGCTCCTGAATCGCTGCTACCGCCGAGTCGTCAGTGTTGCGGAACAGCGTCGGGTACTTGCCGAATGTGCCCTCGCGCAGGGACAGCTCGGTGTGCTGGATGGCGCGCTCGTACTGGCGGCAGGCACTGGCGGCTGCTGCAATCAGCGAGTGTGGGATCGATGCGACAAGCGCTGCCAGCGTCTGCTCGTCAGGCGGCAGAGGCACATCCTTGATGCTTTTCCGGGTAGGCCGCTTGCTGGCTGCGCGGGCACTTTGCTGTGTGCGCAAGAATCGGTTCAGAGAGTCAAGCAGATCCAGCGCTGCCTCCTTGCAGAGTCGCCACTGCTCAGCTGGCATCCTGACTACTTCCGCATCGCATGACAGCACCGCCTGGATCTCTTTCGATATCAGCCCAAGTGTCCTTGGCCATGTTGCGCTACTACCGCTCTCCATGTCGACATCCTCTGATGCTGGATCGTCCGAGCCCACTGTGATAACCTCTTCTGGGCTATTTGGCTTGGTGCTGTCCTGCAGCGACAGCAGGCAGTGCTGATAGATGAGCTGCGGCAAAAGAAAAAGCAGCATATCTGTCGACCCTTCCTTGATCGCACTGGTGCAAGCCTTGAACAGCGATGCAACCGGACTATCGCCAAGCTGGCCAATAAGCTCAATGACCCAGCTACGCAGCCACGAGACCTGGCTAGACGTCCGCACAATACAAAGCGTCTGTGCATGCTGCAGGTCAGCCGCCGATGGCAAACGCGACGATGACTGCGACGTGTACTTTGAGTCAAGCAGCGGCATGATGATCTCGACAACATGCGGCGGTAAGAGCTCCCAGCGCTGGCGGATCTTGTCTATCTTGGCGTGATCTTGTGCTTTTGTTCCTGATCGCTGGGACTTGCTGCCACGGGTCTTCCTCTTGTTTCCCAGGCTTTGTGGACTGTGACTGGGCTGGGTCGCCCTTGGCTGTCGAAAGAGAACGTCATTTGTGAATTCAACTTTTCGCAGCAGCTCTTGGATCGCATATGCAGCGTACGACTGGATCCCTGATGACGGCGCCAGCGCAAACATGTGCGACAGGATGGTCAATGACAAATGTGCACACAAACTCGCGCTGTTCTTCGCTGTCGCTCAAGTCGCTCAGCATCGGAATGCTGTCAACATAGCCGCCACCTGCCGCGACTCCGCCGGTGCTGATATGGCTGACGACTTCGCGAAGTTTGTGGCTGTCGATGAATCCAATGACCTGCCAGGCATGCCGCACAGTTTGCCGCCGCCATATCGCCAAGCCTTCCAGTGACCTTGCACGCTGCCCGTAGCGCCTCTGCAGCATTGGACCAGCAGTGACGCATCTGCCAGCGTGTCGCTGCGCGATTTCACATCGTCCCAGATATCTGGCTCACCGCTTGCGCCTGGCGAGAGTGCGGACTTCCACATGGTGATTTGTTTCTCGTGCTGCTTCAGCAGCAGACACATCTCGCGCGATGTGCACAGGACAGTGGTGGCATCCTTGGTCTTGAGCAGCTGCGTCAGCTGCGCCAGCCGCTGCCGGAGGCTGTGATGGGTGTCTGAGTCGCGCAGCGCAGCGTAGCTTCGAGAGAGCAGCGGATCGTCTGGGATTGGGCAGATGCTGGCGTAGTTATTCTGGAGTGCACTCCTGTGGATCTGGACTATCTTGTTGACACTCTCTGCTGCGCCCGATCGCACGTCGCCGGCAGAGACCAGGAATGTGGTCAACAGCGGCACGACCAGCGAGTTGAGTTGGTCGGCGGTCAATGATACCTGGACTCAGGACTCACTGCCAGCAAATCCCACGACTTCAGCGCCACTTCTGCCAGCGGACCGGCCAGTCGATGGCGACAGTGAGGCCACAATGTTGTTAGTATGCAGTGCTGCGTGGGACCCAAGCAGGACAACCAGCTCTCCCATTGCGCGGAGTGCCTTGCGCTGCGACTGCTCGCTACGATGGCTGTTTACTGAGTCGCCCCTTGCGCTAGCCGTCGCCGGGTCTGTGCTCCGGAGCAAATCGTTCATGTACGCCAGCACGCCCAGGACGTGTTTAGATAGGAACTCTGCCAGCTGCGGATTTGCTGCCTTGCGCACGCTCCCGTTTTTGCCACTGTGTCGCGGGCTATCAGCGGGATCAACAGTTTTCAGGTTGTTGACGCTGGTTTGCACAATTGCGGTCACGTCGTTCTTGGCCTCGGCCCCTGGCGTTTGCACTATGTTGCGAACGCTCAGCAGTGCGCTGTGTGCCCGTCTCCGCAGCACGCTGTCTTCGGCTCCCAGGGATAGGATCAGATTGAACAGGAGCTGGACCGAGTATGATCGGAGGAGCGAGGGGAGGTTGACGTCGACCTTGTCTGGTGGCAGATGCGACTCGGTCGTAATTAGCCGCACAAACCGCTGCATGGCTTCGCCCATGAGCTGGTCATCAATCAGGAATATTTTGGCGAAGATGGCGGGCGTCTGGTTCACGCACAGCACCGGCAGTGTGTCATTGAGAATCTCCGCCACGTGCCTGAGCGCCGCCTCGTTGCCAGCGACCATCAGCTCTGGGATGATTGTGTCCTGGTGCTGTCTGACGAACCGCTCAGGCGTCGTCTCTAGGATCTGCATGCAGTGGATGAATGGCTGTGGCAGCGACTGCGCCAGTGTGTCAGCCAAGGTACAGGCAATATCGCGAGAGAATGCGACAGCAGCTTCGTCAGCGATACCGCAAGCTTGCGGGAGATCAAGAGTAGCTGTTCCATCGCCACTGCACGGAGGAAGATGTTATCGCGGCAGTAGTACTCGACCAGGAACGACACAGCCTGGCCCAGCGTCGGCTCTTGAAATGTGCATGCACATCCAACACCCCCTGCCACTAGCTGCAGGACTTCCTCGACGATGTTTGGATCATGGAAGCCCGTGATAGCTTGAGCATCTCTGTCATGGTCTCGCGCCGGTTCGAGCGATGCACCGCCACATGCTGGTCAGTTTCACCGTGCAGATTTCTACGCGAGTACGACAGGATCGCGTCTTTGGCTGCCAGGCGGATTTCGCGGCTGCTGCTTTGCAGATGGCGGATGGTACCGACTCCAATCGACGATGTGCGCAGATCGATGTCACCGACCGGTGCGTGCCGGACAAACCGGCAGATGCTCTGCAGAAACTTCACCCGCGTGGAATCCAGGTCGCGGTTCAGCGCAATGAACCAGTACGGCACCCAATCGCTCAACGAGACAGTCTTTCGCGACCTGCCCGGATCTGCGTCCATGCCATCGTCAGTATCTGCTGCTCCATCTGTCACTGCCGGGTGCTGCTGCTGGCGGTGGTCGGTGTCAGCATGGTCGCAGTCACAGCAATGATAAATGCGCATTATATCAGTGTCAGTCTCGGGGCAGAGGCAGTGAATAATCGACTCAATAATGCTCAGGGTCGCCGGCACCTCATCCTCGCCGTCGCTCATGTCGATATCGGCTTGCTCCGCGAGAACTCCCTGGAGAGCAAGACATCCAGACCGCGCACAGCTCACCGCACCCAAAGCGCGTGCAGCAATGCCGAGCAGGTGCGGTGAATCGTCGCAAGTTATGCTGAACCGCTTTGCAGCCAACAGAAACGCATCTTTTCCTGCGCTATGCGCGCCGATACAAACCAGTGGGAACAGTGACCACGCGAATGAGCGCGTTTCGAGCGTTGACGGTCGCGACAGATAGCTGCAAAACGCCGCAATAAACCACTCCACGAGTCCGTCGGCGTAGATGCCCTGGGTCAATGCAGTCATTGCCAGCGCCGTGTATTTGGTTCTCAAGGCGACTTGCAGGAGTGGACCGTTGGTTTGGCTGATGCCTGCCAGCGATCCGAGCTGCGGCGGCAGGGGCAAGGTAGTGTCGGCAGTGAAGTGCCGGTCCAGTGCAAGCGGCAGTACCAGCAGCATCAGCTCCCGTTCTGTTGTCAGCTGGGCTGATCCATCGTCACCTAGAGACAAAGGATAAAGACATTTAGGGAGTCCAAGAGCAGGGGATGTTGGTGTTTTGAATGTTAATATTTATATGTATCTTTTTTGGGCGAGACGCAAGAGAAAGTGGTGTGATAAGTTACGAACAGGTATTTAAAAACAGGGGAGGTTTGGGAAGTGGAAGAGCTGGCAATGGCAGTTTAGCCGCCACACCCACTGCCTCCCCTACGCTAGAGAGAAAATGGGAATGATGTGTTAGTTGGGGAGCCAGCTCCTCTGTGCATCTCCAGAGAAGCGACAACAGCAACAGCAGCAACAGCAGAACATAAAAGCACCCACAGATGCCAGCACATCTACATACATTCATTGTGTTTCGCGATCAGCTCGATAAGGAACTGGTATGCACCGGCAAATGACGCCTCCAGCGACCCGTCGTTGCCAACATTGTCGGCATCTTCGCTGATGTCCAATTCGTCAACCTACAGAAGCACCAGCATGAGCAATACAAGCGTGTGGTCTTTGAACGCGCCCTCTTTTACACTGTACAGGCGGCAGCCATACCTTTGCCAGCCGATCAATTACGCTGCCCACGTAGTCGAGTGCGCCGTTGTACATTGACCCGAATGCATGGCGCGATCCCGGCGTGTTTTGTGTTTGGAGCCACTGCAGACCCTGGATCAGCTCGATCGCGTTGTTCATCGCCTGCGGCAGGTATTCTTCATGCTGTGACCGCTGCTGCAGGATGGCTGTCAGGCGGTCGGTGCGTTTCTTTATCTCCGAGGCAAACAGCGTCCGTGTGAAGCGGTCAGGAGCCGCGGTGCTGCGCAAGCGCTTCCTAATAGCAGAGGTGCTCCATGCATTAGCGCACATGCAATTCAAGGCGATTTACTGGACTATCCCGGCTGTAGACCTACCTCTCAGGCGAGACCCTTTCGACAGTGGTTTCTCCAGTACGCTTGGCCATTGCGCTGCTGTCAAATGTGCTGGCAATATTTACTATAATATTTGGTGTAAAAAAGGTTTGTGTACAGTAAATGGCTGAGGAGAGAAGGGCTGGCAGCCAGCAGGCTTTGGCTGCGCCCAGAAACAAGCCACTCGATTTGGAGATCACATGGCAGATCTGTGACTGGCTCACCGCTTGTGCACCACTGCCAGCGGCGGGAACGGCTGCACCTTGCTCAGGACAGCGGTGGCATGGGATTGTGACATGTATCCTTTGACGTATCCCTTGAAGATCATGTCAGCCAGCATGCACTCGACCTCAGGCATGTCCAGGCTCAGACCGCAGGCAGCAAACGCCGCCTGGAACTTGCTGAACGGCACATGTGGGGCCTTGCCGCCAATTAGATATGCCTTGCGCAACAGACCGCGGACCGCAATGTCCCTCACCTTCTCAACGGCCATGAATGTGCCCAGCGACACCAGCCGCCGCTCCTTGGCATGCAATACGTGGTCAAATCCGCGCAGATCACCGCGGCGAACAGCCGTTGCCAGGTCGCCATACAGGCCGCCGATGGCCGGGTACTTTTGCAGCAGGCGCAGGCTAGGCAGAATGCCTTCCATCATCTGGATCGGGACCAGGAAGGTCAGAATGCGGGTTTTGTTTCGGGGCGACCCACGGAGGCAGTGCTGCAGCGCAAACATCAGGTCGTCCTTGGCCAGCCCATAGCGCTCGTCACGGAAAGCCAGCACGCCCTTGTAGTAGCGGAAAGACACCTGGTCGGACATTGGAAAGTTCTCCAGGGGCGGCGTGTCGCTGGCCTGGATGGCCTTGATGGTGCTGGTGCACATGTTGTAGGCCTTCAGGTGGAAGTACGACGCCAGCAGCAGGTTTGCCAGGCGGTACATGCCCCACTTGCGCGACTTGCTTGGGTCGGGCTCGCGGTCGATCATGCAGGACGACAGGCCGGTGTTTATCGCACGGGTTGCGTCCTCCAGCTTGCTTGCCGCCATGCCCTGGGCTGCGAGCTGCTGGTCCGCCCGCCGCGCCAGCATGCAGAGATCCTGGCACATGGCCAGCAGAGTGGGCACGGCCCAACGTGTCATTCGCTGGAAGGCCACATTGAACTTGTCAAACGACTGCTTGTGCTGTGTGTATGCATCGATGTAGTTGCCGCTCTCGAATGCAACTGAGGCACGGAAATGGCACAGCGTCATGTCCTCCCACAGCGTCCGCGGATTGCGCTCATACAGACAGCCAAAGCTGGTGTCCTCCCTGTAGATATCCTGGAGCACCCGCTTCGAGTACAGCGACCCAATGCGCACGACCTGGGCCAGCTCCTCTGCATTCTGAGTCGTCTTCAGGGCCTTGAACTTGAACAGGGCCTTGGTGAGGCGGGTGTCTGACATTTTTTGTTTGCCTGGAATGAAGTGTATAAACGGTAAGTTTGGAGTTGACAGAGACGAAAGCACCAGGGGTCGAGCACGCCAGCCTTGAGCTAAAGAAAAAAGCTCTGTCCAATCACATCGCTCGCAGGCCTGTCCAAGCTTTTCCTCGATTCTCAACCAGCCAGTCTACAAAAGAGCACGCACAGCAAGTACGCGTGCGCGAAATAGTCGACCCATTCCTTTTCTGCTCTTCTTTTCCACTCAGCTGCTTTTGAGTCTTGTTAGTAGGGGACCCTGCCGTCTATATTTCACCAGTTTTCCTCACCCTAGTTTGTGATAAACGCCGTCCCACCCTTCCCCAAGGCAGCGGGCAATACGAGGCTTAACTGCGAAGCAAATTCCAAAGGCGTGCCAATTAATAAGCTACTATATTTCCCGCTTTCCTGTATCTTTACTTTTTTCTCTCTCCTAGAGTGTTGGCACAAGGGACCCACTTGGAGCCTTACCCATATACACTACACTATTTCTCCCCCCATCATACCCCACATATTTACACGATGGCCATGGCGCGTACGCGAACCGGGTCGAAGCGCATAGGCGGTAGTGCAAGTGCAAAGTCACAGGCACCGCCCAAGCGCAGCACTGCTAATAGGAAACGTGGCATGGCAACCTTGCCAGGCGAAGAGCCGGGCCTATCACATGACCAAAGCAACGTCACCCTGGATGGCAAGCATGCTCAGACAGCACGGCCTGTGGCGGCCATCAGGGGCACACGCGTGTCGGCACGGATATCCAGCGTCAAAGCATCTTCAGAGACAACAGCACCGACAACAACAACGACAGAAACAAAAGCGCCGGCGGTGCTGAATGGGAATAAGGCGGTAGCGGCAAAAAGGACAAAGGCAGTAAAAGTCAAAGCGCCCAGCCGCGTGGCTTCAGGCGACCCCGCCAAGGTGCCCGAGGCCAACTTTATTATGTCGTCATCGCCACGCAAGCCGCGGCAGTCGCTGCCTGGCGGCACGCACGGACTGGCTGGTATTCCCAGTGCGGCAAAGCGGCGAAGCAGCGATGTGCTGGCGGGTGAGAAGGTCGAGGTGGCAGTGAAGCGGCAGCGGTCGAATCAGTCGGACAGCAGCGAGGCGTCGGAGAACGAGGGGGGTGGTGGAGATCGCGATGTGCCGCCGTCGCCGCTCAAGGCAATTCTGTCACCGGTGATGGGGCTGCTGCGGCGGGTGTCGGGGATAGCGCAGGATCCGCTGGGGTCGATTAGCGGCAGCAACTCGCGTGCGCCGACTCCGCCGCCAGCAAATGGCCATGCGGGGGAGAAGGACGAGGAAATGGATGAAAAGGAGGATGAGGATGTGCAGCCAGCAGTTGTTGGGGCTCCTGCGGGTTCCCCCGAGGCAGAGTCGCTGACAGCACCACCAATGAACCCAACAACCACACTCAACAATGGCAGTGCCGGCAGCAGCTCGCAGCAACAGCAGCAGCAGATTTTGTACCCGGTAGACACCGCAACCAGTAGCCAGGCAACCAGCCCGTCGCAGATAACCACGAGCCTCACAGAGACGCACAGCAAGGAGAACATCCCGGTATTCAGCGGGGGCGGCGGCGGAGTGATGGCAGTGGAACCAGCGGCTCACGGAACATCGCCAGCGATTAGTGCGGAGCTGCCGCTGGCGCTGTCGGCGGTTCATGTGTCGGACGCATCGGCAGATAACGGGCAGCTGGCGAGCCTGGCGACGCTGGCGTACAGCGAAATCGACGTGCAGGCGGGACAGCAGGCAGTGCAGTATGAGGAGGACTCTGACGACGAGTTCACACCGTACCTGTTTATGTCTGACCTGCCGCCGGTGCCGAAGGAGCACACGCTGCGGCCGTACGCGCTGCCGCGGAAGACGCGGTCGAGCCCACCGATCACGCTGGTGCTGGATCTAGACGAGACGCTGGTGCACTGCGCGCTGAGCAAGATTGACAACGCCGACCTGGTGTTTGCGGTGGAGTACAACGAGGTGAAGTACGACGTGTACTGCCGGCTGCGACCGGGATACCGGGAGTTCCTGGAGCGGGCGAGCAAGAGGTTCGAGGTAGCAATCTTCACGGCGTCGCAGCAGGTGTATGCTGACAACCTGCTGAATCTGATTGATCCGGGGCGGCGGCTGATCCGGCACCGGCTGTTTCGGGACTCGTGCGTGTATGTGAACACAAACTACGTGAAGGACCTGGGGATTCTGGGGCGGGACGAGGCGAAGATGCTGCTGGTGGACAACTGCCCGCAGGCGTTCGCGTACCAGCCGTCGAACGGAATTCCGATTGAGAGCTGGTATGGCGACCAGGCCGACCGCGAGCTGCTGCGGCTGATGGACTTTCTGGAGACGCTGGCAGACGCCGACGACGTGCGGCCGCTGATCGAGGCCCACTTCCGCACGCGCGAGAAGGTTGCCGAGGCAAAGCGGCGGTACGAGTACTGGCTTACGCAGCAGCTGATGCCGCGTGTGCCGGTGGGGCTGCCGACCAGCTACGCGGCGCCGACGTCGCCGCCATCGTCGTCATCGGCAATGGGCGTCGCCACAGCTAGTAATCCGACATAGTCTTTCTGTCTTTCACTCCCTCCATCTCTGCTGCATGGTTGTAACTTTTTTTTCCTTTCCATCTCCAACAACAATTAATATCTGACTCCATATGTAGTATCTGGTACGTTGGTATAAATACTGCTTTTTTGGTTACTCCTGGTGTTGATCGGGCGATGCAGCCGCCGGTCTCTGCCTGAGCGGCGACTCGGACCTGCGAACAGGTGCGCCGGGGCTCTCTGGAGGCCTGCTGCTGCGCACATGCATCTCCCAGGACTCGCCCTCGGCGAACTCTTTGCGGTACTGGTGCTCGCGCCACTCAAACATGACCTGCAGGTGGATGTTGAGCAGGAAGTATGTGCCGGCCAGGAAGGCGGCGCCGGAGCGGCTAAAGATCTTGTCAAGCATCTTGTCGACGCCCGCATCGCCAAAGCCGACCAGATTGGCAACCATCATGGCGATGATATTCAGGGCACCGCCCAGCGAGCACAGGAAGCGGAAGTACGGACGCCTCGCCCAGCGCCGGCCGTACCAGGTCGCCAGGGCCTCGGGCAGGAACAGCAGGGCAATCAGCCACGCCCACTGCAGCAGGCGCATGGTCAGGTCGTGCCAGAGCGCGACAAAGGTGAAGACCACAAAGGTGTTCCAGGGCGCGGTGCGGCGGCCGCCTAGCGGAATGTACAGGTAGCGCACCAGCCATTTGTTGTAGCTGCAGTGCCAGTCGCGCCAGAACTGCTGCAGCGAGTAGTTGTTGCTCATGCACCGCCGCATATTCTCGATGGTCGCCAGGCCGTCGGCCATTGCCCAGAAGCGCGCAAACCGCCAGATCACCAGCAGCTTCAGCCAGATGAACGTCAGACGCATGTACCCGAACAGGCTGATCTCGTAGGCCGAGTACGTGTCCCACTGGCCCAGCTTGCTGATCGCCACGGCGTAGACCGTGTGCAGAATCAGCTCCATCAACAGCACCGATGCAACTAGCCGCAGGCCGTATGTGATCGTGCCTCGGCCTGTAACCGACGGCGCCGGGAACCGCATCTGCCACACAAAGTCGTTGAAGGTGATGATCGGGCCGGTCAGATAGAGCGGCGGGTACGCCAGATACGCCCAGTAGTTGATTAGGCAGTAGTCCTCGGCAAAGCACGGCGTCTCGACGCGCTGCTTGTCGGTGGCTGGCACGGCGGGCGCATCGGCCTGCTGCCTCTGCCAGTGGTAGTCCAGCGCAAATGACATCATGCGCAGCATCGTGATGTTGAAGGTCACGTCCCAGCGCCGCAGAATCCCGCGGTGGCCGTCCAGCCACGCCAATGCCGGCGAAATCCTCCCAAACTCGTACCCGTCATAGCGCTCGTTCATGAACAGCACAGCCAAGTTGTACATCCAGAACACCACCGGCGCCCACCGCTTCCCGCCCAGACGTTTCGCCTAGCACGTAATTGCCCAATGCCAGTGCCAGGATAAACACCACCGAGGCGCCCGACAGGACCACCACGAAGACCATGGCGAATATGCTCGGGAACCATAGGCTCGGCAGTGCCCCGCGCACGGCCATCGGGCTCTGCCGCACTGCCTGGCATGCATTTCGCAGCACGGTCTTTTGCACCAGCCGGTTCAGCACTACGAACGCCAGCATCGCCAGCGCAAAGGCAGGCAGATTGCCGCGGAACACCGCCCACTGGCCATCCGACAGGTCCACCATGCGTCCAAGCATCCAGCCCGGCGACAGCTCGTGCTCGTAGTCCTTGTACTCGGGGCGGTGCGGCGACGACGCCCGGTACATTGTATAGGCCATGTTCGGCACCACGATCAGGTACGCCAGGTAGTACGCTTTGAACTCCAATGTGCCCCACAGCGGAGCCGAAGGCAGGCGCCGGCTGCGTGCGGGGGCCACAGGCTGCTGTGCAGACTGCGTCATTGCCGCCATGTGTGGGATTGTTCGAAAGCGGGCTGAGAAGCAGGGTGTTTGAAATGTCTTCTATAGTCACAGCGTGCTCTGATGAGGAGCGCGTTGTCATTACCGAAGGGGAGAGAAAGGGAAAGAAACTGTCAATGCGGAGAAAGAGGAATAAAATAAGCAGAGAGGCTGCCTGAAGAGCAGGTCGTAGATGAGAGGAGGGGAGAAACGTGGCGGACGAGATAGCTCCAAAAAGCAAAGCCTGGAGAAGTAGCAAGACGCAGATAAACACAGCCCGGCCCGGCCCGGTCCAAGCAAGCCTTGATCGTCCAAGCGGGCGCTTCGATCGTCCCCACAGTATTGCGCTCTCATGTGACAGTTTTATTGTGTTTTTGTTTTCCTCTACTCGATAAGCGGCAGGTCGCCGTAGAGCTCGACATAGCGGCCCAAAGCCCAGATGGGGAAGACGAACTTGTAGTTCGGGTAGCGGATGCCGCACGAGTGGTTGAAGACGCCCTCAGTCGCGTCCTGCAGCCACTCGCCGTTGGGCTGCTGGCGCTTCATCAAGAAGATAACGCCCTTTCTGACAGGAGTTGTCGTAGTTGCAGCCGGCAGGCCATCAGTCCGAGCAAGGCAAAGGCAGTGTTGGTGATCTGGCTGCCCTCGGGGTGCTGGAATGTACTTGTGCTGCAGACAGCTCTCGAACGCCTCGCCCCAGCCGCCATCCTCGTTCTGGCGGTCGACCAGGAACGCACATCCCTTCATGCCCTCCCACGAGTTGTTGAAGTTGATGCCCACGCACGCCAAGGCTCTGCAGCGCAAACATGGCGGCGTACGTGAAGCACACGCCCCACGAGCCATACCACGAGCCGTCGGGGCGCTGGCTATTGACCACCCACTTGGTGGCGCTGTCAATGCATTTCTGGATCTTGTGCGGCTTGTAGTCCGGGTACTGCTTGCGGAACGTGGTCAGCGCCAGCACCACCGACGTGGTGCATTCCGGGTACGTGTACTCCACCATGATGTTGCCAAAGACCTTCGGCCGCGTTGATCTGCTCCATCAGCTGCGGGCCGCGCACGCGCTCGTACGACGCAAAGCCGCCGCCCCAGTTCTGCATGCCCAGCAGCAGGTCCACCGCCTCGTACAGGCGCTCCTCCGAGACCAGCTTTGGCAAAAAGCTCCCCTGCTGCAGCATCACGGTGGCCTTGAGGCCCTCGGCTGTGGTGTCAGGAGACAGTGTACGCCTGGTCGCGCGTGCTGAACGGCCACGCGCCCTTGGTCGCCTGCCGGTACGTGCGCCCCATCAGCTCCGGGTCCTGGCGGATCTGCGAGCTCTCCAGGAACTGCAGCGCACGCAGCATGTGCTCGCGGTTCTCCTTCAGCCCCGCAATGCCTGCATCCACCTGCTGCCTGCACCATGAACGCCGTATCCCACAGCTGCGACCCGTTGGTGCCGCTGGCCGCCAGGCCCTCGCGGCACATCCACAGCACGTCAGGGATGCGCTCGCGCATGCCACGCATCCAGTGGCTGTCGTTGCCGTGCGCATAGTGGATGGCCAGCAGGTTGGCCGCAAAGTTCACCGGCGCGATGCACAAAAAGTGTGTGTTTTTCAGCTCCATTTCGATCTGGAACAGGGCCTCCCTCATGGCCATGCGGCGCAGGAACTGCGGCTTCCAGTCCTCGTAGACGCCCAACGCGCGGTTGAAGACTCGAAGCAGCAGCGTATTCGGCACATACCGGTCGGCGGAGCTGACGTTGTCGCGCTGCGCCCGCCAGTCGATCTGCTCGTACGGCTGGTCATAGAGCTCCTGGCGCAGCGACCGCGTCAGGTCATTCAGGGGCATAGAGCGCTTCAGGCTGTATGTGTAGCACATCGCTACAAAGACCGCGCGCGTATGCACCCACCAGTTGCCCGGGTTCAGCGGCAGCACCGACGGCAGCAGCAGGGGCTCGGGCGGCAGCGGGTTCATGCCCTCCCACTCGTAAACGCCCAGTGCGCTCAGCCAGAACTTGCCCCACGACGGGATCGCACACGCCCCGCCCAGCTCATGCAGCCGCGCGCGCGCCTGCACCAGCGCCGCATGGTCCTGCGTCCATGCCCAGAATCCGCAGCATCGTGTAGTTCATTGCGGTGCCAAACACCGACGACTTGCCCTCGGTGTGCAGCCCCCAGCCGCCGTCCTGCATTCGCCCGGTTCAGCAGGTACCGGCACATCTCGCGCTTCTGGTTCTCGCCGATTGTCAGGCCGCAGATGTACGAGGCGATTACCAGTCCGCACGTGACAAACAGCGGCCCGTCGTAGTTGCCGCCCCAGTGCCCGTCGTCGGTCTGCAGGCGCTTGAAGAACTCCCAGCCGTTCTTGATCGCCTCGGATGGCCGCCGCGCGTGTGGCAGCTCGGGCATATCGACGGCCAGGCCCAGCCAGTACTTCTCCAGAAAGCTCTGCGGCCGCTTCTCGGCGTCTTCGTCGCTGAGGTATGTCCACACCTGCCGCCCATTGTCGACATCCAGTCGCCACTTTGTCAGGTCCGTGCGGAACTCGCTGGCCAGGCCCGCGTCTGTAAAGTACGTTTGCTCCGACATAGAGAGTAAAAGCTAGTATTGCAGGAAAAGCAAAGACAAGATGCTACGCCGCAAGCCTTTCAGCAGTGATCGCCACTACATTGAAACCATTTTGATTGGTAATCTGATAATGTAATTCCTGGCTTCTCAGTAAAAAAAAAAAAAAAGAAACACCTGCCCGCTGCCGTCCACGCGCACGCTGCAGCTCTTTCTTCTAGCAACATATTTCTTGTTTCAATTCGCTCGTTTACAAATACATTTGCTTGTATTTCTAACCCGTCTACACTCCATATACTGTCTGGAGCATACCGTGTAATAGGCCAAAGTGTGAGAGTGCGAGATCTTGAAGAGGTTGAAGGCCCACTTTTTGTATCGGTTAAAAAAACGAATAAACAGAGCCCACTTGGAAGCGCGCACCACTACTATTTAAAGAAACAGCCATGGGAGTTGCAGCCTTTTATCGCTGGTTGACGCGCAAATACCCAAAGGTACAGAGCTATGTGGTAGAAGAGAAGCCCACCAACATCAACGGGATCGTGATCCCGGTGGATGCGACCAAGCCGAACCCGAACGGCGTCGAGTTCGACAACCTATACCTGGACATGAACGGCATCGTCCACCCATGCTGCCACCCGCAGTTCCGCAAGGCACCCGAGACCGAGGAGGAGATGATGGTGGAGATATTCAAGTGCCTGGACCGCGTCTTCAACATGATCCGGCCGCGCAAGCTGGTCTACATGGCAATCGACGGGGTGGCGCCGCGGGCCTAAGATGAACCAGCAGCGGTCGCGGCGGTTCCGCGCAGCCCAGGAGGCTGAGGAGAAGGAGAAAGAGCAGGCAAAGGCGGCCGAGGAGGTTTTCCAAGCGACGGGCGAGCGTCCGGCTCCGTTCGAGAAGCCATGGGACAGCAATTGCATTACGCCCGGCACGCCGTTCATGGAGCTGCTGGCGCAGTCACTGCGGTACTACGTGGCCAGCAAGCTCAACAGCGACCCGGCCTGGCGCAACGTCAAGGTGGTTCTGTCGGACTCGAATGTGCCGGGCGAGGGCGAGCACAAGATCATGGACTACATTCGGCGGCAGCGCATGATGCCTGCGCACGACCCAAACACCACCCATGTTCTGTACGGATTGGATGCCGATCTGATCATGCTCTCGCTGGCCACGCACGAGCCGCACTTCAAGATCCTGCGCGAGGACGTGCAGTGGGCCGACAATCTAAGCAGGCCCTGCCGGATATGCGGCAAAAAGGGCCATTTCCAGCGCAACTGCCTGGGCGCCGGCAACAACACGCCCGATGTCGACATGAACGACCAGCCGTTTGTCTTTGCCAACATTGACATTCTGCGCGAGTACCTGGAGATTGAGCTGCAGCCCGACCGCCGCCTGCCCTTCCGGTTCGACCTGGAGCGCGCCATCGACGACTGGGTGTTCATGTGCTTCTTTGTCGGCAACGACTTTCTGCCCCACCTGCCGTCGCTCGAGATCCGCGAGGGCGCCATCGAGAAGCTGGTTGCCATGTGGAAAGAGGAGCTGCCCAATATCGGCGGATACATAACCCACAACGGCGATGTTGATCTGGACCGCGTCCAGCCGATCATGCACCGGCTGGCGGAGCTCGAGGACGAGACGTTTGTTGAGCGCAAGCGCCAGGAGGACCAGCGCGAGCGCAGCCGCCAGCAGCGCGAGCAGCGCGAGCAGAAGCAGCGCCAAGCCGAAGACCAGATATCGGCTGTGGCTGCTGCCAATGCCCGCAGGGAGCGCGAGGCCGCGGAGCGCGTCGGCGCCAGCAACAAGGCCGCTGCCAGTGCCCTCAGGGAGCAGCTGGCGGCCAGGAAGCCCAGCACATCGGCCGAGGGCGAGGAGGAGGTGCTGATGTCTGGGTCAACCGTGGCCAAGCGCCCGCTGGAGGATGCCGAGGAAGGCAGCCATGGACGTGAAGCGCGCCAAGGTGGCCGACTCGGCCACGCCCAGCGAGACCGAGACCGAGGAAGCCGATAGCAAACCGCATCCGGGCGCGCAGCTGCTGGCGCCCGACAACATCCTGCTGCACGAGGACGGATACAAGGAGCGGTTCTACCGTCTAAAGCTCCACCTGTCGCTCGACGACACCGACAAGATCCACGAGATTGCCGAGCACTACGTGCGCGGGCTGTGCTGGGTGCTCAAGTACTACTACCAGGGGTGCGCGTCGTGGGGCTGGTACTACCCGTACCACTACGCGCCATTCGCGTCGGATCTCACCGACGTGGCCTCGATGGACGTGTCGTTCAACCAGGGCGCGCCGATCCGCCCGTTCGAGCAGCTGATGGCGGTGCTGCCGGCCCGGTCACGGCACAACCTGCCCAAGCCGTTCGGCCCATTGATGACGTCGCCTACCAGCCCCATCATCGACTTCTACCCGACAGACTTTCCGCTGGACCTCAACGGCAAAAAGTTCCTGTGGCAGGCGGTGATTCTTTTGCCGTTCATAGACCAGGACCGGCTGCTGCAGACGGTGCAGAAGGTGTATCCGGAGCTGACCGAGGACGAGCGCCAGCGCAATGCGCCCGGCAAGGAGCTGCTGATGGTCAGTGCGGCCAATCCGCTGTACGAGAGCCTGTGCGATCTCTACATGACCAGCGACGACTCGCAGGACCAGCCGCTGAACCCGCGCCTGAGCGGCCGCATGACTGCCACAGTGTCGCGCGACCCGAACTTTGTCCCGCACACGTCCTTTGCCTCGCCGCTCTCGATCCGCCCGGACATTGACGAAGACAAGTCCATTTCTGCAGTCTTCCACCGCCCCACGCCCAAGGCCAAGCACACGGCGGTTTTGCTGCCCAGCCTGACCATGCCCCGCCAGGTGCTCAACCAGGCCGATGTCGATTTTGTGCGCTCCGGCGGCAAGTCCGGCTACCACGGCGGCCCGCGCGGCCCTCACCACGGCAACAACAGGGACTTTTCGCACTTCTACCGCCAGCAGGGCGATGTCTCGCAGGACCGCGGCCGCGGCCCGCGCAGATTCGACGAGCAGGGGAACCAGAACCAGGCATACCAGAACCAGGCGTACCAGAACCGGCCGGTCGCTTACCAGCCGTTTGCGGGCCGCTCGGCGCCCACTGCCATTGCCATTCCAGGGCGGCCCGCCGCAGGGCAGTTTCCAGCAGAACGGCAGTCGTCGTGGCGGCCGAGGCGGCTACAGGGGCAGAGGCGGAGGACCGCCTGGCCGAGGCGGCTACCGTGGCGGGCGCGGTGGAGGATACCGCGGCGGCCAGCGCGGCGGCCAGCACGGCGGCTACCGCAACGGGTACTAGCGAGGCGAGCCTTTTGCAACAGGCACTAGCAGTCCCTATGTGGTCTGTCAACACCAAGGCTTGAGGCGTGGGTTGTTCTCTTGTGCTAGATTATTTCGAGGCTATATTAAATCTCCGCGGTTTCCTGACGGGCCGAACGGGCCCTCTTTCCGCGGGTAAAATACATTCTAGTCAGCTCCACCCAGTCGTGGCAAGGGAACTCCTGGCTGTGGGAGAAGTGCCAGAGATTGTCCGCTGGCCATGTCGCTGCCTGAAAATGGCCGGGCAGGACCCACTGCCCCATCTGGCAAGGCTGATCTCACGCCCTCTTCGATGTTGCCCGGGTGCGTGCGCTGCTCCCGCTAGTGGGACGTGCAAGAGATAAAGCTGGCATCGGGGGTTAGGTTTGGCGCTGACGGAAAAAGAAATTGCCCGCCCATCCCAAAAACGACTGAGCCAAGCGACCGCAACACGCTTGTCGTAAGCTGGCCCAGCGATCGGGAGAGGAGCTATAAAAGACGGCTCATCTGGGCTCCTGCCAGGTTCCTCATAGATAACAGCTTTCTCCGCGTTTTCCTTCTTTTTCTACAAAAAGCCACATTCATATTTACACAGAAATGTCTGACTTCAAGACCGCCACCAACCTCACCGAGAGCACCGCCGCCGTCGATGCCACCGGCTCGTTCAGCGTCAAGACCGGCCTGGCCCAGATGCTCAAGGGCGGAGTGATCATGGACGTGGTCAACGCCGAGCAGGCCCGCATTGCCGAGGAGGCCGGCGCCTGTGCCGTGATGGCGCTGGAGCGCGTGCCCGCCGACATCCGCAAGGACGGCGGCGTCGCGCGCATGTCGGACCCGCAGATGATCAAGGAGATCATCGACGCGGTCACGATCCCGGTCATGGCCAAGGTGCGCATCGGCCATTTTGTTGAGGCCCAGATCATCGAGGCTGTTGGCGTCGACTACATCGACGAGAGCGAGGTGCTGACGCCTGCCGACGACACCTACCACATCGACAAGCACGACTTCAAGGTGCCGTTCGTCTGCGGCTGCCGCGACCTGGGCGAGGCCCTGCGCCGCATCTCCGAGGGCGCCGCCATGATCCGCACCAAGGGCGAGGCTGGCACCGGCGACGTCATCCAGGCTGTCAAGCACATGCGCACGGTCACCAAGCAGATCAAGCACGCGCAGTCGCTGTCCAAGATGGAGCTGTACGACTACGCCAAGGAGCTCGGTGTCTCGCACGAGCTGCTCAAGGAGACTGCCCGCCTTGGCCGTCTGCCCGTGGTCAACTTTGCCGCCGGTGGTGTTGCTACCCCCGCCGATGCTGCCCTGATGATGCAGCTGGGCTGCGACGGTGTGTTTGTCGGCTCCGGGCATCTTCAAGAGCGGCAACCCGGCCAAGCGCGCCCGCGCTATCGTCAAGGCCGTCACCCACTTCAATGACGCCAAGGTCCTGGCGGAGATCTCCGAGGACCTCGGCGAGGCCATGGTGGGCATCAACTGCGACTCGCTGGCCGATAACGAGCGTCTCGAGAAGCGCTAAACCCCCAAAAAGTCGCGTTGCATTTTCTTAATTGATTGTGATTTCTTAATTTCATTTATTCTGCTGCTTGCTGGGGTTGCCCCTCCTTGCCTTGCTCCATTCGGAGGCAGTAATCCGTGACAGTTGGTTCCTGAAAAATATGAGCCTGGACCAACATCGTGTTTTACCTTCAGTGTTAGTGTGTGCCCCTGTGGGGAGTATATGCCGACATAGCGATTGAGACACCGGGGAGATCCGCTTCGCTCAGCCTGCTGAATCAAAAACACCACTTGCTACTGCTGTCTGTAAATAGGCTCAATATGTTCCTGCCCCTCAACCTTGGCGCCAGTCGCCTGGCCACAGCACGCAAATGGCATCAGCATTCGCCCCCTGTAGCACCTCCCAGCATTCCCACATGTCTCTCTACCTACCCATGTATAAAAGCCAGAGCCCAGAGGGGCAAGTTTCTAGTCTCACTACCTTCCCTCGCTCCCACCCGCACCCTCCTTGCATCCCTCCTTCCTCCCACATCCCGCAACACCCTAAATACGCCCGCAGCAGCCCTCCCTTCCCTTTTTCTAAGCTTCCTACAGTTTCCAATTATCTCTCTTTGTGATCCCGTACTTCTACATCTGTAACTCTCCCAAATAGCTCTCCCCCGCATCAACAATGAAGTCCTTTTGCACCCTTGGCGCCTTCACAGCCGTGTTCTTCACTGCAACCTTGGCGCGGATATACTCGCCCGAGGAGCTCGACAGGTGCATTGCTGATTCCCGCAACCAGCGCCAGGAGCAGTGTGGCATCTACCGTCCGGGCTCGCTCGAGTACAACCAGTGCATGGCGCGCATGACCGACCGGGTGCTGCAGTGCTACCCGCAAGGCATGCAATTGACCCCGCAGCAGCAGGCCGAGCGCAGCCAAGAGTCCAACAACCACGAAATGTACCGCAACGAGGTCCAGCGGCTGGCCAACACGGGCAACTCGGAGCAGGCCGACGAGAGCGAGCAGAACCCGCCGCCGGTGAAGATCGACGCCAGCAAGAGCACCAATCTGGAGGGCCAGGTCAAGAAGACCGAGGAGGTCCGCCATGTCACCACCAAGAAGGCTACTGCAGCCAAGAAGGACCCAGTGAAATTCACCGCTATTGCTGACAAGGATGACAAGCCGGACGGAGAAGAAGCCGGCGGAGAAGGCCGATGAGGAGCCGGCTGCTGACAAGAAGGAGGAAAAGCCAGCCAAGCCCGCGGACAAGGCCCAGGACGCCAAGCCCAAGCCTGCTGAGCCTGCAAAGACTATCAATATTTCGAATGCAACCACCCTGTTCGTTGTTGCCGCTACCCAGCAGGATAATGCTGTGACTGTTATTGCCACCACTGCTGGCCTCGCTGCTACCTCGGTTGTTGCCCAGCCTGTTGCTACCACCTCTGCTGCCTCGCTTGCTGGTACCACAGTGAGTGCCGCCGATGCCGTTGCCAAGGCCGCCGTGCTCTCTCCCAGCCCTGCTACTGCAACCTCTGTTGCTGCAACCCCTGCTGCCGCAACCCCTGCGAGCGCTCCTGCTGCTGTCACTCCTGCTGCTGTCACTCCTGCTGCTGTCACTCCTGCTGCTGTCGCTCCTGCTGCTCCCGCTGCTGCTGCTACGCCTGCTGCCGATACCTCTGCTTCTGCTGCTGCGTCGGCAGCTCCTGCCCCTGAACCCGCCAACGATGATGAAGCCGCAGCCAACGACTCTACCCAGATCATCCAGTTCTCAGTCCCAGCCGTTCCTTCTGCTGATGCTGACAAGCCCGCTGCTGATACCGACAAGCCCGCTCCAGCTGCCCAGACCAGCGCATTTGCTGCAAACAATGACATCAAGAGGCTGTCTGCTACCGACCTGGCTGCTGCTACTGCCCAGACTTCGGCCACTGCAAACGCCAATGTTGTGGCGACCGCCAACTCTGCACCCGTGGCAACCATTGCAGTCACTGCCAATGGTATCGCCATGACGACCCTCGAGCCCCTCTCTATGACCACGATCGGCCAGGCCGTCGTGCCAATGGTCCCCAGTGTGTTCTTCTCGGGCACCTCGGCCGGTCTCCAGGTACAGCAGATCTCGGTGCGTGCTGTCCTAACGTCAGGCTCGCAGGCATCCACCCAGTCCCCTGGCCCACAGTCTGCTGCCAGGGCCGCCTTGTCCTCTGCTGCCGCCGAATCCAGCTCGGCCGACGCTGCCGATGACGCTGCAGCCGAACCCGATAGCGCTGAGGAGTCGCCTGCTGCCAGCAGCACCAAGTCTGCCGCTGCCGAGCCGGCAAGCAACAAGCTGGCCGTCAAGGAGGTGCTCAAGTCTGCTGTCAAGGCTGCCTCGTCGGTGTCTGCTGAGGCTTCGTCGTCCGCTTCTGCTGAGGCAACGCAGTCCAGAGCAGATAGACTCAGCTGTTGAGCCCGAGCAGACCGATGCGTCGGTAGTTGAGTCGGATGCTGCCGAGTCGTCCAAGGCCAGTCAGGCGAAGGAGCAGGTGAAGAACACGGCTAACCAGACCAGTGCCCAGCCGGATGCCTCGCAGCACGCGTCGGCTGAGACTTCAGCATCGGCTCCTGCTGCTAAGGCCAAGCAGAGTGTTAGTGACCACAAGCTAAAGTCTGCGGGTATGCTCAAGGCCAAGACCGGCGATGCCGAGAGGGCTATGTTCTCGGGCGCGATGATGATGGCCCCGTTCGCTATCCACGCTCTGCTCTAAACCCTGCCAGCTATTTGACAGGCCATGTTCCCTCTCCAGCACTCTTCTTGCTATATCTCGCACCTTTCTTAATATCTAATATCCCCAAGCTCGCACATATCCGCAAAAGGAAAAGAGCGAGCGCATTTTTATACCCGGGCCATATCTTGACATTTATAATCCCCAATTTCAAGCAGCAACTTTCAGCCGCATCCACAGAGAGACTCATATTTGCGCAATATCCAGTGGGGTCTGCATTGAAGGAGACGGAGTACTGCAACACTTCCCCCTTTAATCGACCCCAAAGGCTTGGCCGCTAGGCTTAAAGTCTCTAGACAGGCAGCCGCTTTGGTCCTCGCTAAAGGCTGATCAGGGGAGCGGAGAGAGCGGATTCACTGTCTGGTTTCCATACCAGAAATTGCAGATTCAGACAAAGCATGGGATACATGTCTCATCGATGCGGCGCTATAACCAACCGTCAACGCCCAACCCGGTTTGCTAAATAAAGATGCGGGATGGAACTCCATGCTGGGCATGCCCTCTTTGCACTGCATGCCTTTCTCCTCCCGACAGTTGTTCTTTGCTCATGGGCAAGAGACAGCCCGTGTGGGGGGAGATCGAGTAGGTAAGCTTAATGCCAGAGTTTGGAGAAATATCGCATTGCCCTATCCCGCACATGTGCGAGACAGAGTACGCATGGGATATCGGCCATGCTTGCCTGCTAAACACTTCCGAGATGTGTGGGGGACTGTGAGAAGGAGTGTCTACTCGACATACTCATGTCCGGAAAGGTACTTTCGCTCTCATAGATATTAGCCGTCATATAAAGAGGCAAGTGCTGACCGCTACAACCAGGACAGCACAGCACGTTAGAGTTAGTAGTCCTATACCATATTTAATCGCTCCTCTCTTCTTTCTCGCGACGTCTCCGTCGTTTTGCCTTTCATTAAATACACATCCTCTGCTTTGTTCTTGTTTGAATTCTAATAATCTCTAGGAAACAAACTGACACCCACAAACCTTGGCAAGCTTCCTAAAAACCCCAGGTTTTCTGAGCCAATTTACACCTTAGAAACACAAGCAACACTCACAATGCACTGCAAGTTTGTTTCCCTTGCGCTTGTCTTTGGTCTTGCACTCGTCAGTCCAGCCATTGCCAAGGTCGCTGCTCCTGCTCCTGGCGCAGCTCCCGTAGCGCCTGTCCAAAAGAGCGGGGAGGCCGACCCCGATGATATCGTTCTGCCCCAGGCTCCCTCGGTTCAGCAACAGCAGCTGGTAAATATGGTTCTGCCAGAGCTTCCCAAGGCCCCCAAGGTCGAGGAGGAGCCACCCAAACCTCAGGGATGCGCGCTCGACGGCCAAGTGCGTCTGTGCGTAAACCACTCAACCATGCAGCGTGAGACATGCGCAGCCGACGACCTCGACTGCCAGTGCACATGGGCACAGAAGCTGACGCAGTGCTACGCGCCTTGCATGTCCGACAAGGTCAACTCTGACAACATGCACGCTGCCAAGGCGGACCAGGACGGAATCTGTCAGCAGGCAGCCAAGAACGGCAAGATCGCCAAGGATAAGGAGCGGTTGAAGAAGGAGCAGAAGAACGGCAAGAGCAAGAAGCAGACACAGAATATCCAGCAGAAGAACATCAACGACCTGGCTTCCTCCCACGACCTCTCCACACAGGCTGCTGACGAGGAAAGCACCAAGCAGAAGCCTGCCAAGGAAGACAAGGCTCCCGATTCGAGCGACTCGGCCCCGCGCCAGGAGGGCGGCAACAAGAGCAACAACTCTGGCGGGAAGGACCCTGAATTGAATAACGACAAGAGCGGCAAGAACGGCAAGGCCAAGCCCGGAGGCGACAGCAACCTGCCGCTGATGGAAAACGCCGCAGGCAACATGTCTGCGTTCAGCTCCGTCCTCCTCATCCCCTTGGCACTCGCCTTCAGGTCGGTATTCTAAGTAGTCTTCCTTGGAATGGCAGCATTCTGCCCGATACAGGCAGACCACTTGGAATGCGATTCAAAAAACGATAGCCTCTTTGACATCTTTCTCAACCTTCATATCACCACCTCATTTTATTCACATTTTTCTCTCCAAACACAGCCCAATTTACATTTTGCTCTCTACATTCGCACTCGCAATACGATGGATACAATCAATACTCGCGCCGGCGACGGGCCCTGTGATGGTCAGGCGGATACTCGGTTACATTGTCATCAGTCATGTCACCATAGTCAGCTGCCGAACGTGTAGACACTGCATCGCCATCAATGTCCTCGCCGTTGTCATTGTCATCATAGCTACCTTGGGACATGGGTGGCGAGGTGTACCCTTCACTGCCACTGCTGCTCCGACGGCGCCGCCGGCCATGCGCATACTCTGGTTGCAGTTGCTCCGTTACAACTGACCCGCTGTCGTCGTCCTCGCCCTCATCTATTGTGTTAGTTGAGCCAATGGTATGGCTTCTGTTCAAGAGTGCTCGCTGGCCAAGGAATGCCGGTGATGACCGCTGCTAGCGGCGTCCCAAACACACCACTGAATCGACTCAGCGCCGATGCCATCATCATCATCCGGCCCTCGTTTTCCCGCCGACGTGAATATGAAATTTGGCTCAGCACATGCTGGATCACACGCTCTTCATCAGACGACCCTGGCCTGCCATCGATCGCACCTGCAACGCCGTAATTTTGCACCAGGGTGCTCATCTGCGACGATGAGCCACTCGGCGAGCCAACGCTTCCGCCAGCAGAAGGGGAGCTGGGCATTTGCAGTATGGTGGTAGCTGCTGTTTGCGGCGCATCGGCCAGGGCTTGGCTGGATGAACCAGCAGAAGGGCTGCTGGTTGCATTGCGCGGCAGCCCAAGCTGCAGCCGGAACCGCATTTCGACCAGAAGGTTCAACGCTGCGCGCATCATCGGACCAAGTCTGTGGGAAGGGTAGTTCTCCAGCACACGCAGCTGGCTCTCAATAATCGCCAATTCGGTTTCCTGTGTCGATGTAGGCGAATCTTGCGGACGGGCTATGGGCTGTTGTCCGTCGGTGTGATCTGATGCCGCCATGTTACCTTCAGACGTCGACTGCGATGCGTCAGTCAGAGAATCTACTGGCTCCTGATTATCTCCATCGCCACTTGTAAGGGGCAATGTCGGAACATATGTCGATGGGCTATTAAGATACTGTGTAGCACTCGAAATGCCACTGGTCTTGTCGAACTGCTTGTCGTTCAGCGCCGACATATTCATCTCTGGTAGTGGCAGCAGTCGGTCGCGCTCATGCATCTCGACTAGGGCACGCGGAGGCACTGAGGGTAGACGTGGTGGCGCCGATCCATCAGATGCTGGCGACACAGCCATCAGACGTATACGGTTGGTCATCTTAAAATACCATGTCCTGATAGTCGCCGCACGCTCAGGAATAAACTGGTCAGCACGTTCATGAGCCTGCTGAATCACTTGCCACATGAGCTGGATGCTGTATCCCGGCAGCTTCGACAACCGTGCGCAGACCTTCAAGCACTTGAACAGGTTGCGCTGCACAGACTCGATCTCCAGCGTTGGATGCAGCGCAAGAAATCTGTGCAGATCATAGCACGCCTCGATGTACGAGTCGGGCAACAGCAGCCGCTTGGCAATCACTGCCAGCCGCCGGTTATCTCGGTCCTCCGTAAACTCGCGCACTCTCTCGTCCTGTGCCAATGGTGCATGGCCAGATATAACGAGGTTTGTGGTTAGCGTGTCCTCTAATGTGTTTTCCGTCCTGGGAGCTCTCAATGGCCTGCAGCACCTGCAGTGCACTCTCGACTGGCGGCTCGATTGGCTGCGGTCCATTAATCGCACGCTCTCGGCTAACAAACGTGTACTGGGCGAATGATACAATAGAGACATCGAGGATAGACATCTCGCCCCTAAACCGCTGCGGCTGCTGCTGGCTAGGTGGGGTGCTCACCGGCACAGATGAAGGCGAAGGAGTGCTGGAGCTGCTGGCGTCTCCTGCCCAAGCCCCATTCCTGCTGCCTCCTTGGCGGCCAAGGTTGCTGTTACTGCTCGGGGAGTCGAATGCAGGGCCCGATTGAGACCCATCAGAACACGACATTATTAGTTTGTGAATGGCTGGTAAAAGTACAAAGCATTAGCAAGCGCAGAAGCTACAACAAGTAGAAATGGGTGTCTAGCCTTGCCAAACAGGGGCTACAGTTTGGGACAGGTCACCGATTTCTGTCGCCGAGCCGCCAATCCTACCCCCGACTCGCTTGGCTGGCAAATAGAGTCAAGTCGACAAGTCGGGCAGCCACCACTATTTGCCCGTTCGGGACAGGCCGGGAACGACATGCTGCCACACAACGCCAAGCAATCTACGCCTCAATCGCATATACTGAGGCACTGCACAGAACCTACCAGTATGCAAGTCAGAGCATCGCTATACCATCATGTCCCGGTACACCAATGCGACCCCCCAACACCCGCTTTACTGTGGCAACCGCAGCAGGCTATGATGAATGGAGACAACTGCCAATTTACAAATCTATTTACGAACTTTTTTGCCAAAGCACCTCATGCATTAAGTGCGTCCTGCCAACCAAATGGCCTGGGATCTCCACGTTCCCCCAGCATTTGATGCAAGAGTATCCTAGCCATATACGGGCTATGAGCGCTATATGCGCCACATGCACATGCAAGTACACAGCCGTTTTGTGTATCTTGAACTGGGATCAGATGATACATGGTTGAATCCCACTTGCAAAACAGCTTCCATACACCATATAGTGCCCACTATTCTATCGCTGTGGCTTGGTATAGATAGTGGCTAGTGGTGCGTTGAGCAGAGGTAGGCTGGAGAGGGGAGGTGGGTGGAGAAGGGAGGTGGAGATGGCCTATAGATAATGCCGGCGAAGCTGAAACAATTGCCCAAATCTAGATATAAAATGCACTGCTGTGTAGCTGGTTCTGCACTCCAGACAGCATACATTCTCGCAGGCAGTAGTGGCAGACTGGCCGATGATTTTCATCTTTTGTGTAAATATACCAGTGTAAACTCCTTTATATCCTACTCTATACTAGCACCCAACCATGTCTGTCATCAACATCAACTGTAGCTTCAGCTGGTAAACTCTCTAACCAGCACCCTTCATCAGCCTCGCTGGATTCATATGGCCATGACGCTGGCTACATAAACAAGGGGTACAGTGATGCCGAAGATGCTGGGCTGGAAAAAGAGGGCCAGGACCCCTTAGACAAACTTGGCAACTGAGCCTACTTCATGGTGATGACGAGTTTGACGGTTCAACTGGCCCATACGAAGCCAGATTCATGGCAAGCATGGCTTGTGGTGCTGGCAGGGGGTGTCCTGGCCATGATTACTTTGGGTGCATCTCGGGCACATGGGGTGTTTCAGGAATACTACATTATTGACGAGTTCCCCAATGCCTCAACAGCAGATATCTCGTGGATTGGCTCGGTGCAGAACATGTGCCTCAATCTGTGTGGGGTGGCCGTTGGAATCCTGAGCCAAATCTACGACACCCGGATACTTTGTGCCGCAGGTGCTGCAACGATGGGCCTGTCATTTATTGTTGCCTCGTTCTGCACCGAGCTTTGGCAGCTCGTGCTAGCACAGGGGTTTGCGTACGGCTGTGCAGCTTCATTCCCATATATCCTTGGTGTCACAGTGCCTATGCAGTGGATAGAGAAACGACGCGGGCTTGCTGTTGGCATCGTGTATATGGGCTCTGGCGTGGGCGGCATATGGATTTCGGTGCTGACCCGCACCTGTATCGAAGCCCTGGGTCGGGACTGGGCCAACCGCATCCTGGGAATCATCATGATTGTGGTGGGCGTGGCCTTGTCACCGCTAATGCTGGCTCGTCGGCCCAAGCAGCGCCCAAAAAAGCTGCTTGACCTGAGCGTTGTCAAAGAGTCACGCTTCCTGCTAATTGCAGCCGCCAGCTTCTTCTCGATGGGACCCAACACCGTACCTTTCCTAATGATGCCAACCTATGTAACCAAGGTGCTCGAGGAAAGTCCGGAAACTTGGGGTGCATGTTGTTACAATTATCAACTTGACAGGCATATTTGGGCGCCTCATTGCAGGCTTCCTTTCAGACAGATATGGCCCAATTAACATACTAGTTATATGGACAGCATTGGCAGCATTCAGCCAGCTAGGCCTGTGGCTGCCATTCAAAAACGTTCCTGCACTTATTGCCGCAGCTGCACTGTTTGGCGTTACTGGGTCATCCATTATAGGGATGTTGCTGAATGCACTGTCACACATGTTTGGTGTGGCTAGAATCACCTACATCTCAGGGCTGGTGTATATGACATACTCCATTGCGTCGCTCGCTACCGCCCAGTCTGCCAGCCTGATGCTGGACACAGTGGGTCACGGCACCGACTACACCTGGGCCATCCTATACACGGGCATGCTGCTCGTTATATCGACGGTGATCCTGGTCGCACTCCGGCTCAAGCTCAGCACCAAGCTGCTGTTCTTTGCGTAAATTCCGATTTTGTTGTATTAGCACGTGATTAAATTTTGGTTGCGCTTCCATGCGTCCAGCTATTTTCTTTTCAGGAACCGGAGGCTGCTGTGGCCAGCCATGTCCTTAGACTCTTGTTCTTTTCCAGCTCTGCTGTTCTTTTTCATCAGCCCAATTTACTCCTGCGCATTTACTGTGGTGTACTCTAGGCAGCGCAATGCAACGGCGGCTCCCGTGTACATAGATTCCCTCGCCCCTCCATTTCCACAACACGACAACATTCCATAAAACTTCAGCGGATACATACGCTATGAGCCTTGCAACCTGGCTGCGAAACTGGGTTCCAGGGACCAGCGGCAGCGTGCTGCCGGGCGGTCTAACAGGCGGCACTGCGCATTGGTTCACAAGCAGAAGGCACATGCGCATTCTGGCAGTCATTGCCCTTGTCACGCTGGTGGTGCTTGGGGTGTTCTCCCTCGAGCTCCTCTCAGAATCATCCTCGCTACTAGAGCGGCCAGACCAGGCGGAGAACGACATTACTGGATACTCGCGGCGATACGGTGTAGTCATAGATGCTGGCAGTTCAGGATCTCGCGCCTATGATTTACGCCTGGGATGACCCGTCGGCAATCTCGCAGTCTCAGGCAGCTAATAACGCCAGCTACAGCCGACTGCCGCTGATTGAGCGTGCTGGCAAGGAATGGACATACAAGACAACGCCTGGGATTTCGAGCTTCGCCGATCGGCCACGCATGGTTGGCGTTGAACACATCAAGCCGCTGCTCGACTATGCCCAGAAACACATCCCAAAGCGCCAGATCGCGCACACACCTGTATATCTGCTTGCCACTGCTGGTATGCGTTTGCTGCCGCACTCGCACCAGTCGCTGATTCTTGACACTGCGTGCTTCTATGCGCGGGAAAACTACGACTTTCTCCTCCCCGACTGCAAAGAGAGCTTCCAGGCAGTTTCGGGCGAGCTCGAGGGGCTGTTTGGCTGGGTAGCTGTGAACTATCTCATGGACGGGTTCCCTTCACAGACGCAGTCACTGGCGCAGCGGTCGCACGGGTTCCTGGATATGGGCGGGGCATCAGCACAGATCGCATTTGAGCCTGCCAAAATGTCGGCACAGATACACAAGCATGACCTGGCCGAGGTGACGCTGCGTACACTAGATGGACAGGACTCGAGCTACGCAGTTTTTGTTGCTACATTCCTTGGGCACGGCACTAATGAGGCACGGCGCCGGTTTGTGGAGCAGCTGAAGGACGCCGAGATGCTTGCTGGGAGCGGCAATGGCGTTCCAATGGTCGACGACCCATGCCTACCCAGCTGGACTGACCCTGCCCACAACAGACGGAAAGGTAGTACTGCGAGGCAAAGGGGAGTTTTCAGAGTGCGTCAAGGCTAGCGAGCCGCTGCTCAACAAGACTGTGTGCCCGATTGAGCCGTGTCTGTTTGCCGGCGTGCACGCCCCCGAAATCGATTTTGGCACACAGCAGTTCATTGGCGTTTCCGGAGTACTGGTATGCATCGCACTGACTACCTGGGCCTGGGCGGAGTGTGGGATGTTGAAAAGTTTGAGAGGCGGGCGAGTGATTTCTGCCAGAAGCCCTGGTCAGAGATAAACAGCCACACTGTTAATGACGACGTGGCGGTAGCTCGTCTGCAGATGCAGTGTTTCAAGGCAGCATGGCTAGTCAATGTCCTCCACAACGGCTTTGGCGTCCCTCGCAATGCCCCTTCCCTGGAACATTGAAGACAAAATGGTCAACTCTGCCCCCTTCCAATCGGTGAAACCAGGTTGGCGACGTTGAGGTGTCATGGACACTGGGTGCACTGCTGCTCAAAGTCTCCCAAACCATTCCTCCCAGCTACCAATCAATTAAAGCCAAGTCCACACCAGGAATCCGGCTGCCCGACAACCCAGGCGCTGACGAGGAGGGGGTGGAGCTGGTCGATGACTCGCTGTGGTCGCCACTCCAATTTGTTGGTATGCGGCGCCTGTATATTTTGTGGTCGCTGCAGCCCAGCGGCACGCGCGCGCTGCTGGCATTCACTGCGCTATTTACGTTTGGACTATTGGTTGGCCTGGTGTACTGTATGTTCACCCACCGCAGCCGCAAGCGCCAGTGGCAGATTGTTGGTCGGCAGCAGCGCTTGGCAGATACTGTCCAATGAGTTTCCTCTGTCCCCTATAGGTCGCTCAGCACGGCTTAATCGATCGGTGCCTGGGACACCATTGTCGGCTTCGCAAATTGGGCTCGCAGAGGCGGCTGCGTTCATGCCTGATGCCGCCTCATATGGCGAAGAGCCTTCAAGCAAACAGGCGAGGATGTCGCCCTCGATGTATGTTATGGACGTCCTATCTCGGCCGTTCCAGCCTGCTGCTTCTGGTAATTCAGGGAGTAGTCTCATCAGTTCCAACGACTCCACGAATGCGTGCATTGCAGTTGGCAGGCCAATGATGGGGCCGTTACACCGACATTAACTACAGGCGGAATCATGGAACCCAGATCCCGGAGCGTAGTCCAGGTCGCTGAAGAGGTGACTATGAGCCGATCCTCAAGCGTCAACAACCTCGCTCTCCTCAATCCGCCGGCGCGGAGGCGGAACCGACTAATTAGAAAAAGCAGCATACAGCCATAGCCCCAATTTTTCTTTGTCCCCAATGTACACCTTTACTTCTACTGGTGCCACATACCACAGGCTGCATTATTCACTCCCATTCCAACTCCAGCCCTTGCCGCTTGTTGTTGCAAGCTGGCGCCGCTGGCTGGTGCACTGTGGCTGCACATATAGCTACTGGCCATTCTCGAATAGCATTTGCTGAGAAGCGCCGACACTTGACGGCAAGATTCACTTCGCTATGGTGGCAATGGCTGCGGCTATATATCTCAGTTTCGCTATCAGGTCTTGTGATAGACAACTGTTGGCAATTCACTGATGATGGCAGCCTGTAGAGCCGCCCATTCTTTGCCTCTAGAGGCATAGCCAAATAGATATGTCCATTGAGCAACGTTAACCGTCCCCTTGCGAGCTGATTCTGGCAGAGGTCCAGTTTGACACAGTGCTGCTGCGCTGAGCCGTGCTGGTACATAATATTAATGCACAAACTGTAGTCCGGGCCATTTTTTGGCTCCATGCTCCTTGGTAAGGTACCCAACACTAGCATATGCGGGTTTCCGTACCCAATCGATGCAGCCGAGATGCATGTATCTGGACCCGTGCCAAGACGAACGCTTGTGTTAACGCCCTATTTCCAGAGCTTGAGAACAATCCCCAACGTGTGACTTGCTTCCTCAATATCTGGAGCGCATATATGCACCTTGCCTGCATGTTGGGAGATGCTTCTTTTATTTTTGGCACAGATACATTTGCTCTACTCCGCGATGCAAGTCGTGCACGGTCCTCGCCTAGCCCGACAGTGCCAGCCAACCACAAAGAATGGCTCACCAAAGAAGCACTTTCAAAAGGACTTCGCCACCCATTCATATATAGGGAAGGAATGAAAAGATTGAAAGGCTTCTCAATCACCGCGTATATATAAACCACCAGAGCCAAAGCTTTGTTGTCGTTTTGCTTCTTCACTTCTTGACGACACAAATACTTGCTCTTTTTTACTGCATCTTTCTGTAACATACCTTTCATCGATACCATGTCATCTATAGAAACCCCCTGCAAGGTCCCAGCCACATACCCGTTCTGGAAGCAGGTGCGGCTGTCATTCCTGTCCAAAAGTCGACCATGCAACAGACCTCGTACGGTGGTTTATGCCGTCGTGGTTCACAGTATCCATGGGCACGGGGATCCTCGCTAACTGCCTCACCCGGATGCCATTCGCCACTTACGTCACGGACATCATTGGACGGACTCTGTTTTTCGTCAACATTTTGCTTCTCGGTACATTGTTGATAGTCCAATTAGTGCAGTTCGTCTTCTATCCGGGGATCTTCCGGTTCATGCGTCGCAATCCTCGACGCATGCTCCACTACGGCGCAATCCCAATGTCTCTAGGAACTGCAGTAATCGGAATAGTCAGATTCCAGTTTCACCAAGTGCACGATGCCGTCCTCTATGCCGCATGGGGAGTTTGGTGGGCATCCGTGGGTCTGTCGGTAGTTTGCTCCTTGTTGCTGCTCTATCTAATTATCTCGCGAGAAATCCAGGGGCTCGAGTCTCTGACTGGTGCTTGGCTGCTGCCTGTTGCCCCACTTGTGGTCAGTGCCACAGCCGGCGCAGCTATTGCCGAGTTTTTGCCTGAAAACTGCGTCGTTCTCACACTGCTAGTCAGCTATTGCCTGTGGGGAGCCGGTACTCCGCTTATTGGAACAATCCTTGTTCTCTACTTCCATCGACTGACCATCCACAAGCTCCCGCCTCCAGATCTTATTGTCACCGCCTTTATCCCGCTTGGCCCAGTGGGTCAGATTGGCGCTGCAGCAGCTACTCTTGGAAGTGTAGCGCAGATGGTGGTAGGAGAAGCGCTGCCACACCTTGAGGGATTTGGGCCATTCCTCTATAATATTGGCATTCTGGTAGCGCTGGCATCGTGGGGAAGCTCGGTGTTTTGGGCAATGAATGCCGTCTACTCTATAGCATATCGCCGGTGGTACAACAATCTCCCATTCAACATCGGGTGGTGGTCGTTTACATTCCCCATTGGCGTGTTCACAACGCTGAGTGAAGAGCTAAATCAAGTTCTCCAGTTCAGGTTCTTTCGGGTGATCTACTTGATATCTCTCTTTGTGCTGCTGGGTCTGTGGTGCTTGGTGACTATAAGCACCCTATACAGTGCTTGGACGGGAGAAATATTTGAGACTCCCTGCCTTAGCAACGGAATATCAGACGACTGTGAGGAGCAAACAGGGCTGGGTTCTTCAGCAACCGTTGTGGAGTTGGGCGATGTGTAAATTAAAGCTTCAAACATTCGTTGCGATGAGAGATAAAAATAGCTCTAGTTTGTGTTTCCCTTATAATCGATGGCTTGAACCATGTAAACAGTGGCTTTTAGATAGCAACAATGAGATCTTCATATGCAGACCTGGTATGAAAACATGTATATTTAACATATCAGCACCTTAGATATATTTTTTAGCCTTTATGAACCATCATCATCAATAGAAACTAGTCCCCAAATGATGATTGTCAGCCAATACATTGCATACCTACTGCTGATGTGCTTCTGGTATGACAGCCAGGTAGACGAAGGGCATAGGTATACTATGAAATCTGTTTCCTAGGGGAATACAATCGATATGGCTGATACTATTACTGGAGAAAATGCGCTGGTGTCGACTCTCAGTGGTTTATTTCCTAATGAAGATTGCGAAATTACAGTTGCAGCGCTATGTAGCTGTGGCTTTTAAGGGATTCCATGCGCAGTTATTAATATTATTGACTAAAGAAGCGGCTTCACAGATGAAGCACGATATTCCCCCTCTTTACACTATTGCTACTCAGTAACAGCTTTTAAAATACTGTTGCTAATGATAACATTTTCGTTCCTTTCACACTTTTCGGAAAATTAGCTTTTCGTATATTCATACCTCGCAAAATAAAACCACATGCGCGCATGCACTACAATGGAGACGCACCACCTTCGGTAAAAGAAGCGTATATGGACGAGGCATGCTCAGCCTTGGTGACATCATGGGACAGAAGGCACTCCCAGTCTGAAGTATCACTGAAACTGTGTGCAAAAAAGGGACAATGGATAAAATTGCTCCAGGTCCAGACACTGAATTCCTTGACATGTCACCAGGAGCTGGCGATGCTACTCCCTATTTTCTCAGTATCAAGATAAGGCTAACATCGATACAGAGTCGCCGCTACAGTTGTTGATCTAAATTCGAGAATACTAGCGGCATCCAAGCAACAACTGGGCGATGCAGTGGGAAAATGGCAGTCATGATGGGTTTACACAAGTGAATTCCAAGTATATGTCTGACATTCCGGACCACTCATTCCGCATTTATTGCTGTATACTAGGTGTGCACCATATGCCCGCACAGCATTGAAATTAATATTTCTGCTGGCAAAATGATGGTAGGCATGTGGTTTACTGCATTGCAATAGCAGTCCCTTAAAGCAGCAATAGGACCCGGCTCGATGGATCCCATCATTAGGGACCTGCTGTCCATTACTTCAGCCTCTATAGAAAGTGTAGGTACCAGAGCTAATCAGAAAGCCACGCGTGAATCGAGGTGTCAATATGAGGTTTCATATTCAAAACAAACAGATGCCACTTTTGCCAAATAAATCCACCTTACAACGAAATACATTGTCTGTCTGCTGTGCGCTATTTCCTAATTAAGATCCCGATTGTTATGCAGAAATGACTGTTGGTTATATGCGTTGCATTGGCATTTGTATGTGCTTGGAAACAAGAATCTTCTAACAATATAGCAAATTTATCCCCTCGGCAAGGTGGCATTGCCATAATGGTATGCACTGCAGAGTATGTGGCTCATGACGACTAGCTATTCACCGCGGAAAAATATGCGGTGTTTCAAAAGTGGCCATGGGCTTTGGCATAGCCACCCCGCTCTCCCCTGCTGGATGTCCTTGGGAGGAGCTTAAAAAGGTGGTTTTTGGAAATGGCTTTTTCAAAACAGTCTTCTCCTTGCCTCATTAACACTCAATCCACTCAGCCATGGCAACCGCAATCGCTACTACAACAGCCAGCCGCACTCAGTACGAGGGCGATGCTCCGCCCTCGGTCAAGGAGGCATACATGGATGAAATGTACACTGCGATGGCCCACACGTACGACAAGATCCACTCGGAGTCCACTGTGTCCCCAACGTCAAGCCTGAAGAAAGAACTCATGGACATCGTCGCACCAGGGCCTGGTGTGAAGCTCCTCGACATGGCAGCTGGAACCGGCGATGCTACTGTGCTCTTCTTTGACTACCAAGACAACGTCAACCAGGATACCAAGTCGACAGTCACAATGGTCGATCTGAACGCCAACATGCTGGAACTCGCCAAGAAGCGCCTGGGCAACACGCGTTGGAGCGCTGACGGGCGTATCGAGTACATGCAGGGTAACGCTGAGCACATGCCGGAGATTCCAGATAACACATTCGACATCTACTGCTGCATCTCTGGTTTCCACAACATGCCAAACCACCTGAAGGCAATGAAGGAGGCGATGCGCGTTCTCAAGCCTGGTGGCAAGATCTGTATTGGCGACATCAACAACGGCGTGGGCCCTGTTGGAACGATGCTTCGGCGCGCGTTTAACAGACATGTATTCTTCCCACTCGTCCTGTGGACACAGGAGGACAGGGATATGGCGCATCGCATCAAGGAGAGCAGCCTTACCTTCCCTTCACCGCCTGATTTTGTGGAGGAGCTGAAGAAGGCCGGCTTTGAGATTGAAGGCTGCGGGTATCACTTCTTGGGCTTCATGAGCATGGCTGTCCTGTTTACTGGCACGAAGCCAATGGGTGCAGAGTAGGGATGCAATGCAGCCTGCCCGTCATCCCACCGCTTTTCACATCCTTCTCTTCAAATCTATTTCTTTTTTGTTACGATATCCTGGAGCAGACTAGGTGAAACTGCAGATACAGGGTAATACACGATTTCAAAACCTAATTGCGTCGGTTTGCATTTGTTTGGAGGGAGCAGCCAGTTGTTTTCTCTGCTGGAGCGGGCTGAATGGCGCCCACACCATATGTATGAGTGCTCCCGTCGAATGCTTGATTGGGCCGGCGGGCATGGGACTGCAATAGGTGCTGATCACCGTATCGCCCTAGATGGGAACCAGGATCGTCGAATACTGCAATTGCATGTAGATGACAGATCATCTGTGCATGGCATGCCACAATAGCCTCCTGCGGGCTCTCCCGCAAGGTGACATTATACCTTCCTTTTGTGGGGTGTCACCCGGGTCTAGGCTTGATTGCGCAAATGAGCTGTACCTACCAGCCTAACAACAGATCACAGGATGGGTAGCAGGGCCTGGCTCCAGTGCAGGCGACAGAAGCTGTCCAGCTGCGCCCGAGAGGGCTTGCCGCAATTCCAGGATCAGGTCGATTCGTGGCATGCAAGACAGAGCAGCACATACGCATTTGGATAGTACATTATTGGTGAAGTGTTCATCGTTTTCAGCACATATCCTCCCCAGGTCGCACAGAGCCTCCCTGTGGTTTCCACTTCTCGTAGCATATCTACCATATCGCCACCACCACCTGCCTCTGCGCTGGAATAATTGTGCATTATTTACTTCACTACGCTTAAATGGTTCCGTTGGACCGCACATAGCACAGCTTTACCTTCACCATACTAGCTACTAGTCATTAGGTTGGCCACTTGCCATGCCCGTCCGTCTATTTCGAGATGGGGAACCCAGCGATGAAGGATAAGGTGTGCAAACACACCCACCGCACGCCCACTGCAGAACCGTCAGATCCAGAGATTTAACCCTGGATAGCCTCCATTGCAGCCGGAACACAAGGATCCACAGGCGCGCAAAGTGTTCCCCTCAAGGATGCCTGCTGGTGATGGCCAGTGTTAAAAGTAGCTACTGGCTGTTGCATTTATTCGTTTGGGCTAGCTTGCTAAGGTAAGCTTAGGAGCTAGCTCGCTCTATACCGCCGGCTCTCATCAGCGGCTAAAGGTGTTCATTAGAGATTCTGTCCATATGCAAAGCACCTGTTGGTCCTGTGTCTAGAGCCCAAGCGACGACTCGGCTCCGTAGCACTACGTCACCCAGCCGAACAATCCCAAAGTGGTCAATCTTGTGGGGTAGGGCCCGGCTTTTCTTTCGTCTTGCAATTTCCGTTCTCTATTTTATTTTCAAATCACAATGCAGTCGGCGATGCCAATGCAATCGAGCGTGAAGAAGAAGCTGGTAATCATGGGCCGCAGCGGCGCCGGCAAGACGTCGATGCGGTCGGTAATTTTCACAAACTACACGGCGCACGACACGCGGCGACTGGGCGCAACTATCGATGTGGAGCACTCAACCGTGCAGTTCATGGGGGACCTCAGCCTGAACATCTGGGACTGTGGTGGGCAGCACAAGTACCTCGACAACTACCTGAACGAGCAAAAGGAGAACATTTTTGGCAACGTTGAGGTGCTGATCTATGTGTTTGACCTGGAGACGACCAACCAGGAGAGCGAGTACGAGCTTTATGACGAATGTCTTCAGAACCTGGGGCTGTACTCGCGCGACGCCAAGGTATACTGCCTGGTGCACAAAATCGACAAGATCCTGGACGACGACATGAAGGCGCAGACAATCGCGAGGTATGAGCGCGCGATCAAGAAGCGCACCAAGGGGTTCGACATGGAGGTGTTTGGGACAAGTATCTGGGACCACACTATTTACCGGGCGTGGTCGCGGATTGTGTACAAGCTTATTCCGAACATGGCTACGATTGAGCGGCACCTGCGCAACTTTTGCGAGCTGACGGAGGCCTCGGAGGTGGTCTTGTTTGAGCGGGCTACGTTCCTGGTGGTATGCCATACGACGGTCGACGAGACACAGTCGCTGAACCGGTATATGAACGTGAGCCAGGCGATCAAGGACTACCGAAGAACGTGCCAGGCCGTACAGGCGCCGTTCCACAGCATGGAGGTGCGCAACAGATACTACTCCATATTTGTCGAGCCCTTTACCAAGAGCACGTATATCCTTGTCATCACCACGGATCCCGAAGTCGAGCCAGCCGTCACCAAGGCCAACATCAATGCCGCGCGGAGTCACTTTGTGAAGCTGGCCGACAACAGCGAGGTTCTGCAGTAAACGTCAGAGCTCCGTTGCTAGCGCCCCAATTAAAAATGCAGCCTGCTTTTCTGCTCTTTCTCGCCTTTTAACAAGTTTCATATTATTATTTTTTTCATAATCATGACGACCAGGGTGGATGATGCGGTAATTGCCGGTGCGCTCGAGTACTGGAAAGGCGTGGACCTGACAAGTCTCCTGCAGGACCTCGACAAGACCGGTATGGCTATCGTCGAAAACCAGAAGACGTCTCTGCAAGAGCGACGCAAGCTAGCGGATAAGACCAAGGAATTCCGCTCTGTGCCCGACGACCAAAAGACAAAGGAGTTCAAGGGCCTGCTGCGCGCGTACCAGAACGAGATCGACTCGTTGACAAAGCGCATGAAGTTTGCCGAGACCGGGTTCCTCAGTCTCTTCAAGTCGCTGGGCGAAGCACCTGACCCGACACCCTTCATCTCGGGCCTGCAGGCCGAGCGCAAGCAGAGCGAGCAGGCAGACACGGTGCAGAGCGAGCTAGCAGCCGAGCAAGCAAAGTCCAAGACGCTGCTGGAGGAGAACCGCAGGCTGAAGGAGCAGGCGCGCGAGACTGCACAGCTGCAGAAGCAGGTGGGCGCATTTGAGGCAAAGCTTGACGAGATGGTGAAAGAGCAGGTTGGTGCGCGGGAGCAGGAGCTCAAGGACGAGACCGACGAGCTGATCCGCCATCTAAAGGAGCGCGAAGGCGATCTGCAGCACCAGGTGTCAGCGGCCAACCGCCAGTTGACACAGCTGCAGGCAACCAGGGACTCGGAGCAGGCGGACCGTGCTGAAGAGGCCACGGCTGTGGACCGCGAGCTGGTGGTCAAGCTGGCGGAGCACGACATTCTGCAGTCGGACTTGGACCACGCCAACGCACGGATCGCGGATCTGCAGGCGCAGAACGCTCGGCTTAGAGCTGAGCTGACGACGTTGACGGGCGGCGCTGCAGGTGATGGCGGCGAAACGCTGGAGGATTACCGCAGACGCGTGCGCGAGCTCGAGGAAGAGACTGAGCGGCTGTTTAGTAGCCTGGAGAAGGCTGAGGCAGAGCTGCATCGGCAGGAGGCCCGGTTTGCCAGCGAGCAGAGCAGCGCTGAGCGTGATGCTGTGGCCAAGGAAGACGAGCTCAAGCGCTTGCGGGCCGAGCTCAAGCGGTGCGCCGACTATGACGAAGTCAAGCGCGACCTGGAAATCATGAAGTCTGTCGAGTTCTCTGACTGGGGCATGGGTGAAGACGCTCAGGACGGCGAGTCGCTAGAGCGCATGCTGGTGAAACAGAACAAGGCGCTGGAGAACAAGCTCACTGACGCGCGCAACCAGCTCAGCTCTGCCCAGCAGACTCTGCGTGAGACCCAGACGCAGAACACGACGTTGGCAGCGGATCTGGCCGAGAAGCGCATGTTGGCCGAGAAGCTCGAGGCGGATCTGCTGAGCGTGCAGCCCGGAAGCGGGCCGGACCGCACCAGCGCAGAAGCTCCTGACGCAGTGGAGCTGCAGCCAATTGGCGGCGACAAGGACAGTGGTCTACTGGCAATCGTGACGGGCCAACGCGACCGGTTCCGCCAGCGCAACATTGAGCTAGACGAGGAGCTGCGTGCCCAGGCGACATCCGTGGGCGACCTGCAGCGGCAGGTGGAGCAGGTCAAGCAGGACAACCTGCGCTTGTACGAGGAGATAAAGTACCTGCGCAGCTACACCTCGTCGCAGGCCTCGTCATCGCACACTGTGCCGTTTAATAACAGCGACACAGCAGTTATCTCTGTGCCCAGCAAGTACAGCAGCCGCTCAGCACAGATAGACATGGATACTGGAGTGGGAGCCAAGTACAAGGGCATGTACGAGGAATCGCTGAATCCCTTCAATGCGTTCCAACGGCGTGAAAACTCAAGGCGTGTGCGGTCGATGGGCGTGCTGGACCGCCTGGTCTACATGGTCTCAAACCTAATCATGGGCAGCCGGCGCGCACGCATGGCGTTGTTTGCATACATTACCATGCTACATTTGCTGGTCATGATTACACTGTATCGGTCCATGCTGCTAGTGGACTCCACTGCACACGAACCGGTACATGTGGGTGACGCGGAGAACATGTAAGAGGCCAACTGTTGACGATTAATATAGCGGAAAATTACTGAATGTACGTGATGTCCTTGGTGAGGTCATCGATAAAGTCTGTGATGTATGACCACAGGCCACTGTCGCGTGGCTCCCGTGTTGGCTGGGGTGGCGAGTCCTCCACAGCCGGGCTAGGCATGGCCGATACCTGGTCGTCCTCTAGCATGTTGCGCATGGCTGCCATGGCTGCCGCTCTTGCCGCAAAATCCAGTGGCTGGAACGCAACGAATCCCTGGAACGCGTAGCTCAAAAGCTCTGCGTCGCCGGGCCGCGGGCTGCCTGAGCTCATAAGGGCCTCCTCCTGCTGCTGTTGCTGATGCTGCTGCTCTTCTGTACCCCGCGTGCCGCTGTTCTGTGACACCGAGCCTTCAGAGCCCTGCATGTGCTCGCTACTTGGGGGTGGGGCAATCGCCGATTCGCGGATCGCCGGGCCATCTATTTGCGACGTGCTGTCCAGGCGGCGCGCAACCCAGCCAACTTTTCTACGCGTTTCACTAGCCGACCGTGTAAGCGATATGTAGCGAGGAAGGTGCCCCATGTCCGGTTCAGAGCCCACGCTGTTCTTTGAGCCGTGCCCAGAATCCACTATATGAATTAGGTCTCTCCGCGGGCGGTTCAGGAATTTGGGCCGGAACGGCGACCGGCACTGCAGAAAATCGCCCAGGGAGGGCTCGTTTGGTGACGGCTCCCGCCCCTCGCCTGGGGTGCCGTCAGCGCCGTGGTACTTTTCCAACCAGCTCGACACACGCTGCTGCACTGGCGGCTCCTCCCGCCTCCTGTCGACGGCAAGCAGTGACAGAATGTCTGTGTGCGACCTGCTGCTCGCCTTGCAAGCCCCAGGACTCCGCACGCTGTCGTCAGCGAATGCATAGGGGACTGTGTCCCACACCTCCTGATTATCGGCTGGAACCGGACATGCAGATGCGGAGCTGCTGCCGGCTTCTTGGCTGACTTTGCACCAGCTGTCGGCCACCGATGGCGAGAGGGAGGGTCGCCGCGATGCCTGCGGGGACTGTGGTCGCTGCATGGGTGATGCCGAAGAATCGTCGGAGAAAAAGCTTCGCATATACAGAAATAGAGGAGATAATTCTCCGAAAAGGTATGCCAGGGAGGGGATAGAGTGCGTCCAAGAAATGCGGTCTGGGCCGTGTATTCGGAAGAAAAGAAATGCGTGTCCGAAGGAAAAGTAAAGGCACAAGAAGGAAACAATCGACCCAGAAAATGGAAGCGAAAAAACAACAAAGCAGTCAAACCGAGCAAGAACGGAAAGAATCACCACCACCCAGCCATCTGCTCCACCGTCATGTGATGCTCGACCATGCAATATCTGCAGTTTTTTTCGTCACCATCGCGAGTTGTCTAGGATTTTGAAGACGAAACTAGGCACTTACACAAAGTTGCAAAATACCAATGCTAAAACCACTAATGAACTAGCACGCAATGTCACACTGGCTGCGCCGCCATCGACACCTCCCATCACCAGGCCATTGCCGCCCGCCATTCCCTTGACTGAGCCTTCGTTGGAGCCCAGAGACCCGCCATGGATCAGGTTATTGCTGGCACCAAGGTCCTCGTATATGCCGTTGCGGTTGCCGCGGGCACCCATCGCAGGTTCATCACCATCGCTCATTCCCTGCTGAGCAGTCTGTGGTGGCAGGGCTTGTGGCTTGGGAGCGGATTTGGACTCGGGTTTCGCTGGCTTGTCGTTCTTTTTCTTATCCTTTGCTTTGCTGCTGCTGCCGCCTTCGGATCCGATGATCGGCAGGTCCTCGGGCTCGCCGGGCTTTGTCTGGCTGCAAAAGATTTGCTGCTGACCCTTCTCGCCCTCCTTCATTCTCATGTAGTGCTCGTCATCACCGCACTTTTCATAGCACCGGACAACGTACTCTTGGCGCGCGCACTTGCATGTCATGTTTATACCGCAAATATTCACTTCAGCGCGCGTTTGCTCGACGCATTTTTTGAACGAGGCCGGGTTTTCGCAAGCTGCCCGGGCGACGGCGGCCAGGCAAAGTGTCGATGTGAGGAGTAACAAGAATTGCATGGCTGGTATGTGTAGAGGGAGAAGAAATCGTAGGAAGTCGTCGGACTATCAGTGCCCATGCTGTTGGGCTGCTGCCAGCGATATTATACCTGTTGGTGAATTTCATATTGTAGCTAAAAACAAGTACATCTCCAAAGCCAGCAAATTATTGACGAGGAGCGATCAAATAAGTGGCCAATTCGATGCATGCCATGCGTGCATAGCAGGGAGCAGCACTGGTCAGCTACATTCTGCACTGGCTGGCTGGATGACGGGCCACATGGCGTCATGTTCTGAGCATGCTTGGGGGAGGATGGATTTCAAATGGCTACCATAAATCGTTGAATCGCAATCCAAGCGGTTTTCTCTAAGCACGCTAAAAAAGCATGCAGAAAATCCGCATACGCCTTTCTTGATACCTACTCCCTTAGTCTTCCCCCGCACGCGCACACACATACAACGACAGCAACCCGCTTAATATAACCCCATATACTCGCACAGCTCATTTCCACAGACTGCACACATGGGCCGCCGCAAAGAAACAATCACATACTCGCCCAGCACATTCTCCACATCTGTGCGCCCCGGGAGCGCCAGCGCGGGGCTCGAGTTTGCCACGCCAGGTGACGGCGTGGTTGAGCACTACCGGCCACGCGTCTCGTACTATATGCGCGAGCAGGCTGGCAATTTCCACTACGGGAAGCTGCACCCAATGAAGCCGCACCGGCTCACGCTTACTAACCACCTGGTATTAAACTACGGTCTACACAAGTACATGGACGTGTTTGAGCCGCGGCGCGCAACCGAGGAGGAGATCCGGCAGTTCCATGCAGAGGACTACATTGACTTTCTGAAACGCGTTACGCCCGACACACAGGGACAATTCCAAGAGTGCTTTGCGCAGTTCAATATTGGCGATGACTGTCCAATTTTTGACGGCATGTGGGATTTCTGCCGTATCTATTCTGGTGCGAGCATCGAAGCCGCCAGAAAGCTTATCTCAGGCTCGTGCGACATCGCCGTCAACTGGATGGGCGGTCTGCACCATGCCAAAAAGTACGAGCCTAGCGGGTTCTGCTATGTCAATGACATTGTCCTAGCTATTCTGCAGCTGCTGCGGTACTACCCGCGGGTGCTTTATGTGGACATTGACATACATCACGGCGACGGCGTGCAGGAGGCCTTCTATACGACTGACCGGGTCATGACGGTCAGCTTCCACAAGTACAACGGCGATTTCTTCCCGGGTACCGGCGCCATCGACGAAATGGGCTCGGGACTGGGCAAATTCTACGCCGTCAATGTGCCTTTGCAGGACGGCATCGACGACCGCTCGTATACGCAGCTGTTCAAGACGGTAATGACATCGGTCATGGAGACGTTCAAGCCTGGCGCCGTTGTTCTGCAGTGCGGCGCAGACTCGCTAGGTCTTGACCGCCTGGGTGTGTTTAATCTGTCGATTGCCGCCCACGGCGAATGCGTAAGGTTTATGCGGCGGTTCGGTGTGCCCATGATGGTCATCGGCGGCGGTGGGTACACGATCCGCAATGTCGCACGCTGTTGGACCAACGAGACCGGCATTGTGTGTGGAGTCGAGCTGCCGAGCGAGCTGCCAAACAACGTGTATCACGAATTTTTTGCGCCTGACTATAGCCTGCATCCGCAGCTCTCGGGTCGCGTCATCAACCACAACTCAAGGGCATATTTGAATGCGCTAACAGCCCGTATTCTCGAGCAGCTGAGGTATTTGAAGGGTGCGCCGTCGGTACAGATGCAAGAAGCCCCACCAGATATTCAGGGGTTCTTGGAGGACCAGGAAAAGCATCAAAAGGAGGTGGATGCAGATCGGCTTGGTGACATAAAGGATGACCGAAGCGGGCGTAGGGAACATGTGGCAGAGTTGTATGAGGGCGACGAAGACCAGGACCAGGATGCTAGTTGACACCTGACATGCATGTGGACCATATGCTAGGTCGGATACCAAGTTTTCGAAAATAGCTTTATTCTAGAAGACCCAAGTTTAGGGGTGTTGGAAGGATATATTCGGCAACTCTGGATTTGCAGACTTCAGGGATTAGGCGATATTTGGATGCATTGGCTCCTCATATTTTGTCGGTACATGATGCTTTGCCTGATAGTGGGTGACAAGTACATGCTAATCGATTATGATGCAGCTGTATCTGATCAGCGCATTCAAACAAAGCGCCACAGCCACAACAAGGTCACGCACCTACTGACAGTCCATGTGCTCAGTGCTGGCTGCTTCTTCGATTCAGACTTTGCAATAAATTCAATACTCATGAGCATGGCAGGGCGTAATACGGTCAACCTGGTCGGCAGTGACATATTATCATACATCCTACGTATGGCCACGGAGACAGGTAGCGACATGATGCATGGAATACAGCGACACAGACGTATTGCAGAACTGGCATGCACGTGCCGCATGTGGAGCATGATACTGCTCCCGAGGATAGCCAGGTCACTGGTTGTTGAACATCTTGGCCAAGGGAAGTGGATGACCAATATTGGATTCTTTCGTTACTGGAAGTGTTCCACATGGGCCCGAAATCTTACACTGGCGGGCGTAATCGACGGGAATGCTTTGTCAACAATGCAGACTATGCTGCAGCGCCAGGAATTCCAGCTATTCGACTGGCGTAGAGTCAGAGAAATAAGATTTGAAACCCGAGATCTGAGCCGTAGTCTCCTTCATAGACGAAACCACAGCTACTACGATGTATGTGCGTACCTCTGCCAGCTACTACCTAATCTGGCGACACTTGACTATGTGGGCTGGCATTTGCATCCACGGTTGTTTGAGTGTGAGATGCGCTATTGGTTTTCGCGACTCTTGGTATTAGGCGACGGGGTGTTTCACATCGATCGGTACCTTCAGCTCCACCGACTTGCTAGCCTTGCAAGCCACGTTACGCACATTGTGGTGGAAGGCAGCTGGCTGGATGAAGTAGGAAATAGCGCAGCCCTACTAGCCTCGCAGTTCCGGCATATCCGTATATACAACATCATCGGAGAGATATCGTGGCGGGCATTTGCTGGCACAGGACAGTCTCAAGCAGTTGAGTTCACTAACCTTGAAGGACTTGAGCTATACGGCTTTTACAGTACAGACCACAAGGTATCAGTAGTTGACGCAGGGCTTGCCTTGCGCTTCCCAAGGCTCCAGACACTGGACATCAGTCAATCGTGTCGTCTCTACAGTGACTTGTACTCTATGTTTCATGATTTTGCTCCAGCTACTCTGAGAGTCTGGGAGCGGGCAGCAGACTTTCAGCGGATCAACCCTCGGATCATGCGTGCTGCCAAAACGTTGAACCTGCAGATTGGTGCCAAGATGGTGCCTAGAGACTTACATATCGCTGATCTGGCATCGATTGATGCTCACCTGAGAGGCCACAGGTTCATGGCCTACCTGCAGTCGTCCAATCTCCGGCATCTCACTTTAGGCGTTCTCTCGTGCCACTATACATTTGTCGAGGAGCTCCTTGGCCGGCTGCCTTGCCTTTGGTATCTCAGAGTCGAATGCAGCTGTGACATAGTCTCGGAGAGAGAATCAGGTGATGATTATGAGCCAGTTGAGCCATTGGAGTTGTCGTCGAGAATCGGCGTGCTGCCGTGTCTCCAGGAATTCATCTTTCGGAAGTATCATATCTGGACACCCTGCGACTATGAGTGGATCCGGCAGCTTGTCCTCTGCTCGCCATCACTTCTCAAGCTGAGTATCCCAGGCACTCCCGCTCGTGACCTGTCTGATATCTGCATGTCGATCAGCAGGTCTGTAGAAGTACTGGACAGTGGCGAGCTGTACATCGGAGACAGCATGTATGAATTCTTTTAAAGGCGCTTTATATAGCCTCTGGAGTGTATATGCTACCGTTTACTGCCTCTGCTCTGTAGCTCCAGCAATGACCATGGCATACACTGGCCATTTCCAGCGAATTAACGTGTAGTCATTTTATCTTGTGTGCTGTGCCATACTCGAGTGCATCGCTGAAACACTCACATGTAGCATGTGCCAGAATCGAGGAGTTGGTTTTGGTTCACAAAGCACAGATTCTCAGATACCTCAAGCGTCGTTTGCTCTCTTAGTTTCCACAGCTTTTACACTAGATGGCAGATGACAATGCATCAGCCCCGGCGTCGTCACCACCGCTTGCGGATTTCTCGCCAGACGTGCAAGCCGACGAAACGCCAATGAACCGCACGCCGCCCATGGCCCACGCTACTCACGACATCCCCCCGCGCATCGCCCCGCCGCGCTTCCAGCTACACCAGCCACCCCAGCTGGCCGAGGCATTTTCAGGCAGCGCATTCGCAACACCACTGCCACACACTGGCCTGCTAGATGGCCAAGTTGTGGACTCAATGCAGCGGTACCAGCACCGGGTGCATTTCGACGACCCGTTGTTAATGGCCAGTGCCGTGCAGGCGCCCGATGAGTCGTTTTTGAAGCATTACGATGCAGGGGATGCCCCCGTATGGCGCAATTTGCATGCTCCGCAAGTCGACCAGGAGCTTCTTTTGAAGCTGAACCAGGAGGGCGATCTGGAACGGTTGACGCGCAAGGCGGTGGACGATACGCGCAAGGCATGGAGGACCGAGATCATGAGCAAGCTGCGGAAGGAGGTGGATGATCTGGAGAACGACCAGTGGATGTTCCAGGCAGGGCAGGAGTAGAAAGTCTTTACCATGTAAAAACGCGCCAATGCAATGAGAATACGTTAGTTTTCAAGAAAACTAAAAAAAAAAAAGCTAATCAACGTGGATCTTTAGGTCAATTAGTGGTGGATGCACTTCTTGACCGACGAGGTGGACGAGTAGATGGGGCTGACGGCAGAGCCAGCCGGGGAGTCAGTGGCCCGGAGCGCCAGTGGCAGTGGCGGCGTCGGTGGCCGGAGCACCGGTAGCAGTGGCAGCACCAGTGCTGGCATCAGCAGCAGACGACTCAGCAGCAGACTTCGAGTTCAGCTCCGACGACGAAGCGACAGCGGACGACTCCTCAGCCTTCGACCGAAACGCTGGGCTCCTCGCTGCCATTGCACTGAATGGAGACCGAGTCGACGTACATCTTGTAGACAGTGTCAGCGTTCCACGGGGTCGGGTGGCCGGCCCAGTCAGCAGTGCCCTGGGCGCCAGATCCACCGTCCCAGATCGAGAAGGCAATGCGAGCCTCGGACGACGGGAAGGAGTAGGTGTTCGTGGCGGCGTTATAGGTATCGGCCTTCTTCAGAGTGCGGATGGGCTTGCCGTCGACCGACCAGACAATGCTGTCGGCGGTCCAGTTGATCTCGTAGTCGTGGTAGGCGGCCGAGGTGTCGACGCCCAGATCGTACGGGACCATCTTGGTGTAGTCAATGACGTTGTTCGCATAGTAGTTGGTCTGGACCTGGTTGGGCGACAGACCGACCCACTCAAAGTCGATCTCGTCGCCGGTGTTGTCGTCGCGAATAATAAACGACGACACAACACCCTTGGCGATCGATGCGGTCTTGACGCGCGCCGTGACCTTGCCGTACTTGATCGTGTGCGAGGCATCAGCGGTAGCACCGAAGCCGGCCTTCTGCGCAGCATTGTACTTCATCGAGAGCTCCAGGTTGCCGTTGTTGATCGCGGTGTTGTCCGGGTCGAAGATCGACAGGAAGGCGTTCTGCGAGGCATCGCCCGAGTACTTGTAGATGCTGATGATGTCGTTGGACTTGTCAAAGTTCACGGTCTGCGAGGCGCAGCCCTCGGCCGGCCAGCACGAGGTCGAGTTGTACGACTTGGAGGGGACGCAGAGGCCGTACAGGCAGAAGGCGGCGTTGACATTGCAGTAGCCCTCGCGGTAGCACGGCGAGAACTGGTCGCAGGTGCTCTCGGCGAAGGCGGCGGGAACCATGGCCAGCGCGGAGGCGAGCACGGCGGAGAAGGCGGTGATCTTCATGATTGTGGTTTAAGGGTAGTAAGGCGGAGAATAGGGGGGGAATAGAGGTACAGGGGCGTCGTCAAGAAGCGAGTGTACAGGATTAGAATTAAAAAGTCTGGTGTAGAAAGGCACTAGATGATAGAAATTTCAGGGAAGCGGGTCCGCGAGGGGGAGGCTCCCGGAGCAGGCCTTTTATACTAAACCCAAGGATCCGGCAGCAAGGCGGCCGACCATTGCGCAGAAAATGGAAAAAAGTGCGAGAAGGAGGGAGTGCAATATATTGCCAGCGCTGGTTGGACCCACCCATCCGCGGCTACCCAACCAGAACGCGGATCACACTGCAGCAGAGTGCGCATGAGGTGAAAGAGACGGATATAGCATGACTGGTGACGAGACGGGCGTGTGTGCGACATGATGTAAATAGCATCGGAATGGTCCGACAGGCTTGTTGTTTTTGTTCTTCGGGTTACACACATGGGACAGCTCCCATTCGCCAGGGCCGCTCATTGTGTGCTGAAGAAGGTGCAGCTCGGATCACCCAAATATAGCTCGCTGCTGTCGGCCCAGACCCGCAATGTGCAGACGGTCCGGTCTATCCATGGCCTATTGTTCTTTCCCAGGCGAGTGCCAAGGGAGGAAATCTTTCTTCGCTTCAGGCAGTGTCCCTTGTCGCCCGTCCGGGAACGAGGACTGGGTGGCTCTGTCCAAGGCAGGCAGATGAGGTTTGCATAGACGATTGTCACCTGCAGCATCGAGGATTCCGAAACCGCATTGAAAGCACGTTGGGCAAATGTGGAGCGGTTCAGTGGTAGCCGCCGCTGTGGTTGGACAAAGAACAACTATATGTTCGCTGGCTGGTCTATTGCTGGTAGAATGGCCGAGTGCTAAGCATAGAACGGGGGCACAAAAGCGCACATCCTCTCGACAGATGCAGCAAAGGTGGAGCGGATTGTACGAGAATGACAGTTTAAAATTAGAATTCTGGGCGATTGCTGGTGTCGAGCTCGGGCAGCAGATTTGAGTGGCGGACCTGTCGATTGACGTGGGCCGTGAAGAGGCACCACGATCCTAAACACAGCTACACCGGCTGTCTTGATTGCATGATTTGCGTGGACAAGAGTGGTCACTGGTGACCGAATACTGTCGGAATCGCTGCCATGCCAGCCTTTTCTCCATCGGCCCTGGGATCAGCATGGCGGCCATTCCGACCCAACCTCTGCTGCAATCTGGACGGAGCAGAGTGGGCAGCTGTATCTAGCTGCGCACACTGCATAGTGTATGCAAAGAGCAAGAACCAGGCAGTGTTCAAGAGGAGGTGCATTAATGAGATTGCCAGTTTGTTGTCGGGCTTTTCATACATTCTAAAAGAAGAGGCCGTTGTCGCTGGCGTCGTAGGGACCGGACCAATTTCAGACACGGCCTTCAGAGCTGTGGTATGGCGGCTGGCTTGGCTCAGTTCAGCTCGGCACTGCTGGCTGCGCAGGTTCTCGCAGGGGGCTGTTGGATGATGGATCTCAGCATAAAGAGACATGGCGGCATGAAGCGTGCTGAGGCAAGCGAGAAAAAGCAATAGGTGATTTTTATCAGGCACGTGATGTGTTTCTGAGGGATGAGGTTTTGTCATTTGATAGCTGTGGCTGGCAATATAATTTTTTTGTTGTTAGGTCAGACTATGAAGCTTGGGCTCTTGGTAACCCGTTCTTCCCTGCTTCCCTCTCTCGACAAGCTGGAAAAGTGTGTTGGTGTTATTATTCCTCTCCCCTTCGACCCCCATTTCCTGTTTGCCAGTACTATATGAAGCAGGCTCTCTTTCCCTTACCAGCGCACTATTATAACGCGACCTCTATTCCTTGCTACTTCCCAACCCCCTCGGGCTTTTCTCTCTTTCCAGTGCTTTTCTATTTACTTTTTCAGTTAGAGTAGCAATTTTGGCAGACAGGCCTTTTTCCTGACATACAATGAGCACCGACGTTCCCGAAGATAAGCGGCTGGACGACGAGCAGAAGGCGAAATACGGTAAGGCCAAAAAGGAGGAGCCATGGGCTGTTTTGGAGTGCGTTCTGGCCCTGCCAATGGCCGGGTTCCAGAAGACAGTGAGTGATGCGTGAGATTTGATATGCACGGGATTTCTTTTCTGCATGGCATAGAACTCAGCATCAGCAACGAGCGGCGGCAGTTCCGGATAGACGTATGTCCACAGCAGAACACAGTGCCAGACGACCAGTGGCGGCGGGCAGCACGTATCCGCCAAAAGATGCGCAGCTGCAGGACCTGGCACAGCCGCACAGCCCCGAGGCACGCAAGCTGTCGCAGCTGCTGGGCTTGAAGCTGGCGGAATCGCTGGAGGCGGCGATGAATGGCAGCGACAGCAGTGCATCACGCAAACTGGCGCGGCGGGTCGGTGTCATTGCGAGCCAGCCGGCGGCAGGAGCGACCGGTGGCCGGGCGGCGGCATCTGGAGGCAGCGTGGCGCCGGCTATGCATGGGTGCGCCCAGTGAGCTTGACATAGCGCAGTCGGCAGCGCTGGCCCGCGACGCGTTTGCGCTTCTGGCTGTGGAGCTGCTGGATGCAGCGCGCGGCGTGGGGGAGGTGGAGGAGCTGCGGCGGATGCGGGTTCTGACGGTGGGCGAGTCGACCCTGGGGGAGCCGGCGGAGCGCAATGTGGGCGGGAGCAGCAGCCCGGCAGTGCTGGCGCATGGGGAGAAGCGGCGGCGGCGGGGGTCGTCGGACTGCGTGGTGCCGCGCGGCTCATCTGATGGCAGTCAGGTGGGCGAACCGGAGTCGGTAAGGCAAGCGCTGGCAATGCGGCTCGCGCACGTGCTGGACGCACACACGTCGGGCGGCGACGTGGCGGCGAGTGTGCAGCGGCGGTTGCAGGAGAGCCAGCAGCCAGGCGGTGACACGCCAGCGGCCAGCGACTACGTGGCGGATTTCACTCTGGCACCACACGGGCTATTGGGCGACACGGCGGTGGGCGATGCGGTGCCGCCGGTGCTGGGGATCAGCTCGACGATCCCAGTGAACGACGAGCCGTTCGGAGATGCGTTCAGCAGCCATCTGTCGCAGGCGGCGACTGGCGCGTGGCGGCACCGGCCCAATATGCGGTTCTGCTGGGCACTGGTATTGCAGCCAGGCGCCGTGCGTGTCTGTCTGCTGGAGAGCGACGCAATCCACGTGTCGGCTGAGATGGATCTGGCGACTGTGGATGGGCGGCGTGCACTGGCAAATCTGTATGCAGGCATGTGTGTCAGCGAGCCGTGGCGGCTCGGCGCTGACCCAACGATGGCGTGGCGCAGCGAGCTGGGCCGGTGGGAGATTGCGTGTGGTGACGAGGTCGGCGGCGTGCGGGTAGTGTATGCCGAGGCGTGGCCGTTCTTCCAGCGCTGAGTCGTACTTTGGCCGCGCGACGCGGTGCTTCCGCGTATCGCTGGAGCCGCAAGGGAAGCTGGATCACGTGCTCAAGGACAGCTGGCAGCTGGCGCCCTCTGGCGCTGCAGACCGACGACCGCCCGACGAGATCGACGTTCTGCGGACGATCCGCATCAAGCTGGAGGCTGCGCAGTCGGACGTGACGTACCCACGGCTGGTATGCGGCGGCACCGTGCATATCGCAACCGTTGATGACAGCGACATGACAGACACGTCAGCGCTGATCCTGGGCCCGTTCGCCCAGTACAGTCGGTGGACGGTGCCACACGGACACCATGGCGATCGGCGGCAGTTCCACCGCGAGCACCGGCGTATGGTGACAACGCCGATCGGACTACCGATTGCCAGGCTGGACAAGGAGCACGAGGTGGTGGCGGTGTTGGCTGATGCCATGCGCGCGCACACGGAGATCTCGCGGCGGTGCGGGATTCTACACCGTGACATTTCGCTGAACAACATTTTGGCAGTGCGGCTGCCAGGCGGCCGGCTGCGCGGCATGCTGATCGATTATGACCACGCAATCGAGGCTGCTGCCGCCAGCAACACTGCGCGACCCGGCCATGTGGGCACCGGACCCTTCATGAGCATTGCCAATCTCGAGGGCCTGCATGTGCCGCGCACCGCAGCTGATGACTGGGAATCGCTGCTGTGTCTGCTGTTCTGCCTGGCCGCCCGTCGGGAACAGTCGCTGGAGGACATGGCGCGCGATTTCATGCACGTGAGCCGTCGCGGTGTGGCCGAGCTCAAGCGTCACGTGTTTGCGTCGCCAGCGCGCCTGGAGAGCGCTATCCGCCGGTACCTGGATCCTGGGTTCGCCCACGTAGTCCGCCTGATCCGAGCCCTGTACACTGCCATTTTCCAGCACCCGCAATGCCATGGCACCGCGCAGATTGGCCTGAGCAGCACCCGCACCATTGATCCGATCAAGCGCCGCGCCATGTATGCCGGCGAAATCCAGATCCGGTGCATGCGCGCAATGGAGGCTGCCGCTGCCGACATCGCCAATATCCAGGCTCTGCACGAGCATCTGGCTGGCACCCCGCAGCCGCAGCCGCCAGCCACGTCGCTGTGCTCGCAGTCCACCGCCCAGTCGACTGCCGAGTCCATGGCCAGTACTCTGCCGCCGCCTCCGCAGTCGCTGTCGCTGGCTGACAAGCCGCCTGTCAAGGACATTGCGCGCGCAATCATGCACATGAACATGCGCAGGAACAAGCGCAAGGCCGATGTGTCCGGCTGCTACCAGCAGTCGCCCAAGCAAAAGCGCCGCCGTCTGAGCACGTTCAGCGACGTCAGCATGCAGTCAGCTATTCGTGAGGACGACGAGTGGCCGTCGCCGTCGCTGGGAAAGCGCTCAAGAGCCATGCGCGATTTGCCTGAGGACCCCGAGTCGCCGTGTCCGAGCAAGCGTCTGTGCTTTGAGTGATTTTTATGTACATATTATTTCTTTACCCCACTCATTATCTCGAGTATGCGATTTGAACCAATTTCGCACACAATATCGACTACGTAAACTGCCATTTTGAGGCTGATTTTTGCCAGGACGCTCATTCTCAGCGCTTCGCCTTTCTATTTGTTGACACAACGCACCCACGCATCCCTGCGCCACCATGAACAAGCCGAAACATGTATTTTGGCTCTCGTATACAACCAATACTCTTCTGCTCTCTTCAGTTCTCTTCAGTTTACCTTCACATACCTCTCTCTATATTGCTTGCAGCCATTCATCCTATCGGAACCGACGCTTTTGCCATGAAATCTGCTGCTCAGCACCTGCCCGTGCTCATCTTGGATCGCATTATCCACTGCCTTGAATACGCAGTGTGCCTATCCCTCTTTCCGCAAGCCATCGGTTTATGAAGTTGCTAAACCCATGACACAGGTCTGCCATTCTTGGCGAGAACTGTCTCTTGGCCATGCATTCTGTTGTGTATACGTGGGCTACAAAACCAAACCGACTCTCAAGCAGGCCTGTGCGCTCGGTATCAGCGACAGGTTCAAGGAGATCACATTGGCATTTAAAAGTGCGTGTATACTTGATGGCTCAGCGGCAGCTCTGATAAAGCGACAGGCTCCGAAAGATGCTGTATTTCCGCACACTACACACCTTGTCTTTATTTACAGGAGGGTCTTGGGGGGTCACAACAGGACGGCTAGCTACTGTCGATGCACTTGTTCCGTGACGAGGTCTTGCGCATGTTCCCCGCTATTCTATTATTTTGAAGCCTGGTCCTGTGGCCATACAAAAGGGGTCTCTTGGCTATTTACATGAGCTCGCTGAACGTCTCTTGACTTGAAGGACCGCTATTGCAACAACAGGATATGTGGTGCCAGATGCCTTTCATCTATCGGCGCTCATCGTAGCCCACAAAATACAATTGAATAAATGGTACGTGCCTAAAATGACCTCGGTCAAACTGTCTGGGAAGAAGATACTAGGTAGCGTATTCTCCTAGTGATAATTTTAAGGGTGCTGGTTTTTCCAATATACTTTCGTGAACCCTTACATTTTGACTGGGGTCATTTTAGGCACGTACCGTTTATTCAATTGTATTTTGTGGGCTACAATGACTGCTGATAGAAGAAAGGCATCTGGCACCACAGATACTGCTCCTTTGCAGAGCTTGGTTGTCAATGTGAATGAGGAGACAAGATACTTTCAGTCTTATCCGCAGAAACTTAGTCGCTGCAAACACTGACTAAATCTCACTAGCTCAGTCACCTCGTGATTCATAGCGATGGTTCGGGTGCCACGTATCCCCAGCTGCATTATCCTCACCTAACTAATCGCTGCCATCCGCCTAAACATGACTAGGGGATTCATTCAGGCTGCAAGACGGCTAGTAATTCTGGCGTTACGGTGTCTGAGAGCCCGCGTTTTTCGTTCGTTTTTCGATGACGACATTTTCATGTCCTGCTCGAACCTCATGGAAACCGAGCACTTTGCCAAGCTTGCTACTTGTATGGGCGCTGGCAGTGGCTAGATTTTTGGAGTTGCTTTGTTCTACCAGCTGGCATCGTCATATATGTAAATATATGCTGAAGCCAATGCTTATAGTTGATAAATTTGCATATTATGAAAATATGCTGCAAAGCATAGAATGAGCGACGCAGAAACTATATACTTGCAGCAGTAGTCTTAACGCTCACATTTAATGCCTGATAGTACTGTTGTGCGGGCGGTGACGCCTAGCATGGCGATGCCATATCAGTCGACACATCGGCTGATATCAAGGGCAGCTGTAGCACTGAGCCAATGGAGACATCAAATGAAGGCGTGTAATCATAACGGTCACAGTTTTTTTTTACCCAGGTTTCATTGCTGTGCTGTGTGCGAGCACGGGAACAGCATTCTATAAGTAAAAAAGGCGACACGCGGTGCCTGTAGTTTCATTCTCCTTTCTTCCACTATTCCTTAGTTTTATATTCTCGTTCGTAAAAACAAAATACTCTGAAAACACTCAGCACTGCGTGCACGCACAATATCTCAACAGTCCTACACAACGGGCACCAGCATGTGATGGTGTTTGAATCAAGGCACATTGTCAGCGTCCATCACATGTGTCATGCATTTAATAATTTATGGTGCTGTGTTGGAAGAGAAAACCGTATAGATAACCGCGGAAGAGAAAAGGTAAGAGAAAACTATGCTATAGACATAAGAAATGATGCTGGGTTGCCGCTGGCTAAGAATTTTTATAATGGTTTTTGGCAAACTATATGGGCATCCAACACAACGACATCGCAATCTCTACTCGATGAGGATTGGGTCTTGGTCGCATCTGCTGACAACGACATCTACCGGGCCGTCAAACTCATCCACCTCAAGCTCCTTGCTCAGCCGTCCCTGCAGCACATGCCCCAGGTACCCCCGCTCTGTATTCGTATGCTCAGCCAATACACAGCTCGTGTCCTTGGCCACAGCCGCCAGAACGTCGTGGTGGCTCATCTCGCCTGTGAAATACAAGTCAGCGGTGACTGGACCCAGCACCGACGCGCCGGACCCAGCACAGATGGCGATGCGCTCAATCAGCTTCTGCTCGTCCGAAGCATGGCACGGCGCACGCGCCACGCGGATATGCTCCAGCTTCAGCCCCTTCTTGATCTCGCCGATGATGGTGCTCAGGGGTTTCGGCTCAGCCAGCTGCAGGATGCGGCCCTCGCCCACGTTCTCCTGGCCGCCAGTGCGGTCAGGCTGCGCGGGCGTGATGGGCGTCACAGTGCCAGGCCCGATAAGGGACGCAAGCCAGTCGTTGACGCCGTTTGCGCAGCTGTCGAGGGAGGTATGCGGCGAGTAGATCGACACGCCGTTGGCCGCGCACTGCAGGACCAGGTTCTGTTTCAGGTTGCCCATCGAGAGCGACTTCCACGCAGAGAAGATTGGTGGGTGGTACGAGACGATCACGCCCACGCTCGGGTCCTCCAGCGCTTCGGCCAGCACAGTCGTCGTCAAATCGATCGTCAGAAGCACGCGCTTGGCGTCGGGCCGCGGCTTGGCAGCCTCTACAAAAAGCCGAATTCAATATTGAGTAACCAAATGCCACAAGCGAATCTAGCACAAATCCAACTGTTCAAGTGCAATTGCTTACCTAGCAGGATTCCGACATTGTCCCATTCCAAAGCAGCCAGGCTCAGCGGAGCAATGCGCTGCATGGCATTCGAAACACGTGAGAGCAGGCTCATGTCGTTGGCAGTGGTCGAGTGGTTTGGCAAATTGAGCGGCGCAAGTTTGCGGATTTTGAACGGAAGCGGGGGAGAAAACACGTTGCCGTTCGTTTGCCGGGTCAGCGCTTGCGTAAGGCCTTCGATTAGCGCTCCGAACGGATCGGTTGCGGCTCCCGAGCCGTCCGAACCGCGGTCCTCCATGATGACGTCAGTGTCCAACGTGGGCAACGCCGCCGCCACACGTTGAACCAGCCGCGCTGCCAACGCTATGGCCTGCGATGGTGGCACTGCTTCAAGGTCCTGCATGTGCAGAATTCCAGAAATATCCTGGGCAAACGGCGGCTTTGCCTGCGCCAGCTGCTGTTGCGCCAGCGGCAGGTCAGACGGTGACGAGCTGGTCGTGTCGGAGCTCAGCTGTATTTCGTTATTGGCGCTTGAGCCCAGCATGCCGGGGGTCTGCCCTGTGTAAGCGTCAGTGCGCGGTTGGGTCGAGCTAGTCGACGACGGAGACGGCGAGACCGAGATGTCGCGTGTGCCACTTTCGGGTGCTCCTTCCGCACCTTGCTGGTACACGCTCGGATCAGACGACCGCATAGGGCGACGCCCATTGCTGGGCTCCTGGTCAACAATCATGCGGCGGCTATCATTGATGCCGTCGCCTGCCGCCATGCTCAGCAGGGCGGAGCCTGCAATGGCCGAGCTGGTCTCGATGTCACTAGCCTCGCGCTGCGTAAACAGTGGCCCGCCAATACCTATGCCTGAAGACATTGGCGGCTGGCATATCTGAGTAAACGGCGGCGATGCCTCGCGCCGTGCGGAGTTCTCGCCGCGGTGCGAGTGTGAGAATGACCGGGGCCGGGTCGACGAGGCGGTTGTCGGCGGACTGCGCATCGGATACGGCTGGCCAGGGCCAACGTTGCACTGGTGCTGGCGGAAATGCCGCTTCAATGTGCCGGTAGAGGACCCCTTCGAGTATTCCTTCTTGCAGATGCGACACCGCGACATACCAGAGTCTAGCCGCTCAAAGCCAGTTGGTCCCCACACCACAGAGCTTAGCCGCCGTGTGGACTCGCGTGCCGGCGACTGCGATGTGTTTGCCGGGTTGAGCCGTCCTGGCGACGCCTGCAAAGGCTGCACTCGCGGCTGCTGGGGCGGCGGCTGCTGCGACAGCTGCTGCGGGTTGGGCGATGGAATCCGCGGGAACGGCAGCGGCGAGCGCTGCTGAGCATTTGGGTCAAAGCGGCCCGGTGGCATATGCCCCCTGGGCGGCGGTGGCGACAGGGACCGCTGCGAGGGCATGCGTGGGCCAACATGGCTGAAGCTAGCTCGGGACTGGAAATGTGGCGGCGGCGGACCGTATCCTGGGTGCTGCGGCGGCCCAAGCTGCTGCGGCGGGCCGCGCGGACCGTAGGCTGAGTTCGGTGCGAAATACGGCGCCTGTGGCGAGGCCTGCGCAGATCCAAAATGCACGCCCGCATGTGACGTCGACCTGCTGAACGACGTCTCATACTGGTCGCGCGGCTGGTCATGTGGGCCGCCCGGATACGCCAACGAAAGCTGCCGTGGCCGGTGCTGCTGATAGGGCCTAGTCTCCTGTTGGCCAGGCGGCTGCTGCTCGAAGCGCGGAAACTGCTGGTGTTGCGGCGGCGGCTGCTGGAGATTGCGCGCCTGCTGAGCTGTGGTCCGCATCACCACGCCCTGCGGTGGCATCGGCTCGCTGATTGTTGCAGCGTGCTGGCGCTGTCGCCGAAAATGCGCCTGCTGTGGTGGGAACTGGCCATTGAATGTGCGCTGCGGGCCATTTTCTGCGTGTCCGTCAAACACCTGGCGGGCTGCAAACGGCGACGACGGCACCGACGGCTGCTGCGACCCGGGCTGGCTCTGGCCGTTCGTCGCTGCAAAGCCGGTGGCCAGCGGCGACGGCTTCTGCGCATGATCGACATTGTGCGAGCTGCCTGCGGTGGCGCCCGGAGATACCGTGGATTGCTGCTGTGGGTGATCGCCGGCATTGTTGGCCGACGACACGGCGAATGAGCGCTGGCCGACAAGAAGATTCTCCACCTTGGTTGCACGGCCCGTCTCGTCTTCGTGTGGTGGTCTGCGATTCATATCAGCCGGCTGTGATCCCGCTGGTGGCACATGATGCAGCCGCGTGTGCGGAGGCGTTGATGGTCGCCGTGGGCCCGCGGGAGCGCCTGCTACCTGGCTATTGCTCGGCGCCTTTTCGCTCATGCTGGACATGGTGTGTGTATGTACGTATGTGTCTGTGGGCGTGTGTCTGTGGGCGTGCGTGAAGTCAAGGAGAAAGGTGGCCTTAGGTGTGTAGAGAGGTATGCACGCAACGGCGCATGCAGGATTTTGTTGTTCGGAGTAGAAACGCTGGAGAGGAGAAAAGCAAAAGCGACGAAGACGGCAAAAAGAATAAGGCTTTGAAAAATAAAGAAAAGAAAAGAGAGAAGAGAGGGGGAATGGGAGAGGACAGTCCAAGCACAGGCGTTTGTGGCTACTGCCAAAATAGTGGTGGTTCTGCGCGCTGTGGATATTCAAAATGCAGGTTCGAAAAATTAAATATAGCGAGACTGGGGAGTGTGCGTGGGCGGGCTTGGCCTTACGGTTTATACAAGACGGAGACGAAAATTTTTCTTCTCAGACCAGGTCGCTGAGCAGAGCCTATTTTTGTTTTACCCAAGGTATGCAGCCGACAAAATATACAGTCCTGCAATGTTCTATCTACAGCCAGGACGGATGTGGGTGTCGGTGTCGGTGTGTGCCGGTCCGCGGGTTCGCTGAGCACGAAATAGTGCTGGAAAAATAAAAGGGGAAAAGAGAAAACAGGGACGGCGCTATAGAGTGCGATAGAGCGACAGAGGGGGTGAGCAAACAGGGGAGGGGACGGCCTTGTTCGGCGCGTGATGTGAAGTTTAATAGCGTCAAAAAGGAAGGGGCGTTGGCCAGGAAAATAGAGACGCCTAGTAGGAGAAGCGTGAAAAGGGCTATCCTTGTCTGCTCCCTGTCGGGCAGTGTTTATCTGGGTGAGAGGAAGGGGAGGTTGGGAGGTCCCGAATTGGTCCAAGAGAGAAAAAAGGGCTGGGTGTGGTCCGAATGTGACGTGTACAGCTGAAACAGAATAAAGAAAAGAGTGAGAAAAAGAGGGTTTTGGAGAAAGAGAACAAGGGGGAGGGAGAAACGTGTCGATGGAAATATGTCGTGGCCCAGACTGCTTGGAAGAAAAAGAGTGCGAAAAGGTTGAATTCGAAAAAGGGAGCAAAGTGAAGCGGCAGCGCTCCAGAAAAAATGGTCCTGCGTTTAAAAGCCCGGCCAATTACCACTCTCTTTTCGTTGCGGCACCCCCAGGGCATTCTTGCGAGCCATGGCGCCAGCCCTGGCCAGCGGAGCCTGCCGGGCCCGCATGCCAGCCAATATATGCTTGTCAGTCCACCGGCCAGTGACACGGGTGCTAGGCCCCGTCGTCCCCGCATTGATGCAGGCTCCTCTGCAAGTGGGCCGTGGTCCAGGCTGCGAGGTGTGGCCGGTGGAGCGAGGGCCCGCTCGATCTACAGGCTAATTAGTCTGCAGTCTCCCCCAGTCCGGGTCGCACTCACAAGGTACCTGGATGGTGATGCATGTGTTCTCTTTGAGAGTGAACAATCGCCAGGCGCCGCAAATCTCCACCCCAAGGCTGCCCGTCCGCTGCGCAGCGCCAGCGGACCAGATCTGATCTTGCGCAGAATCTACAGCCGTCGTCATCGCCTCTGCCGAAAATTAACCGCTGCCTCTGTGCCCTTCTTCCCTCCCCAGTCAATTCCACACGCCTTTTTGCAATTCACCTCGGCTCATTTGGTTGGTATAAAAATGTCTACCCTGACAATTATCTACGGCCCCGGCCGCACAGTGGCGGTCAAGACCACGCCCACAATGACGCTACAGGCAGTGCTCACGGACGCCTGCGCAAAAGTCCCCGGCTCCCCCGCGCCTGCCTCGCACATCCTGACGTACAACGACAAGGCGCTGGACCTCTCGCTGCCACTCCGCTTCGCCAATCTGCCGCAGGGGGTCAAGCTCACTCTGAAGCGAACAGCCAGCAAGCCGTCAGCTGCCGCTCCGCCAGTCAAGGTTGCGCTGCAGGTCAGCGACAGTGGCCGCGTTATCGTCGATGTGCCGGCGGCAACGACGCTCTGGGAAATTGTGACACTCGTAGAGCAGCGGTCCAATGGCGCCCTGAACCTGACAAGCCGGTTTAGAGTGCAGGAGCAGAAGGCTGGGTTGTTAAAGACCGTATTTGGTGGCAGTCCCAAGGCTGCGCAGCAGGAGGGACTGAAGGTGTACCAGCAGCCAGTGCTGCTCATTCTCAACAAGGAGATCAGCGATATCCCGGAGATGAAGACCACGTCGTTGCAAGCGCTTGGGTTCGCCAAAGGCAGCGTTATGATCCGCTTGTCATTCAAGGACGCCGATGTGTCGCTGGCGCCACCTGTCGCAAGCGTGCCGGTGCGCGCGCAGAGTGCTGGGACTGAGGAGTGCAGCCCGATGAATGGGTCGCCTGCGCCGAGGCTTCCGCCACGCACTGCCACCGAGCCCCCGAGAAGCACGCGGCCTGAAAGCCCACCTGCAGCCAAGGAGGGTAAGCAGCCCGAGCTGCCGCCCCGACAGCCACCCGCCCGGCAGCCCAACATTGCCCCAACTGCTGCGGATACCCCTAGAACGCACTCTGGGTATTCCAGCGATGTCATTACCAATCGCCAGGTGCAGGTCTTTGCATCCCCCACACAGACCTCTGCACCGCTTGCTGCACGCTTCGTGGTGCCCGATTCTTTCTACGAGCTCAAGGGCGCTGAGCTGCAGGGGCTTGTGTCTGCCCAGCGTAAGCGGCAGATGGAAACCGAGGCTGGCTTCAAGCTGCGCTCGGTCGAAGAAGAGAAGGCACGCAGGCGGATAGAAGAATTCAAGCTCAAGCACCCAAAGACAATGATCCGGTTCCGCTTCCCTGATCTGGTGCAGGTGCAGGCCGTATTCCTGACCCTGGGTAAGGTTCAGGAGCTGTACGACTTCTTGGACGAGATTCTCGAGCAGCCCAGCGCTGTGCAGGCGCTTGTGCTGCAGCCGCCTGTGCAGGACCTCAGGCCGAGCCAGAACAAGACCCTCTATGATGCCAAACTGACGCCTGCTGCGGTCGTCCATGTCCGCCTCGTCAACAGCAAGGCACCGACAATGCCGTTGCTCAAGCCCCACATTGCCAGCCTCGCAGCCACCCTGGATGTGCCCACCGAAGTTGAAGGTGCTGCGCAGTTGCCCACTGAATCGCCGTCACCAACCATGGCTGGCGAGGCATCACGGGCTTCATCGGTAGAGGCAGCGACCAAGAGCACCAAGAAGGTGCCGAAGTGGTTCATGGCTGGCAAAAAGTAGCAGCGTCTGCGTCCCATGTGCGCAGCTTTGATATCCCAGACGGAGCCTTGGTCCTTTGGCTCCCAGAAGCCAACAATTTGCTTGCCTGGTCTTCTAACAACGCTGTGTTTTAATAGAGTGTAGAGTTCTGACTTTCTAGATAGGCAATCGTAGCGGCATGTGCTCTGTCACATTCGTGCTTGGTCGGTTTGAGGACCACACGTTGAATTTGCGTCCAAATCGAATCTGCCAAATACCAGCTACCCTGTGGCCTACCCCTCTCCATGTGCCACACATCATACGCAACCGAGGATCTGTCCACTCACTTGGGGGCACCTCCTTTCTTCCTTCAGCCGGTAGTTTTGTGATATCTGTTATTTATGGTTGACTGTTATTCCAGCCAATGTCCTCGCAAGCGGCATCGCACAATCCTGGCATCGTGGGCAATGCCATTGATACCAACGTGCCTTCTATCGAACAGGAGACCCCCATGCCCTAGCAAGCGATGGCAACAGTCATGGCTGTTCGCCTGGCCGAGCCCATCAACTTCTCACTGATTATTCCGTTTGTCTATCAGGCAAGTTCCAGCAGCCTCAGCATGTCCTACACAATCGCGTACGTGCGCATTCATCAAATACACATATTAATTGCGCCTTGTTCTAGATGGTCGAGGGTTTCGGAGTTGCGAAGAGCCCTAAGGACCTCGCCATGTACACCGGCATCCTCAACTCCTCCTACTCGGTTTGCCAAGGCAGCACTGTGATGTTCTAGGGCCAGCTCTCCGATCGCATTGGCCGTCGCCCTGTGCTTTTGATGGGGCTCATTGACAACGTCATCACATTTCTGATGTTCGGCTTCGCCCACAACTACACCTGGGCACTGGCTGCACCCTGGCTCAGCGGCCTCGGGTTTGATTCACGGCGCATCCGCATCTTGCTGGCACACTCGGGTGCTGTCATGGTCTACCTCCAGCTAGTGACATATCCTAGGCTCGAGCGCAAGCATGGCAACCTGTATTGCTACCAGCTAGGTCAAAGTGTTCTAGTTCCGATGTGTTTCTCCTTGCTATTCCTATCGTTGTTGGCTGCTCGATCTAATGAGATTGTAAACCACACAGTTGGCGCTGAGCAGTCAAAAGCATTCACGCTAGCATACATCCTACTCTGGGTGTTCTTTTTGGAAAACCAGTTTATGCGCAATATCGACAATGTGGTCGTGTACACCGGTGCCAATCTGGGTCTAATGAACGGCACGCAGCAGCTGGCAATGTCTATTACATGTGTCATCGGTCCGACCTTTGCCGAGCTTGTCTGGAGCTGGTCGACCAAGCACGATTTGCCATACCCGCTCAACGCACATCTGGTTTGGGCTGTTTGCAGTCTGTTGACAGTAACATCGCTGCACTTGTCGTTCAGCATTCCAGAGTCTGTCAACAAGTGTGCAGCCATCGAAGTCGACGAGTACAGCCGCCCGCTGGGTGAGCAAGAACATATTGGGTAGCTACGTTTCTCACTTGTACTATTTGGGAAATATCTACGCACAGCCAGAAACCGACGATTCAGAACCGTGTGGTATAGTGAAGTGGATCTGAGTGCGGTGTCCCTCGAAATGTTCCGCACCAGACATCCGATTCGGGATTGCACTCCCTCGGCTGTAGCCGCAGTTCTCACCAAGCCATTGCTGCAGCACTCCTCCAGGGTCGTCTGCGTTCATCGCAAGAGCGCCGATCGTGGATTGAAGCAGTGCCAAATGCTGGGGAAGAGTAGCCCAAGGCGGATCGCTGCTGCGCGCGAGCAATAAAGCCGAGGGCGGCTCCATGCAGTGCACCGAATGAAACCAGCGATTCCCATGAGCCAATCTTTCTCTCGGCTTTCCCCAAAATGAGACCTGATGACTATACCGGATTGCCACTTGCGGGAAAATTAATTCCCGCTCAGACTGTAGGTGCTGCACTTTCTACGCCCTCGCGAGCCGTGAATAAAAAGGGCAAGGGCGCGGTCGTGCTTAGCTTAATTTTCATCCCTTGACACTCATCCTTTTATTGCATCTTACACTTTTGTGCAACTCTCAATAGTATTGTATATTTGTCAGCAATGTCTTCGTCGCAAGTGACATTGGGCGATCCCACCGTCGCCAGCGATGTGTGCGAGATCGAAGAATCCCCCATTGAGCAGGAGCAGGAGCAGGAGCAGGAGCAGGAGACGCCTATGCCCTGGGACAAGCTACTGACAATCATGGCCGTTCGTCTGGCTGAGCCCATAAACTATTCGCTCATTCTGCCGTTTGTTTACAAGGTAAATAGTGACTAATGCTCGAAAGTATTGCAAACGCGCAGCAAAAGGGGTGCATCATGTGAGCGGAGCCTTCATGACATGCATAGATTAAATGAGCTCCATCGTAGATGGTCGAAGATTTCGGCGTTGCAAAGAGCCCGAAAGACATCGCATTTTACGCTGGCATCCTGAGCTCGTCGTTCTCCATCTGCCAGACCACGACTGTAATGTTCTGGGGCCAGCTGTCTGACCGCATTGGCCGCCGCCCAGTGCTTCTGATAGGGCTGGTTGGCAACTTCGTCACGTTTCTGATGTTTGGGTTCGCCCGCAGCTATACCTGGGCGCTCATTGCGCGGTCGCTCAACGGCTTGCTCAGCGGGAATGTCGCCGTGTCGAAATCCGTGGTGGCTGAAATCTCTGACAACACCAACCGTAGTCGGTGCATGGCTATTTTGCCGCTGCTGTGGAATGTCGGGTGTGTCGGTGGTGCTGCCATCGGCGGGCTGCTGGCAGATCCTGTGAACCAGTACCCGAATCTGTTTGGCAGCATACGCATTTTCCATGAGCTGCCATTCTTGCTGCCGTGCTTGGTCGGCTCTATGGTCACGTTATTTGGGATTGTTTATGGCTTCGTCATGCTGGAGGAGACGCTTGCCACCAAGAAGGCACGGAGATATACTCATGGCGACCTGCGACCACCAGTGAAGGCTGGATTGGCGGACGAGACCACGCCGCTTGTCAGTTCTGAAACCGCCCAGGCTGCTGATGAGCCGGCAGCTGCCTACAAGCGCCGCACACTGCGCGACTTGCTGACGCCGACTGTTGTTACGGTCATGGTTACCAACATGCTGATGTGTCTGGGCATTGCCTGCTGCGACCAAATATACCCGATATTTGCAGCCACCAAGACATCGGATGGCGGCCTGGGATTCGACTCTCGCAACATTGGCATCTCGCTGGCCATCTCGGGTGTCGTTGTCTTGTACCTGCAACTGATCATGTATCCGCGCCTTGAGCGCAAGTTTGGTGCTCTGTACTGTTACCAGCAAGGCCAAAAGGTCATGATCCCAATGTACCTTGCTATGCCATGCCTTTCGTGGATAGCTGCGCGGTCTGGGCAAGCTGTCGAGCATGCAGTTGGCACCGACCAGCCAGTAATATTCACTCCAGCATATGCCATGCTCTGGATACTCTTGTTGGCAAACTTGTTCTTGCGTGTCATCGGCAACGTCCTGTTCTTCACCAGCGTCAATCTTTTGTCGGCCAACCTGGCTCCGACCACCGCCGATCTGGGACTGATGAACGGTGCTCAGCAGCTGGCCATGTCAGTCACTCGAGTTATTGGCCCTGTCATGGCTGGGTATATCTGGAGCTGGTCGATCAAGCACGATTTGCCATATCCGTTCAACGCGCATTTGGTCTGGGTTATCTGTGCTCTGCTGACGGCTGTTTCGCTGTACATGACATATGACATCCCCGAATCGGTCAACAAGTTTGCTGCAATCGAAGTCGACGAGTATGGCCGCCCGCTGAGCGAGCAGGATCGTACAGAGTAGTCGTTTTATAGTATTAGTGCAAGAAGATTGCAATAAACAAACCAATGCACAGCTATGCCTGCCATTCGCACTCCACATCCACTGATATATGTGAAAAAGAATCTGCTAAACGACCGCCCGCAACACCGCACCATCACCAATGCTGTAGAATCCTAGGCTCCTTGTATCGTTGTCAAGCTCAATCCACGGCCCTTGCTCCTCTTCACGCAAATACACACAAAACTTGCGATTCTTTGCCAAGCGTATCAGCAGCGGCTTCAGCTGGCGCACCTGCATTGTCGGCAGCAGTGACTTTTCCTGCTCGCTCGTCGGCTCCGACTCAAGGTCACTGGCCACCTGCAGTGTAAACTTGACCAGCCGCGACCTTAGCGTGGCTGGTTTTGGTTTGCCGGCAGTAGCTGGCAGCCCGTGCTTGTGGGCCAGCACGGCAATATTCTGATACTTCATGGCCATTGCCGCCGCCAGATCATCACCAGGCTCCTCGATCGATCTGGCACAGTGCGCAAGGTAATAGCGCTCCATCTCAGTGCGCTCCTCTCGCGTAATCATTGTGCCGTCTAGTTTTTCCAACTGTAAAAGCCGACCAATTGCCTGTGCCCGTGCCAGGTTGTAATCGCCGCTGACGACCGGAGTCTTGGTCAAGTGTAGGGTGGTCAGGCTAGGAAGGCCAGCGAGGTTGTCTACGTCTGCCCACGATGCGACCTGCGTGCTGGTCAGGTTCAGTGTATGCAGGCTTGGGAACATACCGCTCTTGAACATTGGGATCGTTTTCAGGTTCTTGTTGCCACTCAAGTTCAGTGTCCTGAGATTCGGTAGGCACATGCCCAGAGTGGCAAAATCTGACAGCTGATTGCACTCCAAATGGAGCTCCTCGACAAAGGCCAGCTCAATCGGCGCAATTTCTGCCAACCCGCTCCATCCAAATGACAGCGACCTGACCGCCAGGTTATTAGCGGCATTAGCGGCATCCAGCCACGAAAGCTCTGGCGAAGAGTCAATTCGCAATGTCTCCACATGGTGCTGCTCTGTCGACGTGCGAATTTTATCAAAGTGGTTCGCGCTCAGATCCAGGGTATGGATGTTCGGCAATGTATGCAAGATGTCCTCGACCTGTGACCACTGAGTCAGGAAGTCTCTAGCCAGGACCAGCGTATGAACTGCTGCCAGTGTCCCCTTGGTCTCCTCACGGTCAGCGTCTGAAATACCAAACACACGCCTGCCATCGAGCCACAGCACATCTAGCGACGTTAGCTGCCCCTGCTCGCGAGCAATCTTATCGAACCCGACAACCTCAATCTTACCGCGCCTCCCGTCGATATTCTTGGGCACATTCGTAAGTTCTTCTGCGTCTGCAATGTACCTCGCTTTGGCTGCACTCAGAACAGACTGACCAAAGTCGATGCGGGCAATGTGGCGGATAAAGGAGCCGCGGCCAGGGACGCTGCAGACAAAGTACTCTTTGCCGTTGTGTGTGCCTGAGTGCTTGCCGCGTTCGGGAGATTTCCACTCGACGCCGAGCCAGGTGCCCTTGGTGTCATCAACCGGCCCAGAGTATCGTACAACCCCTTCTTCCCCATCGATGCAGAACCAGCGACCAACTAAATCACCGCTCATTCTATGTATATTCAAAGTGTAACGGGTATATAAAAGTGATGTAGTAATCTGAAGCGAGTTACCAAGGAAAAATAAAAGCTGCTATTCAAGCCGGTACCTTCATTCGTAGAGTATGGCTTCGTGCGTAGCGTGTACGTTATGGTTAAGTATGTGCAGACAAGACCTTCAGCGACGCAATCGCCGAAATGTCGTATTTTGTTGACTCGTCAAGCTCACCGCTGCTCTCTGCATTAACAAGCAGTTGATTGCGCCGGCGTTTGGTTCCGCTCCGCTTTGAGCCCATTGAGCGATCAGCGAAATCCCTCAATGTAGAGATAGAGATCGTTCCGTACGCCTTCCCTGTGACCTGGCCGATCCTGTAGTCGCTGATAACTGGAGCCATATCGGCAGAGAGCTCCGCAACCATAAAAGCGACTGTGTCTCCGACATTGACCTTGGAGGTTGGTGTTTCAGCCAGCGCCTCGAGCTGTGCGGTCGTGTAGGATGCGATTTCGCCAGCACGTACAAGTGGCTGCGGCGTAGGAGGATCAGCATCGGATGAACTGTCTGAACTGGACTCAGCCTCTTCACTAGCAGGCCGCTGTCCTAAAACCGCATACGACTGCTCGACAGGGAACATGCTCTTAAACGGGTTGGGTTTCCTACGCTTAGCAATCGCCGGATCACCGTGCTCAACGCTGCTGATTGTAACCTGGCGGGGCCCTGGATTCACAGAACTACAGGCCGAGATCCCTGCGTGCTTCGCCTGCTCGTCCATGCTGGCTTCTGACGAGCTGGCTAGTGCCAAGGTTCCCTGTGGCTGTGTATCGGTATACACCCCAGCCTCGCAGTTGCTGGCCAAGTGGACGCTGACCAGATCCATGTGCGTAAGCAGATCAGAAACTTCATCCTGGTCCATCAGCTCATAACCGTCCTTGAGAACGACGATAGGTTCGGTGGCTATCTTTTTGAGTCGGCTGCACAGTTCATCCTTCATGTGCCTGACGTCTGGTGATTTGCAAACAAACAGGAACCGACGCTCTGGCAAAGGTGGCGCAAGATGGATGCGTAGGACTGTGGATACAGACTGGGTGTGCTTGCTCATCGACAAGAGAAGGGTAAGTGGGGTGGAAGGTAAATGGCTTAACTTGCGCTTGGGTGTGGAGAAACATGCATTTTTCAGAGCAACCAACGCTTTTTAAGCTTGTTGAACTGTATGGTCGAATAAAAGTATGGTATTGAAACAAACTCAGCTATATGTCTGGTTCACGTAAACTGTAAGTTTATCTTCGTCTTTCATTAAATATTTGATGCGAGAGCTGTCCAGTAGGTCATACCCATTAAGCTTTATCCGTAGAGGCATGGCACCGATCTCCGACAAAAGCTGTTGTCGGATGTCCTCCTTCATGTTACCAACTGTATGCTGGGTATTAATGTAGATGATATCAATGTACTTCTTGGGCTCAGTAATTTTCCCTTGGTGGTTGATCTTCGTAGGAATAACGATATTTAGGTAGAGCTTGAGATACGGAGGAGGTATCAGCGTGTCAGAGAGCATACGAATAACAACTGCACCAACCACGAGAGCAATGGTGACAAACGAAACGAGGTTAATAAAACCCATAATGGACAAGGTATGGAAAGTCGAGTCAATTGGTGCGGAAAGTAGAGGAGAGACAGGTCTAACTGTTGCCAATACTGTCGTCTGGTCTTGTATGAGGAAATCAGCACATCAGGGGAATGTGAATCCTGAAATGTGGAAATAATCGTCTGGACTGTACTTGGCACGCTCTGTATGGCTGTTTCCCAAGACACTCGGTTTCTATTTCCTGATGCCATGACGGCAGAATTTCTGGTTAGACAAGTGATAAGGGGTAAAGGGGTATGTATTTGCTGTTCTAGCGATAACTGATGTGAAAAAGAAATCTAAGCAGCAGCTATCCCTGGAGAGAGCATATATTCGGAATCCTTAATTACGCTGTATCACCTTACTCAGCTGATGACTCTCCAGAATAAACTTCTTAGGCCTGATGACTGATGTTTGTCTAGAGAAACTGCAAGCCTGTCGCCATTCCTCAGGATATCCTTTACTTGGGAGCTGTCCAGTAGCTCGTAGCCATCGAGCTTAATCCGAATCGGCAAGGTGCCAGTCCCAGGAGGCAATTGTTTAAAAATGTCCTTCTTCATCTCGCCGATTGTAACTTTGGTATTCACGTACAATAGGGAGATATCATCTCTGTCAGGAGCGGTAATTGTGAGGAAGAGCCTGAACTTTGGCGCCCTCTCCTTGGTTACAGTGTGAATAAGCCAAATGACAAAAAGGATTGGGCCTAGGGGAGTAGAAACGAGAAAAATGAAAATAACGACAAAAATAAAGGGAATAACGCATATAATTTCTCCAACCTGCTCGAGGAAATGCATGTTGTAATTCGAACGTTTGGAGCAGAATAGATAGGCTTGAAAAGTAGAGGAGAGGAGGGTTCAGTTGTTGTCAGCACCTTTAGCAGTCCTTGTCAATATAAAGAAATCAGTGCATTCAGGGCATGCGAATCCTTATATGGAAAACACTTTCTAGACTGTACTTGGCACGCTCTGTATGGCTGTTTCCTGGCATGCTCAATATCCGTTCACTGGCATTATGACAGCAAAAGTGCGAGCTAGGTGAATGATAAGAGGCAAGAGGTATGTATTTGCTGTTCTGGCGATAGCTGATACGAAAAGAAATCTAAGCGGCAGCTGTCTCTTGAAGGAGCATATACTCTCTTGATTGCATTATGTTGCCCTACTGCTCTGAAGACTCTCCAGGATAAACATATCATGTTTGATATCTAGGGTTTGCCTAGAAAAACTGCAAGCTTGTCGCCATTTCTCAGGATATCACACACTTTGGAGCCGTCCAGTAGCTCGTAGCCATCGAGCTTAGTCAGAATCGGCAAGTTGCGAAGCTCTGAGGGAAGATGGTGCCAGATATATTCTTTAATACCGTTAACCGAATTACCGGTGCTTATAGCAAACATCATTGAGATATCTTCTGTCAGGACAGACTATTCAAGGAAGGCTCGCCAAAGATCAAGCTCTTTCTCGCAAAAGCATGACATAAACGAAAATAGGTGGCGGAACTAGGAATCATACAAGTATCCAAATCCCAAATACGAAGCGAGCAACATCTTCAATACCCAGGGAAAGGTTCGCCATGTTGTACTCTGGGTATAGCACAAAAAATTCAATGTTGAGAAGAGAGATGGGTCAGCTGCTGTGCACAGCCTTTTCTATTACGGTGGAGCAAATATATTCAATCTAAAGAGTGCCGCATAGACCGTCTAGTCGATATTGGGCTGTTCCTTTATATGGTTTTAGGCAAAGGTCTTCTCGAGGTGCTCCATGGCCCAGGGAACTACAAAGGAAGGGAATTGGTGACAGTGTCAGTATATGCGCGGGCTGCTGCGAATTCATGCGCTACGCAATAGAGCTCCTCTGCTTTCGATCCGGCAGCGACTTACCCAACCGCAGAACAGCGACGAGGCCGACGAACGACATGATGCCCTTGTTAGCCTCGCGGCGCATGAGAGCCTGCTGCTCAGGGGTGATTTCGGGGGCGCCGGGCATAAACATTGTGATGAGCGAATTGAATTGGAGTTGGAGGAATCGAGAAAGCTTGCGAGAGAGACGGAAGAGAGTCGCGCTCTGATCGCTTCCGCGGCTAGTGCGCCCAAGAAAAATTATGATAATGTGGTGAACCAGCCCAAAACGGCGCGTCACTTTTGCCCGTCACTTTTGCCCGTCACTTTGCTGGCTATGCATGAATTTTTTTCTTGCCAAAGTGCACCAGCAACGCGTACGTCAGAATTCTTCTCTCTACTTCGACTTCACTATCCATTTAATCGGCACGAGCATTTCTTTGTCCAGTTGTTATTCATAACGAGCAATGAAGATTACACTCAAGACGCTGCAGCAGAAGGCAATCCAAATCGATGTCGAGGAGGCAGACACGATTCTCGACGTCAAGAACAAGGTCGAGGCAGAGCATGGCTTCCCAGCCTCCACGCAGAAGCTCATTTTCGCCGGTAAAATTCTGACGGACACGCAGACGGTCGGCGAGATTAAGATTACCGAGAAGGACTTTATGGTGATGATGACGGTCAAGCCCAAGCCGGGTACCAAGCCCAAGGCTGCAGAGCCAGCGCCGCAGTCGGGTACCAGCACACCGGCACCGGCAGCCCAGCAGCAGCAGCCTCCGGCGGCCCCTATCGCACAGCGGACAGCCACACCCAGCGGTGTGCCACAGACCCCATCCCCGGCTTCACGCACAGCTCCTGTGGCTGCCGCTCCAGAGACACCAGCTGGCGACAGCGCACAGCAGCACCCAGTGGGCATGGGCGGCTCGTTTTTGAGCGGCGAGCAGTACGAGACGGCTATTGCGAACATGGTCGAGATGGGCTACCCGCGTGAGCAGTGTGTAACAGCTATGCGGGCCAGCTTCAACAACCCGGATCGCGCGGTCGAGTATCTGCTGATGGGCATTCCAGAGGCTGCACTTCAGATGGCTGATGCTCAGGATGCCCGGCGTGCGGAGGCCGCTGCTGCGGGTGCTGCACCGAGCGGCGATGCTGCTCCGGCTAGCGAGGAGTCGGCGCAAGAGGCACAGCCCGCAGCAGCCCCTACCTCGAACTCTGCCCGGGCTGCCAACCTGTTCGAGCAGGCAGCGGCGACAAGGACAGCACAGGGCCAGTTCCAGCATGGCGCCGGCGGGGCCAGTGAGTTGGCTGCCCTGCGCAACACGCCGCAGTTCCGGCAGCTCCAGCAGATCGTGGCCGAGAACCCGCAGATGCTGCAGCCGGTTCTGCAGGAGCTGGCGCAGCAGCAGCCGCAGCTTGTCCAGCTGATTGCCAACCACGAGGAGGAGTTCCTGCAGATGCTGCTGGAGGGCCTTTCCCAGGAGCAGGTCATGGCTGCGGTCCATGCTGGCGGTCTGGCTGTCGAAGGCGGTGAGGGCATGGACGAGGGGGACGACCAGCAGCAGTACATCCGGATCACGCCTGAGGAGAAGGCGGCCATTGACCGCCTGGTCGCACTCGGCTTCCCGCGCGAGCTGGCCATCCAGGCATACTTTGCCTGCGACAAGAACGAGGAACTGGCAGCCAACTTTTTGTTTGACCACGGCCATGAGGATATGGACTAATTTTTATACCTTGAGGCTTCAGTTTAAAACCTTCTACGGCAACCACACATGCCAATGGAGTCTGAGGCAGCATCTCTTGTTCAGCACATTCAATCTATTATTTAAACGGTATCTACTCATCTCAAGTGTGTAGGCATCAGGGGCCAGCTGCTGCTACAGGGGTCGGCGATGGTGCATCTAGCACAGCGTGAGGAACATCATAGCATGTGCATATAGATTCTGAGGGCAGGTGCGTCAGCCATCTCGTCAAGGGCTTCATAGAACAGCCGGGATAGAGGAAGAACAAGTCGAGCACTGGTGTTTCCGCGAGCCTCCCGCATTGCGGGGTGTATTTTGCCACCAACGCGTACCTGCGACAAAATTCAGTCTGTGTTGTGTCCAGATGTTACGCCGAGGTGCATGTAGGCTCCATGGTAAAAGAAAAACGCAATGAAAGGGTGCCGAGTAGCATGGCGGTGTGTGTGTTCAATAAGAGGTGAGGATGCAAGCACCATATGCGATGGCAGCACACGGCATTGTGGTCAGTGTGTTGCATATTGTCCAGCGTGGATGTGAGTGGCACCCTTCTGGACTACAAGCCATCCGGATCAGCAATGGCGCAGCACATCCTGGCAGTGGCGGGCTCTGGGCTGGCAGCCGGGAAACATACTTGGCCCATGGACCCGGTGACGGGATTAGTAATCTGTCTGGCGCGGGTCATGGTGCCGAGCCTGGCACATGCTGCGCCCAAGCCCGCTGTGGCGATTTCACCTTGCACTTTACCCGGTTTTTGACGCCGAGTCCAAAACGGGGTGGCATAAAGATGCCTTTTTGTGGCTATCCGATGCGGAGACCCGAGCCATTTTTACAGGCCAGTTCCCGTTGCAGCCAGTTTTTTGCTCTCTGCTTGCTCTCATCCTTCCTTTGCAAAAACAATTTTAAACATTCCCCTTCTGCATCCTGCGTTCTGCCTTGGCTCCAGTCCAATTTCCACACCTCATTAATTATTATTCACTGCTCTTCATAAAGCAAACCCCTCGTGACAGAAAGAAACGAATGCCGCGTCCCAAACCAAACCTGAACCTGAGCCAAATGGGCTTCTCAATAGGCCCTCCCTCAAACACACCGCCAGTGCAGCAGGCACCTAGCATGTCTGGCAACATGAACGGCAGTGCCAGCAGCAGCGCCAGCAACGGGATAGTACGGCCATCGCTCTCAATGCGCGGGAAGAAGAAGGGCCCTGGGCAGCTGGGCATGTCGTCGCACTCGCCGTTTGCAGCGTTCGCGGACTACGTCGACCCGACTGGAAACTTGAACTTTGAAGGGAAGGCAGTGATCGGGGCGACCGGCGTAAACTTCACGGGCGGCAAAAGCTACGCGGTTTCGATGGCAGACATGAACGTGCTGGATGTGCTGGGCCGCGGACAGTACGGTGTCGTGCACAGGGTGTTCCACACAAAGACCAATGTGGTGATGGCGCTGAAGGAGATCCGGCTTGAGCTCAACCAGCGGGCGCTGAGGCAGATCATCATGGAGCTGGAGGTGCTGCACAAGGCACGGTCGTCGTACATTGTGGACTTTTACGGCGCGTTCTTTATCGAGTCCAGCGTGTACTACTGCATGGAGTACATGGACTATGGTTCGCTTGACCGCCTGTATCCAGCCGGTGCGCCCGAGGGCGTGCTGGCCAACATCACGTTGTCGGTAAGTCTCTGCCCTAGCTGCACACATGTCACTGGGCAGCACGTAGCCATCGATGGCAGGCGAGACAAGGAGCAGCGCTATGCGTGTGAATCTGTTGCACATTGACTGATCTCCTCTCCCATTCCATAGGTTGTCAAGGGACTGCGGTTCCTGAAGGACCAGCTCAACATCATCCACCGAGGTAAGATATGCAGCGATAGATGGCATAAAGCGTTGGCGGCATTTGTCTCTCCACGGGGAAATGCAGCTCCTCTCCCGCTTATTAGCGATCGCCATGCCAGGGGCATATTAAACTAGCACCCCATGCATGCGCAGGACATTGCAGCGACAGATCGCCAGCAGCTGCTATGCTTGCAATATTTTTGTTGGTGTTGCACATGCTCAGCCCATCTTTACCCAACAATGTAGACGTCAAGCCGACTAATATTCTCGTGAACAAGAAGGGCGAGGTGAAGCTGTGCGACTTTGGGGTGTCTGGCGAGCTCAACCAGTCGCTGGCGCGCACGCATGTCGGCTGCCAGAGCTACATGGCGCCGGAGCGGATCACAGGCACTGGCGGGCCTGACGGCTACACGATCCAGTCGGACGTGTGGTCGCTGGGGCTCACAATAATCGAGACAGCCACGGGCGGGTATCCGTACGGCACCAACGGATTCGACGGCGTGTTTGCGCAGATCAGCGCCATTGTCCACGGCGACCCGCCTGTGCTGCCCAGCGACCGGTACTCGGCAAATGCGTGTGACTTTGTGGCAAGGTGTCTTGTCAAGAAGCAGGACGCGCGTCCCACATACCACGAGCTGCTGCAGCACCCGTGGATGATCGAGGCCGAGTCCGCCAATGTTGATATGGAGGACTGGGCTCTGCGAGCGCACCAGCTGGCGCTGCGGCGCAAGGAATCTGCGGCAGCACAGCTGGCCGAGTAGCTGTGTTGATCCATGCTGAGGCTGGATACGTTAATGCATCAGGCTAATAAAAGGCTGCTTTGTTGCAATAATCATGTGTAGCTGAGAAGTGGCGTGGTAATGTATTAGTGATGGATGGCATATATAGTGAGGTGTCGTGTTCGTTCTAGTGGTGCCAGTGGCCAACCGACTTGCTGCGGCGGCGCTGGCCCCGTCGCTGGCGCTGGTTGCGCGAGAGGCTCAGGCCAAGGGTTGCGGCTGGCTTCGCATCCAAACCCAGGCTGATCCCGCCCTTCCCGAACATGCTGGCGTCAAATGCCCCCACGGACTTGCTCTCGGCCAGGGTTACATCGCTCTCTGGGCTCTCACCGACGATGGGGGCCGTCATAGATGCCATCCGCGAGTGCAATGTCTGGCGGGCAGACTCACTGCCGGCCAGGTTGACAGGCATGGATCCACGCCCCAGCGACCCCGCAAATGGCGACGCACTGCGGCCAAGCGAGGCGGTGAAGGGAGATCCGCTGCGGCCTATTGATGGTGGAGGGGTGCCGTTCCTGGTGGGCGCACTCAGCGCGGTTCCAGCAGACATAGCCGGGAGCTTGAGCGATTCGAGCAGCTCTTCGGTCGTTAGCGCCTGCGAGTCCAAGACAATAGAGCCCGGCCGTGACGCCGTGCGGCGTGGGCTACTGGGCGGCCAGTGAACAGTACTGGACTTGGTTGGGGTCTCGGGCTTGCTGGCATCGGCTGTGTGCCGACCGCCTGGCGACTGCCAGGTATTGAAGCCGCTGGAGCGCGCAGCGAATGTGCCAAACAGGTCGATGCGCTGGCGGGTCGAGGTCGCAGTGGTTGGGGTCACGACGGTCGGCGATGACTCGAAGAACTTGTCGGCGATGTCTGCCAGTGGCGAACGGGGCGAGCGGACTGGCCCGCTGATGATCCGCGCGCTGCCGACTGCCATTTCGGGATCAGCAGTCTGGCTTTCGGACGCTGACGCCACAAGACGTGCCAGGCCTGACTGGCGTCCCTCGGACCCTGCTACACCGCGGCTTGCCGGGCTGAATCCCGATGCTGTCGGTGTGCGCGTGAACGCCGACGACAGCGTAGCAGCCCGTGGCAGCATCATGCTTGGCAGGGCAGTGAAGGAGCGCTGGCGCGATCCCACAAATGCATCGCCGATTTGCCTGTCCAGTTGTTCGTTAGCGTCGCCATCGGACGACGCTGTGCTGAGCAGGCTGGGTGCCAACGGCAGTTCTGGCTTCGGTGCCGCAAAGTGCCGTTGCTCGGAAAACTCGGACAGGGATGCAACCAGGTTCTGAACTGGCGACGCGTACCCGCCAGCTGGCAGCTCATGCTCGCCAGCATCGTCATCGGCGACTGTGCCCTCTGCGCCTTCGACCATGGCTTCGCTGTCTCCCTCGACTGGGTCCTCTTCGTGGGAAGGCATGATGGCAGGGGCTGGAGGCGACACGGACGCTGGACTAGCACGCGGCTCTGGCTTGGCCACTGGCAGACGCGACTCTGCGCGGTTCTCTGCCTGAAGCTTTGCCATCTGCTCGCGGATAAAGTCGGCAGCCTGCTGCAGGTACTTTGCCTGAGTGCGCTTGAGCTCGAATCCCAGGGCCAGCGTCGTGTTCTCCATGCTGCGCTCAATGTCCATCAGCTGCTTGAAGTAGTCCGCCTCCTGCCTGCTCTCGCGCGTCTCAACGTAGTGCGTCTCAATAAAGTCCTGGTCCGTGATCTGCAGGTCCTCGAGCTTGTCACGGCCCTCGGCGCTGTGGTCGCTGGCCAGCTCCAGCAGCTCCTTCTCGCTGATACCCTCTGCCACCAGGCGCTCGCGATAGCGCTCCGCACGCCGCAACAGCATCGACACTTGGCTGCCGAGCTCATTGCATTTTGCTGCGTGCATTTGCTTGACGTCTGAGATTTCGCGGTCGACGCGGGCACGCTCTTGGTCTAGCTTCTCACGCATCTCGACAGTGATCTGGCGGTGCGATGCCTCCTGGGCCACGATGCGGGCACCCAGGTGCTCGACTTCGTTGCTGAGCTCCTGGTTGATCAGCTCCAGATCCACGAGCTGCTCCTGGTACTCGCTGATCTGGTTGGAGTGGGTCTGCCGCATCATGTCCATGCGCTTCAGCAGATCGAGCACAGCCTCGTCGTTGTGGATTGCGTCGGCGGAGGTCACGTCTGTTTGCGTGTCGCGGCTGGCCACCGGGGGCTTGGGTGGCGGCATGTCCTCGTCAGTCTGCACAGCTACTGCTAGGGATTGCGGCTTGCGCGCATACGGGTTGTACGACGCGTCCTTGGCCAGAGCCGGCAATGACGCTGGTGGTGTCGCTGCTGGCTCGGGTCGCTTCTGCCGCGCATACGCATTAGCGGCAGTGCTGACTGCCTCAAGCTGCTTGCGCGCCGGGCTGCGTGTTGACACATACTCGAGCCTCCTCGCCGGCTTGTCGTCCATCACTTCTGTCTGCGCGCGCTGGCGCTGCTGGATGCGTGTCGACTGCGGCAGCGATGGCGGCAGATGCATCTTGCTGGCCACCGGTGCCAGGAATGCATCGGCCGCAGGCGTCACTCTCGGCGATGTTGCCATGCCGTCGATGGTGTCCGTCGATGACCTGAGCGATGGCACGCTGGCCCCGTACCACGACAAGTACTTGTTGCTCTTGACCGACGAGTCCGAGCTCTTTGTCTTCACGGCCTTTGGGTCGACGTCCGCGAGCCGTGCTGTCGACCGGGCGTATTTGCGATCGGAGGAGTCCGACTTGAACGATGAGATCGAGCCAGACTTGTCAACCCTCTTGCCCGTGAACTCGGTGCTGGCCGCTGCAGTGGCTGAGATGGCTGCGCACAGCGCCGTTGAGTTGGCAGTCGAGCTGGAGTATGCCGAGTCTGTCTCGGTATCTGATGTTACAGGAACTGCAGGGTGCTGCTTCTGCTCGGCCTTCACTGGCGTCACAACCTTAGTCTGCTTCGAATACACCGCCGTGTTGATCGGCGCCGGCGCCAGCGGCAGTGATGGTGCATCGACAGCCACTGTCTTGGCTCTGCGCCGTTCAATGAACTCAATAAGCTCGGACCGCCCCACATTCCGATCCCCGCCAGGCTTCAGCGGTCCAGGCTGCATGGCCTGTGGGCTCTCATCACTCCGCATTGGCCTCTTTACTGCCGCCATGACTACAGCCTGGCGTCCCGAATGTCCAGGGTTGCTGGGGTGAGAGGCAGGTGACCCACGCTCGCTATTTGTGTCGCCAGTGACTGCTACGGCGCGCGGCTTGCTGGTCAGTTGCGCCTTCTGCGAAATGGGCCGAGGCGACGGCTGGTTTTGGTGCACAGGAGACATTGTGCGCGGGGACTCTACATAATACGTGTGCCGGTGCTGGTTCGCCGCACTGCTCTGTACCCATGCGGGCTTCATTTCGACAAAGTCGCTATTGTCCCGCGAAGAATGCCTGGGGATGTCCTTTGGCATATTGGGCGACACCGGCGAAGCACGCTCTACCTCGCGCTCCAGCTGGGCTATCAGGTCGCCACCAACAAACATGCTGCTGACGCGCGGCTTCCGGGGCACCGCCTGGTGCATGGGCTGCGCGTAGTGTATTGGCGAAGGGGTCTTTTCGACTCGTGGCGCGTGGACTGCGCGCGGAATGGCCGATGGTGTCAGTATCGCGCTTCCCGTGTCAAGATTGCTCGCTGTATACGACCTTGGCTTCAGGCGTCCAGCATTCCCGACATCAGCAAACTGTGGAGCGGCAACGGACGGCAGCGCGTATGCATCGCCTTTGTGCTGCGTATCTGGCGTGCGCACGGGGCGGATAGCCTGTGGCGAAAGAAACATTGGCTGCTTGGGCTGCTGGAAGGCGAACGGCTGACTGCCGGCCAAAGTCTCGGTGTTTCCCTGCGACAAAACGTGCATGGGCCTGGTAGAGTGCGCATGGGGTGGATTTGTGGGCGTGGTAGGTCGAGAAAACCTTGTTGCCCGCATAACCGGCGACGGGGGCGTGTGAGGCGACGGCGACATTTGCCTGGCCTGGTGCACCTCCCTGGTATTCTGTGGCCGCGCATCTACCTCTAGTGTGTGGGCTTCGCCATGGCGCTTATACGGGTCGACGAAATCCGCCACGGCCATCTGCACGCCCTGTGGCCGTGTGCTGCTCTGCTGCGCGTACTGCATTTGCGGGAACACTGTGGGCACCGCGGACGGGCGCTGCTCTGCTTGCCGACTGCTGCCGTTGCTGCTGTTGCTGTTGCTGCTCTGCTGGTATTGTGTGCGGAGCCATGATTGCAGGGTCGCGCCTTGCGGAGGTGTGGTGCTGGCAGGGGCTGCGGCAGATGGTGTGTGTTTGTAGCCCGCCTGTTTGAGCGCTGGGCGGTGGCTGCCTGACGCCTTGCGCGTGCGCGTTGAGCTCGGTAATGGTTTGTAGCCAGGCGACTTGCGCATAGTGGTAGTTTTGTGTGCTACACCGGTTTACCCAATACGTAAAGAGACGTAACTAGTGCGAGAGAGTCGTTGCGAAAGAAGGGAATTAGCAAAAATACATATACAAGAGTGGAAACGAGAAAAAGCGGATTGCAGGGAAAGGAAAGGGGGAAGTATATAGGCGGGCGCTGAAGAAAGTAGAGCAAAAAATTCAAAGTGCGAACAGGGCCAACCATGAATTCTTCTGGGCGGTCTCGCAAAATCGGCACTATCCCGACATCAGTTTAGTTTACTGTTTTTTTTACCTGTTTTTTGCTGGTCAGCTCAGCTCGACGCATCGTTTTTCATTTTTGTGCGGGCGCTGCTGCACCGAGGTCCCTGTTCAGCGCTCCCAATGGACAGATGCGTAATCCTGCTTTGTCCTTGAGGGAGCCGGCACCTGCCCATGAGGGCGCTCTATTTTTACCAAGAGGAGAGGCGCTCACTGGTCCGGCGAGACACAAGGACACGGTTAGCTCTTGCATGGCAGTCATACAGGACATTGCAGAGCACAGCAGGCTATGCTGCTGGTCAAGCCATAAGGTGTTTCTGGGCACCAGGGCGAGGTGCCTGGCAATCCACGGTGGCAGCTCGTGGCGCTAATTGGCTGTGGCAGTTTTACCTAACAGTGCTAAATACGGGCTAATTTTGCTCTGCAGGCCATTCTGAAGGTGCAAAAAACCCATTTCTTGTTCTGTACCAGCTGCTGCCCTTTTGCTTCTCAAGACCACTTTTTTGTTTTGCGCTCTATTATTATTTAATTTCACAAACCTACCAACCCCTATTGACTCCAGTGATATGGCTCTCACCAAGGAGAAGACCAAGGCCAAGGCGCCGCCGGCCAGCGCAAAGAAGGATGGCAACAAGACGACAGCCGAGTCGAGCTCAGCGCCGACGGCATCGACCTCTGCAGCCAAGGTAAAGAAGGGGGAGAGGGGCGAGAATGATACTGCACGGCTTCCCGTTTTCATTATGCACGCACCCCCAAGCTAAACCGTCCCCTGTAGAGCAAATCGGCGGGCGACAGCAAGGGCAAAGCGCCGGGCTCGCGGCACAGCACGGGCAAGGCGCCGGCGATAATCCCGCCGATGGCGTTTGTGCCGCCGCATTCTGATAACGAGCACTCGCTGACGCGGCTGATCGAGCTGTACGGCGAGCAGTCAGATCTGCTGAGGATTGTGCTGTCGGCCAAGAGCGAGCAGGACAGGGCGCGGGCCGAGTACGAGCGGCGTGTGCAGGAGGAGCTGCGATACGAGACGCGGCGGCTGGAGTTTGAGATGATGCTGCACCACAACTACTTTAAACAGCAGGACCGTGAGCACGAAGAGAAGCGGCACCTACTGATGCCAACGCCCAAGGGCCCGATGACAGCGCACCGCAGCGATGTGGTGCTGCACTCGCCACTGCGTAAGTACTGTAGAGAGGAAGGGGCAGCTGGCCACCCCTTGGGCAGATGCGCTTCTATTTTTAACTTTTTTTCTGCCTCATGTGGGTGGAGAGCTGGTCGCCAATAGTGCCTCGCCCCCTTTCTTTGTGCAGCCCTCCATGCTTGTTCGATGGGAGAGCCGGAGGATTTAAAAATAGGTTTGGATTTAGCGGCGCTTAGGTGAATCAACTAATCGGCCTGTTCTGTGTAGCGCCGTCGCACCCGCTCCAGCAGCAGCAACAACAACAGCAGCATAGCATTGCATACCACCCAGAAGCGCCCATGGTGCCGGTGGGGTACGGCGTGGCAACGCCCTCGCATGACCCGTACAACATGCGGTCGTACCACCACCCAGACACGCCGGGCGGCCTGGACGCGCACATGTCGGCGAATCCGTTTGCATTCTTCAAGCAGCCGCTCGGCCCGCCGATCCACCACCCATCGGCATACCCGACGCCGACGGCCGAGCACCACATGCAGCAGCAACAGCTGCCGCCAACGCCATCGCACGACTCGCTGGCGAGCCGACCGCTGGCGCCGGGGGCCACAGCAAGCGCACGGCTGGGGATCAAGGACCGGCGGGCAGTGCCGCCGGCAGTCAGCGGGCTGTCGGTGCGGATCTCGGCCAGCAACGGGGTGTCGTCGGACTCGCCGCGCTCGGCGCCGGTGGACGGGCCGAACCCGCTGAAGCGCAAGATCTCGCACGACGAGGTCATCATGGCGCTGCGGCGCAAAGTCATGAGCAAGGGCAACCCGCTGTACCAGCACCGGCCTGGACAGCAGCAGAAGCGCGGAGCTGGCTCGTTTGCGAAGCCGCAGGTGCCGGAGCCGGCCAAGGCGAAGGCGAAGGACGCCGAGTCGAGCCAGCCGGCGCGCGGCTCGGCGCTGGCCATCTCGACAGATGTGTCGGCGGCGGCAGCGCTGGGGTCGTCGTCGTCGTCGGATGAGGAGTCTGACGATGAGGCCGATGCAGACGATGAGGGCGCGGCGGCGTCGAACGAGCAGTCGCCGGATGCGGTGAAAAAGCCTGCGGAGAGGGCTGCAGAGAAGGCTGCAGAGAAGGCCGCTACAAAGAATGCCGCTGTCAAGGCACACACCCGGCTGCCGTCCATCTCGGTAATCACAGAGGGCGTGGAGGCAGCCGCGGGCAACGGGCAGAAGGAGGACTAAGAGTGCTGTGGGTTTAGACCAATCCCTCTCCCCTTTTTACTACTCCTTTCAAAGACAAAAATTCGTAATCACACAGTAGCATCTGACCGCACCAGGAAAATTGGCCCGAACCGGTCCGCAGACCGGTTGGACTGTGACGCGTCAGTGATTTGCATGGCGCTCATACTGGCGTCTTGTTTTGCTTTTTTTTCTCCGCAAAGTATACAAAGGGAGGATTGGCGATCTGCGAGTAATACTGGATAGCAGAATGACATGGCCACGGGCAGAATGCGTCTACAATGTCGTCGCCACACATTCTCGTCCCCCAAACAAAATAATTCCCGCATGAATGAAAAGTCTGTTGAGCGGCAACAATTTCTACCACGATTGCAGAAGGTCAGACTGGGACGTCATGTAGACGGGCCATATATGCGCTGTTTGGTGCGATTGGCGTTCCTGGTTGCGGGTGGCGAAACTCGCTTGGTGCCTGTGTTTGTTTCGGGCTGTAGGCGGACCGGCGCAGGTAAGGATTTTGAAGGATTCACAAACACGCACTCTTTGCGCCGGAAGAAAAAAGCCGGTTTTGCCTCCCCTTTCTCCCCGCTTCTTCATTTCTTCTTCTTTCTCACACCTTTCCTCTTTATACTCTCTTTAATTTTGCAATTCTTCATATCCCCATACACCAAGCGCTTTTCGGACCCTTCCTGTTGACTCAGAGTTTGGCTCGGCCCTTTCATTGTACGACATTGAGAAACCGACACATCGGACTGGAGAAATCGGATATGGACAGCAACGGTACGGTTTGTTTTTTTTTCTTGGAAGCGGACCTCCGTCTTTGTCAATGCGGCAAACAAAACAAAGCGCCTGGCATCCCCCGGATGGACCTTTTGTATTCAACGCTGCACTCTTTTCCTCCTCGTAGGTGATGCGCTCGTGCGCATCGTCGTTAGCTCGGATGGAGTTCCGGAGGACGACTATGTAGCAACGCAGCCAGATTCATGGCTATTAATACGGGAAAAGGCAGCATTCCCGCAACTACGGCTGGCTCCGGGCATACAGACTCCGCAGCTGACATTCACCACCACCACGCTCCCAGCCGGCCTGGGGCTGGTTCCTGCATACACACCCCAGCACACGCTCACTGCCAGCTTCCATTTACTGCTCGCCGGACCCGCCTGCACAGATTGGGGTCTCGGCCAAAATCGGCGAGAGAGAGACGACAGAATGGCAGCCGGCAGAGAGGGACGGGGAGGCATATGTGGTGAAGTGGACAGCGGCCGAGGCGACAGACAGCCTGGTGGCGGTGCGCCTGCTGGTCAGGCACGGTGACTTGGGCGACGAACGCCAAGTCGGCCAGTTCAGTGTATTCGTGAGCATGCGAGAGCCGGCGGATATGCCGATTGCCGACCCCAACGACGAGAGCAGCTCCGTGGCGACCCCGGACACAGCACACGAGCAGCCACACGCGTACTATAGCCTGGTGCGGTTCAACCGGCAGCGGGTGTCAGCGCAGGGAGACGAACCGCAGGAGACCCGCGAGCCACACCCGCTGCTGAGCAAATGGATAGCCGAGGACAGCCCGGCGTTCCGCTCAGCCATCCACTCCATGGAGGAGCAGGCGCTGGCGAACCGCAGCAAATACAAGGAGCTGTCGCGCAGCTCAGCGCTTTTGCACGAGTCGTATGTCGGGTTCATGCGCAGTTTCGCCGAGGCCACGGGAACCCTGGCCGGCCTGCCGGTGTTCAAGCCATTGCATAGTGCGTTTGTTGAGCCGCTAAGGCGCGATCTCGAGCGCGTGCTGGGCACGGTGTGCGCGCAGTGGGACTCGCTGGTCGCCGACCGCGCCAAGCAGCTCTACGAGAACACGTTTAGAAGCCTGGACGCGCGGCGGACCGAATTCGACGACGCGTCGAACCACTACTACGACGAGCTCGGCAAGCACCTGAAGGCCAAGGCGTCCAGCGAGGATGCGAAGCGCGACCACCTGTTTGCCCGTCGCCGCAGCTCGTTCGATCTGGCCAGGTGGACGTACTTTGCGGATCTCTGGAATGCCTCTGGCGGCTGGGGCGAGTTGGAGCTGCTGGCGTCGGCGGTGCGGTGGGCGCGCATGGTCAACAAGGTCCATCACGGGACGTCGCAGATGGCCGAGGACGGGCTGGTCGCCTGGTATGCGGGCAATTTGCCGGCGCTGATGAGCGAAATAAGAATGGAGCGGGCCGAGGCCGACGAGTTCCGGGCGTCGCTGGAAGGCAGTAGGATGGCGGACCGACGAGGCGTCGGAGGACTCGGCAGAGTTTGTCCGGGTCACCCACGAGTCGCCGGCGGCCGGTGACAGACGCAAGATCAATCTGCTGCGGCTGTCGGCGGTGCAGCCACCAGAGAGCCTGGGGGAGCTTGCCCCGGCACTGCCACCCATCCCAGGCACCATCGATCTGGAAGCATTGGGCGGTCATGCAAACGGCCTTGCAGCCCGGCGGTCCACGGACCAGCCGCGCAGCCACACCGGGCCAGCAGCAGCGGGCTCGCAGGATCCTGCTCGCAAGCCCCTGCAGCCCGCCGCCAGCGACGGCTCGCACGAAGGGTTCCTGTTTGCGCGGACCAGCAACAAGCACCACACGACAACAAAGAACATGATGGCAACCAGCAACAGCGTGTGGAGGCGGTACTGGTGCGTGGTGAAGGACGGGCGGCTGCAAAAGTACACACACTGGAAGTCGGTCGGCATTCCGGAGCCGCGCGGCGAGCCCGTGGAGCTGCGTACGGCGACAGTGCGGGCGCTGGCGCCCGACGCAAAGCAGAGCAGCAAAAGACGGTTCTGCTTCGAGGTCATCACGCCCAGCTACTACGGCGTCTTTCAGGCCACCAGCGACCAGGACCTAAAGTGCTGGCTGGACGTACTGCGGCGCGCCATCGAGCTCAGTCTGCTCAAGGGCCTGGCCAGCATGCGCCAGGCGCCTGCCTCCCAGACAAAGCCACTAGGCGACGACCGCGGCAGCCCAAAGTCCCTAGCGCGCGGCAGCCAGGCGTCACACACATCGGAGTCCCTGGCAACAATATCGACCGGCGCCGGGCAATCGCCGGGCATGCGCGCATCGGCGGTGCTTGGATACGAGGCGCTGGGACAGCTGGACGGGGTTCGATGCCAGCCGACGCATGTCGCTGACCGGGCTCCTGCCGATGCTGCAGGACGCGGATCCCGCCAACCACCTGTGCGCTGACTGCGGCAGCGAGTCGCCCGAGTGGTGCTCACTGAACCTTGGCTGCCTCGTTTGCATCGAGTGCTCGGGCATCCACCGCAGCCTGGGCACTCACATCAGCAAGGTGCGCAGCCTGACTTTGGACATTATCTCGTTCAAACCGGCCACTATCGCATTGCTGCTGCGCACCGGCAATGCCCTGAACCGCGCAGTGTTTGAGGCCAATGCCACCGGCCGGCCCCGCGGCTCCAGAAGCGACAAGCAGGAGTTCATTCACGCAAAGTACGTATCCAAGGCGTTTGTCGACCGCCAGTGGGTAGGCCGAGGGGCTGCTGGCGGAGCGGCTGCAGGAGATGGTAGATGCCAATCCTGATATTGGCGAGCTGTTCCCGTGGACCCGCAAGTCGGCCACTGCATTGCTGTTTGCTGCAACAACGCTCGGTGACCTGCATGCGGCGATGCGGGCGCTGGCGCTGGGTGCCGACACCAATGGCTCCATGCACGTACCTGGAACCGACGGTGTGGCGGTTGAAATGACGCTGCTGCAGGCCAGCACTATTCGGTGCCAGCCAGATCAGCAGCGTCCGGGCCCATGGCACCTGCGGCCGAGCGCTCCTACCGTCACCCACACCGAGATCGCCGAAGTCCTGGTGCTCAACGGAGCCGCTACGGACTGCTGCCGATGTCCAGGGCTTGACATGCCTCCATATCGCCTGCATGCTGGGCAGCCTCAGCATCACGCGCTACCTGCTCGACAAGGGTGCCGACCCGCAGATGCCTTTTGATGGCAAGCAGCCGCTGGACTTGCTGCCTGCTGACGAGCCAGGAATGCAGGACCTCAAGGCAGGTGCTGGAGGTGGCTATAAGGAAGGTGCAAAGCCGCGGGTGGCTCGACATGTCCGCTGAGTCGTCCAAGTGGGCCTGGAAACAGGTCACTGCGGCGCATGAGCAGCTACTCGCATTCCAAATCCGCCGTCTCCAGCGACTCGCCCGACCGATCTGGCAAAACCGACGGCTCGGTGTTCTCTCAGGCTGCGCGCAAATTCACGCAAACCCTCAGTCCGGCTGCCATGGGACGGGTCAGCGTGTCTACCGAGCGGCCCAGCCTTTTGGAGCTCAACGAGTCGGCCCAGAATGCCTCCGGATGGCTCGCGTCGTTTGTGCCGGGCAGGGCAAGGCGGGCAAGGCGCCTCACGCATGGGATCCGCGAGCTCAGCAGCAAGCTGGCTGGCGCCAAATTGCCGGCGATGAAGGCCGAGCCGCTGAGCACAAAGTCCCTTGCTGATGCTAAGCGCGTGTCGCTGCCGCCGCTGCTCAGCCCGAGCCACCCGGACGCGCGCATCTCGTCTGACTCGCATTCGCTCCACCAGCAGAGCCTGACAGCACCGGCTACACGCGAGGATGTTGGCGAGCTGCCGCCAGTCCCAGGCTATGCGGCATGTCTATGCGACGCCCAGCAATGTGTCTCTGCCGACGGTCGCCAGCGAGTCGTCAATCGAAGATGCAGTGATTGTCGATATTGAATCGACCGTCGAGGCCCACAAGCCTGTGATCAGCGCCGTGACGGTGAGCACCAGCGCCGTGACGCCCAGGAACTGCTGCCAGCGAATACGATGCATCTGCATCCGAGGCCTCGCCAGCATCAACGCCCTCGCACCCGCCACTGCCAGTTGACCTGCCGCCTCTGCCCTCGCTTCCCTCCAGCCGCCGCAAACCCGGCCTGTCACGCTCAGCGACAGTGGCGGTGTCGCGCAGCCGCAACAACCTCAACAGCGACACCGCATCGATCAGTCGCGAGGAGAAATCCGCTCTCTCGCGCAGCAGCAGCATCCGGGCACTGCGCCCGCAGGCGCACAACGGATGGAAGTCCATTAAGAATGACTTCGAAGGGCTCGCTGTGGTGGGCTCGCCCAAGAGTGCTGCCAGTGCAAAGCCGGATGCAAAGCCAGTATTGCAGGACAAGAGTTTGGACCACGCGCCCATCGACCGAGCGCTTTGTGCGCAAGGCTCCAGTACTGAAGCGCCGGAACCGGAACCCTGGTGCCGCATCGTCGTCGGATGATGTAACAGGCGACGATGTACGCCTGGCGGCTAAGCAGACTGGCTGATGGAAAGCGCTTGTTTAGGCTGATTTCAAAGCCATCCAAGATCACCTTCAATGGCATATTCAGCCGTAGCGAGAAGAAGTCATCCTCATTTCTAGTCTGTGTTTTTGTATGTTTAATTTGTCTTTTTCGCGTTCTTTCTGTAGTGTTTTTCTTTTTTTGTTTGTTGAATCAACCCACCCACCCCCGTTCACCAACGACGCATAGCTACATATACATTGTTTCTTTCAGATGCAGTCAGCAAACCAAGCACACATAGATATCACAGCTGATACTGCATGTGCTGATTTGAATCATGTCACCATATGTGCTATTTTTCGGACAGTCACCACCTACTGTTTCTGGGCAGTCAGGGGTGTTTCTTGGTATTCATGTCTATTTTTCGAGCACTAGCAGTAGATGTATTTTCATGTGGAGTGAATGTTAGCTCTACATGTAGAGAAATAGTAATTTGTGGAAAAAGTGCTTCAGTCTTCCCCACTGCGCTTGGTTGCCAGTTTAAATAGCGAGTCGTGTGAGGACTCCTATTTTCTCTTACAAGTACAGCCATTCTCTCAAATATTTCCTTCAAATGTCTACCAGTGACCACTGTCTGCCTATTTCGCATCTTTCAAATGTATGTGGTGATCCTGGACTACCACAGCACACAGCAGTACCAATGTGCCGGACCGGACTGTGCGCCAAGTTATTTCGTTGATTCAGCACCAGCTGCCATCACAGAGGATACCTGGCAAATGCATGTCCTCGGTGCGCACGCTTGCATGTTCGGTTGTGTTTCCAGCGTGCCACGAAAGCGACAGTTTGCCCAGCTATTCTACGCTGCTGAGAGGACGTTGCCTTACACGTGCAACACGGATGTCGAGAGTCTGTCAGACAACATCCTCTGTGCCCTTTCACATAAGCCAATGCCCCGACAGTCTGCTGCTAGTTCTGTTGATTGGATTGGCTTCTGTAGATGCTGCGATTGACGTGTTCTCTGCTGCGGTGTTTGGGCTGGTTGCTGTAGGCTTGGCTACATATTTCGCTCGCTGGTGGACCCGCGTGCTGGCACGGGCGGTTTCGCTGGCTACGCATAATGAGATGCAGCAGGCGCAAGAAGCTCCGCTGCTTGTAGGAAAGTAAGGCGCAAGAAGCTAAAAGCTCCCCAGGTGCCGTGGCCATTAGCATTTCTGTAGACTAGCATTTACATACATACACAGCCCCACTTTTAAGCATCCTCGTTCCACAATTGCAAACATTGTCTCTTCACACCTTATGCCAAGGATAGCAAGAAAGAGGATTGTTGACCCGCTGCTACGCAGGAATCCAGGACTTCTCCGGATTTCCACCACTGCCGACCCTAAATCGTGCAAAACAGCAGTACGGCAAGACAGGTCGGCGCCCGCTGTCTCAGCGCTACGGGCCCCCGCTTAGAATCCCAGAGAATCCCCCCGAAACCAGCACCGCCGATCAACTAGCACAAGCGGGCGCGTGCTGAATCGCAGCTGAGGCCGCAGCCTGCAGCATTTGCGAGCACCAATCCATTTGTGCTAAGCCTGAATGAGGGTTGCCCGACGACTGTGGTCGCCAAACCAGCGACTTTCGATGGCTCTGGCTGTTTGGACAGCAACGAAGGAGAACACTCCGCGCAGCAGCGACGAGGCCGTGCCAATGGTGCACACTGTTGAGCTGGGGAGCGGCTGGAAGGCACGGCCGCTGGAGGATGAGCTTGGGATGCTGCTGGCGGCTGCCAAGGGAATCCAGAAGCAGAGGCAAATCAAGCGGCAGATTGCCCGCAGCAAACAGGGGCGAGCCGCTTCCAGCTAGGCCTGTACCTGAGCCGGGGAGAGTGGAGTGACGCAAGCCGATGGCTGTCTAGAAAAGCCCTTTCGCTGCTCGCAACTCGGCTGTCTTCGCTTGCTGGGTGGGTGTTTACTTTTTCGCTTTTTCTTCTTGTCAGGGATTTAGCTTCAGTTTTTAATTTCATTCTGCCCACTTCCTGAGGAAAAGAAATCCAATGTCAGCGATAGACACAGCGCCGTCGGGAGATGCCGACACAATCTGGGCGTACCTGGTTGACGGCATTGACCACATTCTGCTCAAGAGCAACGAGGGCTTCGAGTACAAGCGGTACATGAACCTCTACACGTAAGTAGATAGCCAATCACCAAAAGCGTCCTGCATTCCTATTCGAAATTGTAACTAAGCCCTCTACCCCTTGGTAGCGGAGTTTACAACTACTGCACTACGCTCCGGACGAGCATACCCTTGACGTTCTCCACGGTTGTGCCAGACATGGCGGGCAGCGGTGCAATGCTATTTGGCGAGCAGCTGTACAAGCGCCTGCAGGAGCACATCAGCATCTACATGGACGGAGTCGCTGCATCGTCTGCCGATTTCACCGGCGACGCTCTGCTGGCATTCTATACTGCGGAGTGGAACAAGTACGTGGACTCGGCCAAGATCATCCACAATATCTTCTCGTACCTGAACCGGCACTGGATCAAACGCGAGCAGGAGGAGGGCAACGCAGTCAACGATGTCAACACGATGATGCTGCACCTGTGGCGCGAGCACTTGTTCAAAAAGGTGCACAAGTCGCTGCTGGAGTCGGTGTTTAGGCTGATCAAGCATGTGCGCGACGGCCAGGTAGCGGACGTGGGTATGGTCAAGAGCGTGGTGGATTCGTTTGTGTCGCTGGGGTTGGATGAAATTGGCACAAACTCGAACCGCAAGATGGAGGTGTACGAAAAATACTTCCAGGAGCCGTTCCTGGCCATGTCCACTGAGTACTACGAGGCTGAGAGCGCACGTCTGCTGCAGGAGGGCACGATCCGCGACTACATGGTCAAGATTGCACAGCGGCTGCAGGAGGAGGACGACCGCGCCCTGATGTACTTGCACCCAGACAGCGTGGTGCCGCTCAAGAACGCGCTGAATGCTGCGCTCATTGGCAAGCACCGCGAGGAGCTGATTCAGCAGTTCCAGCCGATGCTGGTGGCGCTGGAGAAGGACGACCTGCATCGCCTGTACACGCTGCTGCAGCGGCTTGAGGATTCTGAGGGGCTCGAGCCGATGCGCAGGACATTCACTGAGTACGTAACCAACGCCGGCCGTGAGGCGATCAAGCAGATCAGTGGCAGCGAAGATATCAAAGCGGGTAATCTGGCTGCCGAGTCGCGGCTCTTTGTCGAGTCGTTGCTGCGCGTGCACGACCTGTATGCCAAGATGCTGCGCGAGTCGTTTGACGACAACCCAGGGTTCAGCCGTGCCCTGGACAGCGCGTGCAAGGACTTTGTGAACACTAACGGGTTGTGCGCGTCAGGACAGAGCCGGGCGCCGGTGCTGCTCGCGCATTACTGTGACTCGCTGCTCAAGAAGGGCGGTGCACGCAAGGCAGGCGGCGCTGCTGCTGTTGCGGCCAGTGGTGTCGGTCCCAGCGGCAGCGGCGGCAATGCTGCTGAGGGCGCCAATGACGAAGGCGACCTGGAGGCATTGCTGTCGCAGGCGATTGTTGTGTTCCGGTACATCAAGGACTCAGACGTGTTCCAAAAGTTCTATTCCCGGTTCCTGGCGCGGCGGCTGGTTAACGAGCAGAGCGTGTCGATTGATAGCGAGGAAGCGATGATCTCGAAGCTCAAGGAGATCTCGGGCGTCGAGTTCACCAGCAAGATGTCGCGCATGTTCCTGGACATGTCGCTGAGCGGCGAAATGAACGACGCGTATTCGCAGAGTATCGATGGTGGGTTCGAGGTGCCGTTCAACTTTAACATGAAGGTGCTGCACTCTGTGTCATGGCCACTCAGTCTGCCGGCCACGCAGCCGCAGCTGCCGTCGCAGGTGGCCCAGGTCACGGACAGCTTCAACCGGTTCTACCAGCTCAAGCACAACGGACGCAAGCTCGACTGGCTCTGGCAGCACTCCAAGGCCGAGATCAAGATGTTCTTCCCGCGCGCCACTGGCCCGGCAGCCAAGGCTGGGTACACGTTCCAGGTGACCACATACCAGCTCGCCATTCTGATGCTGTTCAACGAGGAGTCTGGACCGGGAACCGGATACGACTCGCCCAACGGCCCAACTCTGACGTGGGTCCAGATTGCAGGAGCCACGGGTCTTGATGACGATACCATCGAAGGTGAGATGGACGTGCTGTGCAAGGCGCGCGTCCTGTCCTGCAGCACGCCCAAGCCTGGCAAGGGGTCGCGGTTCACGCTGAACGGCGGGTTCAAGTCGAAGAAGCTGAAGATGAACCTGGCGGGCACGAAGAAGCCGGAGCAGAAGCGCGAGAATAAGGAAACGATGAAGTCGGTGGAGCAGGACCGCAGGTACCAGATCGAGGCGGCCATTGTGCGTATCATGAAGGCGCGCAAGACGCTGGCGCACCGGCAGCTGGTGCAGGAGACCATCTCGCAGATCAAGCTGTTCCAGGCCCAGGTGCCGGACATCAAGCAGGCCATTGATGCGCTGATTGAGCGCGAGTACCTTGAGCGCGACGCCGACAGCCGCGACGTGTACAAGTACCTGGCATAGGCATATTGTTCCTTGCCCCTTCTACGCTATACAAACGAATTTCCAGTCAACTGCTAGAAATGAAGCATTTGTGTATCTTTGCGCACCGCACTGTCTGGTTGTATATGTAGCGACAAGCTGGTCTAAACCATAGCCATACGTCACACACCGTATATATGGTTTGCATCCATCCCTTAGGCAACGAGCAGTGGTTCTGAGCTGTGCTATGTAGCTATGTAGCTATGTTTGAGTGCTCACCATCTCTCACCTACAGGCTGCTGAAGGTCTAGAGCACAACGTGGAAGGTGTGGGACTACAAGGAGCAGCAAAGCAAAATAAGAGGAAAGAGATGAGTAACGAAAACGCCTGGTATATGGATGTGTGTATTTTCGCGCAACACGAGTTCTGAATGAATCCTTGAACAGCGATATCTCAGTCCAGAAGCGCACTAGTAGCGTGAGCCTAACAACAGCAGAGAACAACAGAGCCCAAGGTTATATTGATGTGAAGAAAGCTAAAGAGAAAGGAAATATTGGGGGCGAGGGTAAAGGTTTTATACTGTCGCTCAGGTGACAGCTTTTCATTCCATTGTTTCTCTCTTTTGCTCATCTGTTTCATTTTTTGGCTATGTAGTTTTCAGTAATCGGATCTTGGTATTCTAACAAGCGTTTATTTTACAAACCCCGTTGTCATGCAGTATGTTCCGATCTGCGGCCTACAGAAAGCGGCAGGATGATACCACAAGGCTGTGATCATCATACATGGCTTCAAGAAACATGATATCATCTACGGCCTCAAGAGGTAGGTTTTCAATCGGTGATCCTCCTGAGGTACCGACTACTGGAACAGATAGCGGATCTGGCTTCTCACATTTACTTATAGTTGACGGCTCTATTAGCCTATCTGGGGTGCTGCGAAACAGCAGCTCACCCATCTTGCCCAGATGGCCTGTAGCCTGCTGGTCGTCCATATATACAAGATTCCAGCACTGGCCCATTGGAAACATGTCAAGAAATGATATGCTGCCTGGAAAGATTAAGGTCCAAAGATGGCTGACAAGACAGGAGCGCTGCAGAACCTGCCACCCTATATGCTGCGCTACATGACTGTATCGCCTGCAAGACAAAGGACATCCAGCGAATAACGAATGGCAGTCAGAGCAATGAACAGGGTGTGCAGCTGGCTCACCAATGATGTGCAATCCTTGCTCCTTTTACACGCAATGCTATGCAGTGCCAGGATCTGAGACATTGTTGCCGAACAGTACAGACCCGGGCATCTATTCATAGGTTGGAGAGCCACTCCACAAGATTGTTAGTGATCAACCGAAGGAAAACTAAAAGGGCTTCTACCTGCTTTATTGACACAGTACTTGAAGAAATGCACTGGCAAGGGTATGCTGGTTGTGTAAGCGTATGGACAGGTTTCTGGTAATAGCTTTGAACTACATCCGTCAGCCTATAAATGTATGGCTCATATCGTCATGCTAGTGTAATTTTGTTCTTTACCACATCCTCATTTTTGCTGCGCAGCGCCCTTGGTCCAGCAACGCTATGGAAACCATCTAAAGGAGAAATTAAACAAATTAAACAGGTCGATTAGACCAACGAAGGTCTCCTGGAAATCACGAAAAACATGCCATTTCTGCTGGTAGATCATTTGGGTGGAACTGACAGCTGGAGCTGACAAGTATCCTCAGCGTGTTCTATGCCAGGGACAAGCAGGGGTCTTCTCTTCTCTTCTCTCCATACCGCCTTTCAAGAGCTTCACCGTATATTTTCACTATGAATATTATTTTATCTGCTGCAAAGCTCGTGCAGCTGGCCGTGCTTGGGTGTGCTGGTTGCCTGCTTCTCCAGTCGCTTTTCATGAGCACGCAAACGTTCTTAGGGTTCTTTTATCCAACTATCCATGTCCCCTACCTTAACCCTGTGTCGCCTCCTGTCGAGATCACAGGTCCGATTTCGCTCGCATGGCAGAAGTCTTTTGAATACGAAGCTAAGGTGTACCTTAGCAGCAAGTCGTGCCGTTCCAACTCGCTCGAAACGTTCCTCCAGAATGCCACCGAGGTTTGGCACATTGAGCCTCAGAGCCTGGTGAACCGGTACCCAGTCTTTGAGAAGCATTTGAGCCTGGATTTCACGGATACTACTTGGATGTTTATGTGCCTTTTCATTCAAAAGGCTGGGCAGTTCACACCCCACCCAAATATCAGCGACCCGCATCTGCTTGTTAACGAGCATGTGCTTGCGTACACGACAATATCATCCACATGCTACGGGGATAACCAGAAGGGCAAGGGTATCAAAGCCCATTGCGTTTCGAACACAACATTCATGGTGGAAACCCAGGCCAAGTGGAAAATTCATCTCGAGGATAATGTGTATACGCCTGAATCCCTTCCCCGACGTCGCTGCAGCAAATGCAACATCATCCGCAGGCAGTCACTTGACTCAGATAACACGACTGACAGCGCTGGCTCTAAGGGCATGTACCTCCCTCTGCTCTATATGGACTGGGACACTAAGTCGGAGAGCGCGAAGTTCCCTCTCACAGATAGCAAAAGTACAGACAAGGGGACCGACTATTTCAATACGTCTATTGGTATCAGTATGGGGGTACGCGGAGTACGCACTAGCACTGAAATCGAGCTTAACCATATCACGAACACACCGGAGGATAAGGCTCTCGCGGCTTTGAGAAGGAACGAAGATCGTCCATTCATGCCTCATATGTATTACAAATCGCCAACAGCCAAATCGAGTGTCTCAACAGCTATCTACCTTGCGCTCTACCCTGTCCTCCTTTCCTTGTATATCCTTCGGCAACTTTCCATTGCCAAGCTCTACTTTGCCTCAGCCTGTTCGAACAGAGAAAAAGCCAGCTCCATCCTGAGGATGTATTTGCTTGTCGAGCACCTAGGGTCGTCCTTGTTCGGTAGATTTGTTCTGTTTGGAAACCATGCGGGGTTGAATACTGCTTTTCTGAATGCGTACAGCACCTGGTGGTATATCAAATCTATCCTCGCAGTCCTGCCTCAGAGGAGAGTGGCAAGTACAATAAGGTATCTCGCTGGTTCTCGAGCGACCAACACCAGGGACAACACCAAGGACGGCGAACCACTGCAATCTACCAAGGAGAATGAAGGCGCGGAAGCGGAGAGCACCTACACTAAATCCGCTTCATCAGTGTTCAAGCTATTTTTCTGGACTGTTTTTGGGTTTTCTATTGCGGAATATGCGGACCAAGCGTGTGTCTCTGGAAGCTATGATGCTTCATATCTGTCGGAGGCTGAGTGGAACTGGGCTCGCATCTTTTTCAGGGGCTTGGGTTGTTTCCTTCGTCGCCTTATCAGGTGGGCTCCTGCCGTCTATTTCATCCCGACTGTCCTCATGGTATTCAAGCGCAAGTCTACCACACATGTGCCAACTATGTACCACCTCCTTCGCATGATTGAGTTTGTTATAGTCGGATTGATCTGCCTCTACGAAATACCCGGGATGCTTGACCCTGAGTATCTGGCATTGCGCAATGTCGTAAACAGCATCAGTAGCATTGCCTTAGTTATCCAGTGGAGAATATACAATAAATTCTGAGTGGCGCTATTAGCGCACCCATATTTCGACAGACCATGCAACGGTTAGTCAGATATACAGGAGCGATAATTAAATGACTAGGTTGCAAGTTCTTGTAGATATATGGCATGAATCGTTTGCTGATGAGTTCTAAGCTACATGATATCAGAGTTCAGAAGAACAGTTGTTAATAACAACAGCTACAGTTTGCATTTGGTGCTTTTGATTCGATGATGCAGCCCAATATGCAGAGATAGATAGCTAGTTAGAGGAAGAGCACGCTAGTGAAGGATGCAGGGATGACAATAGCTACACATTTTGCGTTGCTTAGAATGCATTCGCTCTGCACTAATCACCTCTTGGCATCAGTGGTAGTCCCATGTCGGAAAGGTACCGCTTCTTGAAGGATTTGGAACACATTTGATTCCAACTACTGTTTGCTAGCCCGAAATGTAAGAGCAAGACAACCAAGTTGAAGACCCAAGTTGCTACCAGCACAAGCGGCATAACTGTACATTCTCATGTAGCAAATTCCATTTGCAGGGCAATGGTTGATGTGCACCAGTTGTGGTTGCGACTGGGACTTGCATAAAGATAGGCACAGCGCAATATAAGTTTGGGATTGATATAGATCAGAAAACAACCAGGAAAAAGACATGTGCAACTGCGGCTGGGGTGCAATGGGCAATATAAAAGACCGACAGCTCGCGCACCAACTCCCAGGATGCTTAAACTTACCATTTAGCCTCAGCTCGATACATACATATATGATTTTTGCGGCAGTAGCTGTATCAGAGTGAGGTGAACGGCGGTGATTTATGAGCAGCGAGGGTTGAGGGTTCGATCAGAAGCAGAGAATAGATGTGTTCAAAACCTCGCATCTAGTGGCATAGAGAGGGAGATGAGGGCCTCGCACTGCCCACCCTATTGGTTTGGATTCGTAGATTTTAGTTTTATATTTTTCGCTGCAACGTTTCAAGCAGGCACGTTTGCCTGACGGTCATATATGGATAGCATGGGGAACGGCATGTCAAGCAAGAACACTGTACCCTTGGGTCTCCATCTCGCCACAAGGGAGGATATAGCGCCCATGTGAGCGGTTATTAACAGCAACTGCAGTCTACCGCTGTCCCTAGATGTCTCCACAATGGTGCCTGATGCCACATGACCCAACTAAAGGCATACCTTTGGCAATGGTGTACACAGCAGTAATGATGGCAGGCAGAAGAGGCTTCCTCTGGAGAAGCCTTTAACATGCTATGACCACATTGCAACAACATACTGAGCCATAAAATAGGGATACCGATAGGCATGTATATATACCGTAGTAGCAACCACCTTGCAAATAAATGTCTCGGGAGAAAATAAAGATGGAATTGAGAAAAACAAGTGTTGAGAAAAGAAAAAGAGAAAGGCTTTTGGCGCTAAAGGGTAGGCATAGATGGCACGGCCGGCGCACTGTTGCCAGCAGCCGCATTGGCGATCTTCTTGACCTTGGACCAGGGCCGGAAGATGCTGGCGCGGGAGCTGGATGGCTCGGGAGCGTCGGACGGGCGGCGCTCGGAGAGGCCATCGGAAGCATTGGAGTGGGTTGACCCGCCAACCACGGAGAGGCGGTTCGAGCTTGCCGACGAGTACTGCGAGCTGTCATCGACATCGACCTGGTTGATCAGCGGCGAGTTGCCCGACGTGCGCTTCTCGGCGTCGGGTGACCCGGCAAAGCGCGGCGAGCTGGTCAGCGGCGACGTGATCACCGGCGAGTTCATGACGCTGGTATCCCACGGCCGCCGCATCTCAAACATGCCCGCCTGCTGGAACGGCGACCGCGGCGGCTTGCGCAGCAGCGGCGTCGACCCTGCGTCGCTCGGCGCGCGCGCCCGCGTCTCCGGCTCGGCCTCGTGCTCTGCCCGCGGGAAGTACTTCAGCAGCGCCAGGCGCGCCGGCTCGGAGATCGCATACAGCGCCGAGCCGCGGTCTGCCGCCAGCGCTGGCAAGTGTCCGCGCAGCACCACCACGCTACGGGCCTGCAGCCCGCGGTGCTGCGCGCGCAGCCCAGCCTCAAACACTAGTGGCGCCGTCTGCGGAGACGCCAAGTCGCGCAGCGCATTCACAGCATGGATGCCCAGGTCGCGCAGCCCCGATGCACGTGCCACGCCCAGCAGCTCACCCAGAACCGCCACGGCCTGTGCGTCGGTCGCCGCCGAAGCATCCGACGGAGCATGTGGGCCGTGCCGCGCCGCCACATCGACGCGGCCTGTGTGCAGGAAAAACACAAGGATATGGATGGCCGCACACGACGCGTCGATTTGGAACCGGCGCGGCATATCGGCAGTCAGCAAGTCGTCAGCAATACCCGCCCACTGCTGCGCCTGTACTGGCCAGCGCGCCTGCAGTAGGCCGCTGTTGACCGGCACGTGCCCGTCCGACCCGTCGATGTGCGCGTCGGCCAGCTGCGGCACAAATAGCAGCTGCGCGCCCAGCTCGAACAGCGCATCGGCGGCGCGCGGCGGCGGTGACGCAGTGTCGCTGGCTGCAGCGACGGCGGCTGCACGGGCGGCAGTTGCAAACGGCTGCTTTGTTGAGCCACGGCTCAGCCGGAAGCCTAGGGCCCGCAGATCAACGGTGCGCACCTCGCCGTAGTTCAGGCGGCGGCGCTGGTAGTCGTACGTCAAGTCGCGGCGGCTGTCGCCGAACAGCACCAGCGTGTTGGACCGCGGGTCCACCAGCGACTGGTTCCACGATCCAGCGCGGAATCGTCCCCCGCAATCCACCACCCGCCACTGCAGCTCTGCCACATCCAGCGCCCACACGCTCAGCTCGCTGTGGCCCTCGTGTGAGATCAGCGTCCCGGTCATCAGCACCGTCCGCCCGTCCACCATGCTTCCGCGCGGGAACCGCAGCCCCGGCGGCTCGCCCTGGATTGCCTCCGACAGATCCTGCAGCGTACAGTCCGGCGGAGCGCTCAGCGCATACAGCGCACGCTTCACTGCCGCAAAGCTGTAGTTGCTGTACAGCAGCGTCCGCCCACCATCGCCTGTCCCCGCTATGAACGACCGGTACAGCCCCACAGCCCGCGGGAACCCCGCCCGCAGAACCCACGCCCCGCGCTGCAGGTCATACACATTCAGCTCCTCGACATACTGCTCGTCCAGATCCTGTCCGCCCACCACCAGCAGCCGGCTGCCCAGCAGCGTTGCCAGGTGCGCGTACCGCGGCGCCGGAGCCTCTGCCTCCACCGCCGGTCCCGCCGGTCCCCCGCTGTCCAGTGCCCGCTCCGCCACCCACCGCTCCGTCTGCGTGTCAAACACCGCCATGTCGCCCAGCAGCAGCTTGTTGCTGCGGTTCGACTCGTCCACGCTGCGCTCCATCGACTCGCTGCCTGCCACCAGCCCCATCCCGCCAAACACTATGATGAACTGCCGGAACGCCGTCGCCGAGTGGAAGAACCGCGCTGCCGGCGAGGTGCCCGAGGTCCCCGCAAGTCGTCGCCACGCAAACGTCCCCAGGTCGCACACAAACAGGTCGCTCGACAGCTGCCCCGTGTGCAGCGACCGCCCCCCAAACACGTATGCCTTGCCGTCCAGGTATGTCAGAGAGCTGCCCACCAGCGCGGGCGGCACATCGCCTGTGCATTTGTGCCCGCGAATGAACAGCTCTGACGCGTCCAGTTCTGTCGACGGCATGCTTTGCAAGAGTGTGAGAAATAGAAAGAGTGTTGAAAAATTGTGATGTCAACAAATAAGAAGCAAGGCGCCTCTAGATATAGTGAAGTGTCCCTGAGCCACGCCTATTGAGCCTGAGTGCCTATGAGTGCCTGCTAGCCCTGTAGCGATTCTATTGTAAACCTGCCAATCCGTGCGATATGCCTGTAGAACCTCCAGACAAAGCCTGCCAGACGCCTAAATTTTCTTTACTACGCGAATAATGGAAGCAAGCAGATGCAGAGCAAAAAGGCAAACGCAACACAAACCATGTCTGAACAGCCGCTCCTGTTCACTGTCGTTCCAACCATCAAGCACGGCAATCCTCTGTTTTCGCTATACCACATCCCCTCCTCTTGGTGGCCAGATGCCCCCACTGCACATCTCGCACATTGACACCGATGGGCGATCTACCGTGCCATGCCATTCGATGCACGGGTTCTTGATCCACCCCCGCCTCTCTTGCCTGCTCCTCACATTAATTGCCCTCCAGCCCGCTCCTGCCAGGTGCTCCGAGTGGCAACCCGCATCTGTCCGGCTGCCCCACATCCACCGATCCCCTCGCTCTATCCACCGTGTTTTAGTCGTAAGGGGGACCTCGTATTTTTTCTTGCTGAATATCGTTGTTTAATGTTGTAACTTTTTTTATTGCCTGGCCGATCACTCCTCGTCGTCATCGTCGTCCGAAATGTCGCCAACATCCTCGGCTGCAAACAGATCCTCGTTCTGTGCGCCCTTCTCCTCCGCCTCCTGCTGGTGCTCATCCTGCTGGTACCCACCGTCCGCCGTCTTGTACTGCGAAAAGTCAAACTCGTCTCCGTCATCATTATCTCCCGCATCCAGCTCAGGGTTGAACTCGAAGAAGTCACGGCCCGACATGTTGACTGCCTTGCCGGCCTTGAATGCCTTCGCCTTGGCCTCCTTGGCCTTGGCCTCCTCCGCCTCCTTGCGCGCCTTGCGATCCGCCTTCCACTTGGTGAACGACTCGAGCGTTACCGGCGTCAAGTTGTCACCCAGCTTGTGCCGCTCTGTCTCCAGGAACTCCTCAAGCGAGATCTCGTCCTTGTCCTCGTCCTTCTTCTTGTCCTTCTTAAGCACAAATCCGGGCGGCAGCGCGTGCTTGTATATGCACTTGTCGCCGCCATTCGGGCACTCCCAGAACCAGCCGTACTTTGAGCTCTCGATCGCCGCCAAAAAGTGCTTGCACACAATGGTGGTCGTGGTCTTTGGGTTGCCGTGCTTCGACAGCACCACCTCCTCGAGCTGGCTCTGGTCCCAGTCCTCCATGGTCTCCTCCTTGCCGTCGCGCTTGTCCGTGTAAATGTCGAGCTTCTGGCCCTTGCGCTCCACCGACAGGTCGTGCGAGAACTTGCACCGGTCCCCCTTGCTGCACCCCCCGGCCTTGAAGAACTGGCAAAGGACCGATTTCGGATTGACTCCGAACGGCACCTTTTGCGTCTGGATCGGCTTGAACAGCTCCAGCATCTCCAGCTTCTGCTTCTCCTCCTCCTTCTTGCGGGTCAGCGCGTTCTTGCGCTCCTCCTCCTGCTTGCGGTCCTTGCGGCTCCCCGAGGTCATCACCTGCTGCTCCACCTGCTTCACGTACTCGCCCACCTTCTTTGACTTTTTCTTGTTCTTGAGCCCAAACGTCTTGTCCTCGATCACCTTCTTCTTCTCCTTGTCCTGCGTTTTGCGGGACGGCCCCTTGGCTCCCTTCTTTGGCGGCATTCTTTGAACCCTTTTAATTTACAGATAAAAAATATTCCACTGAGAACCCCCTCGTTTGCGTCTGTCCTAATGTCCGATGCCAGCTGAAATCGAACAAGTGCAAATGCCGTGTAATGCGAGAAAAAAATAGCAGAGAAAAATACCTCGAATTTTATAAGCGATGTGCGAAAAAATGAAACAGCGCTTGAACGGCGCGGAGCCGCGGCTATAAAAATTTTTACGAGCCGGCTCATCGCGATAGTCGCTCCTCAGCCCTGTGACGTAGCAGCAGGGGTCATCCCTTCCCCCGACTTCCACATTCTGGATTTCTCAGGAACTTCCAAAGCAGAGTAAGCCGCACATGAATAGCGTGACCAAAGAGGGGCGCATCCTTGCAGCCCCATGGTGTGAGACATTGCCCATCCCCCACGCATGACCACCATGGTACCATCTCTCCCCCCTACCCTCTTTCTACACAAACCCGCCGAATCTCTCTTATTGGCCGATGCCACCTCTACATACGCCGGGCATACTAAGCCTGCCCCATGTCATAACCATGCACATTTTCAGACTCCTGCTCAAGGGCACAGCACAAACACTTGCAGCATCCTCATTTGTCACCCCCAATAGGCTGCTGGTAACACTAATGGCCGTATGTCACCACTGGCGGGTCTTTTGCAAGCCGCTGTTTTACCGGAGCGCTTGGCTGTCATTCTCCAAACTCCTGCACACTGAGACTAAACACTATCCAGAAATATTCAGCACCCTCTACATGTCGCAGTGCGGGCACACCCGCTACGTGCGTAGCTTGCTAATATACCTCGCCCCAGAAGACCCGCCCGAACCACGTACTAGTGCATGTATCAGACGCCTACTAATGTCGGGCGAGTTGCAAAGAGCAACCACCATCTCATTCAAAGTGTCCGACGGTGCCCGTAACTACGCGTTGGCAGCACAGAATGCAGGACTCCCTACATCCAACATCTCTGACATGGTACTGCTCTTGATGGAGGACATCAGGCACATGACCGTATGCTGGAGGACGCCGGATGTTCCGGCCAATGCTGGAGCAAACCGGTTTTCGATTTCCTCGGGTCACGTTCCGCACACAAAGAACGGCCCTACCTTGCCCACTGCAGCGCATTTCAGTTCACGGCAGCCCGCTCTGTTTGTGCCTCTGTACCAGGCTGCTAGCCCTGCTTTGTCGCTCAGTGGAGATCTGGTAATGCTCATTCGCCGGTTGGCAAGACAGCTGGAGTCCCTGCGTCTGGAGAACTGCGAATTCGCCCACCTGAAGCGCCTGCTGGCAGCCGAACCATTAGTGTTTCTGCAGCTGAGGAAATTTGAACTGTCTGCTTGCCTGGTGCCCATTGACGGCCGACTCATCCTGCCAAATAACCCAATGCCGGCCCTCACCCACCTGCACTGTGACAGTGTGTGGCCGTTCCGAGATGGCACCCTTCTTTTGCAGAACTCTGGGCGCCTCCAGTCGTTGCGCCTGCCAGCTGACAGTCGCATGTTTGCCCGGCTGTTTTCGCAAGGCGCTTTCACAGCAGTCTATCCTTGTCTGCACACATTGCAGTGGCTAGCTGGGCACCCGAAACACCAGGGCTCTGGTAGACTCAATGGCGCCCAATTCACAGCTGCACTGCACATGTCGCTGGTCCTGCGGCACATGCATTTCGGACTCCCTCTTACTGAACTCTTGCCTGCGCACTCGCTGCCGTCCAGCCTGCACACATTCTGCAGCCCATGGCTGGCACTGCACGGCACTGATATTCTAGCTCTCGCACGGGCATGTCCGGATCTGCGGCACATCTGCCTCAGCCTGGATACTATCGGCCCTGCACGCGGATTGTTTGCAGTGAGACATGCTAAGCCACAGACTGTGCCCCGGCTAGAATCGCTTCTGCTTGCTAATGTCACCAGCACTGTGCGGGCTGACGAGTGTATGGAGCTGCTGCTGCGGCTTGCATCGGAGCTGCCGGCTCTGGCAGACATCGCTGTCCGGACCAATTCTCATACCTTTGCTCGAGTTCTGGCCAAGCAGCTGGGTCCACCGCTTCTGCATTTTGGCAGGCTGCGAATATCAGTAGCGCTATTGCCCACAGCAGATAGACTTTGAGTTCTTTTTACACAACACGCAATAATGCCTCTATGGCTGTGACAATAAATGCCCAAGGTTGTCGATTCTACTCGGGCATCTGCTTCTGTAGCATTGAACCGCATGCACAATGAGTGCAAGTGGGAAGCTTTTTGGTGATGACGAAGGCAACTCGGCTGCATTCGTGACTCCAGCCAATCCTCGCTTACCTGGTGTGAACTGGAGCAGACAGGCGGAACCCTCTGCCATCCGACAGGCATACATTTCACCAGCGCACCCTTTCTTCTCTACTCCTTACATGGTTTTCCTACATTATTTTTTGCCTAACCCCAAAACCCGCACATCTACCATGTTAGCAGACACCAACAATGCGCCCAGCTTTAGTGATTTTCCGAGCATCGTCCTGACGCAGATAGTCCAGCTGGCAACAGACAGCGGAAACCCACCGTCTACTGACAAATACGATATGTCTATGGAGCTAAGCCGCCCGCTTCTGTCACTAATGGCGGTCTGTCGCAGCATGCGTGCTGTCAGCGCGCCCCTGTTCTACCACACCGCCTTTATGTGCCTAGGGAATGTCAGCCCTGACAAGAAGCGACACATACCAGATTGGCCCAAGTCAAAGCTGTTTGACATCCGAAACATTTTCCAAACCGGATGTGCATGCTACATCCGCCGTCTCGCCATGTACTGGAACACATACGACGGCATCGACCATGACCTGATGGCTACTGTACCAGATATGCTAATGGCCAAAGTACCGGTGAACATCGCTGAGCTAAAGCTCATCTTTGTAGGCTTGGCTGATCGCGAAAAGCTTAAACCTAACGACAACGACACCACATACCCCAGCCTGTTCAAAATCCTTACTTCATTTGCCCCCGACGCTCGCCATATAGCTGTGCATTGGGCGCGGGGTGCTAGTCGTACTGAATATGAGACACGATACCTTCGAGAACGCCGGTACAGGCACGCACAGATCGAGTACGATTCGCTGCCGCACAAAGATGGAGGGCTCGACATCATGTCGAAGGGACCCGTTTTGGATAGCGTGGTGATGTTCTTGCGCCAGCGCGCACCTAAACTTCAGTCTCTAAGCCTGAATATAGGGCGGCACCCATCTCTCCAGTATTTTGTGGACCGACTCGGAGAAGAACATCTGGTATTCCCCCAGCTGGCCGAGTTAACCGTTACTTCGCGCATAGTGCACTATGACCAGCCGGTCTGCCTCGGATACAACATGTTTCCAGTCCTACGGCGGTTCAGCAGTCCCAAAGACTTCCCCTTCTGCGACGGCACTGGGCTGCTGAACAACCCCAGTGGAATAGAATCCGTAAGGATGACCCTGAGCCACGACACAGTCGAAAAGCTGGATCAGCTGGGGGCGTTCCGCAAGGACATGTACCCAAATCTGAAGACCATATATGTAGCCCGCAGACTATCAAACAGCACCGTACTGTCCCATGACAATCCCCATGGGTTGTTCAAGAAGGTGGTGGAGATGGCACAGAGCCCGCGAAAACTCATCTTTACAGTCACCGGGAGCCTTGATCCCGATATTTGCATTAGTGTGTTGGCTGGCAAGCAGCTGGCTGTGCTGCAGTGCACGTACACCAAACTGACTTGGATTGAGATCCTCAAGATCTGCCGCAAAGTGCCGTCTCTGCGCCATGTATCGTTTGCGCTGAATGCTATTGATGAGGGTATTTCCAACAGGATCCTTGATGAAGGCTACAATGTCCAGGACGTGCTGTGTGTGCGCTCAATTGAGCTTGTTGGGTTTCGTACTACAGAGCGGATGCAAACTGGCGCCGAGAACGCAGTCTCTTTGGCCGCTATGCTTCCGTCACTTAAGCGTATATCCATTCCGATGGGCTGCCTTCATGACAAGTGGGTGTTAGCTGATTACCAAAAGGATGCTGTTGCCCAGCCAAGGTTCTCGCAGTACACCCACTTGAAGAATGTGGACTTTGACATCAATGAGAGGTTTGTCTATCACCCGACTCCGCCTCCAGCCGATAATCCAGACAACCCTGTGCACCTGGATAACGATCGCCCGGTGATTACCACTTACATCTAGTTCACTTTCTTTTGAATGTTTCCTATTTGCATATCTGCTGTGATGGTCCATCAGGCCTGCTATGGCTGCTGCCCCAGTGCTGTAAATGAATATATGGACATATGTATGCGTGTTTGGATGCGTTGTTTCCCGAAGAAAGCAAAGGAAACAGATTGAGCACGTCGCTCCTGCTGCTGCATACTTCCTCGGCTGCAGCTGCTGCATGTGGTAGTGGCCACATTCTTGTTGACTACTGGGCCAGGCCACTCTGGGTCAACTGATATGTGGGTCAGTTGTGGCCAACTTGGCTGCATGGCATTGCCAATTGTATACCGCAGTAAACATTCATGAACAACAACTATGCAAATGGTATATCTGGTGTTCACACCAGTGAAGAATTGAAAATGCACTGTTTATTCATGCCTTGACAATTCGAATTCGTAGCATACGATCAAGGCGGCTATTCTTCAGATAGAGAACGTCATCGATAGTCTCACAAATGAACAAAGCATGGTTATATTCAGGAACGATCATGAGTTCCTTTTCATAAAAACACTCGTCTTCTTCCTCGCATAAGACTACCAAGGAGAATACTTTGCCGTCGCGAACCTCGATTCTCCCTCCATCCTTCAACCTAAATTCTCTGTTCGACAGGCGCTCCTCAAACATCCTGCCCTTCTCCTTGAACTGTTTAATAGCGCTGGCGTCCCTACGCACTGCTGATAAAAATTTGAATTTGGGGGACCTGGAGAACGTGTAGCTGTTCTCTGGATTATTGACATCGAAACTCTGCTCAACACCATCCTCATACACGACAAAGAAGTGGCTGCAGCACCCATCTGCGGCCCTTGTTATCTCTGCAAACTTTGCAACGTCCTTCGTGCTATATCGAACCAAAGCCGTGTTGGAATTAGGCAGATCCTCGATCAAGGTATCCCTGGACTCTTCGCAGATAAAGTAGACAGCTGGTGGGTTGGGATTGAAATTGAGGCCATTTCGCTCCTGAAGGCTAGACCACTTCTCTGGATCACTGGGATAGTACCGCGTCATAAGGGTGATGTAGTTCCAAGAGATGTAGTCGCATTTTAATGGACCACCATAAAAATTTTAGACCATGAAGTAATCCCTCTCCAGCTCAATGAAGCCTGGGCGGTATATCCCCTGCTTCTCGGTAGCCTGCTGTTCGGTTTCAACATCAGTGAACGGCCATTGCATATCAATAATGCAGGGACGGATGGTGTCGCGATCAACGTAGGCCGGAAGGTAAGTTGAAGTCATAACAAGGATACAGAGAAATGCGAGTGCAGAAATGAAAATGGATAAGCATGCAAAAGAAAGCGGGGACCCAGATCTTTTACAGACAGCATTTGGGGTGGAATGGCTGCGGAATGTTTGCTTTTGGTAGGTTCAAAGGGTTAGGATTTCCATGCAATTTCGGCTAGAGAGAGCACTGCGAAAAAGGATATTGCGTTGGGGTATTCTGACCGACCTTGTATTGAAGCAGTCCATATGTAGCCTTTTCCTAGATGCCGAGCGAGAGGTATATATAAACGTTAGCCCTCAGAAGAATAGGTGTTCTCAAGCTCACCAGAAATAGATTGTCGTCATCTCATTGTTATATTTCTTATATTTTGCTACCTGGTCTACTACTGGGCCTGACTCTCTCACCATTTCTTTCTTGCTTTTTTTTTTTCCTTGATACTTTCTTTGCACTCTTTTATACTGTCTCCGTACATGTATCCTCAGGTGTTTCAGCCTGCTCTTCATTTTGTTGTAGAGCTCATAACCTTCTGACAGTGTGCGTGTGTCTGTTGTCGTTTTTATATATATGCAGGGCCCAGCACATTATATAGCTCGGTCGAAGCATTGCTTGTATGTTTGACACTATGTGCCTGAAAGATTCGTCAACGCCATAAGACCACCGTACGTATTCTCTGACCTTTCCGCTTTGTGTGCTAGCTGCGAGAGCCATCGGCCAGCCAACAAGACGGGCTGGTATCGAGTGTTAGGGTTGTAGGCATACTCTTGAATGGTGTACGGCGCATAGCGCATGGCAGACAGCGTAGCCGATGCAGTCATCAGTGTGCTGAAACTGCTCATGCTCTATTGTGAAATTAATCTAAATGAGAACAGAGTCTACAGCGCATATGCCACGGATTGCCACAATCTGAGTAGACAGATGTATTATACACAGGGATGAGACTATTGCTTTGTCCAGGGTGGTAGTGACAATGGTAAGCGACCCGGCTTCATACCGTACCTCTGCATTGGTGTTTTTGAGGTCGTTGCTGTATGTAGTGTAGCATTGTATAGTGGTAATCCTCACTGTTGCTGATTCATGGATCTATTTGCAAGCATTTGATTTGCCGCTAGCAACTGATGTGGCCAAATCAGCAAACACCACTGCACATAGCATTGGATTCTTCATGTGATTAACAGGCCGCAGCTCAGCCAGGTGGTTATCCAAATCATCTTTTTCTTGTTTTTCCACCCCGCTAAACTAGTACATTACATACCAATTCTTTCTACTATGCTGGCAGATGCGTTATCTATTAACGACCTTGCCAACGGCCATGTTCTCAAGCGGGTACTGCCGATGATATGTGACAAGATACTCGACTCCAGCTTCTGTATCGAGGAGTACCGCGAGATGGTTGGGCTTGCGGCCGTCTCACACCGGTGGCACGAGCTGCTGCAGCCATACTTTTACCGTACAGTTATCGCTCAGCGCATTGAAGTCAAGAACAAATCCAAGCCTTGGGCCAAGTCCCTCCTCAAAAGGAAAAAACGAAAGGCCGGTCCACGGTTCAGATGGCAGTCGAATGTGGAGAATGTTATTGCAGCCGGAAAGTCGCACCGGACACGGGAGATACGGATTGTCCAGAGAACCTCTGGCACCATGGTCACACTTGAGGATGTGCTGCGTGGTCTTGGCTTTGATGCTGGGGACTGGTCAGGCGTCACTACCATCCGTTTCATTGGTGCATTCACACAGTATGAGCCATTTTCTGACAAGGATACCCAGTCAGCGTGTGGGTATTTCCTCAAAACGTTCCCAAACGTAACTGAGCTTGATTGCACGCAGGCACATTGTGCCAAGGATCCTGCAGATTCTTTCCTTGCTAGCCTCACTAGATGGTACATTCCTCAGCTGCACACCATTTACATTGACAGCTTTCTTCCCAGCTCCCCCCTTGACCACTACCCAGAGCATGTCACCCGGGTGCTGATCAAGCGCTCGCTCTATCCTTATAACATGAACGTGCATCAGTTCTTGGCATCCGCGCTGAAGTACCTGTATATTGACCACATCCAGGACCACTTCAACTGGGAGCGCTTCCTGGGAGCAGACGAGGAGAGCACAGAGTTCACGAATCTGGAAGAGCTGGTCCTCAAATTCTCTTACTGGGACCAGCCACCGATAATATCGAGTCCCCTCATCAGGAAGATGAGGTTTCCTAGCCTCAAGCGCCTTACAATCTCGCGCTCGTTCTATGCCATCTCAGAGCTGTACCCCCATTTTATTGCATCGCCGCTGCAGTCGCTCTGCATCCGCGAAGAGATGGACAAGCTCCGGCCCTTTGACACCGCAATTATTCGTTCGGTGACTGAGCTCGATGTCACAGTCGTGAAGAACACTGCGCGGGTGCCAGACGGATGGGGAACTGTGTTCGCCGATCTACTTGGCACGGTGTCGACTGTTAAGAAAGCCAGGCTGACTGGGACACCATTTATTTTCCCTGAACATATTCACTGGCTATATCTCGAACAGCTCACAATCATCCCAGAGACCATCGCATGGTCTAGCGTCGTCAAAGTCATCAGTGAGCTTCCCCTGCTTCTCTATCTAGAGGTCAGGTGCATAGATATGGAAGATAGTGTCCCTGATCTGTTCAGTCTCACCCAGAGCCGATTGGTTCGACTAGATACCCGACTACAGATGGTTTCGCTTGGGATGAATGGGGTATGGAGTACAGCTGACAGACATAATCTGAAGGTGCTGGCTATGTGTGTCCCGTCGCTGATAAAGCTCTGTGTTTCTGCCAGGTATGTAAATGAATTCGAGACGTTTGCAAGCCAGTTCGGACAGTCATTCTCAGTAGCACCAATCACGTAATGCCAGTAATATATCGCTTCAGCACTAACCAGGCGTTCTTGAAGGAGGTGAAAGTATGCTCACACATGGCCCAAGATGCAACCAAGCAATGGCATCTGGGTGGGCAGTCGTGCATTCCCGGCATAGAATCTATACTAACGTCAGTAGCGGCTGTGGGATGGAGGACGGACCACAGACATCTGGCAGAAAGTAATGCGAGCTCGTGTGCAACTGTGCTAGCCTATAGCTTAAGCGGCATTAGCATAATCCTGGTTGGAAGGGTCAGTCTGGAGGGTGATTTGCTTTGCGCTCATTCGCCAAAAGTGTGGTCTCGTCCGAGCTTTGGTTAGACCAAAATACCGAGCACGGCTCTGGGCGAGTGCGGGTGCCAGAGATCTGCACGAGACCACATTCTGAGTTTCCTTCTTCGGCAGCTGGTGTTCCGATCAACCTGCGCCTGTGGAGGAACTGTGCACTCCTCCCCCCAAAGCCCTTCAGCATCTGCGTCGACTCCAGCCGAAGGGAGCCTGTCTGAACACGCCCAGCGGCTAGGCAGACATGATTCGACTGCATTACACCAAGAGCTGGGCAATACCGGCTGCGCTCGCGCCACTCCCCTGTGCAGACTGTATGAAAGTGCAGCGTGCGTTGTGCTCGGCCAGCCTGTCCACTCCAAATCTATGAGCTGGCTAACAGCACTGACAAAAGGACTTTCGGTTCTAGCAGATACGGATAGGTCCTGCCCTCTCTCCGTCCGCCCGTTCCCCCCACCTCCTCAATTCGGTATTTTGATAACCAATCGGGAAAGAGCAGCCGAGCGATGCATGCGCAAACACAGCTCAACAGAGCAGTACTGCCGGACATGGCGGGGATTGGCATATGTGCTATCAGGCGGGCGACAACATAGGCAGAAGGACGGGCTCAAGTGAGCTCGGGGACAGCCCTTTGCTAGTCAATTGGGGGGAAAGCTTGCTGTCACATTAGGCAGATGGCTCTTTTTTTATCGACACATTCCAATTAGATGCCTTCCTGTGCGACCAAGGGGCTCGCACTGGCCGTCGATAAGCTAAGCTAGGCGCCCAAGTGGGACGCTGGCTCCAGCTATGGCAGGTTGAACAGCTATTTGTCTTGCAAAGGCTGGTTTGTGCGGAGGAGCAGGCGTTGGGAGAAGGAGGGACCAGGGATATATAAGAGGGCACGGGCTCTGCCGAAGCGCCTTTCCCACTCCAATGTCCAAACCTGAACAGTAATAGCCGCATCTCTTATAATATTATTCCTTCATAATCTGTGCTAGTGCCCTTCGTCTTCAAGCCGGAACAACACTCTGTATTCTTTAATCGTCGAGCCATTCTAAACCCCTCTCTGAAGGAGACACAATCATACCAATGTCTGTCGACTCACGTTCACTGGGCGTAACCAAGTACCAGGTGTTCTGCTCAATGATGGCTGCCCTGGGCAGTGTCAACTTTGGCTGGAACATTGGTGTCATCAACATTCCCGGCGACGTTATCTCCAACTGCGTGACCGGCGAGAGGCACTACTACGGCCCCTTCCCCTCGTGTATCCCGACCGAGTCTACCATCTGGGGCGTGGCTGTCGGCTGCTTTGCACTGGGAGCGCTTGTTGGAACCGTCGCCGGTAACCCTATCTCCGACAAGTTTGGTCGCAAGTTTGTGCTCACCTGGGGCCCTCTGTTTGCGCTGGTTGGCGGCCTTCTCCTGGCAACCACAACAACGCTGGCGCAGCTCATTATTGGCCGTCTGTTCGTCGGTTTCGCTGCTGGTTTCTGCAACGGTGCCCTGTCGGTCTATGTCGGCGAGATCACCACCCCCAAGGCCCGTGATGTGCTCGGCGGGACTCTCCAGCTGGCCACCAACGTCGGTATTCTGCTAGCCAATGTGCTGTCGCTGGGTCTGTCAAAGCCGCCGCTCTGGCGCGTTCTCTTCAGCTTCACAGGAATCTTCGGTATCGCCACCACCCTGCTGTTCCCCATCTGTGTCGAGTCGCCCAAGTGGCTCGTCTCCCGCGGCCGCGTCGAGGAGGCCCGTGCTGCCCTGCTGAAGCTGCGCAAGGATGCTGACATCGAGCAGGAGCTCCAGGAGATGGTCGATGACGATGCCAAGGAGAAGGCGCGCGCCACCGAGGTCCCCAAGGTCAATGTCATGGATCTCATCCTCGGCCGCACCCCCGATAACCTCCGCCATCAGTTTGTCGTTGTCTGCATGCTCATGTTCTTCCAGCAGCTGTCTGGTATCAACGCTGTCATTTTCTACTCGACCCAGATCTTCAACCGCACCACCAAGGACGATCCGGCAAACATCCCAACGCTTGCTCAGATCCTGTCGTGCGTCATTTCGATCGTTGCTGCCATCTTCACCTTTGTTGGCATGCTTCTTGGCGCTCGCTTCGGCCGCCGTACCCTGATGCTGCTGTCGCACGGCACCATGGCTCTCTTCTCGATGCTGATGGCTGTCGGCTCCATCAAGGGCATTGACGGCCTTGTCATCACCATGGTCTTCCTGTACAACGTGTTCTTCAACTTTGGTGTCGGCCCGCTGCCGTGGGCGGCGGCATCTGAGATGACCCCGGCCTACGCCATGTCGGCCATGGCTGCTGTTGGCGGTGCCGTCAACTACGCCTTTACCTTCGCCATCGGAGTGTTTTTCCCGCCAATGCAGGAGGGCCTGGGCGACTACACCTTCTTCTTCTTCATGGGCTTCAACATTGCCGCCTTCATCTTCTGCTTCTTCTTCCTGCCTGAGACCAAGGGGCTCAAGGTTGAGGATGTCGTTGCTGTCCACTCGGTTGGCCTGCATGTTGTTCTGGGAAGCAAGTGGCAGGTCAAGGCGCCTGGCGCTGAGGATGGCGACGATTACGAGAAGAAGGCCTAGACTCTTATCCCAATAGCTTTATTGCAAAATCCAACACGTATCTTGCGCTGATTATCCAGGGATCGGAAAGCTGGGTTGGTTGTTGGTCGATCAATAGCGTGCCCGCGTGACACCTTCGGAGAACAAGAGCACAAAACCTGTCTGAGCATCTTTGCCATTGTGTCTTTGTAATTCAAATCCAACTTCATGGTGGTATCTGGAAACAAACCTCCCGGCATGTTGCTACTGCTCAATAGAAATGGCTCCAGAATAGTGGTTCGCAGTGGCCAATTCCAAACTGCTGTTGACAAAGCAAAGGATAAAGGTATTTAAAAAATAGAACAAAACAAGTCACAGGAAGAAACAAATATTATGTGGGAAAGGCCGGCGCGGCACTTGCAGTGCGTCTGGCAAGAGTCGGGTTGCTTCTGGTGGTCTTGCGCTGCGACTGCAGCTTGGACTGGGGCGCCTGCTGGGGCTTGGCGCTGTGCTTGCGTGTCAGTGGTCTCGCTTGCTGCGCATGGGCAGCCGATCGTGTCGTCATCGGATGCACAGACACGGCAGTGGAGGACCGTACCAGAGCACCTGCATGGGGGTGGCCTGTATACAGGCGGCACTGGTCCAGGGCCACGATCTGGCCGGCCGTGGGCCGCATGTCGGGGTCAGGGGTCAGCATCCACTTGATAGTGTCCAGGAGATCCGACGAGTACGGCAGGTCGATAAAGTTTGCGTCGTCAAAGCACCCTTCACGCAGCTTTTGCCACTCGACGCCGTTGTCGGGCAGCACAATGTTGGCCACAATCTCCAGCATCATCATGCCCAGGCTGAACACATCAGCAGGCTTGGAGTACCGTCCCTGCAAGACCTCGGGCGCCATATACTCGCGGTCTCCCTCTTCAACCCACTCCTGCGACTCGTATGGCAGCTGTGTCGCGTGGCCAAAATCAGCCAGCTTCAGCCAGCCCTCGTGCTGCTCAGCGCCCGGCGTCGTCTCGAACGAATCGCCCAGCAAAAAGTTGGCCGGCTTCACGTCCAGGTGCACGATATCGATGGCGTGCACCTGACCCAGGGCGTTGGCAGCGTGGGCCAGGATTGCCCATGCCCGCGCCTCGGACGGCCGGCGGTCGGTCTCGGCCTCGGCGTCCAGGTAGTCAGCCAGGTTGCCGCGCTCGCACAGCTCAAACTGCATGAACAGGTGGCCAGACTGCTCCCAGGCGTTGAACAGCTTGACGATGCCCTTTGCCGAATTGGGAATGCGCCACAGAAGCTCGACCTCACGCAGCTGGCGCGCGCGCGCCTGGCGACCACCGTACGGCTGCCTGGTCTTCTTCACCGCGTACATCTGGCCGTCGACTAGGCTGCGCACGCTGAGCACCGACGAAAAGTTGCCCTCGCCTGCCTTGGCGATGACCTCGAACTGGTGGGCAAAGTAGTTCAGATAGCCTATCCCGTCCACGTGGAATTCGCTTGTGGGCGCCAGGAACGGCAGCGACTTGTCCTTCTGCTCAAAGTACTCGCGTGGCAGGAATTGCGGGTAGTTTGTAGCAAAGCCATTCACAATCTGCGGCATCTGCGGCCGCTCCAGCGCCAGGATCTTTGGCGACTGCATCGACGACGACGACGACGACGAGGCAGTCAGCGCTGGCTTCGTGTGGACGTTGCTTGGGGAAAAGAATATCCCATCAGCGTCGTCCATGTCCATGTCGTCCAGGCAGTCGATACTCTTTCCGCCACGGCCCACTCTACTGCCCGCCGCATTGTCCTGGTGCTTTGTGCTCATACTGCTGATGTCGTCGAAAATAAATTCGTCGTCACTGTCACTTTCGGTTGCCCGCGGTGCCACCGGCCAGGCCTGTGCATGGGGCGCCAGCGTTGCCGCCGAAGACACAGAGCTCGCGTCACTCGTTGACGCCCATGAGCACCGCTTCCGTCGCTGATCCCAGGGCACCCTATCCGGGTCCACGAGGTTCCCGGCCGTCAGGCTCTGCATCATCTGTTGGTGCTGCGGCGCAAATGTCGGTGGTAGTGGCCGCAGCGACGACGAGCCGCCACTGGTGCTGTGCTCTAGCGACGGTATCCGGAACCCGGGTGGGGGTTCTTGTGTGAAGTCGTCCTCCACCAGCGTGTTGTGGCGAGTCCGGCGGCTAGGCGTCTCAATCAGTGCTGGACTGCTCTCCTCGCCGCCGCCCGGTGCCAGGTGTGGCTTTTTGCGCAGCCGCCGCAGGCTCCCCGCCGATGAGTTCCGGTGCTTTCCAAGCCGGAACATCTCCATGTCCATAGTCAGGTTCGATGTGTTCTGGCTGTGCATCAGGCTGTTTTCTGGCGTGAACAGGTCCTCGGGATCCACCACCGGCCCTTTCATCCCGCCTATCGTTCCCGGTCCCTTTTTCACCCCTATTGCCCCCGGCCGTTTGCACGGCGTTTCAGGGACTACAAACGACGTGCGCGTCCGCGGCAGCTGCTTCTTCGACATCAGCCCTGTTGACGTAAACGCCGACGGGTCAGGTTTCACCAGCTTCGTCGCTGGCGGCGTAAACAGCACTGCCGGCTGGGCTAGTGGTGGCCGGGGCGCCAGGTCTGCCTGCGAAAACGTCAGCCGCCTGTGTGTTGCCCGCCCAGCCTGGTATGGCATTGGCGTGGGCGACGGCGACGGCGAAATCGACTGCGGACAAATTGGTGTCATTGGCCGCGAGCCCGTCGGCGTCAGGCATGCCAAAAGGCTGCGCTCCTGCAGCTCCTCTCGCTCCCGCCGCTGCTGTGCGTCCTCCGGCTGCCGGCCGCTGCGCCCCAGCAGCCGCGAGAACCGTGTGGGTGTCACCAGCGATGTGCTGCCTCTCTTTTTGTCCTTTTGTGCTGTGGGTGTCTTTTTCGTGTTCTGCACCTGTCCTCCCTCGACCAGCGCAGGGAATGACGCGTATGAGCGCAGCCCAGACATCGCCCGCTGTTTTGCGCGTGTGGCGGGCGGCACTGGCGGGGCAGGGAGTTTGGTGGCTGCATTATTTGTGGCCCTGCGTGTGGACCTGGTCAGCGGCCGGTGCGGTGTATCAGACATGGCAATGTGGAATAAATAAATGTGGAATGAATATATAGTATGAAAATAGAGCAGGAATATGTGGGAATAAAAAGAGTGTAAAAATGTGAGTGATGAGAAATGGGGAGGGGGAAAGTGGGAATCGATGATGGGCGCATTTTGAGCGCGCGCGTGCCGGGCGCGTTTTTGAATTGGAGGAAGAATTTGCGAGCGATTTCCCTGGGCTGTGATTGGCGTTTATAATGCAGGAGCTGACACTAGCATTTTTGAGGCGCAGGAAAAGTAAACAAATTAACCCGGGCGGGTATCAGACTCCAGTATCCAGAACACCCAGATTCCTCGGCCCAATAGCCCTTGTATTCATGGATCGCGCTACTTTGGCAAAAGAACCACCTCGTCAGCGCCTAGCTCCTGCATCGCGCCTGCCTTGGAAAGCGTCGCAATCACCTTGCGGATCTTGTCCTGGTCCACAGAGCCCTGCTCATTGAACCGCACATACTCGGCCCAGCGTTCCGCCTCCTCCCTGCCATACCCAAACTTGTGCTTCAAGAACTCAGCGCGCGCCACCCCGTCCTCCATGAACTGCCGCTGCGCATTGCCAAACATCCCCAGGAGCCCGGTGATCTTGTCGCCGTTGGCCTCAATGAACTGCGCAGTGGCCCCAAAGCTGAACGCAGGCCACGGCGGCCTGACCGTGCCCAGGTAGCGCACCTCATTGGCGTCGTAGTGCCGCTGCATCGTCGTGCGCTCCCACAGGAACGCGTCTGCTGCGCCCTCCTGGATACCCTTGACCAGCCCATGCACATCACCCAGCACATTGAACTTGGGCTTGCCTGTCCACTCGTATGCGCTTGCAGCGTAGCGCGCCATCACCTCGCTGCCGCTGCCCGGGCGGCTGATGCCGAATGTCGCGCCAAACGCCAGGTCGTCCAGTGTCGCGTATTCCGCGTCAGTGGCCACAGAGGCTGCCCACGGCAGCGGCGAGTCCACATACGTGCCAAACAGCCGCAGGTCGGGGTTCTTGCCGATCCCCGCCACAAGCCCCTCGGTCACGCAAATGGCAATGTCAAGCTCGCCGGCAACCAGCTTCTTGATCATCTACATATACATGCACATCAGCCTATTGTACAGCCATCCTCAAGCGTCTGGCAAATCGCTTCTGTTAACCTACATCACCAGTGCCGACTATACACAGAGTGTTAGTGCTATCCTGCACAGCCCTGAGAGCCGCAGACTGCTGTTCTTGGCTTCAACTTACGCTTGCAGATAACAAGCTCGATTTCATTATCGCCGAACAATCCGTTCTCGACGCCATAAACCAGTGGCGCTGAAAAGTGCTCAGGCACTAGTCCGATTCTTGTCGCCATCGCTGATAGTACAAAGTAAAAATGAATAGCTTGGGTTCGCGCGAGATAAGAGATGAGCTGCAGCGGCGGAACCAGGGCAAATGCGAGTTCCTGACTGTGCATAGGATTGGGGGGGGGGAGAGGCTGGGCTGTTAATTTATCAATGTCTTCAATCTAATCTACAAGCTCAGTGGTAGTACGACGCATCGGGTCCAGGCGCGGCCGGCGCATAGTGGCCATTGGTGCGGTAGTACATGTCCGACGTGTGCTGGTCGTAGTACCCGTTCTGTGGGTGCTGCTGCTGCTGGGCGTATTGTGGCCCGTACACCTGGGACGCTGCCATATGGTGGCTTGATTGCACTGACGGTGTTGCAGTCGGTACCTGCTGCTGCGGCTGCGAGTAGTGCCCACTGCTGCGGTAGTACATGTCAGTGTGCTGCTGTTGCTGCTGGTACTGCGCGTAGTGCTGCTGCTGCTGGCGGGGTGACGTGGGGGGCGGCATTGCGATCCCCGTATCAAGCCCCGAGTAGCTGGTGCTGTGGTACCGGCTTTGCTGGTGCTGTGCAATGGGAGGCGGAACCGTAGCCGGCTGTTGCTGCGCATAGTGTCCGCTATTGCTGGTGTGGTAGTATCCATCTGCAGGCTGCGGCGGCGGCTGCTGCTGTTGGACTGGGTAGTGTCCCATGGGTGTAGCCTGGTTGTAGCTAACGCCGTTGGTCTGCTGGTGGTGCTGCTGGTGGTGGTGCTGCTGTTGGTAGTATCCATGGTTGTAATCGCTGTTTGCTGGCTGTGGCGGCACTTGGTAGTGGGAGTGAGTACTGGTGGAATAGCCATGCGACTGCTGCGCATACTGGCTGCTGCCGCTGGTCTGAGTAGTGTGCTGGTACGTGTCTGCCGAGTCCTCCCATGGGCGCCTGGTGCGCTGATCGCCAGCCCACTCTGAAGTGGTGTTTGTTGACATGGCCACAGTCGGGTGCGGCGGTACATGGCTGGCCACGGCAGTCGAGGACCAGCCCACACGCTGGCGCTTGTTGGAACCATCAGCCACATCGTAGTCGCTGGCTGTCGTTGCCAGCTCCCGCTTTACTGGCGACCGAATGCGCGGCTGCTGGTAGGATGAGTAGTGCGTCGCTGATGACGGCTGCTGCTGCTGCTGCTGCTGCTGCTGCTGCTGCTGTTGCTGCTGGTACTGAGAGTAGGCAGAATATTGACTGGTCTCGGCGGTGGCAGTCGGGTATGCAAGACCCGGCAGCTTGGACGACCTGTAATCAGCGGGCGCCGAGTCCACCACGGGCTGGTACGTATATGTGGGAGGAGCGTTATCCACAGGCGGGCCACTGGATGTGCCAGCAGCATCACGTGAGTCATAGTAACCAGTGGCAGTGTATGCCGGCTGGTAGGCTGCTGGCGGAGGCTCAGAAGCAACCGTGGTGCCCGAATAGGTCGGTGCATAGGGCTCGACAGGGTCGTACCGGGTTTCGTATCCGCCAGCAATGTTTGCAACCGAGACAGCGGCTGTGGGTGCGGAGGAGTGCTGTTCTAGGGCATAGCCAGTAAAGGCAGTAGCGTCCGAAGCATTTGCAACGGCAGACCCGGTCGCAGGCTCGACTACTGCCTCGAGCGCATTATCGGCATCGTTCTGCTCAGCAGCGTCAGCAGCAGGAGCAGCAGCAGCACCTGTCTCGGCTGGGTTGCCATGGTTGAGCAGCGAGGGGATACTCAGGATTGCTGCCAGATCCGAGTCTTCGTCAGCCCTGGACAGTCGCATCGAAATGGGCTCCAGCAGGCGGTAGGACTCGTCGGACGCAGCTCGGGGCAGCTCGGGCTCCCACGACCCTGATTGGTTGGAAATGGGGTCGACCAGCCTGCAGACGGTCTCGTGCACCTTGTCCAGGCCGCGACGGCCTTCGCCGAGCACCCACAGCCGCCGCTGGCGCGCCTGCATCATGCTGTGGCGCAGCTCGGCCCGCTGCGCCAGGAAGGTGTTGCGGATGTTGCGCTGCGTGGCCTCGAGCAGAGTGCGCTCAAAGTCGCGGTGGCACTTGAGCTCGACATCAAGCTTGTTGCGGCGATCAGACCAGCGCGCCTCCAATTGGTCAGCAAGCTCCTTGTAGCGGGGCAGCGTGCCGTTCTGCAGCTGAGCGAGCTCGACGTCCAGCTGCTTCTGCTTGGCCTCAAAGAGTCTATCAAAAGCAGACGAAAGGGGCTGGCCCATTTTTAGTATTCCTGTTTTTTATCCTCTGTCCTCCGTGCAGGATGGCCCACATCAAATCGCCACTTGCCTCTTTTTAGAATCATTGAAGCGCTCGCGCATGGTAGCCAGCTTGTTGCGCCCGTAGCGGAGGATGCGCTTCTTTTGCTGAATCGCATCGCCATCATCAGCCACACTGGCGTCGTCGACATCTGACCAGTTTTCTACAGGGTGAGGAAAAAGAGGAGAGCAAGGCGAGGTTTAATAAACAATCAATAGCGACAACAAGAGAGGCGGCGAAAGAAGGCTGAAACGCGACCAAATACGTTACCGTTAGCTTCATCAACGCCGGTGTTGTTGTCTGTGTCATCGTCGCTGCGAAGCAGCTGGGCCGTGTTTAGGCGGAAATACTCTTCAAGGTTCTGGTCAATCTCCATCATCGAGGTTATTTTCCTCAAAAGCGGGCTTGTGCGTTAGTCGACTGTGAGGAGGTCCCGATGTCGGGTAATAAGTATCAACAATAAGCTGTGCGAAAATAAAGAGGCAAGAATAAAAGAGGGGTGTTTCTGGAGGCAAGTGATGCAAGCAGTTATGCGGGTGGGTTATAGAGTCAGACGGCGCACGGCAGACGGCAGGGTGAGGAGTGGTGCCCTCCTGTAAACAAGCAGGCAAGGGTGGCCGGTAAAATGTAGAGAAAAATTGGGTGTATGCGCCGGGCTAGCTCAAAGTTGCAGAGGGGGAAGAAGAGGAGGGTTGCTTCGGGTGCGCTCGTTTGGGTCGTTCTGTTTCCCAGTCAAAAAAGAGAGAGAAAGCGTCAGCTAAAAGGAACAAATTCAACACCGCGAAAAATAATGTATCTCGACACAAGGAGTAGCCAAAAAGGTGATAGCGAGAGCAGAGGGCGTGCTGGGCGCGCAGAAAAATGGAAAAGGCAAAAGAATATAGGTGCGTTTAGAAGCAAAGAAGAAAGGGAGCGAGAGTTAAAGCCGGGCTGCCCAGCGCTCAAGGACCAGTTGCAAACACATTTTTAAGGGGTGGGGCGGCGAGAGCTATAACGCACAAAAAGAGTGATTCGCAAGACTGAACAAAACCAAGCGCTAAGGTCATCAAATACGCCCTTTTTCGCCGGCGCTCGCTCTTCTCCTGGAGCCGCTTGTGCTGGTGGCGGCGGCAGGCCCGCCGGTCCCTTGTCGTGGTAACGCGCAAATTTTTTTCCTGCGCTAGCTCCATTCTGAAGAGCAGCTGCAAGCGCTGTGAACGTGAGTTTTTGTGGAGGGGGTGGGTCGCGCCGGGTGATTTCGGCGGGTTACGGACCGGATCCCGATAAATTTTAATCATGAGGGTTCCGCCTGCATCGCCATCACAGCTTGTTGGTGGGTCTCCTGCACATGCCTGGCACATCCGCCTGCCGCCGCCACCAGGCATATCGACACCTTGCGCATAGCGCCCGCATGTTGGGCCCGTATGTTGCTTGGCCGGCAGGCTTGTGCTTGGCTATTCAGACCTGTGGCGAGCTCTTTATACTTGTCGCACCGAAATAAACGAAAAAAAATAGTCGGCGCCAATCCTACAAGAAAGAAATCCGCGTCTAATAACACGATAAAAAATTTTTATTTTTTCACCAGATGTATTTCGAACTCAGCTCTGGCAAAGACAGGCTCACGGCATGTATACCATGGTGTCGGCACTGGTCTCTTGGCGGTATCGGTCGAGGTCGTAGTGCTGCGCCGAGATCTGGCGGCCGCCGAACCACCGCTGGTCAAAGACCCCCACAGCCCGAGCGGCGGCTGCAGTATCCGCGTAGTGGATGAATATCTTGACCTCATTGTCTCCTGCATGTGATTGGCTACCGCTGATTTCCCGTTCCGTCGCCAGATGCACAACCACCTTGAAGATCTTTCCACACTTCTCGCCCTCCTCAGCCATATCGGCCGCCAGGTCATCGTCGACCTCCGATCGCCCGCCGACCACATTAGTCAACAGCACGATCGGTGACGATTCCTTTGTGATGCTTTTTGTGATACTCGCGGCAACCTCAACCACCTGCTGCGGCGGCTTCACAGCCGGCGATTGGCCCGCAGTCCCAGGGCTCTTGACATCGTCCAGCGCCGCCATGCCCTTGCCCAGCGGCCCGCCCACCAAGCACTTGCACACGCGCAGGACCAGGTTGCCCAGCGAAAACTTGTTCATGGCCAGCGCAGCCTGCCCCGCAGCCGCCGCCTCAGCAAACTCAATGAAGCCCCACCCGCGGTGCTTCCGTGTGGCGAAGTCTGGCGCCAGCACGCACTGCCTGATCTCGCCGAACGGCGCAAAGATCTCCTTCAGGCTGTCCTCGGCAATGGCTTCGTTGACATTGGCCACGTAGATGCGTGTATCGGGTGCCCTTGGAAACCCGTGCACTACTGCGACCTCGTAGTTGTGTGGCCGGCCGATCCGCAGCTGGCGCCCGCCCAGCATGGTGCCGTTCATCGTCTCTATCGCCAGCGCCGCTGCCTCAGGGATCTCGTACTCGACGAACCCGTACCCCTTGTGCTTGCCTGTCGCCGCATCCTTGGACATGCTGACGTTGCTGATCGACCCAAACTCTGAAAACACCCGGTGGATGTGCTCCTCGGTCAGCTCAAAGTTTATCGAGCCAACGTATATGCGCGACATCACTGACAGGTTGCGTGCGTCTATCTCGCCGCTCTGCAGCCCAGGGTTCAGCGTGCCCACTGGCAATTGCTCCTTCAGCCTGTTCTTTGCCTCTTCCACCGCGTCCTTGAACACCGTCGCCTGCAGCTCGCGCACATAGGCCAGCGCCCTGTCAACGCTAGCCTGCTGGGCCCGTGTCAGTCCGCTTGGCAGCAGCGTATCTGGGCCCTCGGCATCTACATGGAGGAAGGTATAAGTACATACGGAATGCAAGGAATGCCGTCAACAGCGAAGTAGCCTTGGACGCGCCTCTGGCAGGGTTTCTTAAAGTAGATGGTTACGTTGTTGCTCCTACGCTAAAAGATAAAGAGAAAATATCGACGGGAAAGGGGGAGAGGCAGAGGGGAGAGAGGTGTGTAGTTATCTGCCGAAATGCAGTCTGCAGCATACTGGAATGCACCCGAGTTCCTCTACTTACCTATGGCGCCCGCTTCGACGGCTGTGGATTCGTCGTGGTTCATTTGGGAAAGAAAGGAAATGCTGTAAACACTGGCTGGGAGAAGAAGGGAACAAAGAGGAAAGCAGGTCCAACATTTTTTGCAGGTCGACAGTGCAAGAAAAATCGCGCGCCATTGTAACCACAGCCAGCTTTGCTAATTTTTTTAGAGAGCCCGAGATTCTTCACGGCCGTCTGCGTAGCACACATTCCCTTGGCTTTCTCCTTTGCACGACGATGCCCTCGCTTTCACTTCTCTTATCCACGTATACTGAATTCACCACCCCAGCCTGTCTTTAACGAAATGCCACCCTCAGACAACGATGACAGCACGGCTCTCAGGAGGAGAAGGCCTGCAGCAGACAATACGCCCACCTCGGTCCCAGGCACGCCGACTCTGCCGGCCACACCCGCAGAAAAGGAGTCCTCCACCAGCCTCTCGGCGTTCTTGGAGCCCAAGCGGCTGTCACAGCGCTTGTCGGGCGGCATCAAGCGCATGCGGCGGCGGTGGTTCCTCGTTGGCATCCTGGTTGGTGCGCTCATGGCCGTCGGCACGATCCTCTACACAAACCCCTTGCAGAGCGAGCACATTGACCGGCTCTCGCAGTTCTTTGACGACCTGGACATTCCCGGGATGATACCCGACGACCTGCGCAGCGATGTCATCAAGCTGCTGACGCCCAGCGAGCTGGAGATGGGCGGCGAGACCTACGCAACCGGCAACTTCCAGCCGGCGCAGAGCGTGGCCGGCGACGAGCAGCTCAAGAAAAAGCACCCGGTCATCCTCGTGCCCGGGATCATCTCCTCGGGGCTGGAAAGCTGGAGCACAGAGAACTGCTCCAAGCCATACTTCCGCCAGCGCATGTGGGGCACAGCCACCATGTTCAAAGCGCTGCTGATGGACAAGGACTGCTGGGTAAGCAGCATGATGCTTGACAAAAAGACCGGCCTCGACCCCCCGGGCTACAAATTGCGTGCCGCCAAGGGTCTGTATGCCGCTGACTACTTCATTACCGGGTACTGGATCTGGGCCAAGCTAATTGAGAATCTAGCGGTTCTCGGCTACGACAGCAACGACATGTTCCTGGCCTCATACGACTGGCGCCTCTCGTACATTGATCCTTGAGCGCCGCGACCAGTACTTCTCTAGTCTCAAGAGCCGCATCGAGCTGAACAAAAAGGGCAGCGGCGAGAAGACCGTGCTCGTTGCCCACTCGATGGGATCGCAGATCATCCAGTTCTTTATCAAGTGGGTGGAGTCGCCTCAGGGCGGCGATGGCGGCGACCACTGGGTTGCCGACCACATTGAGGCCATGGTGAATCTGGCCGGTACCCCGCTCGGCGTCCCCAAGACTCTGTCGTCGCTGCTATCCGGCGAGCAGCGCGAGACCGTGCAGCCCTTAGCCAACATGCTGCTGGAGCGCTTCATGAACCGCTACGACATGGCCAAGATATTCCGCTCCTGGCCCTGGCCTGCCCTCGCTCCTTCCCAAGGGCGGTAATGCCATCTGGGGTAACCACACCGGCGCGCCTGACGACATCAGTGAGCCTACTGAGCTGTTCAACGCCAAGGGTGACTCGTGGATTCCGTTCTCTTCCAGGAAACCCGGCTCTGAGCAAGGACACACCGCAGTTCCTCTCCTACGGCACCCAGGTCAATGTTGACGACGGCGAATGCAAAGTTCACAAACATGACGATGGACGAGTCGCTCAACCTGCTGATGTATGTGCTGGACAAGGACTCGGAGAGGCTGATGCGCCGGCACTACAGCTACGGCGTGTTCCGCACCCAGCACGACATGGACGCGCACAGGGACGACTACCGCATGTGGACCAACCCGCTGCAGCACCAGCTGCCGAATGCACCCAATATGACGATCTACAGCTTCTACGGCTACGGCGTCGAGACCGAGCGCGCGTACTTTTACACAAAGGACGGCGAGACCAGCGTCGAGGAGATGAAAGGAGGAGGATGGCACGCCATCACTGCGCATCGACAAGCGAGTACGGCCGCATCTATCCAACGTAGACATTGGCGTGGTCGGCAGCGAAGGCGACGGCACAGTGCCGCTGCTGTCTCTGGGCTACATGGGCGCCAGCGGATGGCGCAAGCCGCTGTTCAACCCGCATGGCGTGCGCGTCGTTACCAAGGAGTGCCGGCACAGCCCGCTGGCTGCCTACAAGGACATTCGCGGCGGAGTCGGGGCAGCCGACCACATCAACATTTTGGGCAACTACGAGGTCACCCTGGACATTCTGCGCATTGTCTCTGGCTACGGCGGCACGATCAGCGATCGGTTCACGTCAAACATCCTGGACTATGCAGCCAAAATCGACATTTGAAATTGGTGGAATAGGTGTCTAATAAATGGTTGTTACTTTTACAGAGCCGCCGACTTTGAGAATGGCTTGTTGCACTCGTGGCGAATGATCTTGTACAGGTAGTCCCGCATGTTGTCCGGCGGCAGCTCGTCCTTGTCCTTGATCTTCCACATCAGCTCTGCCGGGTCGCTCTCCACGTGCTTGCCGCTCTTGCGCTGAAACGGGATCTCATCTGGCCGGCTGCTGTGGTTCGCTGGCAGCATCGACATGCGCCTTATCAGGTGTGTCAGCGACCCGCCCGACGTCTCCTTCTCGTACGCAAGGATGTTCTTTGACAGTATGTACGCAAACATACATACATACACGCCGCAGTCCGACGTGTTCATCTGCTGTGGGCAGTTTTTGATCACCAGCTGGTACGAGTCCTTTGAAATCGCCATGCCCTTGTCGTTCTCGCGCAGCACATACAGCAGGTTGGTCAGGGCCGTGCGCGCGCTCTGCGTGTGCTGCTCGCGCGAGTTCTGCAGGTACGAGTTGAAGTGCAGAAACTCCTGCGGCTTGTTCTTGCGCACCCGGTACACCAGCAGCGACCAGTGGTGGTCGCCGAATATCGGCAGAAACGCGACCTTTATGCTCCTTGGGTTCTGCAGGCAGTGCGTCTCAAAGTCCAGGGCGTTGGCGTCGGCGGCGAGCTCTCGCAGGTGATCGGCCTTGTTGCCTATTGCCACAGAATTGCACTGTGTTTTGTAAGTGCACAGCTTCTTCCAGCTCACTGGGCTTGCTGGCTGCAAACGTCTTCGAAAACATGCCTTTTGGCGACTTACCAACAGCACGGTCTGTCAACAGGGTGGCCAGCTGGACCGGAACAAAGACGATCCCCTTAGTCGTTGTTGAAGTACTTGCGCTTCAGGTAGCGAAAGTAAAAGTCGATGATGTCGTCAGTGAACCATCCTCCAGGCTCCAGCGACTCGATGTCGCTCGCCGTCAGGTTCATGTCAAAGCTGTCGCAGCGAAGCGTCTCGAGACTGGCGCTCTGCGGCACGGCTGGCCCGTGGGCTGCCGCTGCTGTGGTCATTTCAAATATATAAAAGAATACAGCTTAAAATAAAGTATGCGAATAGTGTTTGGAAGAAAAGGAAGAGTAGGCTAGGGCCAAAAAGAGGAAAAAGGCGCAAAGCGGAAGTGAAGGAAAATGCGAGGAATGGGAGCATTGCGCATCAAACACACAGCCGAGCATTGAACTTCAGGCGCATACAGGGCTCGCTACCACTCGACGATAGTGCCGATTCCCCCCTGTCTGCCACTGGCCAACAATGCGGGTTTTCCTGCATCGCGTGGACCAGCACCCTTCCGTGTGCCCCGAGCCTGGAACCAGCCAAGACACGTGCCCTCTTCCCATGCAACGGCTCGCGCCCAGATGACCAACTTCCGACAGAGTTCTGGGCTTCCATGGACATCGAATCTATCACCGCTTCGACCGCCGGCTGAGGATCTGCTGCCGCTGGAGCTCGAGCACCAGCTTGCGGATCCGCCTGCGCATGCAGTGCGGGTACTCGATGTCCTCCACAGTCACCTGCCAAAAGTCGCGCGGCAGCCCCGCCTTCTCCATCAGCCGCACCTCCGCCTGTATCCTCTCCTCGCGCGACTTGCTCGACCCCCCGGCGCTATGCGAGGCGTGCGTCTTCCTCGTAGCAGCCGCTGCCGCCGCCCTTGAGCAGCGGCTCAGGCACAAATGTGTTCGAAACCGGGTCCTTGCACAGCGACACAAATGCGCTGTTGAACGACGACGCAAACGGATTGCTGAACCGCGGCATCAGCAGATCGCTTGTCAGCGCCCGGCTAATCGGCGTCGTCTGCCGCACCGTCTGCCGCACCGTCTGCGAGCCCGCCGGAGTGGTTTTGCGCCGGGCCAGCTCGCCACTGTCCCTCGCCATGTATTGCTCGCGCAAGCTGCCGGTTGATCGGCGCCGACGCCGGTGCACTTGGCCGCTTGGCGCGCGGCACCGCGCTGCGCTTCGTGTGGTTGATATACCGGCGTGCCAGTTCCTCGGCAATCGCCAGCACGTATATGCCGCAGTCGAAATCGTTGTTCTGCTGCGGCGTCTGCATTGGCTTGAAATAAAACCCGTCCTTCGCCTTGGGTTCCAGCACCCGCAGGAACCGTCCGACAGCGCGCTCTGCAAACTTGCGGTTGTGCCGCGAAATCGAGTCATAGTGGTAGAATGTCTTGGTAAGCCGGCAGTACACGAGCAGCGACCAGTGGCTGCGGTGGTTCAGCGGGATGAGCACCAGGTGCCGGTGCTTCAGCTCCTCGCTGAGCTGCATCGAGATGTTGTCGGTAATGGTTGCGTTCTCCGCATTCGAGATCCGGTACGCCGTGTATGTGCCAAGAAACATTAGGGAGCTTTCGCTGCGGAACTCGCGCCGTTCGAGAAATGTCCAGTAGAAATTGATTATCTCGCCTGTCAGCCACCCTTCGGGCTGGAGAGACTCATAATCGCTGTTGCGCACCTCGGCGTTTTCAAAATCCAAGACTACCACGTCCGAGCCCATCCTGTGTTTTTGTTACGAGTGCGGTGCAGTGGTATAGTGGGGGGAGGGACAAGGCTATGTGAAAAATACCAGCTTAATGCCAAAGACACAGGGAGGGCGAGGAATTGGGGAGAGAGGAGGAGAGCTTGCCGGGTCGCGGCAGAGGAGCTGGCAGCCAGGGTGGTGCCGGGCCGGCCGTCTGCAAAAGAAAGTAAACAATTTGCTTTGCACAGGCAGACTGAAGTAAAAATGGACGTCAGGACGCGCAAAGGTATAGTGCTGCCGGGCAATCCACGATAAAGCCTGCACCTAGGTCTCTGTGCATGTCCTTGGTCTCCCAGCACGCTGCTGAGCAGACCGCGAATCAGCCCTCCCCCTGAGTCCGCATCGGAGCGAGGAGCGCGAAAGCGCTGCCTGAGCTTGTCGGGACCGGATAGCGGAGCATGTCGCAACATGGTCCCAGGGGCTTCCGTCTTTGGGACTGCAAATGGCCCAGTTGTTGGGGTAAATCCCGGCCGGACACAATACAGCATGCTCATGTAATTCCATGTTGAGACGGGGATAGATATAGCCTATGAACCAACGCAGGAAACTAGTGCTTCTGCACGTCGCCATTAGCCAGGTGCCGGCCCGGTGTCCGCGAATACAGTCGGCTCTTGGGCTGCACGGCGTCAACATCCACAACTTCCCGGTACGCCTCCAGCTCACTGCGCAGCGACTCCACCTGGAGCTGCAGCTTGCCGCGCTCTCGGCCACGCTCAAAGCTCTCCTTCTTCAGGTCCAGTATCTGGTTCTTCAGGCTGTCCACGTACTTGATGCGCTGGCGCAGATTGGTGTGGCCGCCGTTGCTGCTCAGGATCGCGTCCAGGTCGTGGTACGCCGCAGCGTAGTTGTCCTTGAGCCAGTTGATCTGGAACTGGCTCTGCTCTGCAATGATCGCCCGCTCGCCCTCAACCTCTGCCAGATACCGCCGCATGACCTCGACCTCATCGGCATGGGTCTCCATGTCCACCTCGCACTTCTCAAGCATCTGGTGCATGTGCTCGATCTGCGACTCGTACGATGCGCGCTGCAGCTCATACTTTGCGCGCATATCGTCCATCTCGTAGTCAATCGACTCCAAGCGCGCCTCAAGCTCAGCCTTCTCCTCAACCTGCTGCAGAATCTCTTGCCGCAGCGCATCGCCGTTTCCTGGAGGAGAGCCAGCCTTTGCAGCAGGCAATGCAGCCTTGCCACTCTGGACGCCGGAGCTCAGCAACCTCGGCCTCCAGATCGGCAACATGCGCTTCAAACGACTCGCGGTCCGAATTTGCCGACTGCTGCAGGTCCTGCAATTCGGCACGCGCCGCCTCCAGGTCCTTCTCCAGCTGCGCTCGCTCTTCCTTGGACTGCAGACTCATGTCGCCCGCAGTCTCGACGATCTTGCCCTGCACTGCCATATACTTCAGCTCCATCAAGTCGCAGTCGAGGCGAGAGCGCCGCACACGCGCATCCTGCAGCCGCTCCATGCTGCCAATAAACGTGTTGCGAACGCTCTGCTGCACCTCAGCAAGCAAATCGCCTACTGGCGCCTCACCCGACAATATGAGCACCCGCTGCAGGTCGTCTGCCAGCTCAGCACCTGCATCCATCTGCTCGTAGATGATGCCGGCCTGCTCCTGCATCTCAACGTACATCTGGCGTGCCTCGTGCACCATCTGCGCGCGCGCGTCCTCCTTAATCGCCAGCATGTCTGTCAGGTAGTCCTCGCGGATCACATGCATCCTCTCGCGGTAGCGGTGGCGGTCGATGACGCTGTGCAGCTTGGCGCGCTCCTCCCTCCACTGCTCCTTCTCGCGCGCGTGGTTCTCGTGCATGGCCTGCATCATGCGAACGTAGTAGTCCAGCGCCTCTTCGTTGCCGGAGTTGGCAGTCTCGGTCAGATCGGCGACTTGGTCCTCGAGCTGCTCGTAGGCTATCACAAGCGCCTCGTTGTCTTGCTCCATGAGCTCAAGGCGGGCCACCAGACGGTCATTCTCGCTCTCGAATTCGTCGGCACGCTCTGTGGCCTCTCTGAGCTGCACCCTCAGGCCATCCTCAGCAGCCTCGCGTTCCTTGGCGGCCTTGATTTGCGCCTGCAGCTCCGCATCAGCAGCCTCGCGCCCCTGGCGGTAGGTTTGCATCAGCTCTTCGAGTTCCTGGATCTCATGCACGTGCTTTTCCTGCTTTGCTGCCATCTCGTCCTCGAGGTCGCCGACATGGTCGCGCTCCTTGTTCAGCGCCTCCTCGGCGTTGCGCAGCTGCTCCTCAAGCGACGCAAAGTCATCGTCATGTGGAGTCTCGCCACTGCGCCAGCTCATCCTGGGCCTCCTGCAGCTGCGACTCGAGGGTGAACTTGTCGTCCTGCAGCTGCTGCTCCAGCGCCGCATAGTCCTCCTTCATGCCAGCAACGATCTCGTCATGCTCCTGGGCGACCTGCTTGCGCTCCTCCTCCCACCTCTGCTCTCGCTCGTCCATGCCAGCCCGCAGCTGTGCCATCTCCCTAGTGGTTCGAAGAACATCTGCCTGGCTAGTCGACTTGGCTTTGCTAGCATCCTTGCGCATCGAAGCCAGCTCTTCGCGCAGCTTGAACCCGTCCTTGTTGGCCGCATCGAGCTTCCCCAGCAGGTTGTTGCGCTCCGCATTCCACGTGGCCTCGCTCTTGCGCGTCTTGTCCTCCAGCTTCTTGATCCTGTCCTGGAATACGCGCTCCTTTTCATCCATCCTTTCCTGCATTGTCTCAAAGTCTGCCGCCGCTGCCTTCAGGTCGTTCTCAAACTCAAGGCGCTCGTCCTTCCACGCCATCTCCTTCTTCACCAGCCCACTTCGCAGCTCGCTGAGCTGGGCACGCAGGTCAACCGCCTCCTTAGTTACCAGCTCAAGCTGAGACTGGGTGTCTTGCAGTCGCCGCTTGCGCTCGTTGTCGGCGTCCTTGACTGAGCTTGCGAAATTGTGCTTCGCCAGCTTGTACTCGCTGTTCAGTGCGCGCATCTTGGCCTTCATCTCATGCTGCACTTCTTCACGCTCACGCTCCAGCCGTGCAACCTCGGCCTTCAGGTCTTCAATAACCCCGGTAGCTGCTTTCAGCTGCCGGCTTGCTTCCTCGCTGCGCTGCGCTGCTCGCCGCTCGAATTCTGACAGCTGGGCCCTTGACTTGGCATGCTGTGCCATTGAGATGTCCAGCTTCTTCGATAGCTCAGCACTATCGTTGCTGGCGCTATTGCGCGCCTGCAGCAGCTCCTGCTCGAGGGTCGTCGCATGCACATTTGCCTCGTTCAGCTGCTTCATGTAACCCGCCGCGGCCTCACGCTCATCGCTGAGCAGCTGCTTGATCCGCTCCACATCATCGCCGTGCCGCTCTTCGCGCGCTCGCAGTTCATCTCTGGCTTTACGCAGCTGCGCCGGGTAATCGTCGGCTGACAGCTTGTTAAGCTGCTCTTCGGCAGCATGTCTTGCTAGCTCTGCCTTGCGCAGCTTTGCCTCAGTATGCCGCAGATGCCGCTTGTGCTCTTCGATTCGCTGTGCCATCTGGTCCATTGCCTTTTTGACGTTGCTGCTGATAACTCCTGCGGCCTCCGACCGATCTCGCAGGGCATTCTGCTGCCCAATCGCCTGCTGTGCTAGCTGCTGCTGCTTCTCGAGCTGCTCCACTAGTGCCTCGCGCTCGCGCTCCTTGGACCGCAGCGTACCCTCCCGTTTTGTAATTGTCTGGACCAGATCTCGCCGCTCCATCATCAGCTCTTTAATCCCGCTGCTCGCTCTGCTGTGCGCGCATATTGAGCCTCTCCATCTCAATCTCGTTTTTGGACTGCAGGTCCTGCAGCTGACCCTTGTAGTGGTCGAGCTCGTGCCGCATCCGCTGCTCCTCCTTGCGCAATACCTCTATGGTGATCCCGCTCGAATGCGCCGGGCGCTGGTCGTTGATAGCTGCGCTGCTACCGTGAATAGCAGCAGTGTCCATGAGGCGCGAGGCTGGGCCGGCTGTGGAGCGCTGCTGGGGATCGTCGTCGTGGTGGACACTGCTGCGACGCGGGTCTTTGAACCGATCGTTCCGGCTGAACCTGCGGTACCTCTGCTGCGGGTTCACAGGCGTCACTGTGTCGTAGCTACCTAGACCCTGTAAAGGCCTCCTTCACTAGCCGCCAATGGTTGTTAGTGGGCGTGCTGAAATCCTTGGCAGGAGTGGTGTCTGATTCATTCAACTTACGCGTGCGAAACAAGCCATGTCCTCCTGAATATTCTGCCATTGCTACAATGTGCTTCTAGTGGTAGCTGCCTCAACGAAAGAACGCCAAATGTGCAGAGAATGAACGAAAAAAATAGAAAAAAAACGCGCTAATGGAAAAAACAAAGGGCAGTCCTGTAGAAGCAAAAAAAAAAAAAGAAGCGGTAAACCGATATTTCGTGTTTACGTTTACCAGCTTGGCCTATAAGCAAAAGTGGTGCTGCTCCAGCCAATTTGAACCCTGCGAAATCTTGTCAACGCGAAACCACCACTCGTTAAACATCCTCCCTATTGCCATGTCTCAGCAGCTGCCCGATATCTCCTCCCAGGGTCTTTGGAGCGTCTCCACTCTCAAGCAGGGCCACGGCGTCTCCCATCCTCTACGACCACTCCACCACCACATACTGGCAGTCAGACTGGCTCGCAGCCGCACTGGGTTAGCATTAGGTTCGACCTGCGCATGCCCATACACGCCATCCACCTGTTTCTCAATATCGACCAGGACGAAAACTACACGCCGTGCCAGGTCAACATCAAGGCAGGGTCCAGCCAGTTCGACGTGCAGCAGGTGCACTTGATAGAGCTGGCGCAGGAGCCGCGCGGGTGGGTCGAGCTCAAGCTGTCGGATGCGGACGGCCCGCTCGCAGCCCAGTTCCTGCTGGTCGAGTTCCCAGCAAACTACGAGAATGGCCGCGATGTGCGCGTGCGCCAGATCCGGATCCTGGGCCCGCCTGTTGCCGAGACAAAGCTCAAGGCCGAAAGCATCCTGCCGTTTACAACCACAGAGTTCTCCATGTACGACTCGATACGCTAGAGAAAATGGGGATTTTGCTTAATAAAATGTAGAAAAGAGGGAAGAGAAAGCAGGTGGATGCTGGTAGTTTCTAGGCGGTGTCGTTGTCGAACGGATACTCGAACGGCTCGGGCGGCTGCACCGTGTTGGCTCCGTCATCGGCATCCATGAACTCGTCGTCGGGGCCAGCACTGATCACGCTGTCGATCAGGTTCTCGGGCTCGTCAGGCGTCGTGTCCCGCAGCACCAGAATCCCCGACATGCGGCCCTGCTTGACTGGCACGTAACCGGGCATTGGCCGGCCACTTGACCAGCGACTCCTGGTACGGCAGGAACGCGGGTCAGGTTATCGACGGCAAATGACTCGGGCCCCTGCCGGCGTGTCTTCTTGGTAGGCGTCTTGGGAGCAGCAGCCGCAGCACCATCAACATCCATGCCCTCGGCAGCGGGCGCGCCACTGCCAGCAGCAGAGCTGGACGACCCCTCGCCAGCCGACACCTCGACCTTCTTTGCGTGGCGCTGGGCCTTGGCTGTGGTCGACAGCACCGCCGTAGCCACCTTCGTCGGAGCCTGCGCAACCGGCTGCTCGATGTTGGGCGGATACTCGAACAGCGACTTGCGTCCCGTGCAGGTCGCCTCGAGAACAGGCACGCGCAGGTCCTTGTTGACGCCGATCAGCGCAGTGGGCTTGAACGACAGCGACAAGAAGTGCGCCAGCGGGAACCAGTACCAGAACTGCGTGAACAGCAGCATACCGGCGCAGGCCGACTTGCTGAGCTGCCCGTCGAGGCTGGTCAGGCCGATGGCCACATTGCGTCCACCAGCGTTGATGATGCCCTGGGCAATGGCAGCACCGAAGCGGGCAGCGGGCTCAATGTTCTTGGTCTCAATGAGCTCGGTGAACCGCTTGCGCACCTCGGCGACCTTGGGCTCGTACACTTCGTTCTGCTGGATCAGGATGAAGGCCAGCGAAATGCAGGCGCCCTGCACAACAAAATCAACCGAGTCCTTGAGCATCGGCTCCAGGATCGCAATGGCAGCCTTGGACCCGGACCCGGCACAGGCAATGCCCAGAGCCAGCGTGGCACCAAAGCGCACGTGCGGGTTGAAGCTCTCCGACAGCAGCTGCACCATGCGCGGCACCTGCTCGGGGCTGCGCAGCAGCAGGAAGCCGAGGCCAGTCACAGCAGCGCGGCGCACGTCATCGTTAACGTCAGAGACAGCCAGATGAAGCAGGCGGCGGATGGCGTTGTTGTCGCCAGTGCCCGTGTATGCCATAGTCGTCATCTGGACGGCGCCAAGACGGAGCAGCGGGTCCTCCTCCTCGACCAGCAGCTCAATGAGCGAGTCGGCTTCTTGCTGGCGGCCAAACATGACCAGGCCCATCCCGACAGCCAGAGCGCGGATGATCTTCTCGTGCTGCGTCTCGCGGGCGTACATGAGCATGGTCTTGATCGTCTCCTCGTGGCCAGTGCCCATCATGACCAGACCCATGCCAATAGCAGCAGCCTCGCCGGACACAGCGCTGTCAGCAAACAGCACAATCTTGAGCGCCTCAAAGACATCCTCGCTGCCCGAGCCCAGGCCGGCAGCACCGAGACCGAGACTGGCGCCGTGCTGCAGAATCTCGACATTCTGGCCCTGGAAGGTAGCCAGCGCATTCTGCAGGTAGCCTGATGACGCGGTCGCTGCCGTGGCTGGCGTTGATCAGACCCAGCGCATAGAAAGCACCGCCCTCAGAGAACGGCGACGACGACACCGAGTCCTCGGGCAGGTAAGGCTCGAGCAACGAGAAGCCGTTCCGGGTCTGGCCCTGGTGGATCACACCGAGAGGCAGCTGTGGCCGAGAACTTCGACCAGCTGCTGGCGCGCGACAGCCACTCGAGGTTCTCGCGCAAAAAATTGTCGATCGTGGTTCCAGCGTGCATGAAGGCATTCGACAGCGTCACGGCGTTGTGGGCGAGCGAGCTGCGCGAGTCCAAGGATCTTGCACTGTGCGGTTCAGGATGCCCATGTCGGTCTTGTTGTTGGTAAACAGGAACTCGAGGTTCAGCTTGAGCGACTCCTCGCCGCTCAAAATAGCCTGGACCTTGGTCACCGCCGCCACCACGCCCTCGGCCTCGGACTTGGCTGCGTCGCTCTGCGCAAGCGCGCTGTTGACAGGTGCCAGTGAACTCCTGTGACGAGTTGGCGTTCAGATCGAAGGCGATCTGGTATGCCGACAGAATGCCGCTCTCTCCAGACTGGATCAGGTTTGTCAGAATCTCGGCGGTCTTGGACGGGTTGTTGAGCTTGGCCAGGTTCTGACAGATGGCCTCATAGTTGGGGTTCTCAAACTGTGTGTAGACCTTGACCAACAGCTCCTGCACGCGGCTCTGCAGGTGAATGCTGCCGATGTAGTCGACGCACTCATTCTGCACATATGCCAGCAGCTGCTTTGTGTTGCCGCTGGTCAGCGCGCGCTCCAGCAGATCCAGCCGCCGCGCCTCAATCGCAATGCCGATGACCTGGCCGAACTCTTTGGATTCGAAGCAGCGCTCAACCATGCGCTCAAACACAGCCGCTAGCTTGTCGTCAATGGGCTTCTGCCACTCGCTGCCTGCTGTCGTCGTTGTGGGACCGCAGCTCAATGTACTTGTCGATGGCGCGGTTGACCACAGTCTGCACGAACGCCGAGTTTTCTGTCAGGTCGAACAGCTCGCCGGCACCCAGCGCAAACGACAGCGCATCGTCAAATGCACCCAGGTGGAAGTAGATCTTGGATGCGACTAGGGCTGCCAGCTTGCGGTGCTCAAAAGTCTCGTCCTCGTACAGAACCTCGATCTTTGAAATTGCGTCGGAAATCTCGGCCCAGAATTTGCCCATGACCTCGTTCAGCTGCACAAGGCCGTAGTACTGAAGCTCGCGCTCGTCCTCGTCGAGGAGCGAAATAAGCCCTCCTGCTGACGTCAATGTCGCGGCCATTTTTGCGAGAGCGAGATTCTATAACAAACTGGAGTTGGTGGTAAAAATGAGAAATAGGAAAGCTGGCAATCAGTTATAGACACGGCCAAGAATAAGAAAAGTGTGTTTGAAGCAGAGCGGTTGCGTTGGAAGGGAAAAAGAAGCGAGCCACGCCAGCCCGTCCGCCGAGCGATGATGTACACGTACCCTCCGCTGAGCAATTGAGAAGCGCCGAGAAGCCGAGGTTGCTTGCGTGGCCGGGCCTTGATCCTGATAAAATCCGCGGGCGGTGATCAGAATATGAGTTTTCGCTTGCAGCAGTTTTGCGCATTGGCAGGCGCAATTCCAGACAAGCGCCGCCTTTCCTTTTTAACACCACTTTCTACTTGTTTAGCAAACGCGTTCGTACCCGACCCCTCCCTGGCAGACGCAATGGACGATCCCAATTACGACGAGTTTGGCAATTACATTGGACCGGACCTGGGCTCCTCGTCGTCAGAAGAGGAGAGCGACAGCGAGGTCGAGCAGGCCGAGCCTGCGGCAGGCATGCCGGGCGGTAATGGCAGCGGGGGCGACAATGCCTCAGAGCAAGGCTCTGACGATGACGCCGATGCCGACGAGTCAAATCGGCATATGATGATCCAGCGCGTCGATGCTGCCATGAACCAGATCGTCCTGCACGAGGACAAAAAGTACTACCCGGAGGCCGAGGAAGTGTACGGTCCCGACGTCGAGGCGCTGGTACAGGAAGAGGACACGCAGCCGTTGACAGAGCCGATCATTGCGCCGCTCAAGACACGCAAGTTCCAGGTGGCCGAGGAAGACGAGCTGCCCGACACCGCATATACGAAGGAGTTCCTGGTTGATCTGCAAGGGTACCCGGCCATGATCCGCAATGTGGTGGTCGCCGGGCACCTGCACCACGGCAAAACGTCGATGGTAGACCTTTTGGTGGCCTCGACACACGAGTGGAAGGACTGGGATACCGCTACACCGCGGGCAACACCGACGGCCAAAATGGCGAAGCCCAACGACAAGGCGTTTGGATACACGGATGTGCATCAGCTTGAGCGGCGGCGCATGATCAGTCTAAAGTCGATGCCAGTATCTCTAGTGGCCCAAAACACCAAGGGGAAGAGCCTGGCGCTGAATATCATGGACTCGCCTGGCCATGTCAACTTTATCGACGAGGTGGTGGCGGCAATGCGGCTCTCAGACGGCGTGGTGCTGGTGGTCGATGTAGTCGAGGGCGTGATGACCAACACAGAGCGCATTATCCAGCTGGCGGTGCGCGAGCAGCTCCCAATCACGCTGGTGGTCAACAAGGTGGACCGACTGATGCTGGAGCTCAAGCTGCCGCCAGCCGACGCGTACTACAAGCTGAAGCTGACGATCGAGGAGGTCAACAAGGCGATTGCCGCCTGCCCGCTAGCCAAGCCCGAGATGCGCGTGTCGCCAGAGCTGGGGAACGTATGTTTTGCGTCGTCGTCCTACGGCTGGTGCTTCTCTCTCGAATCGTTTGCGCAGCAGTATGTAGCGAAATGGGATATGCCAGTGCGGGCACGCGACTTGGCCAAGCGCCTGTGGGGCGACGTGTACTACCACCCGCAGCGGCGCACTTTTATGCGCAAGCAGAACGCAGCACATGGCAAGGAGGCGAAGCGGTCGTTCCTGCACTTTATCTTGGAGCCGCTGTATAAGGTGTTTGCCCAGGTTGTCGGCGAGGACGAGCCTGCCCTGCGGCCAGTGGTCGAGTCGCTGGGGATCAAGCTACGAAAAGAGGACTACGCACTGGACGTGCACGACCTGCTGCGGCGGGTCATGACGCAGTTCTTTGGTCCGCCGACCGGACTCGTCGACATGTGCGAGACACACATCCCATCGCCAGCAGCAAATGCCGAGCGCAAGACAATGTCGCTGTACACAGGCCAGATGGATACAGAGACAGCACAGGCGATGCGGCAGTGCGACGCCAATGGGCCACTGGTAATTGCTGTGGCCAAGCAGTACCCGTCGTCCGATGCCTCGCAGTTCTTTGCCCTGGGCCGCATCTTCAGCGGGCATGTCAGCGTGGGCCAGAACGTGCGTGTGCTTGGCGAGGGCTACTCGCCTGGCGACGATGAAGACATGGCCATAGCCACCGTGACTGACGCATGGGTGTACTGCTCGCGCTACAAGATCCCGGTGTCAGGGCTTGGCGCCGGCAGCTGGGTCCTGCTGGGCGGAGTTGACGGGCCGATTAGCAAGACTGCGACCATTGTCGATACGTCGGTGCCTGAAGACGACCTGGCGGTTATCCGGCCGCTGCAGTTCCCCTCGGATCCCGTGATGAAGGTAGCCGTGGAGCCCGTAAACCCGTCGGAGCTGCCCAAGATGCTCAGTGGCCTGCGCAAGATTGGCAAATCGTACCCACTGGTGCAGACACGCGTCGAGGAGAGCGGCGAGCACATTGTGCTGGGCAGCGGCGAGTTGTACCTGGACTGCATCATGCACGACCTGCGGACAATGTACAGTGAGATCGAGATCAAGGTCGCTGACCCGGTGGTGGCCTTCCGCGAGACCGTCTCGGAGACCTCGGCGATCAAGGTATTTGGCGACTCGCCCAACGGCAAGAACCGGCTGACCTATCATTGCTGAGCCCATGGAGCAGGGGATTGCCGAGGACATCGAGTCGGGCAAGGTTTCGCTGCAGTGGCCAGCGCGCCAGGTCGGCCAGTTCTTTGAGGCCAACTACGGCTGGGACATCCTGGCCGGGCGCTCGATCTGGGCATTTGGACCGGGTCCCCAGGGCCCAAACATGCTGTCTGACGACACGCTACCGGGAGAGACAGACAAGGCCCTACTGCGCAGCGTGCGCGACTCGGTCAAGCAGGGCTTCCAGTGGGCAGCGCGCGAAGGCCCGCTGTGCGATGAGCCGATGCGCAACACGCGGTTCCGCATCCTCTCGGTGGACCTGGCCAGCGCCGCCATCCACCGCGGCGGCGGCCAGCTGATCCCGGCAGCGCGGCGTGTCTGCTACTCGAGCTTTTTGACATCTGAGCCGCGGCTCATGGAGCCCATCGAGCATGTCGAGATCCAGGCGCCTGCTGACTGCGTCTCGGCTGTCTACACGGTTCTGGGCCGCCGGCGCGGCCACGTCACCCACGACGCGCCCAAGCCCGGGTCGCCCATGTACACGATCAAGGCGATGCTGCCAACGATTGACTCGTTCGGGTTCGAGACCGACCTGCGCACATACACCAACGGGCAGGCGTTCTGCCAGCAGTTCTTTGACCACTGGCAGGTTGTGCCCGGAGAGCCGCTTGACAAGGAGATTGTGCTGCGGCCCCTGGAGCCGTCGTCGGCGCAGCAGCTAGCCAGGGACTTTATGCTCAAGACCCGACGCCGCAAGGGACTCAGCGACGATGTGTCGATTGACAAGTTCATTGATGATCCGACACTGAGGGATTTGGTAAAAAGCTTATATTGAAAACACTCAAGGAATTCCGAATAACAGCATCTCTTAGTTTTCGTTAGACCTTGCCCAGAGCTCGCGGAACACGCCGTCCTGCTTGTTCAGCAGGATCTCTGGCGTGTCGAACTCTGCCACCTTCCCCTTGTCAAGCACCAGGATACGGTCGGAGTCGACGATGGTGTTGAGGCGGTGGGCGATGGTCAGCACCGTGCAATCCTTGAACTCCTTGCGGATCGACTCCTGGATGATGGAGTCGCTCTCGGGATCAATCGCCGCTGTAGCCTCGTCGAGCACCAGGATCTTGGCGCGCTTGAGCAGGGCACGGGCCAGGCAGATAAGCTGGCGCTGGCCAACGCTGAAGTTCTCGCCGCCCTGCGTCACAACAAACTCCAGACGCTCGTCCTTTGCGCGAATGGCATCGCCCAGGTGGGCGTTGTCCAGCGCACGCCAGATCTCGTCGTCCGAGTACTTGTTGAACGGATCCAGGTTACTACGAACCGAGCCAGCAAACAGCACCGGGTCCTGGGGGATGATCGAGAGGCGGCTACGCAGATCAAAGAGACCGTACTTGGAGATGTCCTGGCCGTCGAGCAGAATCTGGCCCGACGCACCTTCAATGATACGGAACAGCGCCAGCGTCAGCGACGACTTGCCAGCGCCAGTGCGTCCAACGATGCCGACCTTCTCTTTGGGACGGATAGTGAACGAGATTTCCCTCAGCACCAGATCCAGACCCTCGCGGTAGCGCGTCGAGTAGTTGCGGAACTCGACAGCACCCTGCTCGGGCCACTGCTCAGTGGGGCGGTTGTCCTCAATGACCTCGGGCGCCTCAGATGGCAGATGCTCGTACTCTTGGATGCGCACGTAGTCGCACATGGAGTTCTCCAGATCGCACTCCATGCGCAGCATCCAGTTCACCTGCTGCGTGCTCTGCAGGGCATAGGTGACCGACAGGCCAACAAGGCCGGCGTCAATGGCGCTGTATTTTAGCGACAGGACGCCTAGCAGGGCTGTCGCGAAGATAATGCACGCCGACATGAACTCGAGCCGCACCGCCAGCCAGCGGTTCAGAGACAGGTACGGGAACACGCACCGCTGGTTGGCGTCCAGCTTGCGGATGTTCTCGGCCATGAACCGCTCGGCCTGTCCGTAGGCGCGCACCGTCGAGGCACCGCCGAGGGTTTCCTGGAAGCTCGCGTAGATGGGCGACCGCGTGGTCGAGTCCAGACGCTTCAGTGTCCGCGACGTCGTCAAGAAGTAGTGCTTCAGGTAGAAGAAGAACACGACCACCGGCACCAGGACTACACCAAACGCCGGGAACGACACCACAATGACAATCACCGAAAAGGAGATGTTGGACAGGTTCTGGAACCACGACGCCAGGGTCTGCGGAATCACCGAGTCCACCGAGTTCTGGTCCTTGGAAAAGCGCTGCAGGATCCGGCCCAGCGGGGTTGTGTCAAAGAACGACATGGGCGAGCGGAACACCGCGTACAGCATGTTCTTGTGCGTGGTCTTTCCAGAGTTGACAGCGCAGATTGTCCACAGCGTCTGCGACCGGATCAAGCAGAAGACCGCGGCGACGACTCCATACAGACCATAAATAGTGATGTAGTACATGGGCTTGTGTGGGTCCTCGGTGCCTTCGCGCTCATGCTGCTCGTTCGCCGACGACCATGTCTTTAGCCACACGTTGCTGAGCACCAGCAGCCCCTGGTTCATCAGCATGCTGGCTACGAACACGAAGATGCCGTAGAACGTGCATGCGCGCAGATAGTCAATGTATGACTCCGTCGAGACCTTGCCGGTAGCCGAGATCTCGGCTTCAATAAGCTGATCGCCCTGGATGCTGTCGGTGGTGCGCAGCTGGCCGGCTCTCTGGATCGGCGCAACACTGGCTGCTGGCAGCGTCTGCACGGTCGAGCGGCGGCGCCCGCTGCTTGAACTAGACAGGTCGCCGTCCATAGCGTCGGCAGGCGGAGCAAGCTGCGTGAAGCTAGCTGTCGGCGTGACTGCGGATGACGCAGGGGTAGACAAATCACCGTTGCCAAACTCCTGAACCAGATTGAAGACCAGGCCACGGCGCTCCATCAGCGACAAGGCAGAGCCATACTCAGCAATCTGCCCGTCGCGCAGCAGCATCACCGAGTCGCAGCGGGTCAGGTATTGCACCGCGTTGGTAATGTGGATGCGCGTGCGGGACTTGAGCAGACCCTGCGGGCCAAGCACCTGGTCAAACAGATGGCGGCCGACATGGGCATCGACTGCAGAAAGCGGATCGTCGAGAATATACACATCGGCACGCGAGTAGACAGCACGGGCCAGCGAGACACGGGCCTTCTGGCCACCCGACAGGTTGATTCCCTTCTCACCGATCTCGGTCAGATCGCCGGCCGCCAGAATCTCGAGGTCGGGGCGCAGCGCGCAGGCGTCAATGACGCGGTTGTAGAACTCCTCGTTGTACTTTAGCCCGAAAAGGATGTTATCACGCAGCGTCGCGTTCATGATCCATGGCTGCTGCGACGCATAGGCCACCTTGCCGTGGATAGTGACCTCGCCACGCACCTTGCGCATGTCGCCGAGCAGAGCCGAGACCAGCGAGGACTTGCCAGAACCCACCCGACCCACAACCGCCAGATGCTCGTCGCTCTTGGCGGCAAAGTCAACGTTGTCCAGAATATTGGCGCCGTTGCGGTCCCACTTGAACGCAGCGTCACTGACACGCACAGCGACCTCAGTCTCGCCAGGCGATGCAGTCTTGCGCACGCTCTCCAGCCGTGTGATCGAATCCAAGTCGAGCTCGTCGCTGACCAGCAGCTTGTAGATCCGGCCCAGCGCAACACTGGCCTCGACAATCGACGAGATGATGATTGGGAACATGGTCAGCGGGAAGCGCAGCAGGTTGAACAGCGACAGGGCGACAAACACCAGCTGGGCAGTCAGCGGGCCGTGCGACTCGCCGTCAAACATGGCGTAGACAAAGAACGTCAGGAACGAGACCAGGAATGGCACAACCATCATCGACAGCGACGCGTAGGCGTTCATGATGCCGTACTTTTTCATTGTGGCCAGCTCAAAGTTCTCGCGCACGTCGCGGATGTTCTCCAGGAACGAGCGCTCCCAGGCATAGAGCTTGATCACCTTGATTCCTGACAGGGCCTCGTCGATCATCGTCGTGCGCTTGTCCTTGTTCGTCATCTGTGCCTTCTGCAGGTCGCGCATGCGCGTCGTCAGCCAGCCGTTGACGGGGATGGCCAGGATCATGACCAGGAATTCCGGCAAACACCGACCAGCCGAGGGTGTTGTACAGGAGATACACAGCAAAGATGATCTGGACGGGGCCCTGACCACGCAATGTGCATGTAGTCGACAACACCGCCGATGCGCTCAACATCAACCGAAAACAGCGTGGTGATGTTGCCAATGGTGTAGTCCTGGCGCGTGTCGTTCGACAGCCTCAGCCCCTTGCGGTAGATGGCCGAGGTCAGGCTCGACTTGATCTTCATGCCTGTGGTCATGCCCAGCTGGAAGTACTGGTGAAGGAACAGGGTCTGGATGATCTGCAGGCCGAGCATCGCGAATGCATAGAAAGTATCCGTTCGAGATTGGCTGCGGGTGGTCGGTCGAGAACGACGACACAAAGCCAATCAGACGCGACAGCAGCACCGGCTGCGTGAACTGCAGGATATCCTGGATCAGCTTGAAGAACCCGGCCAGCGCAAACGGCAGCCCCACCGTGCTCCACAGCGCCCGGATCAGCGATGGCTGGCGCTTCGCCTCATTGTCGACTTCGTGCTGCCACTTCTCCTCGAACTGGGCCGCAATCCTCGACGGTGCGTACTTGCGCGGCAGGTCCCACAGGTCTGCCTCGGTCAGAAGCTTGGTGCGCCCCAGCTTCAGCAGCGGCGACATCCACGAGAACGTCAGCTGCGAGAAAATATTCGCGTCCTCCACTGGCGAATGCACGCCAAAGCGGCTCACCGAGTCGTCATCCAGATCGTCGTCCTCCGCCAGCGCGTATTCCACCAGCCTTGCGCGGCCACAGCTCGGCGCTGAACACAGCCAGGGTCATGGCGAGCTCGGCATACCGTGCTGGCAGGAGCGCGCGCTTGCGGTGCAGATCAGAGCGCAGCATCACGCCGTCCAGGAGCAGGCTGGTGAGCCAGTAAAGAAGCAGAATCCCCGAGGACGTGCGCGCCCGTGTCTGCTCGTAGTGATGCAGATCGACAGCCAGCAGGTAGGCGGCGGTCTGCACAAACAGACCGACCACAAACACATTGAAACTGCGCGACAGTGGCCGCTGCATTACCGTGTGTACAAGCTCAGCGACAGATGCCACCGCAATGCCGACAGCCAGGGCCATCTTTATGTAATACACCGCTGTCTTTGTGTACGGGCTGGGCAGCGCATACATTCCTTGCAGCTTGCGCAGCCGCACCAGCGCCAGGGACAATGAACAGCAGGTTGAGAGCCGGACCCAGCACTCCATGCTCAAAGCAGGGAGTCAGGTCGATTTCACGCCGGGAGCTCCAGGGGCCCTAATCAGGAAAAAGCAGTAATTAGCAAGCAGCACCGAGTGGTCGTAGCGCAAGGCGACCAGCAAGCTCCTGCGGCAACGTACCCAGCCTTCTGCGTTGGTGCAGAATCCACGAGGCTTGACCATGTCTGTCACGGATCGCAGAAAAAAGTGGTGAAAGGAGGATTCAGGGGAATTCCAAAGTGAAAGGGGTTCGATGGGTATGGTGGTTGGCCCGGCAGCGACTGGCGGGCGGGGCTTCATTTAAATAGTTTCCCCGAGCCGACTCCAGCTCTCCTGTGTGTTTACGACGACACGCACAGACGAATTAGACAGCAGGAAATTACTCACCAGTGCCGATCCCTCAAAGCCAGGTCCTGCTCTGTGCTTCGTCCTGTGGAAAAAAATACTTTTTGCGATTTGTCAGCTAGGCAGCTCAAGGATGGGGAGGGGCCAGCATGTCTGCCTAGAGGGCTCGCAGGCTTAGAACAATCCGGACGAATCAGCTGAGTGTTAATACGCAGCGCACTGAATTTGCGCAGAATAGCGCGCTACCGCTGGTGGCTGTTGGCGTGCGAGACATGCAGAGTCCGCACCTACGCATGCCAGATCCCCCTGCCAGCAGCAGAGTTATATGAAGCGGGGGGTGTCGCCGACACAGAGTCATTTGTCATCACGCGGTGGCATCAGCAGCTGTGCAATGGAGCCACGTAGACCCCCTGCTCTGGCCGCAGCGGCCGGCGGTGTCTGGCAGGTTTCAGGGGTAGAGGGCCCGCTGCCATCTTGCGCCAGCTGATTGCACCCACGTGACAACTCTATGCAGTAGGCAGCCAGCGTCACCGCCATTTCTGCTGCAGCATGGGCGCTATGGCAGATCTACAGATAGGACTTGTGCCCTCGCCTAGATCGCAACGGAAGCCGAGTTCCATTTGTGCACTGAAAAACGGGTTTGTGCCAGGACAGTTTTTTTTGCGTTGCAGTCCATTTAAAGCCGCTGTGCGCTTTGACTGCACAACCATTTGCTTCTCTGCTTCGCTTTTTTCTTCTTCCGCTTTTTAGGCCTGCCCAGACTACATTGGGCCGACACTATTGATCTCCATTCACACTCTTTAGGGCAGTAAGGCTTTAAATCTCCAATGCCGTCGTTTTGCCCGGCAAGCGAGGGCTGGGGCCCGCTGAGCCCCACACGGCCAGCCGACCTCACGACGTGCTTCCAGTACGGCGCGCTGGCAACGGGTCTCAACATCGCATTTGTAATCGCAGCGACCATCCGGCTGAAGCAGCTGCGCTCGGCGCCGCGCCTCCCCCGCGCCATCGTCGCGCCGGGACTCTACTGGGCGAAGATGGCGCTGGCAGTCTCGGCCGTTTTCGCATCGGCGTCTGAATTTGTGATGTGGGCCAGCCTCTACCCGTACCAGAATGTGTATACGGTCGGGCTGGGCGTCCAGACTGTTGCGGTGGCACTGGCAGTGTATCCTCCACAAGCGCGAGCAGCTAGGGCAACCGGATCGCCTCGGACGGTGCTGCTGCTGTTCTGGCTGGCCACGGTGTGTCTGTCGCTGGTGCGGCTGCGCACCGAGTTCACGACGGGTGTTCTGGAGTCGGATCCGCCGGCGGTTATTGCCATCGCTGCGTTTATTGCGACAGCCACGGCGACGCTGGTGCTCGAGGCACAGCCGAAGCCGCACATGCTGTATGAGCTGGTTGACGAGGACGACGAGGACTACACGGGCTACAGCGCGTACCAGTCGCCCGAGGAGCGTGCCAACATCTTCGAGCGGCTGACGTTTTCGTGGATGACGCCGCTGCTGGAGCTCGGGTACAACAAGCCGCTGCAGCTCGAGGACACATGGGAGCTGATGCCCGAGTACCAGCCGGACGTGGTCACGGATAACTTCCAGCGCAACTGGCAGGACGGAGCTGCAGTCAGGACAGCCATCGCTGTTCCGTGCGACGCTGCGCACGTACGGCGTGCCGTATCTGCTGGGCGGTTTCTACAAGCTGATCAAGGACCTGGTGTCATTCCTGAACCCGATCCTGCTGTCGCGGCTGATTGGCTTTGTGGGCACGTATAACACGCCGCAGGCGGAGCCGGTGGAGAACGGGTACTTTTATGCGCTGTCGATGTTCATTGTGGCGACGATCCAGACACTGGCGTTCCAGCAGCACTGGGTGCAGAACCAGAAGGTCAACTGCATGCTCAAGACCAGCTACACAACGGCCATCTACCGCAAGACGCTGGCGCTGTCCAACGACGCGCGGCAGAAATTCAGCGTCGGCGAGATCGTCACGCACATGAGCGTGGACTCGCAGCGCGTGGCAGATTTCTCTAGCAACTTCTCGCACCACCTGTGGAGCTCGCCGCTGCAGATTGTCCTGGCGCTCCATCTGCTGTACCGGACGCTTGGCTGGAGCATCTTTGCTGGAGTGTTCGCTATGCTCGTCAGCATTCCGACGTCGGCGCGCATCAGCCGGCGCATGCGCAACCAGAACAAGCTGCTTATGGGCTTCCGCGACCGCCGCATGAAGATCATGGACGAGGTGCTGTCGGGCATCAAGATCATCAAGCTCTATGCCTGGGAGTCGTCGTTTCATCCGCCGCGTCAACCACATCCGAGAGAAGCTGGAGCTGGCCACCATCCGCAAGTACGGAATCCTCCAGGCCGGCTTCTCGTTCATCGTCACGCTGGTGCCCTTTGCTGTGTCGTTCTCGACCTTTGGCCTCTACGCCCTGGCTGATGGCAAGTCGCATGGCCCGCTGACGCCGCAGCTGGTATTTGTCGCTCTGACGCTGTTCAACATGCTGCGCTGGCCGCTGTCGCACGGGCCCATGGTCATCCCGGCCTTCCTCGAGTGCATGGTCTCGCACCGCCGCATCTTCGAGTTCCTAACCGCCGAGGAGATCGACTTCTCCTCGATCAACAACGAGCCGTACGACCGCGACTCGCCCTCAGCCTCCCCCGACGACGTGCTGGTGACCATCAAGAACGGCACGTTCAAGTGGCTCATGACCGAGCAGCCCTCGCTCAAGGACATCAACATCGAGTGCAAGCGCGACGAGCTGTTTGCCATTATCGGCCGTGTGGGCTCTGGCAAGTCGTCGCTGGTGTCGGCTATCCTAGGCGACATGCTCAAGGAGAGCGGCACTGTCGGTTGTGTCTGGAAAGGTCGCCTACGTTCCGCAGCAGGCGTGGATCATGAATGCCACGCTCAAGGAGAACGTCCTGTTTGGCCACAAGTACGAGCCCGAGTTCTACGAAAAGGTCATTGACGCCTGCGCGCTGCGCCCCGATCTCGACATGCTGCCCGGCGGAGATCTGACCGAGATCGGCGAGAAGGGAATCAACCTGTCGGGTGGCCAGAAGGCCCGTGTCTCGCTGGCCCGCGCTGTCTATGCCCGTGCCGATGTGTACCTCCTCGATGATCCCGCTCTCTGCCGTCGATGCCCATGTCGGCAAGCACATCTTCACCCAGGTGCTCGGCCCGCAGGGTCTGCTCAAGTCCCGCACGCGTGTCCTGGTGACCAACGCTGTGCAGTACCTGACCATGGTTGACTCGGTTACAATGCTGCGCGACGGGCAGATCGTCGAGCGCGGCACGTTTGCGCAGGTCATGGAGAGCAAGGGCGAGATCTTCGACTTTGTCCACAAGTTCATCGAGAGCTCCGCCGCCAACACGCCCGGCGGCAGCAACGACAACTCGGACGTCGAGTACTACGAGGACGAGGAAACTACCAACGAGCAGGACGGCACTCTGGCGCTGCCCGGTGTGGGCATCACCCGCAAGTCCACCAGGCAGACCCTGGGCCGCGCCAGCATCGGCACTGTCCACGCCGCGCAGGACCGCAAGAAGCGCGGTGCTGCCCAGGGCGTGCCCCGCCGGGAGCTGGAGGAGCAGGAGGCGCGCGAGTCGAACCGCATCATCGCCACCGAGGTCAGTCGCCAGGGCCGCGTCGAGTGGAGCACATACACGACCTACTTCCGGGCCTGTGGCATGCGCAACGTGGTCATATATGCGATTGCCATCCTGTGTGCTTCCATCAGCAACGTGCTGGCTAACCTGTGGCTCAAGAACTGGGCATCGTCCAACACCGACACCGAATCGAACGGCCTGCGCTCATTCGCCGAGCGCCATACCGTGATCTACTACCTACTCATCTACGGCGCCCTGGGCACGCTCGGCGGCGCCATGTCGGCCATCCAGTCGCTGGTGCTGTGGACGCTCTGCGCCATCCGCGCCTCCCGCAAGATACACGAGAGCATGCTTGTGGGCGTTCTGCGTTCCCCGACATCCTTCTTTGACGTCACCCCGCTCGGCCGCATCCTCAACCGCTTCTCGTCGGACCTGCAGCGCTGCGACGAGTCCCTGCCACGCTCGTGCTCCGGCCTTGTCAGTACCATGGTCGGCGTGATCTCCGCTGTCGTCGTCATCTCCATGTCCACGCCTGCCATGGTAGTGATCATGATTCCGCTCGCCCTTGTCTACCGTTACCTCCAGCAGCGCTACCTGTTCAGCAGCCGCGAGCTGCGCCGTCTCGACTCCACCACGCGGTCGCCCGTCTTTGCTCACTTCCAGGAGTCCATTGGTGGAGCCCCCAGTATCCGCGCCTACGGCCAGGAGCCTGCGCTTCACCGGTGAAAACGAAGCCCGTGTCGCAAAAACCATCCGCGCCTACTACGCCTCGCTGTCCTATCAACCGCTGGCTGTCGCTGCGCCTCGAGACCCTCGGCAACCTGGTCATGCTGGGCACCACCATGCTGGCTGTCCTGGCCGTCCACTACCTTGGCTACAGTGACTCTGGCCTTGTCGGTCTGTCGGTTGCCTATGCGCTCGACTTCACCAGCTCGCTCAACTGGTCGGTGCGCTCCTACACCGAAGTTGAGAACTCGATGGTGCAGCTGGAGCGTGCCGCCGAATACGCCCGCCTGCCGTCCGAGGCTGCTACAATCGTCGAGGACCACCGCCCCACTGAGGACTGGCCCGAGCAGGGTGTCGTAGAGTTCCTGCAACTACTCGACGCGCTACCGCGAGGGTCTGGATTTGGTGCTCAAGGATCTGTCGTTCCGCGTCATGCCCAACCAGAAGGTCGGCATCGTTGGACGCACTGGTGCTGGCAAGTCGTCGCTGACGCTGGCGCTGTTCCGTATCATTGAAGGTGCGTCAGGCCAGATTCTGCTCGACGGCCAGGACATCTCCAAGTACGGTCTCTTTGATGTTCGCAGTCGCCTCTCGATCATCCCCCAGGACCCGGTGCTGTTTGCTGGTACTATCCGTGAGAACCTGGATCCGTTCAACAAGTACTCGGACGACGAAGTCTGGCGTGCGCTCGACAATGCCCACCTTGGCGACCTTATCCGCTCCAAGGACGAGCGTCTGGAGTTTGTTGTGACGCAGAGCGGCGAGAACTTCAGCGTTGGCCAGCGCCAGCTTATCTGTCCTGGCCCGTGCCCTGCTCAAGCGCGCCAAGATCCTGGTGCTCGACGAGGCGACCGCCGCTATCGACAATGCCACCGATGCTATTATCCAGGAGTCGATCCGCAAGGAGTTCAAGGATTGCACGGTGCTGACCATCGCCCACCGCCTCAACACTGTCATCGACAGCGACATGATCATGGTCATGGACGGCGGTCGGCTGGCAGAGTACGACAGCCCGCAAAACCTGCTCGGGAACGAGGACAGCCTGTTCGCCAAGCTCGTTGAAGAATCCAAGACTAACGAGTCTGGCTAGTGGACCTATTATTACCCTGAACCCTTTTCAAATACAAATCATTTTTGCCGACAGATGGTGCCCAACTCCAGCCTCACATTGGGCTTTTCTCTGTGCCTACAACAGATACATCGTCGATGCATGTGTGCAGTCAATCTCTGATCACCCCGAGCCAGAGAGACTCCCCTGGTGCTCCCGCTCCTTCCCAACCGCTGCGGTCTATGTATGCACATGGCGTCATGTGGTTCTTGTCCATCACCGAGGCATCTCTCCTCTCTGTTGCAAACACCTGTTTGACTTTCCACATGCGCTTTCCTCTTGGCACGTCTGCTAGAAGGGTCAAAATTTATGCTATTAGAGCCAAATGTATGCTGCTTGTGAGAAAACTGCCTGCGTTGCCAGGTGCCAATCCTGCTGCATGGCTGCACACCTTACCAGCGCGCGGTGTTTTGGATCTGGGGGTGTCACATAAACACCGGCATGCTCTTCTTAGCAGTCCATATTGTGGATGAGGTCTAGCAGAATCTTGCGAGCCTTTATCGGATGAACCAGGTCGCCATAGTCGATCCACCAGAAGGTGTTTTCGATGACTGGCGGCTTGAGCATCATCGGTCTAAAGAATGTGAACGGCGCTTTGTAATTTGCAAACGGCGACATTGGCCGCTGTATCAAGTCCGGCACGCTGATATCTAGCATCTGCGGCGAGCTTGGCAGCCGCAAGTCCGCGTATCTCCTCGCCAGCAACATCCGCAAACAGCACCACAAACATCCCGCAGTCGAATCCGTTCTCCTGTTGCGGGCAGCTGTGCATGACAATCTTCGTCAGCTCGTTGCCCAGAAGATAGTCGATGCGGCGCTGTGTCTGCGACGCTGCACTATAGTTTGTCGCCGCCAGGCTGTCAAAGTAATGGTAGGTGCGTGTCGACCGGATATAGATGAGTCAGGGACCAGTGCGCTATGCCCCTGCGCATAAACGGCCGCGACGGGTCGGCAGGCTGCTGCCCGTTGACGGGGATGAATATCACTTCTTTGCAGGTCCATGTTGCTCGGCGCCACGGCCAGAAGATTGGGCGACGCTGCCTGGTGTGTCAGGTAGTATGAGATTGTTGGCTTCAGAAACAGTACCGAGTCGTCGCCTTTGAGGATGTCGTGCATCAGATACTCAAAGTAGAAGCTCAGGATATTGTCGTTTAGCCATTGCCCTTCGTGCAGGGTAGCTGGGGTCGCCCTTGAACAGCACTGTGTCGTGGTAGCTGAGAATGGCACGCTCCTGCATCATACGTACGGCTAGGGAATGTGGTTAGAGCTTGGGATAGACAGCGGTACAGGAAGAATATTATGTAGAATAGGACGCTGGGAATTATCGTAGGAGCTGAGGCGGGAAGCAGCAGAAGGTTGTCAACGAGGGCTTTTTGGAATCACACGCAGCGGGGCCCTCACGCACCACATCTTTTTTGTGCGAGAACGACCTACCACGCTGCAGATGCGACAGCTCATGTCCACATGACATGCGTCAGGCCCTCGTTTTTGCACATCCGTCGCAATCCCCTCCTTCGGACCTCCCCAGGATCGTCATGTCTGCCGGATGTTTTCAGTCATACATTTTGCACAGCCAAATATCCAGTGTCAAGAGCTATCAGCGGCTATCTTATGTCTCCATCCACTTGATCCCGCCATAGAGCAGAACCGGTTTCTGCAGTCGGCCAGGAACAGGCGCCAGCAGCGTCAGCCGCTTCTTTGCCATATCCACGCCGGTCACACTCACGAATCCCAGCGCCTGCATGCCAACAACACCCTCCCTTGCCTCGTCCCGCCTGGCGTCAGTCACAGCCAGAATCGAGTGCGAGAGGCCCTCGTCGGGAGTGACTTCCAGCACGCTCGTATCAGTCACCATACGGGATTCGCCCAGCGGCAATGTCGACGATGGCGCTCGTGCATCTTCGCCAATGCGCACAACCAGGATGTCGTCAAAGTTTGTGATGGTCGAGTACGACGATACCGGATTGCCGCTGGTTCCGTAAAAGTACTGCCTGACAATGCGGCTGTTGTACTGCCGGCGAAACGCAGGCTCGCGATCAACCACACCACCAGACTTGGCCAGCTTGACAACCGTCACGCCAGCCATTTTGCTCGAAAACGCGCTGTACATGCGCTCGTTGCCAACCACAATCAGCACGTTGATTTTCAACTTTTCGGCTGCATACTCGAGCACTTCGTACTTGCTTGCATCTGAGACGCCCCGCGTATCGACGACGAATCCTGATCCTGCCGCAAATCGATCCGTGCGCAGCCGCAAGTCAATTGATTGCGCGACTCTATCTACCAACAGTTTATACAGCAGCACGTTGTCGGTCGGCTGCTCGTGCCCAAACTGCCACACGATCGGTGTAGCTGGAGGTGCATTTGATGATGCCTCCGCGTACCCTATCCAGCTGTCCTCAATGCTAATGGCATGCGTGATTGGTGTCACCGACAACGTGCCAGGAACCGTGATTGTAGCTTCATGCGGATCCAGATCAGCAAAAAGCGGTGTCTCCTTGCATCCGCACCGCGTAGTTCAGCAGCAGCTTTGCAATTGACGTCTTGCCACTGTCCTCAGGTCCGATAATCATGACCCGTGGCGTTGCGGCTGATTCATCGCTGCCACCAGAGATATCACCGTGCGCCTGGACGCGCTTCTGCTGCAGCGCCATATGCACATTGATGTACGAGTCCATGGGTGTCTCGCCGGCGACATAGGCCGACTGGCACTCGCCCACCACCCGCAGAGTGCACCCCTCCCAAGAGAATATCGCCCCGTTTTCGCCGCTGAACGAGTAGTCTGTTGTTGGACCGAGCTCAGCACCAAAGTACTCGGCACACCCAGACACAAGCGTGACCTTGATCGTCTTTCTAAACGCAACCTCGAACCGGAACTCTTCGCCCGCCTTCAATTGCCACTCTTTGGCTGCCTCATTTAGCTCCTTGGCAGCTGTCATTTCAGGAAAGGAGTAAAGGCGTCAACCTCGTTGGAATGCAATATGGAGTAGAGAAAAGCTGAGCAGCAAAAAAGAAGGCTTGGCTCATCCTCTTCGCGTCACTGAGCCGACCTGGACAGATGGCTCGCGGCTCGCTGCAGCTCGGAGTCTGAGGTTGGGCATCCTGTATTAAACCCCATGCCAACAATGCTTGAAGCTGTAACCATCAGCAGCAATGACCAACGCATTTGAATTTATTAGTAGTCGTCTTTTAGCGCTTCTCATTAAACTCCATGCTCTCAACAAGGCTTTTGAATAGCGAGTCCGTGTGCTAGCAGGTTGGCTGGAGTGTCAAACTCGGCAACTTTGCCCTGATCCATGACCAGGATCCTGTTGCTGTCCATGACCGTCCTTGAGCCGGTGCGCAATGGTCAGGATCGTGCAGTCCTTGAACTCCTTGCGGATAACATGCTGCTATGATCTGGTCGGTCTTTGTGTCGACATTCGCCGTCGCCTCATCGAGAATCAAGACCTTGCGCTTCCAAAGTAGTGCACGGCACAGACTAATGAGCTGGCGCTCTCCGACGCTGAAATTCTTGCCACCATCTTCGATCCATTTATCCAGACCCGTTCCTTCGACCCACGGGCCGCTGAACTTGTCCTTTTTGGCGTATATCTGGGATGGTTTCATGACAAGATCTTCGATATAGCCCTTGCGAATTGCAGCCCAAACCTCATCGTCAGCGAATTCATTCAGCAGATCCAGGTTCTCGCGTATTGTACCGACAAACAGAGCTGGATCTTGAGGGATAATGCTGATCTTGGAACGAAGGTCCTGGAGGCCAATTGTCGAGATATCCACCCCGTCGATGAAGATTGAACCACCTGCTGGTTCAATCATGCGTAGCAGTGCATATGTCAGCGACGACTTGCCAGCACCAGTGCGCCCGACGATGCCAACTTTCTCCTTGCAACCAACTGAAAACGAAATGCTGTTCAGAACAGTGTCCTGATCCTCGCGATACCTTCATACTGTAGTTTCGGAACTCGACAGTGCCATCGGCTGGCCAGTTCTGGGGCGGCCGTGATTCCTCGATGACCCTGGGTGCCTCGCGCGGAAGCCCAGTATAGACGAAGTATCTCGAGAGGCGTGGTAAGACACGCCTGATGCCACTACTGGAACGTAGTACTCTCTTGATTCCTGACAACGTGATCTCCAGAGAGCCTCATACTCATCTCAATCTCGCCTGGTGCTACTGGCAGTCCCAAGATAGACGACCTCCAAACCAGATAGAATAGAATGGCCGACTTGAGCGTTACAGTGGCAAGGCCATCAACCACCAGGCTCATAATATCTAGCAGTCGATGTTGCCACAATATCACGCTGTATGTAGCAATGCTAGATGCACACACCTGTAGATGCGCACCAAGGACTCTGTGGATACGCATTACCTCTTGGCCACCCAAAACCACGCGGAACATCGTCATAGGATTAAATTTGGATGTCCCATAGAACGCATCAGTAGCCCTTTTCTCTGTGGCGCTGATCGTTCCTTTAACCACTGCCAATACGGCAACCAGAGGCACTACGGCCAAAAGCATCTGTGGCATTCGCCGCATTCCGTGCGCAACTGCGTTGATGGCATAGAATATCCCCAGAGATTGGCGACAAATGTCGTCTGGAAGAAAATCGCAAAGGAGTCTCCGGTCCTGATGGAAAAGGAAGGACATTTTTTCACTCGGGAGGCTCTCAAACTGCGACAACGGCATATATAGCAGTGTGTCAAGTACCTTCTTACGAGTATGTTCCTTTACACGGGTCGACCACAATCCAGTTCGAATCCAGCTGATCAACATGTCAATCTGAACCTGGAGCATGTTGACCAAGGCGTTCATGAGCAGATAAGTTTGCAGCGATTGTACCATACTCTCCCTATTGTTGTCCATGACCAAGTTCAGGCGCAAGCTGTCAACATAGAACGTCGCATAGGCACCAGCTGCTTGGATCGCAAATGTTACTCCAACAATATGCAATCCGCTCATCCTCAGATATCGCCACATGTACGACCACTGAAACTGCGGGACGCCAATCTCCGGGTCAAGGGTGAATTGGCCAGATCCTCCATCACTGCTCTTGGACAAATCTTCATAATCCTCTGACGGCGATTTTGGCGGGCTTTGAGTAAACGCCACAGGATGCTGATCCACGATATCTGCTACGCCGTTTGTCAGTGCAATGACCTTATCCGCCAGCGGGACGACATGCTCGGCGTGTGTGACCAGGATACGCGTCTTGTCGCTGATCACTCCACTGCCAACAAGCACATTTTCGATCAGATGCCGCTCGACATGTGCATCAACTGCCGCCAGTAGGTCATCCAAAACATAGATGTCTGCGCGGGAGTAAATAGCACGGGCCAGTGCCAGTCGTACCCTCTGTCCGCCAGACAGGTTGATGCCACGCGGTCCGATCTCTGACAAATCTTGCGCCGGAAACAGCTTGACATCTTCAGCTAGTGCACATGCCTCGACAACGCGCCAGTAGAACTTCTCGTCAAAGGCCTGGCCAAACAGCACGTTTTCACGGAATGTCGCATTCATGATCCATGGCTTCTGACTGACATACCCGATCCGACCGTATGTGCACCCTGTGCCTGAAACCAGCGGCATCTCACTGCAGATAGCAGACAACAGCGACGATTTTCCACTTCCGATTCTGCCAACAACCACTGCAAACTCGCCAGTCTTGACATGCAGTGTCGTTGGTGCAAGAGTGAACTTGTCAGGACCCCACTGGAATGCACACCTGTCGAGCTCTACTGCAGTATCGCCTACTTGAACAGCAGACTCGATGTACCTGCTAGAGTCGTCCTCGAATATCCTCTCTAGTGCAGTTGCATATTTATGGATGCTTCGAATATCAGACGAAACGCTTGAACACCTCAAGGCAAATCCTGCGATATGTGTTGCCGACGATACTACTATCATCACCTCAGTAAACGTCAACGTTCCAGACGACCGGAGATACGACCCAACAGTCAGAGCAGTCACGAGCTGAATAGCCGAGCTGCCGATGAGGGTGACAATATAGCTTGCGATGCGCCAAAATAGGGGTGGAACATATTGAGGACGATCACTGGATGTGCGAACCATTTTGAATCCACTCTCCCAGCCGTAGAACTTGACCGTGCGCATGTTTTGGAGCAGCGTATACAGACCAGAGTAGAATGTAGGCCTCGACTGAACCTTACTCTTCTTCCTCAGTGCTTCAACCTTGGCTTCGACCAGGTTTTTCACAATGGAGAATACAGCCATGGAAATAATTGGCAGGATCGAGTGCCAACCAATCTTAGATACGAGTAGTCGGATGCTAAGCACGCTGGCAACTGAATGGCTAAGTGTCTGCAGCACGCATTCTATGCTACGTGATAGCATATAGGTGGGACCAGAATATCTAACTGAATAAAAGTATTCTGTAAGGCGGCCACATCTTCGGGATGTCTCAATAGCAATGATCTTGTTGCGGATAACGTCGAGAATCCTCCAGTGGAACATTTGTTTGAATATCTGCTGGTGTGAATCCACAACACTTGCCATTGACAACACGCTCCAGGTTGCACATAGGGCAAGTGTGGTAGAACTGTCCACGGCATTCTCTGGATTTACAGCACTTATGAGCATAGCGAACACGACTCCTTTATAATAGGCGCATATGTGGATAGCGGTATCAATGACTGACAAGACGAGAAGCTGCTTCCAGGCAAAGGCCAGATACCCGCGAAGGATGAAATAGGACTTCCGCTTGTCAAACTGCAGTCTCCCAATGCCATCCAGAGTCCACTTTATGCTATCCTCGCATTCAAAGTCTGCTACTGTCGGATCACGCTTAGAACATAGTCGTATAAGGGCGGCTGCATCGAGGCCAAATAGACCACGGAAGTAGCTGCGTATTTCTCTCTGTGTCGAAGGAATGAGCATATACCACGCAATAGCAAGGTGGGACAGAGCACTTGTTAACATGCAAATATTCAGGTGGGGCGCTGAGATGACCACCATAAAAATAGCACGAGTAACGTTCAGGAATGCAGCGCCATCACTAGCCGCATGATAAGACAGCGTATGCCCAAGCACAGTTACTGATGCCAGCAGCGAGGCGGTCGAGCTCAGGTGGACACTGGTAATAGACGCAGCAAGGGAGGCGAAACAAACGGCGCTAAGGGCAGCAAGTGTGCGTTTCTGTTTCGGAACTGGTGCGCCAGGATCCTTTCCAGGTGGCCATAGCAAAATAGCAACAGTCAGTGATGCATCCACAGTCGCTCCGAGAGTTCTAATTGTGAAAGTGCTAGTTAGCATCTGTGTGACTATCACCACGCCGTGTATTCCAAACTAATACGCACATCTGGGACACGATAGTATCGAACTCACTATTAGGAGTACCCATTTCCAACGGTAAAAACGATGAAGTGGAGAGTAAGGAGCGAGACAGCGTTTGGGTTGCTGCATCCCTTGGCAACCCTTGCAAAAGATGGCTCAGGGACATACAGCTATGAATGCATAGACGTGGATCGGCAGTTTCCGAATACCTGGGCATTGTTCGTGTGGAAAGTGATGGCTGTTTGTTTCTCACTGCGGCCAAAAGGACCGCGGCCATGTCGTGATAGGGTCTGGTTTGTCTGGGCATTCCATTCCCCACATTGCCCATGTATTCTAGGATATCAGTGATTTGCTCGCCATGTCACAATAGCACAGGTACTTTGTAGGTTAGTGCATGTATATGAGTAGTAGTTCATATGTATGGCGGGCAGCACCTAGGTGAATAAGCGGGGCGTCCACACTACGCTACATGTAAATCTACTCAAATTTGCCTCCGCGCTCAGCACGCAAAGCAACGGATTGGTACAGGAAGAACTATGAACTGCCAAGCCATCTTCTGTCCACAAAACAGGCTTGTTTGACAACCACAAGCTGCATTTCTGCTGCAGCTCATGGGAATTCGGGTGTCACCGCAGCTGCATTCAAACATTTTTCGCACACTAGTCTGCTCTCTACAATTGCTGCGGCTTTGGCTCAGAGATAAACCACAGTTGTCTATCCTAACGTCTTTAAAAGCGCACCGGACTAATCCCTTCTCTGCATATTTTCCACACTCATTTTTCTATTATTCAACATGGCAACTACATCAGCTCAGCCAGGTGCACTTTTTGTTAGAGAAGGCGATGACTTTGAATACCAGAGTGGTACTGCTGGTCAGGGATTCCGCACCACGGTGTACCGTCAGCATGAGAACAACATGTGAGTTGTACTGTATCGGGTTCCGAACCCGCTGTGTCGTCTTACTATTTGCGTGCCGACAATTGCCACAGACAACAAGGGTCTGCCGCACACACTCGAACACCTGGTAGTCTGTGGATCAGAAAGATATCCCAACTATGGAAGCCTAGGTGCAATTGCTGGCTGTAATTTCTCATATGGTACATGCGGGTGTACCAATGCAGACCGCATATTCTACACGGTTACAACTGCAGGCGAAGAGGCGATCGCCAACATACTACCAGTCTTTCTGGACCATGTTCTTCATCCTCTACTATCCGACGACCAGTTCGTAACTGAAGTCTACCATTTCGACGCTGATGGCAAGGAGCGAGGCGTCGTTTTCAGCGAGGTGGTTATGCGCGAGAATGGTAGAGTCGATTTGATGAGGGCTGCTTTGTACAAGTTGATGTATTCTGAGAAATCACCGTATTCTTTCCAAGCTGGCGGCCTTACCAAGGATATTGCGACGCTGACAAACCAGGAGATCATCGACTACCATCGCAGATTCTACGATGCCAACAACATCACAGTTCTGTTGGTTGGATCTTTCAGCGACTCATTCGAGAGCGTTCTTCAGCAGCTACCTGCCGATTTGGTAACCAGTGGCGGCTGTGATTCACGCAAGCCTGTCGAGTGTCCTGAGCCTGTGGGTGATAGGTGGTCGGAGTACATCAGGTTCCCTTCGGCAAGTGCAGACACAGGGTCATTTAACTTCGGATGGCGTGGGCTGTTGCTGAGTGATGCAGAGGCCGTTACAGCTATCAGTGTTCTGCTGAGATATCTGACTGAGGATGCATCCAGTCCACTCAGACAGCGATTTGTTGAACGTACAGTGCCGTTGTCTGGCTCACTGTATGCGTATCTAGGTTTTGGAGCTCCTTCACTAGTCACCATAACATTCGATGGTGTACCGTATATCGACCCAAGCGACTCCCATGATGATTCCGAAATTTCGATGCTATTCTCTGAAGGCTATTTTGGGAATCTGCTCATTCAGGAGCTCCAGCAACTGTACGATTCCAAATTCGATGGAAATGCCGGTGCACGGAGTCAAGCTGCAAAGGAGTACTGTCAGTCACTTGCAATGGAGCTTGAGGACGACCCTCTCCAGAAACTAGAGGCTACCCTGATCCGCGATGTCATCGCATCTCACTGGTCACCTAGCAGCGAGTTTCATGTCGGGATATATGCTCGGGTGTTCGATGTCATCGATGAGCTTATTCAGAAACCAGTCGACCTTTGGCTGGATCTGCTCAAGAGGTTTATCGACACGCGTGTGTATTATGTAGCAGCCGTGCTGGATACAGAGCTGGGAAAGAAGCTCGAGCAGGAGCGCCGCGGTATCGAGCAGAGGAATGCGCAGTCGATTTCTGACAAGGACAGGCATACACGGCATATCGAGAAGGCAGTTGAGGCCAGCAAGCTGAACATTCCAGATGAGCTGAAGCGCAGTATTCATATCCCGGATGCACAGAAGATTGCCAGTCTGCCACATATACATGAGGTTGTAGAGCTGGCAACACCAATCGGCCCTGCAGCTGTTGTTCAGTTAATCGAGCTTGAGACTGCGTTCCCACCACTAAGCCTCAACATCCCCCTCCCAGACCTGCCTGACAGTCTCCGCCCTTATCTGGCCCTTTTCAGAGAGCTTGTACTAGCAACCGGCATCGCTCTTCCACCCGGAGTTACCAATGATGGAGAAGCATCCGATGTTGCTCGCCGTGTCAGCCACACGGAGTTCAATCACCAGCTAGCTGCTGCTACTATGTCTATAGGTGCTGGGATCAGCAAAAACACGGACCTATTTTTCATGGATATGAGGTCGACGTACGAGAGTATGGAGGAGGCCAGTCGATTGCTCATTCGATCTCTGCTGTTTGCCGATTTTACCGTTGAACGAATCCTTACCATTGCACAGAACTTCCTCAGCGAAATGACATACTCCAGAAGACTTGGGAGCGAGATGATTGAGGAGGTTACATACCATTACACAACACAGAATCGCAGTGGCCCCTCTCGTCGGCCCAGAAATTGGGCTAGCATATTTGACCAGGAGCAAGCATTGAAGAGCGTCATCGAGGCGCTTGATTCTGGTGATACGAGCGTTGTGGATCAGTTGAACGAACTCCAGAGGTATATTGTCAATAGAACAAGAGGATTTTGGACATTCACTTCCTCCTATGGCCAGCGCAAGGAAAACATGAGGTTCATCGACAGGCTGGCTCAAGACTGGCAAGGCTGCTTTGGATGTTTCCTGGTGTCAAATGCCAACAATGTTTCCGGCGAAGCCGATGCTTTGCCAGGATACCCATTCCCCTATCCGCGCTATTCTTGGTTCCCAAGCATTTCAAGCCCACTGAATATTCAGGTCACCATGCCAACTCTTCACGCTGCTGTTGTGCGTATTTGCTGCGAATGCAGTATCTTTACATATCCATCACCCAGTAGACCGTTCGATGCGCAATTGGCTTATTTCCCTGGCATCGACTACTACGCACTTGAGCTTTTGGTTTCATTGCTTCAGCGCAGCGGTGGCCCACTGTACAATGCGATTCGCGGCAAGGGCTTTGGATACACTCCATTACTCATGCAAGACATGGCATCAGGTATGCTTGTATTTGATGTCGATCAGGCATCAGACGCATCAAAGGCCATTTTGGAAATGCAAGCACTCGTGTCCGGTGTTGGCGAGCACTGGGACAGCTACGTTACTGAGTTCGACATCAACATGGCAAAGTCCGAGATGGTCTACAAGAGCGCAGCTTCAGAGTGCTCTCCTTGTTGGCAAGCAGATTGTTGCATTGGCAGCAATCTGTATGGGTTTGCATCGGCAAGCCAGTACGCCATCTGGAATCGTACTCACATCAGTGCTGTGACAGGTGCCGACTTGCGGCGGGTATATGACCTTTATCTAAAGAGGTTTGTGACTCCTGGCCATCCACTGCTTACAGTTGTCCTAACCCCTCTGGACACTGGGCTTGCGGCAGAGCTGGGCGAGTTCGACGTCAAGACATTGGACGAGCTCTAGCAAGCAGAGCCCGAGTACTTGATTCCAGAGTAATCACTGCGATAATCAGGGCTGGAAATTGTCGGGGCTTTGGCTTCCCCCGGGCCGAGCAAGCAGTCACTGGCAAACCCCGAGCGTCATTGTATTGCCTTCCTCTTCTTGACCAACTTCACGCGGTAATATTTATCTACTATTCTAAGAATGTCACAGAGAAAGATTGTACTGATTACAGGCTGCTCAGACGGCGGCATCGGCCACCACATGGCAGTGGAGCTCGCTGCGCGCGGCTGCACAGTGTACGCATCAGCTCGCAACACCTCCAAGATAACATATGCCAACGACAAGAGCATCATCCCCCTGGAGCTCGATGTCACCAGCATGGAGTCCGTGAAAGCAGCAGTTGCGCAGGTCGTTAAGGAGGCTGGGCGAATTGACGTGTTGGTCAACAACGCAGGCATGAGCTGCATGGGACCCATGGTTGAAGTCGATATTGAAAGGGTGCGGCAGGCATATGATACGAACGTGCTGGGCGTGGCCCGGGTGTGCCAGGTAGTGTCTCCGCACATGATCAAGCAGCGCAGCGGCACGATTGCCAATGTTGGCTCGGTGGTCGGCTACAGCTGCACGCCCTGGGCCGGCGTGTACGCGTCGACCAAGTCTGCTGTGCACGCAATGTCAGACGCCATGCGCATGGAGCTGAGCCCGTTCAATGTGCATGTCACGGTGGTGGCTCCTGGTGGCATCAAGTCGCATTTTGCCGACAACAGCTCGCTCGAGCTGCCCGAGTGGACAAACTACGAGCCGGCGAGACCTGCAATTGAAGCAAGGATCAAATATTCGCAGTCCGGTGGCGTCACACCCACCGACGAGTTTGCGCGTGTGGTGGCGGGCCGCATTCTGGCAGACCGCCCGTCGGCATATATCACGTATGGGAACCACTCGACGCTGACCTGGCTGCTGTACTATGTGCCGCCTGTCCTGCGCGATAGGCTGTTGGCGCGGCGCTTCAACACGGGGTTGCTGAGGACCAAGGATGCGGATAGCAGTAGCAGTGCTGGGTCTCTCAAGGCGCTGCTGGCGCTGTCTGCAGCGGCAGTTGTTGTGTGGGCGGTGAACCCGGCAGGGGTTGCACGAAGCCTAGTCTCCTCGGCCTGAGCTGGAACGGGCAGGATCGGCCGCTCAGGACAGATGTTTTTTTTTTTTCCACAGTCACATGCGTATAAGTCACCCGCCGCTTCAGCTCCAGGTTAATTGGTTGACATGTGAAAGAGTTGAGGAGGGGGCGGATCAGATGCGAGCTGGCAGTTTGGACAGACCAAAGGTGTCAACGATGCCAAAAAGTCAAATGGCAGGCTGCTGCTATGCCCTTTCTCTCCTCTCCTCAGTTCCCTTAATACGAAAGTTTCTTATCTACATTTTGTATAAACTGGCCTAAAACAGTAGCAATATGCTTGAGCACATTCTGGGCAAGCCGTCGGCAAACGTGCGGCGGATGCAGGTGCTTGCGATCACGGCGATGGCCATGAGCCTGCTCAAGCGCAAGACCACGCCGTGGTGCCTCCGGTGGACCGAGAGAATCCGGTTTCCGCTGTGGAAGGCCCTTGTATTATACTCTGCAGTGCTCTACGCGCTGGACCACATGGGGGATATATTTGGGCTGAATGCGCCGGAGCCGCTGCGCGAATACTACAGCCGCAGCTTCTACCGAACTACATGGGTGTTCACGGCCCTGGACGCCGGGTTCTGGACAGCAATGTCCATCCGACCGAAGCCACTGCGGGACGTTCTGTCGATGGTTTTTTCGCTGTACTACCTGGTGTTTACCGCACGGGGCGTCGAGAAGGTGCGCAAGGTTCGGGCTTTGGTGACCATTGATCATCTGCGGGTCGCGTGGAACAAGGGCGCCGACAACCCGATCCTGCGGTTCATGCGGTACCTGCACTCGAGCAAGCTGACTATTGACCGCGAAGTGTATTTGCCCAGACGGCCGTTGGCGAATCTAGGAGCCGGCCAAGTGCCACATCTACTATGCCGGCAATCCGTCAGAGTACTCGGAGACCCGGTACATTGTGCTGAACTACCCGGGCGGCGGGTTCGTGTCCATGGGGCCCAAGTGCCACTTCGGACTACCTCAGCAGGTGGGCGGAGCGCACCAATGCAGTGATCGTCAGCGTGGACTACGCCAAGGCGCCCGAGTACCCGTACCCATATGCCATCGACCAGTGCTACGAGGTGTACAAGGACATTGTGGCCTCCAACGGGCGGTGCATTGGCATCCACACGCACGAGCCGCTCAAGATAGTCCTGGCTGGTGACTCGGCCGGCGGCAACATCACCGCTGGCGTCATGTTCAAGATCCTGGAGTCACCCGACCGGCTGCGCAAGCCCGACGGGATCGTGTTCATCTACGGGTGCTTTAACGTAGATATCCGTGCGTGGATGACAAAGGACGAGGCGCGCATTCTGCTGGGCTCGCGTGAGGCGGATATTTTGGTGGAGCCGCGCGACCACCTGCACCACGAGTCGCCGCTGGCCACCACCAACAAGGACAACGGGTACCAGCAGAGCCGGTTCCAGATCCGCAAGCGCAAGCTCATTGACGAGCGCATCAAGGTGGTGCGTGCCGACGACAGCGACTCGGGCGAGCCGATCGGATACACGCCACTGGCCATGACCAGCGCGTTCACGTACTTTAACGACCAGGTGCTGACGCCCGAGATGATGCGCGCCATGGTCATCATGTACGTCGGCCCTAATGCCAGGCCGGACTTCCGCACCGACTACTACCTGTCGCCAATAGTCGCCCCCGACCATCTGCTGGAGCAGTTCCCGCCCGTGTACTTCATGTGCGGCGAGAAGGACCCGATGGTCGACGACACAGTGCTGTTTGCCGAGCGGATCCGCCGCGCCAAAACCAAGGACACCGGCGCACCCGAAGACAAGGCAGTCCCGGGCGACCACAGCGACCACCACGAGTACCAGGCGTACCGCGGGTCGCGGCTCTACACCCGGCGTCACAGCCAGCCGCGCATTCTGCAGCCCAACTCCAAGAGCTTCTACATTGGCAGCACCGACACCAGCGACGACGAAGGGCTGGCACAGGCAAAGTTCCCTGCGTCGCTGCGCATGTCTGGCATGCCCGAGAAGCTGTCGGTGGCGCTGGCGAAGAGTATCAGCGGCAGGAATGCCACAGAGGGCAAGCAGCCGGTTATCAAGATCAAGCTGGTGGCTGGCATGTCGCATGGGTTTATGCAAATGTACGCGCTGCTGCCAGAATCCAAGCAGGTGGCCAATACGCTGGGCGACTGGCTGATGGAGCTGCTGTACGGATCGCACCATATCTCAATGTCGTCGCGGTGCACGTCGCAGGTCGAAACGGGGATATTTGAAAAGGGCATCATCGACAAGCACGGCATTGAGGTGGTGTCGTCGGCAAACATGGTCAAGCGCCGCGGTCTGGGACTGGCGGATCCGCTCAATTAGAAAAACATTAGAGGTACATGGGCAATATGATATTCAGCTACACTGTACATGTTACGCAGCAGCCGGGGCGCGCTTCACGCAGAATTTCAAGCTGGCTGGGTGATGGGGTGATGTGCTATTTTGTTTTTGCTACTAGTTCAGCAGATTGATCACGTTCGACCGGCTACCCGAGCCGTGCTTCGCGGCGGGAGAACATTCCTCCGGCGATTGTGGCGGTGGCGGCGACTGATGATGGTGTGTGGCGGGGGCCGGAGATTGCGGGGCCTCGGTCGGGGTTTGGGCGGACTGGCGCGAGGCAGTCGGCAGCGGCGGCGAATGCACGGCGTGATGCAAGGGCGGCAATGACTGCGACAGCTGCGTCATGGGCGGCGACATGGAGTGGATGCGCATAGTGTCGACGTGTCCCCGCCAGGCTGCCCTCGGTGCTCGCAGACGACAGCTGCACACGGACCTGCATCTGCTCGCTGGCACCGAGCTCGGGCAAAAAGGCAAAGAACTCCTCGTCCATGGTGGCCACGACCAGCGATACCAGGATGCTGGAGATGGACGTATACGTCATCTTGTATTCTGGGACCTGGCGCTGGTGGCTGCGCGCAGTAGCAGCCTCCATCGACGCCGTGCGCTTGATCTTGGCGCCCACCGGCTTGCTGCCAAAGATGGCGCAGAGGTTGCTGGTCAGCGGGATGCCGCCGTGCGGGCGCGTGCGCGGCTCGCTGGGCTGGTCGTCAAAGACCGAGTTGGCGGCTGGCGGCATATTGGCGATGTGGCGGATGGGGTGCAGGAACACGGTGAACTTTTTGTCAACAACCGCCTCGATGGACCCGGGCACAAGCAGGTCGCGCATGGTCAGCAGCTGGGATTTCTCCAGGCGCTTCGGCATAAACGTCACCATTTCCTCGACCTGGACAATCTCCTCCCACGCCTGTGCAAACAGAAGCGACTTTGTCCCGCAGCTCTTGCACATGCGCTTGATGAACGCCGTGGTCTGCGCAAAGCTCTCGCGCAGCGCCCGCGTCGGCGCCGAGTGGGCGCATGCTGCCGCTATGCCGCCGGCCAGCATCAGCGCATACGAGATGAACATGGGCGGCGTCTCGTTCTCCAGCAGGTCCGTCACCAGCCGCATCTGTCGGCACAGCCGGCAGGCATTGCTGATGTAGTCGGCTAGCATCCGCTCGCGCGTCTCGCCGTTGCACATCTGCGGCGGCAGCACGCTGGTTGCCTGGCGCGGGTCGTCGCAGCGCGCCATTAGATACGGCGACACCACCGACTTCATGCACAGCGCGGCCGACGATATCAGCATTCGTGTGCTGGATCTCCTCGGCCGTCACATTGGCTGGCATCTCCGGCACTGCTGCCAGCCACTCGGTCAGTGACTCAAATGTCGTCAGCACCAGCTTGTCCATGTCCTCTACCGACGCGTTCGGGTCGTTGATCGTGCGCAGGACCGCGTTGCCGATCACGGCAAAGTTGACCTGCACGATGCTGCCGTTGACGTGCCACCGGATGCCGTCCAGCTTTGCTTGTTTGATCCGCTGTCAGGTACTCTGAGTCGTTGGGCGAGATGTGGAATGTGTCGGGCGGCAGCGAATACGACTCCAGGCTGTCGTTGCCCACATACCACATGGACGGCGCGCACGGGCCGGTTGACCCCGCTCAGGTCCACCAGGACATTGGGTGCCTGGTGCAGCATCAGCGACACAAACGTGTCCACCGTGAACGAGCTCCAGATGAGCCGCCGCATTTCCTCGCGCTCGAGCCATGACTCGGACACCCACAACTCTTCGTCGCTCCACACGCTGTCGTCCAATTTGTACACTTTGAGCTGTTGCAAAAGCCGAAGTGCGAGCGCTAATAGTGCAGAAAACGGAAATACGCATGGGGGATTTCCCCATGGAGGACACGGTTAGTGAAAAAGTGGCTCGCAATTTTGTCGGGGGTAGCACCTTGTTGCACCGAGTTTGCCAGTGTTGATGTTGGACACATCTCTCATCTGCCTCGTGTTCATAACAGGCGAAACAAAACTTGTTCATAGCAAACGAAACAAAACTGGCTGGCTACGTGGGAAATCTCGCATCTGTCCGAAAAAGAGCACATGAAGAGAACTGATGCTCGCCACCCCAAATCCTCGCATTTTGCTCGGCTGTTGAGGCTGATAGCACTGGCTGCCCGAGCGCATACAAGACAGCAAAAAAGAATACAACGGGCAATACGCGTGATAATGAAAATCCCCGGGTGCTTCTGGTTGTGTCTGCTGTTCGGGGAGGAGCACACCCCATTCTCCCGCCCCCAAAGGACAAACAGCAACCGGCAGGGGTCATATGAGCACCTATGCCTGATGAAGATATACTTACTGGAATAATGGCTCGCTACATTGAGCTGTCCGAGGTGCATATAAGCGACCGACAGCAGAATAATTGCTGCGCACGAGCTCGAGTCCGGCCGCTCAATGACATCGGCCACAAACACCTTGGCGCGATCCACGAACCGGCGTGCAGCCTCGACCGGGCCAATATCGACAATAGCCGGGTGTCTGCTGAACATGGCATTGTTGGCCATCACGCACAGCGCCAATAGCGACGACACCTTGCCGCGCCGATACTGCTTCATGAAATTGCCCGGGTGCAGCATCTTGCCGACAATATTGAACTCGGCCACGGTATGTCCCACAAGCTCATCCATAATGTCCTTGGCTGGCAAGTGCGATCGTGCGTCAAACGCCAGCCGGGCCGTCAGGCTTGGTGGCTGCCATGGACGGCGAGTATGCCGACGACGCCGACGACGAGGACACCGACGCCGCCATTGTCTGGCTGCTCAGTGAATATGCCTTCAGCGTATTGTCGAATTGCGTCCGCGCAGGCCGACCCGGTGGCGATCGGCTGCGACTCACCGGGCTCATTGCTGTGGCTATGCGCCGGGTTGACAGTTCTGCTAGGCGTCGCAAGCATGTCGCTGGGCCGTCCGTGCGGGAATCCGCTGCCCTCCACCCCGCCGTAATGCCGCTTTGTCCCACGCAGCTCGGGCGTCCGCGAGGGGTCAGAGAGGCTGGATTGTGGCTGCGCCAGCGTTGCCCCGTGGGCCTGTGCGCTGTGCCGGATACATATATGCTGTGCTGACGGATGCGCTCCGCGACCGGCTCATGTTGTGTGTGTCTAGCGTCTGTGCGCTGCTGAGTGGCGAGCTCGATGGGTCTGTTGGTACAGTGGGGTTGTTCATTGCAGGTTGTGTTGAATTATGTTTGAGGACAAAGGAAAAAAAAGGCTAAAATAAAATTGTGCAGTAGAGACAGTAAAAAAAAACTGGTACTGCAAAAAAAAATAAAGGAAAAGGTTCGAAGGGGGGAAAGGCGGGCAAGATATACTCAAACCATCAGCAGGGCGCGGGCCTTGGTTTATCGAGAGGGTCGGTGGTGGCAGGGCTCGGCTTACACTAGTGCACAGTACAAGGAGCCACACAGCCTCGGCGTCCGAGATTGCCCCGGATTTTTCAAAGCACAGCAGTGCATCTCCGCAACTCCCCGCCCATCAATGGTCAGCTGGCGCTTGCTGCAAAACCAGAAGATTTCTGCAAGTTCCTGAATTTCATGTCAATTGCGGCTGTTTCTGCTATTGTTCTGCCGGAAGAAGCAGTCGGCCCTTCCCCCTTAAAGTGGACAGCGCTCTGCGGACACTGGCATCTGGTGCTGCTCAGATCCCTTGAGGTGGGAAAGAGTAAACACAGACAGGGCGGCGCGTGTGAAATGTCGCCCTTTTCTTCTGGGAAAAAACACTTGTCCGTGGTGCACGTTGAGATGTTAGATGATTATGAATCTGCGGAAGGAGGTCAGGTATGCCGGCGCGGACATTGGCGATCATCAGTTGTATATGATCTTGGAGGGCTGGCACCGGTGTGTCTCCGAATACCCGCCGTTGATAGGCGTCGTTGGCAGAAATCCGCTGCACAGCCTGTGTGCGGTCGGCAGCCAGCCCCGCAGCAACATGCCGGCTGATCAGGCGCTCATAGCACACCTGCTCGTCGGCTGCGCAAACCCACCATGACTCATCGAAATACTGGTGGGCCTGCAACCACGGCATCTCGTTGACATGGGCGTACAGCCCTTCGATTACGACGATACGGTGGCTAGAGATGGGAGGGGTTTTAGCATAACCGCCTTTTGTCGGGCAAAAAAGGTCAGGGGGATGGGCGTTTTGCTTACCGTGGTTCGATGGCAATGTCGTTCTGCTTGGGATCGCCCACGGCATGATCAAAGGATGGCGCGAGCACCGTGGAGTCAGGATGCTCGCGCAGCTGCTTAACCAAATCAACGAATGCGCAGGCGTCGAATGTCCATGGGGCGCCGCGCCGCAGCATTGCCAGCTTGGGGTTGTCCATAGCCAGCAGCTGCTGCTTGGTCAGATGGAAGCCGTCCATGGATACGGCCATGGCCACATCTGTGCCACAAATGGCGTTGACCGCATCCACTATGCGCTCGCTCAGATAGGATTTGCCCGATCCAGGCACGCCTCCGAGGGCGACCACAAAGCGCGCTGTCGCTGCGCTACGCAAGAAAAAGGACGAGCTCAGTCTTCGGTTCCGGCCATGTTGGGGGGCAGAGGGACTAGTGGAAAATCAAGGAGACTTGCCTCTTGCTGGCCAGGTACGCTGCCAGACTGTCGATTTGCCATTGGGTATCAGCAGGACTCATGTCAGCGGTTCAGGTGCTGGGGGTGGTAGGGAGATATGTTTCACCATGGCATGAAGAGAAGCAGCTCGCCTGACAGCTCATCGCGGCGTGCGCGTGGCAGAGCGCGTTATGGGGTGCTGCCAGTGGGCAGTTTGCGATGCCCTATGCACGTGATCGTGCAGGTTTGGCTTGGCAGCAGTGGTTCTGTCACGTGAAACGCAAAGAGCTCGGATGGTAGTGGTGGCGTTGGCTGGGAACGAGCTGCCAAACACAGCGGTGCGCATTTCTTCAAAACACTTTATAGAATCAGTATATTTTAATCCAGGCCACGCAAATGCAGTACGTCGGAAAGGTGTTCTCGACGGTCAGCCAGCTGTACAAGGAGCTGAACCCGGCGACGCTGAGCGGGGCGATCGACATCATCGTGGTTGAGGGCAAGGACGGAGAGTTGTCGTGCTCGCCATTCCACGTGCGGTTCGGAAAGCTCCAGCTGCTGCGGCCGTCAGACAAGGCCGTGCAGGTCATTGTCAACGGCAAGGCAGCCGAGTTCTACATGAAGGTGGGGGTGGAAGGCGAGGGGTTTTTTGTGCTGGAGACGCAGGGCGAGGTGCCCAGCGAGTTTGCCACATCGCCGGTGGCCTCGCCGACGCTGTCGTTCCGCGACGGCGAGGACCCGGACTTTCTGGACCTAGGCAGTGTGCCCGGCGGCGTGCCCGGCGACGCCAACGACGGGTACGTCAGCGCTCCCAGCGCCCACGAGTCCGAGGACGAGTCCTGGTCGGCCGACGAACAGCCGCCGGTGCGGCCAGTGCGGCCGGTGCGGCGCCACGTGCGGCGTGTCAGCAGCGCCAGCGCATATATGCCGTGCGCGACGCCCTCGGCCGATCACGTGGGCACAGCGGCGTATGCGGAGCCCGGCGACGGCATGTGGCTGCCGCAGAATTCCGACGGGCCAGCACCGGTGACGTTCCTGGATGACACGGTGGTGGGCACGCGGTTCAAGGCGCGCGGCGGCGCTGTCGTCGATGCGTCGCTGGAGCAGATCAAGCTCGGGTTGCGCGGACAGGCGGACAGTGCTGGAGCAGCAGGAGGCAGACACACGGCCCCGCCGGCCCATGAGCGTGGTCAGCGACTCGGCCTATGTGCTGGATCCATTCAGTGGCGCTGATAGTCCCTGCCGATCCGGCCGAGGGCGGTGCCCATACCGGCTGGGACTGGGGGGTGCCAGCGCAGGAGCTGGCGGCAGACGGAGCGAAGGAAGAGCAGCCGGCGGCAGACGAGGCAAGGGAAGGGCAGCCGGTGGCCACTTCAACCGCCTGTTCGCTCGACATGTCGCGGATGCTGGCGTCGCTTGGCAATCCGGGGGCTCAGCCGCTGGCCATCTCTCTTTGCGGCATCCAGGCGCTGCAGTCGGCCGGCGACGCGGCAGCGCAAGCGCAGGTGTTTGCGGACAGTCAGGTGGATGTGGCAGCGTTCAAGCGCGACGCCATGGCCATCGTCACCGATCCGCACGCGGTGTTCCGCACCAGCGACGGGCAGTATGCGCAGAGCGAGCCGCTGGTCGTGTCGTTGGTTGCGCGGCTGGCGTTTGGCGAGTCGCTCGGCGGGTTCGGTCTGGCCGAGGCCTCAGGCGCCGGAGCCCAGGGCATTGTCACGATGGCTGAGGCCGCCAAGGACAAGGGCGGCGGCAGCCAGGAGACTGCTGATGAGAAGGACGGCTCCAGCAGCCAGCAGCCGGCCGATGCCAAGGCTCCCAAGCCCGAAGGTGGCCGGCGGTGGTGGCCGTGGGGGCAGCGCAGCCCACCCACGCCCGTGGCACACGCCCAGACCATGCCAGCTCCGGACCGCATTGAGGAGGGGGCTCCGGCTCGCACTGGGGAGGGGGCTCCGGCCCCAGCCGACGCTATTTCCATAAAGATCCCACCGCGCAGAGACAACTATCAGCAACAACGACGACGAGGCGGTGGTGTCGCCGCACACGCACTATGCCAAGACGCTGCGGCTGACATCAGCGCAGCTCAAGTCGCTGGGACTGCAGCGCGGAGCCAACACGGTCAAGTTCCTGGTTCCGTCCAACAAGGCGTACTGCGAGGCCAAGATCTTCTTCTACGGCAGCGACACGCACATTGTGATCTCGGACATCGACGGCACCATCACCAAAGTCGGATGCGCTGGGCCACCTGTTCAATATGGTGGGCAAGGACTGGACCCACGCGGGCGTGGCCAAGCTGTACACCGATATTGCCTGCAATGGCTACGAGATCCTTTATCTGACATCACGTGCCATCGGGCAGGCTGCCGGCACACGGCTGTTCCTCGACAGCGTCAAGCAGGGCCAGTATGCGCTGCCGATGGGCCCACTGCTGCTGTCACCCGACCGCCTGTTCACATCGTTCCACCGCGAGGTCATCATGCGGCGCCCGCATCGAGTTCAAAATGGCGTGTCTGCGCGACATCAAGAATCTGTTTGGCGGCGTCGCGCCCTTCTACGCCGGCTTCGGCAACCGCATCACCGATGCCATGTCGTACCGCAGCGTCAACGTGCCGGTGTCGCGCATCTGCACCATCGACACTGCTGGCGAGGTCAAGCTGGAGCTTCTGCCCGGCTACCGCTCGTCCTACGTCAAAATGAACGACCTGGTCGACATGATGTTTCCGCCCCTGGCCGCCAAGCTCGACCCCAAGTTCAACGACTGGGAGTTCTGGAAGACTTCCTCTGCCGTCGATTGACCACGACCTGGCTGAGATCGAGGCCCAGCTGGAGGCCGAGCAAGAGGAGGCCCGCCAGGCTGAGGAGCGTGACCGCCAGCGCCGTGCTGCCCAAGACGACGGCCGCAAATCGCCGTCCATCTTCACCCGCGCCACGCGCTCCACCCGTGCTGCCTCATCTGTCCAGCCCTCTGACGCTGCATTGCTGCTGCCGCCGCCCCCGAACCCTGCCACTGCTGATGCCCGTCCTCGAGCCGACTCGTGGGCTCCACTGCCGCCCGCACCGTCGCCGCCCGTGCGCGCCGACTCGCCAGACCACTTGCCGCCGCCAGCTGCGTCCGAGACCGCCGCTGTGGAGCCGCCCATCGGGGTCCTGCCTGCTGTGAGCCCTGACGCGACGCAGCAGCGTGTGCCGAGTGTGGCCAGCAGTACCGGCCGCATGAGCATGCTGCAGAAGGTCAACCCATTCAACCTGGTCCGTGGATCATCGCCGCCGCCCGCCGCCACCGCCACCCAGCGGCCCGGAGCAGGCTGCTTTCCCGCCTCTGAAGAGTTCGCCATCGCAGCAGTCGCTTGCCGACGACCCCAGGTGTTGCTGCTGCTGCTTCGCGCCTGGTGCCGCAGTTCTCCGCCGTCAGCATTGAGTCAAAGAACCCCACCGATGACGAGGACGAATACAGTGACGCCGACGACGTCGATTCTGAAATCGATGACGACGACGATGACGATGACGACGACGACGGCGATGAAATCGACCAGGAGACCATGAACATAATCCACGACCTAGACGAAATCCAGTACCTCTAACAAACTCCCGTAGAAATATTATTTTATTGAACATCCTTAAATCACTTGCGCATGCCAAGGTAGTCGCTCCAGCGCTTGACATCCACCGGTGTCTCAATGTTCAGCTTGGCCTTGCCGTATAGCGTCGTCGCTGTGCCCTCAGGCAGGGCGGCCAACGCATCAACCAGCATCTCAGCGCAGCGCTGGTCGTTGATCAGCGGCAGCCCGAAATCAACCGCCATGCGCCGCATCGCATAGCTGGTGTTGCTCTTGTCGGCCGGCCGGTGCTTGGCCAGGTTGACCACCAGGTCGATGCTGCTCTTGGCCACCGCGTCGCGCAGCGTGCGTCGGTCCTCGTAGTCGAACCGGACCACGTCGACGCTGGGCACTCCGCCCAGCACCAGCAGATCCGCCGTCGCCGGCTCGTCCGTCAGGATCGGGTACCCGGCGTCGCTGAAGTGCTTGGCCACTTTCTGCACAATGCGCGGCTCGGTCAGGTCGTCGATGCCGACATACACGGCCTTGCCGGGACGCGGCAGACGGAACCCGTTGGTTGACAGCAGCGACACCAGATACGCTTCTTCTGGCGTCTTGCCAAAGCACGCAACCTCGCCCGTCGACGACATCTCGACGCCCAGGAACGGGTCGGCCCCCGCCAGGCGCGTCCACGAGAACTGCGGCACCTTGATCGCTGTGTACGGCCACGCGCTGGCGCCCTTCATCAGGTCGCGCGGCGCCGGCACTCCCTCGCCGACGATGGCCCGTGCTGCGCAGTCCACAAAGTTGACATCGGTGACCTTGGACACAAACGGGAACGACCGCGACGCCCGCAGGTTGCACTCGATGACCTTGAGCAGCGGAGAGCCGGCGTTGTCGGGGTTCTTCTGCATGATGATCTGCATGTTGAAAGGGCCAGAAATCTCCAGCGCCTTAGCCACCTTCTGCCCGATCTCCTTGACGCGATCCATCACCGACGCGCTCAGATTCGCCGGTGGCAGGATCAGCGACGCGTCTCCAGAGTGCACCCCTGCGTCCTCCACGTGCTCGCTGACCGCATGCACCAAAAGCTCGCCCTGGTGCGCCACTGCATCAATGTCAAGCTCGCGCGCCCCACGGATGAACTTTGTCACCACCACCGGATGCTCGGGGCTCACCGACGCCGCCAGCTCCAGGTGGCTGCGCAGCGCTGCCGCGTCATATGCGACGTTCATCGCCGCCCCCGACAGCACATACGACGGCCGGATCAGCACCGGATATCCGACCGCCTCCGCAAACTGCTCGGCCTCGCCCACGCTGGTCAGCTCCTTCCACGCCGGCTGGTCCACGCCGATGTCGTCCAGGATCTTGCTGAACCGGTACCGGTCCTCCGCCGCATCAATCATCTCCGGTGCCGTTCCCAGCACCCGCACGTCGTTCTGGTGCAGGCGCAGCGCAATGTTCTGCGGCAGCTGCCCGCCCACGCTGACCACCACCCCCTTGGCCTGCTCCGCCTCGTAGATGTCGCGCACCCGCTCGTAGCTGAGCTCGTCAAAGTACAGGCGGTCGCACTCGTCAAAGTCCGTCGACACTGTCTCTGGGTTGTAGTTGACCATCACCGTCTTGTGCCCCAGCGCCCGCAGCGCACGGATCGCCGACACCCCGCACCAGTCGAACTCCACCGACGACCCGATGCGGTACACTCCTGAGCCCAGAACCATCGTGCCGTGCTCGTCAAACTTGACATCATCTGTTGACGCGTTGTATGTCATGTAGAGGTAGTTGGTCGGCGCCGGGAACTCTCCTGCCAGCGTGTCGATGCGCTTGGCAAACGGCCGCAGCCCGTACTGCGCGCGCAGCCCACGCACGCTGTCCTCGCTGACGCTGCCCTTGCCGCCAGCCGACAGCAGCTTGGCGATCTGCTGGTCAGAGAACCCCGTGCGCTTGGCCATCTCCAGTGCGTTGCGGTTGAGGTTCTGCAGCGTCTGGTGCGGGTCCTTCAGCGCCCGGTGCACCTTGCAGATGTTGTCCAGCTTGTGCAGGAACCACCTGTCGATCTTGGTGATGTCATGCAGGCGGTCCACCGTGTACCCGCGCTCGATCATCGCATACGCCAGGTAGAACAGCCGTCTGTCGGTGGGGTTCGCCAGCATGCGCTCCAGCTCCTGCTCGCTCGCCGGAATGCACTCGGCCAGCGGCGCAAACCCCGCAAACCCAGGGTCCACCGACCGGATCGCCTTCTGCAGGCTCTCCTCGAACGTGCGGCCAATTGCCATCACCTCGCCCACCGACTTCATGCACGATCCAATGTCGCGGCTCACATGGTTGAACTTGCTCAGGTCCCACCGCGGGATCTTGGTCACCACATAGTCCAGGCTCGGCTCAAAGCACGCCGTCGTTGTCGTCGTCACGCTGTTCTGCAGCTCCGGCAGCGTCCACCCCAGCCCAATCTTGGCCGCCACAAACGCCAGCGGGTACCCCGTGGCCTTGGACGCCAGCGCCGAGCTGCGGCTCAGTCGCGCGTTCATCTCAATCACGCAGTACTCCAGGCTCTCCGGGTTCAGCGCATACTGCACGTTGCATTCGCCGACGACGCCCATATGCCGCACAATCTTGATCGCAGCCGTGCGCAGCATGTGGTACTCCTCGTCGCTCAGCGTCTGGCTCGGCGCCACCACGATCGAGTCGCCGGTGTGGATGCCCAGCGGGTCAAAGTTCTCCATGTTGCACACCGTCACGCAGTTGTCCTGCGCATCACGCACCACCTCGTACTCGACCTCCTTCCACCCCCGCATCGACTTTTCGACAAGAATCTGCGGGCACAGCGACAGACTCTGGCTCGCCAGCGCCTGCAGCTCCGCCTCGCTGCCTGCGAATCCTGACCCCAGCCCGCCCAGCGCATACGCCGACCGCACAATCACCGGGTACCCGATCTGCTGCGCCGCGTCCAGCGCATCCTGCACTGTGTTGACCGCCGTCGACTGCGCTACCGGAATCCCAATGTCCTTCAGCGCGCTGGCAAACAGATCGCGGTCCTCCGACAGCTCCAGCGTGCGCACCGACGTGCCCAGCACCCGCACCTTGAACTTGTCCAGCACCTCCATTTTGTCCAGCTGCACTCCGCAGTTGAGCGCCGTCTGTCCGCCGAACGCCAGCATGATGCCGTCCGGCCGCTCCTTCTCGATGACCTGCGCCAGGTATTCCGGCGTCACCGGCGAAAAGTAGACGTGGTCCGCCAGCTCGTGGGACGTCTGCACTGTGGCGATGTTCGGGTTCACCAGCACCGTCTCAATGTTCGACTCCTTCAGCGCCTTGATGGCCTGCGAGCCCGAGTAGTCAAACTCGCCCGCCTGCCCAATGCTGAGTCCACCCGACCCAACAACGAGCACCTTCTTGACATCGAGCTTGGCGCCAGTTCGCGCCAGCGCCGACGCCGCCGACACCGCGTCGTTCGAGTGGTGGACCTGGGCTCCGCTAAAGTTGCGGCGCCCGACGTACTGCGCGCTGCGCGCTGCAGCAGCACCCGATGCTGCTAGGGCCGATCCTGGACACCGCGCACCGAGCCCCGATCATGGGCTGGCTGGCCGCTGCCAGTGCCGCCCCAGCCGATGCCAGCCGCGAGTATGCGCGCATCGGCTTGCTGGCCGTCTTGCCCAGCTTGGAAGTAGCGAGCTGCCGCGTGAGCAGCGCAGCCTTGGAAATGGTAGTACGAGCAGCGAGCATGGCTGTAGACGAAATAATGGTCCTTTTAGATGTGAGTTCTCCAAACCTGATCGCAAATGTAGTCCGACGAGTTCTTTTCGCTAGAGTGAAGATACATATAGCGAAGTACAAAAAGTAGTTGTCTGCAGCTGTGGGTAGGTAGGCTGGAGAGGGAATTGGCCAGCACGAGATAAGGCTGTTTTGAATTGGAGTCAGAAGATGGGAAGAGTAGATCGTGCTTCAGAGACGCATCTGCCTCCGGCGCGCTTTTTATATTCGCGCCCAGCGTCGCAGAGCGGGGCTAGCCCTCTGCGTGCAGCAGTAGGCTCTGGGCGACAATCGCTGGCCACAGTTTGCCTCACAATAGCTGTGTTGAGTCAACGGCCCGCATCCACGATAAAACGTGACTCATAAATGCGCGCTCCCACTGATAATGACCCACGGAACCGAGCGCGCCAATCGACAGAGCCACGGCCCGCACAGCTCCTGCGGCTCAGCAATAGTCCCCCTCGCTGCACCCTTCGTCAGAAAGACCGCTGTTGTCCCCAGTGCTTCGCAGTGGCAGCATGATCTCAGGCAGGTAGCGCGATGGCCTTGCACTGTGCCCAAACATCTTGTTCATCCACCACAGGGGATATTCCTGCAGCACTGAGATGTGAAGCCCGCGCTTGGCCCGCGTAATCGCCACATACGCCAGCCGCCCTTCCTCACGATAATGCTTGACCTCACCCATGGCTGCCTGCCCTTGTCTCGGTTCAGCCGGCTGCTCTCGGCCAGGTTCTCGTCACGATAGCGCATTGGAAAGAGGCACTCGTTGAAATGCGGCAGAAACGCGTGCTCCCACTCCAGCCCCTTCGCCTGGTGCACCGTCGAGATGACGACTGCGTCCACCCCGGTCTCGCCGGGCTTGAGCCCCCGCTTCTCTCCGTCTGCCCCCATGATCTCGCCAAGGTCCTCGGCAGACCCCGACATCATCGACGCATGTGCCAGGAACGACTGCACTGTGTCGTCTGAGCACACATCGCTAGCAATGAACTGCGACTGCGACAGGCCGGCGCCCTGGATGCGCTCTGAGAAAGAACCCGGCGACCATGCCTCGCAGTGCTGCCAGCACCTGGTCCTTGTTGAGCTCCTTGTCGGAATCGTGGTCATCGCTCGTCTGCTGCTGCTTCTGCTGCTGCTGCCTTCCGTGCAAACCTGGTCTTGGCCTTGGCCTTGATGCTCGCGTCCATGACAAAGTCTGTGTAGATCCTGACTACCAGCTCCATCAGCGTCATCTCGCCCATATCCGAAACCCAGCCCTTGACCGTCGCCAGGAAGTGGCCCAGGCTCTCGCGCGCTTTCTTTGGGATCTTGGTGGTGCTGACGATACGCTCGGCCTTTCTAAACAGACTGCCGTCGCCATTTGAATCCGGGCCCATGCCCTCGATCCGCCTCCAATACACCGGCCCTAGATGCAGCACAAACTCGGTAACGCAAACGCGCATGGCAATGTCGTTGCTGCGGTTGGCCAATAGGCCCAGCAGCGCAAGGAAGTTCTGCATACGCCTGGTGCTCATCAGCGACGCACCGCCGCGGACTACAAATGGAATCCCCAAATTCATCAGCTCCGTCTCAATGCGACCTGACGGCCGATACTGGCCAAATTTGAGGAACCTGAATAGCACCGAGATATCTTTGGGCCGGCACGCCCCGGAGTCGATTAGGTACTTGATCTTGTCGGCTATTGACGTGGCCTCCTTATGAGCTGTCGCATTGTAGCACACCGACACGGGCACCACCGGTGCTGTCGCGCGCGCCTGCAATGGCACACGGAGCCTCACCAGTAGCCCGTCGTCGCCTGCCGTGTCGCGGGCAACCACATTGCCCAAGTCGACGATGCTCTTGTGTGACCGGTAATTGACCGTCAGCGACTGCATGCTTCCGACAAGGCTGCCAGGGGTGCCTTTAGTACGAGCAACATCGGCGTCAACAAAGCTATCCAGGAACGTCTTGAAGTTGCTCTCGCACGAGGCGCCGCGGAAGCCGTAGATGCTCTGTCGCTCGTCGCCAACAGCAGTGACTCGCCCAACATCCCCCTGCAAGCGCAAGACCAGATCCATCTGCAGATTGTTGAGATCCTGGAACTCGTCGACCAGGAGATACGGGTACATGCTTCGCACGGCCTGCAGGACAGACTGGCTCTTCAGCACCTTGTTTGCCATGGTCAGCATGTCGTCAAAGTCGATCAGGTTGCTCATGTGCAGAATCTCGTTGTACGCCTCGATAAGCGACCGCGTCTCGACATCGTAGTCCTTGGGGCTGTATCCGCGCGATTTGGTACTCTGGATAAGGTACAGCTTTGCCACAATGCTTTTGTCGTCAGTAGGTGCACCGCTCTTGCCCGAGGAGTCGGGCAACTGAAGACTCGGGGTTTCTACAACATTTGCGAGATTGCACCCCTTGCCAAACTGGCCATACAGGAAGAGATACAGGTCCTCGTGGATTGCATACTCGCTCTTGGTGTCCGTATCGTCCAACCTCTTCCTGCGCTTCCGTGGCCGTGCCGTCCTGGTGTGCTGGCTCCTGGGGACTCTCCCGCCAGCCTAGCCTCTCAGTCGCCAGTGCCTTGGCAGTATCCCAACGTCTGAAGCGGTCTGTCACAAACATCGTGTTTTTGGCGTCTGGGTCGTCGCTTGGAGGTGGCACGTTGAGCATGATCTCACTTTGGGTCAGCATCCGACAGTCGTCAAGCAGCCCATGCGCCAGCCGGACTACAACCTTGAGCTCGGCTTCACCTGCAATCGCATTTGGGCGGCGTGCCAAGCCCAGAGCATCAAAGTGCTTGGCTACAAGCTGGTAACACCACGCAATGAAATGTCGATGCGTACGGCAGCGCCGTGTCGTCCATGCTACTGATCTTCATGTACTTTAGGATCCGTTCGCGCAGCTCGCCTGCCGCCTTGTTGGTGAACGTGATAACCATGATCTTTGTCGGCGACACACCGCGCTTGATCATCTCGATGACACGCGCACACAGCGTACTGGTTTTGCCGGACCCAGCGCCGGCCATGATCAGCAGCGGCTTGTCAATGTCCAGCTTCGAGACAAATTCCTGGCGCTCATCGAGCAGAATTCGTTCTGCTGGATTGTCGTATGGCTTTGCATCTGCAGGGGCTGTATCTGTGTCCTCGACACCCAGTTTGCCATCGGCAATGTCAGAACCCGATGGCACAATGGTGACGCCATCAATTTCCTCCGCCTCTGCCTGGCAACACCCTAATTGTCGGCTGGCTCTGCTTGCTGGCTAGGCGGGCCGATAGGTGCGAGCAGCTCCTGAATAGTAATGTCGTTGGCAAACAAAACCTCGTATTCGTCGAGCGTGAACTTTTTGTGTTTGCCCTCACTCTCAACCCTGCCTCCTACTGAATCGCTTCTAGCCAGACTGGCTGGCTGAGACATAGTAGCCCTGGATGCCAACAGCTGGGATGCAGAGGTAAACGACGAGGCAGAGGCAAACGACGAGGCAGAGGCAAACGACAAGGCAGAGGCAAACGACGGCTTTGTGGGCTGCAAGCTACTGAGCCCGCCCACGCCCACGCCCACGCCCACGCCCACGCCCACGCCCCGCCCCGCCCACGCCCACGCCCACGCCCTCGGCGTGAACGAGCTGCCTTTGGTGTCCTGAGACGCGCTAATGCCTGACCGCTTATTCTTCCAGCAAGGCATTGCGCGAGGTCCTAGTGTTGCTTAAACAAGGCGTAAATTCAAAAACTTTGGAGCAACGAAAAGACTGGCTGTCTTTAGCTGGTTTCATCACCAAAAATTTGCTGCGCCTTTACGATGGCTCTGAGAATGGCCGTATGATCTGATCAGTACGTCGGGGCCGGGAATGGCAGAGGGCGGTGGATATTATCCAGAATTGCCAGGTAGTCGGGCTCGTTCTCTGGTGTCAGGTAGCCGTGACGAATCAGAAAGTCGACGACACATACGGCACAGTTCGGCTTGAACAGGTTTTGGCGCATTTTCTCGACAACCTCATCCAGAGTCCACAAGTGGAACGAGTCCACCTCGCCATCACTGGGATACGGAACATAGTCGCGGGGCAGCTCCAGGTCGAAGACAAACTGCGTCTCGGGCTGCAGCCCCAGCTCGGACCGGGTAAAGTACTGGATCGTGCCAGCGAACTTTGTCGTCTCGGCCACGTCCCGCTCGATGCCGCCCTCCTCCAGCGCACTCCTTGATAACCGACTCCCACACCGACATCCCATCACCGATTCCCCCGCAACGATCTGGTCGAGATACCCTGGCCATGTCTGCTTTTGCAGCGATCTCTTTGCAACCCACATCTTGACCGAGCCGTCCTCGCCCCTTACAGTGCCGTTGAGATGAACGCCGAACGTGCGGATGCCAAAGTTGTACGACGAGGCGCGCTCCACCATCAGCGCAATGCCCTGCGGGTCGCTCTTGTCGCCATACACCGGGTATAGCTCGTCCCGCCATTTGGCCAGCGATGCCCACTTCCTCTCTGCCCGGAACTCCAGCCATCAGCTCGGCAACAGCCGCCGATCGCTTGGCACGGTCGTCGCACCAGTCGCTGAAGGAAAGAGTCCTGCTGGCGGTGTCAATAACAAAGGGCTTCATGCCCCGTGTGTCGTTGGCTGACTGCAAGACAGCGACGTCGCTCGGGACTGAGTAGTCCAACGAGCTGCCCGTTGACAACGAAGCGGAAGAGGCCTTCCGCCTTTGACCAGTGCGTCGACTTCCGGCACGCTGTTGCAGTTGCGGACGACCTCCAAGATAGACCACAGTTTGCTCGACATTATGTGCTGAAGCAATAGCTCATGTAAAACAAGGTTAAAAGTCCTGAAAGACCGCTATCGCGCTGGCTGCTGCAAAGCCGCCTTCACCAGGTCGATGACTCATGGCGACAGGTGTGTTATGGATAAGAGTTGGTGGTGAGCCATCACTGCTTGCCGCTGCCGATACCGACACTGTGCTTGCTCTTCATGACCCGGCGCGTTCTCTTCCAGTCCTGGCTGGCGGACTCGCTCTTGCCAGCCTTGCGCTTCGTCTGGGAAGACCTGTCGGGGCCTGACGAGCTGGCCTGATCCAACAGATCGCGTGTCTCTTGATGGAACCGTGATCGAGCCTGCGAAAACAGCTCCGCGTCCGACTCTTCGCCGCTGCTGCCATCAGGATCCCAGTCGACACCTGGGTACGGGCCAACTGCACCCTGATCCCCACCGCTGCTGCCAGCAGGGTACGAGCCAACCGCATTGTCGTCCATCTCACTGTCGCTGCCAGGGTAAGGGCCAACTGCGCTGTCTTCCATTTCGCTATCGCTGCCGGGGTATGGACCAACCACGCCATCCTCCATCCCGCCATCGCTGTTTGGATACGGCCCGACAACTGGCTCCCCCTCATCTGGCGGCAGCGCTGGCCCTGGTGCAATGTCGTCGCCCGGACTACCCCTTGCCACTGTAACCTCATAGTCAGTCCCGGCATCTGCAAAAATATCCTCGTCGTCCGAATCTGTGCCTGGTGGCGCAGGATTGCCTGTTGCTGCAGTCTGCTGCAGTGCCTCCCCAGACGATTCTCGGCAATCCCCTGGCAACGCTTCTTGGGATTTGGGCTGCGACCTCTTGCCCCAGGTCTCTGCGATTGACGCAACCACTTTGCGCAATACGTCCGCATCGCCGCCCGGGTCCGCCAGATCAGCCATGCCAGTGCTGGATCTCATCCTGACCTCGTCTTGGTTGCGAATGCGTGTGGTCGGCGTGGCAGAGGCAAATTCAAAGTACATCCGCCCGGGAAGGAACAGCTCGTTCAGATCGGCTCTGAACCCGTCCTCAATCGACCGGCACGCCTCTTCCCGGGCATCGTGTATCCGCTTCAAGGTCGCCATCATACGCTGCCCCAGGGGGGTTGTAGCCGTTGCAGCATCGAAGCCTTCACTAGCAGCAGCACACGTGCTATCTGCATGGGCTCCCTCTGTCTGCAGCCGCTCGAGCTCGTCATCCAGCTCCTCTCCGCCGCCCCGCGCACGTTCCTTTTCCAGCAGCAAGAAGTCGAGGCCTTTGACCAAGTGCGTGTGCTCGATGTCACCACCGAGGTACTTGCTCTGCTCGTATTCGCGCTGCCTCGAGTCCGCCTCGGTGGTTGAATCCCGAAGCTGCTGCAGCATGCGCTCGCCCTCCTCGTATTCGCTGCTAACCCCTTGACGCCGTTCAGCTGCCCTATCACGGTACTGGCTTTGTTGCTGCTTCAGGTGCTGCTTGACGCCATGCTTGGACCTATTTTTGTCCTCTTCTCTTGCGCTATTCTTGACTCGGGGAGGCCGGAACAAGACCCCTGCACCCAGGGCGCTGCGCTTTGCATTGGCTGACTTGTCGCCTGCTGTGGTGCTTGGTGTCGCCAGCATCCGTCGGAAATCAGCCTGCGACAATCCCGCTGTATCGTCACTACCATCACCCATGGCCACAAAAGTAAGCAGGTATGTGTGCGTGCAGGTACTGTGAGAAGAAGAGAAATCGCTGCATGGCCCCCGACATGAAATTTTTATTGGGTCTAGTCATGCACGTCTGGTGTGTCTGCGAATAGTTTTGGGAGAAATCAGGCGGGTGTCGCAGCTGGGAGAGCGCGCCATTGCCATTGCTATTGCAACAACCAGGACTCTAGGGCCGAATCATTTCGCAGCGCGGCGATACCATTCGCGGCGCTGCACCACCACTAGTTCAGGGCACCAGCTCGGCGGCCACAATACAGGTGCAGATCCGCGGGGCTCGCCGCTCGCTCCCAAGGTGCAGCTCAATTGCTCTTTTCGACCAGTGTCCGACACGTACAATGGGTGCGAATGCATGCATAATGGCTTTCTGGCTGTAACCTTCATATTCACGCACAAAGAGCAAATTACTTGCCAATAATTATAGCGCTCCTGCGGACGAGGAGCGTCAGTGCGACCCCTCAGCTGCCAGCCCCAAGCGCAGCACATCATCGTCGTGCTGCAGAAGCAATGTTCTTGAAGCGAAGATAAAGAGGTGTAAAGACGTGGACAATGCCTTTCTGCCCGATCAAACTGCCTGGGCCTTGCTGTAGCTACACAGGTCGGCGGCAGGTTTTGGCATAGCGGAACTGGACATCGGGTATTTTCACCCATCTCCCAGCTGCCATTTATAGAAGCATCTGTTTTGTTTCTCTGTTTAGATACAATGGCGTCGTGCATTTTCTGTCGCCCTCAGGGTATTTTTGGCAAAGTGCATATAGCCCCGATCTGCCTCATCCCGCACACATGCATTTACCGCACCTAGTGTGAAGGAGACAGAAGCGCAGTCTTACTGACTCAGGTCCCTGAATTCCTGCGCGCCTGCTCTCTGCCTGCTGCAGCGAGTCTTGATCTGGACAAAAGTAGCTTATTTCGCCGCTGATCGTCGCTACGGGCATTTAACGTTGGCAATTGCCCCACAGCGCCCATTTGAGGCTGGCCATCGTCGCCAAACAGCGCCAGGGCATCAGTGAGAGCCAGCGTATGGTGATGAGATCACTGAAATGGCAGCACCATTTGGCGAACACCGGGCAATTTCTGTCGCATCCCTACCCCACCGCTCTGCTGCTCACGCAACCATTTGCTCACACAATAAGCGATACGGCACAGGTAGCCGAAAATAGATATGTTCACTTGTATGCGTGGCTCTCGCAACAGCATCCCCAAATTTGTAGTTCCGCCGCTCCATTCAGCTAAGGCATCGCCTGCCTGTTCTTGTGAGCGAGTTGGAGCCCTATATCCGTAGCTCTTTGTATAAATACCCTGGGTTCTTCCGGGTAGGACATGGTGTTTTCCAGTACAGGAAAGATCCCTTTTCTTTTTATTCACAGCTACTTTGCAACCTGAGCCCTTTCTCTCTCAATATACACTCCCTATTGCAGAATTCGTACATTTATTCAGAAACCCCTTTCTAGCTCCCGCCTCCAAGGTATGTGCATATATATAAAGGACAATGCCCATCGCTAGGTCTTGCTGAAAAATAACATTGGCACATCACAGTCACATTCTCCGCCTCCATACCATTTTTCCATCGGCAGTTTATACTAAATCATATCCATTTGCATAGAGCACATAGAACGCGCGCCTAATATTCCCAACTATCGAAAATGAAGGTTTCGATCACCTGTGCTTTGCTTGCCCTTGGTGTCATCCAGACGGCGCACGCTACTCCTGACAACTATGCTGTCAACAACAACTACTGGGACGGCTGGGGTAACTGGGGTAACTGGGGTAATTGGGGCAACGGCGGTGGTGGAAACTACTACACCACTGCGCCCAATCCGTATGCGACGACGTCTGTTCGCAACCCGTACGCAACTACCACGCAGAAGCCATATGTGACGACATCCGTTCACAACCCGTACGCAACCACCACGCAGAAGCCATATGCTACCACCACGCAGAAGCCATATGCTACCACCACGCAGAACCCGTATGCCACCACTACGCAGAAGCCATATGTCACTACCACGCAGAACCCGTATGCCACCACCACCCAGAACCCGTATGCCACCACCACCCAGAACCCGTATGCCACCACTACGCAGAACCCGTATGCTACTACAACACGGAATCCGTATGCTACCACGACTGTAGCATATACAACCAGTGAGAAGTACAATACCAAAAAGACAAAAACCACGAAGCCATATTCGACGGCTCCTGGTTATACAACCACATCTGCCCCAGTTTACGTAACAACCCCGTCTCCGTCGGCTCCGGTATACGAGACCACCACTGCTCCGGTGTACGAGACCACCACCGCTCCGGTGTATGAGACCACCACGGCTCCTGTCTACGAGACCACCACTGCTCCGGTGTACGAGACCACCACTGCTCCGGTTTACGAGACCACCACTGCTCCTGTCTACGAGACCACCACGGCTCCAGTGTACGAGACTACCACCGCTCCGGTGTATGAGACCACCACCGCTCCAGTGTACGAGACCACCACCGCTCCAGTGTACGAGACCACCACTGCTCCTGTCTACGAGACCACCACTGCGCCTGTCTACGAGACCACCACTGCTCCGGTGTACGAGACCACCACCGCTCCGGTGTATGAGACCACCACCGCTCCGGTTTACGAGACCACCACCGCTCCGGTGTACGAGACCACCACGGCTCCAGTGTACGAGACCACCACCGCTCCTGTCTACGAGACCACCACTGCTCCGGTTTACGAGACCACCACTGCTCCGGTGTACGAGACCACCACGGCTCCAGTGTACGAGACCACCACGGCTCCTGTCTACGAGACCACCACGGCTCCAGTGTACGAGACTACCACTGCTCCGGTGTACGAGACCACCACCGCTCCGGTGTATGAGACCACCACGGCTCCTGTCTACGAGACCACCACGGCTCCTGTCTACGAGACCACCACGGCTCCAGTGTACGAGACTACCACTGCTCCGGTATACGAGACCACCACTGCTCCGGTGTACGAGACCACCACTGCTCCAGTGTACGAGACCACCACTGCTCCGGTTTACGAGACCACCACTGCTCCTGTCTACGAGACCACCACCGCTCCGGTGTACGAGACCACCACTGCTCCAGTGTACGAGACCACCACTGCTCCGGTTTACGAGACCACCACTGCTCCTGTCTACGAGACCACCACGGCTCCAGTGTACGAGACCACCACCGCTCCAGTGTACGAGACCACCACCGCTCCTGTCTACGAGACCACCACTGCTCCGGTGTACGAGACCACCACTGCTCCTGTCTACGAGACCACCACCGCTCCTGTCTACGAGACCACCACCGCTCCGGTGTACGAGACCACCACTGCTCCAGTGTACGAGACCACCACTGCTCCGGTTTACGAGACCACCACTGCTCCTGTCTACGAGACCACCACGGCTCCAGTGTACGAGACCACCACCGCTCCAGTGTACGAGACCACCACCGCTCCTGTCTACGAGACCACCACTGCTCCGGTGTACGAGACCACCACTGCTCCGGTATACGAGACCACCACTGCTCCGGTGTACGAGACCACCACTGCTCCAGTGTACGAGACCACCACTGCTCCGGTTTACGAGACCACCACGGCTCCAGTGTACGAGACTACCACTGCTCCGGTATACGAGACCACCACTGCTCCGGTGTACGAGACCACCACTGCTCCAGTGTACGAGACCACCACTGCTCCGGTTTACGAGACCACCACTGCTCCTGTCTACGAGACCACCACGGCTCCAGTGTACGAGACCACCACCGCTCCAGTGTACGAGACCACCACCGCTCCGGTGTATGAGACCACCACGGCTCCTGTCTACGAGACTACCACGGCTCCGGTGTACGAGACCACCACCGCTCCGGTGTACGAGACCACCACTGCTCCGGTGTACGAGACCACCACTGCTCCGGTGTATGAGACCACCACGGCTCCTGTCTACGAGACCACCACCGCTCCGGTGTACGAGACCACCACCGCTCCAGTGTACGAGACCACCACCGCTCCTGTCTACGAGACCACCACTGCTCCGGTGTACGAGACCACCACGGCTCCTGTCTACGAGACCACCACCGCTCCGGTGTACGAGACCACCACCGCTCCGGTGTACGAGACCACCACGGCTCCAGTGTACGAGACTACCACTGCTCCGGTGTACGAGACCACCACCGCTCCGGTGTATGAGACCACCACGACTCCAGTGTACGAGACTACCACTGCTCCGGTTTACGAGACCACCACTGCTCCGGTGTACGAGACCACCACGGCTCCTGTCTACGAGACCACCACCGCTCCGGTGTACGAGACCACCACCGCTCCAGTGTACGAGACCACCACCGCTCCGGTGTACGAGACCACCACCGCTCCAGTGTACGAGACCACCACTGCTCCGGTGTACGAGACCACCACCGCTCCGGTGTACGAGACCACCACGGCTCCAGTGTACGAGACCACCACCGCTCCTGTCTACGAGACCACCACTGCTCCGGTGTACGAGACCACCACGGCTCCGGTGTACGAGACCACCACGGCTCCTGTCTACGAGACCACCACGGCTCCAGTGTACGAGACCACCACCGCTCCTGTCTACGAGACCACCACTGCTCCGGTGTACGAGACCACCACCGCTCCGGTGTACGAGACCACCACGGCTCCAGTGTACGAGACTACCACTGCTCCGGTGTACGAGACCACCACCGCTCCGGTGTACGAGACCACCACGGCTCCAGTGTACGAGACTACCACTGCTCCGGTGTACGAGACCACCACCGCTCCGGTGTATGAGACCACCACGACTCCAGTGTACGAGACTACCACTGCTCCGGTTTACGAGACCACCACTGCTCCGGTGTACGAGACCACCACGGCTCCTGTCTACGAGACCACCACCGCTCCGGTGTACGAGACCACCACCGCTCCAGTGTACGAGACCACCACCGCTCCGGTGTACGAGACCACCACCGCTCCTGTCTACGAGACTACCACTGCTCCGGTGTACGAGACCACCACGGCTCCTGTCTACGAGACCACCACCGCTCCTGTCTACGAGACCACCACCGCTCCGGTGTACGAGACCACCACCGCTCCGGTGTACGAGACCACCACTGCTCCGGTGTACGAGACCACCACCGCTCCGGTGTACGAGACCACCACGGCTCCAGTGTACGAGACCACCACCGCTCCTGTCTACGAGACCACCACTGCTCCGGTGTACGAGACCACCACGGCTCCGGTGTACGAGACCACCACGGCTCCTGTCTACGAGACCACCACGGCTCCTGTCTACGAGACCACCACGGCTCCTGTCTACGAGACCACCACTGCTCCGGTGTACGAGACCACCACTGCTCCGGTTTACGAGACTACCACTGCTCCGGTGTACGAGACCACCACGGCTCCTGTCTACGAGACCACTACTGCTCCGGTGTACGAGACCACCACCGCTCCGGTGTATGAGACCACCACTGCTCCGGTTTACGAGACCACCACGGCTCCTGTCTACGAGACCACCACGGCTCCTGTCTACGAGACCACCACGGCTCCAGTGTACGAGACTACCACTGCTCCGGTATACGAGACCACCACTGCTCCGGTGTACGAGACTACCACTGCGCCTGTCTACGAGACCACCACCGCTCCGGTGTACGAGACCACCACCGCTCCAGTGTACGAGACCACCACTGCTCCAGTGTACGAGACTACCACTGCTCCGGTTTACGAGACCACCACCGCTCCGGTGTACGAGACTACCACTGCTCCGGTATACGAGACCACCACTGCTCCGGTGTACGAGACCACCACGGCTCCTGTCTACGAGACCACCACTGCTCCGGTTTACGAGACTACCACTGCTCCGGTTTACGAGACCACCACTGCTCCTGTCTACGAGACCACCACGGCTCCTGTCTACGAGACCACCACGGCTCCAGTGTACGAGACTACCACCGCTCCGGTGTATGAGACCACCACCGCTCCGGTGTACGAGACCACCACGGCTCCAGTGTACGAGACTACCACTGCTCCGGTGTACGAGACCACCACCGCTCCGGTGTATGAGACCACCACGGCTCCTGTCTACGAGACCACCACGGCTCCTGTCTACGAGACCACCACTGCTCCGGTGTACGAGACCACCACTGCTCCGGTTTACGAGACTACCACTGCTCCGGTTTACGAGACCACCACTGCTCCGGTGTACGAGACCACCACGGCTCCTGTCTACGAGACCACTACTGCTCCGGTGTACGAGACCACCACCGCTCCGGTGTATGAGACCACCACTGCTCCGGTGTACGAGACCACCACGGCTCCTGTCTACGAGACCACCACGGCTCCTGTCTACGAGACCACCACTGCTCCTGTCTACGAGACCACCACGGCTCCTGTCTACGAGACCACCACGGCTCCAGTGTACGAGACTACCACCGCTCCGGTGTACGAGACCACCACGGCTCCGGTGTACGAGACCACCACTGCTCCTGTCTACGAGACCACCACGGCTCCTGTCTACGAGACCACCACGGCTCCAGTGTACGAGACTACCACCGCTCCGGTGTACGAGACCACCACGGCTCCGGTGTACGAGACCACCACTGCTCCTGTCTACGAGACCACCACGGCTCCAGTGTACGAGACTACCACCGCTCCGGTGTATGAGACCACCACCGCTCCAGTGTACGAGACCACCACCGCTCCGGTGTACGAGACCACCACGGCTCCTGTCTACGAGACCACCACGGCTCCTGTCTACGAGACCACCACGGCTCCAGTGTACGAGACTACCACTGCTCCGGTATACGAGACCACCACTGCTCCGGTGTACGAGACTACCACTGCGCCTGTCTACGAGACCACCACCGCTCCGGTGTACGAGACCACCACGGCTCCAGTGTACGAGACCACCACCGCTCCTGTCTACGAGACCACCACTGCTCCGGTGTACGAGACCACCACGGCTCCTGTCTACGAGACCACCACGGCTCCTGTCTACGAGACCACCACGGCTCCTGTCTACGAGACCACCACTGCTCCGGTGTACGAGACCACCACTGCTCCGGTTTACGAGACTACCACTGCTCCGGTTTACGAGACCACCACTGCTCCGGTGTACGAGACCACCACGGCTCCTGTCTACGAGACCACTACTGCTCCGGTGTACGAGACCACCACCGCTCCGGTGTATGAGACCACCACTGCTCCGGTGTACGAGACCACCACGGCTCCAGTGTACGAGACCACCACCGCTCCTGTCTACGAGACCACCACTGCTCCGGTGTACGAGACCACCACGGCTCCTGTCTACGAGACCACCACCGCTCCGGTGTACGAGACCACCACGGCTCCTGTCTACGAGACCACCACGGCTCCTGTCTACGAGACCACCACTGCTCCTGTCTACGAGACCACCACGGCTCCTGTCTACGAGACCACCACGGCTCCAGTGTACGAGACTACCACCGCTCCGGTGTACGAGACCACCACGGCTCCGGTGTACGAGACCACCACTGCTCCTGTCTACGAGACCACCACGGCTCCTGTCTACGAGACCACCACGGCTCCAGTGTACGAGACTACCACCGCTCCGGTGTACGAGACCACCACGGCTCCGGTGTACGAGACCACCACTGCTCCTGTCTACGAGACCACCACGGCTCCAGTGTACGAGACTACCACCGCTCCGGTGTATGAGACCACCACCGCTCCAGTGTACGAGACCACCACCGCTCCGGTGTACGAGACCACCACGGCTCCTGTCTACGAGACCACCACGGCTCCTGTCTACGAGACCACCACGGCTCCAGTGTACGAGACTACCACTGCTCCGGTATACGAGACCACCACTGCTCCGGTGTACGAGACTACCACTGCGCCTGTCTACGAGACCACCACCGCTCCGGTGTACGAGACCACCACGGCTCCAGTGTACGAGACCACCACCGCTCCTGTCTACGAGACCACCACTGCTCCGGTGTACGAGACCACCACGGCTCCTGTCTACGAGACCACCACGGCTCCTGTCTACGAGACCACCACGGCTCCTGTCTACGAGACCACCACTGCTCCGGTGTACGAGACCACCACTGCTCCGGTTTACGAGACTACCACTGCTCCGGTTTACGAGACCACCACTGCTCCGGTGTACGAGACCACCACGGCTCCTGTCTACGAGACCACTACTGCTCCGGTGTACGAGACCACCACTGCTCCGGTGTACGAGACCACCACTGCTCCGGTGTATGAGACTACCACGGCTCCGGTGTACGAGACCACCACCGCTCCAGTGTACGAGACCACCACCGCTCCGGTGTATGAGACCACCACGGCTCCTGTCTACGAGACTACCACTGCTCCGGTTTACGAGACCACCACTGCTCCGGTGTACGAGACCACCACTGCTCCGGTTTACGAGACCACCACCGCTCCTGTCTACGAGACTACCACTGCTCCTGTCTACCAGACTACCACTGCTCCTGTCTACCAGACTACCACTGCTCCTGTCTACGAGACCACCACTGCTCCGGTTTACGAGACTACCACTGCTCCTGTCTACCAGACTACCACTGCTCCTGTCTACCAGACTACCACTGCTCCTGTCTACCAGACCACCACCGCTCCTGTCTATCAGACCACCACCGCTCCTGTCTATCAGACTACCACTGCTCCGGTTTACCAGACTACCACTGCTCCTGTCTACCAGACTAGCAGCGCTCCCATCTACGAGACTACTAGTGCTCCTGTCTATGTCACCTCGGCCTCTCCTTCGAAGCCGGCGTACTCGACTGTGGCTCCTAGCACGCCTGCGTATTCTGCTACCACTCCTCGCTACACATCTATTGCCCCTACCCCTGTGTACACAACATCCGCTCCTGTCTATGCGACGTCGTCGCGCCATGGAGGCAAGTACACGACAAAGAGTGACAACCGCAACCAGTACACAACCCAGCGCAACACCAAGCCTGGTTCAGTCTACCCGACTGCTACTTCTGCGGCCCCGGTCTATACTACGCAGGCGCCCCCTGCGTACACAACCACGGCTCCTCCGGCATACACCACGAAGGGTCCCCAGCCGTGCGGCCCTCGCGAGACAGTTACTGTTACCAAGGACCGTATTGTCTATCGTGTTAAGAACATTCACCACTACCACTAAGTATTTTCCTTGAGTTCAATACAATCATCTGGTCGTATTAGGCCGTATTCAGCAATCCACCATAGCGGCTAAAGCAGGCGTGAAACGTACTATTGAATAACGTAGATGGAAATGCAAAGTGAGGGCTTTTGATGTGATTGCTAGCTTATTCAGAGGATTGCGCGACTTGAGTGAATATGCCGAACATTGGAGAGGTACTCGCTTTCAATTGGCGAATACGCAGACTCCAGACCTTGGCCATTGTCGATAGTATCGTATATATGTGGCAGACCGAATCCCTGGTTTGTGATTTCGAGTACAGGTAGCGGCTCGGCAGGGCTGAGCATGCCACACGCCATTTCCTCATGCACTGTAAACTCGCTCGCCAGACAACTACAGCCTCAAGCACCCACATGGCAAACACGAGCGCGATGCATGAGTAGCGATACGCATACACGTAATGGCACGTCTCAAAGAAATCGAGGTAGAGGATAGTTAGTCGGCCAGGCACTAGCTGGCTGACAGTGCCGAAAACGACCAAGCCCACAAACAGAATAACCAGCAGCAGGTAGTACCTCCAGCCCCTGTATGTTTTTCCTTGGACGAAAATAATGACAAGGGCGTATGTGCGGATGAGCACAGCACAGCAGAACATGTATCAAAAGAACACCCGGACCTACAGAGCAATGAATTTGCAGTGCCTCAGCACGCCTTCAACCTCGATCATTCCGTTGCAAGCAAACGAACCCACAAACCACAGGGTGCCCGAGAAGAACGTGGGCGTTGTCAGCAGCAGGTCTTTAGCGCGGATGGGCGGATACCGGCGGCTGAACCACGCGTACACCAGCACCAGACCAGCTATTCCAAACAGTGCGAGCCTGCCAAAGCTGATGACTCTGTCAGAGACCCCAATTGGGTCCCGGGGCACGCCCATGCGCGCGTCGTTCCGCTCCATTTCCGGGTCCCTGCGCTGAAACACATGCGTGCCAAAGTTTGCAGCCATTGTGTCACCGTCTGCCTCAGTAGTGATGTAGCAAAGCCAAATAATACAGCCTAGAATAGGGAAAAAGGTATTGGAGTTGAAGCAAGCCTAAAGCAGCTGGCTGGGTGCTAAGGGAGGAGCCCTTCGCTTTCATTCTGCACAGCCGTGCCGGGAAGAGCCATGTCCATGCGCAAACACATCGCGCTTCCGGTGCTCTGCTGCGAAAGCCAACAGCTGCTGGCACTGGGCTTGCGGGCAAATCCTACACTCTCTGGAACCAAATCCATGTCAGCTGTGAGAGTCTAGCCGCACTCATACACCGCTGCACATCATTAGAATCGAGCAGACATGCACCATCAAATGCCGATTCTCAGCAAAAACCGGACTGCTAGTTCAATAGTTGGCATTGCTTGGGAGCTGGCTCGATCGACGCTACCCTCGACGCAAGCAGGGGATCAATTATGAAAGGCTTTTCATGCGCAATCACACATCGGTGGGAGCAGTGCGCTCGCTCTTGCTGCCACCCGATCGTCTGCGGCAGGGCGCGTCAGCTTGCTCATGGGAAGCGCCAATTCCCTCTGCTGCCTCCAATCCCCAAAGCAAGACGCCAGCGCTAGCCCTGATTGGAACCACTGCGGCAAGGCACCAGGCGGATGCGCGCGGATGAAGCACAGCTGCGGGCACGAAACAGTGAGCAGCAGGCGGATCAGCCTTCATACCAGCCAAATCTGGCCATTATCATTTGTAACATCCGGTTGGGAGCCAGTCGGCCCTCGCGGTTCTGCAGACCGGATTGCACATGACGCCTTGCGCACACGACGCCTTGCGCGCACCTTTTACCAGCTCAGCAAATGGCATTACTGTCAAACTTCACCAAAAACAAGCTAGTTGGGCTTGCGCAAAAGCGCCTCCGTTAATGCCAGCATTGTGACTCCCTCGTTCTTTACAGCCTCGCCGTTGGCATACCACCGGATCCGTGTTCTGGGGTCAATGAGGAACGCGTAGCCAATAAGTGGATTCGCAATGCCCATGGCATTGCGGAATGTCTCCACATTACCAAAGTGCACGACATAGCTGTTGTGCCGGTGCTGCGGAATCACCCGCTTTGTGTAGGGAAGACACATCTTCAGAATCGCAGCCTTGGCCCAATTTTCCTCGATATTCACCTGCACCACCTGCGCCTTGCCTCGGTCGCCAAACGCTTTTTCAAAAACGTCAATGTAGCTGAGTGTGTGCTTTTCGGCAAACTTCACAAACTCAACCGTCAGCAGTGTTGTTTTCCCGCGGCACATCTGCGCTATGTCGACACTGTTACCGTTCAGCGTCTTGCCCTCAAGGTTTGGTAGAAACCGTGCTTGCCTCGCCGGGATCAGTTGCGCGGGCGCCTCAAACAGCTTCGTACCGTTGTCGCGCAGGTCGAGTACATTCTGCCAGTACGAGGTTCCAATCTCGTTGATGATCTTTGCACGGCTCTCCAGGTTCTTCTCAGGGCTGAGAATGTCGCGCCACTTGTCGTCGATTTTTTGCTTTAGCGGCCGGTGCACGACCTTCTCTGGAGCCGGCTCTGCCTGGCCCACAGCCTGCCCAGGGGCGATGGTCTGGCGTGGCTTTGGACGTGGTCGCGGGAACTTTGTATTTCCAATATACTCGATCTTCCGCCCGTAAATGTCGAGATTATCTGCCTGCTTCCCTTCGCCCCCACCCTCCACTTTGCTGTCTGCAGCCCTCTTGTCCTCCTTGCTACCCTTATCAGGCCCAGAAGTCGAGTGGACAGCAGCTGTAATGTGAAGTGCACGGCACTGCTGAATCGCCGTCGGCAAAGACCCCAGCCGTGTCCGTCGAATCATAGCACCACGTTGAATTAGCATTACTGTAGAATTTAAGCTGAAATTGCAAACAAACCCAGCCTCGACTGACGTTTACCACCCGCGTTCCGCCGTTATCTGCACATCCAGGAATCAGATCAGCAGATTTGCAAATCGCGCTTTCTTTTTGGGCTGGGCATCCGGTGAAAAGCCGAATGCAAGGCGTAGGCTCTGGAGATGTTGCGCGGCCGATGACACCCGGCATACTGATGCCATGCCAGCCATCACACCGGCTGTGCAACAGTGGGCAAACCCCTGGTCTTTCAGGAATTTTATCCCTCAGGTTTCCTTTCCACATGCTGTAAAAACCATACATTAAGGTACTATGGAAGTGTGATGTAGGGCACCCTGCTTGCTCACCAGGTGATGGTCGATATTTCTTTTTACCTGGGCAGAAAGCGCAATACAAGAGAATGGCATCTTTCATGGCCAGAAATGGCTCTCAGATTGCCGTAAAACAGCAGATTGCTTACTTTAATATTATTACTAACATCAATCCCATTCCAGATTATGAATCTGCCTACAAAAGTATATATGTCGACGAGGTGTGGTGATTGCTCTGTAATCACAAGCACACTCTGTGTATCCTCTTGGAGAAAGTCGGTAATATATATTCTGAACCCCTCCACTACTGAACCTATCGAAGCAGAGCCTATCATTCTGCTGCACCTTTGTGTACACTCCGGATGCGGTTTTGTTTCTAGTAATGCCAGCTAGTTGCAAAAGAATTGCCTGGCACTTGGCAGCCTGTAAAACACTACGCTTTTCGCAACAACACCTGCCGGCCAATTTGATGCACAGTGGGCTTGCTGCTTTCTGTACCCGTGCATTTGAAATAGCTACCAGCCAGGCTTTTCATCATTATTCTACAAAATGCCGCTACAACTATTTGGAGATGTATCTGCAATTGTCCGTTCCTGGCTGTACTTTTATTGGACTGAGCATATTTCCTCTTGACAACAGCGACACCTTTTCATATTCACCACTTTTTCAAAGCTATGTTGAATGCGTTCCACGGTACCTACATCTGTACACTGCATCATCGTCGCAACAAAGTTGCCCATACAAGCGATAGAATGATCCCTCCAGACCAGTCTGTCAAGAACATTGAACTCCAAAGATATATCTGGGATCCACAAAGCGAAACCCATGTACATTAAATCCATGAGTGCGGGTTCGCCAACTACAGATTCTTCAAGCTGTACAATGCCTTAGATTTTGGGCTATTCAAGTCCACTAGCCACAAGGGATTTGGGTCTCTGCAGGGTTCAACCAGGTCTGGCCCACTGGCAGGGATGTGGTATCTCCACATGAATATACCTCGTTCTAAACAGCCCTCATGGTGCTGAGTGGGGGTTGCTATTCAAACAAGTATGTGCATTTCAACTCTTGTGAATTGTTTCCAAAACGGGTTTCGCTCTATGAGGCGCTGCTACGCATTGGATTCTAATTGCGTTCATTTTTCTGTAGGTGCTAGCAATCAGAAATACAGGCACACTGCGTCGCCGGGGCAAGTCAAGCTGACATACTGCAGCAATAGGACTGGCCAGTCCTTTCTGGTGGAACCAGGTAAGTCGCCATTGAACGCCGTTGGATTTTCAGATCCATCAAGGCACTGATGATGGAGTCCCCACTGCGCATCTGACAGAGGCAATCGACATGTCCATATAGCCTAACAAGCTCTGCCTAGCCGTGACACCAGCGATGTTCTTTCCTCGGCGGGAGAGCAACCAAGCAGCAGCTGAGCTGAGCCTTCTGCCCGACATTCACACTAGTGCGCACAACAATCCTTGATGTTCATCAGTTGCCACCATACCACAGCAGCAGAATGCCGCCTAGCTGCTGTTTTGTTTACATTTCCATCACTAACTCGCTCAACGAGTATAACGATGTGACACAGGATGTTGGCTATATTGCCATCCCCGGTTGGTCTGAGCTCTCATGCGGCAATAGTGCGTATTTGTCGATTGTACCCTGTTGAGTGGAGATCAAGGTCTTCAATACGGGTATAGACCCAAGCAGCATTCTTACTTTCGACATAGATTCAATTAGCATCCATAGGCGAGAGATCCCAATGGTCACTTGGGCAGTGCTTATCTACTATGCATTCCTTTCTGTCTTTATATGAATAGTTGTTTCCTTGCACGCTTTAATGATAACCTGTGGCTCAAATAGCTGTCCTATTATTACGGTGACTGCCAGGCGCGAATAATGGCAGCTTTGAATTTGCCCCTAGAGTTCCCATGATGACACTAGCCTGAAAGCTACAATGTATTTTATATTTAGACAGAGCCACCCATGGGTACTAAGGCGCCAGCCGCGGTGGCCACTGCCAGCAATAGCCAAGTGTTTTATCTTTCAAGCCACCATTCCTTACACTATCTTTATCTTTACCTATATATAAGATTTTATAGTCTAAAAAGTGTCTGACCGTTCGCTAGAACCTTTTGAATTGGTTAAAAAAAAACTTAAGCTTCAACACGGGTCTGAGTGACTTGCTCCGTAAACTCTTTTTGATCTTATATGATATCTGACCTCGTCAGTGAAAGTAGGGTAATAAGTTGGTATTATAGTGGTCATAGGTCTCTACTAAATATCGCTATTGGTTCAGTGCAAGAGCTGCTCTCATTGTTGGTCGGCTTGATAACTTCCATGGTGTCATCATGGTGGTCATCACCGGCTGCGCAACACTCTTAGGATATCTATTTATGAGCACATTGAAAAAGCCATGTAGGTCTTCTAGCAGTCATGTAATATTTGTGGATTTATTTTATAAATTAATTTGTCTTATGAACATGCGTAAGCAGTAGTATTTGGGTCATAATGGCCCCAGTCTGTATAGACTGATTCAAGCGACTGTATCAGTGCTAAGGGCCCCAAGAACCATGCAAGCCAGATCATTTTTAATAAAAAGTTCTTAATGCTATGCATACGCAATACAGCAAAACTGAACAGCATCATTTCTCTTGTTTTGCCTACCGAATTTCTCAAATGAATATTACCCGCAGCACTACTGTCATAAAGACATCACTTGGTGGTATTGGCTTCCGTGATTCTATGTTGCCCTGCCTAGAGCAATTTGTACATAGCGTCAATATCATCAAAGAGCATACATACATGCTTGCACGATGGATATTACTCTATCAACTAGCTGACGATGATGCCTTTGACCCTGCAATATTTGTGAAAAAGGGATTCTTTAGTTCTATTTATTTATTTATCTATCATAACCTGAAGGCAAATACCACAATATCTGCCAAGGATTTCGTTAACTGGAAGGACAGGTCAGAACTGTTGAGCGCAGATTTCGGTGGTGTAAATAGATATCATATTTATGATTATCTATTACATAATGGCGATATCGAGCTACATGGTGTATGTGAAATGAATCAAGTAGCGACATACGTGGATACCGAGCTGATGACAGCATACAAGAACAACATTGTGTTGCACTATGGCACTTGCCTACAGCGGATTCTGGCCAAATTGATTGATATTCGCAGCCGCAAAACCACACTGCACAGTACAATGGGCAATGTGTCCAAGGCTGAGTTCAATAATGCATGTCAAGTGTATATTTATACACCTGCACAGAAGCTCCGCCAGGCAGTTGCCTCTAGGCGCCCTGATCTCAGTGTGCTCACCCCACCGATGCTTGCAATCTACAGCAAGCTGGCACCAGTCCTTAATGCCTATGATGCCAAGTACAGGCGGGCATATTCGTCCCGGCTCTTGAACCGCGATCTCGCAGCAGTTCTAAACTTCAGATTCATTTTCCAGTCACTCTGTGATTCAGGCAGTATTCCTGAACGGTTCCGTCGTTCTACGGCCATTTCTGCCAATGCTTTTGGCACCACCCCTGCAACAAAGAACCCGTGCAAGAGGCATGCAGCAGCAGGCGATTCTGTTGCCAGCAGCAGCGAGCCAGCGCTGAAGCGCCTGCGCTGAGCAGGCCATCAAGATGGGAGATGTCCATGACCGCCATTGCACCAACAACCATCCAACACGTTCAAATGACTGGTTCGCCGTGATGCTCTTATCGACATGTCAGCCCATGCTGACTAGCAGCCGAGCTTGCATCGCGAGCAGAGCATTTCTAGTATATTGAAATAGCCATATGGATATTGCCATGAAGTGAAGTGAAGTGAAGTGAAGTGGGCTCTACTTGTATGCAAGGCGGTAGCTAATGTGCTCTTCTCCTGGTGCATAGCTGCAAAGCTCAGAGAAGCAGCGATCTTGAGAACCAAATGAGGTCCTCAGGCCGCCGGAAAACTATATATGTAGAATTCATATTTCACCGTATATACCGGGCGACGGAATCTCAGCCGACCGCTCGCTTATCGATTGCGTCGTCCATAGCTCAGAATCCTATAATGGCTTCAAGGGCGTATTAGCATGAGGCGCAGTTGAATATACACATGCAGCTCAAGGCAATCAGGTTTGGCACACTTACCATAGCGCATCTGGCGGTCCTTTTTCGCCTGACGGGTCTTCCCCTGAGCCGCCTTCACCTGAGCCCCCTGCTCCTGCGACTGCATGGCAAGGTACATGATGTTGTGCTTCTGCTTCTGCTTCTTGCTGATCTGGTCAATGTCTACAGCACCCTTGTGAGGCACATGCGGGCGAGATGACGCAGCAGCAGCAGCCTGAGCAGTGCGGGCATCAAAGTTCTCTGTGTCAGCAAGCTGGGCTTGCTGAGAGACATCCCTGACTGCATCTGCGCTGATCCCAAATGCCTCGCCGCGCCTGAACGCCCCGCGGCCAATAAGCGCCTCCAGGCTAGCATCATCTATAGCAGTGGCCAAGGGCTGCTGCTGATCGCCGTCTTCGTTCTCATGCTGCATCTCGGGATACAGCTCTGCAGCATCGATGTATACACCGCTGGCTGTGTCGTAATAAAGGTATTGATTGGTCATGTAATCGTAGTAGTATCCGCTGGCTGCATCGTATACAAGCCAGGAAGCATCGTGTTGGCTTTGCAGGGCATCCGGAGCATCGGAATCGTGTGCACTCCCCGACCCGTCCTGCTCCGGACGCATATCATCGGAATATGTGACGTTGCATGGGGGCTCCGACAGCGTAAAGAAGGGGCTGGCTGAGGGTTCAGCAGACTGTACAGATGAATGGGTGGCCATTGCTTCTGATTTCTCTAAACTGGGTGACTTGGTGTGACGCTTTGTAGCCTTGTCTGTTCCTGGATGGCCTAGTGTGCGTTTCCTGGATGCTACAGAGTGCGGGACCAACACAGGCGGGACGTGGTCTGAGTTGGTTTGCTGACCGCGTACGCCAGTATTGTTGCCTTGCTGCTGCTTCGATGCACTGGATGCAGTAGCCCTAGGGGCAGGTAGAATACTGGCTAGATCCGAAAACTCGCCATGCTTTGCGCTGGGCACGTCCGACTTGTCTGTATACTTCTCTTTCACTGTCGCCGACACACCAGCAGCGGGGTCGGGCCCGGGTGGCAAATCGGCAACAATTTGGATTTCGTTGCTGCCGGCCTGATGTGGCGACGTCCTCGGAGGCGGCAAAATCTCCGCCAGTTTTGTGTCGAGGGCACGTGACGGCTGCGTGGACTGCCTTGATCCTCCTTTCTTCTCAGTTGTGGCAGGGGGTCTACGTGGCGCATCGGACTCTGACTCTGAGGACGACTCTGACGACGATCCGTATCCAAGTGCTAGTGATAGGCTCATTGTATCATATATGTTGCTGTAGCAATGTGTTTGCTGCTGTATGTACAGGTGCGTGTTGGCACAGCACACCATCCAAGCGAGTAAACCAACATTATGGTCGGCCATGCAGGAGTTGAAGAAAGCCCGGTATTGCCACGTTAGTTCCATTGCCCATGACCCTGTCTATATACGATAGCTCCTACCCATTAGGTTTAGGCAGCTGGTGTTTGTCTGGTGGCAGGTCTGCTACATTGGGGAGGGGGAGCATCGCTGCTGGGCTCTCAAAGCAGCTGGAAAAGCACTTGTGGCGAGGGGTTGAGGCATAGCAGCAGTCAACCATGGTGTGTGTAATTTGGGGCACCTCGAATATATTCGTTTGGTCCTCAGAAAACAAGAAGGCATGCTTGGCAGAGTCCCTTGGGCGGGTTGCAAGCCCAGGCAGGATGGAGCCCTGCTATTGCCACGCAGCATATGCTGAAGATGGGAAGGTATGCGCCGTAGCACGTCAGGAGCAGGAGCAGTGGAAATTGTTTGGCCTCCAGACTGCCATTGGCAGTAGGCGCGCCGGCTAGTGGCGAATGGCCACGTCTCATCACAACGACGCGGTTTCTCTTCCTGTTGGTACTTGGATTTGCACTTCTTCACAGCATTGCTTTATTTTTATTTTTTTCCTAGTTGGCATGGAGTTCTTCAAGCGTTACAGCGCAATTGGCGGTGGGCAACAGCAGTCTGCATCTGAGACCATTCAGCGCCTTGCAGACCGGGTTGAGACGTCGACTCTGCTTGAGGACAAGCGGGCGGCAGTGCTGAGTCTCAAGGGCCTGTCACGCGAATACAAGAAGGTAAGAGCGCACGCCTGGCAACCAGCACCGACTCTGGCGGTTGAATGCATAAAGGTGGCCAAGGGCTTTGCCTAATCTGTAATGTCGGTGCTGCTTAGGAAATTGGGGAGGCCTCCTTGCCTGCGTTGCTGGCTGTGCTGAAGGAGGACGGGGAGGACCAGAACCTGGTCAAGGCTATTCTGGAAACACTGAACAACCTGTGCACGCGCGATGCCTTGCGGGACGCTGACCACACGGGAGGGCCAGGCGAGGACCCAGTTGCAGACCGATTTGCGCAGACGATAATTGACGACGGAGATAATATCTCGACTTTCCTGGAGCTGCTGGGCGACGCCGACTTTTACGTGCGGTTCTACACTGTGCAGCTGCTGGGGCTTTTGCACATGTATAGCGGCGAGCAGGTGCAGCAGGCAGTGCTGGTATCACCGACCGGAGTCGGGCGTCTTGTGGACCTCCTGACCGACCAGCGCGACATCATCCGCAACGAAGGCATTCAGCTGCTGATTGCAATGACCGAGAGCAACGCCGATATACAAAAGATTGTGGCATTCGAAAATGCGTTCGACCACCTTCTGGCTATTGTCGGCGAAGAGGGCGGTGTGCGTGGAAACATCGTGGTGCAGGACTGCCTCCAGCTGCTTCACAATCTGCTGAACTACAATATTTCCAACCAGAACTTTTTCCGTGAGACATCAGGTATCCAGAGGCTTCCTGATCTGCTGATCACGGATCCGAGCCAGACGGCGGGTGCTGCGCAGCATGGCCAGCCCGACAACGGCGAGGACTTTGAATGGACGGCTCAGCATGCGCGCAACATGCTCGTGGTCCTGGATGTCATCCGTATGCTGATTCAGCCCGGAAACACCAACACGGAATCCAACCAAACGGCGATGCAGCAAAACGGCATTATCCCGCCACTACTTCAGCTGGCACTGGCGTACGAAGCCCCCAGCAGTGTGCGTGCCCAAGCCCTGTACGCAATTGGTGATATCATCCGGATGCATGCGGCTAACCAGGGGCTGTTCCAGCGTATTCTGATCACGGCAGCACAGGCTGATGACGACTCGGAAGATGCCAGCGCGAAGGCTATCCCCGAGCCGGCGGTAGCGATAGTCATTCGGCTTGCCGTCGGCGCGCGCCCTTCCAGCGTGCCTACGAATGAGTATTACATTGTGCGGTCGGCTGCTGCTTACTTGGTGCAGGCGTATGTGGGTGGTAACCCTGACGCCCAGCTGGCGCTAGCAGCAACTCTGACGCCTCCAGATGGCACAGGCAGCTTGGGCAATCCTGATACGCATCAGTCTGCAGGGTCTCTCATCGTCTCAGTGCTGCTGGACTGGCGCGATACGGGAAACGACGACGCCTGGCGTGTGTGGCACGCGTCGCTGTTGTTGTCGACTGTTCTGCGTGGGGTTTGAGCAGTGCAAATCGCAGGCGCTGCGGGTGTCGCTGGGTGACGAGTCCAAGGGAGAAGATCCCCTGCCGCTGATCAACGAGCTGCTATCGCAGGCACGTCATGCGACACAGGAGTCAGGCGACGCCCGCATTTGCATCGCGCTGCTGGCGCTGGTATGCGTGTGGGTGGTTGATTTCCCGCAGGCGGTCACAACTCTGCTGGACGAGTCGTCCAATACGTCGTTCTTGGTCGAGCAGATCAACGGGTCATCGGGCAGTCAATACGCTTGTGCAAGGCGTGGCCGCGTTCCTGTTTGGTCCTTATTTACCAATTCGATGTCGCGGCCGACTCGCCCTGTGACACGCGAGCAGCTGTACCCGATCCTCTCCAAGCGGGTGGGAACCGACCAGCTACTGATCCGTGTCCAGCGGACTGCGGGATTCTAAAGAGTTCCAGTACGCGCTGGGGTTGACAGCCGGCACCCATTCAAATGCATACGGAGGATGTTCCGAACGAGCTGTTCTTTGATAACGTATTTACCGATCTGTTCCGTACGCATTACGAGGCATTCCGCGCTGCTGTGCGCTTGGGGCCACAGGAGACACAGGCGGCCCATGCCAACTTTGCGCACCTCCAAGGAGGCATGGCGGGATATGCTGGATCGGGCTCGCTGCCAGGCTCGGTTCCCGGAACGCCGCAATTGAACCAGGGGAGCATGTCTCGGTCAATGTCGCCTGGCGCCGTGCTGGATTCTGCAGCGGATGACAGGCCAGCAGTGCCTAGTGTTCCCAAGAGCCAGTTCGACGCTTTGGATGGCTAAGGGCGCGTGAGCTGACAGCTGAGGCCGAGCGATTGAGCCAAGCGCTGGCGGAGCAGCGGAAGGCAGCTGATGAGGAGCGCCAGCAGCACAACGAGGATAAGGCAGCCGAGCAGCAGGCGCACGTGCAGGAGCTTGAGGTACTGCGCGCGCAGTTGGCCGATGCTGAGGCCAGGGCGACGCAGGGCCAGTCTTTGGCTCAAGACAATGCCGGTAGCGAGGAGAGGCTGGTGGAGCTGGAGCAGAGGCTGGCAGAGCAGACTCTGGATGCCGAGCAAAAGCAGGCGGCGTGGAATGCTGAGCGCGAGGAGCTGGCACGCAAGCTGGCCACCGCCGAGAAGCAAGTGGTTAAGGCAGCTGCCGCTGGTCGCAACCTCAACAAAAAGAAGGAGATGCAGCAGGCCAGTGCTATCGAGGCGCTGGAGCAGGAGCTCCAGGAGAAGGACGCCAAAATCAACGCGCTTGCTAGCGAAGTGGAGCAGCTAAAGCAGACCGCTGCCGAGTTGGAGTCAGTCGATGAGCTGAAGGAGCGGCTGGCTACTGCCGAAAAGGAGCAGGAGGACCTGTTGGTTTATCTGGCCGACCAGGACCAGCAGGCCAAAGAGTATCGGAGACATGCTGCGCAAGTATGGAGCAGACATCCCGCCTTCGGACGACGAGGACGAGGACGAGGACGAGGGCGCGACAGATGCTGAAGAATAAAGTCTCCCTTAAGCCTGGTGTTCAAAGCATCAATTTCTAAACCCCGCAGGTACTAGCTTTTCTAAGCCCCTAGCCAGAAATTAACAACACGAATGTACCGGCTCGGCCGGCTCGGCCGGCTCGGCTGGCTCGCGAAAAAATGATCCTGCTCAGACATTGTTGCACGACAACATCGCTCGCTATTTTGTCTCTTCTCAATCCCCGCTGTTCGGCATTTCCCACTTCAATTCGGCTCTTTCCTTGCTACGAATTCTGCAAGACGTGAATACTTTTGGCAACGTGAGTGCTTACCTGCCTCTCCCAGCATTCACTGTTCACAAGGAGGAAAAGGAACATTGCTAACTGCTGCATTCACGCCCTTGTTTGTGATTTTAGAAATCTCTCGCTACAGACATGAGCAACAGCACGGTGGGCATGACGGGCCCGCCCCCACACCCCAGCGCGCAGCTAAGGCTTTTTCAGACTGTGCCGCTCTTTGTTGACAACCTTTACCCGTACTCACGCACACACCCGTTTCACACAGTTCCGTCGCCGCATGGTGCCAGCTCCTGCGCCGTATGCAGCCCAGACATGAACAGCTAGCAGCACATTTGGAAGGTGGTGCGGTGTGCTCGATTTACGTGCTTCGGTCGCAGCCCGATGCCAGCGTGCAGTGGCGGCTGCTTGCCGACCGTAGAACTCTCGAGCTGCGTTCCGCTGCGCTGGGTCCAGTAGTCAAGAATCGGACGGCAGCCTGCATCCTACAGAGATTACGCAGAGCGCTGCATCGTCGTGGCGATTTGCGATCGCAGCTGCTCCCGACCTGTGGTCGTTTCGGACGAGACTACTGCCCATGGCGTGGCAAGGGTGACGGTTTCAGTGTGCACAGTCGACGGCACTGTCTATCAGTTAAGATTTGGCAATGTGCACGACAATCGCAGACCCTGAGCTGGACGCTGTCTGCACGCACAACCTGGTATCGTGCCTTCTCATTGCAAGGATGCAAAGTCACTGCCCGGCAGACAACCGGTAGCACTGGAAGGCGTTGGAGCCAGCATGCTGGCAGTTGGCTGTAGAGACAGTAGTCTGGTGTGGCTAACGCTGCAGCGAAATTCCCGAAGGACTGCAAGGGGATATGAGCCGGTTTGTGTCCGAATCAGTATCAGGAGCACAGGGAATTCTGACGTCAGTCAAAGGTATTTTTCCACGGATGCTCAGCGGCGAGTATGGCCATGATAGCGAGTCCAAACGAGCTTGTTTCGCTTGCTACCACTCGTGCGCCTGGCAGCACTGCGCGGCTTTGCAGTGACACTGAGTCGAGACCGCAAGCTCCGGTTCTGGACCAGTGCATGGGCAACCACCCTCCAGCACGAGGAGCAGCTACCCCTGTTGGATCTATCCGGAAGCACAGTCTCTATTGAGCTTCGGGACTCTCCGCAGCAGCAGCTTGACCCACGTGTTGGCAACTACATTCGTATTGTATCGGAAAGCCGATCGGAATCAGCCGTCGAAGGCTGTTGCAGCCCCTCGTTCTGCGTGCTGGTGTTTGTTTGTGACGAAGCAGCGCCCTACTTTATCATGTTCCACGTTCTGGGCGATGCGCAAGGTCGGATCACAGACGTCCAACCTGTCATGCGCAAGGTGTGCCAGGAGATGGGTGACGCGAGTCAGATAATGGCAGGATGACGAGCTAATCGACTTCCAGGTTTCGCAGCACGATGGGGTGGTACGTGACGGCCACGCAGAGGACTCACAAGCATACTGGACATTGTGGGCGCTATGGAAGCGGTCTCAGGAGTCAGTGGTCGCCTACTCGCACTTTATTTTGCACCACAGCGGAGCAGGTGGGCTGAGGTGCGAGGACCACCCGATTTTTGGCAAGCGCTGGTACACAGCGATCTCTCCCTGCAAAAGAGCGTGCGTCCAGATAGCAGTGGGGCACGGGATCAAGGATATCGAAGCAAGGCTGGCCCAGACCGTGGATACTGGTGGCCAAAGTGGGAGAGTCGGATAGTGGTGTGCAGCCGCTTGATATTGAAAAGGCGTTCTTGGACCATTTGTTTAACCCGTCGCGCTTCGATCGTGGTGTGCTCGAGCATGCTCTTGATCAGTACATGGCGTGGGCTAGCGGCCATGGGTTCGACCTGCCTGCAGAAACTCACGAAATCACAGCGTCGAGTCTGCGGCTGCGCCAGCGTGTTGCCAGCGCTGTGGGCTCATTCCTGCAGGTGCAGACCAGCCCCAAAGATGGCTCCATGCTGGTGGGCGAGTACCATCGGTCGTTATTCACCGAGTGGATGCGGTATTCAACTCTATGTGCGCGAGTCCAGCGTACGTGCAACACGCCAAAATCACTCGCGGTGTGCGAGTCCACCAATATGGTGTGTGCAGTAGGCGGCAATGCGCTGCACGTCGTCCAAGCAGCTGACGAGGTTGAGTGTATGCGTGCCATCATGGAGAGTGATCCGGCGGCGTCGGTTCTGCTCAGTGTTCCCGAATACATGGTTGCGCAGTCATATCCGCTACTGGCAAAGAGCAATGCGCGCGCTGAGATTGCACGCTTCTTGGCTGCCTCGTCGTATTTAGCAGGCGTGATGCCCAAGGACAAGATGCTGGCGCTGATGGATGAAGGTTGCCCGCGAGCCTAGCATCTCAACACTGGTATCGTACGAGGTGCGCGCAATGGAGCTGTTCGAGAAACATGTTGCCGGCTCGGTTTCAGCAAAACATGCCCAATATGTCGGTCGCATGCTTGGCTTGTGCCGGGCGCCTGGCGATACTGCCTGCCACATTCTTAGCGCGCTGATTCCAGTCTACAGAATTCGCCAGGCCCAATTGGCGATGCAGAAAAGCGCGTTGAAGTCGAGCTGCACCATGGATGGCCTGCTCCTTTCTGGCTTTGCGAAAGCTAACCGTGCCCGGCTCGAACTCTCTCGTGACCTTATGCTGCTGCTGGTCTGCGCTGTGTACTATTGTGACCGGTGGTGGTCTGTGAAGCTACACAACATGCCCGAGCTGCTGGCGATTTGCACCAAAGCGCTGAACCAGTTTGCGCTGATCCAGTGGGTGGCTGACCAATCGTTAAACTCGCCCAGCGGTGCCGTCGATGATAGCACGGGTGATGGATTCCTGGGCAAATTTTCGGTGCTCAACATTGACCTTTGCAACGACACGACACTCAGCCATAGCGCCGAGGGAGGGGGAGAGACGAGCAGCTCCGAGTTTGTCTACAGTCTTCTCCACGACATTGTCAGTCGCAACTTCTCACTGCACATTGTTGACCGTTCGCGTGCCTTTGCCGACATGGTGGCAGATGGTGTGCTTCAAATGTATGCCCATCTGGGCGTTACAGGCCCGCAAGGCCCAGGGCTGCAGGCACGCGGCACCCTTGTCGAGTTCGCTGCCAAGCTGGAGAGGTCGGCAACGGCCGAAGTGACCGAGGGCTTCTTGCAATTCCTACCCAAGAGCACTGCACTCAGCTTCCTCAGTGGCCTGGTCTCGATGCGCCTGCGCGAAGTTCGTCATGGCAGCAGAGTTGTTTGCCAATGCCGGCGTTGCTTTTGCACAGACATCTGACTGCATCATACAGGGAGTAGATCTGCCACACGTGCTTCCCGCTAAGGTCCTCCAGTCAGGCGGCGCTTCGTCATACTACCGCTATATTGCAGACATGTTTGAATCTGGCACATCAGTTTGAACATGTCGGTCGCTTCTGCCACTTGGCGCTCGAGGCGTTGCAGGAGGAGAGTCGGATGGACGGTTTCGAGCTTGATGAAGCCACAGCTTTTGATCTGCGTCGCGATCTGTGGTTCAAGATATTCCACGCCGAGCTCGAATGCGCCCACTACGAGGATGCATATATGGCTATGATGGCTATCCCCGATAAGACGCTGCAGCTGGACTGCTTGCGGCACATGCTGGGCGTCCTGTGCGAGCGCGAAGGCGGTGTGGCAGTCCTGTGCCGATTCGGATTCCCAGGCATGCAGGAGGAGGTCGAGCGCAATCTGCTGTTCAAGGCACGTCACGTTTGGGCTGGACAGGCGAGGTCAACTATTACAAGATCCTCTATGCGTTCCATGTCTACCGTGGCAACTACCGCAATGCTGCCTCGGCCATGTACCAGTATGCCTGCCGCCTCGGCCAGCTCATGGTGCGCGAAGGTGACTTTGCCTCGATGCTGGTCGATCAGGGCCAAGGCGCTGCTGGCGTGTATCAACAGGCTTGCAGCTTGTTGACAAGCAGTACGCGTGGGTGGTAGTTGGCCACGATGGTGGGTTAGGGGCGGCCTCGGGCAATAGCCGCAAACGCCGCTGCATCGCTGTTGGACGCTACGACGCTGGGACGAAAGGTCGATGGCATCGACATCGTCGAAATAGACGACATCCGGCGGCGAGTATGCCCTGTGCATGGCACGGATCACACTCGGCGCTCACTTTTGGCGACCTGTTTTCGCGCGATGTTGCCATGGAGCCAGAGGATGCGGTTGCTCTGTTTGTCAAGGCAGGAATGTACGATAGCGCGGCGACGTTTGCCAGACACTGTCGGCTTGAAGCTCGACTTTGTCCTGACATCGCTAACGATGAAATGCCTTGAGCTGTCGTCCATCGGCTCGGCGACTGGCCAGCGCGAGGTCACGCAGGAGGCATTCTGGGAAAACGAGAGGATCGCAGAGACATCAGGAACACCCTGCTGAGCGCGCATGGCATCTACTGCAGCACTACCTCAACAAGCATGACAGCCAGCCTGACCGGCTGCTTGTGGCCGAAACCATTCTCAAGGCCGAGGATGACGCCGAGTTGCCGCCGTGGCTGGCGGCACCGCTCTTGCTATCCAGCCCTCAGGACCTTGTTCGGTTGTGTCTCCGCAACGGTTGTGTTTCGGAGGGTGCTGGCTTTTTGTTCCAGCACATCAACAATCTACGTGCTCGAATCTTGTCCGACTCCAGTGATAGCAAAGGGACACGCGAGTTCTGGCTGCCATACCAGCTGGTTGATCAGACACTAAACGTCCTGGGAATCGTCCATCGAGGCTTTTGAAGATGCAGTTGATAAGATCCGCGATGCGCGCAGAGCAGTGCTCACAAAGGACTGAAGGGCGAAGCTGAAGAAGCTGCTCAAGAGCTATCAGGGTCCGACTCGACAGTTTGGCTGCCATGCAGGTTGATTTGCGCAAGGCACTCGATCGATATGTTGCCATAGCGACCAGCGAGAGCCAGGAGAATCAGTGAGTGCCTGGCCCATTCGACCGGCTCGCGCGTGTTAACATAGTGCGGTTGGGCTTCATCCTAGTGTTTCCATTACCCTTTCAGAAATACACATTCTGCCAAGAGTTGAGCAGCAGCAAGTGACCACGGCTCGGTTCAGGGCGGCTCGATCACGGCAGCCAACCGTAAGCCCTAGCAGCAAAGTGGCACATGAAGAGGGGCTGCGTCACCCATTTCAGCTCCTCATCCAGAATAATTCGCAAACATTCCTATTCACTGGCCGACATGAGGTACTACCTGCGGATCCCAAAGACAAAGACGGTAAATTTGGTCGGGCTGCTGCCCTGACACTCTGCAGCAGGATTCCGAAATGCTGCGACGTCTCAGCTGGATGACCACGCTGCGTGAGAAAATGCGGGAGCGCCTGAAGGAACAGAGCAAGACTGACAAACTGACAGAGGTGAACGACCTGATGAAAATGCATTCAGGCGTACCTGGACGAATTGCACTGGCTCCGGGTGTACTACGAGGAGCACCACACATTGTTTCCGGAGACACTTGAGATCGAGTTTATATGGAAGAGCGCTATTGCCAGTAGCCTGCGTGACCTGATGGGTGGTTTCGGACGCCCACACTTTCCACTACGGAGCAGCTGGTGCTGGTGATAGCGACGGCGGAAATGTCAGCGGTGGGGATCGCAGTGGGTCGCGGCTGCTTGGCGGCCACTCTCTCAAGCAGCGCCGAACCCAGTCAAACTCTCTCTACATGGAGATGGGGTTTGTCCTCTTGTCACTGGCTATTGTAAAGTCAATGAGCGCCTACTCAAAGGTTGCCACGCTGGACACTGAGATCGAATGCGAGACTATCAACGCAATGACGCCCTGGAGCACGAGCTATTTCTGAGGATGAAGGTGCACAAGGAATCGAGGCTCTGAAGCGTGCCTCTGCTGAACTTCGCGAGGCAGCAGGCATATTCCAGTATATAATTGACCAGGTTCTTCCGTATTTGGCTGGTGTGCGGCTCAGTGTGCCTGATCTTACGCCTGACATCCAGTACATGCTGCAGACGCTGTCCCTCGCCGATTCAGATCGGCTCTCGGTGCGTGTTTGGCTTCGGACTGACAAGAACCAAAAGCGGACGCCAAACATGCCTGCCAACATGCTGCTCGAGATACAACAGCGCTACGAAAATGCCTCGGTGTCGCTACGCACGCTACAGAGCGGTGAATCACGTAGCGTGTCTGCAGATGTTCAGAACTACATGCGCGATGGGCAACAGCTGATTTTGGCCCAAGCTATGGTATACCTGGCCCAAGTGAACAGTGATAAGCAAAAGTTTGGCAATGCAGTCGGGATTCATGCGAGATGCACGTGAACTGCTCATTGAGATCAAGCGCCGCAAGCAGTCGGTGCATGTTGAGACTGCTAACAAACTCCTCAGTGGGCCCGTCGATGCTCTGTACAGCCTTTATCGCCGAAACAATGACACGATTGGTTTTGAGCTGGTTCCTTCGTCAGAGGAGCTGCGTGCAAAGCTCCCTTCAGGGAGGCCACTGTTCAGCCGGGCTATCGTATATACGACGCAGTTCGATACTGCTAATCAAGCTTCATGAGCATATGTTTTAAATTAGTCTCTTACTGTGATATCGTCATAAGAAGTTAACAAATCATTTCTCCATGTAGTATTTATTGAATACTGTGCTGCAACCAGGCAGGCATTGCTATTTCTACACTGAGCAGCAAAATTGAGTCACAAAATTTTTTCCAATATTTAGTTATGATATCTTCATCATCAGATTACATAGATACTTCCATTTGATATATGTTCAATGGGGCTTGACATAGTATAAAAGTATGTAGTCAAATGTTCTCTAAACATTGTACCTTGCATGATATCGAGGCAATAGTAAATAACTATAAAAATTGGAGAGGCAAAAATTTGACACACTTTGCCTTCATAGTGGGGGTCATTCCTAGACTTGTAAATTTTAGAAAATTATAATTTTGTTAGATAGATATTTGAATAATTGTTTTCAGAACTATTTTTTGCTACTAGATATTTTTGGAACAGATATTTATAATTGTTGTGTCCAGAATGTTTTTATGTGTATAATTGATTTTAAAAATACAAATATTTTTTTTGCCATTTCACCCAAACCGCCATCGGCATCTTGGAAAAGTTTCAGTGAACATAATTTCCTTGTGGTTGCTTAGCCACATCTATTGAGATATTGACTTTTGTTGCCCAATGATAATTAACCCCAAATATACAAAGGTTTTTCTTTCTGGTTGAAATTATGTTTGCTGAAACTTTTCCAAGATGCTGATGGCGGTTTGGGTGAAATTTTTATTTCACTGAAATTGCCAATAGTTTCAACATGTATAAATAATTGTTGTGCAGATAACTAACTCTGAATAACCTCCTTATTGAAGCATTTTCTATCAATATGAAATTATTACTGAAAATTCTTATTTTAAAAGATGTTTATGATATGTCAACATAGAAGTTCATTGACTCCTCAATTTTAGCTTAAATAAGTCTATCTTGTAGTTCTCTCATTGAAGCCTCTAACTCTACTTTTTGTGGTAAACTACTTCCAACTTCAGCATGAGTTGATCTCTCCTGGTTGTTGCTAGGGTAGTCAAAGTTAGATAGAACCCAAAGTGTGTAGTGATGTTCAACAGGAACTTTACTACCTGCTAGGATCTTCTTCATATTGTAGAGTAAGCAACAGAGTTTCAGCTGCATATTGTACACAGTTGTATTTCTAATTCTCACAACTTCTCTATTTGATAGCCTCTTAAATGTTACCTAGTTCTCCAAATATGCTCTTAACCATTGATCTAAATGAGCTAAGTCTACTATTATATTCTAACTCTGCCTCACTTAAGTTGGTTCCTCTTGGCTTTCAAACTGGTAAGCAAAAGTTATGCATTCCAAAATTCTCATTCTCTTCTGCTTCTGTTAACTCCTCCAGAATACTTTGAGGGTAGCCACTATCTAACACAACACAATCTACTGGAGAGATGTATTTCAATAGTAACATATTCTTAATCATCTTAGAGTCTGGGTGGTTTCTACATTCCTCAGTTGGTGAAACAAGGACAACCATTCCATTCAAATCAATGCAAACTTGTGTTCTATATCCTGACTTCTTCAACTTGAAGGAATAAAGATTTGGTTTGTAAGCACCATTATGTAGTGCTCGTGAGTCATGTCCATCTAACATAAGAGTAATATGCTTAAACCCTTTAGGATTCTGAATCTTTGCTGAGATCACTCTTAGTTCTGGAGTGGAGAACATTGTGTGCAAGTAGTGTGAAAGCTTCTTGTTCAACTCACTTAACTCTGAGATATAGAACATATTATGAATCACTTGGTAGCTGCTCTTAGGAATAAACCTTTCTATCTCATTGATTGATAGCCCAGCAACTAACTGATATAAAATCAAGAGTCCTTTCTCAACATTTCTATAAGGATATGGATACTGCTTTCTACCAAACAGAACATTTAAGAAGAAGAACACAGGAATCATTCCAAGTTGCTTAACAAGTGTATCTTTAATAAGCTTTATTTCTTTTACTTCATGAGCTTCACTCCTATAATACTTCTGCTGTTTATGCACTAACCAGTCTTCATCAAGAAATCTCCACTTTGTTGTGTAGAGCACATTCCACTCCTTCTCTCTTAATTCTTGTAATTGATTGTCTATCAGTATGAGGTAGTCATAAATTAAAATTTCAACTTTTATCAATTTTAGAAAATGGGATCATTCCAGAACTTCTTCAAGCAACATTTAGCTGAGATGTGTGAGGAAGAAAGAGATATGCTTACTCTGCTACTTATTCATGACTTTGATATGAGTGATGACCTAGCAATACAAGTGCGTAATTGGATCCAACATATTGCTACTGATTGTGAGGTAAGGGTTGAACATGTGTATGATGTATGTCAAACTTTCCATAGAGATATGGAGAGAATGGATGCTTATTCTTTGTTTTAAAATGGCTGCTATTCAACTGTGATTATTCTATATCCTATACTTCTAACTCTTAAGTAGCTCTGTTGCTTTGTTTCTCCTAACTATTGAGAAATTGCTTTTCCAATTGAACTATCTACTGGTGTCCTGATAAGAGTTGGCTGTTTATCTCTCCCTTTAATAGGAATATCTAGATAGAAGTATAAATATCCTCTGAATGTATAGAGTGTATAATGTGTAACTGTAAATTCATTACCTAACTGAAGAATAATGTAAGCAACTCTATACAATGATGGTTTCAGATCTGTATTCTCTTTGATAAATATATGTCTAGTTTTATCTAGTGTGATATTGTCTATTGCTGCTATTAGTGCATTGATGTTTTGCTCTTTTATAGAATGTTCAACCTCTAACATTTCTGATAGGCATATCCTTCTCTTTGCTTGTTTGCTATCTATCCAACCAATATGCATTCCTTTGTAGTTAACTAATCCCATCTCTTCAAAAGTATGATACTGCTTAGTTATAGGATAAGTAGACCAGAATGAGTTTCTCTGACTTAGAACAATACACTGAGCGGCAAAATTGAGTCATAAAAATGGAATTCATCGAAAATCTTCAATAACTTCTCAGATTGTTGTGAAGTCCACATGAGAAATTTATTTTATAATCTATGCAATGCCCAACCGTAGCATACAAAGTTATAAGCACGTCGCTCAAGAAATCACTGAGAAACTGATTTTTAAAAATTGTATTTTTTGACTCAATTTTGCTCTCAAAAATTCGACGATGTATCGCTCAATATCTGGTATGGCCACCATGGGCTTTTTTGACAGCTGCGATACGCGCAGGCATCGAGTTCACCAGCTGTGAGCAAATGGTTTCATTTACTTGCTCACACCAGATGTCCTGGACCCGCTCCCAGAGGGTGTTGAGATCTTCGATTTCAGGCCCATTACGGATCTCATGCTTAATGAAGTCCCACAAATGCTCAATGGGGTTGAGATCAGGGGACTGCGCTGGCCATGGTAGCACTGAAATGGAGTTCTCAGCAAACCACCTCCTTGTCCTAGAAGCCATATGGCATGAAGCATTGTCCTGTTGGAAGATGATGTCACCCTTGTCCAGCCCATACATCTCAATTGTTTGCAGTGGTTCCTCCTGCAGGACACCCACATAGACCGCTGTGTCAATTCCCCCCTCAAGCCAGCAGAGTTGGCCAGGGCCACATGAAGTTATGCATCCCCAAACCATGATCCCACCTCCACCATATTTTTGGGTTGGGGTAATGTGGTGATCCTGGAGGACTCCGCCTAGTTTACATAAGCACCTTTCACGTCCATCTGCTCCATTAAGGTGTATTCTTGTCTCATCTGACCAAATTACCTGACTCCAATTGGTGTCTGTCCAGCTCCCAAAGGCCATAGCAAATTGGCATCGATCCTTATGATGGCGATCTTTCAGTTGAGGGACATTTATTCTGCACATAGATCGAATCCCTTGGTGATGTAGTGCGCGTCTGATAGTGTACACTGAGATGTGCATACCAGAGTATTGTGCCAGCTGTTGTCAGATCTGCGTTGCTGTAGAACATGTACCAGTAGTAGCAAGTCGACATATGTATGTCTCATCATATAGTGATAGCAGCTGACTACGACTAGCATGGAAGTTCCTCTCTATGCTATGTTGTGCTCGGGCAATGCGTGATACTGTGGATTGGGAGACTCCTGTGTCCAATGCAATTTGCCGAGTTGATAATTGTTTTGTTAGAGGAAATTTGATGTGATTTTTATGTGATGATTGTAACTTTTCAGGCATAGCTAGAATAGAAATGAGATGTGGATGTGGATGAGAGAATGCTGTTGTCTTGTTGGCTAAAATATGGAATTTGCCCACTGCTGTTTTGGGTATAAAACTAAATGTCGAAAGTAGGAAAGGTCAAAAATGATCACTACTAAAAATTACTACTTTTTCAAAAGACAGTAATATCAAGGGAGTGCGACATTCTAGGAACATTGGTCTTACACAATTCTCATCATCGCATGCAAGTGATATGCATACCCCACTATCAAGGGTATTGCATCACTGCTTTTTCAGATATCAAACATTTTCAGAAGAAAAAATTTTTGTGACTCAATTTTGCCGCTCAGTGTAGTTATATTCTCATCAACTCTTCTAAGAACTTTTTCTGTTTCAAGACCACTCTCAAGTGAATCATATATTTGATAAAGTGTAGGTCTATTGTTGAATGAGAGATTAGCAACAACTACCATTGGATCTTCATTCGTAGTAAGCTTCTTAATAATTCCTTGCTTCTTTGATGTGATTGAGTTAAACCAATGACAATATGCTAGAGTATGCTGTTGTCTCACATAAATACAAACTGTATAACAACTACTAACCTTATCAACAAGTGCCATCCACTGAATTTCATAAGAAGTTGCAAATGTTCTGCATTCATTCATGAACTGAACTGTGGTAAGAAGCAAGTTACTATTCCATTCAACTGTTTGTATCTGAGAAGAATGTACAGTTAGTTCTATCCTAGTCAAACCAGAGTTTCTATAAACATACAATGTTTCTCCAAAGTTGTGCAAAGTTGGCATAACAAATTCTGAAAGTTTAGAACTAAGAGAGTTATGAACTTCACTAATCTCAAGAAGTTGAATAAACTTGTTATAAAT